TAGAAAACTTAATTAAGTTATAGTAAAGTATATAGTAATTAAAGTACTATCTCTATTAATAGTAAAATTAAATATTCTATATAGTATATACTTAGTATTCTATATAGACTTTATTAAGTAAGTAGTATTTAACTTACTGCCTAGCTAAATACTTTAGAACTTCTGCTTACTACTAGTATTAATTAAGGTAGATAAAACTCTTTAAGGTAAAGAAAGCTATAAATATAAAGTAGAGAAAATTCTAGTAGTAAAGAATATACTTAAAAGAGGCAGAAAGTAAAATATATATATTAAGTAGAAGAAGTATATTTAATTAATATAGAAACTACTTAAGAGTTTTTAAGATACTATAGTACTTAATTAATTTAAAGCTAAGTAAAGAGATATATAAAAGTATAATAAGCTTAATTTATAAGTAATTAATTTCTAAATAGTAGTATAATATATAGAGCTAATTAATTAAAAAAAAATATAGAAGGAACTAAACTATAGTTATATTAGCACTAAGGCTAGCTAGTAAAAAAAAAAGAAATTTATTAAAAAAAAAAAAGAGGGAAAAATAAAGAGAGAGATAATATAACTATAAAGCTTAATATATACTTAACTTATACTTAACTTACGCTTAATATAGCGCCTACTAAAATAAGCACTCTAGCTTACTAAGCAACTTTTATTGTAACTTATTACTAGTTAAATTAATAACTTAATTATTAAGAGAGAGAGAGAGTAGAGAAGAAATAGTATTTTAAATATTATTACCTTTATAACTACCTTCTTCTCTACTATAAAGATAAGTTAAAGTCTTAAAGATATAAAAGTAAATATATTAGCTATAAAGAGTTATCTCTTTATAAAGTATATTAACTAAAGTATAAGTTAGCTTCTACTAGTTAGTATACTTATAGTATAACTTTACCTACTCTACTTGCTACTTATATAGTATTTACTTAATATTTTAAGCTATAGTAGCTTAGCTCTAGAAAAAATTTACTAGTATTTATTAGTTAAAAAGCAGTATATATCTATAGTAGAAGAGTATTAATATACTAGTAAGTGCTAGTACTTATAAATTAGCGCTAGTAGCTATATTACTAGAAAATAAACTAGCTAGTATATATAAAGAGTAAATAGAACTAGAGGCAATATAAGCTTACTTTAATAATATATTAAACTTTTTAGCTATAGAATTAAACTATATAGAGAATTTAGTATATATACTAAAGCTCTTACTTAACTTTTTATATATAGTAAATATAATATATCTACTAGTATTTACAATTTACTATACTTTCTTTTATTAGTAGTATAGCTTAAAGTTTAAAGCATAGAGGTATGCCTTCTAGATATACCTCTTATAAGTTTTATAGTACTACTTATAAGCTATAGTAAAGCTAAGAATGCAACTAGTAGAGCTAGTATTAATAAGCTTATACTAATATAGTATATATATTTCTAGAACTTTCTCTCTATTAAAGAGGTTATTATTATTAAACTCTATAGCATACTTACTTATATAGTAAGCATTCTAGTATAGCAGTAGAAGTAGTAGAAGTAGAAGAGGAGGCACGCTAGTAGTAGACTTCTTAAAACTAAATTAAGTATATAATATATATTATATTATACTTAGAATAGTAGAGGTAGTATAAAAGTAATATAGAAAAAGAAGGTAGATATAGTAGTAGTAATCTTTAGAAATAAAAATTCTTAGTAGTATAAAAAAGTATTAATAATACTTATTAAGAAGAAAACAATAAAAATAAGTAGTATAAAGTTACTAAACTATTATAAAGTAGAGGTATATTAAGTATATACTATATATAAAAAATATAAAGTAGAAATATATAGTTACTAGGAGAATTTACACTATATATCTATCTCTACTATATAGTAGTAATATAAATAAACCTACTAGAAGAAGAGTATATAATAAACTTAAGCTATAAGCTTAAGTAGATATAAAGTACTATATTAATGCCTTATTAAGTACGCTTTAAATATATATTAAACCTATATATATATAATAAAAGAAAAAGAGGGGATAGAGAGCTTTCTCTTTCTCTCTTTTCTCTCCTTAAGTTTATAGTTAATACTAGTAACGCTTACACGCAGTAGCCTGTAAGGCTAGTCCTTAATATGCACTAGAATTCTCTGCCTTTATAAATATAATAAGGCTAACAGGGCAATGTAGAGAGGTGTACCTAATTTTGTCAGAGGTGTAGCAATAATCTTATATATATACTTAGTAAAATCTAGGCAAAAAATCGCCAGAAAGCAAGGTTACCTTCTATGCTTAATAACTACATAATAAATGTACCCAGGGCTACGCGCGAAATTTTTATAACACATAATCGTTATAGACATGTTTTACTGCTACCTCAGTTTTTGATTTCTGGTCCTATAAATAAGACCGCACAACGTGATGGTGCAAGTGATCTATCTGGACGCAGGTGGTGGAATGGCTCAGTGCGTCACCCCAAATTGCATGCTACCAAAGACGCTTCAAACATCTCGGAGAAAATTTTGACGTTCCAGCTTGCTCAAGGTTACACCAATATGTCCACAAGTTTCCAGCGTTATCCCATTCCCAAACTTCAATACTGCCTAATCCTGGCTTTCAACAAAGAGTTCATCTACATCCTCATAATCGCCACTAATGCCTCGAGTCTGGTTTCTTCTCTTGCCTGCCATATCTCTGGCGCTCTTGACATCGAGTTTATCTATATGGCCGCCTCGATTGCCAAGAAAATCATCGGTCCTAATACCGCGAAATTGGCTAGAATCGATTGTAGCCATTCGCCGTCCCTCGCCCCTGTACTGGCGCATGACTTCCCGAACAGGTGCCATGGCTGCATCACGGCAAGCTTCTTTGATGTCACTGCCTGACATTCCCGCAGTGATCTTCGCGACGTAGTCTAAATCAAAATTCTCTTCATCAAACTTTGTATCTTGCAGAATGAGCTGCAATATTTTGCGTCGCTGTGCACGGCCAGGAAGAGGCACAGGGAACTTTTTGGGCATGCGCCGCAGAATTGCCTCGTCGATGTCATGTATGCGGTTTGTAGCCCCTAGGACGACGATTTGAGCTGGCATCCCCGATGCATTGGCCGACGTAAGGCCGTCCCATAGCGTCATAAACCTATACCCCATGTTAAAATCTTGAGTACATATTGAAGGCTGCGGGGTGGAAAGTCTTACTCAGCTTTGACCATACCGCTGGCCTCATGCTCCCCGCTCCTCCTCGTTCCTAGCACCGCATCTATTTCATCAATGAATATAATAGACGGTTGCATTTTACGTGCCAAGGAGAAGACGGCACGAACTATTTTGTTCGAATCACCGTACCACTTTTCTGTCATAGTTGAGATGTGAAGGTTGATGAACGAAGCTTCGCTTTCATGAGCTAAAGCCTTTGCAAGCATGGTCTTTCCACAGCCTGGAGGGCCAAACAGGAGCACTCCAGATGGTGCAGAGAGCAATGGCGCAGCATGGGAATACAGATGCGGCATCGTAAGCGGGTATATCACGGATTCTTTCAGCTCCTCGATTATTGAATCAAGTCCGCCGATATCTGTCAACGAAAAATCCACAGTCAGCCCGTGTCAAAAATGTTGCATAGCACTTTTTCTAGCACAGTTAAGGCAGGGGGTATGGGCCTACCATCAAATCCAACATGTATGTCCTCTGGTGCGACCATTTCAAGTGCAATCAGGTTCTCATACTCATTCAAACCCAGATCTTCAACTCGCCTAGATTCCTGGCTCACATCATCTCTATCTTCGTTCGTATTCCGGTGACGGTTCAATCGCTCGAGATGTGCTTTTGCCAGCCGCCTGGCTTGTTCGTGTTTCTCTTTGTCAGGGTCGGCCAGATTGCTAAGCATCGGTGTGAGAAAATTTCTAGCAACAAAGAGTCCAGCTGTCATCTATGTAGGAAGCTCTTTGGTCAATAAACATAGAATTTCTTTGGTTCGAGGTTGGGTTTGGACGCTCGCCGGCCCAGATATCTTGGTAAATATGACATACCATGCCGGCAAATAATAAGAGATCAAGGGCGACATCGCCAAGTTTTCGTCGTTCGCCCATACCTCAATACAAGCGCGGCCTCGGGACTGGTTTCCTGGGCATCGAAGTATGACTTAGTTGATAGAGACAAGGAGTGTTGAGCCGGGATGTTCCAACGATTCCATCGATCGGGAGCAGCTCTGTTTGAAGTTCTCACAACCGACGGAAAGTTATCGCAGTTCTGTGTCGAAATGGTATACGCAGAGAAGTACAAGTTCCTCTAATAGCCTTCTCTACATGCTTTGAAAGGTCTTGCACGATGTGTGTTTCAACAACTAAAAAGGGATTCGTCACGAGCGTACGTGGCGTGTGGTAAGTCATCAATTCCCTTATCGTCTTTGCACTCATGTGTCACGTACCTACCCACTTATGTACGGAGTATGCTGGGGCTTGCTTTTTTGGCTTAGTGTTTGCCACTTGCCTGGCGGCATGTGGACTTGAGCTTACGTAACTGATGAACTGGGGCCGGGCCACTTTGGGAATAGGCGACGGGCTTGTTTACTGTTTACATTCACTCAAAACGGAAATACAGTGGTTCCTTTCAGCGGAACCGACGACTGAGCATCACTTCCGAATCATAACATTGAAGATTGCACCTACCAGGACCAGATGAAGTGAGAGGAGACAATTTGCCCCTTCGATCAGCACTGCAATGGTTTACTTCTCCTGATACGTATACGAATTTTTTTCATCTATTTTCCTGCGTGAAAGATGCCTCCACAATTGCATGTGGCAGGCAACCTTGCTCCGATGGTCCTCTCTGATTCTGAACCGGATTTCGACGATGTTGAAGCGATCGGTATTCCGTCTTCTCGGGTGCTTTGTGGGAAGACTGTAGCATCCAAGCGAGGTCATGATCGAACAGCGCACCCCACGATACGGATAACAAAGCCGTCTCAAAGATCAAGGCGGAGCGTTAAGAGCGGCACGGGTCGTTTAGTGCCCGCGATGGGAAGACAAATATTAAAGGAAAAGAGCAAAAACAATACTATCTTACAACCTGGGACCGAAGAAAAGCACGTGGAGGAACTAGAACAAGTCGCCTCGGGCAAATCATACTCAAATCTACCTTCGTCCCATAAGCAATGGCAATTAAACAGCTTATTACGTAACCAAGATTGTTGTCTCACAGGATTCTCGGGCTCATTATATACACAGAGTGCCGCCGACCAGCCAGATTCAACTTCCGAGGACGGCGACGAGGAGCCAAAATATACTGGCCAGCTAGAACAGCAAGAAGCAGCGCCTGGCATTGATGAAGAGGAGCATCTCCTAGCGAAACAGACCAATGATATAGACTATATTTCGACTCGGAGGCTGTTGTGTGAATTGACGAAGAAATACAGCTCGTTGAAAACGCGACACAATGAGCTACAGGAAGTGGGAATACGTGACGCGGAGCGCAATTTTGAAAGACTGAGACGACAGTCTGAGGAAAATACAATAGGTAAGAATGCGGCCTTGTAGTTCACGGTGCACGCTCCAACGTCGTATCATACCTTGAATTCGGAATGCCTGACCTGTTAACAGCCTCAAACAAGCTTGTTCAATCGCTGAAGGAGGAACTGAATGCGCAATCTGCAATGGCGAGACAAGGCGAGCAGGTGCGCCAGCAACTAGAGCTTAGCGAAAATAATGTTTGCGACTTGGAGAAAAAAATATGCGACCTGGCAGAATCCTTATCGAATGCTCGGTCTGAGGTCAAGTCGCTTTCTGCTAAACTTTCAGCGAGCAGAGCTGCGGAAGCTAGTGTGAAAAATCCAGGAAGCACATTCAAGCCTGGGGAAATGGGCCATAAATCAGCCCCATCGGAAATTGTTCTCACAGCGCAAGCAAAGGAAGACCTATATGGGGATTTAACCGGTCTTATTGTCCGGGGGATGAAGCGTGGTGATAGTGGAAATGTCTTTGACTGCATTCAGACCGGGAGGAACGGGAGTAAGCTCTCCAATTGGGACTCCTCACTGACAAAGCCTAATGCTAACTTGTTTCAGCTCTGCACTTCAAGCTTGCCCTGGATAATGGAGAGGATCCCGAAAGCTACAATGACATTCAATTCACATACCGGCCTCAACTTGATACAGACCGCGATAGTGACTTGATTAGGATGCTACCGGACTACTTGGTCGAAGAAATCACTTTTCCGCGAACGCAGGCATCCAAATTTTACAGTAGAGTGATTAAATCACTCACCGAGAGACTGGATTAAATTCGAACACAATGGCAGGCGGCGTTTTTTTCGGTCTACTCACGGACTAATAAGTAGAGAGGTAATTATTGCTTAATCTCCTGAGGCCATGCATTTTCTTAGGGTGTGGGGCCAGAGAAGGCAGCTCCTTATGAACCCTTGAGTACTTGATCAATTCCATCAACACATGATATGAGTCCACGATGGGCTGAGATCTGAAATTAGTCCTTGAGGACCGGTGTGCCAACTTTGGCAAGATTAAGTCCTCCTGATAAACATGCTAGGACGGTAGCGGTAGGGGCAAGCCCGACACGGCTCTCTACCTACTTACCTACTTAAGTAGGTACCTGTGTAGTTCAATGGATGGCTCAACCTTATTCTGGAAAACCGAGTCTATAAGCTAAGTAGGTAGTTTTAGTCTGGTACATTGTGTCTGAGTTGCAAAATTGCCATTTGAACGCCTGCTACTTATGTGTCCCGGTATAAGAGGCCAAGAAAAGGTCTCGAGACGTCTCAAAAGGAGTATTATAAAACAAGATGAGCTGTCCTCTAGGATGAGACGAGCTGTCAAAACTGTTTGTATTAACCCCTTATATGTAAAGGTCTGGGCTATGCCAAGTATTAGTAGATGCAACGCGGGTGCGAACTTGTATAGTGCCAGGCTGAACAAGTAAGAGGGACTTATTCAACCCTCCGGCCGGCTAGGCCAATAGGGTACGTATTGAACAAGCTGCCCTTTGCTTGCTTTATTGACACTGTACAGGTAGTCAACAAAGAGGTAGGCTATGTCCCGCTCGCTGAGTCCGGAACTAGCCCAGACCATAGCATTCCACATCTTAGATAGTAGTAGATATACTAATTATATAGATAGCTAAGCTAGCTATTTGAAGTATCTAACATATGTACATATGTCTGTGTAAGTTTCTGCTCTTCGTGCTCTCTGTAAAAATATCCCTTGCTGGCTTTAACTCCCTCTGCTATGTCACTCCTGAGTAAACTTTTAGGTCCTGAATTATAGACAACACGGCGTCTAGTAACTCCAGTCCAGTTTTGTTATTGACCATTCGAAATGTGCTCCGACTTGAGTCCTTAAAACAAGTGCGGTACTAGTGAATAGGGAAAAGACGCTCGAGACATGGACTTAATCGTTGTAGATTCTTCGCAAGGGGAAGGTACTACTTGCTACCTAAGTAGGTACTTAAGTAGGTGCGTAAGTAATTTACCAACAGACATATCAACAACATCAGCATGAGTGGATAGTTGGGCGGTGAGGCGGGCCTCAAACATTTTAGAAGTCTGGTCGGGTGGTCCCCGCTGCTCGTCGACGTTTCATTCGTGAGTCATTGTTCCACCAGTCCCACCGAAGTCCAGTCTGGTCCCCTAAAATCCGGCCGACCCCTCCTGAAGTCAGCTGCGATATCGCAAGGGACGACATAACGACTTCCCCCAAGCGGCTCCAGATGTCAATAGCACACCCGCCTGGCTATCAATGCTTCCCCAAAGTGACTAGTATTACAGTTGTCACTGCCCACATCTCACTACTGAGTACTACTAACCCATGCAGCTATTCATGCACGACGTACGGAAGTGCTCCCCCCAGCCCATGTCAACCTCTTCCATGAGGGAGGCGTGATATGCGGCAGCCATATAGAGAGACCTCGGCGCTTTTGCAAAGAGTGCAAACACGCCTCTTAGACCTGAGCTCTTGATCTTCCCCCCTGCCTCCGTCAGGTTCCCCCCCACCTTATCCAATCCTTCCTGGTAGACACCTCCAGGTTCAACTACCAGACTGGTGTGTTGGCGCGCGCGTGTGTGCCGCTGGTGCCGTAGCTTGCGATGCAAGCAACTCTTTGTCTTGCATCATGGCTTGCTGTTGTCTCGGAAATAGCATCCTCAGCTGTGGCCATGGAATCCCTATGATGGTACTGAAGAAGTATCTATTGAGTCAGGTCCGCGGCCGGCAGCATCACCAGGGCCGATCCGGTGTTGCGGCTCTCCTAGGCATGATGTCGAGCAATACCTGCAGTTGCAGACAAATAGCATCTATTCGTCGGCTATCGACTCCATCTTTTTCCCGAGCAAAGAAACAAGCTCTGGACAGAGTGAGAGCTTCCTCATTCACTTAGTTGTCGAGAAACATGCAGTCTCGTGCTAACAAATCGTATCAGGATGTTATTGTGTCCGTGCTCGAGGCTTCAGCAACGCGGCGAGAGGCAAAAGGCTACCTTCAAAAATATGCCTCAAAGCAGCCCATTTCTTCAGACCTCCCCAGAACCAGTACAAAGGACAGTGAAGCTGCGACGGCCAAGGAGGATCGCCCTGAGCCTGTCAATGTTGCTGTTGTTAAACTGCGACTGCCTCAACAACTGTCGTCAGATGCGCTCTCTGGCACTGCAAAGACGCTGTCACAACTTCGACTGCTTGGCCTCCTGGCCCTGGTGGTCGTGGACTGTGGCTTGGACGCCGATCGCCGAACCTTTGACGACGAAGCCTTTCGAATTTGCGAAGCAATTGACTCTTTTGGCGGTGCAGGTGCTAAACTGGCCGGCCATGTCTTTGTAAAGTCACATTCAAACGGCACCTCACCTGTGGCATCTAAGTTTTGCGGTGATATGCTTGTCGAGGACCTGGGCATGCTGCATCGAGCGCTTCAACGCGGCATGATTGTCGTGATACCATCTTTAACTAGGAAAGATGGGATATCTTCACCCACACCTGCTGAAGGGAACGAAACAACGATTGCTTTAGCCAAATTTTTGAGCGGTCTGCAGCTAGATGATACGAACGGCGACTTAATAGACGGAGTACCAGTGTATCGGCGGCCAACAAGGACTGCGTCTGTTGAACGCATAATTATCCTGGACCAAGTTGGCGGAATTCCAATGGCTTTCCGGCCCGACATCTCACACAGGTTCATAAATCTTGAGCAAGAGTATGGAGACCTGATAGCTAGTCTGAAGACTGCCGAATGCACAAGCCGCGTTGCGAATGTTAAGAATCACATCGCAAATTTGAGCTTGGCAAAAGACGCACTCTCGTTTCTACCCCCGACGTCATCAGCTCTGATTACTTCGCCTCATGCGGCTGCCAACACTCAAACGAGCGCCTCATCAACTTTGCCCATTCACGCGTTGGGATACCCGCTCTTTGGGTTTGATAACATGGTCACAACCCGAAAGCGAAAGAACCCATTGCTGCACAACTTGCTGACAGACCGTCCTGCTTTCTCTCCCTCACTGCCCCTCCAAAGAATTCAAGAAGAGAGGCGTGCATGTGTACAAAATGCGGAATCCGGATCTGCAACTTTGGTCAAACGGGGAATGCCAGTAACAGTATATCCGGACCCAAAGGTTCAAAGATGGCTACCCCCTGAACCCAGTTCGCCTCGCCTCCGTCTCACAGACAACTGCATAGACCTCCCTCGGCTTATCCACCTTATTGAAGACTCCTTCAACCGAAAACTTGACGCACAGCACTATTTGGAACGAGTGAATGAGAACCTGGCCGGAATTATCATTGCGGGGGAGTACGAGGGCTGCGCAATCTTGACCTGGGAGCACCCCGAGAGGATTGACGAGCAAGCTGTATATGATTCAGGCCGATTTGTTCCATACCTTGACAAGTTTGCGGTGTTGAAGAACCGTCAGGGTAGCAGTGGAGTTGCTGACATTGTCTTCAACTCTATGGTACAGGACTGCTTTCCAAATGGCGTATGTTGGAGAAGTCGTAAAAATAATCCGGTAAATAAGTGGTATTTTGAACGATCCACAGGGACATGTAAGCTTTCGGATTCAAACTGGACAATGTTTTGGACGACAGTTGGCCTTGGAAATCAACATCCAACCCTGCGGGACTACGAATTGGTATGTCGAGAGGTTCAGCCATCATGGGCTGAGACCACACATATCCAAGACAGGTAGAAGGTCGTTTTTCTTTGAATGGAGGAGTAGCCTAATGTTACCCGATTGAATGAATATTTTGCTTATGATTTTGACATCCCGGTAAGCACACGAACCTTAAAGTCAGCCACCCTTTTATATATCCCGTGCCTCCCTAGATTTCTCCCGTTTGTGATGAGCGGGCTTTGTAGTTCAATATTCTCTCAACCCATTTTGTCGCGATTACTTGGTTTGAGTTTTCGTGCCAGTTGAGGATTATACAAAGCAATACTAACTGGTAGAGTCAACGGAGTGATGTTTTTTCCTCGTGCGATTTCCCACCATAGAATCTAGACAAAGTTTCCCCTTGGCGACTACTAGGTACCTAGGTAGTTACTTAAAAGTACCTACTGAAGTACTTAAGGTGCTTGTGCTACTGCCAACGTGTTCTTGTGGCGGTCACGTGTTGAACGTCACTGAGCCAAGGGTCTCAAAGTTCCTGTTACGCGGTAGCCAAGTGGGACTCTTTCTGCCAGTGGCTGTGTTGCCCTCGTCTCCATTGAATTTCGCTTGTGACAACGACAGAACGTGCATTGATCAAGCCTAGCTCCGGCATCAAACCTCCCACCCTCGCATCTGCCTTGTATCTTGTCACGCTTCCTAACAATACCTGAGAATCTGCCTTTCGGAAGTGACAAGATGGATTTCAAGAGCTTTGGCAAGAACCTCTCGTAAGTTCCTTACGCTCAACTGTAGGCACCGACAAGCTGACCAAGCCTGGCGACACAGCGATTTTGGAGCGCAAATCACGCCTTTTGCATCACGCACTTTTCAGTTAACTAAAGAACAGTTCGGTCAGGCCGAGGAAAAGGTATCCAATCTGTTATCGACTTAGTGAAGACCCATCTTACAGTTTCACTAACTTTCTGTCCTCTTCTGTAGACTCAGCTCCCACCGGACTATATCGACCTTGTAAAGAAGGTAGATGCCTTGAAGCAGACCCACCAAAAGATGCTTGCTGTAACGTAAGTAGCTGGCGCATTAACTTCTTTCTGGTCGTGTCCTTCATTCACGGGTCATCCTCTAATCGTCACTGCCAAAGTTCGCATTACTCGAACGAAGCCTACGACTATCCACCCAACATCAAGGAGACATTCCAGGACCTTGGCCGCACTGTCAGTGAGAAGGTTTCCCTTCTTTCTTCCGCAACAACCACTGCAGAGGCACAAGCTGCCCTGGTTGCTCCTCCGAGTGCCAGGCTCCAGCCCAAGACCTTCAGCCATGCTGTTGCTCGCGCCAGCTTGGCAAGCAGCCAGCTGCTGCACCAGAACCATACGGGAGCTGGAGAGGATCAATTGGCCACTGCACTTGAGAAGTATGCCATTGCGATGGAGAGAGTTGGTGAAATTCGTCTGGCGCAAGACTCCCGAATCCAAAGCAGCTTTCTTGCTGGTTGGAACACCACCTTGAACACCAATCTCAACTTTGCCACGCGTGCAAGAAAAAATGTCGAGCGATCGAGGCTTTCTCTTGATGCTGTCAAGGCTCATGCTAAGGGAACGACTTTCAAACTCGGTGGACATGGTGATTCTCGCCCTGAGCAGCAGGACGAGCAAGAACTGAGCCCCGAGGCCCAAGAAGAGATTGAGAAAGCAGAGGACGAATTTGTGACTCAGACTGAAGAAGCTGTCATTGTCATGAAAAATGTAAGTATGGGAGAGGAAGAAATCAAACTACAGGCTCAACGCATTTATCTTTCGTCCAGGTTCTTAACTCCCCCGAGCCACTCCGCAACCTCTACGAGCTGATTGCCGCCCAAATTGAGTACCACAAGAAGGCATCCGAAGTCCTCAGCGAACTCGCACCCATTGTTGATGGTCTGCAGACGGAACAAGAAGTAAGTCGAAACAGATTGGATCCACTTGTGACATGTTCACGTTTGTATGTTGACCACTACGTAACAGGCTAGCTACCGAAAAAGCCGTGAAGAAGGTTTGTAATCACACACTACATAGTGTATATGGTTACTTTGTCACTACGGACACAGCATTTGATGGCATACATGTCTGGTTGATTTGAGGAGGTTGTGCGATTGTGCCGCAACACCAACCTAGACCTGTTCGGTTCAACTCACGCCACTTACTAAGTTCTATTGCTAGCCGCGTCATTTTCTTTCTCATTTCTTTTTCCTCCTCTTTTTCCCACCCCGAATATCGGGAAAGAAAGTTGCAAATGTAATACTGTGGTATGAACACGCGGGGAGGCAAGGCACTGGGGGAATCGCGTAATGCATGATCATGCTCATGCTGGTAACGAGCGTGATCGAACTGCATCGCATTTCTCTACGTTTAAATCGTCATAGATTCTACTTAGGAGTGATTTCGCGATTGTAACTCTTCAACATGCCCTCTACTACGAAGGGCGAGGATAATAGAAATCCGAGTGCATGCCCGGTCACGTGCTGGGTCACATGACCCATGACGACCCCGAGTTCGTGGTCGGGGCTTGACCATGTTTCTCACACGACTTACTCAGACTTTCAATCAGCACATTGCGGCTGTCGAAACTTGCCAACATGCGGCCGACAATACGTGCGCTTGCACGCTACTTGGAGCCAGGCACTCCTACCGGTCTGGCTGGTCTGTGGACTCATCCCACTCCTCGATCGACGCTCCTCTACCTTTACGGGACGACACTCAAAAAACTCCAATCCATACCTGAAACTTCACTTTACCGCCAGTCCGTTGAGACTGTCACGAAACACCGAATGAGTCTTGTGGGAAATATCATTCCTCCTGGCTACAACGAATGGGCAGCCAGAGCCAGAGAATTGATCAGGAAAAACCCAGAGCAATTTCGAGTTGCCAGTGGTCGGGTTGACGGTAGCGAGGCCAGGACTGTGAAACTAGGGGATCGTGTTTTCGTTGTCGGCTCGAAGCACGAAGCTGGTGATATACGCTACGAAGAATGGGATGGGGAGGCCGATGAGGGTGGTGAGCTTGAAGGCATCAGAACCCCAGCTGAGAGGCAAGATCAAGTAATCTGGGCCGAACGAAAGCCGTTGGAGGACCACGAGAAAATCGAGTGGGAAGACGAGCCACAATTGACCGCAGAACAGTATGCTATTGCCCTCGGGCGATACCCCACTGTGCGCATGATCTAACAATTGGCAGGGTGCAGGAGCTGGAGCATAAGATTGGCGCTGGCCTTATTGAGGAGGTCATCCAGGTTGCAGAGGGCGAGCTTCGCATCATTGACGCTATGGAAAAGGCCAGAATGTGAGTGTTTCTTGCTGCATTGATCAATATCCGCGTTGTGAGCAATAATTGCTAAGAGTGAGTCCAGTTGGGAAGATCTGGAGGAAAAGCCTGTTGATGGCCAATGGGATTACTTCGACAGGAAGAGCATGTAAGGGACGTAGTCTTATTGCGTAGTCGTGTATGGCAATTTTTGAGAGCTCTGGGACGAAACAGTACTTATTGTCTTCGAGGGTCATCTCCATGGTTCATTTGAATTGTAACGGAGTATCTTGTAAAGGTTTCCAACCTAGAGTATTGAATTGTGCGAGGTCTGTTGGTTCGCTAAGAAATCAAGGCTTGTCGAGTTTATCCCATGGGCTTTTGAAGAGCTTCTAGCAGTCCAGCTATAGGCAGGCCCAAAAGCTCGATTTTTACAGTGAAGGTGGGGCCAGTTGCGCTCCATTATGTCGCGGTCGACCATTTCAAACCAGAAACCATTCCAATTATTCCCTGTCCCTCCCGAAGTTTCAACTCAAATACTGAATGAAAATGGCGCAGCATCAGTCGGCCAAGCGGAAACGGAGATGTTCTTACAGTGACAGGACGCAGGGCAGCTCAGAGCCACCGAACTTCCCAAATAACTCTATCAACCCTTTCAGCCGTTCATCTAGCGAAAGACGACAGCTATCTCTAGCCGGTCTCGAAGATACTGATGAGGATCCAACGCGAGGGCTAGAGTGCTTCCCTCACCGTGGGCTCAATCGCAAGGCTCTTGTGGCCGTGCCAGAGAAAGAGGAGGAAGCACAGGAAGAGGGGGACTTGGATGTATCCGAAACACCACAGCTGATGGCAGAGAAATCTGAAAGCATCGCCAGCAGTGGGAAGGATAGACGCGCCCGGAGACGGCCATGCTTGAAACAGCCAACAAGTCGGTTAGATACTCTGCTACGATCTATTCACCAACTTCTTGACCTAGGGGAGGTGGCAAAATCGACGAGATTATTTGGCATATTGCTGCAAGTTCGCCCTGGCAGCAGGCCAATTGATGTCCGTCAGCACAACATCTGGGCAATAGGTGCCGAAATAATTATGAGAGCCGGCGAGGATGCCACTTTACTGCACCGAGACCTACACAACGTTGATATTGAAAGTCATGAATACAGTGACAATTTTCTACCCGGATCAAAGAGCTATACACGTATCCGGATTCCAAGGAAATGGGACTCTGCAGAAAATCTCAATCAACTGAAAACTTACTTACGAGAGCTTAGTCAGAAATATCCATATGACCACAAGTTCCCAAAGAATACTTCAGCACTAGACTTTGAGCTTGCGATGCTGACCTGCGAAGTATACAGCTGCCACGCTATGTACGCCTCAGAAAATCCATGCACCACTGCTTTGCAATTGGGCTTGAAAGAGCCACCCACACGAATATCAGGTCGGCAATTTGAGGACGTTTACCAATATGAGCAGCCAGAGATGGCCGTAAACCATGAGCAAGCTGATCCGGAAGTACACTTGCGAATTCAGAGAGAACGCATCCTACTCCATGCGCACGACACCTTGAAGGATATTTCCAGGAGGATGGACACGCTTATCAAGGAGCTGCCATATTCTAAAAATCACTACTTCCTCCGATTACGGGCAACAGTATCACTTCTTATTGCTGAGCTTCTGACCCAGGGCGATGGCAGTCAGCAAGGGATGGCAAATGAACCGCTAACAGCTATTAAGGCGGAGAAAGACATTGCCAGCATCATGCTGCAAAGAATTACCGACAACGGCGGCCATACTGCCAGACCATTGACGGACCTCATTGACCAATACTCAAGCTCAAAGGAAGACTCGCAGCGACGTTCGCTATATGCGTCACTGCCAATCAGAAGCACATGAACTATTATGAATGATAGCCCAATTCAATGATCCAGAGTTGTTGCTGGAAATCAACCTGTACTCCGACTACAAGGTGCTCCTTTGGCCCATCTTTGCAAGATCAACATGGTGTTTGAGCTTCCGACCACAACGCACCAATCCCCCCCTGGACTCCATGCAGCTTGCCTTCCAACGAAGTTTGTGGAAGAAGACTCCGTCTTATGGGCCCTGAGCGGCTCGTGAGGATCCTCAGTGCTGTATCTAGATGCCCATGATTCCAGAGTCTCTGGACTATATTCACTGGCTTCTGTTTGTCCCGTTTGCCCCGATGCCAAGGAGTCCCTGTCGCTACCAACTCCTTTAAATCTACACATAGCGTCCGCTCGCTGTCGATGGGTGAATGGTTTGAGCCAGCTCGGAGTCACCGCAGCCTTTGACTTGCCTTGCAAGCCCGCCATGACCTCATGATACACAGTGAGTCTTCGAAAATCCCAGAAGAAAATATTACCTGCTGCATTGCAAAATGCAAGCACCGGGTTTTGTTCGGGGACATGGAAGAGCTTGAAACGCATGAAAAATTGGGGTCCACAGTTTGGCGTGTGAAACTCAATCAAGCGTGTATATTGTGAAGGGCATTGCGGTGATGTAGCCGGGACGAATGCGGATCTTGTCAAGCGATCCGGGTCTTCATAGCTGGTTGGGACGACGTTTTGTGGTGTTGGAGCAGCACTTTGTGGCGGCGGCGGCCCCTCTGAAGAAAACCCTTCAATCCTCCAAAGAACAATAACGTCGTCGTGACAAGCACGGGAGAGAACACAGTCTCCGTAGAATGCGACGCTGGAGCAGTGTTAGTTTTGGATCATGTCAGGCATTTTCGACACGGTTGCCAGTCAATAGGTTACATACCAATCTACGATACCGCTGTGAACAGCGGATGTAGAAAAGTGTGGATAATGAACTTGAAGAGGGGTGGTGATGGGGGTTATTGGAAGATCTGGAATGGTCCACTGAGAGTGTCGTGTCAGCACGCAGATGGCTCTATACTAGGGAGTTGCCCGAACCATATTAATTATTTGATCATGTCCAGCGGACAAGATGTATCGCCCAGTGTCATGAAATGCCTTCCTAAACTGTCAGCATCTGCTTGCCACGGTGGTCATGTCCAAAAAGGAGGTTCTCACGAGGGAAAGTAAGTTCCAAGAGTGACCCTCGCCAGCCAGGATACAGAGACAAGGTTGCTCCCTGTGAATAGTGTCAAGGCTCCATATTCGGACACTGGTATCGTCTGAAGCTGAAGCAATAATAGACGGATCAATCGGCGATGTGGCTAAATCATTCACATCCTGAAGTAAAGTGAGTATGCGGAGGACGAAAGTTGACGGTTAGTATATGAAGGAATGAGCTTCTCACCCCTCCATGGCCAACAAAACACTGCAACAAGTGAGTTAGATTCCAATTCTATCGAAAATATTGGAACGGCATTGGAGCTACCTCTACTAGGCTTCCATCAGAGACGTCGTAGATTTTGACTTTGGCATCGACGCCGCCTACACATATGTACGGAGCACCAGAGATCGGGTCCTTCGTCCACGTACAACAACAGCCAGATGCCTCATCCTAGTGAGTAAATAACTCGAACCGTCAGAATTTAAATCCATGAAAAGAAATCAATTATCTTGTTATTTAAGCCGAATTTGGTACGTACATCGTCATCCCGAATAATGTTGATGATGTCGCAAGGATTGGACTCACCCGTACTTGGGGAAAGCCTGCAAATGACAATCTTGATATCGAATTAGAAATTAACATGATACATATTGGTTTTTTCTTTTGGGTCCGTAATGATTGGAAAAGCAAGAGAAAACGGAGTGAATGCTGTAGAGGAGGCGGCCTCACATGTTTTTTGCTGACGGCGGCAAATACTGGGTCACAGTCCAAAGGCTGGTAGGGGCAAAACTTGATGTCGAAGAATTCTAGAGACATGGAAAAGGTTAGGTCTAAGGCAAGAGGACATGGCGTTCAGTAAGGCCTATATACCTGCCACATTGTCGTCGTGGCCAAGAAACCTCGTGTCGTTCTGTTGATGCAATCAGTTACACGGCCAAGGGGAAAAGATGCCCCGATGGTCAGATAACGTGGACTATATATGGAGTTACCTCAAATCCAATGGAGACGCGTAATTTCGGAAGCTCAAAGACTGAGCCATCGGTTGCTGCCATGGGGCACTGACGATTAGCTGCCAAGACGGGATCGTCGTCAACGCTGCACCTTGAGAACTGCTTCGGATTGTAGAGCAAATGCTTATCCCACAGAGTAAATTTGGACAGACGGTCTATTTGCAGGAGGACTCGTAAAGTCGAGATGCCAGACGGCGTATATTTCCTTAGGGATATGGTGCGAAGGATATTGATATTGATCCAAGTCCAAGCAAACAATCAATGCGGAGGCATAGAAGCCTCGTGGTTCAATGCTGTGAGGTAACAAGCTCTAGCGATGATAGAACTCATCGACTTCATTGCCTGAAGCTTCTGGTACACATTGGGAACGTAGGCGGATAAGTGTTGGAAGTCGTTCGATCCACTTTGAGGTCATCTGATTGGCCGCAGTCTGACGGAGCAGCGTCAGCAATTTTGCCAGGTGCCCAAGCGCGAAAGCTGGCCAAATCGAGCCTCGTATCATCATCACAGGTTCTCGCATCACACATCCAGGGCAACCTCATCATAATCCCCTACGAATAGTTTCGCCAGAAAGAGTCCTGTTGTCTGTTACATTGTACTGCCCTGTTGGACACTCTTCTTCGGGGGAGCAAGAGTCTAGCTGACGTTATCCGCCATCTGAAGCATCGACAGTCGCTTGACATGTCTTCCGCAAGCGCAAGAGGCAACTACAGCCATCCTTCCCTGGAAGATGATGATTTGATTGACCCGGATGATGGTATGTACCTATTGTGATACCAGGCCCTCCCATGACTGCTGGCAGAACCAACCCCCAAGCTAAGCTATTTACCAACTCTCAAACTCCGACAATCGACACTTTACTAACAATAGAAGCTGGGTTGAACGACTTTGACGACCCTCTCGAAAACAGGTCTGCACGGCAACCTCTCTCAGGAAATATCGGCTCCGCCTCGTCACGTCCTCTCAATGAAACTTACCTTACCTCATCGATCCCTGGCGAAGACAGACGGGCGCCGCAGAACACAATAGACGAGACCGTTTGGGAAACGGTACGCCGTGACTTACTCGCGGTATGGGCCAAGTTGAGAGAGGTTCTCTACCCTCGATATCTCTTGGGCGGTACAATGTTTGATTCCGAGGGTGGTTTACGGGGCGCCTACTCCAATATCCGCGGAGCAGGCATTACGGGGACAAGAGAAGAACTCACGGGCCTGGCAAGTCGCATGATGGATGCGGAAGTGCTCTTGCAAAGTAACATGAGCCCGGGACTGCGTGACTGGGACCTATGGGGCCCGCTAATCTTCTGCCTACTCCTGAGTCTATTGCTTAGCATCGCGGCCCGAGCTGAGCAAAAGGATACTGTCTTCAGTGGAGTCTTCGCCATGATCTGGCTCGGCGAAGCTGTAGTTACTCTGCAGATCAAATTGCTAGGCGGCAACATGTATGTTAATACAGGTTTCCTTCCCTTCCCTGACCTAGCTTGCCAAAAGATTCCATGTAACTGACTACTGCCCAGTTCCTTTGCGCAGAACGTCTGCATCATTGGGTACACGTTGTTCCCTCTCGTGCTTGCCGGGCTCCTTTCAGCATTAGGTTTACACTGGATTCCACGGATACCCATTTATATTGTTCTAGTTGCGTGGTCACTCGCAGCTGGCGTGAGCATTTTGGGAGGGAGTGGCGTTGTCAAGAATCGAGTTGCCATTGCGGTGTACCCCTTGTTCATCTTCTACGTAGGCCTCGGATGCCTGTGCTTCATTAGCTGATTCATGCCTCTGTGACGGCCAGGATTAATAGCTAGGAGGCGGTGACATTTCAGTGTCCTGGACGGAGTGCTGTCGGACCAAAGACCTCGGGAGTTTGCACGAATGCTCTACTTTTGTACCTCATCAAATTGTTTATTCAAAGTCCAGATACTCGCAGGCTTCAAACGGGTATTGCCGTGTGCTCCCAATTTGTGATATAGCTAGCCTTTGCTCGTTGCGTTCCAATCTCAAATGATGACGAAATCAAGCTAGGGGAATTAGAGCTTGGTACAGTATTTCAAAGCCTTTTCGAAGTAACTCTGTACCCAAATATGTGTTAGCGTAACACACCTACTTAAGTATGGATGATGCACACAAGTCTGACCGAACCCTCCCCAGGTATCAGAGTTTCAAGCTCACCAGGTTCACTGGAAGGCGAGGGCCACCTGCCGCCTTGCAACAGTGAACTACGACACCAGACCCGGTGACCACCTGACCCCTCACCAGAAATAGCTATTGGGTGGGCGGTGAAAGGGGGCTATAAATGGCTTCTTAGCACGCTAGGAGCAAAACCCACGGTGATTGGACTAGCAAGCAGCAGCCTCCCACTTCCAAATGTCCCACGCGTGAGCCTGGTGGTGACGACGAAAGAACTTTGACTTCATGCTCAAGTGTGCATTCCGCAGCCTGCCGTGGTCTAATCAAACACACCAGCAGTGACCGAACAAGTCGAATACGGGCACCAGACACCATTTTGGGCAGCCTTTGCTTCTCTTCCCCTCACCGCTGGAGATTATACTACCTCTTAGCAACTAAAGATCCTGACAGCAAACAGAGTGCTCGGCGCCGGCAACTGCCGAGTTTTCCTTTGGGATCACCAGAGTCGCTGCTTTGCTCCCCGTCAATAAGTCTACGGCCACTTTTCATTTGTGTCGAATTTTCTCCGTATCCACCAAATTGCTTCTGTCTGAGACTGCGCCTGCCTACCCGCCGCGCTACTACGCCTGTTTGCGCGCTGCTCGCCGCGTCAAGTATCACTGTTAGCACACTGCCGCGACTACGCATCTACCCGTCATGGCCGACGATGTACGAGGAGCTGGATCTAGCCCCAAGAACGAACCCGCGCATGTTGAAACTACCGAAGATGCTGAGACGCGAGCTACTAGACGTGAGCTTAAGCAGTCATCCATCTCTGATCAGCCTGACAAGACAACTGTCACCGATGACGACCGTCCGGAAACATCCTTCGTGGGCGTATCGAATGAGAAGAGCGAGGAGCTGAAAGAGCAGGTCTCGTCACCTAAGAAGAAGCGTGCCCATGACCAGCTAGAAGAGGAACCAGGGCCACAAGACAACGATGCTACTAGTGTCACCTCCACCGACTCCGCTAAAGACAGAGCCATGCGGCTTGAGCCGGAAAAGAAGAGACATCGTGATGAAGAGCCGGCTGAAACCGTTTCGGTACGTCCAAATCTATTGTTCCGGGCGAAAGTGAGAATGTTCGCCGAATCGGATGGCCTCGACTGACTTCAGATCAATTTGCCGTAATACAGAATCCTCCCCCAGTCACAGAAATTGCGGACCAATCAACTCGAGATGATAGCAAAATGCCTAGTCAGCTGACGAAAGAAGGTCCCAGTAATACATTTGCGGAGTCAGCATTTGGAAAACTGGCATCAAGTTCTTCAGGCTTTGCGGCTTTGGGATCATCCCAAGGAGGGGGTTTCGGCTCAGCTAAACCAGCTTTATCATCCTTTGCCTCTATGCAGCCTGCGTCGAGACCAGGAACAAGCGTGACGGAAGCAAACAAAGCGCAAACCGAAGCTGGCTTAAAGCTGTCGCTTCCTTCGAATTCAGGCCTTTCGCCTTTTGCAGGGCTCGGCTCGGGGGCTAATGGACTGGGAAGCAATAGCTTTGGCTCCGGACTGTCGGGAATTAAGCCATTGAGTGGATTCGGCGCTGTCGGTGCGAAAACCCTTCAGAGCGAGAAGGCAGCAAAGCCCTTCGGAGCGCCAGAGAGTGACGTGGATGACGATGATAATGATAATGACAACGCGGAAGAGGACGATGCGAGTCAAGCTGACGATCAAGAACGAGGCGTATCGCCGGAGAAAGATGCAGATGAAAAGAAACGGCCAAAGCTCCACAAGAGTATGTTGACTTTCTTGGTCCTAATTTGTTATTGTTTTTGACTTGCCACTTACTGAATCATCATAATAGTCGCGGTTGATGATGGTGAGGCTGGTGAGGTTACTGTAGTGTCTGTACGAGCGAAGATGTTCTGTCTAGACAGGAAAGAGGGCTGGAAGGAGCGGGGAGCCGGCATGTTAAAAATCAATGTCCCTAATGCAAGCGTTGATTTTGACGACGAGGGTGCTGTGGTTCCAGGCAGCTTCGACGCATCATGTCTAGAAACAGATGACGATTCTGCTGATGGTGAGTCTGCAGGTCCCAAAGTTGCTCGTCTCATCTTGCGTCAAGACCAAACCCACCGAGTCATACTAAATACCGCGATTCTCCCCGCCATGGAATTCCAAGAGAAAGCTTCTCTGAAATCCGTTGGTATCTTATTCACCGCTTTTGAAGGAGCAGAAACAAAACCTGTGAGCATCACAATGAGGGTAAGATTCGCAGCTATTCGTGTTTCTGTTGGCGCAAAAAGCACTAATTAAGTTACAGATGTCTGCAGCCAATTCAAAACTTTTTCTGAACGAAGTTGGCGCAATACAGAGGGAACTGCGAGGCAACTAGGCATGTGTTTCTGGTGTTCTATAGCTTGGGGTCGAATCCGAATATGCACTCGCGTTGAGTGATTCACTGCGAGCAGATGTGCAGCACACAGGAGCGTTGAAAGTTGCAACGGAGCATTGTTCACGAAAGGGGCTTGACGACAACATGTATGAGTATGAAGGTTCATTAAGAGCACGTAGGGTGATTTAGAGGCTTAAGAAGGCGTCTCATAAAACAGCTAGGCATTAAATGATACAGGAGACGCGATACTAAGAAAATGACCATTGCACGTCGTTGGCACAACATTTGTAACAGAATTAAAAAATGCGTGAGGCGCCGCCAGTACCTTGGTAGTGAACGCACTCACGCACGTGACAGCGCGTTACTGCCACGAAAGCCCGCTCACGTCTCGAGGCGAGCTGGTGTTTGAACAGCTTCGGATCCAGGCGCTATCTACACAAACTTTGGAAAGTTGGCATGCATACCAAAAAGGGCCTCGAATAATATATCCCTGATTATTGATTTGTGATGAAGACAAATTCTCATTTTTCTGGTCGACAGGCTGATGACCGTCATGGCCGTCCTGATCACAAGCGCAAACGCCATTCCGATGATCCTCACAGCCCCTGGTTGGTACAGGATGGGAACAATTCACCTGGACAATCCACTGATCATGAAGAGGGGCAGCCTCAATTGGGAAAAAGAACCAAACCGACTTCGAAGAAGAAATCGTTTCTGCCTACAGACTGTGTTATTGAATGGCCTGCTACGTTCAAGGCGTTGGAAAAGACTCACAAGGCTTTGAATATCGTCTTTACATTTTGTTGCAGCCGAAAACATCTCGCAACGACGTTTGAAACCATGAAGCCGACAGTTGAATCGCACATTAAGCGAGCGCTAACAGAGGAAGAGGTGGCATTGGTAGTTGCCCTGCGACCGGAGGGTATCAACTTTGCGTATGTGGATGAACAAATGTTGCAGCTGGACATTAAGGGCTCAGAAAGAGACGATACGTTTAAGCCCTCGACATCTTCCCGCTCGCAGGCACCCGCCCCTGATGCATCCGTGGGCGGATGGGCAGGAAACGAGGGCCTAGATGATTACAGTCGCAATAAAGCCGGCACACGCAACCGAGAGGTGCTGTTTTTTGAGTTCATCGACGGAGACTTAAAACGCCAGGTGCAGGACAAGAAGACCGGCCAGCCAGTCCGACCAAACCGCAGACTTCGCGACGAGCAGCTAAGGATGCCGATATATGGACACAAACAAATGACCCAGCTAATCGAGAGGAGAAACCAGAAGTTCGCAAATGCTATAAACATTTTTCTCAATGATTGTGTGCAAGATGAACTGGACCCTGACGTCACTCTCAGGGAGCGGGCGCAGGCTTTCATCCCGAAACCATCTCCAATAAACGAAATCGCAACAGAGGTAGCACCAAGTACAATACCGGAAACTATTCCAAAGGACCGAAAATCGATACCGGAGATTGTGCAAGAGCTGAAACAAAGCTCCTGGTATACAGGGCAGATCGTACCAGACGGGCATAGGGTTTTCGGTTCCCAAGGGGCTATTTACGGCGATCTTGGTTTTCTGTTGAGTCAAAATCTTGTCAACGCGTTGTATAATGCCAAAGGCATCACGCGCTTCTATGCTCACCAAGCGGAGGCTCTGAACCACCTCTACGAAGGCAATAGTATTGTTGTGGCAACAGCGACCAGCTCAGGCAAGTCCTTGATATACCAGCTTCCTGTTCTTCACGCGCTTGAAAAAGACTACAATTCTAGGGCCATGTACATTTTCCCGACAAAGGCATTAGCGCAGGATCAGAAGCGGAGCCTGAAAGAAATGATGGTCTATATCCCTGGCCTTGAAGCCGCAGTCGTTGAAACCTTCGACGGTGATACGCCAATGAGCGCACGCAATACAATTCGTCAAGAAGCCAGGATCATATTCACGAATCCTGATATGCTGCATGTCACAATACTACCACAGGAAGAACGCTGGAGAACTTTCCTGACGCATTTGAAATACGTAGTAGGTCTGTGCAAGCCTGTCAATTCATCTGTGTCAATCACTTGCTAATATGACTTTATGTCCAGTTGATGAACTTCACTATTATAATGGGCAGCTGGGTTCACATGTCGCTTTCATTATGAGAAGACTACGACGCCTTTGCGCTGCAATGGGAAACCGCCGAGTTCGCTTCATTTCTTGTTCTGCAACTGTTGCCAACCCCAAGGAGCACTTCGAAACGATATTCGGGGTTGAAAATGTTACGTTGATTGACTACGACGGATCACCTTCGGGGCGCAAGGAGTTTTTGTGCTGGAATACACCATACAAAGACCCCAGTGACCCTGCAAGCGGCCGTGGGAATGCGAAGTTTGAATGTGCCAGACTTTTCTGCGCTCTTATGCTGAGAGGCGTTCGAATTATAGCTTTCTGTCGAGTTCGAGCCCAGTGCGAGGTCCTTGTTAATGCAATCAAGCAAGAGCTGGAGTCACTCGGTCGATCAGAGTGTATAAACCTGGTCATGGGTTACCGAGGCGGCTATACCGCCGCAGATCGCCGTCGCATCGAGTCTGAAATGTTTGAGGGCAAATTACTAGGAATTGTAGCGACTACAGCACTGGAATTGGGCATTGACATTGGTACTCTTGACGCTGTCATGAGTTGGGGATTTCCTTATACAATTGCAAATTTGCGTCAGCAGAGTGGCCGGGCGGGACGGCGAAACAAAGATTCCTTGTCTATCCTTGTTGGTGACGGATTTGCAACAGACCAACATTATATGCAAAACCCAGACGACTTATTTACTGAACCTAACTGCGGGCTTCAACTTGACCTTGGTAATATGCTAGTTCGGGAAGGGCATATCCAATGCGCCGCGTACGAGTTACCTATTAGACCTGAGCAAGATGCTCTATACTTCGGAGCCGATATATTGGACGTTTGCAAAAGCCGTCTAATACAGGATGAGATGGGCTACTATCACTGTCATGATCGATTTCGACCTCAGCCATCTCGTTATGTCGCCATACGGGACACGGAAGATGAGCATTTTGCTGTCATTGACATCACAAATGGTCGGAATATCGTACTAGAGGAGTTGGAAGCATCAAGAGCTACATTCACCATATACGACGGAGCCATATTCCTTCATCAAGGAAATACGTACTTGGTGCGAGACTTTCTCCCCGACAGAAAAATGGCCAAGGTAGAAAAGGTGAAGGTGGAGTGGACAACTACTCAGCGAGACTTCACAGATATTGATCCAACAGAGACAGAGGCTATTCGCAGGATCCCATCCTCCCTATCTCAAGCTTATTATGGGACAGTAAAGATCCAGCAAACTGTGTTTGGTTTTTTCAAGGTAGACAAGAAGGGGCGAGTTCTGGATGCCGTTCAAGTTGACAACCCGCCAGTTATCCGGTACAGCAAGGGCGTGTGGCTGGATGTTCCAAAAACAGCGCTGGACATTCTCCAAGATCGACGTCTGAATTCGGCGGCAGCTATCCATGCCGCAGAGCATGCAGTCATGAGTTTACTTCCTACATTTGTCATCAGCATGCCAGAAGACGTAAGGACTGAGTGTAAAGTGGCGCTGAAGGAATTCGCCAAGAAGGAGACGCAAAGAAAGCGGCCTGCAAGACTCACGTTTTATGATGCAAAGGGTGGTGCTAGCGGATCGGGTATTAGCACGAAGGCGTTTGATCACATAGACCACTTACTGAACATGGCCTTGAGGCGTGTTGAAGCGTGCCAATGCCAGCGTGGTTGCTTTGAATGCGTGGCATCGGCCATGTGCAAAGAATCAAGCGAAGTAATGAGCAAGGCTGGGTGCCGCGTTGTGATCAGGAGTCTACTGAATTTGAAAATTGACATTGACGAGCTTCCGATGGGACCGGAGGAATTTAGTCCGGTTGGCTTCGAGACCGTGATACCAGCTCAGCCTGTACCTTCTAGGGGCCAAGCGAGAAAGCGTGAGGCAGGATAGAAAACCCGATGGTGATTATTCTTGCATGGGTTGGCTGGACAGATGGAATGAGATTGGTCCTGGCCGGCGTGCGTCCGACAATGCCAAAAATGTCACGATTCCTACAATGACGTCAACCAATTTGGAGACATGCATATGAGACATGGCGAGAAGAAAATGAAGGCTTAGTGAACCAATGTGAAGAGAGCCTTTGGCGGCTGGGTGCTCGACAACAGGGTGCCAAGCAGTCACTGGGGATTCATAGGATATCGTCCTTTATAATAAGCTCGACGAATTCGAAGCGACGGGGCTAGGCTGCTCGAGTTCTGCGGCGCGAAGGTCAAATGTAAAGTCAATAATAGCGTGGCTAGCATGTTGCTACCAGGCAGCCCCTTTCCCTTTTCCTCACCACAAGTACTTGGACAGACAAGTTTTGATGGCGGAAGTAGCTAACGTCCAAGTTAGCTTCTCGTGAACCTACTGGAACTGAATGGTTTTCCAACGAGCGGTCTAGAAACCCTATCGTCCCTGATCATACGAGGCAAGATGTGAGGAGGCCTATATTTCCGATTGGTTATCAACCATGGACGTGGAAATGCTGCAGCGTATCACGGCCTTGCAGAGCGACCCTCAAAACGCGAGCCGCCGTCAGTGCCATGACAAAGTGAAGCGGATTTTCATCTCTGCTCCAACGGGGTGCCGACGCCAACTTCGCTGCTGGCAAGCCTCGATGGCTTCCTGCTTCAGTAGGCATGCGCACCTAGCCGCGTGACGAAAGCGAGGCACGCCCCCGGGACAATTGCTAAGAAATCGATGTCAAAGTTGATAGTAGACTTGGCGTTCCGGCTACAACGTGCTCTGGCCTACGAGAGGTTTGTCCTGATGTGAAAGAAGGACATCGTCAAGGTGCCGCAGACAGATGTGTCGAAGTCTTTGAAGTTCAGGACTCATACTCAATTGGCAAAGGCATCTATGTAAGCGCGCGACTTCCTGCTAAACTGGGAATGTTTCCAAATCTAACTTTCAGTTGCTTTCACCAGACCGCTCCATGCTGTCTTTCCGCTTAAGGTTACTCAAAACACAACAATGTTGTCATCTGGCCATCCCAAGTCTCTCAGTATATCGCAGACGCTCTTCTCCATTTGTTCTGGGCCACAGATCAGAACAACGTCATCGTTACTTAACCTTGGCGGCCCGATCTCACGTGAAATCAGGTCCTTGTCAATTCGGCCAGTCCGTCCTTCCCATGTAGAAGATGGACGGCTGAGACAATGGAGCAGATTGCATCTATGCTTTGCGATCGAGGCCAGCTGGTCCAGCTGCAGCCGACACAAAATGTCTTCCTCAGCACGGTTTCCGTCCAAAATAACGCACTCAGTGAGGTCATCGACATCCTGCATCATGGCTCGAAATACTCGAAAAATAGGCGTGATGCCCGAACCACCACATATCATGTTAAACCTGGATACTTGGCGAGACTTTCCGTAGATCGAACTAAGGCCTTTTCCGAGATACTCGAATTTACCCACTGGTCCCTTGAAGTCCACGAAGTGGCCTATGGGAGTGGAATCGAGCGCCTGGGTCATTTTGCCACCTTTACGTTCCGGAGTGTCATGGTAAATTTTGATCAACACATCGAGCCATCCTCGATCTGTTCCTTCGGAAATTGGAGTATAAGCCCGTATGATTGGCTCTCGAGTTACCGGATCGCGCAGCCTCATTATCAGGTGCTGCCCAACAGGCAATCCAACTTCTTGACCAGCGTGGTCCAGTTTGAATCTGAAGATCTTGGAGTCTGGAGAAACGCTGATCTTTTCCTGCAGGGTGGCTTTTGTCCAAACTTTGCTGCCAAGAAACACGGCTCTCTTGGGATCGCATTCGTTAGCCTCACCAGGCAGTTGCGCTAACGCATCTTGGCTGAGTTTTCCTATATGGTACGCGGGCATCATGGCTCTGGCGTTTTCACTATCTGAATGAAATCTCAGTCAGTATATATATACCATTCGAGCAGACGGAGCCTGTCTTTTTTGGGAGGTGATTCTTACGAATCGCAACAAACTCCTCTGTCACATCTTGTCCAGCAGCCCCGAATATAGATGCCGCACCACCCGAATGACCGTTCAAAAACTGTGTTCCATCGTATACTTGTCCATTGACAATGAACCAAGGTTCCTGTTCGCCACTATGGGATCTCATTTCACCCATGGTGACCAGACGGTTGTTACAGGGATTCGTCATGCATGCCTGCATTTCTGGTTCAGGCTCGATCACATCTTCAGTTTGGCCAGTCAACTTCTCACCCCATGAGCCATTTGTGAGATTGCCTCCTGCCTTCTTAATCCGCTCCATCCACCCGCCCGGAATCAGAGCAGGTTGCGTAGGGTGCTCAAACCATAATGCATGGCCATCATTACGGACGACAATCCTGAACCAAGGGTTATTCATCATACCCAAAACACTCCAATACATGTCCCTGGGCTGTACCATGAGGCTTTCGTCCATTGCTCTGACCATGATGCCGGTCGTTGATTTGAGGTCTTCAATATCCACGTCGAGTTCCCAAAAACACCAACAGAACGACGTCTCTCGCCACCACATGTCAATTCTTCCGCCGTATAGTCTTTGTCCATCAGGAGCAAGGCGATATCGATCCTCGGGATAATCAATATTTGCCAATCTCCAAGACTTGCCGCTGTCCAAAGTGACCTCCATCCGAGTAACTCGTTTACCTCCACCACCGTATGCATATCCCCGGACTTTGTAAGTCCTCATATTGCCATTAAGTAAAAGTTTTTCATTATGCGCCGGGTAACAGATGACACCATTGGTATTCAGGTCATATATGGCATATCTCTCGTCTCTCCATGTATCTGGCAGGTCGACGCTTGCCTCGGGCGTTACCATGGTTGGCAAAACTCTATTATCATAGATGTGGTACCAATTGTCGCTGGGTTCCTCGGTGATAATTATCCTCCTCAACCATTTGACGCTGCGGCCCCCGATTTGGCCAGGGATAACGACACGAACAGGCTTGCCATGGTCAGGGTGCAGAGCACAACCGTTCATTTTGTGAGCAACCATGATGCCCCTGTTAGGATCCAGGCACCAATTGAGCTTCACAGACGTCCCGTAGTAGCCATTTGGCAACTTGTCAGCACCTTCGAAACAAACATATCTCGCACCTCTCCTCGGTCTCGCCTTGGCAATCAAATCACCAAGGGCAACACCCGTCCAAAGAGCTGTTGAGAGACCGGCCGGACCCCAGGAGAATCCCTTTGATTTGCGGACCACATTTTGTTCCTTGCGGCGATTGCCTGCGCAGACAAGCGTGATGGGATATGTCAGCTGCTCGTATTCTGCGATGAGCTCCCCGACGCTCAGAGAAAATGGATTCTCAACCAGGCCCTCGACGGCGACTTCCCACTGATTCATGGTGTCATCGTCACACTTGGGTACTGGCCCATGGTTTCTGACGTAGTGAAGGTCTTCACTAGTCAAGAACCCTTCGTCATACAAGTCGCTCAGGGGAGGCTCGCAATTGAAGGGATGTGTACCGGTTAGTCGAATCAGGCGAGCGTCTCTCTCAACGTGGCTGTCTGGTGTTTTCAGGTCCTCTGGTCGAACAGACTTTTGTGAATTTGTTGGAGGGAGGGCATAGTTCGAGGAGAAGTAGTTTTCTGGGGTAGGCAATACGGGGAAGGCGACGTCGTTGGGATGGCCGTCCACACTACACCTTGGAGATCTTCCCGCAGTGCTTGGGGGGCTCGGGGGTTGTGTAACGGCTGCTGCCCCTCGCAGACCCTGCTTCGAGATGCTTCGCCATTGGGGCATGCTGAATCTCGGAGAGGTACAGGGCGTGCAGGAGACGAGGCTTCGTTTTACTTGGAGGCCAAACGACACCGAACTCCACGAAACAGGCGTTCAAAGCAAGAAAATAAAAAAAGACGCACATATGAGGGAAAGGATATTGATCTAGGGAGCCACTCGCATCATCAGTGCATATCATGTGGAAGGGGAAAAATTTGCTTTCCAGGCCAAAATTGTCCCAGACGGTGTCAAATCCCCATAGTCTTATCAAGCCCCAAAGCTCCAAGCATGCAGGCATTGGGAGAAGAATCTTGACACCTGAAATGCCTTTCTGACGGCACAGTTTGAAGCCAGTTCCTCTACCAAGGTTGGGCGGTTCCTACCGATAGCCCCATCACGCCGCAGCGTAGAACATCACGCGTTGAGATAGGTACAGTCTTTTGATAGACTGTACTTTCAAACCAAGTTACTTCCGCGGAAATCTCCATAATCGAAGGATATTTCCGGGGGAGAGTTGTGGAGTGCGTGGAGATGAGGATCTCTTTGTTCTGGAGATGCGTTAGTCGCGGGAATAGCGATGGTCACGGATAGAGGCGAGAGCCAAACGGCTAGTTAGCTCCAAAAAGAAAGAAAAAATCGGGCCACTATCACATACGTGGCACGGTCTCGATTTGCGATTTTGTAGCAAGTGCCCGGGAGATTTAACGACGATCCCGGTGGCAAGGAGGCCAGACAACTCGGAACTCGCCAGATAGGAGGCGCGTGCGGTCAGTCTAGAAGCAGCTAGCCGGCCAGGGGTGACGCCTCGGCCATGTCCAGTCATGTTATGAGGATTGACTCTGATTGATCATCAGTCTGATACTGCCTGGGTAGTCATTATCATTTCAAAGAGGCGTGTGTTGATACTAGTAGATATTGCGAGTGGGAAGAGTTGTGGTCAAAGCTTGTCCGTGTGATAGGGGCCCCGCCCGAGGTCGGTCCGTCCGTACAATGCCCACATCTTCCTGGCATTGGGAACGCCAGTGGAAGCCGGCTTTTCCGTATGGACAGAGTTGGAGCCAGACGAACTGTGATCAAGTACCCAGGTACGTGTCATGCGTGCCGGATGCCCCACGAGGTCCAATTTGTTGGCATTCATTGCCGAGAGTTCCGTTCACAACTCCAGAGTTGAACGCACATGATCCCTTTGTCTAAAACCGGAAAGACGCCCTGGTCATGCAAGTTAAGTTAGTATGGCTTGCTTCTGGATAGTTCCATAGCCTTGGCTAGCGGAAATAATAGAATAATAATTTTTTGAAGCAGCACTCTGGGCTGTGGTGTTGTAACTTGTGAGACATTTAGCTGCGAGAAATGTAGCTAGTATCCTCGCTGCAAAAATGATATGTGGAGGTACCCATGTGGGATTGTGCGTCTTCAATTTTAGGATATTGCGACTTTCGTTGCCCTGGTCAGTGCAGAACGTATACGAGTACCCTAAGTACTTAGGTACCTACTACCTTAGTAGCATTTAACTTTATAGGGCACTATCTGGGTACTTAGGCCCTGATAATAAGCCAGCTCTGTTCCCAAAGTGGCACAGTCACTAGTTCGATATTCATTGTCGACAAGATAAAATGCAAATCCGAGGTTTCCCAGAGAGCTGCCCGCTGGTTGCATCCGCCCCACTGACAACCTAGCTCTCGATTTCACTTGGGCCCACAAAACTCTTCCATCTTGGTCGCCGATTGGCTTCCAACACCAACACCTCTCTGTCTGCAGTCTGCATCATTCAACTACCTACCAACCGCCCATCCACGAGCTACGTTAGGCTTGTCACCACCACCAAGTGGTTGTCATGGACCGCCAAAGGAAGCGTATGTATCATGGTTGCTTCAAATTGAACGTCTGTCACTGGGGCTGACATCACTTGACAACAGGCGAGCTGCGCACCTTGAACATCAGGGCTTGGGATGGGGAGGATGGTTTGTTACTCCATGCATTATCTACTGCCCTCTCAGTTCTCACTAACCTGTTTGCCACGCAGACGTCCTCCTCGTTTCCAACTCACTCGATTCATCCCTGAAAAAAAACACAGCCTTCATTAAGCGTCTTCGGACCGCTATCAGCCATGCTACCCTGTCGACTTTCTTACAAGAGATTCGCACTCTGAGCCTGCACAAGTACCTCTCCGAGGTCATAGCCGCCTGTTATGAAGGTCTTTGCAAGCTCAAGTCCCCAGGGGAAATCGAAGCAGGCGTTGAAATCGTGAGCGCTCTCCATCAGCGTTTTGGACCGGCCGAGTTTACTGAGTATCTCGCCTGGCTGCTGGGCAAGGGAATGGCTACTCCCGACAAGACTTCGCTCAAGAGTCTAGCCATTGAAGTCCGCGAGAAGGAAGAAAAGGAAAGAATCACCCGTCAGAGGGCTCTCCTGCGAGTCATCACCGAACTGTGGCTGGTTGGCGTTGTCAGAACCCTGGATGATGCCACGAAGCCGGATGATGCGATAAAGGGTGCTGCTGCTGGGAAGGCTGCCGAGCTCAAGACTCGGCCGAGCTCCAATAAGGCCGGTGGCGCGGAACCCTTTCCCCTAGAAGTACTCAAGGATCTTCTTGGCTTCGATCGGGAACACGCCAACTTGCCACTGCTCGTCATCTTTGTTAAGTCATTCGGCTGGGATATCTTGGGCGTCAAGCCCACTGGGTCAGACGGTCGGAAGACGGTTGAGGAAGACGGTGCCACGAGCAGTCCCGGCGACATTTTACGAGGTGTCGATGATGCCACCGAGTTAAACCAGGCTCCAGATCAGCAACCTCTCACGCCTCCCGACATAGCGGAGCGATTCAGAAAGATCTTGAAAAAGTATTTTGACGATGTGGCCGCGCATATTGTAAGGGACCAAAAGTTGATCCAGTCTCAAGCCCGACGAAACGCTGAGGCCTACGTGAAATCCGGTGAAGTGTTCGAGGACCGCCAAGCGAATTACGAGAAGCAGGTCAAAGCGCAGGAACGCCTGGTATCCAATGCACAGGTGATTGCTGATGCTATTGGCGCAGAGATGCCTGACTTGAAAGAGTCGGACGACGCCCTTGCAACCTCCAGTGGCTCGATAGGCCTAGTCAAGACCAGCGAGTATTTGCGAACTATGTCTGAAGGTGCAGGAATATGGACAGATGAGGACGAGCGTCGGTTTTACGAAAATCTCGTCGACCTCAAAGGCAAAGTCCCGCCGATACTTCTTGAGGACGGCAAGAAGAAGAAGACTGACGGCGAGGAACAAGTTGGCAAGAAAACGGACGTCGCCTCAGATTCCCCGGACACCGCAAAGGCCACTGCGGAAGCTGCTGATGATCAGTCAATGGCGATAGCTAATAAGAATATTGGCGCCCAGGTCGATGCCTTGCTGGCACGCTTGCCTGAGCTTACAAACAAGGACATCATTGATCAAACTGCAATCGACTTTTGCTTCCTCAATTCCAAAGCCTCTCGCAATCGACTTGTGAAAGCCCTCACGGAAGTTCCCAAGGGGCGAAGCGATTTACTCCCGTCATGGTCACGATTAGTAGCTACGCTTGGCAGATATATGCCTGATGTACCCAAGGGTCTCGTTGATTACTTAGATGCTGAGTTTCGAAGCTTACAGCGGAGAAAAGAAAAGGACTTTTTGGGACAAGTCCGTCTCAGCAACATTCGATACCTGGCTGAACTTACCAAATTTGGTGTCGTACCTGAACATGTTGTATTTCATTGCCTGAAAGTCAGTCTTGACGACTTTTCGCGCATGAATATCGAAATCTTGTGCAACCTGATCGAAAACTGTGGTAGATACCTGCTCAAGAACCCCGAGACCGCACCACGTATGGCCAGCTTTCTCGAAACTCTACAACGCAAGAAATCTGTACAGCACATTGGACAGCCGGAGCGGATGCTCATCGACAATGCTGTTTACTATGTCGACCCTCCGGAGCGGCCTGCGATTGAGCAAAAGGAGCGAACCCCGATGGAACTTTTTATTGCGAAGTTGGTCTATAGCGACATGACTAAACGCAACTACAGCAAAATTTTGAAGCAAATCCGGAGGCTCCATTGGGAAGAAACTGAGGTATGCCTTGGGTGGAGCTTGCTGGCAGGCGAAGAGCCACCTCGAGGTTGCTAATTCATTTGGCAGGTTGTGTCTATCCTTGAAAAGGTTTTCTCTAAACCTGGAAAGGTCAAGTATGGGAATATTCACCTGCTTGGCATTCTGTTGAGCGCCATCTATCGTTATCACCCGGAATTCGTGGTCAAAGTAATCGATAATGTCATTGAGTCGGTCAACGTAGGCTTGGAACAAAATGATTTTCGATTCTTCCAACGACGAGTTGCAGAGGTGAAATATCTGGGCGAACTTTACAATTATAGGATGCTGGAGCATCCTGTCATCTTTGACACCTTGTACAAAATTCTTACGTTTGGATATGGTGAGTGACCGCAATGGCTTCCCTTAGCAGACCTTCTTTTGTTTTTATTTTATTTTGGCTTACCATTGCCGTAGGAGGACCACCGGTTCCCGGTCGACTTAATCCATTCGATCTCCCGGATGACTTCTTCCGTATTCGCCTCGTCTCTACAATGTTGGAAACCTGTGGGATGTTTTTCAATCGTGGAGCTGCTGGCAAGAAGCTAGACTACTTTCTGTCCTTCTTCCAGGTAGGGGTTGATTGGGAAATACTCAGACTTGCGGCACTTGAATGCTAGCTAACGATGTTTGATCAGTACTATGTCCAAACAAAAACTTCCCTCCCCATGGACATTGAGTTCGTCGTTCAAGACGTCTTTTCGCTTACTAGGCCACAATGGAAACTCGCCGCCAGTCTAGAAGAAGCAACCAAAGCGCTTCAACTTGCCATAGTCCAAGATCAAAAGACTGCTGGTATTGAAAGGGCTGCCGAAGTAGACGACGCCACCAGTGGAGCGTCATCTGACGATGATAATGGTGATGTAGATGACGTTGAGCAGGACGGCGAAGTGGATGAAGACAGTGCCTCGGAAGATGATGAGGTTGAGGTAAGCTGAATAATACGCATCCTTGTAGTCATTATCTTATCTCTAACGCGGAGGGTGACAGGATGGAGATGATGCATCTGTCAATGATAGTGACTTCAGTGATGAAGCCATCGTTGTCACCCGGCAAGAGGAGGCTGTCGACCCCGAGGACGAGGCCGATTTTGAACGAGAATATGCAAAGATGATGTCCGAAAGTCTTGAGTCTCGGAAATTCGAACGTAAGCCACTGTTCGATGTGCCTCTACCCGTGAGACCGAAGAATCGGGAACCGTCCATGGGCTCGGCTCTGGATGCAGAACCATCTGGACCGAACCATAAAATGGCCTTTTCGCTTTTGACGAAGAAGGGAAATCGACAACAGGTTTGTGTTCATGGCAAAGACGCTCCATCTTGACTTAACTATTCACTAATGGCTGACGGACAGACTCGCACGGTCGAGCTTCCATCTGATTCCCCCTTCGCCATTGCTATGAAGACTCAGCAGCAAGCTGAAAAGGAAGAACAACAACGGATCAAAAATCTGGTTCTGAACTACGATCTCCAGCAAAGCGAAGACCAAGAAGGCAAGCATGGCGAAGCTAGACCCGTCCTGTTTTGCTTCTTTGCGCTGACATCTTCTGCAGGTAGTGAGAGAGCAACGACCTTCTATCACAATCGAATTGACCGTTCGAGTAAGGATCGAGGCCATAGGATCAGAAAGCTTCAATTGAGTGACGTCGATTGGTGAAGATCTTGGCACAAGGTCAACAGGGATGCTTTATAATCTGCAACCAAAACTCGCTTGGTCGAGGGTGGCGCCCAGGCCGAACGGCACCATGAAGACGCATATCTTTTTAATTGGAGCCGCTTCGGCTGCCAGTGCCAAGCTTTAGCATGCAGACGGGGCTTCATAGTGGGAGGCTGAACACACGGTTCGGCTTTTCCAACGAGCAAGTCATTGGCCAAACAAAGGCTAGACATTTACAGGCCAAGACTCGAAACTGGGCAACTGTCTCCTGGATGTTATTGCTGGCAATAACAGATTAGGTAGACGCGACGAATTGCCTGGCACTCTCTCCTGTTTTTGAAAGCGCCATCAATTCGATATTGACCAGCCAATGCCAATAGGGCTAATACACCGGGCAACCATTTCTCGACTTGCTCCCTTGGGAAATGGCGTGACATGCAAAATTAGACTTTCCATTAAATTGGGACGTACGCTTTCATTTCATTAACGCAGTCAGCTCTATCATGGCACGGGATACGTCTTGAAAAAAGCGTGGCGTCGCAGCCGGTTGCGAAGCAGCAGACAGAAGGACCTACCTAAGTACCTAGACCTAGTAGGAGGGAGCTCAAAGGTGGCTGATTGACTGCGGAAGGCATTGTCATTCTATCAAGAGACCAAGTGCGTGTGCGTCAACCACGCTTACGGGTTCCAAAGAGCAGGGCCTTTCTCGGCATTGTGCGTCTCGAGCACCCACCCATCCTGGGGATTCAATCCGTCAAGTACCAGCCAGACCAGCCGGACTGGTTTCCAATCAATGAACGGATCTTGGAACTTGACCTAAGTATGTTTCTGTCCAACTTTAATTTAAAAAAATTTTCCCGTTCTGGCATTGCCAAGTAAAGTCTTGTCGCGAAGAGGGCATAGGACGGCCCAGAAAATTCCGCTCGTCTTGCGTGGCCAACCATAAGCTCAGACCTCACCCCGATCCAAGGACCATTGTGTCTGGTGTTGAATGCTGTGTAACGTTTGAGCTGTCTGGGTAGGTAGGCACCTGCTTTTAGACGTGTAGCCACCCGGGATCAATTGATTGTTGCCTGTCTCAGACTGCCTCTTCCCGCTCTTCTTTCAGTTCCATCTCTTGGTGATTTCCCTGCACACCTCGTCTCGCACCACCGACAAGACGGACTCTACCGATCTTGTATTTGTCCTCGACGGAGACCAAGCTTAGGCTCGGTGTTCTCGAGAATGGCTGTCACAATCGGAGATTGGCCGCTCAAAGATGTAGGTTTCTCTGCATCCACACCGTCCATCTGCCTGCTGCACTCTCGAGGGACGCGTAGCCAAGTAGTGACGAGATAGCTGACCATGTTCTCCGCATAGGTTATATACACCATCATTGTAGGACTTCTCATGCTGATGGCATGCTTTGAGTGGTTTCTTTGGCTGGCAGCCTTCATATACTGCCTCGTCAAGGTATTCGGAAAGGCCGAGCACTGGTCTATCCGGGCCCTCTGTCTAGTTGTCGGTTCTGCTTTTGTTTTGCTGCGGTCAGTCTAGGAGCCTCTCTCCCGTCTGGCAGGTCAAGACTCGGCGTTGCCATATCGTACCATCGTGTGGCGACGAACTAACTCAAAGATCGAAAGATGCATTTTCCTCCCGATAATGATTGTCACGCTTCCCCTTCCACCCGTCATAGCGAACTGGTGGCCAGAAGCTGTCACATCCTTCCTGCAGTGGTTTGCTTTTTGGAGTTTCTCCATCCTGCTCATAGTCCCATGGCTTTTTTGCATCTACCAGCTCGTGACAAACCATCTGGGGCGCACAAAGCGTATAAAGAGAGTTCTGGATGATTACACAGCTCCCAAAGTCGTCGTTGTCATGCCCTGTTACCGTGAGGAGCCTCACGTTCTCATTAGCGCCATTGACTCTGTTGTTGAATGTGACTACCCTGCCTCGTGCATTCACGTCTTCCTTTCTTTTGATGGTGAGCAGGTAGATGAGCTCTATCTCGGCACACTGGGTTTGCTTGGGGTACCACCGACGTTGAAGTCATACCCCAATAGCATTGACGTCGTGTACAAAGGTGTCCGAATCACGGTCTCGCGATTTGCCCACGGCGGCAAGAGACAGTGCCAAAAGTCAACCTTTGAACTTATCGACCGCGTGTATGCCGACTACATCAAGCAGAATGACAACATCTTTATCCTATTTATCGATTCGGATTGCATCCTGGATAGAGTATGCCTGCAGAACTTTGTTTACGACATGGAACTCAGTCCTGGCAACTCTAGAAAAATGCTCGCCATGACTGGAGTCATCACCTCGACCACCAAGAAGCACAGCATTATTACGTTGCTCCAAGACATGGAGTACATTCACGGCCAACTATTCGAGCGTACCGTGGAATCTGGCTGTGGCTCAGTCACTTGTCTTCCTGGAGCGTTGACGATGCTCCGCTTTTCAGCATTCAGAAGGATGGCCAAATACTACTTTGCCGACAAGGCCGAGGAGTGCGACGACTTGTTTGACTACGCCAAATGTCACCTTGGCGAGGATCGGTGGCTTACCCATCTCTTCATGATAGGGGCCAAACAACGGTATCAGATTCAGATGTGCACCTCTGCCTTTTGCAAGACAGAAGCGGTACAAACTTATGCGTCTCTCGTCAAGCAAAGACGCCGGTGGTTCCTGGGCTTCATAACAAACGAAGTCTGCATGTTGACTGACTGGAGGCTGTGGAAGAGATATCCAGCGTTGATATTAGTGCGCTTTATGCAAAACACGATTCGAACCACGGCACTTCTCTTTTTCGTCATGGTTCTGGCGCTCTTGACCACTACGGCGAGCGTCCGCAATCTGCCAGTGGGGTTTATGGCAGTGTCTCTAGGATTGAACTGGCTCCTGATGCTATATTTTGGCGCAAAGTTGAAGAGGTTCAAGATATGGTTTTATCCTCTGATGTTCGTCCTGAATCCCCTCTTTAATTGGTACTACATGGTGTACGGAATTCTGACAGCCGGGCAACGGACGTGGGGGGGACCACGAGCGGACGCTGCGGCGGCCGACATGCACACTACTGCCCGAGAAGCAGCAGAGCAAGCGGAGAGGCAAGGTGACGAGTTGAACATTGTGCCGGAAACCTTCAAGCCGGCAAAAGAGGCCAGAATAATATTCGACGAGAACCAAGGCCCCGGCGTCCCGATTGTGCGCAAGCGGAGTGTTGTGCGACCCCCAGACGTGGTCGATGGCCAGTTTTCCGGTCCAATACATGTCAAGGGCACGCCGTACGCCAGCAGACGGCATGCTCAGTATGCTGAGCCAATTTCCGAACAAGCCAAGCCATGGCCAGCCTACGATGTCGAGGGGGCATTGGCCCGTGACGGCGAGGGCGATGCATACATGAGTGATGAAGACAAGAGGAAATATGCCATAGCTCACCAAGCTCGAAGGCTGCGGCTCGAGCAGCGTCCACGACCAGGAACAGGTCTGAACCCGAGATGGCACCACGGTCCGCTATCAAGCGGAACTCACAGGGGCGAGGATCAAGGCGATGATGGCGTGGGGATCGCTTTGTAAACGTCAACAACTGTGGCGGCCGGCTGTCACTAGCATCAAGGAAACATCTCAGCGGACGGATGATGGCGGTGGTATGCTCCTGGTTTGGGTGTACGCATATGACGGTGAATGAAATGAAGTATTCGTACCATTTTTTTAAGCATACGAAAAAGAAACTCACGCAACGTTAAAGCACTCTTGTGGAAAGGAATTGGTGTAAAATAAAAATCGGCTATATTTGGTTGTGCTGACTAGAAGTCGCCGCGTCATTTGAAACCTTGGAGGGGTCGTCCTTGTTCATTTATTATTCCCGACACCAACAGTGAGTGTAAATGCCCGCGGGCATCTGTAGCCAACGTATCAATGCGGGGTTAGTAGGAGTTGCTGATGCTGTTGGATGATGGAGACGGCGTACGTCCAAGTTGGCCGAGCCTTGGTCGTTACGAAGTGCTGCAAGGCGTGTTGGCGTCTGGAATGTTGTGGCTGCCTCGGTGTTGACCCTAGAAACTTCTTCCGGCTTCCACCATGAATGAGCACGTTCCACGTAATGTATTTTGGTACGTACCTGAAGTGAGGAGGTACCTACTTGTACTTATGGACGGGGGGCAGCTTGGCCAAAATGGAACTGGGGTATCGGCCGGAATTGTACCCATCAGGCGATTCGAAGCGGGCGAAGTACGGAGTACCGGTCGAGCTCATCCAGCCCGTCGCTGAATGATCCAGGTGCCGAGTAAGTACCTAGGTAAGTTAAGTACTTAACGCAACCCGAGGATCAGGGCTCGAAAGTGACCCTGAACGCTCCAAGCAATGCTCCAAGCTACTGCTGGAATTAAATTACACATGAGAGGACGGTTCTGAGCTGTTGGGTTGGTGGAGTTCTAGAAGTTACCATGTCGTGACTCCTGCCCGCAGCCTTTTTTTTTTTTTGGGAAAAATAAAATGAAATAAAATAAAACCAGTCTTTCTTTAAACAGTCTGGTACTGCCTCTCAGTAACTGTTCTGTTGCGAATAATAACTACTCCGTAACAGAGGGGAAAAAAACTGCCACCACTCACACCGCCCACCAACCCCCCACCAGCCCGGGCCTGCCCTCTCCCCGCCACTACTTTTTTCTGCCGAGTTCTTCTTCTGACGTCGATGCACGTCTCTGCTCAACTACAGAAAGTACACAATCAGAATCCTCTTTCTTCTCGTTTCCATCGCCTTTCCTCCTTCCACGTTCCGCCGTACTCGTCGTGCCTTGCACATCATTAGCAACGCCCCGTGTCCAGCCGTCCCCTCTGTGGCTACGATAAGAGATTGAAACAGAACGACCTTGAAAACCACGTTGTAGAGCGCCAAACCTACAAACTACGGGCACAATGAGCGTCGTGGGTACGTAGTCACGCTGGTGCTTGGGCTAGCATAATGCTCGTCCTTGGCCTGACTGGCATCTTATGCCCTACTTGCAATAACTCGATGCCGCTTTTGGCCTCCAGCGCCTGGTTGCCCGGCCTCTAGAGCAATGTACTGACCTTGACTTCAACAGGTGTCGATTTCGGAACGCTTCAAACGGTGGTCGCTGTCGCCAGAAATCGTGGCGTCGACGTGGTATGTTGACGGTCCTTTTTTCCCTCCTTGCACAATTCTCTGCCCATTGCGCCCCTCTATTCCAGCTCACACGTCCGCAACAACAAATTGTGCTAACAGACATCCTCGTCTTAGATCACCAACGAAGCTTCCAACAGAGCTACTCCGTAAGTTCACGCTGCACAATTGCCGTCCCCCCAACTGCAACTCCACTCACAAGCGGTCATTCGTCTTTACAACGTGTTGTCAACATGCTTTCCTCTTTTTTTTTGTCCTTCTCCCCGTATGTAAAGCTAACGAATGCTCGCTGTCATTAGCTCCATGGTTGGTTTCGGCCCCAAGACGCGATTTATTGGGGAGGCTGCCAAGACCCAAGAGATCACCAATCTCAAGAATACAGTGAGCTGCTTGAAACGCCTCGTTGGCCGATCCTTCAACGACCCCGATGTCAAAATTGAGCAGCAGTTCATCACTGCACCGCTTGTTGATATCAATGGGCAGGTTGGTGTTGAGGTGTCCTACCTCGGGAAGACGGAGAGATTCACAGCTATTCAGCTCGTCGCCACCTACTTGAGTAAAATGAAACAAATCGCGGCTGCCGAGCTGAAGTCGCCCGTTTCCGATCTCTGCATGAGCGTTCCCCCATGGTTCTCGGATGTTCAGCGCCGAGCCCTGCTTGATGCCGCTGAGGTTGCGGGCCTGAAACTTCTCCGCCTCATCAATGATAACGCTGCAGCTGCTCTCGGTTGGGGCATCACCAAACTCGACCTTCCAGCCCCAGAGGAGAAGCCCCGCCGGGTGTGCTTCGTCGATGTCGGCCACTCCAACTTCACCTGCTCCGTTGTCGAATTCAAGAAAGGGGAGCTTGCCGTCAAGGGTACAGCTTGGGATCATAACTTTGGAGGTCGAGACTTTGACAAGGCTCTCGTTGATCATCTTGCGAAGGAGTTCAAGGGAAAATACAAGATCGACATTCACACTCACGGACGTGCCATGGCCCGCACCATTGCCGCCGCTGAGAAGACAAAGAAGATTTTGTCCGCCAATCAACAGGCCCCCGTCAATATTGAGTCTCTGATGAACGACATTGATGTTGCTGCCATGATCACTCGTCAGGAATTCGAAGCTATGATTGAACCACTTCTGAATCGCGTCCAGGCACCTCTGGAGCAGGCTCTGGTGCAGGCTAAAGTCACCAAGGATGATATCGATGTTGTTGAGATTGTCGGCGGTGGCTCTCGTGTCCCTGCTCTCAAGGAGCGTATCCAGACCTTCTTCGGGAAGCCCCTCTCTTATACGATGAATGCTGATGAAGCTGTTGCCCGCGGCTGCGCTTTTAGCTGCGCTATCCTGTCCCCGGTGTTTCGGGTCCGTGACTTCTCAGTCCAAGACATCATCAGCTACCCCATCGAGTTCGCCTGGGAGAAAGCTGCCGACATTCCTGATGAGGATACCAGCCTGACGGTCTTCAACAAGGGTAATGTCCTTCCGTCGACCAAGATATTGACCTTTTACCGCAAGCAACCATTCGATCTCGAAGCTCGGTATGCCAAGCCCGAAGATCTGCCCGGCAAGCAGAACCCTTGGATAGGACGGTTCTCTGTCAAGGGTGTCAAGGCCGAGGGTCAGGACGAGTTCATGATTTGCAAGCTTAAGGCTCGTATCAACATTCACGGCGTCCTCAATGTCGAGAATGGTTACTATGTCGAAGACCAGGAAATTGAGGAGGAAATCAAAGAAGATGAAAAGGAGGACAGTGAGAAGAAGGATCCAGATGTAAGTACCTGCTGTCCTGTTGGCGAAACGTTTCCTACTGTGGCTCAAAGTCTGACATACCTCTGTAGGCTATGGATACCGACAAAAAGGAGGATGCCCCTAAAAAGACTCGAAAGGTTAAGAAGCAGGTCCGAAAGGGCGACTTGCCAATCTCCAGTGGGACTTCTTCTCTAGATCCCGCACAGAAAGCCGCCTTGAGTGAAAGGGAGTCTTCCATGGTCATGGAGGACAAGCTCGTTGCTGATACGGAAGAGAAAAAGAATGAGCTGGAAACTTTCATCTACGACCTTCGTGCCAAACTCGACGAACAGTACGCCGAGTTTGCCAGTGACGAAGAGAAGACGAGCATCAAGGCCAAGTTGGAAGTTGCCGAGGTAAGCTCATCACCCAAGAACAAAAAGGTAGTCAAGAGACTGATTGCTCTAGGAATGGCTCTATGACGAGGGCGACGATGCCTCCAAGGGCGTCTATATTGCCAAGCTTGACGAACTGAGAGCTCTTGCTGGGCCCATCGTTCAGCGCCATTTTGAGAAAATCGAGGCCGAGAGGCGTGCTGCCCAGGAACGTATCGAGGCCGAGAAGGCTGCCAAAAGAGCCGCTGAGGAAGAGGATCGCAAGGCTGCTGAGGCGGAAAAGTCCGCTCAGCAAGGCTCGAACGACCAGGAGATGAAGGATGCCGACGACCCGCAGCCCCAGTCGGAAGAACCTGACGAGTCTAAATAAATAGACGTATCCGAAGAGAATCTGCATGAATAGATGGGAAATGAGTAGATATGATGCAGAAACGAATGGTTACCCACGCATCGAAAATGAAGTATCAATACAGGAAGGAAGTTTTCGTGGTGATTATGCCGCAGAAAGATGATCAATCACAAGAGTAGTATAGAAGATTTCTCAAAGGCTAGGAAGTTTCGATTTTCTTCTTTTTTTCCCTCTTTTAGTCCTATTTTCTAGACCTTGACAGTACGCCATTCTGAAAGGAGAAGCTGGATAATGAATGCCTACACGATCGATACTGATTCCTTCATTGAGACGTGCGTCAGTCGAAGCTTATACCCACGCACCCGACGCCACCCATACGATATGTATCTAGTTGTCACATAACGCTCATCTCTAGCGAACTACGAGATACAATCTTGGGATACAATACAAGAATTCAATATCTGCTTTTATAGTCGTATTTGAACAAGATCTGTCTAACAATGAGTCGTACGTAGTATGTCATCCTCAGCTTCTGCAATTACAAGCTTCAACCATCGCATCAGATGTCTGTCCTATCTAGTCTTTGGGAGGGCAAGGTCGTCTGAGCGGGAACCTTGCTATCGGGCAGTCCTATAACCGACTTAGTGTCGCCCATATCTGATTGCTCCTACTGTCCGCAGCGTCTTCCAACAGTTGTCAGAATCAAGAAATAACTTGTAACCTCTTGAGTAATTGCCGCACATCATGACAATTTACGTCTTCCATCATCACTAGCGATACCTCGGGGGTATGTTTGTACACCTAGTACACCACGTCGATGTGAAGTCGGTGAATTTCAGTCGCCTTTGAAATTCTGTCGCTGTGCTTCCCTTGATCTTGCCTAGCTAGAAGGAGGCTAGCCGTCCGCTTAATTAGTTGATGTCGAAGAGTGGCTTCAACTTAATGATCAGTTGCCACTCATCGGTGGTCACATCTTTGCGGTAGAACTCCTTCAGGCAGTCAATACTAGCTCGAGAGATCAGACTGTACAGAGTGTCGCCTTCCTCAAGCTGGCGGCCATAAGTGGGTTGATGACCCCCCATTTCGACCTTCAGCGCAACGGATGGCTGACCTTTTTTGCAAACCGGAATTTGCTTGTGCTCTCGCTCGATTGAGGTTCTATTTTTAACGGACTGATGTCAGAATTCGAAAGAAACACATATTGCCTGGCGCTCCCTCCTCCTCCCGCCTTGTATTATTTTATTGAAAAAAACAAGGGCAAGGGGGGGAAGAGGCAAGGGGAAAGGAGCATTAAGGAATTCAGTTTAACTCACACTCTACCAAGATTGATGACCTCCTTGGCACCCGTGACTGGGTGAGTCTTGACAGCAGCTATTGGAGTATTTATCTTGAGCTGGCCTTCAACAACATCAACACCTATGACGATGGGGCTGGTCTTGTTGAACACAGCAACGGGCTTGAGGACACATGGGAAAACCGCCAACATTTTGGAGTCTTCCTTCTTCTTCTCCAGCATTTGGTCCATGTGCTTTGTAAACGAGTCAAACAAGTGGTAAATGATATCGGCAGTGAAGATCTTGATGCCTTGTTCTTCGGCATACGATTGTGCTTCCTTGTCCACCTTGACATCAAAGCAAAGCATAACAGCATAGTCTGGGGCCTTTTCCAGCATAATGCCGCACTGCATAACGTCTCGTTTATAAACGGGCCCGATTCCAACGTTTGCAACAGGAATCTTGCAGTCCTTCAAAAAGTCCAGCAAGGCTTCCAGGGAACCAAGGGTAGATGCCTGAACGCTAACTCCTCGGCCAGACTTTTCAACTCTGCTGAGCAGGCTTGCCAAGTCTGCGACGACTTCGTCCTCGATATCTTCTTCGTCATCGTCAGGGCCGACAACCATGAGTCGAGAGCCAGCAATGGCGCCTTCAAGCCCAGGAGCACTGATCTTGACGCCCAAGGCAGCCTTAACTTCCTTATTGTGCACGTACTGTGACTTCAAGCGCAGTTCGCGGAGGGGTGCTGGTGTCAGCAAGGCTCTAATATTTGTTTTGATAGCACCTTCTGTGCCGCACAATACTATTCGGTCGCCCTCCCGAAGAATGCCGTTAGATAAGATCACATCAATGGTCATGCCAAAGCCCTCGATAGCCTTGACTTCAAGAACAGTGGCCTGAACCTCAGAAAGATACATGAGTGAGCCAACCATGCGCTCTTGAGTGAGCTGCACGATCAATTTTAGCATATCAGGAATACCCTCACCGGTGTGAGCAGAAGTGGGTACCAAAGACACAAATTTGGACATGGACTTGTTCTCGTAGAAGAGCTCAGAGTTGAAGCCTTGCTCAGCAAACGCCAGCTTAGTCTCGTCCAATCGCTTCCTGAATTCACTGTAAACCGCCTTGTTTTGCAAAGCCAGACTTTCGCGGAAACCGTTGTTATCAACCTTTTTCCACCCGTAAAGTCTGTCGATCTTGTTGAGGGCGACAATGAAAGGGGTCTTGCGGTCTCGGAGGAGGCGCATGGACTCCAGGGTCTGAGGCTCCAGCCCGTGCATAATGTCCACCACTAGGATGGCAATATTGCAAAGAGATGAACCACGGGACCGCAAGTTGGAGAAAGATTCGTGGCCAGGCGTGTCGATGACCAGCAGACCGGGTACCTTGAACTCGAACTCGTTGTTTGGGTTGACTACGGCAGTCTTCTGCTTAATGGCATCAACCGGGAAGTAGGTAGCACCAATCTGCTGGGTAATTCCACCAGCCTCGCCTTCCTGGACATTGGTTTGTCGTATTTTGTCGAGCAATTTGGTTTTTCCGGTGTCGACATGTCCCAAAATACAGCAAATGGGAGACCGCAGGTTGTCCTTGGATCGGGCTGCCAGGGCAGCTTGATGGGCCTTTTCCCTTCTCTCAGCAGCTTCCTTCTTGCGCTGCATATCCGCTTGTCGAGCCGCTGAAATTTCTTCATCTTCAGATTCGGACTGATCTTCATCGTCCTCATCGTCGACTGCTTCGTCATCTTTGCCATTTGCCTTGGCAGGAGCGGCATGTTTTTCTTCCTCAGAGTCTGCATCCCAGTTATCCTTAACATCGTCCTCTGAGGCAGCAGCAGCAGCTTCCCAGTCATCTTCAATATCGCTTTCTGCGGCAGCCTTCTCTGCGGCAGCCTTGGCCTCTGCCTCAGCCTTCTTACGAGCAGCCTTTTCCTCTGCTTCCTTGAGCGCTTTCTCAGCTTGCAGCCGGGCCCTCTCCGCAGCTTCCGCAAGAGTTGCTTCTTCGTCGATCTAAAGTGGAATGAGCACAGATTCTACGATATGTGACCGGGGGATGCTGGCACAAGACAGGACAGTAGTTACCTTGTCGTTTCTGGGCTTCTTCTTCTTGCTGTCATAGACTACCTTCTTTTTTGGCTCATCAGTTGCGTCTTGGGGCCCAACCTTGATGCCTGCGGCTAGCATTTGCTGGAGTTTTCGCTCATTTCGAGCCTTTTCTTCTTTCTGAGCCTTTGTGAGGAACTTGCCCTCCTTCTTCAGCTGCTCAATCCTCTCCTTTTCTTTTTGTTTCTTGAGGGCCTTTGCTTCTTCTCTTCGCTTGATCTCTTCCTCGGCAAGCCTTTCTTCCTCCTCAGCACGAGCTTTAGCCTCGGCGTGCAAACGCTCGTCATCCTCTCTCCTCTTTCTCAATTCTTCCTGCTGCTTCTGCAGCAAGGCAAGATGAGCAGGGATCTTCTTCTTTTTGCCTCCCGTTTCCCCAACAGTGGCCGGTGCCGGGGTAGCTGGGGCGGCGGCGGCATCTTTAGCCGGAGCTGCTGCCGGTTTGGTCGGCTCTGCAGCCTTCTCGGGAGCAGTAGTCTTCTTCTTAGCAGCCTACAATCAAAGAGAAATTAAATAGGTGTTAGCAAGCCGCAGAATCGCCGTGACACAGGGTGCTCGCTTCGGAAACTAAGTAGACGAGGCATGACAGGATGGTGTGCTAGACACAATGCTTGACGTGGGAGAAGAGACATACTTGTTCCTTCTTACGCTGCTTCTCGCGCTCCTTTTTCAACTTTTCCTTTTCGGCTTTGGTGAGGATCCTGCCGCTGCCGCTGTCGATATCGTCATCGTCATCACCCTTCTTCATCGCTGGCTTTGCCTTGGCACCTTTACCCTTCTTTTCAGGCAAAGCAAACTCATCCTCCAAGGTGGCCTCTTGTGGCGCCTTGTTGTTGAGCTCCGCCGGGTCGGCACCGACGGGTTCTTCGGCATGAACGAGGTCGTCGTCTGCTAGGCCCTTCTTCTTTCGCTTCTCCTTGTTCTTTCGTAGCATGGCCATCAACCCACCTCCGCCGGAGACATCATCACCGCTGGCATCAGCATCAGCATTTGCGTCGGCAGCAGTGTCGTTTGGCTCGGCAGCGTTCGCGGATGGAATGGTTTCGCCCAGATCAGCTTCCCAGTCGTCCTGGGCTTTCTTGTTGCCCTTCTTCTTTGGCGGCATCTCGAAAAGTTCGTACAGTTGAAGAACGCTGTAAGACACCAAAGTCAAGTGCGGAAAATAACAATAATAATAATAAATGACAGTAGAATCCTTATGATAAGACAAGGGCCAAAGGCGTGGTTGGGTCGGTGCGAGAAGGCCCTAAAAAAATTTGGTGACGCCAGCTTTCCCTTTGACAAGCGGGTGACTTTTTGGAACTCTAGTACTCTGTACGGCGGAGGGGGGGGGAGGGGTCAACTTGTGTTGAATACTGACTGACAGAAGGAACTGGTGGATTTGCGTGCCGAACATGTCCAGTGTGGCGCATCAGGCGTCAGCAGCATCGCAAACCAGCACTGGGCGGGGCACCAAAGCTACCAGGTAGTCACTAGGTACCTACTTAAGTACTTAGGTACTTAGGTAAGTAGGAGAGTACGGAGGTCATGGTTTATCAAGACACCAATGCGAGAGACCTTTTCAACGTTCAAACTCCTCAACAGCCCGCCATTGACACTTGAGTACAGGGTACTTATAAGAACCCAGCAATCAGTCACCCGGCGGTGAAACGCGAATCACCTTCTATCCCGGCTCGCTCATAAAGAATTCCGAGTTCCTCAAAAGAGACTGTACTGGTATGAAGCAGACGGTTAATCGGTTGTTTGCTCTCGAATGACCATGTTTTCATACAAACTTTACGCGGTACTGCATCTGTATAATCACCTCACCATACCAATCTAATCGCATCCTTCCACCCTAGATTTCCCCTCAATCCAAGTCAACCAGAAATTTCACCGAACCAACGCCTCGACTATCTCTGTGCGCAAAGACGTGCAAAGCCAAGCAGGATTACGCAAATTTATGTCAATACCACACTATAAAAACAAACTGAAGTCCTATAAAACCGGGGCCAAGATATAACCCAGAATATCATACCCCAGATTAAAGTACGCTGCTTCTCTCTCCCCTTCCGAGCTCCCAATGCCGTCCCTGAACCTGTCTGTCCAGCGGCCACCATCTAGGGCGTCAAGATACTCACAGAACAGATCCAGTCCATCAGCTGTCCCAATAATCTTCTCGAGAAGTCGGTTTTCCAGACAGCGAGACAAGAGATCGCCGTCAATGTGCATTAACTTTGGATGTACGTGTGGCTCAATGTCATTGTCGTCGTCGGACACCATGCTGTCAGAATCCGAGGGAGATCCACCCATGACATTGAACAACCGACGTCGCAGTGCCAAGGTTTGCATCAAGCTCAGGATTCGCCACAGTTCCAAATTGACCAATGTGAAATGTCGCAGTGAGCCGTCGAGAGAAACCCCAAAGACCTCAGATCCTTCTTCGCTGCTGGCCACAACGCCATATCGATTCCGCGTCTCCGACCCTACCCACAGCGGCCGGCTCCTGGCGTGAGTAAACCGTCGGATAGAAGTGGGCAGTGTGGCTTCAAAAATTGTCTGGAACTCTTTATCTCGTTGGCCCCATGGAATCCATACGCCTGCAAGCCCTCCTCTGTGATCAGAGAGTAGGGTAATTGGCCACCGGCCAACAACGTCCGAAGCCCCTCCATCAGTTCCAATGTCCGTCATATGAATAGTGATTCTCGAAATGGCATCCGTATGTATCAGAGACATCGTATTGTCCTCTCCCGCCCTATGATCAATTACTTCAAGAGAGTGCATGGTAGTCAGCGCAAAAATCTTTCCGTTGAACACTCGAAGAGATGTTACGGGAGAATCAACTTCATACTCCTTCACGGGCCGCAGTTTCTTCTCCGTCAGATCAAGGACGTCCCAGTGAATAGTCCTGTCGACGCAATAAATGATGCCGTCGTTGTCGCCGACGATAGAGTATATAGGCTTAGCTAACATTTTCTTCCAACGAGTCCAATATTGCAATCGTCCGGCACCACCACGACCGGGGCGAGATTCCAATTTGTTCACTGACACGATGAGGAGCCTGCCTTCTTTTGTCGTTACCAAAAGGAAAGCGAAAGTCTTGCCGTCTTTCACATATAGCCACTCACCCAGACCATAAATTCTGTCGTCTGAGTGGCCGAGGCCCCAAATGAACTGCAAAGGGTTCCTATCCTTGTCACAAGCAGATGCAATGTGCATGCCACTGTCAGGGTCAATGAATGCCAAGGTAGATTTACCATCTTGAAGTATTGCAGCCACTAAACAATTCCAAGCCTGCGAGAATATGACACGTGTAGGGGTTCCATTCAGAGGCAAGCTCCTAGGTATCAGAGAGAAATGTGGCCATACTTCTGCAAACAAAAGCCTCGAGCCTGCGAGTATCATGAGTGACATGTGACCACTGTGGCCCGATAAGCTAACACCAAGGCCAAACACGGAATGGACGGCTGGTGAGGGCATCGAGGCATCATTTGAGTCTGTCAGCCAAATGAAATTCTTGTTCTGAAACTTGAGAGCCGACGGTGAAAAGTTTGACATCATGGTGAGATTGTTGTCGCAGCAAGCCATGGCGGCGACATCGCCGCCGAATTCGCCACGTGTTGGGAATACATCGACTGGAGCCACGCCCATGGCTTCGCTATTCCAGGTCACGCGTTTAGAAGTTTGATCCAAAATTCTAAAATTCAAGACGTGTCCACATCGTGTGCCAGCAACAAAATCTGCAGAGTCGGTTGTTTCCCGTACGATACAAATGCTGGTCAGGGGCTCAAATAGGTATGCTTCATTCGGAATTTCCCGGGCGGACGCATCCGCTGAGGCACCAAGATTGAATTAGCGGGCACACCAAATATTTTGGAAGATCAGAAGTTTGTATTGCCTACCTGTTCTTCTGTCAACGGCTTCGGCGATAACAGCTGTGCCGTCTAGCGCGTAGGCGGAAACCCATGAGGTGCTGTCAATAACAGAGCCACTAATCACACAGTAATTGCCTGCTATTTTGAAAAGGGACACGCATGTGGCTTCACCGGCAATGCCCCAAGAATTGACGGCTCGGATGTTCATCCCTTCAACCTGCAAAATGTGCAACTGAAAATTCCCATCGTTGTGAGTGGAGAGAACAAGCAAGTCGTCTGCGCCGAAGGCATTCTCTGCACGAATACCAGTGATCCCGAGTATACTTGGTAGAGCATGAAGTGATGCTTGGGAGTCTAATATCAGGGCGATGGAGGACTCAGTAATTTGAACAATGAGACCTGACTGAGCCTGGTAAGCATGCAACGTGCGAGATGTCAAGTCAAATGCAGTACTGTCCGCTCCTACTGCATCTACCTGATTGAAATCAGCGGAGAAATGAAGCAATGTGGAGGAGTTGGGCAAGGCAAGCAAGCCGTATAATCCGTTACCTTCCGGTCCATTCATCGTGAGCCCCCAGGAACGCCTGATAGGCTCGCCCGTCTCAATGTCGAGGCCAATCCTGCCTTGGATACCCCATCTCCATTGAGTTAAATTGCCGCGAATGCCGCGACCCGACGCACTGAACAGGCTGTCCGGCCTTGAAGGTAGGTTCTTCCTTTCAGGGCTTCTTGAATTCGCATTCCGATGCTCCGAGGTGCTTGAAGCCTTGAGTGGACGGCCGCTAGAGGTAGCCATGTCTACGACTGGTGACCAGTTAGGTAGAACACTGACTTGTTCAAGGTCAGTACGAGGCGCAAGCTATACATCACAATCATCAGCGCACCGGTCATCTTTGAGGAGACAAGAAAGCCAGGGGATTGGAGAGCAGTGGAGTGGTAACCTCTCTGCTATTACTTGTGTACCTTCCAGATGCCACCTGGGCCAGAATCACCACCGATTATGAGAACATCGGAGAAAATGTCGTACGCAATAGTGAAAGCCGTGTTAATGTTGGTGTTGAGACAGCCCACAGTTGTAACAGAGGGGACCAGCTCCGGAGCGTCGATCTCGACGTGAATGATGGCTCCATCCTCACGGGCCAGATAAATAATGTCGGTCTTTTCGAAATACTTCTTTCTGCGGAATGGCCTAGACCAGGCGGTCCAAAGTGGATTGCCTATACCGTGATGAAGAGGGGTTCGCTCGGGGGTATCCGTATCAAGCACCTCAAAAACCGGGGAGCCAGAAAGACAGTTCTTCACTATGCCGATATCTGGCTGAGAAACTGTGAAAAAGGCAGTGTTGAACCGAAGGGGTATTAGAAGAGATGGCATTCGATGTTCCTTTGGCAGCCTGTTGCCAGTCTTTTCCTCGGCAAAGACTTCTTTGAGATTGTCCCCTACCTCCCATTCATAGGTGAGCATTCTTGAAACCGGTTCAGCAGAGCGTCTCTCTTTCCTTGTTACAATGAGAAGAAGAATAATATGATAATCGTCCTCTGGACGGGGATACAGAAACTCCAACTTATGAACTACACCCTGTATAACTCGAATCCGAATCGATTTGATGGGGTCGACGAAACCTTGTAGACGATATTTCTCGCTGAGTGCGACCATTGATTCAAGTTCATAAATGACCAGGACGCCGTCTGGAGAGGCTGCGGCCATGTACCGTGATGATGGATCAACAGATAAGTGATAGCCGAAATAGGAGAGATTCCTGGGGCTTTCTCGCTTATGAATCACGAATTCCAAAGTTGAGTCTTGTCTTTCGCGCAGAAACATGTACATGGTATCACCGGATTCTAGTACCAGCACCAGTAGCTGCGGCGGCAATCGGTGGCGGGAGTGAGGTTCAGTAGCGAAGGAGCCTCGCACGAGCATTTCTTTATCCTCGCTTTTCACCATGTCGGCAAGGTCATCGTCGTCCAAGCCATGCTGCGGGGAGTCTCCTAGCACGGCAGCTCTTCGAATCCTAGAGCCAAAATCGCTTTTTCGTACAACCTCGTGAACCTGTCCATCTCTCCTGAGCTCGCTTATTTGCACAAAGTGGTCCTGCCAAAGCTGTTAGAGACGTCGATGCGAATATAGCATTTAACTACGGATTGCAGACAGGCCATGGGACAGAGTCGTCTCGAAAGGAAAATCAGCCGCAGAGGGCACTACAAACACACCCCGGAACTTGTACAACTCGTGGGTGTAGTCAGATCGCAGCTCGGTCCACCAATCCGAGAAAAGCATTCTCGGCTGATACGGCCTTGCCGTACGGAGACATTTGACGTCTGGGTAGCAGAAAAAGCAGCGGCATACGGGGATGCAACGGAGGGCGGAAGCGGGAATTTGGTGTGACTTACTCCAACAAAGGCGATGTCGTTGTGAGCCTCGGATCTCAAACGGACGGGGAGAATCTGGTGAATCATAGGACTGTCTACTATGGTCCTGGACAGTATGCCACAGCTCGGTGGCTCCGGATGAGGCCGGGAAGCGGATTTGGGAGTCGCATAGGCTTTCAGAGCAGCCTGGAAGTTGACAGTCTCGGTCACCCATTCGCCGTCTCGGCGAATACTCGTTTGAAATGCCATGCCGTTCCAGTCACGACACTCGCCAGGTATGAGTGTCGAGTCAACGTACAGATCCGAGGAGAGAAGTTCGCTCGCTCGGCTTGTATAGAATTTGAAAGAGTAGCCTTTGTCGGATGAAGGGACATGGAGAAACGTATCAAACGTGGAAAGCGTCAGCGAGCCGAGCGAGCATTTTATGCCTCAGCACTATGATACTTATCAAGCCATTCATGTGGCTTATTCGCGTTCCAGCCCGCACTTTTTTTCCTTCGAATAAGACGGTGTCGTTTTCACGGCGGAAAAAAAGACCCGGGTCAGGTTTTGGGGCACAAGTGCGGCCATCAACCGAATCACCTGTAGGAAAGGCTCAATCAAGCTCAGCTTGAACGTGAAAGCAGCGATGAATAAAGAGGTCCAGGGCAACCCGGGGCCTTTTTTTTTTTTCCTCGAAATGAGAAGCACTCCAGCTTCCAGAGGGGCAAATGAGAAAACGGACAACCGAAACCCGTGGCGAAGAAGGAAAAGTTTGGAGGGAGAGGTGACGCGGGGCGGAAGAGGCGGGAGAGCGGCAGGCGAGGATGCAGATCCTGTCAAGTGCAGGTGCTCACGAGCTCCTGAGTATTGAGAAATCGTTATAATGAAAAAGGACCAAGTGACGTCTGCCAGAAATTTCTGGAGGGTGTTTTCTCTTATTCTCTCTCTTTTTCTTTCTGTTTCTTGTTATCTTGTGTATTTTTTTTTTTTTCACTTCGGGTTTGTTTTGTTTCCTTTGGGGGGGGAGGACGGAAGGCGCCGGGCACTTCCTCTGTACTTCTGCTTGGCAAGCAGTTGTTGTGGTCAACTGCAAGTGGTCGGTACTTAGTGGTTGGTGAGGAACTGGTCTACTGCAGCGGCGCTAATGACTGACCGACATGCACGAGATGCCCACCACGGTTGAGAAGTACTTAAGAAGTAGGTACTTAAAGTATCAAGGCTCAGTACTCCGTACTTGAGTACAGAGGTCCTTGTTACCCTGGGTCCTGTCACCAGCAGTTCTGCACGACCAGACATTCAACATTCAATATCTGACGCTGGCAGCATGACGTGTTGAGGGCTGCCCCCCCCCCCCCCCCCCCCCTTTTTCCGGACTCCTTTCGATGGCTTCGTAGTCCTAATCGTCAACTGGTTGAATGCGCGTTCCAAGACGACACGGCCAACGTCAATCATCAGTGAACTGCCCCCGGCCCTATTGGTCGTTGGCGCCACGCGCCGGGCTCCTGGGCCGCCGGCCACCCGAGGGAAGTGAAGCCAGGTACTCCGTACCCGTTGACCAGACATGGATGGACCCCGTCGACATTTGAGATTCTCAACCTCTGGCTGAGGCCACTTTGTGCTTCAGATATATCATGCCGGACAGAGTATTTCATCTTCAAGAACCACCAACTCGCCACAGCATTCTTCGAGCCCCAGCGTTGACTGATATCTGGCTGCAAATGTCCATTGTGCACTGTGGAGAGCACGCGACGACTTGCCCATAGGTTCTGCCCGAGTCTGGGATGCAGCAGCGTCGCTATCAGCGACATACATAGACCATCCCGAGCATGCATTCGAACCCGGAGTCCCCCGAGGGATTGGCTCGCTCTGATTGCCGACGTGGCAGCTCGGCCGTCCGTCGTGGCTCCCAGTCACCGACTGCTCGGAAAGCTTTGGAAGACAAGGCCGAGGCTGTCCGTGATGCGTGCAAGTGGAAGGACATCGCAAGACTCAGGTCCCTTGCAGAGTCCACAGGCGGGCTCCTCAACGATGAGCTACGAAGATCAGCCTGTAGGTCTTGGTGCCATGGGCCTCACAGTAGAAGCTGTGACCAAATGCTAACGAAATGCTGTTGGCTTTTTTGATCTCAGGGCCTATATTACTTGGGCTCCCGCCGGATCTTCTAAATGATCAAGAAGCCGTGACAGATTGGGCACAACTGACACCCCATCGTGATGAAGATCAAGTGCAACTTGATGTCAACAGGTCCTTCATATACTACCCAAATGGTATGTTTCTGCTGTCTTCATCTTGTTCATTCTAGATGACGAACTGCATTCCTGCCAGCCCTTTTCCATCCCATGGTCCTCGATCTAACTCTTGTCTCCTTTCTCTGCAGACAAGTCAGAAGCACAACTCGAAAAATGCAAGTCCGAGCTCTTGGCCCTTATCGTTGAGGTACTACGTCGTCACCCGTATCTCTGCTACTTCCAGGGATTTCATGACATCTGCCAAGTATTTCTGTTAGTATTACAGCCTGGGTGGCGGCCGCATGTAGTTGCGAGGCTTTCGATCCTCCGCATCCGAGACTTTATGCTTCCTAGCTTGGGACCAACCACAGCTCAATTGCGCCTGATTCCCGACTTGCTGGCTAAGGCTGATAGCGAGCTGCGCAAGCACATTGCCACGATAGAACCATTTTATGCACTGGCAGGCACGTTGACCATGTACGCTCACAACATCGAGGCCTACAGCGACATTGCACGGCTATTCGACGTCTTTTTAGCTAGGGAGGCGGTTTTCCCCATATATGTTTTTGCCCAGATTATCATGGCCCGAAGGACAGAGATCTTGGATGTCGAGGAGCCAGACATGTTGCAGGTGATGCTTGCAAAAGTCCCGCCCAACATGGACTTGGATGCTCTGATAACAAACGCCGTCAGCCTGTTCGATCAGTTTCCGCCCGAGTCTTTACCTTCATGGCGGCAGATATCGAAATCAAGCACGCTAAAGACTGCTCGACACCTCGAGACATGTGCAAAACAATCCCTCGAGGATGGCCGAGTCTTCTTCGAGGATCAGGCCAAGGAAGTTCGATGGGTTGAGTCACGGGATAGAATTTCGGCGGCAGTCTGGAGATGCCGCCGGTCCATCAAAGCCATTGCAATGACCACGGCTGTCGCCGCCTTTGCCTTCTATCTCCGGAGAAATCCATCGGCAATTCACTACGTCGTGTCTCTTTTCAACACGTTGAGTAAAGCTCAAGTTTAGGCAACATCGTTTGATGCAAGGGCAGCCAGGGAAATTGAGGATGATTGTCAGGCGATTTTGTAATTTGTTCGGGAAGAAAATATCTTCTGGTCGTGTATTATTTCTGGTTTGCATGAAGATATCTTACACATTTGCACTATGTGCCTACCCCATGGAGACTGGGATATAACTGCGGGTTTCAACATGATCCCTATACTGATGCTCTTAAATAAAGGCTTGGGGGTAAACCTGCTAGTCTTCCCCTAGGCCACCGAGCCCGATTACCCGAATCCTATTCCCGAATCACCGCTTTTGGCAAATTTCCGAAACTAGGACAATGGGGTGTATAAGCCCCTGATGAAGAGGGTATGGAAGCCTCGCCTGCTTACTTGGACTGCAATCATGCGTGAATATTACGATATTCCATTTTGCGTATCGTGATTCTACCTTCATACAGCGCTATACATCGACTTCATACGCCAGTTTGAGCTTCTCAAAGTGCGCCTGCTGTTCTGTAGCCAGCTTCCCCGATGCATCGCTGATGATAGTCATGATGAGTGAATAGTTGTTATAAAGAAACCTGTTACTCTTACGCCTGTCACTGCCGTAGGACAGACTCTGCTTGGCTAAGAAAGCCTCGATTTCGGTGCGCAATCGTCGCAGGCTAGCAAAGACTGGCTCGTCATCTCCGGCCTCAGAACTTAGTTCGAGAAAACCATGCAAGAGTTGACCGAAGCGCTGGGTGACAACATGAGGCGCGGCAGTCATCTTCGCTACATCCGACGCTGACCGAGTCGGCTTGCTGGGTAAACTGTTGGTTAATTGGCGAACAGATTCGCAGTGTCGATCCATGACAACCTGCAATCGCGGCCAAAGAAGCATGTTCGTACCGTTGATATAACCGTCAACAACAGGTACTTTACGACGCTGAAGCTCAAAGGCAAAGCGCTGGTTTAGGCGAATACAAAGGAAAATGCCCAAAGCGTCAAAAGTGTCAGCTACCAAGGTCCTTGACAAGGCCCGGCCAACCTCGAGCGTAGGTTCAAATATGTAATCGAAGATTTTCGAAATTTGAGGATGAGAAAACGCTGGTGAAAAAAAAGTGGCTAGAAAAGAGTACTCTGCTGTCGCGTTATCGATTAACGCTAAGTTATAGTTTCGAAACTGCACTTCGAGATAGTGCGTAGCCTGGTCCTCTTCGGCCAGATACGAGGACATGGCCGCTTGATTGGTTGTTTTCAGTAGATCTATACGCCGTCCAAGATTGAAAGCATCGTGCAGCGGCCCTGCTGATCGGGCACTGGAAAGCACGGTCGTCATTCTCGTAGTATCTTCATGACCCAAAGTGTCTGTCTTGTCAAGAGTGTGGGTCTTGATCTTGGCTAGAGCTCGCTCGTATCTGCTGAATTGATTATGGTAATACCATCGCATGGTGTTCATGTAGGCCTGGGAAACCTGGTCGGCCAGAGTTACATGATGCTTGTGAAGGAAGGTAAATAGGTCCCTGAAGCGGAGAAAGTTTTGCTGCTGGATGATTTGTGCGTTGATGTGTGGTGATCGAAGTGCCTTTATTTGCGCTACAAGAAAGTCTCTAATACGCTCGATTGCCTGAATCAACTGTCAATAACCGTCATTAAATCACAATCGCCGTTTCGTAGAATAGTCCAAGATACCTTTGATGTGAGCCTCTCTAACAAAGGGCCTAGTTCTTCAGACGCTTTGCTGAGTTGCGACGCAGAAGATGTCTTGGCCTTGTGCGACGTTGTTCTCCGGTCCAACTCTGAGAGCATCTTGGCCCACGATTCATCGATGTGGCCAGTTGATATCTTTGAAATTACCTCGGGCGGCAGGCTAAGCTCTTCCACCAGCGGACCGAGGGCCTTTTCAACCTCCCGACGGTTCTCCAACCGCCGATTCAATGCAGTCGATCGTTCTTGTAAAGACTCAATGTCGGCGGATACGGCGGCGAGGTCATTCCGAAAATCGGCCAGATTGACTTGGACCGAGTTGAGGACGTCGTCACAAGCCGTAATGGATCTATGAAGATCTTCGAATTTGGCACGTTCTTGATGGTCTTGACGTCCAATGTTAGTATTGACAAAAATGAGGAAAGGAGTCGGCGTCATACACCCGTCCATAGTTTGCGGCTGCCACGATCCTGTCATTCCATTTTCAAGAGTGTGTGCAGATGCTAACTCCTTCAGTCCAAGTCCACCAAAATCAAAATCGAGATCAAGATCAGCCTCTACAATGGAGCTTGTCTTGGCCTTCTGCGTCTCGGCATCGTTTTCAACATGGCTGGGCTCCTTCAGAAGTCTCTCTAGGGTCTCCAGCGGGTCTGCTAGGTCTGGGATAGTCGATGAATGCCGCAACGAGGAACCGTTCGGGCGTCTCGATGCAGGGAGAAGCGATGTAGACGAATCATTAGACACGAGGGACAATGACGAGCTGCGCGGAGAATGGTCAGCCCGCTGAGACGTCAAATATGGGCTGAGGGAGCTCGACGTTCTGCGTGGGAGAGGCGAGTATGACCTGTTCGCAGGTTGCGGCGTGGACTGACTCGAGGCACTCGAGGGACCTCCAGCCAGTCTATCAAGCCACATGTTGAAGGAAAGAGAACCAGGCCTCTCAGGTTCGTCGTATCGAATCTATATCGCCGTGATCATGGTACTTGAGCGGCTGTATTTAAGTGTCACCATCAAAGTCAGTTGTTAGTCTGTCAATATTCAATGGTCGGGATAGTGGAGTATAGCCCAAGGCGGTGCAGTGGTTATGAGGTCCTCATTGGTTCGAACAGCAACACAAGCCACAAGAGTAAGCCCGGCTGAGCAACAGAGTCGTGTCAGGACACCAGCGAGTGAGTACACCGTGCTCAAGCTCTTGCCGGTGCCCGTGTGGCCAGGTCTGCACGACAGCAGCGCATGGCCCGATTGTCCGGACGTGCAATTATACATGTACGTACTCGGCGCGCGCTGTGAAATATAAATGAAGGGACTTGTCAATAGCAAGCGATCTGGGCCTCGATCCAAGGTCGCCCTGGGCTTGGGCAGCTGACTGGAAAGCGAAGACTGCTTCCGGCAGCTTGGCCAGTTGACCTGGGCAACCGGGTCTCCTCTGACAGTGGTAGTGACGCTACTGTCTACGGCGGAGCGGAAGTTGGTGGTAATAATAAATACAAGTAGTGGCCTTGACCCGCCTCAGGGCCCAATCACATCTGCGAAGAAAGGGAAAAATCCTGAGACGGAACACCATTTGTCCCCTCCACCTCTACATCGAGGCTGATTCCTCTCCTCCCACTTTTGCACTCTTCTTTTTTTCTCTCCTCCGCCCACTGTCCAGCACCACCGCTGCTTTCAGTGCCCAGAAAAAGAAAAGGCCATCGCTTCCGCCTCCTTTCCCTACTGCCTTTGAATAGCATCGCTTCTTGCGCATTCATCATCATGGCTGACGAGGCAAGTTGTTCCTGTCCCCGGGGAATTACTGATGTTACTGCTTGTTGTTATTTCTTGTGCCGACCTGTTTGGGCAGCGGGAAAAATTCACCCCGCATCAATCCCCCTCGTGGCCGCGCTCGGTGTCTTCCCCTTCATTCTCTCCCTTCCTCGCGGATGCTGCTGAGCGCTGCGCTGCGAGCTTCGGGCTACTCGTGCTTCGTGCGCATGGCACCACGACAATCGAAACCCACAAGCTGAAAATGTCGTCGCGATTGCTCTCACCAACCCCACCATGATTCCTGAGCGTGTTCAATTGATGCAGATGTACGCGCCAATATCCTGGCGCTATTTTCTAGCTTCATATCTGCCACGTCGTTTGGCCTTCTTAGCTGACAAAATTCCCGCCACAGAACGACATTGAATTCGAACCCGTCGACGCCGGTGCGTCTAAGACCGTCCCCCTTCAGTGCTCTGCTCTACGCAAGGGCGGTTTCGTCGTGATCAAAGCACGTCCTTGCAAGATTGTGGACATGTCTACCTCCAAGACCGGCAAGCACGGTCACGCCAAGGTCCACCTGGTCGGCATCGATGTCTTCACTGGCAAGAAGTATGAGATTCTCTCTCCATCCACCCACAACATGGATGTACCCATCGTCCACCGAAAAGAGCTTCTAGTGGTGAGTCAAACTTACTTGCGACTTTTGTCCCCGCGTTTTGCGGCCATTGGTCCAAGGCCTCAAATCCCTGCCAATGTACTAACATGGTTATTAGATGGACGTTTCCGACGATCGTTACCTCTACTGCATGGATGAGAATGGCAACGAGGTCAACCATCTCAAGATGCCTGACGATCCAGAACTTGTTAAGAAGCTCGATACGTTCATGTCTGCGGAAGATCCCAATCAACAGAAGGAAATCTGTAAGCTATTCTCCCTAATTCAAAGCGGACTGATCAATTTATTGCTGTTGAAAAACAGGCGTGTCTCCGCATGTGAAAATTTCTGTTAACAGTCTCCACTAGACGCCAACGTCCTTACCGCCATGGGTGAGGAGGCTTGCATTGATTTCAAAGAGGTTGTCAAGGGCCCCTAAGCATCAAACGAATTTGACGCCTACTCCACGCACGGTGCCAATGTTCACAACCTTTGCTGGAACAATGTCGTCCGCATGGTATCTGAGTAAACTACAACTTGTTATGATGCTATGCACTGCAGATGTAGATGGGACAAGAAAGCCGAGGTCGACGGGTATGGGAGATGCCATATGATGGGGATTGTATTAGCTGGCTGCAGCTCTGGTCAACTTACGCACAGTTCAGGCGACAGCTCTGAATCATGTTTCCTTTGTTTCACAACGACTTCTCACCATGTTAGTAACACTGCATGAAGTTGTAGCTGGGCAAGTCATCCCAAAACAGAAAAGAAAAGATGAGATATAACGACCGTATATTGAAGTTATTTATCATGAACAGACAGTGAAAGCCAGCAAGCCAGCAAGCCAGCATTACATTATCATCATTGTTATTACTATTTCGCTTGGGTCCACGGCTTATTGGAAAGTTTGGTAAAGTCGTCACATTTCATCTAATTTTGGAACGCTTTCAAAGTGATAATTGAACGCTTCGAAACTTCGTGAATTGCATGCAAGTGGGGGGCGCACGTTGGATTTGTGGGAGCCCACTTTCAATTTTTGTCGCATATTCCTGGACATGTGGTGGCATGGCAGGCATACACACAAAATAACTTAGTATGGCGTGGCCACGCCCGTTTTTCGGTGTGATGATTTTCAAGGCGAGCGAGTTCAGCAGCCTGACCTCGGTGCACACGGGTTCAGACTCGCATGACGGATAACTACATAACTACCTACCTAACAGTCACGGCACCAGGCGTATTGCAACACAACCCGTCTCCTACTTGCCGCTCATCAGCATCCTTTTCCTGAAATTCCTCATCTTGTCCTCAAGCCAGGCCTGGTTTCTACTTCCACCTTCATGCAGCGTTCACGCAACAGTATTAGCTTTGTCATTGGGGTGACATAGAACCACCGGTCACACAGGTCAACCATGATGGAGGACCGACGGGAGCTTCGCAGAATGCCTCGAGGAGAAAGGTGTCCTGAATGCGGAAGTCAACGATGGTATCTGCAGGATGGATTGCGATTTTGCTCCCGAGGCCATCAAATAGAGGTATGACACTCTTGATGCCGTCATCAAACGGATAGCAAAAGTGGGTATCAAGACTCACAGCCTCCTTGGTAGGGTTTTATTCAGTTTGATGTCGGCGATGAAGAAGATGCTGGCAAAATGGGCACTGTGGCCCGGCGGGAGAAGGAAAGGAGGGAATTGGAGAAGCGTCAACTCACAGGCCAGGAAGGACGGTCACTGTTCCTTGAGGCATTACAACTACTTTTGCGAAAACAGCTCTCATTTCTGATCCGGATAAAAGGACATAGAGAGGAATTAGAAACGGTTGTCCGAGATTTATGGGACTTACGCATTAGGGGCTATGCCTCTGATACCCTAGGAACCGACCCTGCGATTGCCGAACCCGAAATGTTCAACTCGCAGCCCACGACAGTGGAGGTGGAAAAGAATGGGCTTTGGCTCCCGCGATCCAGGGCTCAAAGCTGGCATCCTGAACGTGGCACCGATTGGCCTATACCTCGAATGACCGAGACTATTGCGTTATGCTATCTCGGTTGTTTACTGTTGAGAATACCTACAAGGGTGGCCGACTTATATGCTTGGGTCTCAAATAGCGGCATGCCCTACTTGCGAGCAGTAAGTTTGCGCCACTGTATAGCTGCTACATTTCCTGAACGTCTTACACTTTCTAGTTTGAGGATCTACCACGGGAGATGCAAGAACGAATGCCCTCGCCTTATGCCAATGCGATGAGGCTATGTTCTCGTTCGGGCTTGAATGGAGAAGGCTTGTACCAAACTGTCATGGACACGGTTCTCTCCTTCCGACTCAATTACAACATGATGTTTCCGGAGCTCAATTACGTCCCAGTGATTGTAAAGTACGCAGAACAGCTTTGTTTACCAGGTATGTGTACAACTTTCAAGGGCTAGGGTCGGCACTGATTGACCTTAATGTAGTCGAAGCAATTGCAGCAGCAAGACGACTTGCATCAGCTTTGGATCTTCTGTTTTACTTTCCGGCATCGAAAGCGAAACTGTACTTGCTCGACAACCCGGAGGTTCAATTGATTTCACTGCTGGTCGTAGCAGCGAAAATGTGTTTTCCGTTTGATCCTAGCCAGCCCTCCATCATAGACCCTGCAGGCTACTTCCTGCCGCAATTCGAGTGGGAAAGCTGGAAGGCCAATGTGTCGAGCGGTGGCTCAAATTCAGAGAAAGAAACGCGGGAACAGGTCAAATTTGAGCATGTCACACCGAACCAGGTCACGAAGATGAGTGATGAGGAATTCGACGCATACATGTCGTATTTATCTGAGTCAGTGGGTCGTGGAAGTGAGTCGGCGCGGCATTTTCACAGACTGATAAGAGGAGCACTAATACATGAGTTCAGGTTATAACGAAATTGCTCAATTTTTCCCAGCCCAAACAGCAATCGAACCTTCATCGTCGCAGCTCAGCACGCCAGAAGAGACACTTGGGCACAGAGCCCGTCGTATTTTGGCACAAGCCGTCAAACCAAATGGCACGGACCGTAGAAGGGGAGAGGCTACATACGAAGCATTTCGCACATTCGGGGACTTGTCGGAAATTTCTTCTACATTTTACAAAGCAGCAGGTTGGTGTATACCGATGTTTTTGGCAATATCTTCTGACCGCTAATATATTCCTAGGAAACGCGGCTGGACTGTCGACTAGTACTATGGCACGGGCGATTTACATGCTGGAACAACGGATCGTCTCATGGCAGAAGAAACCTCAGGGACGTTCATCAGAAGGATGAATCATTCAGTAGACAGCTCTATATCAGTGGGAACAGAACGCCTTGTTAGACATATCATTACAGGAGTCTTGCAGGAATAGCACCCACAACGACCTACACAAGACACAGTGACAGTCGACAGTCATCGGATATAAATAAGGTCAGATACCAACTAGAATACAGTCTGCGGCAATAGGTATGACACCCTGCGCCTCCACAGTAAAAATAGGTCCGGATTGCTCACCGCATGGAGCGGCGGACAGACATTCCTAACTAGAAGGTCAAGCAGACAGCAGACCCACAAGTTGCTACTCCGTATGGCTTCCCTTTTTCATGGTGTTTTTTTGGGGGGGGAGGGAGTAATCCACGTGACTGCGCATCTGACCTAGGGCTTTCGTTGCACTCACTCTTCCGCCCCACCAACTTTGCGCAGACTCGCTCTGCTGTGCAAATCTTCACCTTCGTCAGCGTCGCAAAACAGTCAAGAGTGAGTTTCGGCTTCTGTGGTGCTAGCAATGAGTGCATTTGTTAAATTACTGACATAATTGGACAGTGCAGATGTAAGCTCGAGATTTCGATGACCCGAGTTTGAATTTACATCACCTATGTCCTGTACTGACGAAGCCCCTCAGTTTCGTGAAGACCCTGACGGGCAAGACCATCACCCTTGAGGTCGAGTCCTCGGACACAATCGACAATGTCAAGTCCAAGATCCAGGACAAAGAGGGCATTCCCCCGGATCAGCAGCGATTGATCTTTGCTGGTAAACAGCTCGAGGATGGCCGAACTCTGTCCGACTACAACATCCAGAAGGTTCGTCCCACATGCGCAACCATAATCACAGGGGAACAAATAGAATGTTCAAAAAATTTCGAAACTCTGTTTTTACACTCATTGTTACATGGGAAAATGTCAAGATTGACTAACTGGCTGCTTTATTCCGACTGCACAGGAATCCACCCTGCACTTGGTCCTCCGTCTTCGTGGTGGTATCATTGAGCCCTCGCTGAAGGCTCTGGCCTCCAAGTTCAACTGTGACAAGATGATTTGCCGCAAGTGCTACGTACGTTTCTTACCGATTTCATTTGCCCGCGAATGACGCGATGCCTCCCGGGCAGTTCAAATGGCTGACCTGATGCACAGGCCCGCCTCCCCCCTCGTGCTACCAACTGCCGCAAGCGAAAGTGTGGCCACACCAACCAGCTCCGACCCAAGAAGAAGCTCAAGTAAACGGTTTTACCCAGGGATGAGGCGTATTGGTTTTTGGCGACCTGGGGGTGGCAAGAACAGAGGGGGCTTCACGGGTGACGAGCCTGGCTTTGTTTCTACATGTAGCATCTACATCTCAGGCTATCCGATCTGGATGGGGTCTTCGAATGAAAATTCTTGCATCAACGAAATGGCCTTGCCCGGACGCCATGGAGCTCTAAAGAGTGATGAAATCGGGGTGTTCCTACGTGTTGTGTTGTGCGTGCGTACGGCTTTGAGAAACGAGTGATTCAGCCCGGCAAGATTTGACGGGACGAAAGTGCGCGCTGAGTGAGGCGCGTATTCGTGTCTAGGGTAGACTCATGCGCCCGGCGCAGGTTAGGGCGGGTAAAGCTCGGTCTTGAGTAGGGGAAGCTTAGCTGACGAACGACGGGCACGTGTCCGCAGCGGCGAGAGGCGGATTTGCGAACAACAGTTCTTCCTTGAGCAACAGCAACAGCAACGGCGTTTGTCTTGCAACATCCTGTTTCACCGCAACCATACCAAGCTTGGTCTTGCGCGACCGGTGGATACATTGTTCACCTTGGTCACCTTGTTCAGCGGTCAGGAAGCCAACAGCAGCAGCAGCCCGCCCCCCCTCCCAAACAAAACCTGCCTGGGGGAGTCCGGACATGTCTGGGTCAGGATACGACGCCGTTGTGGACGTGGACGACGAGGTATGTGATGGGTGCCTCAAAGCTTCAATTGAGGCGGGTGCGGCCTTTTTGCGATGATTGCCAGCCGACGACGCGCCTGTCCATGTCGATACATGGCAAATCACTCGGCGGCCCAAGTCCAAATCCGCTGCTGACGTATCAACGTAGGGCGACCTCGGTCACACTGACCTCCAGGAAGATCTCGAATTCCACAACTCCAACTTCAACGAAACATCGCACAGCGGCCGCAAAGGCGCTCCGTCAGGCCTTCCTCCTCCGGCCACGGCCTCGTCAGGGTCGGCATCGTCGAAGCGCTTCCTATGGACGACATCATTCTATTCGCAGTTCTTCGACGTCGACACATCGGCCGTACTATCACGCTGCTGGGCGGCGCTGTATCCTCGCGCAAATTTCCTCGATGTCCTCGAGGGCAACCCTGACTTGTACGGACCGTTCTGGATCGCAACGACCGTAGTGTTGATTCTGTTCCTGGGTGGGACCATCAGCGACTGGTTGTCGACCCGCGGAACCACGCAGTTTGCCTACGACTTTAGACTGTTGAGCGGTACGTCTTCTGCCTAGACGCTCTTTTGTCAGGTTTTGAATCACCGGGCGTCACGATGAGCTCCTAGACTAATCCCACGCCACACTCTTCTTATAGGCGCCGCCGGCTTGGTGTATGGATTCACCCTGTTCATTCCTGTGGCTCTCTTCCTCGCCCTCCGATACTTCGGCAGCGAATCTGCCAACCTTCTCGAATGCTGGGCTTTGTACGGCTACTCTAATCTGATCTGGATACCAGTGGCCATTATCAGCTGGTCGCCCATCGAGATCCTCAATTGGACCTTTGTCGCCGTCGGCTTCGGCCTCTCTGTTGCCTTCCTCCTGCGCAACTTGTATCCCGTGCTAAGCGCTACAGACCGCCAAGTCAGCAAAGCCCTCCTGATTCTCGTCGTCATACTACAGGCCGGTTTGTCTATCACCATCAAGATCCTCTTCTTCGCGCACAACAGCCCTGTCGGAAAGAAGCCTGCCGGTGGCGATGCGCCTGCGGATGACAAGCCTGCCTTTCTACTGTAAGAAACGTACGTGAGCCGTAAGAAAGGGGGGGTTGGGAGGGGGCGAGGGACTTGTTCCACAGACACGGATGACGAAGAGAGCCAGAGGTGGCCAGTCCTAGTCCCACGCCGGTTGCAGTCATTGCACCAGTATTGTTATATGAAGCGCCACCCATCATTTACACATTCGCCCAACTGAAATGTGATACTACCATGTCTCTTGTCCAAAATGTCTTCATACACTGTCTGCCGACCACAACCGCCGAAGCTTCGGCCATTGCTCGACCACCACCTCGTCCCCAGTAACTACCATGCTGTCCGGCCCACCGACGGGACGAAGCCTCGCTTTGTGTACCTACTTGTTGTGCCCGAGTCCGTCACCACCCTTGACTCTCTCAACCGGGCCCTTGCGCGCCTCCCAGTCCAGCCAACTGCCCGGATACTCACCGACGTTCTCCCACCCAGCAAGCTTCGCCAGCCCCGCCGCCGACTTGGCCCTCACGCCAGCCTTGCAGTAGAACAAGAGCGTCGCGTCGCGCGAGGGCCTCTCAAACCCATGCATGTCCTCGAAGTCGGCGTCGGACACGTGGAAGCTTTGCAATGCCGACGTGACGGGGATATTGATAGCGCCGGGGATCTTGCCAGTAGTCTGCAGTTCCAACGGCTCGCGAACGTCTACGCCCCAGTCAGCAAGAGGCCACTCTTGACAGGGCAAAATTTGAAGAAACGAGGAACAGGTTGGGAATTGTGTAGGAGGGTGTACGAGAGAGCGCGAGAGCGGGCGAGAAAGCCACACACCAACAATGACAATCTTCTCAGACGAGTTCCCCCCCGCGACCAGCTGCTTGATCTCGTCAAAGGACCAGATCCTGCTTCCGGGCACGGCGCCCTCCCGGCCGGCGGAGGAGCACCTCGTCCCGGCGGCAAGACCAGCAGAGACAGCGACGGCCTGTCGGTGTCGGGTCCGGCATCGGGAGAGGCCTGGGACGCGGGGAGAAGACGACGACGACGCGGCGGCGCAGACGGCCCTGCGTGCTGCGGCGGCGGCGGGAGCCGGTCGAGCCGTGGTGCGCAGGAGCGCCGTCGTCGTGAACCGGACGGTGGCGACCATGCTGGCGGTGGTGCTCAGTCAAAGGCGCGGGCCGGCTGTGGCGGTGGTTGGTTGGTTGGTTGGTCCCTCGTAGGCTTCGCTTCGCAGATCAAAATGGGCGGTTGGAATCAAAATGCATCTTGTGCTCTGGCCTGTTCGACCGACGTGCCCTCCTCGTGTGGTTTGAGTACCTGGATGAGGAGCTGACTGACTTGAGGCACTCGGAAATGTGGGCTTGTTGATGGCAAATCGCAACTTGTCAGTAGTACGGGCACGTAGCTGCGGGGGGGACCACCTTGATACACAGTAGGGATAAGACAGGACCATGACAGAACGACGTACTCCGTACCGGGACTAGGACTACCCAAGTACTGAGCAAGTACCTATACTTGCCTACTTAGGTACTGAAGCAGGTGCTTAGATAAGTTACATTCTGCAAAGTGTCTACAACTCCTCGCCTCGCCTTAGGTCTACGCAACGTCAAGACGACTTCAGGTTCCATTTAAACTCGATAATCCGAATCGATTCCACTGGTCTATGTCAAGACCGCCCTATCTATTCTTCCATGACCCGGTCGGGTGCCAAGCCATCCAGCCAACACCAGCACAAGCCAGCCGGTATATGAGGAAACAATGTACAAATGCCTCGAGAACTTATTACAATTAGATAGTATCCCCAAAAACTCCCGCCTCCTGACCCATTCATCCGCGAGATTACTTGTGACCCACGGAGCCGACTGGTCTATGTGCCCCAACGGCTCATCAGTCAAGTATGACTCCATACTGTGCCTCGCCGTTTGTATCAATCAACTGACGTCGATTCCGTCGTCCAGCTGGCAGTAATGGCCAGCCACCTGTATGCACCCACACACACACACAAGTGTTGGCTATTCATGACTGTAATAATCGGCTTGGCTCATCGTCTTTTTTACTCTTGTCCTTTCAAGGTCCACGTTCTTTACCATTGGCGCTTCTCAAAGGTGAGGGGACAGTCATCCTTGGGGAAGATGGTAGCAAACACCTTGATCTCTTCAGACAAGGGCGTGGGGTGGTGTGTCCATTTCATCTGAACGGAAGCCTTGCCAATCATCAGTGCAAGATTGAGTTGGGCATAAACTTGGCCGAGACAGTAATGAGGGCCGGTGCCGAACACCAGGTAGTTCTTGGCCCCCCTCACCTCAGCGTCTCCAGAGTAGTAGCGATCAGGGTCGAAGTAGTCGGGATTTTCATAAACCTCAGGGTCATGCAGAGCCATGTAGGTAGTAGGAACAACCATGGAGCCTGCAGAAAGATGTGCTTAGCTCGCAAAAATCACATCCGTCATCCACGTCGCATTAGGGAACGCAGTACTCACCCTTGGGAACAGTATACGAATCAGTAATAGGAAATGCCTTCTTGACCATGTAGGGTACCATCAGCACGGGGGGACGATATCGAAGAAGTTCACGCACGACAGCGCGGGTATAAGTCAGAGACTCAAGCTCATCCATGTTGATCTCCGCATCAGGGTCACCCTTGCGAATCTTCATGTTCTCCTCGCGAACGCGATCCAACACATCTGGCCGCTGAGCGGTAACCTGAAAAAGCCAAGTGGCAGCGCTGCTGGTGGCGTCCTGGGAAGCAAAGAGGAAAGTGAAGACGGTCTGTGATATTTCGTAGTCGGAGAACATGCGCAGTAACGGTGAAGGCTTCTCCGCGCCCTCAGTTCCCTCGCCATTCTCTTGAGCCTTGCGCCAGCGCTCAGATTGTATCATCTGGAGAATCCAGCCATCCATGACGCACGTCACCTCGCCACCAGCGGCCATACGAACCTTGCTCTTGGCAGCGCTTTTGGCGAACTCGACAAGAACCATGTCGGCGGCCTTCTTGCCATACCAGGTCTTGGTGAAAGGAACAATTATGGGGAAATTGACAAGCTCGAGAGCGGCAGTGATCAGGTAGTAGTCATCGGCGATTTTCTTGACGGCAGCGTCAGACATGTAATGGCCAACAAAGGTGCGGCAAGACACAGCGCACATGAGTTCGCGGAATTGAGGCATGAAAGGCACAGGCTTCCCGTTGTTCTTCTTGGTGATGCCGAGAAATTTTTGGAAATACGTCTTGTAGACTTCCTCCTGACCAGGCAAGTAGCACTCGAGAGCCTTGCGAGTAAAGAGGCCGTTGAGTCCCTTTCGAAAGTCGACGTGAGCCTTTCCATCGAGGAAAACCCAATTGTCGTGTCCGAGAAGTTTGTGGGCGACGTCAACAACACAAGGCTTGACGTACATTGGCGAATTGAGCACCTTTCGGGCCATGTCTCGGGTAGAAGCAATGACGACGAACCTGTGACATTGCTCAAATGCATCATTAGTGACGTGATTAGCGGTACGAGAGGCAAGAGTATACCGAGACTCGACTGGGCAAGCTGCGTGGGTGTTGGCGCAAGGTTGGAGTTTCGGATCGAACGCACTTGTGGAAGACGGAGACGCAGCTGAGGGGACCACTGGCCCATTTGGCGTAGTATTCCTCAAATTTGGGATTCACGGATTGTAAGAAAGGCCCGATAAACGGCATTTTCAAAGCTGGGCCAACGATTGACCCCTTATTCATGATGTAGCTAACTATTCCAGAGGGCCGCCACGTTAGCAATGATTCTCCGTATTTTTCGACGGCGCAACAGCGCAATAGCGTTCGGCGTGCGATCGAATTCTTGAAGAAGAGAAGCGTACTTTGGTCGTAGACCACACACATGGCCAGGAGAGTCAGAAGAATTGTCCAGGGGCCGGCGGTGCTGACGGCCTCGAGGACCATGTCCAGTTGAGGAGGGACATTAATGCTGCCATACTTGGAGCTGGCCAGGATAGAGGGAAAAGCAGACGATGAAGAATTGGCTTCCATGAGAGGCGATTGGGACGAGGTTGCTGGAGCGCGTCTGTGGAAGCTTGACTGAGTAGGAAAAAAAAAAGGTCTGTTGTCGCAATAAAATTAATCGGGGATCTGTAGGAGACGGAGACCGGGATCTGGTCGGTGGACACAGGCAGAGCGGGAAGCAGGCCCTGGTGTGGTAGTTTCTAGGGGGCGAGGTTGTTTTGGTTTGATTACTTTGTCTTTCTTTTTGTCAAAGTACGGAGTACAGAGTCGTTCGTTCCCCCGACGCCAAAGAACACGCACCAGTTTGGGGGAAAGAGTTCAACTCGAAAAACGAATAGAAAAGAGAGGTCTACCGGGGCGATAAGGAAGGGAGGCACCACAAAAGGATAAGTCAAGCCCGGTGTGGAGGCCAGGAAGGTGCATTCGAGGTCACGACTTCTCACTGGGCATTGATGTTGAACGGCGCAGCGGGTGAGCGGCCCAGGGGCCAACCACCTAGGCAGCTGAGTACAGCACGGAATAGTAACGCACCGAGCCCGAGTCGTGATGCAATTCTCCCAAACCGGCACGGACAAGGCGGTGGCGTGGTCGACCCGGCGGCGTGGGCAAATGCGGCACCTAGTTTTGTGCCTTTTTTTTTTTTTTCCTTTTTTTTCGGGGACTTTTGGCGTCGGCTGATTGCTCTGCCCCTGGAGGGCGGTTGAGATTATTCCATGTCGATTTGTGAAAAAATGTGCATGCACAGGCCCCGTTTTTGTACTAGTCTCCGATGGTGGCTTGCTTGCTTGACACCAGACAGGTTGGGTTTCGTACTCGGTAACAAATCAGAGCCGCAAAACCCGTACCGGTACTAGCGGCGGCCGAAACAACATGTCGCCACCACCACTCCGTAACGTGCAACATGTATTCGTATTCGTATCTGGCACCATGATGCGCTTTCAGCGGTGGCTCGTCGATAATCGGCACCGTTTTTCAACAGCTCTCACTATGAAGTACCCCGTACAGGCTCGCAACTTACATCTCTCACCTCCCGACTCCACCCGCCATCACATCTACGCTCCACGATTCTCCAGTACCACAATCGGCAAGATGCCTAGCTATATTGTGAGTCGCCCGATAGCTTGTCATCCGGCACCCCGTCAGGAACCCGTCTGGGCTAATACAATGTACACATCTGTCGGGTGATTACGTAGGTTACCTGCAAAGACGATGCCACCGAAGACCAGGTCAAGGCGTATGTGAAACTCTCCCCCCGCCTTCTTTCCATGCGCGACTGGGGCAGGCAGACAGGCAGACACATAGAGGTGCAACAGGCGGCTCAGACAGCGGCGGACACTGGCTAACGAAATGTTCATCTTGGTTGCGGTAGTGCGAAGCAGCATGCCATTGACCAGGGCGGCAAGATCACCCACGAGTACACCCTGATCAAGGGTTTTGCGTACGTGCCTCGTACATGATGCAAGACACGCGTCAAGACGGCGCAGACCAGCTAATTGCCAATGGACACGGTCCACTCCCCAACCAGCAGCGTATCCTTTGAAGCCGATGCCATCAACACGCTGGAATCGAATGAGCACGTCAAGGCCGTTGAGTTGGATGGCGAGGTCAAGGCCCTTTGATGCCGCGGCCAGCGGAAGCGGAAGCTCAGGAGGCAGATGAACGGATGCGGGAGGGCAACAGGTTACTCCGTACAGTTACAGGACAAAGAGGGGCAACGTGAGGGGTCGAGTGAACGAGTACCGAGTACCTACCCTACGCTCCCCTCGTTTGGAAATTTGGGACTTGATCTGAGCTGAGCACCTTTGAGTTTGAACCCGTTTCCATGCCACCTGCAGGCTACCTACGGCAGATGGATTTTTGAAAATGCATGCCGAAATCATTGATCGCGAGCCCTTGTCATGGTGGCGCTGAACCAAAGTGCGTAAACCCGTGCCGTAGTGTCGCTTGCTGAGTCACCCACCCGCGCCACTTTTCGTACTCCCGCCGTTCGGCTGGCCGCGGCCACCCACGGCGAACTACGGAGTACGACTGAGCCTTGACGTTGGAACTGCTCTCCGCCAAAGCGACAGCCAGATCAATCGCTTCGACGTAGATAGTATACCAGGCATCGCCATGCTGCCATGCGTACCTCGATATCGTCGCCGCTGAGGCCCAGCCGCGTCTGCCCTCCGTCATCTCACCCGCGCCCCCGCTACATGCAACGTCGAGCACGAGCACTCCATGAGTCACGACCGAGGCGACACGCGTCACAGAACGTGTCTGATGCCGAGATAGCAGCTCTGGCGAGGCAACACCAACATCCCCTCTGCCTCGCAGATCTAGTCAAGTATGCTTGCTTGCCTTCTTGGATCGCCAGTCTGCCCGGCGCCCCGAGCTCAACAGACCCTGCGGTCCGAAGACGTGCCCATTTGCCTCCTCACACGTCCGCGTAGCTAACAATACGCTTCTCTCTCGTCTAGACACGGACGGCCACCACTGTCGGAAAAGTCCCTATTGTCGTCTGCCAACTTCACACTTTCGCTGCTCCCCATCCGACTTGCGAGACGAATCCAAGCCCTCCGGAACTTGCCCTACATCGTCGTCTCCAACCCCAACATTTCCCGCATCTACAACAACTATCTCCACTCACTATCGATTCTTCTCCCGTACTGGCATGCGGCCAGCCGGGGCCGTCCCGTTTCCACCCTCCAAGATGAAATCGAATTCACAAACGTCCTCGCGGAGCTGGTGGCGACTCACACCGACACCATCCCCATCCTCGCCAAGGGCTTTCTGGAATGCCGCAAATACATCTCACCAGCAGAGGTGACGCGCTTCCTGGACGAGCACCTCCGCGCGCGAATCGGCACCAGATTAGTTGGCGAGCAGCACATAGCCCTCCATTTCAGCAGCCAGCCTCATTTCGCACCAGAGGACAGCCCCACGCCGTGTCCCGAACACCCGTCCTACATCGGTGTCATCGACACCGCTCTCAAGCCGTCTCTCACCATTGACTCCTGCGCCGGCTTCGTAGCTGACATATGTGAGCTGCGCTATGGCTCCAGACCGCAGATCCACGTCGACGGCGAGCCAGACACCACGTTTGCCTTTGTCCCCACGCACCTGGAGTACATTGTGACGGAGCTGCTCAAAAACGCGTTCCGTGCAACCGTAGAAAGCCGGGCTCGCGAACCCGTCGTCGTCACCATCGCGCCCGAGCCGCCTCTCAAGGAACAACCCGGCGGCGCACCACTCATCAAGCAGCCAAACAAAGATCGAGGCCAATTCCGCAGCGACGCCATCAAACCCCTGGACGACAACGCTCCAGGGGTAACGATACGCATCCGAGACCGGGGTGGCGGCATCTCCCCAGACGTGCTGCCCAATATATGGTCCTACTCGTTCACCACGTTTTCCGACGACGACGGGTTCCCCGGCTCGGGAGGAAGCACAGGCCCCGATGGTCTCAGCGCCATAGCCACCGCCAGCACGGGCGGGAGCTCCATCGCCGGCCTGGGATACGGCCTGCCGCTTAGTCGTGCCTATGCCGAGTACTTTGGCGGCGGGATTGCCGTCCAGAGCCTGTACGGCTGGGGCACAGATGTGTACCTGCGACTCAAGGGCGTGGGCAACCTTCACTGAGGCGCAACAGGGCATCTCAACGTCAGGGCTTGACTGGACGGTAGAGAGACCGACTCAGCCTCGACCCAGGACCCATCACGGATACCTTGGTTCCAAACAAGTTGCTGCAAAACAACTTAATCTTGTATTAGCTCTTGATGAGGGATGTTGAAAATCATGTCTATTTATTGCCACCTGCGCATGTGCTCGGTCATCAGCTCTCCTGGAAAGACATATATATTGTACACATAGACGGACGAATCAAACCAACCAATGACATCGGCTTGCGTGGAAATCCACGTTGGAAATATTCATCAGCTTGATAATGAGAGGGGGCGTGTTTGAGGGCGCGCGATGACATGCCCAATTTACCAAGTCCTCGGGTCCCCGTTCCAGTAGACCCTGTCAATATTGTAGAGCGTCACTAGACTTCAATAAACCTCAGAAGAAATCTGCACCATTCTCACTTCAATGGTCAAGTATTACGTGTATAACATGGTATGTATATGTGTAAACAATATTTCCAAAACTTCAACGCCAGAAACCAAAACATGAAAATAATAAAAAAAGAACGAGCAATTTCTCGAGCCCTATCCGCACAATGTTCTGCCCAACGTCAGTCGCTCGCTCAACTGGCCTGTGTCATGACTTGAATTAACCGTTTACAAAAACAAACAAAACAGCTACGCCCCCCCGGTTGACCATTGGATCCGACTAATTTGAGGGTACTACATGGTTTCAAGCTCGCGATCAATCTGTCGGTCCATAAATGTACGCCGCTCGCCCGTCAGCTCTGTTTGCAGACGCTGTTCGACAAGGGCGCGGACCTGCTTCTTGGTTACTGTATCAAGATCAACCTCGCGAAGAACAGACTGGATAGCTTCCACAATAGCAGTGTCATCCGCACCGACGTGACCGCGCTGAAAGTCGAATGACGTCGCGGATTGCATTGCGTCGGGTCCCATAGGCGAACGGTGACCGCCCGTGTATCCCATGACGGATGAAGCTCTGTTTCCTGCCATGCCCAGGGCAGGCGTCATGCTTCCTTGGCCACGCAGATTCATAAGGCTACCGCGGTTTCCGGGGAGATCTTGGTATGGTGACTGGCTTCGGTGCATGTCCTGCACCTGCGTCCCCAAAGACATCATAGATTGCCTACGGATAGATGCAGCAGCGTCGTGATACTGACCCTGCATCATGGAAACACGGTTCGTGTTGCCAAAGGGAGCTGGAGACTGGGGTGGCATGTAAGAATTGCGCCCGCCCATTCCAGTCAACACAGAGCCTTGAGGGGCGGCAGAGTAGACCGACTTAATTTCATCCATCTCGTACTGATCGGGATAATTGTAGTCTTGCTTCTCTTGATATCCACCACGGCGGCCGGGAAGGTTATTAACGAGGGCGTAGTCGTCCCATCTTTGCAGGGGAACGGACCGAGGATCAAATCCTTCGTCTTCAACAGCAACCACCTGCTTATTGCCCTTTTCTCCAATGACGACACGAGTATTTCCCCAAGTGAAGTTATCTTGATTCCAGAATGAATAGATTGGAAGGACGAAAGAGTAGATGGGAAACGCAATGATGTATATGATCATCCAGCCGATATGCTGCCACTGCCTCTTGAGGATGAAGACGAGTGCTTGCAGACCATACACTGCTGCCACCATGGCTATGGAAATAATCGGGAACTGTCCAGTATGTGAGGCCACGCGATAGATCAAATAGCCAAGGTACACGCATGTAGCTGGCAGAATGATGGTGCCGAAAAGATCAATAAAAACGACGAAGCGCATACTGAAGCAACAAAAGCCGCACATTTCCTTTAAGCGCATAAGCTCTACCAGGTTGTGGATTGTAGAGTTGATCCAGCGACGACGCTGAGACAGAAGAACGCTCCATGATTCAGGTGCGGCGGTTTTGCATTGAGCATCTCCGATAAACTTGTAGGACATGTACGGGAAGTGTTTTGTCATCAGTGTGGTGAGGTAACGGTCTTCACCCAGCGACAGCAGGTTCTTCTGATGTAGAGTATCGACGTCACAGACGGCATACTCCCTAATCACAGCATCTGAGATGAGCAGAGGCTTGCCTTTGTCGACGGTTCTGAGACGGTACATTGTGAAACTAGAACGCGTCTTGTTAGTAAAGAACACGTGATTCGGAACCAGTGGGATGGTGGACGTACCATCCAGGCAAGCAAGTGACGCTGCCAAAAAGAGATTCGAACGCCTTAGCGAGGTGATGAGAAATAAAGTACTCATAGACTTGAATCATGGTCGTCCAAGACTTTTCATCGTTTTCCAGACTGGTCTCGCCACATATGCCGGCAATCTTGGCGTTGTTGGCACAAGCAGATACAAGGCGGTTGAGAGAGTCTTCGCTAACAGACGTGTCGGCATCCACCATGAGCATGTACTCGTACAACTCGGGGTCCACGCCGATGATATTGTTGATCTGATGAAACATTTCGAGTTCCAGAGGATTCATGGGAGCACGATGATGGACTCTGTTGAGGAAGCTCATGAGGAGAATCTGAGAGTCTCGCTTGCCGCGGTTACCAGGCTTTGTCTTCCCCTGCTCCGACTCCTTGCCGACCTTGACTACAACGAGGTATGGGACCACATTGCCTTCGTATTCGTACAAACCTGAATAAACCTTACCGTAGTTGAGTTGCTCGCTACCGGGGCCAACTGACTTGAAGGGTAAAGCGGGAGGGTCGACTTTGGGGTCTACACCCAGAACATCCAGAACAATCTTTGGTGTTGGGCGGTCGTTGCCTTGACCCACGATAACTCCGTCGCAAATGACACAAATCAGCTTTCTTTTGTTGTCATACTGCAAGGCCGTGAGAGAATCTAATGCCTTGCGTAACGACTCTTCACCTTCCGTGTAGGCAGGGACCTGGCAAATCACAAACTTATCCTGTGGCGAGGGGCGTCGTTTGGATGTGAAGCGGAGAGCTGCAACGAACTTGACCAAAATAACGGCACAGATAATGATGGTGAAGGCAAGCAAAATCCAATTATTCACCGTGCATCTTGGAAAGTCCCGGAAGTCGGTGATACCCTTGTAAAAGTTGCGCTGAACGCACAGCCAGCTGTTCATGACCTTGGCGTGCTGGGTCTCATTCCCAACTGAGTTCCGGATGACTTGGTCTATAAGTGATTTGACATTTTGGCCTGGGTTGTTCTTGAAAATGTCGCTGACGCTCTCATCTAAAAAGCTGTACATGGGGGCATCCTTGTATACATCTTTTGTTTTGAAATAGTCTGTAAGATCGAAAATTTGGTTTCCGTATATGGCCCAAGGTCGCTGCATGTCGTTTCCTTGTGATTTGACGTCATCTTCACCCCAGACAAGATCGCCTTTGTAATATTCCTTGATTTTGGGCTCAAAAACGTTCCAGTACCACAAGGGATCACGCAGCTTACTGGTTGGATTGGCGTAGAAGCCCGAAGTATGTACCGCGATACTAAACTCCGCAGTTTCGTTGAAAATCAGTCTTGTTGTTTCTGCAATGCCCAGGCCTTGGCACACCTCATTCAAGGGGGGAAATATGTAGTTATCCAAGTTGAACCCAGCTAGAGGTAGCATATTCTCCGGTGTAGTCTTGACATCGGTGTCACTATGTTGCTGTCTCCAGAATTTGGTAATGTCGTAGACTTTGCCATACTGACTAACCCAAAAATCATCTTCACCTTGATGTGTTTTGACCTCGTTTTGGCTCCAGGCTTTATCAAAGTTGGGACAAAGAAGACGTCCAAACCAGATAATCCAGAATACGATCATGGCGTTGATCAAGAAAATAAGAAATACCAGAACGAGCTTCTCTCTCCATGCCATACGGACATCGGGACGTCTCATTCGACCGACGTACCGCAAAACTGGGGAAGGAATCCAGAATGTCAAGGCCCATACAATACCGACCCAAACGCGGCGCCCATGGGAGACATCTTTGGTTTGAAGCTTCTTGTTTTTTGCGAGTTCGGGGTCCATGGTTCCTGTAAAATCCCCTTCAGGGTTATAATAAATGTCGTCTTTGTAAGTGTCTCCCTTGTTACCCAGCCCATAGTCGCCGTTGCTAACATTGCGCGTTGTCGTAGGGGCAATAGAGGGGGCAGCGTGCGGATTCTGCTGTCCAACCGTCACTTGGCTTTGACTGAAGTTCCGAGAGTGCATTAGCTGGTCATGGCTTCCGTTGAAGCTGGGCTCCATAGCCTGAGGTGGGAAATAGCCGCTGCCATTGGCCGAATAGCCTGTGTCAAACCCAGACCCGAATGGGTTGATATTCGTTGCTGGTCCATTCACGTCGTGATGTTCGGGTCTTAGGTCCAGCATACTCTCGGCCTCCCACCAGGCGCCTTCCCGCATCCAGATACGGTCTTTGCCAACAAAAACCTCATCATTGCTCCAGCCTCGTTCAAGAACCCAATTCTCGATGCCGTCTTTACCATCCTTGCAGCCGAGAATAGCATAGCGGCTGATGAACTCGTCAAGATCGAAGTCCGCGGTGAAGTCGAGGTTTCTGTTGCGTCGATTTGCCCATTCAGGAAGTCTCCACGAGCGGAGCTGGCGCGAGACCGTGCCTGCTGACCATGCAGATGTAATAGATGGCAGAGCAGCAAGTTGTGTTGGAGAATCATCAGTTGGATGAAGAGAGAGATGATACCAGAGACGGTTGGATCCGAGCACGGCAGGCAGGTCAAAGCGGCCTGCGCGACCGAGGTTGATACCTTCACCCTCGATAGGGAATAACAGCTTGCGAAGGAATCCACTCTCCTCCGCAGCGTAGGCAATCTTTTCTAGCACAACTTCCCGCTTCTCTAGCTCGTGTTGTCGCTCTCGACCCTCAGGACCTGTCATGATACCCAGGTCCGGTCCAACGTCCGAGACGGCCTGCTGCATTTCTCTAACGACTGAGGAGCCAGCAGGCGACACATTCACACCGTCCTCAATCATTTCTGCATTGATACCTTGAGAATCATCAAAAACGCAACGCATGGAGAGAGCCTTGCCAAGGGTGATGTGTGGCACCTCTATCACGGTGATGGACACAGTGTCTCCAGAGGCTTGATCGGACGTTGGGGTTCGTACACCACGACCGTCGGGAGACTCATCGCCATTCCTGATTCGGATCATCTGAGCGGCGATGGCATCATTTGCTTTTGAAATGACCCAATCAACGAGAGACTCATACAAGCCACCAATAAAAGTCCATCGGTCTTCAGTGCTACACTGCCGAAGAAGTGTCTCGGGCTCAATACCGAGGAGGCCACTGACGTCTTCGCAGGTCTCTTCGAGGGCCTCTGATTCTACTCCATAGTCTAGAGTGTTTCCGAGCTTTAGCAGACCAGCCAAGGTGGAGATGAAGTTTCTGTGCGCAGAGCCCTTTATGCCAATATCTTTGAGGGCTTGGCGGAAATCGTCGGCAGAAGCACCATCATCCGCGGTAGGCAGATAAGAAGGCGGATCATACGTGCCAGATCTTGACAGCAAGGTGTAGGAGGAAGGACTCTGCAGCCCCAAGAACTCTCTCTCAGCCGGGGTCGAGGCAGATGTCAGGAGGTAGTAAAAGACATCAAATGCTCGGTAGCCTGGCTCGGATGGGATATTCAGCAAACCGTTGACGGTGTCGATGCCCCCTTGAGATAAAGCGAGGGATGCGGCGGTAAGATTGCCAGTCAAGTTCAGGGTCAAGGTTACACCCAATGCTGCTTGGCGAGGCGTGGAAGGATTGTACGGGGTGACGCATCGCAGAAATGGTTGAACAGCATCAAGCGCCTTGTATAATGAAGACGGGAGAGCAAACGGAAAGCTCGTGAGGAACGGCGTCAGGACCGACGGAGTAGATTGGTGAAGAGAGCTGCGAGCTCATTTGTCAGTACGTGCTGGCTGATATGCTGATAGGTGAAGCCCAAACATACCCGAGTATCACACACCCATCTTCGGCTCGTCGGCGTGCGTGCTCCCATGCTTTGGAGGCCAGCGTTGTGTCAACCGTGGGATTACCCTGAGCAGCCGTGAGCCATGTGTTAACCACCAAGCTGGTGCTGGATTCTAGTTGATGGGGCCGAGAGGCGAGATAGATGTTATGTATCGCATTTAGCAAAGTCGTTGTCGAAACCTGGGCAGTCTGGGGACCGCCTGCTCGTTGATTTCCCGGGCCCTCAGAGCTCACGGAGAACATGGACATGCGGTTCGCCATATTGGGCGAAAAGTAGCCCCGTGAGATGCGCGAGGGGGACGTTGGTCGTTGAGAATGCTTGAATGCTGGGACACCAATGCTACGGGTTGAGGACAATCACCGACTCAGGCCGGACGCTAGATCTGTTTATTGGCGTTTATCGAACGATTCGGCAGAAAGATTTGCAACGAAATACTTGGAGAAACAAGCTCGGTGGCGGATGGCGAATGGCGAATGGGCAGCGGTGAGCGATGGCGATCAGAGACTCTCGCGGGAAATACGTGCGAAACTCCTTTTTCTTCCCAGCAGCTCGAAGAACAACAAGAGGCACACCAAGAGCGATGAGCAGCGCACACAGCAGCGAAAGGATATTAAACGATAGGAAGGAAGCTGCCAAAGTGAGTGAGGCAGGCCACAGCAAAGCTTGATGGCAAGAAAATTAACGATCAACGGAGACAAGTCCACGATGATACAGACGAGGAGCAGACAAATGGCGCGCTGGGGGTGGGCCTTGGACTTGGCGCCCAAGACGTTGGTGCTCGAATCGAATAACAAGAGTGCTCGTTCGTCTCAGGAGGTCCGGCGGACGCCACAGACCAGAGGCGCAATAATGCTGCAGCACTCAGGTACTGGCAACTGCTACTACTCAGTACTCTGATTCTGTGGTAGCCAGTGCTGGCACACCACTGTTTCCCCCATTCCCCATTGGGTTTCCCATTTAGAACCACTAGGCATCCTTCTCGGGTCTATTGCTCGGGGCGCTCACCATTTTTGCTCGGGGCGCTCACCACCCCACATGACCCACTTTTTATGCGGCAAGCCCCGCTGCCATGCCCTATAGTACATTCTTAGTACAAAGGTATGGCAGCTTTACTCAACTCCAAAAATCGTCATTGAAAATCGACGGATTTTTCAACAACGCTGCAGCCGTACGAATTTTTCAACAGGCAGCAGCATTTTTCCTCCTTCAACAACACACATCGCGATGCCTCACGAAGGCCCTCACAACCCCTCAAATCCGCCCTTAGATTTGCCGCCCCAACGAGGCGCTCAAAGACCTCCCGCACAAGCATTCGCAGAGATCGCACACAAGCAGAGATCGCACACAAGCAGAGATCGCACACAAGCAGAGATCGCACACAAGCAGAGATCGCACACAAGCAGAGATCGCACACAAGCAGAGATCGCACACAAGCAGAGATCGCACACAAGCAGAGATCGCACACAAGCAGAGATCGCACACAAGCAGAGATCGCACACAAGCAGAGATTGAAACTGCCGCAAGGAATCAACGCTCCCGGCAGCAGCCGCCGGCGTCATTACAACGATCGAATCGCAATACAAATTACAGGGAAAGAAGACCAATTGGAAGATAGGGCTCCCTTGAGATTAAGGAATTTATTCCTTCAACGCCGTTGCCGCTATTGCAGCCGATAGATGTGACTAGATGGGTAATTAAGCGGCCGGAACAACTAGAAAATCCGGCCTGATAGTGAACACATTAAGCGAAAACACCGGAAATCGCGTTTTTGAGCGATTTGGAGCCCGCCGGCGCGGCGCTGTTGAGAAATTCGTATAAATTACACAAGCACCTTTTCGATTAATTGAGGGCATTTTGCTGCCATACATTTGTACCCAGAATGTACCGTGGCGCATGGCAGCGGGGCCGCTAGACCAAAATCGGGGCGTGGTGGGGTATTGAGCGCCCCGAGCAAAAATGGTGAGCGCCCCGAGCAATTGACCTTCTCGGACTGTTGACCTCAATTGTTTGCAGTCTGAAATGAGAGGGTTATTTGGAGGGCATGGCGATGGCAAAATAAATGGGCCACCTGGCCAGACCACGCACACACACACACACACACACACACACACTCACGCCGAGTCACACACGCACTCACTGGGCTCGGACCACATGTTAGAGCCAGCGGGCTTCAGACAACGCAATGCACCGCTAAATGGCCCGCAAGCCCCAGGCCAGACTCCAGTGCTTCGGTGCCTCCAGCACTGGTAGTTTCAGCGGACGGGCTGGGCACTTGGGCAATTCTCACCAGCTGGGTCGGGTGACAGTGCGCCGCGGCTCTACGATCTAGATGAACATTGAACAAGTTCGACGGCCCAGGCCGCGGGTTCCCGCTTGGCATTCCCTGCAGCTGTTGTAGTCATTAGGTTTATCACGCCGTATTACTGCATACGGAGTACCTCCGGAGTTGGATGCACACACAACAGTCTTGAATGCTGGGCCGTCGTCTACGAGCAGCGGAGCCGTTCATGGGGCCTCTGCAAACGGAGAACTGGAGGAGGACCGGAGAGACACAAGAGCCAGTCAGTGAAAAAGTGATGGGACGCCTGTCGCCTGTCGACTGAGCCTGCTTCCCTCGTGTGCAGACGCTTCTCCGCATCTTCCCACTGCGACAACACGCTCAAGGGCAAAAAAGTGAGGGTCATTGTTGGTAGCGGACGGAGTAGTAAGGTGATGAAGGCTCGGATTGAAGCGGAGCTGGCAAAGACGCAAGACAACAAATACGAGGAGGCGAATTGCCGCCAACAAACGCCACTCAGCGCCATCCGCCATGCCGCGGCCAGACAAAGCCAGCCTCAACCAAGCACACGGCACCCACATCGGCAGTGGCCGCTCGTATCCTGAAAAGATGTTCCTGGTGCATTCAAGTGCGTGGCACAGGCGGGCGGGAATGCTGAGTGGTGAGTGAGGAGGGGGTGGGTGGGGACAATGCAGGCGGGCTCACGGGGCAACATGGGCCACACGGTGTTCAACGTCCGCGTTGAAATGTTCAAAATCAAAGTTTGATTCTAATCTTGGATCGGGCGTGAGAGACGTCCGACGACACGACGACGGGTCTGCCGCGCCATTCAGCAGCGGCCAGGCCAAAAGGAGTCAACCTTTCCGGTTTACGGAGCATGTCAAACTGAAGATGTGACGACAGTGGCCACTGTGGGCCGGGCTTCCCTGCCAACCCTCTGGATTCTGGAACTTCCGTTTGAAATCTCCGGTGCACACACTCCGGAGTCCGTACTCTGTGTGTACATGACTTTTGAGTAGATTCGTTCTGGCCAAGTACCTACTTAGCAACAGCAAATGGCAATGCTCGCCCAATCTCCTATCCTATGTATTTGCTAGTGGTAAATAAACGACCACGTACGGAGTATCGAGTCAAGCGGCAACGCGCGCCTGCCCTGTAATGCACTGGACGCCCCGTGGCTGTACTCTGCGAGAGCTGAAATGCATTAATTTCTTCATTCCGGTGTGTGCTACGTGAGTTTGTGCTAGCGTGAGGGAAAAGGCCCTGCCTGGAGTGGGTTCTGGTCCTTCAGGGAGACGAGCGAATGATGATTGTACAAGTTCGAAATACAGAGTCCTTGGTTGGACTGATCTCAACTTGTTTCATTTTAATAACCATCTCAACTTGACAGAGCGACATGTGCATTTTGCCGCACTTCTGTGGTTCGGACAGCAAATCGCCTTGGGGGGTCTTTTATTCTGAAGTGAAGCATTTGGTCAACGTCGGGAGCGTGTCTCGTGTCTCGTGTCTCGCGGGAATTTAAAAACAATTGGCCATCGCCCGCCCGCAGGAAAGGGTCAGTACGTACTACGTACCACCAGGACTCGCGGTCTAGGTACTCCGCAGGCAGGGACTTGGCAGTTCGCGCACGGCTCACAGTAGCCCACCATCCCCTGGAATACCATCCGCAGTCGGTCTTCTCCCACGCGCATCGTGCCCGGTCGGATGGGCGACATTGTACTCCGTACTCCGTACTAGCTCAGTTGACTGCGGAGCACCGGCTTAAGTACGTAGGCTAGGTAGGGGTCAAGCTGCATCTACATCGTTAGCAAGATTCACGATAAAAGCCCGGGGTCTGGTATTCAAGGGACACACGCAGACACGCTAGCATCGCCATGCCATCCATGTACGGAGTACCCAGCCATCTATCTACCCCTGCTGGTCGATGCCGAACCTGCGAGATAGTTATTCTATACTATGCCATGTAGTTTCTTTGAAAGCCCTCAGGGCACACCTCAACTACCAGACTATCTTGTGTGTGTAAAATGGAGCATGACTCGAGTAGGCGTCTTTTGCCAAGTCAAACGAGAGGCCCGGTTGATGCAACATGATCAAGGGCAGGTGATCTGCGGGCGCGTAGTTGCCATGTTTTACGAAAGAAGAAAAAATGGACAGACACCCCCGCTACCAGACTCGGTCGAAACTCAATGGCGTGCTCTGTACCTGTTGCGCAGATGGAAACGTCGGACTGCTCCCTTTTTGAAGTACGTAGGATGAGAACAATCAGGCTTTACAAGAAAAAAACAAAAAACAAAAAAAGGCTCTGAAAAAGATTCCATTCTCAATCTCCTCTGTCTCAAGCCCTGCCTGGTCGAGACAGGAATGACATTTGCTGCCCATGCAGCGTCCGCGTCGATTCCATGCGGGCTGTGCAACTTTAATGTGCATGCATGTACGGAGAACATGTGCAGGGGTTGAGCCTCAGTGCCGCACCAAGTGTCGATTGATTCTTTGTCTGGTCCCGTTTTCGCAAAGTCACAGACACCCCCCAGACAACTAAACTCCCAGACAACCCCCGAGCAACTGCTGCCGGCTCTGAAATGTCATCGTCGTCATGTGTTTTTTTCCCTCTCGGTATGCTGTTTGTTTCCGGAGAATGTCTGATGGATGGTTAATGAATAGCATACTAGACACACAGCAGATTGTGTGGCTTGCGTTTCGGATACGGACACGGACGCGGACGCGGACACAGCTACGAGACGTCGGAAACGTCGTGTTGATGGCGTGGGCATTACTATTATCCCGCGTGTGCACACAACTGAATACGGGCATCGCTTGTCAATTGCCTGGGAATGACGAGTTGGTCATGACCTGTCTGGTCCATCCAACTCTCTGCATACTGTGTTGGCTTCTCGTAGCGCGGGGCTAGTGGACCAATCCCCTGTAAGGTCGACCCCGAGAGTGCCGGTACGTACTACGGGGCCTCAAGCGCTGGCACCTGGGCGCTCAGGCTGCGCTGTGCGCTTTTGGTCCCAACCGCTCGCCGCAACTGTCAATCCGTGAGGCTTTGCTCCCGTTATCCAGCCCAGGCACAGCACAAAGCCGTCCTGTTCCAAGCCCAGGGCCGGCCGCTTGCAACAGCCAGACCACGCATCCACGCATCCATCCATGCACCAGTTCGACCCATTCTGGGTTAGCTTCGGGCAAAGAAAACATCCCATCCATCCCATCCCTTTTCTTCCGTCGTTGCCAGAGGGGAGGTTTGATTCATACCCTTTACAGTATTCAAATTCAGAGCCGTGGCTTGGCTTGGCTTGGTCTGGCTTGCATGAGGGTATCGGTTGCGAGCCAAGTCGCCAGCGTCGTCCTGCATCTTTATTTTTCTTACATTCGCTTTCCATTGATTGCTATACAATCCTGAGTGAACTTTTCATCTCCAAACCGTACTGCGTACAACGATCCAAACCTCTCGTTACCTGGCGCTGTCCCTGGCCGTCCATCCGGCCATCCTGACATCGTGGTCAATTCGCCCCGACTTTCCAAGTTCATCGATAGCCGGTCGCTTCCGCTACGTCCCACGGCTGCAACATCTTTTCCCCTTGAGCCTGACGTTATCGAACCTTCGTTTATTCCGAGACTTCTCGCTTTTATATTCTGATTTGAGAGCCGATCTACCAGCGGCCCTGCTGGAATCGTGCCTACCATGGCATCGACAATTCCTCCTCCTACGGGCGGCGGGAGCGGCGGGCCTCACACTCAACACTCTTTACCTTCGCTGCCAGTTCACCTCCAATCCGACACGCACATCACCGGGCACTTAGCCAGTCGCTTCCATGTGTCCCATCCGACTGCGAAGCTGTCCTCTCACGCTCTGGTTTGCCTAAACACTTACACATCCTCCAGTAAGGGCCCAGATGGCGGCAAGCCCGGCAGCGCCATGGCAGGCGCCGAAGACATGGCTGACCGTGCCTGGATGAGGCTGGGTCACCGATCTGAGAATCAAGCTGTTGTATTCTTGTAAGTGTACTGATGGGTTGCTCAAATACGCTCAAATTAGCCCTCTCGCTCTCGGCTGCGGCTAACTTGGGGGTTTCCAACAGAGGAGAATCTGGATCTGGCAAATCTACCATCCGGAGCCATTTGCTTACTGCCCTGTTGGATAAATCGTCCACACCTCATTCGAACAAGCTGTCTCTGGCTGCGTACGTCTTCGATTCTCTCACAACGACGAAAACTGCCACCACCCCTACCGCCTCCAAGTCTGGCCTCTTTTACGAGCTGCAATACGATACATCAGCGACGACTAATCCAATCCTGATTGGTGGTAAGCTTCTTGACCACCGCCTGGAGCGTAGCCGTCTTGCCGACGTTCCTACTGGGGAGCGAAACTTTCACGTCCTCTATTATCTGCTGGCTGGTACCAGTCAAGCCGAAAAGACCCATCTCGGTCTTGATGACGGTGCCAGCGGGTCTAAACGTTGGAAGTATCTGGGCCACCCAACTCAACTCAAGGTGGGAATCAACGATTCAGAGGGCTTCCAGCTTTTCAAGACGGCTTTGAAAAAGCTCGAGTTTCCAAGGAATGATATTGCTGAGATCTGCCAAATCTTGGCCGCCATTCTTCACATCGGTCAGCTCGAGTTCGAGTCTACCAACAATACAAGCGCCACTGCCGATGACAGCGGGGGCTTCTCTCACGAAGGCGGTCAGACCTCGACGACTGTGCGGAATAAGGATGTTCTTAGCATCATCGCTGCCTTCCTAGGCGTCAGTGTGGGCGACCTTCAGAGCACCTTGGGTTACAAGACCAAGATGATTCATAAGGAGCGTGTGACAGTTATGCTCGACCCTGCTGGAGCACGAGCACACGCCAATGAACTGGCCAGAACACTCTATTCGCTGCTTGTTGCCTGGATACTGGAGAGCGTGAATCAGAGAATCTGTGCTTCGGAGGAGGACATTGCCAATACCATATCCATTGTTGACTTTCCAGGGTTTTCTCAGCAATCTGCCACCGGCTCCGCGCTCGACCAACTGCTCAACAATGCTGCCACTGAGGCTATTTACAACGTTACTTTGCACAACTTCTTCGATCGCAAAGCCGAAATGTTGGAATCGGAAGAGGTCAGCGTCGCCCCCACCAGCTATTTCGACAATTCAGACGCTGTGAAGGGCCTTCTCAAACCCGGAAACGGACTTTTGAGCATCCTTGATGACCAAACCCGGCGCAACAAGACTGACATACAGTTTCTTGAGAGCTTGAGAAGGCGCTTTGAAGGCAAGAATCCTGCCATCGAGGTGGGCTCTTCTACTGCCAAGCTTCTTGGTAGCAACTTTTATACCGAGAATGCGGCCGCATCATTTACTGTCAGACATTTCGCTGGTGAAGTCGAGTATCCAGTAAAGGGTCTAATCGAGGAGAACGGCGAAGTTGTCTCTGTTGATTTGCTCAACATGTTCAACTCTACCAAGAGCGAGTTTGTTGGCAGATTGTTTGGTCAAGGTGTCCTTCAAACCGTCAACCATCCCGCCGAGAAGTCAACTGTCATGCAGGCGACTATCAGCTCTAAGCCCATGCGTGCCCCTAGTGTTGTGTCTCGCAAGGGTAGAAGAGGTCGCGGTGCCGCTTCTCAACGTCGTCAGCAAGAGAGCAATCTCTTTGACGGCGGTAATACTCATACCGAATCCCGAAGTCCCAAGGGAGGCAATAAAACTGGCATCGAGCAAGGTGCCGCGGGACAGTTCCTGTCTTCTCTGGACAATGTCCAGAAGGCTGTTACGGAGCCAGGCACGAATGCTTATTTTGTCTTTTGCCTGAAGCCCAATGACCGCCGAATTGCGAACCAGTTCGATAGTAAATGTGTGCGTACTCAAGTCCAGACATTTGGCATAGCCGAGATTAGCCAGAGGCTTCGATCTGCCGATTTTAGCATATTCCTTCCCTTTGGCGAGTTTCTTGGAATGGCTGATGCCGAAACCATCTTGGTAGGCAGCGAAAGAGAGCGCGCCGAAATGGTCGTTGAAGAAAAACGCTGGCCTAGCAATGAAGTGCAGGTCGGTTCAACTGGTCTCTTCCTCAGTGAGCGGTGCTGGATGGAACTTGCTCGCCTAGTCGACGTCTCTACAGCACAAGGCCGTTTCACGGTACCGTCATCTGATGGCTATGGTAATGACGGGGTGACGCCAGGAGAGCGCGACATCTTTGGCGCCTCCAAGGAACAACTATTGTCAGGAGGGAACACGCCTCTTATGTATGGCGAGAAGGGCAGACCTGGCTATTTCGGCTCTGACGACGCTCGATCGGAAGCTGGGGCGTCCGCTATCGGTGGCGGAGACATGTTCAAGAATTTTGACACGCGCGAACAGATGGCAGAGCGCGGAAATGAAAAGAACCTCGAGGAAATCGAGGAATTCAAGGATTCACCAAGCCGAAAGCGTTGGGTCTTTACAACCTACTTCCTCACCTGGTTCATTCCCGACTTTTTGATCCGCTGGGTGGGCCGTATGCCTCGGAAAGACGTCCGCATGGCATGGAGAGAGAAGCTGGCCATCAACATGCTCATCTGGCTCATGTGTCTTGTTGCTGCCTTCTTCATCGTGGTGTTCCCTATGCTCATTTGCCCGAAGCAAAACGTCTTCAGCGCCGCCGAGCTCTCTTCTCACAATGGCAAAGATGGAAACTCAGCTTACGTGTCCATTCGCGGCTACGTAATTGACTTGGGCGAGTTTGCGGATCGTCATTACCCCTATTTCGTGACCAGAAAGAGCATGTTAAACTATGCTGGCATGGACGTCAGCACTCTCTTCCCTGTGCAAGTATCTGCTCTTTGCCAAGGCACAGATGGTTCTGTGGACCCTGCGGTCACTCTAGATTACAAGAACACCAACATGACTGGATTGGCAACCTTGATCAACTCGCAGGATCTGAACGCACAGTATCACGACTTTCGCTATTTCACCAACGATTCGCGTCCCGATTGGTATCTCGAGCAGCTTATCATGCTCAAAGGAAACTACGGCAGGGGCAGAATGGGGTTCTCCGAAGAATTCCTTGCGAAACGTTCGAAGGGGCAGGTCATGGCGAGGATTAGAAACCGTGTCTATGACTTGACTCCCTACACTACAGGTGGTCTTCGTCTTCGTGCCAAACCCGGCGAGCAACTTCCAGATGACCCAAAGCTTGCCAACTTCTTGGATCCAAAGGTCGTCGCACTTTTTCAGAGCCAAGCCGGCGGGGATATTACCAAGTTTTGGGACTCTCTTTCTCTTTCTCCCCAAGTCAAGGAACGCATGCAAACATGCCTAGACCATCTATTTTACGTCGGTGAGCTGGACACGAGAAACTCCACTCGGTGCAAGTTTGCTGAGTACTTGGTTCTTGCCGTCTCCATTCTCCTGGTTTCAGTCATTGCCTTCAAGTTCTTCGCTGCTCTCCAATTCGGTGGAAAAAATGTTCCCGAGAACCTGGACAAATTTGTCATGTGTCAGATTCCCGCCTATACCGAGGATGAGGACTCCCTTCGTCGTGCCATCGATTCGGCGGCCAGGATGCGCTATGATGACAAGCGTAAACTCCTGGTCATCATCTGCGACGGTATGATTATCGGCCAAGGCAATGACAGACCTACGCCTCGTATTGTCTTGGATATTCTCGGTGTTTCGGAAACGGTAGACCCGGAACCTCTGAGCTTCGAATCTCTCGGTGAAGGTATGAAGCAACACAACATGGGCAAGGTCTACTCTGGTCTGTACGAGGTGCAGGGTCACATCGTTCCGTTCCTTGTCATCGTCAAGGTTGGCAAGCCGTCCGAAGTGGCCCGTCCTGGAAATCGTGGCAAGCGTGACTCTCAATTGATTTTGATGCGATTCCTCAACCGCGTTCATTACAACTTGCCCATGAGTCCTCTGGAACTGGAAATGTACCACCAAATTCGCAACATCATTGGCGTCAATCCCACGTTTTATGAATTCATGCTCCAAATTGATGCTGATACCGTCGTCGCCCCCGACTCCGCCACTCGCATGGTATCGTCATTTTTGGATGACACACGGCTCATCGCGGTTTGTGGAGAGACTGCACTGACGAATGCAAAGTCGTCCTTCATTACCATGATCCAGGTGTACGAGTACTATATCTCTCACAATCTTTCCAAGGCCTTTGAAAGTTTGTTTGGCTCCGTCACCTGCTTACCTGGCTGCTTTTCCATGTACCGAATTCGAGCGGCGGAGACGGGAAAGCCTCTCTTTGTCAGCCGGGACGTGGTCGAATCATACGCTACTATTCGCGTGGACACTCTGCACATGAAGAACCTGCTGCATCTCGGTGAAGATCGATACCTGACGACGCTGCTTCTCAAGTACCATTCCAAGTACAAGACCAAATATCTGTTCACTGCTCACGCATGGACGATTGCCCCGGATTCGTGGAAAGTCTTCCTGTCTCAACGACGTCGATGGATCAACTCTACTGTGCATAACTTGATTGAACTGATGCCGATGGCTCAGCTTTGCGGTTTCTGTTGCTTTAGTATGCGTTTTGTGGTCTTCATCGATTTGCTCAGTACCATCGTGCAACCCGTCACGGTTGCCTACATTGCCTACTTGATTGTTCTTGTTGCCACGAAGACGACCGTCGTTCCAATCACGGCCTTCATCTTGCTCGGTGCCATATACGGTCTCCAAGCCATCATTTTTATCCTTCGTCGCAAGTGGGAAATGGTTGGCTGGATGATTCTGTATGTCTTGGCTGTACCCGTCTTCAGCTTCGGCCTGCCGTTGTATGCCTTCTGGCACATGGATGACTTCAACTGGGGTACTACTCGTGTAGTCGCCGGTGAGAAGGGCAAGAAGGTTGTTATATCAGATGAAGGCAAATTCGACCCCGGCTCTATACCGCGTAAGAAGTGGGAAGAATACCAGGCCGAACTGTGGGAGACTCAGACCTCTCGCGACGATAGCCGCTCAGAGATTTCTGGCATCAGCTATGGAACCAAGGCGCAGGGTGTGGTGTCGGAATACGGGTTCCCCAGCCGACCCGATTCCACCACGGGCTTCGCAGCTCACGCATTACCGTACGAGTCTCGCAACAACTCACGCATGTCGCTTGCTCCCTCGGATGTGGGTCACCACCGCATGAGCCAGTTTGGAGGCTCCCAGTTCTTCAATCCTGACGACATGGTTGGTCTGCCTAGCGATGACGCGCTTTTGGCCGAGATTCGGGATATTCTGAAGACGGCGGACCTGATGACCGTCACCAAGAAGGGCATCAAGCAGGAACTGGAGCGTAGGTTCGACGTACCTTTGGATGCAAAGAGGGTATACATTAATAGCGGTAAGGAATTGTATCCCCTAGGGGCTCTCTTGTGTCGAAGTATTCGGCTAACCTGGGATGTGCTGCAGCTACCGAGGCTCTCTTGTCTGGCCAACTATGAATGAAGAGATGTTGACCGAATTATTATAGACTGGATGAAAGACGGATTGGCGCCAACCGATTTTCAACCACATCTCGTTGCCATTTATTATTATTTAAGCACTATATTTGTTATAATCACTCCGTCTTTCCAGGGGTCGAGGAGAACGGCGAAATTGGATGGACAGCGCGTCAAAGAAGCTGGATGGAGGCCATTATTTGTTGCACCCGAGGCTATTTGGATATCTATTTGGACACCTAACCAATCTACATGTAGTATAATCACGGGCTTCGTGGGCTCGGAGAAGCATAGCATTCATAGGAAGACAGTTTATTGTTGCCCTGCTGCCTCGACATGTTTGAGTGATGGATCGAGAGTTGGACCGAGCCGGCGTGTTGGAAGCCCGAGCCGAGGGTCAGGGCCACTGCGCTTTGTTTGGCGTGTTTAGTTGATTCAGCGAACAGACAACCACGTCGACAGTGACCCCTCGCCGTGAGGGACGTGTCTGGGCGTCGTGATGCCTCTTGGTACCGTTACGGGGTGATGTATGGAAAGGCTGCCACGGCTTCGCGGCATCTTCAAGGTGGAACAAAGGCACTAGTTAACTATTCCATAGCCGAACACGTGGCGACTTCCCATGCACCAAGGCCGCCCTCGCCCTGCCCGTGCCTGGGCAGACGGACGGACAGACAGGACGGTCCCTTGTTTACGCGGCTGTCGAGCCTTTGTTGGCATGGCGACGCGGTAGGTCAACCCGAGGGGAGGAAGATGCAGGTGCAAATCTAGGGGTGGCCCTATTTTGATAGCGCCTTTTCATTTGCGGCTGCAGTATTGCTATGTAAAGCGTGCTGCAGTAATGCAAAGCAGCTGTGGACCTCGGGACATGTGGCGGTGCGTTGCCTCACGTCTTTGGGCTTTGATGCATTCGAACCCGGACGAAACAGAAACTGATGCCGAGTGGACATGTTGTATGGACAGCCTGTGTATATACATACGTATTGTATGTATGTATGTATGTATGTTATGGCTTGCCGCTTCTTTGCGAATTGTATGGCTTGCCGCTTCTTTGCGAATCTCTTTCTTTTATTTAATTCCTCTTCTCTCGCGCGTCCTCTGTTCATTGCATGTCTTTTCCAAATATTCATCGACGCCACCTTTGCTCCAGCCGCGAACGCGAGCTTCATCGCACGTCTCCCAGACCCTTTTGATGAGGGCCGCGTACACGGCCGCCGTCTCGTCCACGTCGCAACAGACCCTCTGTGAGTCCAGCCAGCTGAGGATGCCAAATCTCGTCACCAGAGTCGTGCTTCCAGTCTCAATACAGGTCGCCCTGTACACGAGCTTGAGGAGCCTGGTCCGCAAGGCCGAGCGCAGATATGGGTTGCTCCCCAGAGCGAATATCTTCTCGAACCAGCGCTTCTTGTGGAATATGCCGAGATCCAGTGGATTTCTGAGACCGTCCAGCAGGTAGTCGAGCAGCCACGAGAGCTCCGTATAGTACTTGTCGTCTTCCGATGGTGTCCCGTGGAGGATATCATGCACCATGGGAAGTTTATCCAGTCCCCAGACAGGGCTGCGCGTAAGGTACGAGTTGACTTTGGGATACAGCGGATGGAGAGGATTCTTGAGAACCTCCAATGCGTGAACCGTGAATGCGGTGAATGCCGAAGGAACGGGGCCACTGTCAACTTGCGCCCTCGATGACTCTGCCACTTCCGACAGGAGCAGCCAGATCTGCATCTTCTCCTCGTACGCCGAGTCCTTGATTTGTGCCGCCATTTTGAGAATGCCGGTCAGCGCCTCTTTTCGCAAGTGCATGTGCTCAGAAGCCAAGAGCCGCGCCAGACCTGCTGCCCATCCGTCTTCTATCATGTCTTCCACGCTTTTGGATGCCCATTTCGCGAGCACTGTGGCATCCTCATCAAACGGCAAAGGGACGTGGAGCATCTCCTCCAGCGATGCTTGACTGAAAGTGACGCCATCCGCTTCCTCTTCACCGCCACGGATTGGTTGCCGCATCGTCCACACGATTCCGTCATGCTTCTCTAGCGCCTTGACTTGCTTCGTATTTCCAAGATCGGCAAAGCTGGCTGATGTTCTAGAAAAGAGGTTTGCCACTTGCCTGTGCAGACGTTCCATTGACACGCTATCCCTGCTTGACGCCCAAGTAGCGTTGAAAAAGAATGATACAAAAGTTGCCAGTTGATGGGCGACTTTCTCATCTCCTGCGTCGAGAACATACGGCAATTGGTCCATGATCGCAACGTTGAGTAAAGATGTGCTGTCACCCGACTCGGAACCGGTTGGCTTTGAAGAATAATCCTTCATGAGGTCCAAATACTTTATGGGTGAATTGGCGCACCGGTTGACACAATTATCCAAGAAAGACCACACCGTCTCCATTCCCGCAGACCCCAAATTTTCCCTCGCACATCGCAGGGCTTGTAATAAAGTTTTGAGATCTGCAGGCCTCGTCACGACTTGACTTTCTACTGCAACGTCCCCTAGGATAGTTTTCAGTTGACCAAGTCGCGCAACTTCTTCATCACTGCACAACAATTGTAAGAGTGCATTGAATGGCGAGGAGGCATAGCCATGCCCGACCGACTCGTGTTTTACAAACCATCTCATGCCAGGTGAGTAGCTGGCAATCAAGACCAAGTTTTCTAGTTCCATCAGGCCCAATTCTCTGGGCTCTGCTTCGACACTGTCGCGGCCAAGGTCTGCCAGGACACTGGTAAAGAAGGTAGACACATCAAAGTTAGCGGCCAGCGCAACTCGAGGGACAACTTCATAGTACAACCGCAACAGGCGGCTTGTCAGAGTCCTGTGAAGGATGTTCTCAGCTGGTATGGTTTTGTAGCAACGAACAAGTTCTTTCATATCCGGTATCTTCTGACAAAACATGTCCACCAGTCGCCGGCTGGCCTCCATCCACACTGCGTTCCTCCGCCTTGATCGACCATCGAGCATCCCAAGCGCCGCTGAAAGCTTTTCCAGCGCTGCAACAAGGATTCTTGTTGCAAAGAAAGAAGTCAGGTGAGACTTTTGCGACAGGCAACGGATGAGGACTTTCTGATTGATCGGCCTGGGGATGATATTGTCGAGGAGAACTGAAGTCGGAGGGGGCATAACCGCGTATCGTGAAGGGTCGCCAAATGATGCACGGAGCGGGATCATCATAGTGTTGAGCAAGAATGCTGCGTATCCGACCCATGTCATGGTCAATTTGGGCTCGAAGGTGAATGACTGACTATTGAAGAAATAGTCCGAGATGAGCTCTGGCGCAGCACCAAAAATGGCAACCAAGAGCTCGCAGTGCTTCAGATTGGACCATGGTCTAAGCTTGCCAATGAATTCAGAGAGTGCAAAGTTGTAAACAGGAACCCCCTCTGGAAGCCTGCCTTCCCAAGGGTCGCCATTTGCCTCATTATTTTTGTTTCCTCTTGAAAGCGCCGAAAATTCATCCTCGGCTTCTTTTGGATAAAGTCCTTTGTATGGGTAGAGTATGCCAGCACTGGGAGTCGTACAGGCAAATGTTAAAAGTTGGTGCGCCTTTTCGCAAACAAGATCTTTCTCGTCGGCGTTGGCAGTCGGGTTGGAATATGAGTAGAGCGACAGGACACGCATCAAAATCTTGGTGTTGAATGCTTTGAACTTGATCTCGCGAGCGATTCTTCCGTCAGCTAACACGTTTGCCTTCAAAGATTCCATGATATCTATGACAAGATCTGGAGGGTCATTCTTCATCATATATGTCAGGTGTGACAATAGATCTCGTTGTGAAAGAAGCTCTCGTCGGCCTTCGGAGTGTAAGTATTTGAGGCAGCTCAAGAAAAATCGTATAGCATTGGTTCTAACCGAAGCTTTTCGGCTACCCTCCTGCGCATCTCTCACATGGCCAATTTCCATATTTCGTCCCAACGATGTCAAGGTATGGATTCTGGCGCGCACGATTTTCTTTGCAAAAGCTCCACCATCAAAGCTGACAGCTTCACGCAGCAGCCGCAGAGTGGGTGAAATGATGAACCCTTTGCCTTTTTCAGATCCAAGGTTCCTTGATATGCATTTGAGTTGTGATTCCTGGACCAAGGTCTGACAAATGCCGAGTCCGAATGGCACCAGATGCAGAGACTCGGACAGCACCTGAAGCACGAGGGCGAGAACAATAGCAACAAATGACATGACGCCTTCATCATTCACCTGAATAGAGAATGACCACATCTCCATGATATCGCGGAGGTGGACGGCTTCCTCGCTCGTGTCTCGCGGCTTGATGCTCTCCAGGTAGCCCTGCAAGATGGCGAGTTTCTGTTTCCGGTCGTCATCGCAAGAAATAATATCATCGAGGAGCCGCTTGAATGACTGAAGTCCTATTCGAGTCGGTCAAATCGGTCAGTCATCGAAACAAATCCGCGTACTGAAGGCGGAGGGGCACAGACCGTGGTGAGCATTGCGCATATCTTGGTCAAAGGTCAAGAGCTGCTGGAGCTGTTCGCTTGACGTGACAAGCTCGCCTGTCGGAGTATTCTGGGTGAGCTTCTGACGCTTGCGGAAAGCCGCGGCACCGTCTGTGCATTGGGTCGATCGCTTGACCATTGCGACGTACTCAGTTGAGGGGCTCGCCGTCCGAATGGATGCGACACTGCACGTCGGCCTTCGTCACTGTTACTGTTCTTGAGAATTTGGAGTTCTGCCCATCGTCACCGCCGTCCCGACAGACGGAGATGGGCTAGTGTCTGTACTACGATGGCACTTACAGCAGCGGGCCGCCGCAACACGTCGCACATGTAAGGCGGTAAGTTCGTTAGGTTGTGGCTGGCAGACTGGCAGTTGGCGCCGGACATGGAAGACAACAAAGCCATAGTCTCCTTTCTATGGAGTAAGCTCAACTTGCAGCTCCAAGGTCCCTGATTCATGATGTAGTCGCCTTTTGGCTGAATGCTGCTCGGAGAAAGTATCGCCAGTTGGTTCCCCACCTAACAATTGTGCAAAACCTTTCGACGACACGGCAGGCAGGAGCTACCAACTTGCTGACTAACTGCATGAGTGCCTAATCACCAGGCAGTTGCATGCTGGGAGGCAGGAAGTTGCAAATTTTAGCCTCATTTTCAATTCTTCAAAGATCATCGTCAATGCAAGTGTTGCTCGAAATTACTACATACGTACCAGAGAAATGACCTGCCTAGTCCATGGCTAACCTGCCTCCACACACACTACACTAGCTTAGTCGTCCGCTACACCCCTCCTCGGGCTGTGCAAAACACCATCAATGGACAGAGGAGGCCCGAAGATGTGAGACAGGCATGAGGCTTTGCCCTTCGCCAGAACCTTCGCAGACCACCATGGGCCACCAAGGACATACAGCATGAGCCTGTTGGTGGACCTCGTCAGCATGAGCACCGACTCAAACACACCACTGATGCGATGCAAATCCAGCCGGCCAGTCCATAGCTATTCCTGCTCTTGGTACCACCAGAACGTACCCGTACGAGGTGATGGCGGATTCAACTTAGTCGTCAAGCCTAACTGACAATGCGTCGATCCCATGTACTATCTACTATTCCGTACATGGTAGAAACCAACGAACACGTGGGTAGCCTGACATGAACACCTCCATTACAGCCAGCGCCACTCGCCTGGGAAATCCAAATCTCCGACGTGTATCAAAACCGGACAGGTCAGGGGCTTTCTTGACAACTAAAAGACAAAGCCGGTTCATACTTGGATCAATCTTTTGTGCATTGCGGTACGGAGTACCGTCAATGTCGCCAAGTGCGAAGTTCACGGGTGAGTGGCGTGGCCAGGGCGCAATTCCAATCGAAACGCAACTCTTCATGAACACCAGAGCTCCTTGGCCAATGTCTGCAGACCACGCGACCCTCACGGGAGCAGCCTGTGGCAGTGCGCTTGCAGGCTTGTGATAACGACGCAGCCCTCAAAGGCGAATGCAACTCATCGACTCGCCGTGCTCAACTGGCCGTCTGACGTTCTTTGTGGGTCTTTGAATCTCAAAGGGTGGTGCCAGCCACCTCGACCGTTGTTCTAAGCGCCGACTGGACGACTTTCATCGGAGCACAGCCTATCAAATTGCGGCATCACACACCGTCACGAATGAGTTGCCAAAACCAGCTGGTGTTGATGGAACAACGAGAGCTTTTCTCGTTTTGTGTTTTGGGCCACAGTGCTTGGGGACCCTGGCGTTGGGCCAAATAAGGCCCTTTCCACCTCGAACCCAAGGTCTCTCCGATTCTGTCTGAAAAAGACGACCCTGCCGTTCTCTCGCAGATGATCTCCTTGCTTGTAGCTGTTCTGTTCCAGTTCACGTCTTCGAACTTTCAACTCGCTGGTCGGTTGTCACTCCTACTATAATGTTCTCGTCTCCTTTGTTCACCCTCTTCCCTCTATTGTAATCACGATATGCAAGGGCGGAGAAAACACCGTGTTTTTTTGTCTATAGCATGAAAATATCGGCTTGTACCAGCCCTACTGAGGTCCCAGCATCGTGGCTTTCAGATATTATTATGGCTTGCTGGTCTCCCTTTGCATCTTGCTTCGAACGACAGCCATACTATAGTAAGTAAGCGTCTCGCTTCTGGTCTACCTGTTCGCTAGCCTCGACACCACTTCCAACTCCAAACTACGAATAATTGAGATTCTGACGATTGCTGATCTTCCCAGGCCGCGAGAAACGCGCTTCAATGATTGTTCTCAACCAGCCTTCTTTTCAACATCGTCCAGTTGCTGTGACTGAGGCGAGATATTCGGATGCTACGTGGAAGCAAAAGCCTCAAATGAAGGACTTGGGATCAAGTAGGAGAAGCTTGACTGGGAGGAATCGGTTTCTGTCAGATGGGTCGTCGCGCCGGCCGCTCATTTCTGCACCCTCTGATTTTCGGCATGTACAGTCTGGTTCATTCCAGTTTGACACTGATGTATCCCCCGTTAATTGTCAACCAAGTCCACGACAATATCAGCGTCATCAGAATGAATTCGCCGGGCACGGTGGCCACTTTCGCCCGCTGGAACTGAGCATATACTCGCCTGACCGTCATATATCGCCCCTTCTACCGCATTTTGAGTTTCCACGAGTTACAACAACTTCGCCACCTCCAGCGTCCTCTGCGGAACGTTCTGAAGGCCATCTTCAGGTGTCTCTTCAACGGAGCTATTCCTCCATGTCGTTTCACGTTCCTCGGAGACATGTTGTTGACCCCGCTTTGCCCGCCGGCCCAAAAGAACTTCCTCCGCAAATTCCGCCCAAGTCTAGACATCGAGCCCGAGCCTACACCGCTCCTGAGGCAGAAGCCATCAAGGAGCGCGTGGCGAGTGCATTGATTGAGGTTGATATACTGCAGCGGAAAATCAACGACGTGGTTGCAAGACAGAGCATCTACATCAACAGTCGACCATCAACAGCGCATTCGATGATGATCCAACAGATACATGGTATGTCTTGTATCTCTTCATTTAGACATGCCTTCATTTCTGGCTGTCCAAAGTCGGGCCATTACGCTAACTATTTGAAGACTTGGAGCCTATGCCGTTGATTCCGGCTCTGCCGCCCGCGGCCCCGTCATTTTCTCAGCGCCTTAATGCTGATATAAAGCGACCTCTAACTGCACCAATCAAGGCGTCAGCCAACGCGATACCGTGTCACGAAAAGACGACGCCTGAAGACAGTCTCATGGCCACCGTGAAGCAGAACCAAGCAGTGTCGCCACCACTATCCCGTGTCCTTCGACCACCATTGCGGAAAAAGAAATCATTCTCTCATGTGTCGGCCTGGCTGTTCTCTGATCACGACCAAGGAAAACCCAGAGACTTTGATGTCGTCACGAACAGGCCGAAGCCGGTTAAGAACAGAGGAGGATTCTATCAAATTGTCTCTGCTCATGGCACAGTAGGGCAACGAAGCTGCGAGTCTATTAATAGTATATCGACCTGGCAATCCAGGGATGAAGAGGACACGACGCCATCAATGTCATCATCCGAAAGCACGCCGATGTCGAAGCAGGAAGAAAAGTCTAAAACAGACCGTAGAGCAACGTTTGGCAAGGATGATGCCAGAATTGGAAAGCCACCGGTTGGCGTTGAGATGTGAGGTAGTGCCTTATCTTTGCACTTCATAGAGAATACCCTGGAGGGACTGGTGTGTCATTGAATGACACCTTATGTGTTGACATGGCGTTAAGGGGGATGGATCAACAGGGGTGCTGGACACGAGCTTGTGTTTTGGCAAATCTTGAAACACGCTGCGATGGGTGTGAATGGCGGTAGAGAAGGATGCATACGGAGTTTGAGACTCGGGTGGAAGCTGTAGGCAAAGGACAAAAGGTCCCGAGTGGAGGCCTTGGCATTGGCCCAAGACCAACAAAAAGGGAGTTCTGAAACGGCTGATGCGCGAAACAAGCCATGGCTGGATGCCGGGCTGTTTGATGGCATATATATAGTATCTGTATTGAACGTACTGAGTACGTCATGTCGGCTTCGCTATGTAAATTTGGTGGCAGTAATGCCGTTTTGGCCGCAGCAAAAGCTGCTGTCTCACGGCAAATTGAGAAGGCTGACGTCGACGTATAAACACCAGACAAGACAAGAGTCTCCTCCAATAGTCGGCACTCGGCATAGTCAACTTCTGTGAGCAAGACAAGAGGCTTTAACAGGTCAAATGCTCTTAGGCAGCTAAACAAGAGGACATTGACCAAGGAACCACGAAGCAAACATTACTGCTTAGTGTAAATTAAAATATATATTACTTGTAAAGCCCTAATACAGCTTCTGTTTGTACAATATCTATCGCATTACTAGTATTATTGTAACTTGTGGGAAGGTGTGTCGACAAACCGAATAAATAGACCAGTTGACCACTTGAGCCAAAAAGATACTTGTCCTGCACCACATGTTGATTGATAGTCGAAGCCTGCCCGTCCGGCAGATCGGCTCGCGCTGGCACAGCAGCTTCTAGTGCGATACTCACGGTAGCCAGGCTAGTCCGTGCCACACACAGAGTAAAAAACATACGCATCTCACAGTAATCTGCCAACTTGGGTTTGTTCTTCCCTTGCTCAGCATTGGTCCCAGAGACCACCCTTCTTGGCAAAGTCTAAGCCCTTGAGAAAGTCACCCACTTCACAACGTCCGAGTTTGTCCGCCTTGCAGCCCTTGGGTGGGGTTACTCTGTCGTTGACGAGAATTCGCACCATTTCGTGGTCGTCCTGGTCACAGCGCATCTTTTCGACGTACATGCGTGCCCCGAATGGTACAGCCTGTGAAGCTGAAAACCCGTCCGCTTTCTCGGGGGATACCCTGTGATCGGTGGGCATTTCGGTAGCGTTGGTATATAGGCCTAGTGCGCCGTAGACTGTCATCAAAGTGTTGTCGTGGCTAAAGTCGGCGTATAGTGGCCGGTTGAGCGGGAAAGTTGACGGACTTGAGTCGAGGGTTTCATTTGTTGATGTGTGGTCTCGAACCGGGGAGTTTGAAAGCCGAGCGATGAGTTCATTCACATACCCAACTCCCTGCGTCGGCCCCAGTGGATTTCCCGGACCGTAGCCATACCACTTATCCAGCGATTCGTAGTATTCATATCCCAGCCACTCCTCCTTGGAAAACAAGCGACAAAAGTCAGACGGCGTCGATTTTTTCGATGCAACCGTGTTGAACGGGCATAGATCCATCAAGTAAATCGTTTCCTCTAGGGTAATGTCGGCTCCAGGAAGCTTCGTGTTGAGACGGTCCATTATAGGAGTGGCCCAGATGTTCCTCCAGCGGGCCTGTTTATCGTGTGCAAGCTCCGCGTCAGGTCCATTTTCAAACGCGCCACAGGTTCCGTGGTCCAAGGTATTGTTGGAGTCGTTGCCTTCTGGAAGGACCAAGATGTCCTTCAAGTATTTGCTGCCATTCTCGGCTTTGGCTTCGTAGAAGCCATGGACAAAGTTTTGCGCTGACTTGATGACTCTGTCAGAGCCCGAGGCTCGAACGAAAGGATGGGCCGCATGCTCAGCTAGCTTCTGGTAGCGCTCGAAGAACTTGTTTCCAGACTTGACCATTTCCTGCTCGCCCAGGGCGGTGAGGTCGTCAAAACCCAGAGCATACTTGTATTTCTTGAGAAATCCGAAGCCCTTCCCATAGCGCTTGACATCCTTTTGAATCCGCTCAATAAGGTCCTTGTAGGCCTGGGATTTGCCGGCGGTCGGGTTGCGCGACCCATGTCGAGACAAGATTGACGCAAAAGTAAGGTCGCACCCCGACGGAACATCTGGCTTGATAGGTCCCGGGTCGGCCGAAAAGTACGGCGAGTACTGGCCCCAGTGCTTGCGAAAATCGTGTGAGCAAGAGCCGTTGTTGACGCAAGATTTGGAGTCTGATCGATCACGCCTATTGAGAAATCCTAGTTGAGAAACACTCGGCAATGGGACGCTGAGTGATGATGGGCAGGAGTACGTGTCACTTACGCGATGGCAAAGCCCAGAAAGACAAAGACGGCGAGCAACATGATGCCCATTGATAGTCTGAAATACCTTGAGCGAGGCGGCAGCTCATCATGGAAGACCTGGTATGCGGGATTTCGCCTCGTCACGGACGTCACGGGTGCCGGAATGGCTCTGTACTTGTAGCTCGGCCTGGCGAGTGCCCTCAGCGAGGTGACGGTATCTGAGATTAGCCCCATTGTCTCAATGCCACCTCGCCAGTTGACGCAACGCAGTGTGAAGTTGTATATTGCCTCTGCACAAATAGTAGCGTTCAATTTTGCGTCGTACAGGTACCAGTCAACATGGGAGAGGGGTGAGACGGATTCAAATAAGTGCGTCTGGTGGATCGCTGGCGCTTGATTGGTGTCACCGTGGCTTTGCGAACAGCTCTCGCGTCTCCAGTGAAACACGGTCGCACTCTGAGACTCGGGATTGTTAGTAAGTTTTGTAACCCGTGTGTGAATTGTGGCTGCTCACCGTCAACTGCCCACCCCACCTTGATCAGACTTGAATCTGGTCCTCAGCATTCATTAAGCTGGTGCTTCACAAAGGCCGCCTGACGAGCAAGGAGGAGGAGGTTCCCCTCGCGGAGGAGACAAATGGCTGGCTTGCTGAGCACGACAGCAGGGGAAGGCTGAGGTCTGGATATCCACCTAGGTACAGAGTACTCCGTACTTGAGTAGATAGATGGAGAATCACAAGCAGCAATGGATCTGGACATTGTTGAATCTGAAACCTGGGCAGCTCGGGAGAGGAAGGGGCCACGGGAAGGCAGGTGGAGAAGGGGGGCAGGGGAGGGGAGGGAGTGGGGCCCGCGGTCGATGCCGTCCACGGTTGGTTCACACAAATTCACAACTGTGGGTGGCTCTGACAGGCGCAGTATGTAGACGCACGCATCCGGTACCAGGTGCCACTTTCCGAGATATCAACTAGTAAAAAATCTAGATAAATACAAGAGATGTATAATCATACTTTACTAAGCAATAGTATAATAGGTATGGTAAGTATTAGTAGTACGTAATTGCTCTATTTTTGGAGAGCTAAAGTGCAGTTGATATAGCTCCACTATTGTGACAGGCTGGCTCAACGAGCGATGGCAGGTGCCAGCGGCAGCCGCCCCAGTGGCTTGTACTCACTCATGCCAGACCCTCTTGCCGACCCGACCGCTGGGCTAATTTGGAGGGTACGTATTGAACACTAACGCGAAGAGGTAGGCCATTGCCGACGGATGAGATACGGAAGCCTTGGCGCTCCAAAGACGAAGAGTTCGTCTCCAATCCGACTCCCGGCGGGGACTAGGCACATGTAGCTGGTCTTTGCCAGCGCAAAGCGTCGCCCGTGACTTTGTCGAGAGGCAAAGATGAACTGGGCACAGTGCTCTAGGATGTCTGACCTCAAACTCCGAGCACGCTGTGTCATCTCTTTTGTGAGCTGTCGTCCTTGGAGCGCCGACATGTCTCGCAAGATTCTCGTTCGTACTATATCGTTAAGACGTTGTGTAATCGAGGAGACAGTCTGGGAGAGAGCTCCAATCAGTCACCCACGATGGAACGCCAGTGACAGACCTTGGCCACCCAACTCCAGCAAACATCAAAACCTCGTTCGCGAAATCGTCATCGTAGTCTGTGTGGGCTTGATGGATTCGGATAGCTTCCTTAATCGTGCTGATATAAACAATGAGCGGCGAACTGCGACAGTCTATTGTTGGAAGTGTCGAGGCAGTTGTTGCGACGGGTGTTGAGGATCCCGGTGATGACAGGCCGGCAAGTCCCTAAACGTTGTCGAGGGGATTTGTTGCTCGACAGCCCGCGAAATTTGTCAGAAGCGCCGAAACCTTTGACCTCTGCCCGCCATCAACCTTTCTTTGAAGCTGGCCCACCGCATATATCTGCCTCATTCCACGGAAAAGACTGGGGGACGCCCCTCTTTCGAACTGTAAAGCAAAGCTGGAAACATCGACTTGGAAACGGTCATGGAGCGATTGCGGCGGCCAATACTTGTCGGCAAAATCGAGCAACACATTGCAGTTCACAACGTAATGACCAAAATGTACCATTGCTTTTTGGGAGACTGCAAGTTCTTGAACGAGCCACAGCCTGCTCCAGTATGGGTGGCTGAGGAGTTTCTCAAGATCATTTCCGAAAACTATGTTTCTGACGGTTAAGATATTCTCCAAGACCACTGGAGCCTTGAATGGTGCTTGCATTCGGGTGGCTGCACTGTGTTTTCCAGGGACTTTGGCGGTAAAAGCCACACTCTGACACATCTGACACAAGCAGCGTGCATGAGACGTATCTGGGCCTCTTGATCGTCTAGCTCGTTTTGATGGATGCATATGGAATCTATGCACACGTACCGCGACCGAATCAACGGGACAGAACCATGCAGAACCATGGATGCATTTTTGTTGACACGGAGATGTGCTTCACCCAGCCGGAGAACTATCTCCCTCTCCTGACCGTCTCATGTGTACGATAGGGCGTGCGTCGTATACGGCGGGACACTCTTCCAGTGCAAACTGCAACAGCTCGAACCTGTGACGGCAAAATCGGCCATTAGTTCCGGCAAATTGAGGCGACAGCGGCCCACGATAGGAAGATGTAAAACAAGAATGAAAAGTATGAAAAGAAGGAAGTCGTCCAAGTTTTCTGCCAAGTCCATGCCGTTGTAGAGCAACGACCGGGACCGAACATATCGAATGCTAGAGATGTGCTCCAAGATGGTCTGCGGAGGATGCATAATCACTTGGATAGTGAGCAATCGCGAACCTACCAAGAGTGGGGCGGCCATGGTTTTACCGTCAGACCGTCGCTGTGCCGTTCCCTTTGATTTGCTGTAACGGCCCAGCGGTCAATTTGACGGCACAGCGACCGTCTACTGATTGTAATTATAGGACTTATGATTGCCAGTATAGTTTAAAGTAATATTACTCCAGATAATAGCTGGTGCTGGGCTAGTTTCATAGCCGCCAATTTTCAAGAGACAATTATTCTTTTTATCGGGTCATACGCATTTAATTTTGGAGCTATACGCGTTTAGTTGTCCATGGCATCTTTGCCACGCTTGACGTGTGCTAACGTTTTAGTGCACGGTAACTTCTATCGCGCCTTCCTTCCTTACTCATCCTCCTGCTCCTGCTCATGCTCCTGCGCATGCTCCTACTCGTACATTTGCTTCGTCTCGTGCAACCTGTGATTATTACTGCAACTACAGCAACACGCCCGAGACTGCGCGTCTCCATCCACCCGCCATGGTGTCCACGGCTGGAGGCATCGTCATTGCCATACTCGTTCTGCTGACTGTGGCCGCCGTCGGCTGGGTCGTCTACGCTCAAATGCGCGCGCGCAGGTTAGGCGTACGTACCAGCCAATACACCCGCACATCTCGTCTGTCAACGCTAACTGTTGATTCTCTACTTGCTTCGATGCATAGTTGCCGCCGCCTACGCTGTCGTCGTATTTGCCGTGGAAGCGAAGCGAAACTCCATACGGTCCCCCGCAGCCAGCGCCCGGCGGCGTCGTCGGCTGGTTCAACGATCAAATTCGCAAAATGAAGAACAGAAACAACCGCTCCGCGACCGGTGCGTACGAGCGGCCTCTCCAGGGCGGGAGCGGCGGGCGTCGAGGCTTTGGTCCTCTCGATCCTGACGAGGCCTGGGATGCGCGTGTAGGCCACGAAGCCGATGGCTATGGCTACTATGAAGAACAGGAGCTCGGGCGACACACAAACACCGAGTACGCCGGCGGCAGCAGCTACAACATGGACCTGGCTGCGACTCCAGGTGCAAACTACGACGATGACGAGCGCGGTCGCAGACCAGGCTGGCCTGGCGCCGCCCAGAACAAGAATCCATTCGACGATGACGCTGTCTCAAGTTTGCGTGGTGTCAGCCCGCGACCTATTGATGCCGCAGCTGGGCAGAGCCACAAACCAAAACCAAGCGAACTGGAGAGTGGGAAGTAGTCATACTGAGAGAAGAGCTGACTCTGGGGAGAACGTATAAACTGGGGAAGCTACTTGTGCTCCCCCCCGGGGAAGAAGGCAGCCGATGGCGGCGGACAAAATTGCATAGCTCGGGAGAAAGGCCATGGTGCCTCTCTACTTCGCAGGTGAAACGTGAGCATTCACCGAAAGGGGTCACAGTTGATCTGTTTCAAAGCTACGAAATCTACTCTTGCCAAGCGGAAGAAGACTGGAGCGTGAGAAAATGAGTGCGCCTGTTTCCCCCTTCGTCCTTGTGACGGGATCTGTTGTACTGTATAGCACAGGAAACTTGAATGCGGTCGGAGGTCATTTGGGGTACAGCCGTGGTGATGGCGCTCTCTTTTGATATAAGGAAGGCTGGATTGCTGTGTCGTCATGTATTAGTTGATGGACGTTTGAAATTTGTTTACGATGATGTCTTGGCTCGGATAATTGAACCCAGCAATTGGCGCATTTCTCCCCAGCCGAAGAAGTGTCTGACACATGAGCACAGCGAACTGCCCAAGTTCCCAGGGTCTCAACGCCACCCGCCCAGGTCGAATCAACACTCAATCAATGCCCCTCCTCCACCCCACGCCCGGGAGCCAAGGAGCCTCAAGAGGCTTCAAGGAGAACCGCCACACTGGCAACTCTGTCCTCTGCCCTGCAAAAGAGTATTGAAATACTTGAAACATTATTATTTTTGACGGCCGAAGTGGCCGCTGCGACAGCCATGGCAGACCTCGACCTCCAAGCCGTCCACGACGAGATGGTGGCCATTGCCTACGAAGCCGGCCGGATGATTCTCAGCGCCAACCCGGCTGATCTCGACACTGGCACCAAGCTCAACTGTATGTCTGGGGAAAGGGGTGCCATGGCCCTCACGTCAGGCCCCAAGAACCACGTCGCGGATTGCCATCGCATTTGGGGCCCTGATAGCTAACTGCAGACTTCCATGGTCAGCCGTCGACATCGTCACCGAAGCCGACCAGGCGGTCGAGAAGATGGTGTCCAGCAGACTGGCTGCATCATTCCCATCCGTTTCTTTCATGGGCGAGGAGACATACAAGCCCGGCATGAGACTCGGACCGGAGCCCACCTTCGTCGTTGATCCCATCGACGGTGAGTTTGATCCTTGAGCAGTCACTCTCGTCCTCCTTGCAGAGTTGCTAAGTGATGCCACGCCCACAGGCACCACCAACTTTGTCCACTCGTTCCCAAACGCCTGCATCTCCCTCGGTCTCGCCGTCCAACGGTCTCCCGCCGTCGGCGTCATCTACAACCCCTGGCAGGACCTCCTATTCACAGCCATCAAGGGCAAAGGCGCCTTCATGACCCGGCACAAGGCCACGACTCCTCAACAGCTGCCCCTTGCCAAATCTCCCCGGCCCCTCCAAGGTCTGGGGGCATCACTGATTGCAGTTGAATGGGGCTCCGACCGTGAGGGTTCCAATTTTGACCTCAAGGCGGACGTTTTCAAGAAACTGGCTGCCAGTAGGGAATCGGGCGGCGCCATGGTGCACTCGCTTCGATCTCTGGGATCGGCCGCTCTCAACATTGCCGCCGTGGCTGCCGGACAGATGGACGCCTACTGGGAGGGCGGATGCTGGGCCTGGGATGTCTGCGCCGGCTGGTGCATCCTCACGGAAGCCGGGGGCAAGATGGTGAGCGGGAACCCGGGAAACCGGGATCCGGAGCTGGAGTCGAGGGTTTATTTGGCCGTGAGGGGCGCGCCAACGGGCCAAGACGAGCTGGTGGATGAGTTTTGGAAAGTTATTGGTGACCGAAAACTGGACTACTCTGTTTGATTTTACGGCCATGACACTTCAAACTGGTTGCTGAGTTACGACTTGTAGAATGGGATCAAGAACAGTACATGGTATGGACGCCCGGATCTTAATAGACACGAAAATCTACGCAGTTCTTGTGTGCGCGGAGGGTGATGTCGGATCATGACGAGTCCTCTATTGTCTCTTTTGTTCTTTTTATTCTTCTCTTCTGCGCCTGTACTGTTTGTTCTCTGGGTGTATCCGACTCAGCACCCCGTTTTGTGGCTGCCCCGGGCAGGGGTGCTCGTAAATGTCTCATTCTCTGGCGTGGCCTTGCGGGACATGCATATTCTGCGCCTCCAAAGCCTGCCCGTCTCTCCGTCAAAACCACATCATGGCCCAGTACTAAACCTGCTCCTTGCTCTCAACGCGGCACCATACTTCCAGAGCAGAAGCGGCGCGGGCCACCCAATGACGATGGAAACGGTGGCCAGCACCGTCCCGCCCATGCCATAGCCTAGGTTCTCGTACATTGTCGGCGCAAACAGCGGGAATCCGAAACCAGCCAAGCTGCGAAGCACCGTGACGGCACCCACAGCACTGGCGGCGTACCGCGTGTACGAATCGACAATGTATCCTTGGACGCACTGAAATCCGATGATGGACCCGAAGCCAAACACGGCAGCGCCGACGTTGGGCCCTATCCAGTGGGTGGGCGCCTCGGCCGTCCACGCATAGATGAAGATGCCGACGGGGACGAGCAGCGCGCCCGGAACCATCATGGGGACGCGGAACTCTGGCCGTCCTGGTCCCCCGTCCGGCACGTAGCGACGCTTGAGGGCCGCGTAGACGCGGTCCTGCAACGGGGCGCACACCTGCGTCCCCAGGAAGAAGCCGACGCCGATGGAGATGTAATTGAGGCCGATGATGCCCGGGGACTCGCCGTACTCGGCGGCGAAGAGCGTCGGAAACGTCGAGAAGATGAGGTATATCGTGCCGTACAGGAACATGAGATAGAGCGAGAGAACCTGGACAATGGGCTGGGTGGCCAGCAGCTTGAACGGGCGCGTAAAGGCCGTCGTCAGGGCCTGGAGCACGGTCCGGTCCGGATGGTCAAACTCGGTGCGCAGCTCCGTGTTGCCCGTCTCCCTGACGAGACGCAGCTTCTTGCGGTGCAGCAGCACGGGCGCATACGTCTCCTGGAGGAAGAAGAGCCCAAAGACCTGGATGATGCCACAGGCAACCGTGGTGCTGTAAAACACCCACCGCCACGTCGTCCGCTCCGCGATCCAGCCGCCCGCCACGGGTCCAATGGCCGGTCCGAGAAGCGGCATGAGGGAGGAGATGCTGATGGCCCGGCCTCTCTCCTCGGGGGTGAACAGGTCGCTCAGGACGCCGCCGCCGATGGCCAGCGGCGCCGAGCCGCCGATGCCTCCGAGGAAGCGGAACGCAATCATTTGGCCCTCCGTCCTGGCGAGGCCGCAGCCGAGGTTGAACAGGAGGAAGACAATGTTGGAGCTCTGGATGACGATGACGCGGCCGTACAGCTCCGAGAGAGGACCCCAGCCGAGAGGGCCGAGTGCGTACGCCGCAACGAAGATGGACAGGACCAGCGCCCGCTCCGGCCGGCTCTCGATGTCGAGCTCCTTGCCGATGGCGTCCAGGTCGGGGGCCACCATGGAGGAAGCGACGGGCGATATGAGCGTGAAGAGGGACACTGCGGCGAGAGAAGGGTCAGCACGACACGCCAGGTCACGCCGCAGACCCGGGCCGTTGGACTCACCGCACACAACTGCCGCCCATTTCCTCCTGTTCGGCCACGCCTTTGGATTCTGCGCATCGTTTGGCCCGTCCCACGACACCAGATTCGGGTCCTTGGGCTCGCCGTCCTCGCCGGCACGGGCATCGCCGCCGTCCTCGCCGTTTCCGCGCTCCAAATCCCGCTGGTTCTGGATCCCGTCCCTCACCTCCGAAACCACCGCGGTGAGCGAGCGTCCTGATCTCGCCGACCCGGCTCTTGACAGCGAGCGCCTCTCCTGCTCGGTCTCGAGGTCTGACGAACTGTCCTCCGAGTCGGCCAGGACGGCGGGCCGTTCGTGCTTTTCATCGTCGGAACCGTGGTTTCCCGCCCCCGCCGGCCGCGACGCCAAGTCCTTGGTGTTTGCTCGCCTCATGGGAGGAAGCATCAGGTTTCCCGTCCGTCAGCTCCTCGCGACAACCCAGGCTACACGGCCGACTACAGCCTCTGGCACGATACCGTTGCCCGGTGCCAGGTATATGTACTCGGCAGGGCACCCTCGATATCATATACGACGGTATAATATAGGACAAAGCACCTCGTCTGGTCAATTTAGCCTTGCCTTCTCCCCCCCCCACCACTGTACAGGGAAACTCAATCGACGCTCGAGTAATGCCCAGCACCATGTGTGATGAGAGGCTATTTTCAGGGCACGACCTTGGAGGAGAAGCTATTCGCGCAACAGCGAAAGATGCACATCTGGACTCGAGAGCATGGCTGACGAGGGGAGAATATCAAGTTCCACCATGTCTTCCGCGAGAGAAGAAAAACAAACAGCCCAGCTGATCAAACGGCTTCCCATGGACCTTGGCCTCTCCCGGCACGTCTGCTCTTGGAATCCGCCCAACTGGATGCTCGCGACACTGGCGCCGCCGAACCGGTGCCGTTTCCAAGCGTCCCTGTGGCGAACCGTGGCCCCCCCTTTCCCCTTCCAAAAGCACAAGCACATCCCTCGGCAACAAGGGAGGGGGGAATCGGGCCCTTTTCCCAAGTCCCACGGACGAGGACCGTGACATGGCGTTGAAAAAGTGCATTGACGACTTTGCCATCTGCCGAGTTTGGCGGGGCGCATGGAGCCGCAAGCCAAGCTAAACGTCCAGGGGATGACGACTTTGGTACCGAGTACCTGGACTATGGATAGGCGCCTTAAGTACGTACCTACTTACTTCTTAAGTACCTACCTACTTACGTACCTACTCAAGTACGGAGTGACTTTTGTAGCGTCGGCAACCGAGTAGCTGCGAAAAGTCCGTGGGCAAAGTTCCGGCGCTGCTGGCCCCTGGGCCACGCACGGCAAAGATTTGGGTTGAACGCGGACTCGAACTCCGAGTGCCAAGTGGCATGTAACTGGCAGGAGAAAGAAAATGTGTGTTGATGTCTTGTCTTTCCCACAGCTTCCCATCTCGAATATCAGCTCCATGTCGTGAGTGACCTTTATCTCTGCTGCCATACATTCCAGACCACGTTCATCAGTAATCAAGCCACAACGCCTAAACATTGACATGCAAAACACACACAAACGCAGGCACACATATCCAGCCCCATATAATTGACTCTTGTTTATGCCCCCGCCTTCTCCCCGGCATCGACCTTTTTGGCCGCAGGCTCCTCACTGCCAGTAGCATCCTCCTCCCGAGCTCGCTTTCCGTTGGATTCCTTTGTTTCGGGAGCACTCCTATACCGCGTCAGCACATGCCCGTCATTGAAAGACATCAAGTAACCCCAAAAGTTGGAGGCGCGCGCGGGTGTTGACTGCGAATACTTACTCGGAGTATGTGGCGTCCTTGACCTGTTCATCATCCCGACGGCCGCCATCCCTACCACCGCGACCAAAACCTCGACCGCGGCCACCGCGACCTCCTCGTCCGCGTCCACCGCGTCCGTCTCGGAAGCCGTTTTTCTGGTCGTGCTCGCGCCTTTTCTTCCAATCATCCTGACTACGGCCACCCTTTCTGCCGGGTCGCGAGTTGCCCTCCTTGCCCTCAAAAAATTTCCTAGGCCCGTTAGAGCTAGGTTCGATCTTTCCCTGGCGGATGAGGTCGCTCTTCTCTTCACAGTAGGCCTTTTTGGTCATCATCTTCAACTCGTGTCCCTTCCAGGTAGGTTTCGGTTCCGTAGCGAGGAACTTTTTGGCAGCCTCCTCATCTGCAAACGTCACAAAGACGGAGCCTTTGAACAGGTCCTCGTTGGTACGGCGTAGCTTCAGGCCCTTGACCTCGCCAAACTGGGCGAAGAAGCTCTCCAAATCGAACTGCGTATCTGGGTTTTCGTCCCCAAAGCCCTTGACGTAGACAGTCGCGGCCTCGGCCTTGGCCTTGCCCTCGGGCATGGGCTTGTATGGTGTCTTGCGCCTCACCACTTCGGCCCCGTCTTCGCCTGAGATTTCAAGGAATTTGCTGTCGCGAAGGGCGGCGACGACGGCACTGTAGGGCTGGAAGGTGCGCATCCGTTTGAAGGAGTGAATTTTAGTGATGGGCATGGGCTTGTTTTCGGAGCCGCCGCAGGTTTCCCACATAAACTTGTCCTGGGGGAAGTTCCAGTCTCCAAAGTAGAATTCAACCTGGGTTGGAGTTAGCATTGAGTTGTCCATGTGGAGCGAATATGGAAAGAGGCATGAGAATTGCCGACAATATCGCCTACCTGCTTGCGAATAGCTTCGGGGTCATCCGTCACCTCCCGAACACTGGGGTCAAACTTGTTGTTCTTTTTGATATCCTTGTGGTCTGTCTTCGCAGTCGTCTTGATCATGGACGTATCCTCGGCAGCGGCAGTCTCCTGCTGCTCGGCGGGAGGAGCCTCGACGGGCTGGGTAGTGGCATCGACCTCACTCATTGCGTCGGCAAAAGGAGATTCGCTCTGACTATTACGTCTCAGCAACAATGCGACTGCGTGCTCCGGCTTTGAGAGTCCTACGGAAGAGCAAAAAGGCTGAGTGTCAGTCGCATTCCATATTCAGGTGGCGGGGTTTGGTGCAGATGTCAAAAAAAGCGCAAGAGATTACTGCAGCCCGAACGTTGGCCAACAAATGAGTCAATCCAACTTACCTTGCTGCACCGAGTGCAGTTCTACAAGGAAGAACAGAAGAATTTGTAGACGGCAGCGATGGGATGGATGAACGGTGATGGTAGGGCTTCCAATGTGGCTCTACTGAATTGCATCCACAGGGAAAAAAAAATGGCATAGAAATTCTGCCGTTGCGCAAATACCGAGCTTGGGCAAATACAGGCCCTGTCAACCTAGCTCACCGCCTGCACTGTGCAGACCCGCCCATGCGACCCGCCTCGTCTAGAATACTAGTACGTAGTCTTAAGCGCGACGAAGGAGCCCCCAGGCCGTTCCTACTTGGCATGTATGAATGACATAAGCTCTCCGCCAACACCAAGGGCACTAGAAAAACCTTGGTGCTTGCTTTCCATCCCACGCGAAAACGTCTCGTCTGCCTCTTCATATTTCATTCATTTCCTTGTCGCATGTCTCTTTCTCCCTGGAACAATTCAATCGACCTTGCCACCTACAGGTCGTGGCCAACATGCCGCGGAAGTGACTCTTAGCCTCAAACATCCGTCCTTCATCGATTGAGGCGTCGTTGTACATCTGCCGAGCTCACCCACCCTTTGTCATGAAACGGATAAGCAGCCTCACCAAGGGCTTGCCGGCTCTCAGTCCCTTACGGGGAACTGGTTTCCGGCCCGTCAACCCTCCATTGCCCCGCAAGTTGCAGCACGGCTTCTTTGCTCGGTCGAAGAGGACTGCCACTATTGGTGCCAGCCTCCCTGTCACTATTGTTGCTGGAACTTTGTTCATCTGGTGGCTCTATCCGTCGGATGAATTCGCAAAGCTCTCTCCTCCGCGGCGGAGCAGGAGAAGACCGTATTACGATGAGCAGGAGGTGGATGACGAACAAGGCGAGTTAGACGAGTATGATGACCCGCCCGAGACGGCCTGGGACAGCTTCGCGAGGCGCATCGAAAATATCGCCATTGTCACTGAGACAGAGTGGTCCGCCTTTTCCGAAAAAGTTGCGGACATGATTCTTCCAGACTGGTCAAAACTTGTACCCGGATACTTGAGGAAACTTCAGAGAGAATTGTCCATGGCGCCAGGCTCTCTTGCCGACGAGATTTGGGAGGACGCCCACGATCCTGCCATCAATCCTGAGATTGCGTACTCGGCTCAGGTTCGAGTATCCTCGCAATTATGCGACGATGAGAAAGAGTTCCTGGCAAGGCGGAAGCGCGTCATCAAAGTTGCTCTAGCCAAGTACCTAGGGCTCGATGAACATGACATCCATCCTGATGATATCCCGACCATTGCCATGTGTGGATCAGGAGGTGGACTGCGTGCTCTTGTGGCTGGCACAGGTTCGCTCATCGCTAGTGATGAAGACGGTCTTTTTGACTGTGTGACTTACACGGCCGGCGTAAGTGGCTCATGCTGGTTACAAACGTTGCTCAACTCTTCAATATCAGGCGGCAATCTCCAGATGCTCCTGGAGCATTTAAAAAACAGGACATCTGTTCACATTGCCTACCCACCAGTCGCTTTCCAATCTCTACTTTCAATGCCCACCAGCAAGTACCTCTTGAGTGGTCTCGTGGAGAAGCTTAGGGGTGATCCCAAAGCCCACTTTGGCTTGGTGGACGTTTACGGTTTGCTACTCGGGGCACGATTTCTGGTACCCAAGGGTGAGCTGAGTGTCAACGAAAAGGATTTCAAGTTATCTAACCAGCGGGACGCCATTAAATTTGGCGATCGCCCATTGCCCATTTACACGGTCGTTCGACACGAGATTCCTCAAACAGAAGAGTCAAATCGTGGGCCGACAGAAAAGGAGAAGAAGAGAGCCAAGGAGGAGTCATGGTTCCAATGGTATGAAATCACGCCATACGAGTTCTTTTGCGAAGAATTTGGGGCCGGCATTCCGACTTGGGCAATGGGACGCAAGTTCAACAACGGCAGAGACGTACCGCCGGAAACTGGATTCCATCTGCCTGAAATCAGAGTACCTCTGTTGATGGGTGTTTTTGGAAGTGCTTTTTGCGCAACTCTCAGTCACTACTACAAGGAGATTAAACCTCTGGTTCTGAGCATATCCGGGTTAAGCGGGGTTGACCAGTTTGTGTCTGGTCGTGACGACGACCTGAGCAAAGTTCACCCCATTGATCCAGCCACCGTGCCTAACTTTGCCTATCAGATGCATGGCAAGCTGCCAGATATCACGCCCAAAAGCATATATGAGAAAGAATACATCCAACTCATGGATGCCGGCATGTCCAACAACCTGCCCATCTATCCCCTCCTCCGCCCCGGCCGACATGTCGACATTCTTATTGCATTCGATGCCTCTGCAGACATTAAAACCGACAACTGGCTCTCCGTAGCCGATGGTTACGCTCGTCAGCGCGGTGTCAAAGGCTGGCCACTAGGCATCGGATGGCCAAAAGCCGGCGAGTCAGTCAAGGAAACCGCCATGCAACTTGCTGATGCAGAAGCATCCTCATATCAGGAGGCAGCACAGCACGTCAAACAAGCCAAGCAGGATCAAGAGTCCCTTCGTCAGGCCGCCGGCTGCGTCGCGAAGGATGCTCAAACCGACGACGAAGAAGAAGCCAAATACAGACCTGGAAGCGAAGAAGCCGGCGACCTGGGCTACTGTACCGTCTGGGTCGGTACTACACAGGAACGGTCTCCGCATCCTCCACCGCCAGCCAAGGCAATTGACGACACCAATAAGTGGCAGCTAACAGAACCGGACGCCGGTCTGGCTGTCGTATATGTCCCCTTTCTCGCTAACAAGAAAGGACCCGATATTTCTCCAGGAACAACGAACTTTTTGAGTACTTGGAATTTTGTTTATACACCCGAGCAAATCGACAGCGTCGTGGAGCTCGCGAGAGCAAATTATAATGAGGGAAGGAATCAAATTCGGTCTACTGTTCGGGCAGTGTATGAGCGGAAAAAGTTGCTTCGCGAATACGCCGAGAAGAAACGTGTCCAAGGGCTAGAAATATTGAGTAGCTAATGCTCTGTAAATATTGCTTGGTTGACTAAGTGCACGCGACGGAGTTTCCGGGTTGTTGTCATGAACTAAATCTTTTTTGTCACAGGCATCAATGCCTCGGTTATGTATTATTGGGGAAGTCTTCCAAAGGACCAGTTTTGGCCGATTGTTCTCCAAGTGTATCCTTTAATGTACAGTGGGTTGGTTGTTTTTGCCGTAGCACATTCTAGTACTTAACAAGTGCCGTACATTCCCTTCTCCTGAACCCCGGTTCCCACGCCAATGCAAGACTTAGATGATTTCACCAACGTCAATGTGCGGCGCCTTCCAGGGCTTGGCGCCCTCCTCCATCATGTCACTCGGGACGCGGACCTTGTTCCCCGGGCTGTACAGGTACCACGCCTTGAGAGAGTTCATGGAGGCCTTCCGTCTAGCAATATCCAAGCTAGGACCAGCGCCCTCTCCCAGCTTCTCTTTGCCGCTGTAAATGCCGACCACGAAAACGGGTGTCCTTGATAACCGACCGGTTTCACTCTCCAATCGGGCAACAGGAGGCTCGAAACCTTCCCGCGCGCAGAGCATGGCCAACTCTCGCGTGGGGAGCTGAAACTCGAACAGCGTCGAAGGATCAAACTGTCTCGACAGAATGTGGGATGTGACGAAGGACTTGGCGGCTTCCCGACCGCAGTGGGCATAGATGGATCCCACGACAGCGTGGACAAAAGATGCAAACGCGTCGCTCTGCAGGACGTCGATGTCCTGCAGGCCGGCATTCTCGGGCTTGCTCAACGCATCGCCAAAGGCGTCGTCCAAGACGACGCGGCTGCTCATGCCGCGTCTGTACGAGCTGTTTTTCGCCACGTCGGAGCGGACATATCCCCATCGCGTGCTGACCAACTGCTCCCCGTCGGGCTTCCACTGCAACAACCCCGGATCGACCTCGTCCCCGGGTGCGGCAGCGGCCTCGGCCCCCCATCTCCTTGCGACCTGCTGCAGCGACTCTTGCCCAGAGTATGCCCTGAGCGCCTCGTACAGGATGGCCATCGGTAGACGAGGCCACTTACACACGAGGTACTCGAGCACGTGGTAGTTTATAATGGTGCTTCCCAGGAACGCCAAATTCGAATTGTTAAAGCTGCCATTGGCATCGGCCGAGGGCGTGATCAGCGTTCGGGCGAGAGTCTGTAGCGGGATCTTGGCGGAGAGCGCCAGTCGGGCATGCAGGGCAGCCAGCTTGGCCGACTGGAGGCTTCGTTGGTGAGGAGGTGAAGGGGCGGCGCGGGTGGTGTGTCCTTGGACAAGGTGCTCGGCCGGGTGATTGTGCGCAATGGCAGCAGATGATTGGCATCGCAGAGACGGGAGGACCGGTTGTCTGCCGGCGATGGCTATCGGCGCAGACGAGGAAGCTCCTGAGTGAGCTTGCAGTAGAAGCTTGCAGCTCCGTTTTGACAGCCGTAACCGCTTCATTTGAGGGGAGGAGAAGAAAAAAAAGACAAATGCAAACTACGAAATCAAAGTACCTGAGCGAGCAAAAGAATTCTCCCCTCCCTTTAATGCAGCCGAACCAATAAATGGCGCCTGGGAACAGAGGTATTGATGGATAGGACTTGGGTCTAGAAAAAAGTTCTGCGGTTCAAATGCTTGGCCTGAGTGGTACGAAGTTGTGCGGGCGACTTGAGTGTACGGAGTAAGTACCTATCGCCGCTCGGTTCCTCTTCGTGGGTACATTTCTGTGCGGAACAACTTTCGGGCCGTGACTCCGAGGTGCTCGGAGGCGCCGCTCACCTGGGGATGCTACAGTGCAAAGCAGACCCCGTCCATCCATGCACGCAATTGCGCACCTCATTTGCATCCTCACCCGTCCGTTGGCAAGTCAATGAACATGGTAGGCCCATTCCACTTCTCTCTTCGTCGCTCGTCGAGATAGCAACTAATATGGTGTGCACAGGGCGGTGGTGGAAAAGTCCCGTAAGTCTTGGACAGCGATCGATCTGAGTTCATCGATTACGATACCCTTTTAGTCGATGATACGCACCTCCGACTGCCTGCACGCGACGTCACTTCTGCGCGAGAGCTTTCTAATGATCTGGCATTTGGACGAGTAGGTACCCTAAACATGTCTGGTCGCCAGCCGGTGGTTGGTACGCCCAACCCGGCAACTGGAGGGCAAACACGCTCGTCGCGGCCGGCATCATGGTTGGCATTGTCGCCGTAACGTGGAAGTTCAGCGCCGAGAGAGAGGTATGGGCTCGCAAGCCGGAGCCTGGAGAGTGGCACCCAAGTATAGTTACAGTGAGACTGACTCTTGTCGTAGCTGGTCAAAGCAATTGATTCAGTGGGATAGGGAAGACCGGCAGAAGGGACAGGCGAATGCGAAGGACTAGGGCCACGAGAGGACCGATTCGGAATGCTGCCTCCCCCGACGGACCGGGGAATGGGAAATCACTTTGTGCATAATCTGAATAACCAGACCGGAATCGTATCATGTCTACGACGGCGTATTTCCGCAGCCAACACTTTATTTCAGTTAACGTTCATTGCCCGGCATGGAGGTGGATTCGTGATTTGTGTCATTGGGCTGAGGGTCCTCAGGCAGGTTGCCGGTCGTCGAGTGCCGGTGCTCCTTGCTCAACACAATGGTTTTCCACAATTCCGACTTTTTCGCAGCCAAGGTGATTTGCTTTCATGGGTCTGCTGCACAAACAGTGCACAAGCAGGTGCCAGCCACACTTGGCAAAACGTAGGGGCGATAGGGGGAAATAGGGGTAGACTCAAGGAGCACCTACAGTGTTGCCACCACGCACAGAAGCGCACATGGCAAAGACTCAAGCCAAAATGGCGTCCCTAGGACACGAAGGGCCAAATAGTTGGGGAGTCTCCGATTCTTGATGCGCGCTGTCTGCGCTCTCTTCGTTGGGAAGGGGGAGGGGCTTTATGAGCCACTTGGCGTGGTGAAGCGGGCAATGTACTCTGCTCCCGATAGATACTCGCGGCACACGCATGCGGAAGGATGCTCTCCTTGGAGTTACTTGGACAGAAGATGGTCAACGTGCTCGTTGGTTTCTTCAACGTTGTTTGGTGCCTGTGCAGTCCCAGGTCAGAGTCAGAGGGGCCCCGGCGCCCAGCCAAGCTCGGACTCGTTAGCAGCGGACAGCACAGCACTTGAACGACTCGAGCACTCACTCACTGAGTGTACGGAGTACGGAGTACTGGAGGAGAGGTGCGTGGCCGCTGGGCCCAGCACTGCCACCAGTTACAGTTACAGTTACGATGCAGACTAGACTCAGCCTGGCACTCGGCCTGGCACAATAATCAAACGTCATCCAACAAGCACGCCGTCGTCGGGTCGTTTCGTAGACCCTGAATCGCCGCCCCACGCACTTGCAGATATTCGCTCCCTGCGTTGGCACGCTGCTTCTTTGTCTGCTCATCGCTCTTGGACACATGCCGTACTATTTCTGCTTTCATTCAGCTATTCACAGCCGCAGTTTGACTCCCTTGTCTTGTTCATCGGTCCGTTCAGGTACGGTCACTCCGACGCCACAGCACAGCAGCAGTCCGTCCGATCGCCACCACCAACTCCGCCATATTTGTGTACCCCGAATTTACGTGATACATCGCCCCCCCCCCTTCCAACGGCCCATGCACATTTTCGCTTTCGACGATTCGAGCCCTACTTCATCTCCTCAGGACTCGAGAAATATTTGCTGACACGCATGCCCGCCGGTCGGCAAGGCGCTCGAGGCACTCGGGCACTCGATACCATCGACACCATCGCGGCGCCCCGGACAGCAGACAATTCGCCAACGCCTTGTCAACGCCGCATCAACGCCGCATCACCGCCCTGGCCCTTGGGTCGTCCGTAGCAACTGCTGGCCGCTTTGGCGTCTTTCCTCCTTACTTCTTTCCAACACCAGCCACCAGCACCAGGCGTACAAGCACGTTCTGCCGGCACCTACAAAGTCGACTTGTTCCCGACGCCTACACTCCCCCCCTACACCATCAGCTTCCATCTACTGCACCCAAGCTTCGATCTGCTGGTGCCACCGACCGCTTGACGGGCGGGGCGAATGCTGTCAGTTACCCAGCGCATCTAACCTGCATTGCCATTTTCGCATCACGTCCTTCACTCTGGCGTTCCGTGCAATCCGACTCGCAGGCCTCGCCGTGGGCTTAGGTCTCAGCGCTCTTACCGCCTACCAGCGCAGCCAAGCCCAGATGGCGTCTCGAGGTGGTCCTGATGGGCACCTCGATGCCGGTGCCGGTCGGGAAGTTGTCTTTTGCCACGCCTGCTCTCTCGAATGGTACCGCGATGAACAAGGCTTGATATGTCCGAGGTGCGAAAGCGACATCACAGAAATTGTACGTCTTTTCCGTAACCACGTCTTTGCTCAAATCCTCGAACCCTCCGGTGCTGATCAAGTGTTCTTACGCTTATCTCCGTGTTCAGGTGAGCCTAGAGAACGACCCGCGCCGAATGGGCGATTCGTCAGCCTCGACATCGCCAAGTCTACCCCCGCTACGACATGCCGACGACTCTGACCCTGATGAAGCCGATATAGAGGAGCATTTGGGTCCACAAGGCTTTCGCTTTCGCCAGAGTATTCGATCCGATCCGGACGAGAGCCATCACGATCCATCCATGGACCCAGTGTTGCGCCGGTTTCAGGACATGATCCAGAGCTTCAGTCAACCTCGCCGAAGTGAGCTTATAAGCCGATTCAGCCTTCCAGACAATGCCTCACGTGCAACACCACGATTCCGACATACTACATTCACATCCAGAGGGGGAACCGCGTCGGTCACGATATTTTCTGCCCCGGCCGTGGAATCTCGCGGTGCCGGCGGTTTTGGCGAGTACGGCGATGAGTCTACGGATGCAAACAACTTTGACCCTTTTCAAACGTACGCACCTTGTTTCGCGAGCAGGCCGTGAGGTGGCAGCTTCATTGTCATCACGACGGGCTTCTCTTTGTCCAGAAAACTCGATAGGCTAACTGCTTGTTCAGCATCTTTTCTAATGTCATCCGGGATTTGGATCCGCCAGACGGGCCAGGCGAGGGCGGCGCTCAAATGGGCCTGGCCAGAAGTCTACGGGATATTCTCAATCACTTTAACCCGGCTAATGCCACGATGGGCGATGTTGTCTACACTCAAGAAGCCCTGGATCGGATCGTCACCCAGCTCATGGAAACAACCTCGCAATCCAACGGGGCTCCGCAGGCATCCAACGACGCAATTGCCAAGCTGGATCGTAGGACGGTTGACAAGGATTTTTTCGGCCCCGAAGGCAAGGCTGAATGTTCCATTTGCATTGACACAATGCAGGAGGGAGAAATAGCCACATACCTTCCCTGTAAGCATTGGTTTCACGATGAGTGTATTGTGCCATGGTTGAAGCAGCACAATACCTGTCCAGTCTGCCGGACTCCCATAGAAAAGAATGAACGAGGACAAGAAAATAGCCGAAGCGAAAGCGTCACGCGTGCTGGTGGCGCACCCGGACCGAGCAACGCTCATTCGCGGGGCACCAGCCGACACAACTCGGACCAGTCAAGCGGTGTTGGGCATAGATTCGGCAGTGGTTCCGACACGCCCACTGGCAGAGCGGCGGCAGACATGTTTTCCTCAGTCAACCTTGATGCTCAATTCCGGCCGTCAAACCCGAGCGAAGGTAGATTGAATGTGGCGCGTCACAATGTTGCGAGCACACGAGAACGAGACAATGATGGGCGGAATCGAGAAAACAACTCGGAGTGGCGCTTCGACACGTCGCGAACGCAGCGTAGAACGTCGCACTCGCCATCAAGCCCAAGACCATTCGATTTTGCCGAGCAAGCTGCTCGTACGCGACAAAGAAGCCCTTCGCAGAGTGACAGACAAGAAAATGGAGATAGGGAGCCTCGGCGACAATCTGGCCCGTTCGGCTGGCTACGAGGGCATTTCCCCGGAGGCAATGGAAGTGGAGGCAACCAAAGGTCGTCTTGAGACCAACGGCAAGTCTTTGAGGAGATGATGTGTTGAATTTTGTACACTGATCGACGCGAACCTGACATGATAGCGAAGAAATACACGCTTGCATTCCTATTTGCACGCCTCAGATAGTCTTTTTTTGCTTTGTATCCTTTCTTGTCCTCTCTCCTTTCCTCCTTTACCACACATCTGTTTTTTCTTCTTCTTTTTCTTGCCCTTTGCTTTGCTTTCCTTTCTTCTTATTCCCAAGAAAATCCATCGTTCTCAAAGGGTTGGCAGGCTCTGAAGCCGGCTGTGCATAGTATTACATTGAGTGGCCGAACGAGCAGGTGACGTCAAACTTGATGATATAGAGCATATGATGGAGCAGATTGCAAAACAACTGAGTGATATACCCTATCTGGAATCAGGGGTCATGTGGAGACAGGCCTGCAACGAGGCATGGAAGAAACGGGGAAACCTATGTCACCTGAACGCAGGCATGGCGATGCGATGGACCATGAAGCGGTGCGGCTTGGATTTTGAGAATGGTGTGTGCCGACTTGCGACTTTCATGGCGGTGACAGGGCGGCATAGAGCTCTGCCTTTGGTGTATGGTAGAGAGGGCGTGCGGTCTTGAGCAGCTTGGTGGCCGCTTGGTCTTTTCGACAGCCTGGTCTACAGGGCCATAGGCACAGTCAAAGGGCTGTGTGTAGGCCGATACCCTCATTGAAGGTTATTGTTGTCGTGCCATGCAGCCCTCTGCAGTCTCGTTGGAGCGGGCGCTTTGATTTCACAGTACCAGGTGACGCAAGCAAGGGATCACGACCACCATTTCGAGAGAGAATAAAAGGACGAGGAGACAGGAAGGGGAAGTCGGGCGTGGAGATGCAGGTTGCGTCGGCAAGGGTAGCGTCAGCCACTGCTCGACGGTGAGACGGGGGCATTGGTGATTGTGCACTTGCAATACAGGGTACTGTAGCGATGCAGGTCATGACTATGAATGTGTATGGCTAGCATATGAGTCTGCAGCCGCAGTGGCTGAAGTGTGAATATCCGCAGGCGGCTCGTTTATGTTTCCTCCGTTCCTCCGTACCCGTGGGCCGTGACTGCGATGACTCATCGGTGATGAGCTGAGCTCAGAGGTGGAACTGGTAGAGAGTTACGGAGCACCGGAGTCGGATTACTCCGCAGGCGAGAAGGGCAGCCAGCGAACCCAAGATGCAACACGGTTCATCATGGGGGTGGTCGGCGGGACTCCTTGGCACGCGGTCACATATCCCCACGAGGATAATATTGCCGGTCAAGGCTCAAAGCCGGAAGAAAAGCGACCGGGATCGGAGACGGAGGCGGAGAGAGAGAGAGAGCGGTGGTGCATCAAAAACGTGGGCCGTCTGACGATCAGACCGGGATTGACAATGTCCCAACGTTACATCCAGGACCCAGGACCCAGGACCCAGGGTCCAGGGACCCGGAGACGATGCTGTCAACCTGCCTGTGCATTGGGAAATGGGAGACGTTGCCGGCATTCCAAGTCTGTAAACGAGCATGCAGGAAGCCAGTCCGACTGCTTGTCATGGTCCGTGGACATGGGGAACAGAGTACCGAGTCCCGACATTGTCGCTTACCCCGGGCTGCGTTCCGAGGTGGATGCAAGGCAAGGCTGGCTCCATGACATCTGGTGAAGCCTACCAAGTTCCAACATTGAAGTACGCGAGCATCGGAGCCTCATCTTGGGCATGCTGAGATTGATCAAAGACGGCTGTCCCTTCGGGAGACTGGGCTGGGCTGGTCTTACAGCGGCCGGATCTCACCGTCTTCCCTCCTTCTACTGCTTACATCATGTCGTGTAATTATGTGTATCATGAATCGCGGCCACACGACACGACCCAGGGCGCAGTCTCCGGCGGCGTTTTCTCATCAGAGCCATCGCCGCCCAACACCCGACTCCCCGAGCCCATTCCAGTCGGGCCGTCGAAAACATGGAAAAGTTCGAAACTCCGCGCGGACGCCCCCTCCTTCTCCCCTGCCTTACTTGAGCATGATATGCAAAACGCAAACCCCCGTGGCTCCCGAGACCCCACATTCGCAGCTAGCCCTACGGTCATCGCAGTCTTGGTCGTTGGAAGGCGCCGAGCTCCACCCTGGCACAACAACGGGAGTGTTCCATGCTTTCCGTGCTTCCACGGCTGGGCGTATCGAGTATCGATGGAGGAGCGTCGAGTATCACCGAGTACATGGTCCTCGACAGGGTGTTGCGTGTTGCGTGTTGCGTGTTGCCCATTTGGTTGAGCATGTCGTATGCATGGATGTGGATGCCGTCACCCTCCGAATTTGAATTTGTGTTGGACAACGCCGGCACTTGCTCTGTTTAAGGTTCGTCGTTTAGGTCGCTCCTTCCTCCCCTTGCCTTCGTATTTAGACCTCGATCATGGTCCTGCTCTTTTCGGGACAGCCATCTTTCCCCTCAAGCCATTCAAGCCATCGAAGCGGTTCGTTTTCACACCGCCAGGAGACACTTGAGCTTGGCTAGCTGTCTCTGCTCGAACCCGTGCTGAGGAGTATTCTCATCTGTTCGTCTCCAATCGTGCCTCGTCTTTGGCCTTTTATCCGCTGCTCGAAGCTTCGCCAAAGCCATCTTTCTCGAAAGTGCCAAACCCTTCCAAGCAAACCTCCTTCCTCTCCTACTCACCCGCGCCGCCCTTCGTCCGAGCCAAGGTCGGTCAATGCACCTCCTCTTTTTTTATCAGACACCATTGTCCTGCCCTGTCAGGCTAGTATTACATGTCCGAGACAGTCACCATGTGCCGTCTCCATCAATAGGACGCAGCGAGGCCGGGTGCACGGCTATAAGGAAGATTGAACCAGCCAACAACCACGCCTCGAAATGTCCAACTTCACCGCAAATGCCCGTCCCCGATTGATGAAGACGACTTTTTGTATAAAATAAATTGACATTCCTAGAGTAATTGAGACGGAAAAGCTGGGTTTTCTTTTCTTTTTGGACCATCGCAGTGTTGACGCTTCCCCATCCAAAATGAGGCACCATGAGCATCGTCTGGAATTTGTCGTCCCTAGTCAATTGGGCTGACCACAAGAACTACCAGCTTCCTCTTTACTCGAGATTCCCGAAATGGCCGAAGCAGTCCCTATCCCCGAGCCTCCTGGCCTGCCTTTGATTGGCAACCTCGGCGAATTCACGACCACTCCATTGCAAGATATTAAACGATTAGCAGAAACATATGGTTTGTCTCTTGCCCCCCTGAATCTTTCACCGATTCGTTATAAGTCTCGTATTTCTCGGGCTTCAGCATTCTAAGTTGTAATGATAGGTGAAATCTTCAGACTTCACTTGGGCACTCGGCCCATCGTCTTCTGCTCTACAAATGCGCTTGTCAACGAGCTGTGTGATGAGAAGCGGTTTCACAAGTCTTTGCAATCATCTTTAAGAGTAAGCACACTGTCTTTTTGGGCCAGATCTCCCCCATCCATACCCCATCTAGCACACTTTACACCCAAGCAGAGACACAAGCTGACCTTTCCACAAGATTGTTCGAGAAGGCATCCATGACGGCCTATTCACTGTAAGAAACAGCTTCAAGTGTGACAACCATCCTCAAAGGTAACTTCTCATCATTTGCAGGCCCACGATGATGAGCCCAATTGGGGCAAGGCACACCGAGTTCTTATTTCAGCTTTCGGCCCTCTTTCAATTCGAGGAATGTTCGACGAAATGCACGACATTGCCACTCAGCTCTGCATGAAGTTTGCTCGCCACGGCTCTCAGTGCTCCATCAACACCTCGGATGATTTCACTCGTCTGGCCCTCGACACCTTGGCTTTATGTGCCATGGACTTCCGTTTCAACTCATACTACAGTCAAGAGATGCACCCGTTTGTTAAAGCCATGAGCGACTTTCTTACCGAGGCTGGCCGTCGCAACAAACGGCCCGCATTTGCCCCAAACTTTCTCTATCGAGCCGCAAACGAGAAGTTTTACGACGATATTGCAATTATGAGAAAAACAGCCGACGACGTTGTAGCCAACCGAAAGAAGAACCCTAGCGACAGAAAAGATCTTCTGAATGCCATGTTGAATGGCGTCGACCCTACCACGCGTGAGAAGCTGAGCGACGACAACATCACTGACCAGCTCATTACCTTCCTTATCGCTGGTCATGAGACGACCTCCGGCTTGCTTTCGTTTGCCTTCTACTACTTGTTGAAGAACCCATCTACATATCAGAAGGTCCAGCAAGAAGTTGATCAAGTGATTGGCCGTGAGCAGATCAAGGTCGATCACCTCACCAAACTGCCATATGTTGCCTCGGTGCGTAATCCCAACGCCATTATTTCTAACCTTCCTTTGTTCTGTTGTATTTTTTCTAAAAATCCATGACAGGTACTGAGAGAAACTTTGCGACTTAGCTCTGGTATTCCTGGCTTTTCCGTCGAAGCATACGAAGACACCCTGCTCGCGGGCAAGTTCCTAGTCCGTAAAGGCGAACCTGTCACTGCACTTTTGACCAAAGCGCATGTCGACCCTGTCGTCTTTGGCGAAGATGCCATGGAATTTAAGCCTGAACGTCTGTCTGACGAAAACTTTGACCGTCTGAGTAAGGAGTTCCCAAACTGCTGGAAACCTTTTGGCAACGGAAAGCGTGCTTGTATTGGTCGACCGTTCGCTTGGCAAGAAGCCTTGCTATCTATGGCTATGCTTTTCCAAAACTTCAATTTTACCATGGCCGATCCGAGCTACCACCTCGAAATTCAAGAAACCTTGACTATTAAGCCAAAGGGTTTCTACATGCGAGCCAGCCTGCGACATGATATGACGCCGACGGAGCTTGAACAAGCGCTTGCCGGCAAGGCTGGTGAGACAACGCACCACGACGACGCCGGAAACGCAAAACTAAACGGGATTCCTACTCAGGGCAAGCCGCTGGCTGTTTTCTACGGTTCAAATAGTGGAACTTGCGAAGCCTTGGCTCAGCGCGTGGCTGCAGATGCACCTCGTCATGGCTTCAGGGCTACCACTGTCGCACCTCTGGATGATGCGAACCAAAAGGTCCCCAAGGACCGCCCAGTTATCATTATAACGGCTTCTTATGAGGGTCAGCCGCCGTCCAATGCCGCTCTCTTTGTTGCTTGGATTGAAAGCCTCAAGGGTAAGGAGATGAACAATGTGTCGTACACGGTATTTGGGTGTGGACATCACGACTGGGCTCAGACATTCCATCGAATACCCAAGCTTGTTGACAGTACGCTGGAGGTGCTCGGCGGGAACCGGATTCTTCCTCTAGCTACAACCGATGCTGCTGAACGAGACATGTTCGGTGATTTCGAGGCTTGGGAGGATGACTCCCTCTGGCCCGCACTCCAAGAGAAATACGAAGTCGAGGATAGTGCCGATGCTACAGGTGATACTCTTTCAGTAGAGATATCGGTGCCGCGAAAGACGACTCTGAGACAAGATGTCGAGGAGGCCATTGTCATTTCGACAAAGACGCTAACCAACTCTGGCTCCGTCAAGAAGCATATTGAAATACAGCTGCCCACTGGTATGACGTACCGCGCGGGTGATTACCTGGCCGTCCTTCCTTTCAACCCCAAGAGCACCGTCTCGCGTGTCTTTAAGAGATTTCAGCTGTCGTGGGATGCTATGCTTAAGATTCACTCGGATCGGCCTACTAGTCTTCCAACCGAGGCCGCTGTATCAGCTGCAGATGTTCTTGGAGCCTACGTCGAACTTAGCCAGCCAGCAACCAAGAGAGTAAGCTAACCACACGTTCACTCCCAAGATACCGAACAGTATACTGATCGCCAGCAGAACCTCCAAACGCTTGTACAGGCTACTCAAGATAAGAAAACCATGGAGAAACTTCAGAAAGTCGCCGGTGATGATTACCAAGTTGAGATTACCAACAAGCGAACATCAATTCTTGACCTCCTGGAGAAATTTTCTGCCATCAGTCTTCCATTCGCGTCATTTTTGGCCATGTTACCACCTATGCGTGTCCGCCAGTAGTAAGCCTCTCAAAATATGCTGGCGAAATTACCTCTGGCAATGGCTAATATATACGACGTAGCTCCATCTCATCTTCCCCCTTGGCTGACGCCACCAAGCTGACCCTGACATACGGCGTACTTGCGCAGCCTGCGCTGTCCGGCCAGGGCTCATATTATGGGGTTGCCAGCAATTTCCTCTCCTCGCTCACAGCGGGAGAACGACTTCACGTTGCTGTCAGACCCTCTCAATCTTTCCATCTGCCCAGCGACGCGGAAAATACACCCCTCATCTGCATTGCCGCCGGGTCTGGACTTGCACCGTTTCGTGGCTTCGTACAGGAGCGTGCCGCAATGATTGCAGCCGGCAGAAAGGTTGCACCAGCGCTGCTCTTCTTCGGCTGCCGCTCTCCAGACCAAGATGACCTGTACGCCGAGGAGTTTGCCAACTGGGAAAGGCTGGGTGCCGTTGATGTCCGCCGTGCCTACTCCCGATCACCCAGCGATTCTAAAGACTGCAAATACGTGCAGCACCGCTTGTCTCATGATTGCGAAGACATTGACAAGTTGTGGCAAGCTGGCGCCAAAATTTACGTTTGCGGTAGTAAAGACGTCGGCAAGGCCGTGGAAGAAGTGTTTCTTGGCATGGTCCAAGAGGCCGGCAAGAAGGACGGGGCCAACGACATGACTCCAGAGAAGGCGAAGGAGTGGTTCGACAAGCAGAGGAATGAGAGATACGTGACGGATGTTTTTGATTAGCTGGTGCGATAGTCATCCGTCTCGAATCTTCAAAATGGAACGAGGTATGACCATGGACCGGCAGAAAACTTGAGGACGAACTGGACGCCGTATAAAGTGCAAAAGATTTCGACGTTTGAAAAACGCAACTTGGAAATCTGGAGAATGGAACGCCACATGGATTACTTGGCGAGATGGATGAGCTAGTCGCTCCGGCATGCTTGGCAGGATGGAGAATTACTGTTGCGTCACATGGACTTGGATACATCGGTGTTAAAATAGCTCCTCGCTCACATCTACAATTTTAATACATTTACATCGGAAAAATCAGTCACACGTGTTATATTGCTTCACGGGTACTCCATAGTGATCTTGATCTTTCTTGATTCAGCAGGTATCGGTATGTATACATTCAACAATACCCGACCATTCATTCAGGCCTCCAAACCTGCCCCCTTCAGCAACCCTCCGGCCTCATAAATGCATGTATACTGCCATGAGAAAACAAAAAAAAAAAAAAATTCACCATCCAGCGCTCTACATTTCCATATCCAGCATGGTATCAATTGTATCGCTCGCAATGTATGAACATGCCGCCCAATTTAATCCTGGAAGAACTTGATGATCTGCTGTAGATCCCGTAGACCTACACCATGTTTCGGGTAGCAGATGTAGACTTCCTCGCCGAGAGCGCCAAACTTGTTTCGGAAACCAGCCTTGCGACGGAGGCCGAGGCTATCGACGATGGAAGCGTAGGTAGTAGCTAGGAACCTGGCACGAATTCCATGAAGATGCTCACCGGGTGTCAGCTTCTCGGAAACCCCAACACCAAAGGTGACTTGGCCCGTGACTGTGGACAGAGTGTAGTCGATCAACACCTCGATGGCGCCGTTGACAGAGCCGGGAAAGTCGAGGGCCCATTTGACTTGCCAGCCGTGTCTGGGAGACAGCTTGGCCAGGACCACCATGGCCAGGATTTTGCCGTCTTTCTCGGCAGCATAGTAGCGGCGGTGTTCCATGTCGACCCAAGGGCGGACTTCGGTGAGATGCACCTGTTTGCCCTTGCGGTTGGCTTTCCATTTCACAATAGCTTCGTCTGCGCGTCTGATGAAGTCTGCATCGGGCTTAACTTCGTGAATCTTGACACCTTCACGCTCGACACGTCTGGCCTTGGAGCCGGCACCATTGACGGCGTGATGATTGGTGGCATCGACACGCTGTTCCTCAGTGCACGACAGGGTCCGCCAGCTCATCTGCTGAGCGAGAATCTTTTGGATGTCGTAAGACACGAGCATCCACACAGGAGTGAGCTTGAGCTCGGCAAGCACAAACTTGACGAATGCGGCACAGACTTCCTTGTACTGAGACCTGTCACAGAGGGGATCTCCAGTGATCATTGCAAATTTATCCTGCTTGACATAGCCAACAGCAGCACCGCTTGGGTGTCTCCAGATCTTGAATCTTTCATCCAACCAAGAGGTATTGGAAGCATCGCCGTAGTTGGCAATGAGCTTCTCGATAGGCGGCATGACGCCGTCTCGAAGAGGCTTGGTAGTATCTGCCTCTGGGTGAGGCAAGCCGGGTGCTCGTGCCGGCAGTGATCTGGGGTCACGGTGGAAGAGAGATGCATAACGGACGTCACCCAGCTCAAGCATCCAAGCCACAATTCGCTCCAGGCCAAGGCCAGCGCCGGCATGCGGCGGTGCACCGAGATCAAAGGCTGCGAGGTAGTCTTCCATGCCGTCTTCTGAGATGCCTGCCGCCAGCATATTCTCGCGAAGCTCGGCGGCGTCATGGATGCGCTGGCCGCCTGAACAGATTTCCTGTCCGCGGATGAAGATATCAAAAGACCTCGTCCAGAATGGGTCCTCGGGGTCCTTGTGAGTGTAGAATGGGCGAGCGCTGGCCGGGAACTTGTCCAAGACATAGTAGTCGGTGCCAAACTTCTCTCGAACCAGTTCACCGAGTCGCATCTCGTCGGGGGTAGACAAGTCTTCCATTTCGATATCACGGCCATCATCGCGTAGCATCTGAATGCCCTCCTCAAAGTTGAGTATCAGAGTCTCTTGGAGCCACTTGAACTCTTTGCTGGGCCATCGCTTCTGAACTTCCTTGACCTCGGGCATGGCGTAGACAGAAGTGAAAACATGCTTAAGAAAGTCGTCAATAACGTAAATGACTTCGTGGTAATCGTGCTCAATGGACATCTCGATATCGAGTCCAGTGTACTCGGTCAGATGGCGATGGGTGTTGGAGTTTTCGGCGCGGAAAACGGGACCAACTTCAAATACTCGGCCAAAGTCGGCGGAGACTGCACTCTGTTTTGCCAGTTGAGGGCTTTGAGCCAGGAACGCATTGCGCCCAAAGTAGTTGACCTTGAAAACAGCCGCACCAGTCTCGGTGGCAGCGGGTTGGAGCTTGGGCGTGTTGATTTCAACAAAGCCCTGCTGCTCGAGGGTTTCCCGAAACGTGCGAGTTACCATGGAACGGATCCGGAACAGGGCTTGGTTGGAAGGATGACGAAGATCGAGGATTCGAGATGTCATGCGGTTGCGTAGCGTGTCAGGAGGCTTGTAATTGGTGAAGGGCGCTCCATGTGCCGCATTCACAAGATGTATGGAGTGCACCTCAACCTCGACTCCAGAATGGGTAGCAGAGCGGACCGCCTGGGGAGGCGCCTTAAGCACCCCGTTCACCTGGACCAGGGACTCGGAATTCAACTTCTGGACCCATCGAACCATGTCGAGGTATTCTCGAGAAAGAACGCCCTGCACAGAGTTTGTTTGGTCGCGGAAGAGAAGAAAGTCGAGATTCTTGGATAGCTGCCGCTGAGTAGAGATTCTGGCTCGAAAGTTCACCTCAGTTCCCAGGGGAAGCTTGTCCAGCTCGGCAATGAGATTGAGCTCATGTGGATGGACAGGCCAATCGGCACTCATGCTCGTGCGGCCGCTTTCCATGCTGGACCGGGTCGAGTCTCCAGTCCGATCCGGACTCGAGCGTTGGGATTTCTCGTTCAACTTGTCCAGGTCGTGACGGTAGTTTGTCAAGCTGAGTTTCTCCATGCTGGAGCGGGGAGAGTCCCTGGCGACATCAACAGCACTGTCTGCCATTTTAGTAAGATGCCTAGGGCTACCGCTACCAAAAGCACTACCGGAGAACGTGGGAGTTGCAGGAACAGATGGTGAGGCGGGGACCGAATTTAACGGAGATGATGATGTAGTCCAATCGGCCGAGTAAGTCGCATCAGTGACGTCGCCACGTTTGTTGGGGCTGGCAGTCCGGTTGCGCGACAGCGAGCGCGATCGGGGGAGCCCGAAGGCTGATGCCAGCAGACTAGAAGCCCCCGGCATGGCCACCAAGAAATCGGGCTCGTTTGGCGATATTAGATGTGCTCGAGGAACTCCTTGTGTCGCCGTCGACCTGTTTGAGGCAGGCCCCTGTGGATGGATAGCAGTGTCAGCCAGTCCCTTTGTTGGTCCAAGGACAAAGGACGGTACGGTGGTGGCGCACCACGAATCCCGGGGTCGAGCCCTGGCAGGTCTAGCACGTCACTGTGCAACGGTCCGAGTCTGGATGACGTCGACGGTGCAGATGCGGTCTTGGTGCTGTTGCGGGACAGGGGTGGACAGGATGGATGCGAGTGATAGCAGCGCCGGTTGAGCCGAGCCTTGTCGACGGATCGAAAATCTGACGCAACTTCCCCTTGTGACCAGTAGTCGCGTCGAAATTGTTTCTCGTGTCCGTGACCTAGGGCAGGGCAACTGGTATCCGCCGTTTGCCCCTAGCTGCAGGGCCGAGTATATGGGGCGGCAGGCTGGCTGGCTTTCGAGTGGCTGATGGGATACTTGGCAGAAGACGATGAGTGAAATGAAAGGAGCAGATATTGCTAGTTCGTAGCGTCAACGCGGTTGATCGCGTGACACAAGGGTGCGTCCCAGCGTAATGACAATCAGCAAGTAAGTCATGAAGCTCTGGAAGAAATGGAGGGAGAGAAGAGCGGCTGCGCTGCCTCTTATCTTGTCCCAGAGCCTGAGTCAAATAGGAAAGGATCGGGTCGTTCTTATTCAGGGCCAGCTACGGAGTAGTGTGAGGGAAGAAGCCGTCGATTCCGTCGTCTTTGCTACTCAAATCCACACCTCGGCGTACAGGGAGACTCCGACGGGGCCAGCCAGCCAAGTATTCCGTACCTTGACAATAGAATAGCCGCCGCCGGACACTCTGGAGTCTGCGCGGTCAGCAAGGTGGCGGTGATGGGTAATCCAGGCACCCGGTTACACAAACTGAGAAGGTTTATGAGGGAGAGGCTGCTTAGCTGGTGGCCAACCACGACGAACCGCAGGCGTCATTCTGATCGGTCTCCGCCGAAAGGGGCGCCAGTTGAGCCTGAGCCCTATGAGGCCCCGTAATCACCACAAGTACGGATGACCTCGACCTTGCAACGTGGCCAAGTCTGTTGGCTCGGACTACCGCACACTCTTGACAAGTACGTACGTAGACACGTCGTTGCCGCTGTGGGGCTCGCTCGGCATTTGTGAGAAGCCCGTGGCGTGGCGCCTCGCTACTTGGTCCACGGTTTGACGATTCAGTGTTGGCTTGTGATGGCGTTGTGCTGGCGCTGTGCCTCCCGTGGATATGGCGGAGCTAATGAACCACGACAAATTATTTGGCGTCGAGTTCCACCAGTTTTCTCACCCAGTGCTTGGTAAGCGGGAGAAGGCTTCATTTCCATTTCAACGCCGGAGCGGAGCCAACCTTTGACCGCCCGTCGCGCTTTCCCCATATGCCCATCGCACCTGGCCTCTGGACGGAACTGAAACTTGACGGAACTATTTTGACGCCAAGATCGTGAGCGGACGGAAGGTGCAACAGACTTGTGGTGGGGCCTGGCCGACGGCCGACGGTCGACGGTCGACGGTTAGCGAGAACTGCCGCGCAACGGCAGGCAGGCCTGCTGGCAACGTCATAGTCGTTGACGCGCAACCAGACGCTGCCATGCAAAGCCCCGATCCAAATCGGGCCTCGAGTCTGAGCAAATACTCAAATACTCTCCCGACACATTGAACCCCGAAACTACATTAATTTCTCTGGTTACGGCACCAGTCCGCACTCCTCCATCCTTTCGTTACACTTCCCACCATCAAGCCGCAGAAGCAACATCGGTTGGTCCGTCCGTCGCTGCGTGGCTGGGCGAAACCAGGTTGAATTGGCCTGCCTGTCAAGTGCCATCCCCCCACACACATATTTCAAGCCCGCCTCCGCGCCTCCGAGCCTTCCATGAAGCTCCGGATTGGATCAAATGGATCATTCCCAGCCCGAGAACAGACTGCTACAGGTGCCTGGTCAGCCGCAGCTTCTCCAGGCCGTCGACGCACTGAAACGCACCGCGACCTTCACGGGCACGACCTCTTCGGCGCCAGCCACGCTTACCAACCCATCTACAATCTCGACGAGGGCATCAAGCCCGGCAGCTTCCGACCTTGGCCCGGACTACGAGAACCCCCTCGAGGCCAGCTCGCGATGGTATCTTCAAGCCAAGGCCCAAACAGTGCGCTACGCCGCGAGCTTGGGTTTCAGCATCCACAACCGTTCAGATCCGCCCGCGCCATATCATTCACGAGAAGTCTGGCTTGATTCAAGCCTTTCCAAATGGAAAGGCCAGAGGAAGATCAAGGTTGAGGTGTGGAATCCTCCGGGGGGCTCTGTCGACCCGCGTGCCGCCGTCATCAACCTGCATGGTGGTGGATGGATTCTTGGCCAGGGCACTGACGATGCCAGATGGGCTGGTGCCGTTATGTGCGATGTTGATGCCGTCGTCTTCACCGTCAACTACCGACTAGCCCCCAGCTATCCCTTTCCAACCCCCATGGAAGATTGTGTGGACGCAATCCTGCAGATTGCTTCTAGAGCCTCCGAGTTTGGCATCGACCCGGACCGCATCATCTTGTCTGGATTCTCCGCAGGAGCAACAAATGCCCTTACCAGTTGGATCGTCCTGCAAGATCCGTCTCCGTGGGGTTATCAGTTTCCAAGCCCGCCGCCTCGTATCCTCGGCCTTGTTCTCTTCTATCCTACACTCGACATCACCATCAGTCGCCCTGGGAAGCGGCAGATATGTCATCGACCAGAGCGCACACTGTCCCCTGGAATGACAGATCTTATAGACGCCTCATACTTCTTTCCGCCAATTCCGCGAGAGAAGCGGACTGATCCTAGAATGTCGCCGGGCCTCATGTCAGACGACCTAATCAAGAAGCTGCCTCGCTGCCATATGATACTGTGCGAGTACGACATGCTATTGGCCGAAGGCATTCGGTTTGCAGAGCGACTGGACCAGCACGAAATGCCACTTACCCTTCGCATCGTCAAAGGGGAGGGACATGCTTGGGATAAACCTCCGCCAATGGCTCCAAAGGACAGTGTCCTTGTCGAGTATGCCAAGGCGACGGAGAGTATTGCTCGTTGGCTGGGTCGAAACTGTGAGACGGACCAGGAGTCTACTACTTCGATGCGGACCAGACGACGGCGTTTTAGACGACCTGGGTACTTGACCATAAGATCAAGGTCAGCACGCTAGCTGCAGAGTTTGCCAAAGGCCAGGAATGCGCCAAATGCATACGAAGTGAGCATTGCACGACATGGGCCATTGCTTATTGAATGTCGGCGAAGGGCATGCAGGGCATGATGATGATGGGCCGAGCATGACGGAATCGGCACAGGAAACGAACCTTTTTCTCCTTGCCCGTCTGGCCGTCGACGCAATTCGCCAGCTGCTCTATCCAGGGTTCTGGAATCTGCCATGGAGTGGAGAACAGATATAACAAGACGTCTCATCATTTACGCATACAAGAAAGCAATATAAAGTATCATGACCTAGGCCGGCAGCTCCCTGTCCCTCACATCACGACCGAAATAGTCCTTCTTCATACCCATGAACTTCAAGTATCCCCACGTAAACCACTCCGTAAGGATGCCACCCATCCAACCCTTTGGGACAGGCGGATCCCATCGCGCCATGGTCTCCTTGTATGTCTTTCGAATATCTGGTCATCTGAGCGTCTCGTAATCCCTGAACATTGTGGGAATGTCTCTTGTTGCCCGCCGACTCAGCACGCACGCCAAGAGGACGCCGTCCTCGATGGCGACGCCTGTCCCTTCGCCCTGGGGCGGCATCTACATAGTACCGTTAGTTCACACGACGCGTGAGGGAGCAAGGAGGCCCGTAGAGCCCAGGCGGCGCCAAAAGTGAAGGGCTTACAGCATGGGCAGCATCCCCAATAAGAATGGCCCTCCCGCTGCACCACCGCCCCTCCGGCGGAAGCATGTACACGGGGAAGAAGAACCACTCCTCGCACAGGTCGACAATCTCCCCGAGACACTTGAGCGCGCCGCCCTCAAACATCTCCCGAATGCTCCTCCTGATGCCCTCCTTGTCCGCGCCGTGGACGGACCAGCCCTCCCTCGCGTCTTCCCTTTCGGGCACGGCGTTCACCACCGCAAGGTACAGCTTCTCGCGGGAGGGCTCGAAGTACGTCGCCAGGAGCGCCTCGCCGCCCTTTGCCACGACAGTCGTGTCCGTGACGAGCGGCGACCCGTCGGCGCGGACCCACGACCCGGCCAGCTCAGACCCAGACGCGCAGGCGGCCCTCTCGCCCCGGAGGTCCGCGTAGCCGTAGGTGCTGCACTTCCCGGAATACGTCTCGCCGCGGCCGGGCTCGACGAGCGCAGCCCGCACCTGCGAGTGGATGCCGTCGCAGCCCACGACCACGTCGGCCTCGAGGACGTGCCGGCCGGGCGAGGAGCCCCCGCCGCCGACGACGTAGGTGACCACCAGGCCGCCGCAGTCGGGGGTGCCGAACTCGCGCATGGCGCTGATCCTGGCGCCGTAGACGACGTCGACCCCCTCGGGCCCGGACGCCTCGTGGACGGCATCCCGGAGGGCCTCGACGACGACGCGTCTCTGCGCCCTGACGGCGTCGACGCCCGGCCACAGGCGGCCCAGCAGGGCGCCCGTCCTGTGGGCAACGACCTCAATGGCCGAGACGGCCGCGGCCCGGCGTCGGAGCCCGGCCCCCGCGCCGAGCCAGTCCAGGTACCGGAGGGCCAGGGGGGTGAGGTTGACGGCGCCGCCGAGGGTTTGGACTCGGTCGCGGACCTCGAGCACGGTCAGGTGCAAGGGCGACGATGGCACGGGAGGCTGCTTGATGAGTGCGAGGGCGGCGGCTAGGCCGGCTGGGCCGGCGCCCACGATGACGACGCGAAACGGTTTTGGCATTTGCACGAGTTTTTTTCTGATTTCTGATCTTTTTGCTGAGACGCCGCTTGGGTGTGTTGTTTCAACGAGGGCAGGAGCAGATGCCGATGGCTGGTATGGCGATGAATTGCAAAGAACTGTTCCGTTCTTTTTCAAGTCTACGGCCTAGCGAGGCCTTTGTGTATATATACATGTATTCGTCGGTCGATAAATCTATACATAAGCGACGCTCGTCTTCACCCAAACAGGCCAACTCTCAATACTTGCCAGCGCATAAATCGACGTCCCAAAGCGCGACGGCCCAATAGAGGCCATGTGGTTCAAGCCAGGCTTACTCCCCGGACCTCACTGGCCTCAAGCCAGACTTGTTCGTCCGCGAGACTCATGGCCGTCTGATTGGTGAGGAAGCTCGGCATGGCGCTTTTGAGCTGGAAAGCCGGCAACCTCTGCGCCACCGCGAGCTGTGCGAGGAGACCCCGACGACAGAGGGAGAGAATCCGTGCATTTCCCTACCGCATGACGGCGGCAGACCCAAGCCGCGCTTCATGACTTGAATATTTCGCTTCGCTATTGCCATCTTACGCCACCTTGTTGGCGGATCGACATGATCTATTCACCAAGGCTGCAAAGCAATGCTAGTCATGTGCATTTCTCTCGTCACTGTTGTCTTGAAACTATAAAAGGTGCGGCCTGATATATCATCATGTAGATTCACCACACGCGGATTAGAGATTCAAGGTGGTTTCGACATGATAGTCTCCCTGGTACGCCTTGCATCGCCATAAGCGAACAAAAACGGTCCACGATATAACTTGCTGTGTCCTTCTCGATCAAGGGCTCATGGACTGTATAAAGCTTCGTGCATAGGTCTTGCATGTATCCAACCGCCCTGCACACCGCACAGTTGATAGTACGTAATGATACCTACTACGCATTTGCTTTTAGGATTCCGGGAGCAGCCGGGTACGCAGTTTGATGACACGTGAATGTTTCTGAAACATCGTGATTCCCGAGGCGTCTCGGATACAGCAAGATGCCTAGACTCCTGGTGATTTACATATAGCCACAACCGCTCAGCTACACGAAATAGCAGGTCTGAAGACGTTCAGGCCTCCCAGCCCGATCCGGTCAAAATCCCATCAAGACCAAGTTGGAACACTGTGATGCGCAAATAAATTTCGTTAATCGTTCAATTGCAACGAAAAACAGCCAGAGCCATCATATACTTTCATATGTTAGCCAAACCTACCACTTGGCCTCCTTGCTGTCTAAGAAACCCTTTAAAATGCCAACAATCTTGTCCAACGCAGCCAAGTAAACACGCAAGTCATCTTGGACCTTGCCGTCACTGCCAAGCTTGGCGTAAAAATCCTTGCGGTAGGGGCAGGCACTCATGGCGGCGCTGAATACAGGCTTGACGAGGAAGCTGTGGTGAGGCTTCAGGGTCTGGCCGTAAGCGCCGCGGAATGAGTCGGCGAGTTCTTCGGAGGGCTTGGCGAGGTTGGAGCTGAGTGCAATGCAGGTGAATTCTAGGCCACTTTTGTTCATTAGCTTTCGATGTTTGTTCCTATTCGGGTGCAAGGGGACGTCGTACCGGACGAGCCACAGCAAACCTTCAGTGGCTGTGTGTTTTTTGGTCTTGAGTTCGTTTCGGCAGAGATCCTGGATGTTTTCGGACTCGGCGGGGGCAGCAAGCTGCCGATCACGCAGTTTCTATTAAAAATGAATCAAGGTCCTGGGAAAATTGGCCATGCTGCAGGGATTCCAAACCTTGACGTTGCCGAGCATGTCGGACTTGACGGGGGAAAAGGCAACGGAGCCCATGAGATCTAGACGACTCAGCTCTGCTAGCCCACGTATGCACTTGCTTTCATAGCATGATCATACCAAACATGGTGGTCAACGACTCGGCAGCGTCGAGAAACTCGGTGGTAGCAATTGCATTGCCCTTGTCAGCGTCGATGGGAACATCGACAAAGGACCGCCTAAAGGTTTGCACGATGGTACCACCGGGGGGGATAACGGGAGCAGACATGACGATCTCAGTCTCGGAGCGTACGCGGTGGGTTTCGGAAACGCGGTGGGAAAGGGAAGAAGATGCAGGAGGAAACGAAAGCGGAAACGTTGAAGCAATGGCTGGAAGTAAACAGAAGGGAGTTATTCGGACCTGCGAGGCGGTCAAGTGTCGAGGGGATGGAAGTCGAGCTGTACGGTGCCCGACTCCTTTTGCAGAAGGGCTTTTGGTGGGGTAACCACCCACTTACTAAGTACCTACTTAAGTACCTATAGGTAGTTAGTACTATAGTTACCTACCTAGGTACCTAGTGAAGTAGGTAATGGCTTGAGGAAACCCCTCCTTCCGCGTTGAAGTGACAAGCTGGCGCCTCGAGAAGAAACCTTTGTCAGGAAATCAGGCACGGGAACCACCCAGACAAACGTCGTCATCAGACATCTGGACCAGTCGACATGTCTGGTGGTAGATTCCAACCAAAAGGCTGCCCCTGAGCTGTTCCCGCACTGCGTGTGGTGTCCTCATCTTGATTCCTAAATGCGGCACCTCCACGGCCCTGGCCCGCCCCACCAGCTCTCCATGAAGTACGGAGTACGGAGTAGGTACAACGCATCTTTCCTTGTCTCGCCTTGTCTTGCTAGAACATGGACCGCAGATGGCACGCGAGTTTACGCACAAACCGCCAAGCTACCAAGTACACCGAGTGACGAGGCAGCCGATAAAGCTCAAGGCCGCTCAAGGGCCAGGGCACTCAAGGCATTTACCTCTGCAATTGGTAACAATCTCTCTTACCGTCATCGTGGGCGAAAATTGGATTCAAACGAGGTAGGTTAGTCAAACAGCTTCGAAACACTATATCCAACCAATTTTGAACGCGTTGATATGCATCGGCGCCGATTGACGTCACTTTTCCCACCTTCCGAGTACGAGGCCACTCACATGGCCACCCCACTTCTCAAGTCTCAAGGAATGCTGGCTAATCTGCCTTTGTCTGGTAAACCTTGGAAGTTGGTAATAAGTAAGTCTGGGCACCTAGGTACCTAGGTACCTACGGCAGTTAATAATTCTCCAGCTTTGGAAGCTGCCAAATCGCCCCTTCCTCGGCGTTGACTTGGTGTACAGATCCTCCTCCATTCACCTCGTCGTGTCTGCCATAATATTCTTGGTAGAACAATCCCACATTTGCTTCGTGTGAAAAGCGAATCCCCTTTGGCTTTGACTGCCCCATCTCTTTCCCTCGAGCCAACAGGGTTGCCTTCCTCTGCGCCAGTCTGCGACCGTCGCGCCCAAATCTCCACTATCAACGATTGCAACAATGGGCGGCACCGGCCAGGTCAACGAGGGCAAGCCTGCCATGGAGAAAGAAAGCGCTTCAAGCAGCCAGGGGGGTTTCTCGGGTTTGATGGACGACCTGAAAGAGAAACTGAGCGAGTCAAAGCTTCACGACGCAAAGGTCGCGTTGATTCACAAAAAGTATGTCGTCATCTTGCCCCGCCGTCGAGAGGACTTGATTTATCCTCGCCCGTCGAGACCGCCCAAATGCTGACATTTGGTTTTTTCAAGGCAGCAAATTGGTAAATTTGGAAATCTGGTATGTTCATGAGAGGCCACTTGGGAAGTTCCTATCAAAAGCCTCGAGGGCACTCTTGGTCCTGACTTGCGACCTTAGTTCAACAAGGACCACCGCCATGATGAAGAACATGAACAGCGATGCGACGCAAAACGCTCTGCTATTTGCGAGCAACACAGATTTGAATCCTTCTTCCCTGAACGCGATGGAAACCTAGTCAAATGGTATGTTGACGGCTGCGACTATTTCTGGGCCGTCTCTGTCGCCCTGGAGCAAGCCCAAGAGTCCATTTACATTTGCGATTGGTGGCTGTCACCAGAACTCTTCCTACGGCGGCCTCCTTACCACAAGCAGCATTTCCGACTAGATCAAATTCTAAAAAGAAGAGCCGAAGCTGGAGTCAAAGTTTACGTGGCAGTCTACAAAGAAGTTGAGGCCGCGCTGACATGCAACTCTCGCCATACCAAACAGGCTCTGGAAGCGCTTTGCCCAGAGGGAACCCCTGGCTACGGTAATATTCGCGTCATGAGGCATCCAGACCACAACGTCTTTGAAAACGCGGCCGACATGACCATGTACTGGGCTCACCACGAAAAGTTCATTGTTATTGATTATGCCATGGCCTTCATTGGCGGCCTGGATCTCTGCTTTGGCCGCTGGGACGCTCGTCAGCACCCACTGTCTGATGTGCACCCAGAAGGGGTTTCTGAGGAAATTTGGCCTGGACAGGACTTTAACAATAATCGCATCATGGACTTCAAAAAGGTCGCCGACTGGGGACAGAACGAGCTGAGCAAGGCCGAATATGGCCGCATGCCATGGCACGATGTCTCCATGGCTCTCATTGGCCCTTGTGTGTACGATATTGCCGAACACTTTGTTCTCCGCTGGAACTTCATCAAGAGAGACAAGTACAAGCGAGACGCGCGATACGATTGGATTGTGCTGGAGGGCCGGGAAGGCGAGGATGAGGACTTGGTGGGCGTCCAGCGGCCCAAGCATCCAGTTGGCGACTACATCAAGCACCCGATTTCGCCCTTGAGCACCAAGAATCTTGATAATAGAGGAACTGTTCGCGCACAGCTTGTGAGATCTAGTGCCGACTGGTCCAGTGGAATCTTGACGGATCATTCTATCCAAAATGCCTATTGCGAAGTAATTCGTAAAGCTGAACATTTTGTGTATATCGAGAATCAGTTTTTCATCACCGCCACCGGTGACCAGCAGTCACCTATTCACAATACCATTGGACGGGCCATGGTGGACGCCGTCGTCCGTGCAGCCAAGGACGGCCGCAAATTCCGCATCATCGTTATTATTCCTGCCATCCCTGGTTTTGCTGGCGACCTCCGAGAAAACGCTGCGTCTGGAACACGGGCCATCATGGACTATCAATACAAGTCTATTTGCCGCGGAGAGAATTCCATTTTTGGCCAGATAAAGAAAGAAGGCGTTGATCCCACGCAGTACATTTTCTTCTTCAACCTGCGATCCTATGACCGTCTCAATAAGACGCATGCCATCTTGGTGGCCGAGAAAACGACTGGTATCAGCTACCAGCAAGTACAGCGTGCTGAAGCTGAGGAGATTATGGCTAGCGGTATCCACGGCTACGAAGACAGCAGTTCAGACGAAGGTGAAGGCAGCCGCAGATTCCGCGATTTGAACCCGAAACACAAGCATGACCGGGAGAAGCGCAAGGCCAACATGACCAGCTCACAGCAAAAGGCAGCTGAGGATGCCCAGCGAGCTCGAAAGATTTTTGAACAAGAGAAGCCAGACGAGGAAGTAATTTCTGCAGCAAGTGTGGCGCATCATGCCATGAAGACTGAGACCTCGCTACAAGACGAGCCTTGGGATAACCACGACGATGAAGAGTCTGAGGTCAAGAACTGGATCCAAGAAGAGCTTTACGTTCACTCAAAGCTCCTCATTGCCGACGATCGTGTCGTTATTTGCGGATCTAGCAACCTGAATGACAGGAGCCAGCTCGGCGACCACGACAGTGAACTTAGCATCGTCATGGAAGATACGCGCAAGATACAAAGCACGATGGATGGCAAACCATATGAAGCCGGCTATCACGCAGCCACCCTCCGACGATATCTCTGGAGAGAACATCTCGGTTTGCTGCCACCACAAGATATGAACGCCCAGGATGACATCAATGCCCAACCTCCTTCTGTGAATCCCGAAAATGACATCTATGACAAAGATGAATCGTGGAATTTTGTGGCAGATCCAATGGCCGACCAGCTTTGGGATACCTGGATGGGACAGGCCGCGAAAAACACAAAGATTTTCCGCAACGTATTCCACGCAGACCCCGATGACCACAGTATGTCCTTTGCTATTCTTTCCCCGCCTCTGTAACCCCATGTTACAGATTTCTAGAGAGCTACTGCTGATGACCTACAGTCAAAACATTCGACGACTACGACCGCTATCTTCCTCCGAAGGGTGTTAAACAGGGCCACATCTACGACCAATTCATGCCCCCAGAGGAGGCCCGCCAAAAGTTGTCGCAGGTCAGGGGCCATTTGGTGTCTATGCAAATGATGTTTTTACAGGAAGCAGAGATGGCAGAAAGGGGGCTGCAAGTGAACTCTTGGACGGAGAGCGTATATGCCTAGGCCTTTCTGTGTTGTGTGTCTTGGGTGTGGGGTTAAGAAAATTTGACAGACCATCCCTGGTCTAGTTCTACGGGTAACTTGGTTGGATTTATCAAGTCTATTTAAACATTTGATGAAATCAATGGTACTTTCCCTACAGCCTCTCCTGCCAAATCAAATCAAATGACAGAGAGAAAAGTCACATCACGCCAGGCCTGCAAGCCAACCAGCGGCATAAGCGCCGAACGGAGCCAATGGGGTTCTGTTGCTGGGATGTGAGGTGCATTAGAGCATTCATGATGCCCTTTACAACATAACTACTGTACGGAGCGGTCGGTATACATCGTAGAGTGTGGGAGAGTAATTGTCGAACAGCAGTGAGGAGTGGCTGGGACTGTTGGCGGTAAGTTGTGGTTTCAGGGGGCTTCTCGAGTAGGTGATGGGATGGATGGCCACGGGCACACTGGCATTATCTGCATGGAACGCGGAGTACGCTTGTGTACGCATTTGATCGTGATTCACAAGGCTTGGGAAAGCGTGGATGAGTTGTTGCTGATGGGCGAGTGGACGTGTGCAACTGGTAAGCATCTCAGCGTGTCCGTCGGTGAAACCATCCGACTCGATGGCATGCGAATGACGAGTATAAGGAGCCCCAGGGCCTTGGCCCCCATTCTCGTATCAAGTAGTGAACTCATCTCCAGCAAGCACGACATTCTGGTCGGTCGGGAAGAACGGCCTCACAAATGATGGTGCTTTGAAACAGCTTCACTTGGCGCGCCTTCTGACACGAACGGCCTCAGCCTCAGCCTCAGGCTCAGCCGCCTGAGAAGCAGATGTTGGATTTTCAGACCCCATGCGCCGAGTGTGGAGGTTAGGTGGCATTTCTAGAAAAGGTAACTTTTTTGTAGAATTTTGTAAAAGGATTCAGATTCAGTGTGAAAGCGCTTGTGTTCTGGATCACTAGGTACTTACCTAGGTACCTGAGTACCTAGGAAAATATGGTATTCCTACTTGGTAAGGAAAGTGAGTGCCGCCGCCTGGTGGTTCCTTCCCGGTCCGCCTCTGTTAAGTCGAGACAGCAACTTGGCGAGACCTGACTGAGGTCAAGTTTTGTCTGGCATTTGATGGCCTCTCTTGTGGGCAAACCTGGGCCTTGATCGAATCGCACACCGTCCTCGATCAGCTTCCTGTCCCTTCTTCTGTCAGGCAGACGTTCCCGGCTCTACGCAAGCATACGACGTTGCATCACGCACGTATCAAGGCCGGGCTGTCGAGGCCACGGATGATTGAAGATACAGGGCCGCACCCTTGGCCTGCCGAATACCAAAAACACAACACCAACTAGGCTGAAGAATATCCTCCTCGCCTGCGAGAGTAGCACAGATCGACGGCACCAAGCCCGGGTTCATTCGCAGCATTTGGCGTGTACATACACATGGGGATAGGCCAAACAGCCTCGTCATAGCATCGTGGTCCCTGGCGGCTACAGCGCCCGGTCGGTCACTGAAGTCGATCTTCCTGTGTTGCCCCGGATCCACCTGTGTACGAAGGCGAGTGTGGCGTCAGCTTCTTGGGGGCTGCTTGACTACAAATGAGCATGACGTGTTGGAACGACTTTTGAACGGGCCGTCAAGACTCAAGACCTGCCCAACCTTGCAGCCGCCAGCCGCACTCTGCTACGCGCCGGCACCGACGTCCTTGCGCCTCGTCTGTCGCTTCGGGTTGATGAATTTTGTTGCAAAGGAGCCATTGGACTCGCCTCTACGTCAAAAGGGAACATTCAAGCTCGACCCCTCCTTCGCCCACCCACGGCCGCGTCATAAGGGCCCCAGAGACCACCTGCGTCCTCGGCATCCTCACCGTTGTTGCACTTCTACTTCTAATAACTACTATATATATAGCAGGGAATATCTGGAGCTCCAGCAAGTGGATCCCGCTTTGTGTCTGGCGCCGGGGCAAGTGGCACATAATAAGTCCATAAACACACAAGTGTCACGGCTCTTGTATTACGACCGATCTCGCACTCGACCGAGCACAAAGGGGCGAAACAAAACGCCCCAGAGACACAAGCACGCCTGACAGAAGAACTGCCGCGCTCCTCCGTGCCCGCTCCGTTCCTCGCTCTGCCACGCCTCGGGCTCAGCTGGCCGCATATCGGCCAACCTGCCGAACACTTCAGCTCCCGACCACACGCCCGCCCAACCGCCATCGAATACGATCTTGCATACAATCCTGGCGAGGAAGGCTGCTGCCGTAGTTACTCCTGTAGCTTCCGCTACCTCCGCCTCGGTCGTGGCTGTAGCTATTGTTCCCGCATGATTTTTGCGGCCTGAGGAAGGACGGCGATCCCAGCGTGTAAGCGCACGTTTGGCTTTTAGCATCTACTAGCCCTTGTTGCTTCAAGGTAGCAACATTTCATCTTTGAAAAGTCGTCCCGCTGCGAAACTTGTGGCGTATATGCCACATCCTACGCAGCAAGATGCCGCAGTCACCTATGATCTCGGTACCTCTCAAGGCTACCAATGAGATTGATTGGATATCACCCTTGAAAGACTACATCCGTCAAAGCTATGGAGACGATCCTGAACGCTATGCTGAAGAATGTGCCACTCTTAATCGCTTGCGACAGGACATGCGAGGGGCTGGAAAGGAAAGCACGTCGGGTCGCGATATGTTATATCGATACTACGGTCAGCTCGAGCTGCTTGATTTACGGTTCCCTGTTGATGAGCAACATATTAAGATAGCATTTACGTGGTAAGCATGTTTTCTTTTTTTTTGTGTCAAGGTTTGATCCGTTATGCGAGAGCGCAGGAGCATCAAGCTGACCCAACATGACAGGTTCGACGCCTTCACGCACAAGTCAACCACGCAATACTCCCTCGCATTCGAGAAAGCCTCGGTCATTTTCAATATTTCCGCCGTTCTGTCATGTCATGCAGCATTTCAAAATCGAAGCGAGGACTCGCCACTCAAAGTTGCATATCACTCCTTCCAAGCTTCGGCAGGAATGTTCACATATATCAACGACAATTTTCTCCATGCGCCATCCTTTGACCTGAGCCGTGAAACTGTCAAGACGTTGATGCAAATCATGCTGGCACAGGCCCAAGAAGTGTTTTTAGAGAAACAGATCGCCGATCACAAAAAGGCTGCCTTGCTGGCCAAGTTAGCTGCCCAAGCCAGCTATCTGTACGGGCAGGCCATCGAAGGGGTTCAAGAAAACGTCAACAAGGCTATTTTTGAGAAGGTGTGGTTGACAATGGTCCAGGTATGATGGCTGTAGACCTCTCGTCAGAATATTATTGTATTTTTCTGAGACTAATACCACAAGCGATACACAGATCAAAAGTAATCTCTTGAGTTCCATGGCCCAGTATTATCAGGCCCAAGCGGATGACGGATCGAATCAGCATGGCAGTGCTGTCGCCAGGTTAGAGGTGGCAGAAAGACTTGCCAAAGAGGCAGAACGGCTGTCTCGAAACTTCCCGGCTACGGTGCCGGCCAACTCAAATCTCGGCGGCGAATGCGGTGCTCTCTTACAAGAGGTTTCCAAGAGGCAGGTATCCTGTGTCCAGGATAGGCTTCGCGAAGCGGTAAAAGATAACGACTTCATCTATCACCATGCCGTGCCCGCTGAAGTCAGCCTAGCGGCTATTGCGAAGCTTCCAGCGTCGAAACCCATTCCTGTGAGCGAGCTTTATGCCGGTCAAGATATGCAGCGCATAACAGGCCCCGACCTATTCGCCAAGATTGTGCCGATGGCCGTAACTGAGTCGGCAAGTCTTTACGACGAAGAAAAGGCCAAACTCATCCGAGCCGAGACCGAGAGGGTTGACACCGCGAATGGAGAGATGGCGGCAAGCCTGGACTATTTGCGATTGCCAGGGGCGCTTCAGGTATTGAAAGGCGGCTTTGATCAAGACATTCTTCCCGACGAAGATTTCCGCCAATGGTGCATCGATGTTGCCGATCATGAAGTGCCCGCGGAGATATTCGAGTTCTTGCGGAACGAAAAGGAGTATATAATGGTCACATTGGAAAACAGCTCCAAGCAACTCGATCTAGAGGAGAGCGTCTGCGAGAAGATGCGATCCAAATATGAAAAAGCTTGGTCTCAACAACCCAGCTCTCGATTAACGACAACTCTGAGATCAGATATTCGTAATTACCGCGAAGCATTAAACGAGGCCTTGGGGAGTGACAAGCAGCTTGCGGCAAAGTTGCAGGAAAACGAGCCTACATTTGACGAAATGCGTCGCGCCGCTCAGGAATCAAATGTCGAACAGCTCTTCCGAAATGCTGTCGCTCAAACCCGGCCCCAGGGTAGTCATACACTGAGTCCTGCCCACACCGAACCCAACCTCCTCGACACTGATTTTGGTGAAAGCGGACCTAGTGTGATGGATCAAGTCAATAGGGTTGAGGATATCATCAAGAAGCTCAATCTCATAAAACGAGAGCGCAACCAGGTCCTCAAGGATCTCAAAGAGAAGGTATGTATACGGGACGAAAATGTGTGTTGACATGGTGTCTAACCTACGTACAGGTACACAACGATGATATTTCGCAAGTTTTGATATTAAATAAGAAGTCTATTTCCAACTACGAGACCCAGCTGTTTGAGCAAGAGTTGGAGAAATTCAGGCCACACCAGAATCGCCTCCTGCAGGCCAATCATAAACAATCGCAGCTGATGAAGGAATTGACAACGGTATTCAACGCCCTGTTGCAGGATAAACGTGTTCGGTCCGAGCAGAGCAAATATGAGACTATCCAACGGCAGAGGTCTTCTGTAATCAACAGATACAAACGAGCATATCGGGAATTTTTGGATTTAGAGGCGGGGCTGCAAAGCGCGAAGAATTGGTATTCAGAAATGCGGGAAACGGTTGGGAGTTTGGATCAGAACGTGCAGACGTTTGTTAACAACCGCAGGGCGGAGGGCGCACAGTTACTCGACAAAATGGACCAAGACCGGTCTGGGATCAAGAGCAGCCAAGCCGAGCTCGAGCAAGAGCGTCTACGAGGATTGATGGATCGCATGACTGTGGATTCGCAGCCATCCACGTCTAGTCGTCCGACGCCCGGACCGTTGTTCCAGCCTGGACAGGGTCCTCGATACGCGCAAAGCAACTTCAAGGGGCAATATCAGATGCCTACTTCACCACCTCCCAACCAAGCAACATATCCAACCTATGCCAGCCCGCCACCGCAGAGCACGTACTCGGCGCCGATGGCTTACAATCCGTCTCAATATGGTCGAACTCCAGGACCAACCTCACCGCCCTCGAACCAGACGTCGTTTGGCATCAACATGATGCCGCACTCGCCGCCTTTAACTCAAACGTCGTCCTCGTTTGGGCAGAATCATCACCATCATCAACAACAACAACAACAACAACAACAACAACAACAGACGTACGGGAACTTTGGAGCATCCCAGACGCAACAGCCGGCGGGTTATGTGCCTCCCGGATTTGTGCCTCCGCCGCCGCCTCCTGGACCCCCACCTCTTGGGCCGCAACAGACGTTTCACTACGATGGGCACAGTGGTCATCGAGAGGGTGCTCAGGCACGCCCGACACAGTCAGAGCATGCCCATGATCCTTGGGCTGGACTGAGTTCATGGAAATAATGGCCAGAGGGCTCGCGGCAGCTGAGAAGTATGGAAAGGTGGTGTATGGGTATGATTGATGCTTGGCGTTGAGGTGAGGGGCCGATTAGCATTTGCAGGCGATGTGCTGCGTACAATGACGCCCTTTTGTTAAGGATTGATGGCTTTATGATTTTTACTTGGGAGAGAAGTACAGAGAGGCAGAGTTGTATATACATGTTGATTGCATGGCCCGGTAAGGTACGAGCCCGACCGGCCAGACAAGATGGTTCACCGCAGACACTTGGGCGTCGGGTGGGAGGTGTCCGACAACCGAAGCCAGATTGACGAATATGTATAATGTACATGATAAATAACGTCGAGAGAGACGGGAATAAACAAGTACTCCGAAGTCGGGAGTCGGTACGCACTCACCATCCCTTGGACGAAATGATGGTGCTCGTCGACGATTTGTAATAGGACTTGCGCTACTCCGCGTACGGAGAGGGGTGACTCCGCATTTCCCCAGGCTCCAAGGATGCCATTGGGGGGTTTGCGTCAGGTCGGCCAATCAAGTCGATCAGATAAACAAGCCGGCGAGGGTTCATGTGAAAGAGGTCAGATTCGGTTTGGTTTGGTTCAATGTCAAGTCAGTCGCAAGTGCCTCGCTACGCGTTACCATGGGCCGGTCACCGCCATGCTTCGTCTTCTTCCGTCTTTCTTTCGGGGGGGCATCGGCCGAATTTGCCAGGCGCTCGTGAGTTGCATTTCCACATACCAGAGGTACATTAACTAGGGAGTAGACCACGGTCGTATCCGCCACATCCGCGCATCGATCGACAGCATCGCAGCATCGCAGCATCGCCATGGCGTTGACAGGCGGCGACGTTGCGCGGCACAACGACGCCGAGTCGTGCTGGGTCATCATTCACGTACGTCTCGACCCAAGACGCTACCAAGGGGACACCGCTGACTCTCTCTCTCACAGGGCAAAGCTTACGATGTGACCGACTTTCTGCCCGGTTGGTGAAGCCACGCTCCCGTCACCAGGGCCGCAGCCGCATGCTAACAACAACTTGGCCTCGTCAGAACATCCAGGAGGCTCAAAGGTTATATTGAAATATGCCGTGCGTGACCTCGCCCTGCTCACCGGCTGCCTCGTGTGCTCCATGATGGCCACTGTGCCACTGCTAACCATCAACAACGCCTTCATGCAGGGCAAGGATGCCACAGAGGAATTCGAGCCCGTCCACCCTCCCGATACCCTTGACAGATACCTTGACAAGTCGAAGCACCTTGGCCCCGTGGACATGGGAACCGTTTCCAAGGAAAAGACACACGACCCCCAAGATGATGCGCGCCTCGAGCGCCTCGAGCAGAAGCCGCACCTGTCGCAGTGCTACAACCTGTTCGACTTTGAGGCTGTTGCGCGAAGAGTCATGAAGACAACTGCCTGGGGATACTACTCTAGCGCTGCCGACGATGAAATTGCGCGTAGCTTCCCTGCCCTCCTCTGACGCATCCATGAGAACACGGACTTTGCTTCTAACACAACGGACGCTCTTAGACCATGAGAGAAAACCACAGCGCCTTTCACCGAATCTGGTTCCGGCCCCAAGTCCTCGTCGATGTCGAACACGTCGACTTGAGCACCACGATGCTCGGCACCCGATGCTCGATCCCGTTCTACGTCACAGCCACGGCGCTCGGTAAACTAGGCCATCCCGAAGGCGAAGTCGTGCTCACCCGCGCGGCCCACACGCACAGCGTCATCCAGATGATACCCACGCTGGCGTCGTGCTCGTTTGACGAAATCGTCGACGCCAGACAGGGCGACCAAGTTCAGTGGCTTCAGCTCTACGTAAACAAGGACCGCGAAATCACCCGCAAGATCGTGCAGCACGCCGAGGCCCGCGGCTGCAAGGGCCTCTTCATCACCGTCGACGCGCCGCAGCTGGGCCGCCGCGAGAAGGACATGCGTACCAAGTTCACCGAGCAGGGGAGCAACGTGCAGTCCGGCCAGGACACGGACAACTCGCAGGGTGCGGCGCGCGCAATCTCCAGCTTCATCGATCCGTCGCTCAGCTGGAAGGACATAGCCTTGTTCAAGAGCATCACCAAAATGCCCATCATCCTCAAGGGCATCCAGCGGGTCGAGGACGTCATCCGCGCCATTGACGTTCAGGCCGACGGCGTCGTCCTCTCCAACCACGGCGGCCGCCAGCTCGACACGGCCCGCTCAGGCATCGAGATCCTTGCCGAGACCATGCCCGTCCTGCGCGCCCGCGGCGTCCAGGACAGCATCGAAATCTTTGTCGACGGCGGCATCCGTCGCGCGACTGACATCATCAAGGCCCTGTGTCTGGGTGCGTCTGGCGTCGGCATAGGACGCCCCTTTTTGTACGCCATGAGTGCCTACGGCCAGGACGGCGTCGAAAGGGCCATGCAGCTGCTCAAGGACGAAATGGAAATGAATATGCGCCTGATTGGCTGTGCCAGCGTGCAGGATCTGAACCCGAGCCTGGTCGACGCCAGGGGTGTGTTTGTGCATTCGAACTCAACGGCCGTGGATTCCTTGTCGCAGACCGTGTATGATCCGCTGGTTGTGCCATCGCAGAGAACCAAGCCCAAATTATAATGCTGCGTTTTGCGCGGTAGCGTTCCTTGGTTAGAACGGGGACATAGATGAGGGGCCGGCTCTAGAGATTTCAGCCGCCACGTTGGGCGTAGTGATGTCTTGTCCATACATGTCGATGAGCACGTCGCCCAACCCAGCCTTTGTGTTTGGCGCACATCTCGGGCCAGTTGAGCAGGTGGTTTATGGTGACACGTTGAATGTGCGAAGCACGAGGCGACCTAAAACCGCGGGCGACCGATACACCAGCCAGCTACGGTATGCTGGTGCTCGTCTTGGTTTCTTCTATTCGCAACTCGCGCACACGAAAGAAAGAAAGGTAGAGATGGATAGGCATTGGCATTTGTCCCGGATAATTCTATAGCCACAAACAGGCGCCAAGTCGCCCAACCCACAATGCCACCACCTACAACACTCTTAAAAACTCCTGGAACGAAATCGGTTTCCTGACCGCGTTGTTCAGCCCTTCGTGATACGTAACCCACACCTTTCTCTCCTCGTGCCTGTTTCTCTTGTCGATGTTGCCGTCCAACTCTGCCAGCGGCTTCGGTTCAATGATCCTTCCAAAGAAGTCTCGTTGGACGACGGCGCCAGGCTTAGGCTCATCTTTCAGCACAGGCGTGTTCTCCTTGTCGTCGTGGACAGGAGCCGGCATCTGCGTCCGCAAAGCAACGCCAGCTTGAAAACGAGCCTGACGAGCATTGCTGTCCCGCAGCGCGATGGCTCGCCGCAGTTCTTGGTCGAGGACCTGCCTGACGGCGTAGCGGGTCGGGGCTTGGGAGGGGACAAGAGCGACGCCGGTTTCGAACGTGGACAGCGAGTCGACATCACTGCGAACTGTCATATTAACGGGGTGGAAATTTCGGGCGGCTTTTCCTTGGGAAGTGACTTACGGCTCCATGCGATAGACGTATTGGGGACCCCGTGCCCCTGCGACGTCGCCTTCGATTTTCCCTTTGTGGAGGGCAATCCCGACCTCGGCCAGGATTTGGCTGGCCCGCTGGACCATGATCTTTTCGCTTTCCTTGCGGACGCTCGCCATCGACCCCTGGCTGCCGCCTACCACGACGGGCTTCACATCCGGGGACACGAGGCGGATGAGGTAAGGTAGGAACTCGGTGGCCACGTCCTCTGCGCTGCGGAAAGATCGCATGAGCGTCGGGCTCAGCTGCGAATGGAGAGCTTGAAGCTGCGACCGATTGTGCTTCTCGGCCTCGCGGGCCTGATAATCAGCCCGAGGACCGGAAAACGGCACGGGGGGGCTGTCGTCCTCCTCTGCTTCCATCACACCCCATCGTCTTTCGAACCCACTAGCCGCCGTGTAATGCTTCTTGGGGGACGCAAAGAGCTGGTGGCACGCCAAGACGGGTTGGCTGAGATACGGACCAAGTTCCCATTCCTGACTTGCGTATAGACGCGATTGACAGCAGTCGTGGAAATGCAGCCATTCGTAAGCCTGGTTGGGTTTGGCGAGGTACATGTCGTCATTGAACTCGCGGTTCGGGTACTCGGCAAAGATCTCCGTCACGATGGTGCTGAGCTCGCCGCTCGTGTCGGCCATTTCGCGGAGGCGATTCATGGCGTATTTCTTCTGCTGCTCGCCAAAGCCCAACTCAGCCTTTGGTTGTTCGTGCTGTGTTTTAGATTCAGATAGGTCCATGGCCTGCTTGGGAAAGCCGCCGCCCTCTTGAAATACGCGTTGTATAATATCTCGTACGTTTCCCCGTCCCAGGCCCCTGGCTCCAGCGGCACTGCTCGACAAGTCGCGTAGGAGATTGCTCTCGATCCATGAGCGTGTAAGTCGCTGGTTGACGTGGCCGCGAGAAGATCGAAACCGGCCGGCTACCCACTCGCCCACTACCATGACACCACGCAGATCGCCTTCAACGGTGCTTTCGGCGCCTCTTTTTGCGTCTATGCCGCTCGTCATGCCCCAGGCTGCTTCGCACAGCTTTCTTGCGGCGTCTTTGTCGCAGGGAATACCTTCCTTCTCGAAAACGTGCTTGACTCTGCCAACAACCGCATCGAGCGATGGGCGGCCTACGTGGACGATTTCTGCCAGATTCGACTGTCGGAGGGGCCGCAGGGACGGGTGATAGACATCATTGCAGATGAGAACGAGCGGCCGCATTTGTCGAAAGTCGTCCCCCTTGTTCTTTTTGTGACTGTACCCAGACGTGGGCGACGAGTTTTTCTGGTCTGTGAGGACCAAATCGATCAATGCCTTGACAAATCCGCCTTCTCCCGATGCACCAGATCCGGACGTCACACCATCAACCTCATCCACAATCACGCAGACAGGCTTGGCAACTTTCCGTGAACCGTCACCAGCTTTGTTGTTGGTGACGGTCTTCACGCTTTCCGTCCCCAAGCTTGTCCGTATTCGATTCCTCACGACATCACGGCTGCGGTCATCACTGGCGTTGACTTCCAAGACCTCGTAGCCTGCCTGTTTGGCACAGACGTGAGCCAGAGTCGTCTTTCCCAAACCGGGTGGTCCCGTGAGCATCAGGATCTTGCGATGAGGCTTCTCTTCCTCCGTTTGTTGCTTCACGCCGGGCCTTCTCGTAATTACCGGCCTTGCCTTTGTCTGACCGGGAAACACAACAGGGTCCCACCGCTTCAGCCATCGTAGTACTTGTCGGTTGGTGCTATCGTCGCCACACAAGTCCACAAACTTCCGCGCACGATATTTCTCAGTCCAAAGGAGGGACTTTCTTGGTTCCTTGCCCACGACTGGGGCCTCAATTGACCGCAGTGGCATATCAGTCTCGGCTGGAACGTCCAGAGGCTTGTTTGCGGTTTCCTTTAATGCCTTGTTTACCAAATCGTGGATCTCGATGCCGTAGTAGCTCCGCTTCGCTCTGCCCTCTTTTGTTCTGGATCGTGCTGCTGCCATGGCCTTGTATGACGGGGCAGTGGACGTTGTTCGCTGCTTAATACTTGCAGACTTGCCACCGCATGTTTTGGCGGTATACGTCGAACGGGAACTGTTTTCAAGAATCGAACCAGATAACGGAGGGCACGTGATTGACCAGTTGGGAAATTTCATTATAGCCGGAGCGTCAGTTGTCTTGGTAGAAGCCTGATTGTCGTCGTTCCGAATCTCGTCGCCATGCATTACGTGGGCCACATTGTCGTCTTCAGAGGGGCGTTGAAGCATCCGCCTCTTTGCGTCATGAATAACACTCTGTGTTCTTTGGGTCTCATCCTCTGAGTCATCATCGTCGACTATGAATGGCCCCTCGACACGGGGCTTTGGTCTCGTAGGTTCTTGTTCGTGAGGTGTTGGGCGCTTCGGGGCAGACGAGCTCTTCGGAAACGTAATAGGTGAAGATGCAGACAGCATGATCGAATGCTTTCCTCCTCAGAGTTGTTGGCACTAATCAGCTGTCAGAAGGGTTTTAGAACCAGTCTTTCACGCTGACCGAGCCGTCAAGGTCAGGATCGAGAGTAGAGAAGAAGTGTGTAGATATCTGCAACTTGCTCTGCATGTAAGTTGGGTTGAACGCGTTTCTGGTCACTCGGACGCGTTTAGTGGTCCCACTTTTTTCCATCCATCGACAATCCCTGCCAGTCTGACAAAGGGCCGGAGGTCGGACGGGAAATTCCGTCGGGACGAATTGAGCTACGCCAAAAATTGCGACTTCTCACTCCTGAAGCCCGCACGGCGACGCCAATCTTGCTCGACAGCCATTACCGACGGGGCTGAATCGGTGAAGATGCGTAAACCATACAGGTTTTATAGTCTGAATCGACCGGTAAGGATGTCCCCGATAGATCACGTTATGATTACCTGTGCTCGAATGCACAAGGTCAGCAATACTCTGTCGAATCATGACGGCTAACGGAATCGTCGCCTTCTAGAAATTGCGCCAGTCATGGAACAAATACAACTTGTATAATCTATACCGCAACGCCGGCCGCGAACCTCAGATCCGAGGCACTCCGACCTTCTTCCAGCAAAAATGGGCAGCCAAGTCGAAAACCCGAGCGTACCACGGTGAGCACATTCCCGAGAAGAAATGGGTGCGCCTTTTCTCTCGCCGACTTCTTTCAGCCGTGGACTTGCCGCCAGAGTATTTGGCTGCTCATGATGGCTCTGAGCAAGCTGCCGGTCGCGGCTCTGGCCTCACTACGTGCAATGTCACAGCAGAGTCGTTTTCTAAAGTCCCGATGCTGAGCACCAACGAACGAGCAAGGCGGAGACCCCCTCTTTTCGGCGACGTGAATAAATTACTATCTGATCAGCTCACGAGCATGACGCCCTACATGCAGATGACATTCGCCCCGTTGGAACGAAGGTTGGATACTGCAGTCTTTCGAGCGTTGTTTGCGAGCAGTGTGCGCCAAGCCCGCCAATTCGTCATCCATGGAGCTGTCAAGGTCAATGGTAAGAAGGTACGGACACTGTGCATAACTTGAGCGGCTTCCATGAAGGACCGGGACGCTAACATACTCCGAGATGGTGCATCCATCATACCAGCTAAACCCGGGTGACATGTTTCAAGTGGACATAGACAAGGTCATGTACGGCACTGGGCAGCAAAAGGTCACGCAAAGAAACAAGCGGTTGGCGGAGAATCTCGTCTCGAGAAGGAAGAAGGCCGATGCTTTTTATCGAGCAGCCATTGACAAGGCCGCTGCCAATGCTCCGGCGGATGCTTCATCAAGCGAGGCCGCGGGCGAGGGAGGGAAGTCCGATGCCGAGACCGCACCAGCGGAGGAGGCCGCTGAGAAGCAGCAGCCTGACGATGCGGCGGAAAGCAGCTCTGGGCCAGGCCTGGAGTCCCTCAGCCCCGAGGAGACTTGGAAGCTCAACAACCGAGCGCTCAGGTTCCTCCTCAAGGACGTCAAGAAGATCCTCAAAAACAACCCCAAAGACCTGTCCGCCAAGGAAAAGAAGCAACTGCGTCTATTCCGAACCGATGCCAAGCGATTCCTGTCGCATCCGGAAGACAGTGCCCTGGATGTGCAGGAACTCGTTGATGAACTTCACCTGCAAATGAAGAGCCATGAACTCTTGCGAGAAAGCTTCGAAAAGCTTAGCATCGCCCCTTTATTGTCCGATACCACGGCTGAGGCGCCCGCCGCTGAAGGCACAGACCAGCTACCCGAGCACAATCGACAGCGCCAAATTGACAAGGGTCTCGATGGTCTCACCGATGAGCAGAAAGAGAAAGCCCTGTCCATCATGGGCGAATCCCATCTCTCCCGCGAAGAAATGCGAAACCTCGCCCGGCTCCTCAAATACGATGAAGAAAACCCCATCGACGACGGCAAACCATACGCCACGCCGTGGCGGCCACGGCCCTTCATGGCTGCGTTTGCCTTCATCCCTCGCTACCTCGAAGTCAATCCTAACATTTGTGCCGCCGTCTACCTCCGCCATCCCGTGGCAAGAAAGGGCATGGCGGAGGTCCCCACGCCATTTAGCTATCTCACGAATCAATTGACGCACAACTGGTACTTGGAGCGTGGCTAACGCGGCTTGCACGGCTGGGCCTGCGGTGTGCTGTGCTGTGAAACAGTACATGGTAGAGCATCACGACTCCGGCACTAGGCCTAGACATGCAGCAGCAGCAGCAGCGCTACGTTGTACCGAAGCGGACTGAGGAGGTTAGAGTGATTGGCGTCCGGGAATTTGACATTGTTGTACAGAGCACAGCAAGTGTGCTTGTATTATAGGGTATGGGATGCTGCAAGCTCTTATCTTGCCTGTGTGCTGCTACCTGACGCGATGGATGCCGGAAGAAGGGCAAATAGGACACAAGGGTGGTAAATGTATGGAAAGAGATGGCTCGGGCGTCTTGGCCTATCCTTGTAAGATACATCAATCAGAGTACGGAGTAAATCTATAACAGATTTCTGCTGCCGTCCGTTGGGATGGATATTATATTGTGGCGGTAATTATGCCCGCCGCACAAGGTGGCGAAGCAGGCCGAAGCGGACCAAGGTGCGATGAAGGATTAACTACGAAGTATTCCGAACATAGGGGAGCGTGGTGCTCAGGAGGCCAACACTGACGACTGACGACTGACGACTGACGACTGACGACTGACCCTAAACAAGGCTTTTACGTGGAGCAGTAGTACTGCTAGATATCGTGTCCATTACCTAGATGTGCGCGAGCAGCGACAGCCCAACCACAAGTGAAAGCCACCGATCCTCTGAACCCGAAACTTAGAATTACCAATATCAATGGGGCCCTCTGTTGTAACTTGTGGCTGGCCGACAATGACAGCGGTGAATCAGTGCAACACCTGACTTGCATTTAATTACCTGGTGAACTTGGCAGCCTCTTCGAATCAATTTCAAGACGGCATCTGCTAGCTTTGTGAGATCAGTCCATGCAGGTTGTACGACAGGGTATGATTCCCTTGAAGAGCCTCTCTAGGAGCGAACATGGCCATTCTTGTTTCTCACCATTGGATCATCATCGACGCCGTGGGCAGGAGAGGCGGCAATACGTAAGGCGGCCGTTTGCTGGAAGCTGATCCTTTGCAGTTCGATCCCACGCCAGAGCTAGAGTGCGAGCTTGTCAAAAGAGATCGAGATCCAGACGCTGCGTTGAACGAAGATGGAATGCTCAAGCTTGGATCGCGGCGATACGGCTGAATTTCGTGCGGGCGGCCAAGTAAAATGTCGGAAGCCTTGCTGACGACTGACGCTCCAGCACGGTCACGTTGGACCGGGCAGCTGGTAACTCCAAGTTAGAGTTTGGATCCTCCTGCAGGTGGTGCCTGCCTGCTCTGTCTACCTAGTCACCTGGCGCAGTTGCCCGGTTGTACTTGCTACTTGTCTGGTGCATGCGCTAGAAAGTTCCGAACGTCCAGACAACGCTTCCATGTTTCCATTAGGTACCTACCAAGTACTTACTCAAGTACTAAGTAAGTACCTACATTGAGTCTTGAAGTACCTAGATACCTAGCTTACTTACCATAGTACTTGAACCTAATGGTTACTCAAGTAGCTGCTCAAGAGTCAAGTATGTAAGTACTCGAGTTTCTTTCTGTTCTTGGTGACCACTAATACCTAGGTACTTTGGATCAGAATACTTGTAAATGTTCCTGTCAGGTAGCTTGTACTCAAGCATGGGATATCCGGATGCCTCTCCTGCTTGGAAGTTGGAACCCATTTGAACTACTTGGACCGGAGAAATCAAATACCCAAGCGTCTTGCAACTCCATCTGCTCTCCTGCTACCGTTTTCTTCCGTTCGCTCCATCAGCCCTTACTAATTATTCTCTCAACCGCGAATCCTGTATTTTTCACCTCTTTCTCGGCAATATGCTCCACCTCAGATCGCCAATTGATTGTGAACACAAAAACTCTCCAGGGTCCATGTTCCATGCTCGATAGCCTTGCCTGCGTCATCCGCCTTTGCTCCCTCTCTACCTTCCAAGTAGGTAACGTTAGGTGCTCGGCAATCTCGAATCGGCACCTGCACTATTCCGTCTTTATGGGCTGGCATCGGAACAGCATCGGAACCCACGGCAGCAGCCACTCCGCCTGCTACCCAGTGTCTAATTACTTAAGTAGCAAGTAGTTAGCAGGTCGGATCACCCCGGCAAACCTCACCAACATCCAAGCTTTGAGCTCTAACCGTTGGTCTGTACGCAATACAGAGTGTGCAGAGTACGCGGCTCCCCAGTTCGCCAGCGACGAGGGCTGTGCGCCACGGCTTTACCGGTCCATCGCCATCTCGAGGACTGCGCAGGCAATACTGACGGCAATCGTTGGCTCGTTTCTTCACGCCATTGACCAGAAATCTAGACTCTCCGTCCCTATCAACGCCCTCGACCGCGAACCGCAAAGACTCTTTTCCTACGAATGATCTCTACCTCATTGCAGTTTACCTCAATCCACCGCATCGCATCACAAGAAACCAACTTGCTTGGGCGAGACAATTTCTCATAGTTCGGCAAGAAACGACACGTTGTTTGTTGTCGGCGATATCTGATGCAGGCTCGCTGGTCATTTGCCCACGACCCTGCTGCGACCCTGGGCGGACCACTAGTTGACTTCTTGTGCCCTCTCTCAATCTCTTCCAACTCATCGTCAGCTCACGCTCTTCCGCGCATCATCGACTCAGCATCGTCGAGGTGCCGTCTGCGGCCCACGATTTTTCAACGACTCTTGCACTTTTCCATGTGTCGGGCCGAAGTAAAATCACTTCTAGCAGAACCGGCAGCACACCCCGAACAAGTGCCCACTTTGGACAACAAACTGATCTTAATTCGCTCTCGGCTGGATCGGCTCATGCAGCAATGGAAGTCAACGGTAGTACTAATGCTACCTCTGCCGCCGCCGCCAAGACGAGGTCACGCAGACGAGCCGCCTCCTCAAGTCAGAAGCGACGATGCATTAGCACAGCATGCGTTGCTTGCCGCAAACGCAAATCGAAGTGTGACGGCGCCTCGCCCAGCTGCGCCGCTTGCGCCAGCGTTTATGGTACCGAGTGTATTTATGATCCAAATTCAGACCACCGCCGCAAGGGCGTCTATCGCGAGAAGGTAGACACAATGAAAGCACGCAGTGCCACTCTGCAGATTCTTGTCGAAGCTATCCTTAATGCCTCAGAAGACAACGTTGCCTCTGTAGTCGACAGGATTCGCTCTTGCGATGATCTGGAGGCCCTCGCCCAGTCCATCGTGAACCAAGATTCGGACAGCGGAGTGACCGCGTCTAACGAGATAAACGACGATGACGTCGATCCTTCTGCCCTCAAGGGTGAGGAGGAACTGGCCCGCAAGATGGGTGAACTTCGATTCGAGAACGGATCTGTGCGCTTTATTGGTGGCACTTCTCACCTTCTTCACCTGGGAGATGCCCAAAACGATGCCGTTGAGTCAGCTCATGAGACTGGGGAACAATCCTCAGGTGACGATCCCATAGCTTCCTGGACGCGAGTCACCAGCGACGCTAACCTCATCACGCACTTGATGGGGATGTATTTCAATTATCACTACTCATATTTCACCACTTTATCTAAGAAGCTCTTCATCAGGGACTTCACTGCGGGCCTGGCAAATGTGGCCTCCCGGAACGGTACCGCATACTGCTCGCCACTCCTGGTCAACGCTATGCTTGCTCTTGGTTGTCACTTCACTGATGTTGCCGGGGCTTTTCTAACGCCGGGAGACGCTAGAACGAAGGGCGATCATTTCTTTGCCGAGGCCAAGCGCCTTATTCTGCAAAGTGACGAGTTTGCCAGACCGCGCCTCGTCACCGTGCAAGCTCTGGCACTGATGTCTGTAAGAGAGGCTGGCTGTGGCAGAGAGGCCAAGGGATGGGTCTACAGCGGAATGAGCTTCCGTATGGCTCAAGATATTGGCCTGAATCTCGAAGTCATGAGCTCTGACAGAGAGCACATGTCCAACGAAGAAATCGATGCCAGAAAGATCACATATTGGGGCTGCTTTGTCTTTGACAAGTGTTGGTCTAACTACATGGGTAGGCTACCTCAGCTTGTCAAGACCGCATGTAACGTCACAAAATTCAACATCGACAATGAAGAAGACTCGTCAACGTGGTCCCCATTGTCAGATAAGGGCCTCGATAAGTCGTTTGAGCTACCGTCGAGAACGCGGTCAGCTGCGTTGCAGCTTATTAGCATTTGTGAGATTAGCAGCGACCTCATGGTCTTCTTCTACCACCCCAGTCATATTGGACGGTCTCGTGGAAAGTCTACTGAGCTTAAGAAGCTGAGCGAAATTCATCAGCGCCTGGAGCATTGGCATAAGACACTGCCCAAGGAGTTTGAGCCAGCTGAAGGCCAGCTTCCCAATGTCATTCTCATGCAGTAGGTCCCTACTCACATGCATGATGTTTGGTCTTGTTGCTATTTAGGCTTTCTCCTCCTTCCTCTTCCTCCATTTAATCTTGAAATAATTTTTCGGAAGCTGACGAGTCATTCTCCCAGCATGTTCTACCATCTGCAATATATTCATTTGTTCCGTCCGTTCCTCAGGTACACCCCGTCAGCATCTCCTCTCCCAGCTCACGTTTCTCCACGGAGAATTTGCACGGCCAATGCCGGGGCAATTTCCAAGCTGATGAGGCTGTACAAGAGGATGTACGGCCTACGGCAGGTTTGCAATATTGCCGTATACATGATTCATAGCGCGTGCATCATTCACTTGCTGAATCTCCCCGAAAAGTCCGCCAGGCGAGATATCATCCATGGCGTCAAGCATTTGGAAGAGATTGCGGATGACTGGCTTTGTGCATGCCGTACTTTAAGAATTTTAAGTGTCCTTGCGAGGAAATGGGGGTGCGAACTACCAGAAGACGCGGCATTTGTCCTTAGGAGAGCCGATGAGAAATACGGATATTACAGTACATCCGACGTGCCTTCTCCAGCATCGAGCCACGCTACATCGGGCGTAGTATCCGATGATGCAACTTCAAGGGCACCAGGAGAGCACAGCCCTTTGGAACAGTTCGCTCAGGCAGCACAGGCAGCACAGGCAGCCGGCGGTGTCCGCCCGGGATGTATTGACGAGCGCATGTCCCTACTGCAGCCATCTCAGATGACAGAAGGAGTGGCAGATCAACTGTCTCATCAAGAACGGGCTGCGCGGTCAGAGGTGGTGTCGCTTGGTGTCGGCGGCAACACCATGGAGCCGTGGCTAGGCAATGGCAACCCTGCTAGTGCATCGCCATCAGGCTTCGGGTCACCATTCTGTCCAGTCGATCAACAGGTATCTAAACCACAGAACATTCATCATGTCGTGCCGCCGCACGTAGCTGGGTCAGCTGGCAACGAACCTCCCAATGGTCAGGACTGGATGCTCAATGATGGAGCAAGGTGGCAACAGAGCTTTGAAAGTTGGGGGATGGACGGTGGCGTCCCACCAAACGGGATTTTCATATTCAACCAGCACCAAACCAACAACTTCAATCAACCTACGGGAGGATATCGCAACGACCAGGGACAAGTGATACTCGAAAATCCGAACGCATCAGTAAGTCAAAGTGGCTGGCTTCCTGGCTTGGACTGAGAGGTCTTTTTACTTGAAATAAAGACTAGCAATGATCATGAGAAAAGTTGAGAAATAACATTCGCGACTTGTCAGCTGCCATGATTGATCCTTTCATTCAGGGAATATTGTTGGATCATTCTGATACATTTTGCTGTTATGGCGTGTCGTTCTATCCCTTCTGCCGTCTAGGGATGTCACTACATATTTTTGGCATTGCATTTCCTGAGGACGGAAAGATTGTCATTTATGACAGTTTTCGAACAAAAGCACTTTCATGATACATTCTTATAGTTTCAAAGTCAAGTGCTCGTTTGGCGGATCGGATTTAAAACGCAAGATGGCGTCGAATTGGCGGCAAAGTTTTGGTTGGCAAAGGAGCTTTCATTATGATCTTGGGAAAATATCGAAGTCTGAACATGTGTGCGAAAGACGGTTGTTCTTGGGAATGTTGAGTAACGAAAGGCGTCATGGCCAAGGACTGACGGTACTGGAGGCGAAACCATCAACAAATCATGGCTCACGACTACATGGACTGAAACAAACGAGGCGGAATGGAACGAAGTCTCGGGTTCCCGTGATCTTCCAGGATTGGGCGTCTCGTGCCGATGTCGGATGACTTTCTCTTTGGTCTTGATGTTCGAGTCCACGCAAAGATGTTGCACATTTGTTGGAATTTGACCAGGGTATCTCAACATGCATAACCGTAGAAAATCGACCCCGGATAATTGGAAATCGATTTGCTCCATTCGTCCAAAAAAAGCGAATCGACCCCAGGCGGTTGGACGATCTACTTGAAACAACCTTGTATTGATGGAGATTTGAGGGCTGTTCACTTCCCGCATGATAGGAATCTTTCCACATTAGTCCAACAGAAGGCAAGGGATGCCGACATATCAAATGTCGTTGCCGTGATGAGCCCTAGTGTTCATTTCAAATCCCGGTACAAACCTTGTCGGGATTTAGAAGAATCTAGGATCAACCGGTTTCGCCATCTGCAACAGGGGCTGGTCTTGGAGATCAGGGCTTGGAATAAATGACTCATATTTACATGTAATGTCGAAGGGTCTCACAGGTCCTTCGTTCCTGTATCTGACGGACCCGACCAACGAGGGCTTTATATACATGATAGTGCCTGTGCGTGTAACCCGAGTAGGCAACAAAGGGGTGATGCCCTTTATGCCTTACTGCCTTGATGCCTTGGTGCCCGAGCCCACTGGTGGCCTATGAGGGCATCGTGATAGCTGCAACCTTGCGTCCACAACTCTGTGCCAAATGCACTTCAGCTTTCAGCGGCTCAATTCCCAGAGCCTAGCTTTGCCAGCTTGATGACAAATGTGCTCGCTCTTTCTGTGCCGGGACACAAGCAAAGCTGCAGTTACAGTGTACCGAGAGGATGAATATTCATGTGGAAGCCGAATAGGTGGCAAGTGCTGGTGGAGGTCAAGCATATGAAGATGCAAGGCCGACATTGTAGATGAGGTATTCCCATACACAAGGGTGAAACCGATCCGCTTTGGGAGTCTTGGGAGTCGAAACAATTTCGCATTATGCGTCAATGATCACTGTCCAAGCACAACAGCTTCAGCATTCCAAGTTGGAGTCTTAGATCCGGCGAGGGATGCGCAACTGCCGCAGCAGTCGTTTCACAAAGCATTAGAGATGCCTTCTCAGGTGCAGCGGGTCTTTTCTGTCTCTTCGCAGCAAAGGGCGAGTGGAAAATCAAGGCTGTCGAGCCATTGCGAAGTTTGGAACTTCATACACAGCAGCGACATTTTCCCTTTGCTCTGTCCTGGTCCGTGACCGACAGCGCTTTAGCGTCCTATTCACGCTAGCACATTAGCTGGAGGCTATTTCATACGTCTATATGCGAAGGAGAGGGAACGTCTTGGGACTTACGTCAACTCGTTCAACTTAATCCGTCTCGAAACGACATCTGGGTCTCGATCGACAACGCCAGAGACATGGCTTGAGGACTTCGTAACGGGGCAGACCTAGCTCCATTCTCCATGCCATCAGTGGCTCATGGGCTGAGAGGCGCAGGCAAGCCGAGCGTTGAGGACTTGCGTATGCGTGCAGGAACCAGCAGCCATCACATTGCGCCATTGACAGACATCAGAACATCACATGTCTGGGATTACCAAGTAGGTACTTAGGTACTTATTAGTATCAATCGATCAATTGGTGTACACCTCCCGCTTCCTGCCCTATCCGTCACTCAAATATTGCCCGGCTCCTTCCTCGCCAGGGTGCCGCATCGCTGGCTGGCATTATTTCGAGCAATGACTTCTGCGGAGCGTAGATCCCCTGGCAGGTGCAGGGCAAACGGAGGACGGCGCCAAGCCTCTTCTGGAGAACGCACAACTTGAGGTCTGAGCTTTCGTCGCTCACAACGTCGCTCCCATCACAAACCAGCATGCTGGCCTTCCTGTCCTGACCACGCTTGTCTGGAGATCCGTGGGCGTACCAGATACACTGACGTGCCATAAAGACCTTGGGCAATCTCTTCCTCGTTCGCGTTTGTCCCCTCGTCTCTCGTCGCCATCACCCATCGTCTTCAGCCCGGGACTGCCTGGCTCTGAAAACCTTCGCCTCATTGCACCCATTCATTTGCACCGTCAACCGCCAAACCTAATAAGCATCTTATCGCTCGTCAGTCCTGTGCTTCTCACCACCACCGGTGCGGCATTTTCCTTGGCAGCCCGACTTTGCTCAAATCTCGTTTCCAGGGCGCTGGAGAGAGGCGTGTTGCCACAAAGAAGCGCCACGGCTAGTAGAGTATGTGTGCTGTGAGTGAAGGAGAATCTTCAGCGAGCTCCGCCGCAGGAGCTAGAGGACCACCATTTCGGCCTTTGCTCAGTATCCTCCACTTCAGTCAGTCGCTTATTTCCAACGTTTGTCAAGGGTCATGGCCGCCCATCACGGACCACGACGTGGCGTTCACACTGCACCAGGGGTTTGATGGCCTGCAGCAACCGCAAATGGACTTTCGACAAGGTTGCTCTCCGTCTGCTGAAGGCAGGGTGTGGGAACCACGCATGGCATTTGATACGGCCTTCAAGTCTGGGGTCGACGGCGCCTCAAAAAACGCACCGCCGGTATAACGCCGACCAGGAAGGGGGTGAGTCTCCCGCCGGTTCGCCAAGTGCTGCTCCCCTCCGAGACCGTTTTCGGCCGTGACACCGCCGAGCCAGATACCATTCTTCGAACATCCCAACATCCCATGGTCTGAAGATCATCAGGTGCTAGGCCTCGTTGGTTGCGAGGGGGAGGCTAGCGGAGGCGTCGACATTTGTAATATTGGTATTCCAGACATCTTCGGGAAAATGCTCCGCGACATTTCAGTTCCCGCAGCTCTGTCAATCCAGGGCGGACATCCATTGCGCGTGTGCCCCACCAGCCGTTGTCCTGTGGCGTTGAACTTCGTCGACAAGGGCATCACACAACCAAAGCCTCATCCGCACCACTGACACAGTCGCCCCTGTGGATTCACTTCGTTTTGTGGGTGGTTTGCAGACACGGACAACCTTTTCGGTACCAGACGCCTCCACAACGGCCACCGGTTCGTCTTTGTCAGTTCCAGCATCTCCTTGGCGGATGGAGTCAGTAGCTGCGCAATAGGTGTGTATTCGGTGTAAAAGGTATTTTTGGGAACTTGGTAGAGCAGGAAGTAGAATTCGCAGTTGAGGTCAACCCCCAGGCTCCCGCGTCCCCCCGTCGGGCTGGTTCTGGACGGCGTGCTGGAGAATGTTTCGTTGATGAGGTCCCAAGAGTTCTCCGTCTTATGAGGCCTCTTTTTCATAAAGCACATTCATCCCTTGGGAGAAGGTGTTGTCATTTATCTGTGGATCAACTTGATTGGGCGATTCGGCCTCCCCCGTGTCGGTTTACATTCTGGCAGCTCTCGGCCAAGAGGAATCACATCCTGGAGTTCTGATTTATTGTTAGTGCCGGCAGGGTTCTGTTCAAGATTTATTATACATCTACAACCTCGGTATGCTCTTTTGTCGACGTCGAACAGCACCCAAAACAACCCGAAAGACACACAAGAAGTATTAGGTTTTTTTGGCGAAAAATATAGCCTGAGGAGTTCAATAACTTGCCGAATGCTCTCAGCCCATCAGCCAACCCATGAATCCACGGAATTCTCAAGGCAAGTGATGACCCTTGGCCCCTCAACAGAAGACGAAACCTACTGGTATCGACAATTATATCTATGCCCTTGGTTTTTCCCTCTTTCCATCAGCTCTATCTGAAGGATCCAGAGGATTTACAAGACAAATCAATAGACCTAACGACAAAGTAAGGACCAGACATGTTGTCTAACCCATCACACCGATACTCTCCTTCTAGAGATTCATCGGCCTCTTTTCTCCACAACCAAAGCGGGCATAGCAATCCTTTTGACTTTTTTAGCCACGGATCACACTACAGTACAGATCAGCTTGGGCATCATGTAGGCACTTCCAGTCCGCGAGGGATGGGGCCTCTCGGTCGACAAGGTCAGCACACGCAGCGAGCACAAACATCAGCGTTGACCGGAAAGGCTTCGGGCGGATCAGGTCCCGTTCGAAGGAGGATCAGCCGAGCTTGTGATCAGTGTAATCAACTGCGAACAAAATGTGACGGCAAACACCCCTGTGCGCACTGCATTGGTAGGTGTTGGTCTACTTCAGTGACCGCCGTGGGTTTCGGTTGATTTTCGTTCTGTCACTAACCTTTTGTCTGCACACAGAATTCGGCCTTGGATGCGAATACATGCGGCAGAAGAAGAAACGCGGTAAGGCGTCAAGGAAAGACCTAGCTGAGAGAGCTGCGGCACAAGCAGCGGCTGGTGCCGCGAATCAAAATGGTGATGCATCAGACAGCAAGGAATCCAGCAACTCTCCCGCCACAGATGATAAAGGTGATGGCTTTGCGGAAAACGCCAGGAGCAACTCCCTGTCCGGTAGTCGTTTAGTTACGGTGAATGACAATCGATTCGGGGGCGGGATGGGTCTTGATTCGGAATATCATCATGAACAACTAGTGACTACCCCGGGGCGATTTGGCGATCTTTCTGCCCATTCTCACATGCCGACGCCGATGCAAATTGATGGGGAAAATATTAACGATGGCCATGCAACTAGTGTCGGTGGTTATGGAGGGCATTCGACTCGTTATGACCGGCCGAGTCTTAGCAGCGATATTAGCCAGTCATACAGTCATCCCCATCAGAACAACATGCACGGGTATTCTGATATTTCATTTGGACTTCTGGGACAATCTTCGACAGATTTTGGCAATTCTCCTAGCTTTCAACTCAGCAACAGTCCGCTCGGGGTCTATCCGGGGCTAACTTCAGCTACATCTCCAGGATGGGAGATGCCGCCGATGTCTTCACCACCCGACCAACTTCAAACGCAGATTCAACATGCTAACTTCGGGCAGAGCGGGCTGCGGTATCCAGTTTTGGAGCCATTAATTCCCCATATAACCAACATTAGTCCGATCCACTTGGCGTGCGACTTGATCGACCTGTATTTCGCGTCGTCGTCTTGGGCGGGTATGCATCCAATGTCGCCTTATGTCCTTGCATCTGTTTTTCGAAAACGATCTTTCTTGCATCCTACAAGACCACGAAAATGCCGGCCAGCGCTATTAGCTAGTATGGTGTGGGTTGCTGCCAAAACAAGCGAGGCTTCTGTATTGACGAGTGCACCTTCAGCCCGGGGAAAGATTTGCCAGAAGTTGCTGGAGTTAACCGTTGAATTATTGAAGCCATCTGCTCATGAGTCGTCTAATTATGCCGCTCCAAATGCGGGCCAAACCGCTGCAGCTATTTCCCTCTGTGGCCTGGGCGTGGCGCAAATGGACGCTTAACTTAACCGTGCGGAATCTGGCGCCTCTGGATCCTCTGGTCAGCTGGACGATCTCGTTACTTACATACATCTGGCAACTGTGAAGTCTTCCAGTGAACATGGAGGGGCCGGCCTGCGCTTGTGGAACGTGGCCTGGTCCATGGCGCGAGATTTGAAGCTGGGTCGCGAGTTGCCACCGAATGAACCGCAACCAAGTTTCGGACAAAGCAAAATGGAAACGGATTTACTGGATGAACACGATCTTCTCCGAAATAACCGTCGTCTTGTGACGGAAGAGGAGAGGGAAGAGAGACGGCGGACTTGGTGGCTGGTGTATGCCGTGGACCGTCACCTAGCTCTTTGTTATAATAGGCCTTTGTTTCTGCTCGACATAGAGTGCGAGGGACTTCTGCAACCACTGAATGATGCAGCCTGGCAGAGTGGTGACTTTGAGAACTATCCGGCCGACTCGAAAATACTGAGAATCTTTGCCGAGGAGGAAGAAACTCTTTGCGGGCCTCAGTTTCAGTGCAGGGGATACAGCATCTTTGGCTACTTTCTTCCTCTGATGACTATTCTCGGAGAGATCGTTGATCTGCACCATGCACGAAACCACCCCCGATTAGGCTCCGCATTTAGGGTCTCTCAAGAATGGAGCAACCGAGTATCTGAGGTGAGACGGCACCTCGAGGCCTACCAAGAGTCTCTCAGACGATTCGAGGGACGAAACTCATTGAACCAAGAGACACACGTCCACGTAGATGAGAACAGAATACTGGAAAGCCACAACAACAAAACGCAGAGGGCTCTCCAATCGAACAGCAGCCCGTCCTCCCAGTCCGTGCTTACAACGGCCTCGATTGGGGTGACCAAAGCAGAACTCCATAAAGGAACTGTACTTGCATATGGGACTCACATCATGAACGTCTTATACGTTCTGTTGGAAGGAAAATGGGATCCGATCAGCCTCTTGGACGATGATGACCAATGGACTTCGTCCGCAGATTTTGTGGCTGCTTCCGGACATGCTGTAGCTGCAGCAGAGGCTATCAGCCAAATTCTCCAACACGACCCAGGACTGGAGTTTATGCCATTCTTCTTCGACATATACCTCCTACAGGGCTCCTTTTTGCTGCTTCTGATAGCGGATAAATTGCAAGTCGACGCCGCGCCAAACATAGAGCGGGCTTGCGAGACCATTGTGCGGGCACACGAAGCATGCGGTGTAACGCTGCGCACAGAATACCAGGTAAAGAATTTCTCCCCATAAACCCTGGAATAATCAAGGTGCAAATCTTTTCAAGTTGGCTGATTTTTCGATGGAAATCAGGCAACCTTCAGCAGAGTGATGCGAGGTGCCCTGGCATTAGTCCGAGGACGCGTCACTGCAGACGTGAGCGAACAACTACAGCGACGGCGAGAACTACTAGGGCTATGCCGCTGGACAGGAGACGGTACTGGCTTGGCGATGTGATGACACCACTCTAAATTTTTCAATGTCTTGTTGGCGGAGCGAATGCAAGCGAACATGATATTTTGAGCGTTCTGCTTTCAGAGGCTCCCGGGCGAGTAGTTGCTGAAACGGCGATACCCAATACAAGTATCGCATGCCCAGAGAGAATATGGATAATTCATCTTACTCAAGGCGTCGAAAATTGCAGCCTACGCATCGGACGGACGACGAGCTCATAAATTCGCGCGCGTCTCGGGGGTGCTGAACTCGCAAATTTCAAAAACTTCATCATCAAATACCTCGACACAGACGACACATTCTGTATGACGAGCTAATCAGAGTAATTTGATGGTACTCAAATGCCCAAGCTCTCACGTGCCATGGCGAACCGTCTCGTGCGGGTGTAAACGGAGGACGGGCGGCGCCTAGTCGATCCAATATCGTCGATCTAACAAACGACAAGTATCGAGAACTTGGCTGACAGCCAGCTTCTACCGAGGCGGGAAAGGCTTTTCAGTTTCGTTTCTGCAGACTGAAGATGTGAGGACGCAGGCCAGCCTTGGCTGCAAATTCACCTTGAACGCTCACAACAAATCGAGGGGAGGATGCGACACAACCGCGCCCAAAAGTTTCTCATGCTTGATGATGATTATCCTTGTCTCTGCTTTCGGCTGGATTGGGAGTGGTGTGTGCTGAAATCGAGCCTTGGGGGACTGGATTGTCTGGCTCAAGAGACATGGACGCAACGGCTTTTGTCCTCGAGGAAGAAGATTCCCACCAGACTTGTTGATTTCTTCATACTGAAAAATTCACATTCAGCAACTGTGACAGAATCAGAGTGATGTCAGGCTTGGCTCTTGTGCAAAACGTCCTGATTCCTGCCTTGGGACCATCGCACATGACCATGTGTTATCAAGACTATTGCCGATGTTTGCTCTCAAAAGAGCACAACATCAGTGTGCTTGTAGCATGGCCTGTTTCCTGAGATGGGTTGGTTTCTCTCTTTGACTATTCACTCCGGCATGTAGCACGTTCGCGCTCCATGTAGCGTACCTCGACAAAGCCATGCTTCAAGTGACTACATCAGCATCAGCTTCTCAGGAACGGAGGGAAGAGAACAGCAACTCGTCAAGAAGTCGAAGCCGGCGCCAGCCCTTGCCCATTCCCGTGCCCATGACATGAGATTGATCTGATCTTCTAACTGGGGGGGCTGCCTAACGTTACACCCCTTCAGCACGGCTCTCCGGCAGCCACACCTTTCCTCTGTCTCTTCTCCGTGGGCGTCTTTCTATGGTTTTCTCTCTCCCACACACCTCCCTCACGCAAAAGTGTTGATCCTCTGAAAGGTAGTTCGGCTTACGAATACGCTACTTGTGCTGAATCACTTGCGCTGATGAAACATGTAACCTCTCTTCCTCCTCTTCTGCTGCTGGACTGCTCTTGATGCGTTTGCTGAATCACCTCTTAGCTAGTGAACACGGCGGCAAACAGTGTTGCTTAAACTGAAGGCCGACAATACAAGTGGTCATTATCCTTCTTGGATATCACAAAAGCAGAGAAAAAGGTATGAATCTTGTTTCCTCATTTGAGCAAGGGGCTTCATGGTCCGACGATGGTTGAACCGTGTTTGGGAGTTTTTTGAGCCACATCCATCAAATCTTGCCGGCTGACCCCATCTTCCACGGGGGATAAGTGAACAGTTTGCCTTGGATCTCTCTTCTTCATTGTCGGAAAGCAATCGTGCTACGCCGCGTGAAGAAGATGAGCTTGGCGTTGTTGTGGAAAGAAGCTCACGGCGTCTGGTCTTTGAGGTTGCACTATTCGCTGAGGCATGCTACAGAAACGTATTTATTGGCAACGGCTAACGTTCTCCTCGACTCAGATCGCTATTCATCGTCATCGTCTTCGTCCTGGGGTAGCATCCGCAACTACCTCAGCTTTTTTGAATCCCTCAATACACCCTTTAGGCCCCATCCTCCTTGGACTTTGAAGCCGTCGTCATGACCACGTTTTATCCCATGGCTACGGGCCAGGGAACTTCGGAGAGCCAGAATGATAGTCCCAATGGCCAGACCCAGAGCCAGGGGTTGATGTTTCCTGATACTACCCCTGTTGCCTCGAGTGCCATGTTGGGCAACGGCATTCTGGGCCACGACATGCATCCAAACAACTTCAACTTTGACTCTGGAGCAGGCAATCAGATGCCCCCCCAGGTGGTCGGCTCTGGTTTCCATTCCGAACTTCACTTTACTGGCGGTTACTTGGAGAACCAGGCCGGGCCCAACGTACTTCCCTTTGAGACGACGCCGTCTATCCTGACGACGGCGGCGACTGGCGTATATCCCAACCGTCTTACTGGTCCTCCTCCCCGTTTGACCGAGCAGTCGGAGGTGAAATTCGAAGGATACCCACTCGATCTGGTCGGACTCACCATTCACGACAGTGGTGATGCTGAAGAGCTGGCGCGCCGACGGGTAGCAATCCAGCTGAACCAGAAGAGCCACAGACAAAATCCGCCAGTGATTCCCGACCACACGCTCGGCGAAATGACTCCTAAGCGAGTCTTTCCAGACTTCATCAAGCCCAGCCAGAGCACGTCGCCCGAGGAGAAGCTCATGATGGAGCGCGAGAACAACAGACTGGCCGCCCAGCTGCAGAAAGAAGACCGAGCCCGCAACAACGAGGCGGCCAAGCGCAGCCGCCTTGCCAAATCCGAGGCTCTGTGCAATGCCACAAAGCTCAACATTACCCAATTCATTCGGATTGCGTGGCTTGAAGCCAAGGTGATTGGCCTCGGCGGCAGTCTCGCCGACTTTGACGCCATCCGCCCAGACATGCTCCTCAAGATACGCAACGACGTGCTCGCGCGCATGGACGCCGTCTACGCCCAGCGAAAGAAGAACAAGGCCGAAGAAGAGTCCCGCAGAAGAGCTCTTCGCAACAAGGAGCGCCAGCGGAAGAAGGCGGCGGCCAACGAGCGTTTTGCTCGTCAGCGGGCCGAAGCCACTCGCGCCGCCGCCGCTTCCACTACACCCGGCCCCCAGGTCCAAGCAGCTCCTCAGAATGGGAGGGCGACTCAAATGGACTGGGCCTCCTTCGTCCCATCCTACGATTTTGGTCAGAACTAGCCGGGAGGAAGAGCAGTTGGGGTGTAAAGGAGACGGCTTGCAGGTTGCACACTCGGATGGGCCGGCGAGCCCGGAAACGGACAGAGGTACGGAAGCGGATCTGGGCAAACTTGAAGGCATTTTTACCGGGCGAGTACGGTGCTGGTCAGGCTCTTGTCGGGTTCACGGGGGCAGTTGGTCCGGGTTTAGGTTCTTTTGCGTACGCGAGATAGGTCCGTCATCAAGGGCGTGGCACTTGAATACACGACTGCGGTTTGTCACGGCAGATCTGGGTCTATTTTTCAGTCGGTGAACAGGAGCACTCTGCGTGCGCACATCAGCCTAGGTTGCTCGACCTTTTTCAAAGAAAAAGGGGGGGGGCGCAGTTTCGGATAGAAATACCAGATTGCCATAAGCCAAGTTGGCATGTCCTGAATGCAACTCGAAAAACAGTCTTGTTTCTGTATCCTCTGGGCGTTTGTTTGAGAAGAAAAGAGAGAGAGGAAGGGGGGGAGCCGGTCCCGCATCAGGCCTGCGTTTGAGCGACGCGAGCCCGCCTCCACGGCCTCGTTGGCGGCTACATTGTCTCTGCCTGGCAAACTGCTGAGGAAATGATGAGGTGGGAGTCGTCAACCCTGAGAGCGGGACATGTACAAGACATGGTGGCTTTTTTTACAAGACGCCTCTCTCCGAGGCCCCTGCTGGATTTACACTGCGATGAAGACCGCGACGCCGTGGCCTCCTTGGATCCTTTGGCTCCCCCGTCCAGGAGGGATATCTTGACCAACGCTGAGAAGAGCGGAAGCCACTTACCGACTGAGGACTTTGACTCTGCGAAGAATAACAGAGATGAGGCGGCTGGAGAAGATGCCGGGTCGTGCTCATGTCACGGGCTGCCAGTAGGGATATCACGACCGCTTCCAACGAGCCCCTGATCAAGTTTCGGCGCGCTCTACACTTGTCCACGTCTTCTCACGACATACGCCGCCGTCATGGCTCGTCGCTACGCCACCGCCGCCTCTTGACGGCCCTGGCGACTCCCCTCTCGAGTCAAGCGTACCGGCAGCCTATCGTCTGGAGTGCACCAACCGTCCCTTCACCCAGACCTTCTTGGTGTTTCGATCATCCCCATTGTACAGCCACTTCGCGATGCGCTCGTCCCACGTCTCCCAGCCAAAAACATCCACATTGCCTGCGTCCACATGGCCGTCCTCGTCCTCGCCCACTCTTGAACCGTCGTCCTGCACCAGTCCGAGTGCAATTAGCTGCGCGTCCAGCTGCTTGCCCACCTCGAAGCCGCCGACCTTGTCGTCCAGACCTAGACAACGCGCACCGCCCCTGGTCGCGAGATACAGCGCCTCCTCCACCGTCAGCTTCGTCTTTTCCCGTAGCGCCTGGTCCTCTGTGCGCATTGCCAAATGGCGGCTCGTGAGAGTAGCTTGCCTTGCGGCCTCCAGCATCGACGGCGAATAGCCGCCGCTCATATCAGTGCCCAGACCAATCTCAATGCCTTGTTCCCACATCCATCGGACCCGGGCCTCGCCGCTGGTGAGCGAGGAGTTGCTACAGGGGCAGTGTGAGACTTTCGACTCGCGTTGTGAAATGAGACGTGCTTCTTTCTCGGTAATGTGGACCGCGTGGGCAAGTATAGTCTTGGGTGTGAGGAGGCCGTGGTCGTCGTAGACTTCTGCATACGATCCTGACTCGGGGTACATGTCGGCAACAAGCTGGATTTCGCCTTTGTTCTCAGAGACATGAGTCTGGATCGGCAGATGCTCTCGTCTGTGAATGGCAGAGAGACCCTTCATGCCCTCCGAGGAGCAGGATGGCGCGAAGCGAGGCGTCAAGATGGGCGAGATGAGCTCAAAGCCGGGGTCAATCTTTTTGATGTACGCAATGGATTCCTGCGTATTGTGGAGGAAGCTTTCTGCGGATTCGTCGCCGTAGTGCCGAGGACGCAGCTCCTCTCTGTCCATGCAGACTCTGCCCACAAAGGCGCGCTGGCCAAGAGACAGGCACAAGTCCGCTAGGAGGTTGGTCGCAGGCACATCCACGGTTGCGTAGTAGGCCGCAGTGGTCGTGCCGTGGGAGAGGCATCTCCGCACGCAGGCCGTGTATACCTTGCGAGCCTTGGCGAGGTCTGCGAGAGACGATTCGAGGGGAAAGGTGTACTTCTCTAGCCAGTCCAGGAGGGTGGATTTGCCGAATATTCCTGCGTTGGGGTACTGCGAGGCGTGGACGTGGGTGTCTATGCTCGCGGATCAGTCCCTTGTTTGCTGCCAAAGACATGTCATGAGCCGGAATATGGCGCGAGCCAAAGCATACCTATGAAGCCGGGAAAGAAAAACTGTCCCTCCCCACACTCGACCAAATCGACATGACGGTGCGTCCACCCAGTCTCCCTCAAAACCTTGTCCTTGGCCGCATTCCCGTTCTCGCAGCCTCTCGCCATGGCGACAATGGTTCCGCCATCGTCGACTGCAACAGCAGCGTCGTGGATATACTCCAGCTCCGAGCGGGATTTGCTGTGGACAAAGGTCCCCACGAGGACACGGAACTTCCTGGGTTCCAGGGCCAGTCTCGTGGGCACCATATCCGACGAAGAAAAAGCGGAAAGGTTTCGCGGATGGAGCAGCACAGCAGACGAGATGAAAATTTCCGCTTGACAGAAGCCCTCAAAGAATATTGCAACTGTCGAGGCACACGTTTCATCACGGAAGCCGCAGGGCTGCGATGTGACTGGCCAAAGTAACGTTTGGCACTTGCCTGGTACGGACTACAGAGACCGCAAACCAACCAACAAGGAAGGAGAGGACCGACCCACTTGCAATTCCTGGATGCGGTCGGTAGTCGCCGGGGCCCGAGTTGATGCCGTCTGCCGTGCATCGTGATAATGTAGTTGGGAATAATGGCAGAGGTGAAAGAGAGTCATTCATAAGCATCTGCACCCAAGACCACACACACCGCATCGCGCCTCAGCATGCCAAAAATTGTCGTCTCCTGACCCGGGGTTTTCTTCTCTAAACTGCATCATCTTGCGAGAACATAATGCATGTCATGTCTATTGATAATTCGTAGGAGCATTGCTCCCTCTACCTAGGCAGAGCAGGACCGAAATACATGAAAACATCTACAAAACAACTCATGATTTAATCAACAATCTTCAACCCAGCATCATCATGACGACCGATGCCATCCCTGTCGTCGCCGCCATGAAATGAGGGTCTATGCCTGCCTCCACCATGCCCCAGTCTAAAGTGCAAACAGTTGTTCTGCTCCACGTCTGAATCGCCGTTTATGTATTTTAACTTCTTTTTGCTCATTCCTCCCCGTCGTGGTTGCGTTTCTTTTTCTGATACTCACTTCTTAGGCGGCGGCACCAGGCCCATCATAGCCCACGCTTGATGAACTGTCGCTAACCGTCTTGCTCTCGTCCTCCTGCGTGTATTTTTCCCAGTTGGCCAGTACAGCACCGATCTTGGGCGAATTTGTCAGCTTGTACACATCTTCAAAGTACTCTCTGGTGAGCTCGAAAGGCTTGGCGGTGACATTGGGAATGTACTTTCCGACCAGTTTCGAAGGGTCGATTGTCGTCTTGTTGATTTTCTTGAGTAGGAATGATCGGAAAGGCTTGACACCTGACCGCAAAAAGGTGGAGTGGAAAGGCACGTCGATACCACGCAGTGGGATTGTGGCAAATCCACGCTCCAACTCCAGAGGAAGAGGTTTCTTCAGAGTCGCCTCGGCGCAACCGCGAATAATCTTGCGGAGAGCACCCTTGGCTTCTTCAATATTGCTTCGCATTTCTTCAATATCGATTTGCTGCATCTTGACAAAGTTTGTGACCCCGGCCAACGTGTCCAAAGCGCGCAAATCACCAGCACACACATATTGCATGTTGGCAATGTTGTAATTGACGATTTCCAGTAGCCAGCCAGTCTCCTCAGCAATGTTATTGACAACAAACTGCAGAGCCTCCTCATTAAATGTCTTGGAGATGCGGCTGGGATTGACAGCACACATCGAGTAATTGGATCGGCCAGCAGCGTCGCGCTCTACAGCCACTTGCATGGTCAGGCCACGATAGAAGACGACCGACACCAATGACTCAATAGGCATGACATCAGCCAAGGCAGCAAGGGCCGAATATTCTCCCAGAGAGTGGCCGGCAAAGGTGCTGTCACGAGGTACGAGGCCCTTCGACTTCATATCCTCGAAGCTGGCCTTCTCCATCAATGTCAGAGCAGGCTGCGTAAATTGAGTGGCCGAGAGGAGGCCAGTAGGCGATCGGTAAGTGTAGGAAGTCGTGCTTTCGTCAATCTCCTTGAAGATACGCTCCGATTTGATAGAACCATCGGCGCCAACAGTTTCAAATGTCATTGCCATGTAGTTCTGGCGGATAGCTTTGCCTCGCGGACCACCAAAGTGAATAGTAAGCTCCTTGGGATTGTTCTTGACGATGTTGGTAATGGAAAAGCCTAGCCACAGGTTAGCAGCCAAATCTAACAATGCATTGAAACCACAACGTGTTCAAACCGGACCACTTACCGTAGTTGTCGAGGAGATACTTGTCAGCCCGGTCCCAAACCTCCTTGGCTACCGGACTGCTACCATACAGTTCCATGCCCATGCCCTGTTCCTGTGAGCCCTGACCTGTGAAGACGTAGGCTGTCACAGGCTGTTCGACTTCCGCCTCGCCCAGCAACACCTTTTCTTCCGTCTCAGTGTTGCTAGCTTCGACCTTGATAATCTTTCGGCCAGCAACCATACCAACATGCTGCAGCTTCACCTGGATGTCATCGTTGGGCAAAACCATCCCGGCGAAAGAGGCCTGGAAGCTCCGCACACGGCCGGTATCGTTCTCGGCCGCCCAGGTCTCAATTAGGCTTCTGACGGCGGCACTAGAATACATGCCATGGGTGATGGTGCCCGGAAGGTTGGCATAGGTGGAAAAGACACGGGAGACATGGATGGGATTGTAGTCTCCAGAGACACGAGCGTACGTCTCGTTGGATGAAGGAGCACGTAGCTGCAGGGGTGTCTTGCCACTGAGGGGAATAGGATTTTCAAAGAGAATAGGCTGGTCTAGGGGAGAACCATGACGCTCTAGGTAGTCCATAACGGGGTTGCCATGCGACTCGCCAGCCTCATAGTCGACACTGGCAACTTGAATAACTTCCTTTGTGGGTAGCTCCAAGAGAACCTGGCCTCTAGTCTCGACACTGCTGAAGATATTTCTGTTCTTGTACCGTACAAGAGACTGAAGCTTGAAGGTTAAGGTCTGGCCAAGCAGATCAATGTCGCTTGGGAGTTCGTCGGTTGTGAACCACTGCTTGGAGCGGAGGACAGCGACGTCCTTGGTTGTAGCCAGGTGGACCTGCACCGGGGTTTCGATCTTGCGCTGGAAAGTGTTCTCATAGTCAGAGTACTTGCCACGATACAAGAACTGTGACGTCACTTCCATGACAGGTTTGCCATCGCGAGAAATAGTACCGCAGACTTCAACCATCTTGCCGGCTTCTTGGTTGATGACTGCGTTGATCTGGGCAGTAGTGGCAACTTCGTCACCCTTTTTGAGAGGTTCTGCCCCAGGTATCATGCGAAATTGGTTCGACAAGTGAACCAAGTTTAGCAAGTCACCATCGATGGTGCGGGGGAAAATGGGTTTGGTAATTGCCTTCCACCCAACGACGATGGCGAAGTCCATAGGAGCGTACACAATCTTGCCAGGTCTATCAACAAAAGCCTCGCCGGTATTGCCAACAGCGTGCACAAAATCATTGATGGCCTCACTGGTGATGGTGGTGCGGCCACCATCGAAGGTGCTGGTGATAAGAGCATCCAGATTCAAGGGCTCCTCGCCGAACCACACCTTCCAGTAGAACTCCTTGATACGGTCATTGCGATCCGCCATTACCTCGCGAATCGGAGCATAGCCAGCCTCGGGATTGTACGTGAATTTGAGAGGCATAGCCACAGCCTTGCCAAGAGCAGTGGTATCCTTGATCAAGTTGACCAGAATCTCGTTCTTGCCGACAAGCTTAACCTCAATGACGTCAACATAGTGGTTATGTCGAGGCTGTTCTCGGACTATGATAGCGGTCTTAGTAGGCTCGTTGGGGTATTGAATTTCAACGAACAGGCCACGAGTAGGAGCGAAAATCCGCTTCAACGGGTTGGTCTGGAACTTCTGGCCTTGAACGACAACGTCTGACATGAGGAGAGCGTGGCGCCAGTTGCGATTCGGACCGGCTAGCAAGGCCAGCCAGGACTCTAGTGAAGGAAGTGGTGTACCAGCGGCAGAAGACAGGCGATAGGTGTTTCTATGAGCGTCATAGGCAACAGTAAGCCCTTCAACATCGAGGGGGATCTCGGACTCGACCAACTTGCCGCCAAAATATTCAACGAACGGAATCGAGCTCTCATCGTTGTTGTACATGTCTCGAGTAAGCATCTCGATGTGCGACTCGTGGATGCCATCCAGAATGTCTTTGATAGGCTCGTCCACGACGGTTGAATACTTGACAGCAGCAGGACCCTGGAGAATGCACGTTCGGCCAACGTCCTGGCCGATAACTGCATCCAAATCTTCGGACTGCCAAAGGGAGTCCTTCTTGAAAAAGAACTCAAAGTTGTCGTCAAGAGACGGAATGAAAGTGACAGGCTTTTGAGTGGGTTGTAGGCAAAGAATCAGGAAATGCTGAACATCCTGGGCATTGATTATCTGCGTCTCGGCTTCCGGATAGTGAGAAAGGATACGCTCCACAGTCGAGAAGGGGTCGTTGAGGTCGGCATAGTTTTGAAGAAGGGAGGCTTTCCCAGCAGTGCTGGTGAAACGCTCTTCAACACGGTGAATGAAATCACCCGTCAATTTGATATAGGTAGGGTCAATCCAGCGCTTCTGATGTTTGACATAGAGAAGCTCCACCATTCGGCGAACAACCTCACCATAGGTCATGTCTTCTAGGTCACAAGCCTTGCCCTCCTTGTTGCAACCGAACCAAACTTTTTGGCAATCGTCATTGAGGCGCTTAATGATGTACTCACGATTCTTCTTCAGCTCAGCAACACGCTTCTCTTTGGGCAAGCTGAAGATCTTCTGGTCCATCTCGGCCCAAAAACGCACGCCTCGAGTGGCCAGCTTGTGTATGGGCTCACCCATTTCGGAACGGACTGTGATGACACCTCCGGCAGGACCCTTGTATGTTTTCTCCCACTCGCTGTCGTCCAAACCAGGAGCGTCGATGATGGCTTGTTTGGCATCTTTGCTTGTATGAGCTTCCTTGGCAACCATCATGCGACTACCAAACAAGCAACCATCAAAGGGCATTGGGGGGTAACCATATTTTTTAGCCCACTCGCCGGTGATGTACGGATAGGTGTCCGCAGCACCGCCAAATCCACTACCAGCAACGAGAATTATGTTTTCCTGGCGACGGATGCGGCCGTACATTTGTAGGATGGGCTGATGGAAATCTTCGAAAGAGTGGTGGCCACCGCCACGGCCGCCAGTCCACTGTAAAAGGACAGGGAAGTTGGGGTTGGCCTTGGCAATATTAACGACGGCCTGGATAGCTTCAACAGAGCCGGGTTTGAAGCCAATATGCTTGAGGCCTAGAGTCTCAATGTATTCCTGGGCAACCTCGATGGAAGGGACGCCGGCACCGATGGTCAAACCCTCGATGGGTACACCCTCAGCTCGCAGCTTGCCAAGCAAGGGAATCTGCCAAGCCATAGCACGGGGGTTAACGTAGATCAGGTTGACAGTAATACCACGCCCAGAAGGAATCGCCTTTTCGATTTTGAGCAGAGCGTCAGTCATCATACCGCCCATGAAATAACCGCCACCAGCGAGCTCAATATGGTAACCAGCGTTCATGGTAGCAGCAACAAAGTCCCAGGGAACTGTAGCAGGGGTCATGCCAGCCACGACGATGGGAGGTAATCCAAGCAAACGGCTCATCTTGGTATCGACGTACTTTCGGCCGCCGGATGATTTGACTAAACGGGGGCCAAATTCCTTCACCCAATCAATGGCATATCGCAGCGCATTCTCTTCGTCTCTATCAAAGATCTCGGGTTTGTAGCCAACCTCGTTCATGGTGCCCTCAATAGTACCAGCCAGGATAACACGAACACCAGTACCCTCTTTGTTTCGGCTGGTCAAGGTACCAAGACCGGAAACACCTCCAGGACCAAAGTCAAGGATGTGGGTGGCATCGGCGAAGACGGTAGCCTTCTCCCAGTTTACGGGATCACGGGTGATTAACCGCACAAGGGCAGGAACAATATTGCCCTTGACTTCGGTTCGAAGGTCCTTACCAGTGTTGGTGTCGAAAACAGGTATGCCGAGATCTTCAGCATCGATAGAAATATTCTTGAGGTCGGCATCGATCATCTCGGTAGCCTCAGCCAGGTACTTGCTGTGGAAGGGGGCGGTAATGGGGAGGAAGCGGTTCACAAAGCGGACCTTGCGGTCAGTGTGAGGAATTCGAGTCTGGTCTAAGCCAGTGGGAGCTTTGACCTTTCGCAACCGAGAGTTCAGACCGTACAGAGAGGTGGGTGGGCCAGTTACAACCAAGTTGCGAGGGCTGTTGATAAGTGAAATGCTGATGTGTCGATGTGGAGGAAGGTACTGGTTTGTCGCATCGATATGCTTCTGGACCTCTTGCTGCGAGAGATCTCGAATGCTCAACATGGGTGTTGGGTTACCCTCGCCGTGTTCGATAGATTCGCGAAGCATGGTTGGTGTCATGGAGGTGGTAGGGAAAGCTTGCTGACTTCTTGTGCCGACCCAGAACAGAATAGAGAGCGTTGAGCTGACAATCTCACGCCACGACTCCCAATCATCGGCAGCGGACGTTGCGGCGGCCATGACAATGCCTTGAGAATGACCGGTACTGCCGCTAATGCGCTCCCGGAGCATACCAGGGTGTACACCCAGGGTCTTGCAGGCAACCTCATAATGGGCCATCTGGACGAGACCGATCAAGGGGAAACTAACAGGAGCAGAAATTAGGTACTCAACATCAGGCGTTGAGTCCGGATGTTGTAGCCAGTTCATGATGTCCAAGCCCTTGGGGAACATCTTTTCTGCGCTAGGGTTGGTAGAGAGCGTCCTCAACTGTTCAGCGGCAGATATGACGAGCTCGCCAATAAAGCTCGAATAGGTCTGGAAAACCTGGCGGAGCTCATCAAAATACTCTTCTATGTTGCCCTGTCCGCCAAAAATGGTGTATATATCGGCAGAACCATCACCAGCAGCCCGGAATAGAGCGGACTCGTGGGGCTTTATGGTTCTGTTGGTGACGGCACGAGCCATGTAGTAGGACCGGATGACTTCGAGCTTCTTCGTTTCAATGCCAGGAAGAGCAGCGGCAATGGCGTGAACCTCATTGCCGCGGAGGAATGCTCGCTCAAATTCGTTTAGAACCAACTTCAAAACCTCTTCGTATGAACCCTGCGCGTCGTCCTCGCCGTCCTCCACCTCTTTGGCGACGAAGCCGAGATATCGAGCCACCAGCTCGGCGACGGATGATGGTTCGTCATCTTGAGCGAGCTCGTCTGTAGGACTGGGTAGGGTGGCCACGAAGCGTTCTTTGATCTGCGAAGCGTGGAAATGAAGGCTAGTAGGAACGAGGAACGAGGTTTCGAGACTGCCGTGGGTGAGAGTCAAAGGTCGAAGAGAGGCGCTGGATCTGGGTGTGGAAATGCCCGTCTGAGGGCCTGTGCCGGCGCCGTACATGATAGGATTATTTCTTAGGCGGAGAACGGATGAAAGGGTATCGCGCAAAATCTGGAAACAATGAAGGCATTTTACGTCAGTCTAGCAATCCTGCATTGGCCAGTTTAATTTTTCTCCGTTCCTGCAGATGACAGGATGCCGAATTCATCAATCAAGGTTCCGGGCTCGACATACCTATGAATCAAATAACGTATTCTAAAATTGGCTTCCCGACCGCTACTCGTGGAATAGAGATAGAGCGAGCAAGGCGGAACAGCTCAATCAAATGTGCAATGCTCAACAAGCTTGGCCGGGGATGGCGACCAAGAATTCGAAGCAATTGCGGGACCGGTGACGAACAGAGACAGGCTTCTTTAGGAGCAGGTGCTGCAAGGATAAATGCTAGCAGGCACCTATGATGAGCTCGAAATGAAGCGTATCAGGGAATAGAAGGAATTGGGGGAGAATGAGGAGGAAACACGAAGCAAGTAACAAAGGGGGTTGGAAATGGGATAGACGAATTCTCGAAAGAAAGACGTTGCTAGAGGTGTGGGAAAAAGTGCCTCAACATCGAAACGTCTGCAATCCGTCCAAGGGGGTCGAGACGCGGCCAATGGACGACAAGGAAAATTGGGCCAGCTGGTTACAGCGACAGTCATCAGCCTCGAGTGCCAAATGACGGGGCTCTGAATTGAACCAGAACCAGATGATGAGGGCACCGTGATAGTCCTACGGTCCCAATGATACAGTGCAAGAATGATCAAGCCAGGGCCGCATTCCCAAGTCCCAACCCCAACCCCCGTCGCTCAATCAGAGTCCAGCTCGTAGTCAAGTGGGCTGTACACAGTCTGTCTGGCGTGCTATCAATGGGTTGTGGGCAGCGCTCAGGGTGTGTGGCTCGCCATTTTTTTTTTTTTTTTTTTTTTTTTTTTGGAATACGTAGTCGCAACACCAACATTCTCCAAGCTTGACTGCTCCCACTTTTTTAGCTCCCCTGCCAAAAGGATGGTTGCTGTTATGTAGTGGTACTTGGGACGCTATCCATTGTCCCAGCTAGAGAGGCACCACATGCGACTATCAGGATATCTCATGCTAATCTGCCGTAGCAAGCTGTGGCGGATCAGAGTCTTCACCGTGGCTTCCTTTGCAGGGTCGAGCCAATTAGACCTCGTGTTGGTCGGTTGTTAACTTTGTTGCCACGTTGAGAAACGGCATCATCCTACCGGCACATGGGTGGCGGAATACGTGTGCATCATGGATACTTAAATAGAAGATTCGGCGTTTGCAATCAAGGCGATGTACACAGTACAACTGCGGCCTCATGATTCCAGAATAACTCGATTGGTCCGCATGAACTATGAGGCAGCTCCATTGCATCTTGACGACGTGTTATGTTATGCAGGTCCGGCCTAATGTACTGGTACTTCCAACGTACCATCGTGTCCCACCGTCCCCAGCGAAATTCTGCAGCTAGCCGTGAACTAAGCTCTCCAGGTTCTGATGACAGCCGATTCATCTTGGTGCAGGGAATAGACAAAACCGTACATCTCTTCCGATGGCTCATCAATTTTTTATGTACCTGGGCAAGGCTGAACTCTGGGAACCCAAAATTTGCTGGTGCCATCTCGGACGAGGAGACGGATAGCTCGGAATGAATGCCTTGGGTGGTCGTAGTCAACTGTTGGCCGCCCTCGGCGATTTTTCTAAACGCCATTCATTGGTCTCGTCGGAAGACATCTAGTCAGTTATATTCGATGGCATATGTCTCCTTTCGCCAATGGCACAAACTTCTCACAGCAAGATCCCCCTTGGTAATGATTCCCAGACCGATCGAGTACCCCCGCGTTGAATCTGGTGTACTGCTTGGTTTAGTAACGGCCACTTGTCCCAAGTTCGTAGGGGCCAAAAAAAAAAATTAACAGCCCATGCCGACGTCCGTCATCAATGGCGTGCAAGGTACTCCGTACGGCGACGGAAACCAGAAGTAGCCAGCTACATGGTCCGCAGCGCCTTGCCCAATGTGGTTTAGTGTATCAATATGGTTGAGAAACCTGTCACTCAGGAGCCGGTTTCCGTGAGGCAAAGGTTCAGCGCCTGCCAGGTGGCCGGCCAAATGCTACCGCGTCTTTCTTTTTTGGTGGGGCCGCCTGGTTCAACAATCAACTCGTCCCAGCAGACTGGTGCTATCCAACAACCCATGCTGGCACTGCTTGGCTGAGTCCAAACCTAGCAGCACAGAGTCGTTCAGTGACTTTTGCTGTTGCTGCGACGTCAACTGCTACGGTACGTACCACGACCCGCCCTGTTCGGCGTCTTCCTCCTGTAATATTCTACGGTACCGTTGGCCCAACCAAGGCCCTGCGGTTGACCATCACGTCCCTCTCCACCAGTCTGCTTACCTCAATCTCTCTCTTCATGCCTGGCTCAATCCTGAGGTTCTTCTCCTCGCGAATCCTGCTGAGCATTCTTACCGGGTAGGGAGACTCGAGCAAAAGTCTGGTTCAGCCCTCTGCCGTTTTAATTGTATAACTTTTTTTTTCTTCCCTCATTGACTACGTCACACCTGAGGCGCCGTTTTTCTTAACAGCACCTCGCTGACGACCAGCAAAGGCCAAATTCACCAACCCAACGCCACCCTTTACAACATTCCTAGACCACAAGAGTCTGCATTGACGGACTGAATATAGCTACCTACTAAGATCAACTACTAGATACGCTGTCCTGTCTTTCCCCTGGCCCACGAACCCTCCCGATAAAAATATATACAGGTTAATCTGTTGCCATGCGGCCCGAAGTCGAGCAGGAGCTTGCTCACACCCTGCTCGTTGAGCTGCTGGCATACCAATTCGCCTCGCCGGTGAGATGGATCGAGACCCAAGATGTTTTCCTCGCCGAGAGGACAGCAGAGCGTGTCGTTGAAGTTGGTCCTGCCGACACCCTTGGTGTTATGGCCAAACGAACTCTTGCATCCAAGTACGAGTCTTACGATGCAGCCAAATCCGTTCAGCGGCAAATTCTCTGCTACAACAAGGATGCAAAGGAAATCTACTACGATGTTGACCCTGTCGATGAAGAGCCCGAGCCTGATGCTGGCTCAAGTGCACCAGCTGCAGATGCTGGTACTGCTGCCCCTGCCTCGGCGCCGGCTGCTGCTGCTCCTCCTCCGCCAAGCGCCGGCCCGGCTGTCCAGGTTCTCGATCAGCCTGTTCAGGCCATTGATATCGTACGCGCTTTGATTGCCCAGAAATTGAAGAAGCCTCTTCTGGAAGTTCCTTTGGGCAAAGCAATTAAGGACCTTGTTGGCGGTATGTTACCCCGACTGCACGCTGTGCAATGTGCGACGAAAAAATAATATGAATCATTCATATTCTCCCAGGTCCTAATATTTTGTGTGAATAGGCAAGTCAACACTACAAAACGAAATTCTCGGTGACCTAGGCAAAGAATTCGGTTCGACCCCCGAAAAGCCAGAAGATACCCCGCTGGATGAACTTGGTGCCTCAATGCAGGCCACTTTTGACGGCAATCTGGGCAAGCAGTCTCAGTCCTTGATCGCCAGATTAATATCGTCCAAGATGCCTGGTGGTTTCAACATCACAGCTGCCCGCAAGTACTTGGAGACAAGATGGGGCTTGGGAGCTGGTCGTCAGGATGGCGCCTTGCTTCTGGCGCTGACTATGGAGCCTGCCACTCGTCTCGGATCTGAGGGCGATGCCAAGGCCTTCCTCGACGACGTTACCCAAAAATACGCCGCCAATGCTGGTGTCAGCTTGAACAGCGCGTCATCTTCCGGTCCCGCTGGCGGTGCCGGTGCCGGCATGATGATGGACCCTGCCGCAATTGATGCTCTGACCAAGGACCAGCGGGCTCTATTCAAGCAGCAGCTCGAGCTGTTTGCCCGCTACCTCAAGATGGATCTTCGGTCCGGTGACAAAGCTGCTATTGATTCACAGAAGTCCGAAAAGGTTCTCCAGGCCCAGCTTGACCTGTGGACTGCTGAACATGGCGACTTCTACGCCGCCGGCATTGAGCCCGTATTCAGTCCTCTCAAGGCCCGCACCTACGATTCATCCTGGAATTGGGCTCGTCAGGATGCTCTGAGCATGTACTTTGACGTCATTTTCGGCCGTCTCCAGGCTGTCGACCGTGAGATTGTCAGCCAATGTATCCGCATCATGAACCGCTCAAACCCCAAGCTTTTGGACTTCATGCAATACCACATCGATAACTGCCCCACGGAGCGCGGAGAGACATACAAGCTCGCCAAGGAGCTTGGGCAGATGCTTATTGAGAACTGCAAGGAGGTCTTGGACGTCTCTCCGGTATACAAGGATGTTGCCGTTCCAACTGGCCCCCGTACCACGGTCGATGCTCGTGGCAACCTCAATTACGAGGAAGTTCCCCGGGCCAGCTGCCGCAAACTCGAGCACTATGTTCAGCAAATGGCCGAGGGCGGCAAGATCTCAGAGTATGGCAACCGTACAAAGGTTCAAAACGACCTACAACGCATCTACAAGCTCATCAAACAGCAGCACAAGATGTCAAAAACATCCCAGCTCGAGATCAAGAGCTTGTATGGCGATGTCCTGCGCTCCCTTGCCATGAATGAAAGCCAGATCTTGTCCAAGGAGAATAACAAGGGTAAGAAGGGCGGTCTCCGCGGGATTAGCCAGAACAAGGGCAAAGTTGAGACCATTCCCTTCCTCCACCTGAAGCGCAAGACTCTCCACGGCTGGGACTATAGCAAGAAGCTCACTGCTGCCTACCTCAACTGTCTTGAAGATAGTGCTAGGGCTGGTGTGACTTACCACGGCAAACATGTCCTCATGACTGGTGCCGGTGCCGGATCAATCGGTGCTGAAGTTCTCCAGGGCCTCATCAGCGGCGGTGCAAAGGTCGTAGTGACTACCAGCCGATTCTCTCGTGAGGTCACCGAGTATTACCAGTCCATGTACTCCCGATATGGATCTCGTGCCTCTCAGATTGTTGTCGTTCCATTCAACCAGGGAAGCAAGCAGGATGTCGAGGCTCTCGTTGAGTATATTTATGACCCGAAGAACGGTCTCGGATGGGACCTTGACTACATTGTTCCCTTTGCTGCCATTTCTGAGGCTGGACGCCAGATCGATGGCATTGACTCACGCTCTGAACTTGCTCACAGAATCATGCTCACGAACCTCATTCGTCTTTTGGGCTGCGTCAAAACTCAAAAGGCTGAGCGTGGCTTTGAGACTCGTCCTGCTCAAGTTGTCCTCCCTCTCTCTCCCAACCACGGTACCTTTGGTAACGATGGTCTCTATTCCGAATCCAAGCTTGCCCTCGAGACCCTTTTTAACCGTTGGCATTCCGAAAGCTGGGCCAATTACCTCACTATTTGTGGTGCTGTGATTGGTTGGACCCGTGGAACTGGGCTCATGTCAGGCAACAACATTGTCGCCGAAGGCGTTGAGGCTTTCGGTGTCCGCACTTTCTCTCAACAAGAAATGGCCTTCAACTTGCTCGGCCTAATGTCCCCCGCCATTGTCGACCTTTGCCAAGCGGAGCCAGTCTTCGCTGATCTCAACGGTGGCCTGCAGTTTATCCCCAACCTCAACGAGGCTATGACCAAGCTTCGCAAGGACATTATGGAGACTAGCGAGATTCGGAGAGCTGTCTCCAAAGAAAGCGCCATCGAGAACTCTATCGTCAATGGTGCCAACTCCGATGTCCTCTACAAGAAGAAGATTATTTCTCCTCGTGCCAATATCAAGTTCGACTTCCCTCCTTTGCCGGATTGGAAGATCGATGTTTCTCCCCTCAACGACAAGCTCAGGGGCATGGTCGATCTGGACAAGGTGGTGGTTGTTACCGGTTTCGCCGAACTCGGTCCATGGGGCAATTCTCGTACGCGATGGGAGATGGAAGCGTACGGAGAGTTTTCCCTCGAGGGTTGCGTCGAAATGGCTTGGATCATGGGTCTCATTCGCAACCACAATGGTGCCATCAAGGGCAAACCTTACTCCGGTTGGGTCGACGCCAAGTCCGGTGAGCCTGTTGACGACAAGGACATCAAGCAGAGGTATGAGAAGCACATTTTGGAGCATTCCGGTATTCGCTTGATCGAGCCCGAGCTCTTTGAAGGCTACGATCCCAACCAGAAGCAGCTGCTTCACGAGGTTGTTATTGAAGAGGATCTGGAACCTTTCGAAGCCTCCAAGGAGACCGCTGAAGAGTTCAAGCGTGAACACGGCGACAAGGTTGAAATCTTTGAGATTCCTGACAGTGGTGAGTATATCGTTCGCATGAAAAAGGGGGCTTCTCTCTGGATCCCCAAGGCCCTCCGCTTCGACCGTCTGGTTGCCGGTCAGATCCCGACTGGTTGGGACCCCAAGCGATATGGAATTCCCGAAGACATCATCTCTCAGGTCGACCCAGTTACCCTATTCCTTCTTGTGTGCACTGCTGAGGCTCTGTTGTCGGCCGGCATCACCGATCCGTATGAGTTCTACAAATATGTCCACGTTTCCGAAGTTGGTAACTGTGTCGGTTCCGGTATGGGTGGGTCGGCAGCTCTCCGAGGCATGCACAAAGATCGCTTCTTAGACAAGCCTCTTCAGAATGATATTCTTCAGGAGTCTTTCATCAACACCATGGCTGCCTGGGTGAACATGTTACTCATCTCTTCTTCTGGTCCCATCAAGACTCCTGTCGGAGCTTGCGCCACCGCTGTGGAATCGGTCGATGTTGGTTACGAAACCATTATGGAGGGCAAGGCTCGTGTGTGCTTAGTCGGTGGTTTTGATGACTTTGGCGAGGAAGGGTCCTACGAATTCGCCAACATGAAGGCCACCAGCAACACTGTGGACGAGCTTAACCACGGCCGTACTCCCAAAGAAATGTCTCGTCCCACCACAACCACCCGTAACGGATTCATGGAGTCCCAAGGTTGCGGTATCCAAGTCATCATGACTGCTCAGCTCGCTGTGGACATGGGAGTTCCCATCTATGGTGTCCTGGCTCTCACCACCACGGCTTCTGACAAGATTGGCCGCTCTGTACCTGCCCCTGGTCAAGGTGTCCTTACCACCGCTCGCGAGCATGCTGGCAAATTCCCCTCGCCGCTGCTCGATATCGATTACCGGCGTCGCCAGATTGAGCGCCGCAAGAAACAGATTAAGCAGTGGCATGAGTCTGAGCTGGAGTTCATCCACGACGAAATCGATGCCATGAAGGCTCAAGATCCCTCTTTTGATGAGAAACTATATGCTCAGGAGCGCTTTGCGCACATCGAGAATGAGGCAATTCGACAAGAAAAGGAGCTGCTTCGTAGCATGGGGAACAATTTCTGGAAGAACGATCCCAGCATTGCTCCTCTCCGTGGCGCTTTGGCCACCTGGGGTCTCACCATTGACGATCTGGACGTCGCTTCCTTCCATGGCACCTCGACCAAAGCCAACGACAAGAACGAGTCGTCCGTTATTTGCCAGCAGCTGCGCCATCTCGGACGATCCAGGGGCAATGCTGTGATGGGTATCTTTCAAAAGTACCTCACTGGTCATCCCAAGGGTGCCGCCGGTGCCTGGATGATGAATGGCTGTCTGCAAGTTCTCAACAGCGGTTTGGTCCCTGGCAACCGCAACGCTGACAATGTCGATCCCGTCATGGAGGAGTTCGACCTGATTGTCTACCCCAGCCGTTCAATCCAGACGGACGGTATCAAAGCGTTCTCTGTTACCTCTTTCGGTTTCGGTCAGAAGGGCGCCCAGGCTATTGGTATTCACCCCAAGTATCTGTTTGCAACCCTCGACCAGACGACCTACCAGCAGTACTGCTCCAAGGTGGAGGCGCGTCAGAAGAAGGCCTACCGCTATTTCCACAACGGTCTCATCAATAATAGCCTGTTTGTGGCCAAGACCAAGGCTCCATACACTGACGAGCAGCTTAGCAAGGTGTTGCTCAATCCCGACGCTCGTGTGAGTGAGGACAAGAAATCTTCTGAGCTCAAATACTCTGAGGATTTTATGAAGCAATCCGAGAAAGCAATGACCTCTGCTCGTGCTGCTGAAACCGAAAAAGTCATGGAGACTCTGGCTCGAAAGGTTGCCAACAAGAATAGCAATGTTGGTGTTGATGTAGAGGACATCGCTGCCATCAATATTGAGAATGAGACCTTTTTGGAGCGAAACTTCACGTCGCAGGAGATCAAATACTGCAAAGGGGCTCCCAGCCCCCAGAGTTCCTTTGCCGGTCGGTGGAGCGCCAAGGAGGCCGTGTTCAAATCCCTCGGTGTCGCCAGCAGGGGTGCAGGCGCTGCCATGAAGGAAATTGAAATTGTGAAGGATGACAACGGTGCTCCCACGGTTAAGGTACGTGACTTGAACAAAAGCAAAATCTCCAATGAATTGCCGAGATTGTCTAACATGATTATAGCTCCACGGTGAGGCTGCTGCTGCTGCTGCCAAGGTTGGTGTGAAGGACATTTCGCTGTCCATCTCGCACTCCGACAATCAGGCTATTGCTGTTGCGGTTACCAACGTTTGATACGGCGTTGAGCATGGCGAGGGGATAGCATTTGTATGATGAGTAGCAGAACTGCGCGTGCTTATGATGGGTTGGTTGTAAACTCGCTTTGTTTCGTCGTTCTAATACGCATGCAGAATGGGCAGGGAATGCTGGAACTAGAACCTGGTTTATTGTGAATCTCAAGAGTAGACAGTGATGCAGTTGTAATGTAGTATCAAGTCGGTTTTATTTTTTAAATAGCCGTGTCTTTTGACTTGGTTTCTTGTGCCTTGACTGTATTGCATGTTGTACTCGTTCGTAGTAATCACACACAAAGCCTCACCAAGTCCTCTCACATGGATGCGAGTTTTTGCCCGCATATCAGGCGCATTCCCGTTCAAGCTGTGTTGCACCGTTGAGACACTGACAGCCGGCAACCAAAGCATTATTCAACCAGACTTCCATGTTCCTTTGATGGTACCAAGCACCGCGCACCAAGCACCAAGCCATCATCGTCATTCGGGTATGGAAACGCGCAGTCCATTCCAGCAACTCCCGCATCGAGCCCGTCTGCTCATCTCTACATTCCCAAATTCGCACCCCGGGTACGGAGCACTTGTACTCATTGGCCTCGGCCCCTTGCCCTTCCAGCGCGGCCGGAGCCCCGTCCTCCCCTGCCCCTATCTCCAGCTCCACGACCACCGGCGTGGCCATGGTCCCCTCTTGATGAGGCGTGACCACCACGTCCGCCTCTAAAGTTTCCTTGTTGGCCCTTTTGCGATTCGCTGACCTGATTGATAATGTCGTCGTCGACGCGGAGGTATTTGATCTGGAAACGAGTCAGCGGGCGTTCTGAGCATGGTCCAACGTCTGTCTGCTGTTGGACCAGGAGGGATTTGGGAGCGGCAGTACGTTGTTGCCCTTGACGTAAGCTTCTTTTAACCGGAGGAACTTGTCGCCTCGCTGCGCACCACCGTTAGCATTCCTGTGTTGGCCACGCCCCCCTTTCCCCCCCGGTTGATGAAGCGGCATGGCGCACCGGACTGGTCTGTACGACTTCTCGAAGAGTAAGATTCATCCACGTATCACACTGGACAAGGTGTCCGTTGAGGGTCTCGCCGTTTTTAAGCTCCACAAGCATGGGGTGGCCCTGGGCGGCGTTGAGAAGGCTGAGGGGCAACTATGTGCAGATGCAGAGTTAGAGTTGGAAAGCTGTGCAGGTTTTTGGGACGGCGGTGCGCGCGCGAGGGCGGTTCGACGTTTGACGGACCATGATGGGACTTGGCGCGGCGACGGAAAGCGTCTGGCGCGCGTCGTCGAGGATCGAGGTGTACGGGGGCGGGGGATGCGTCTGCTGGCGCTGCAGATGGTTGTTCTTTGTGGTTGTCGAGCCAAGTCACTCGTCAGTCGTCAAGAGAGTTGTCCATCGACGACGACGGCGACTACGACGACGACGACGACATGTCTTGCCAGGAACGGTTGTTTGGTCGGCGGCGCCCCGCGAGATGCATTGCCCCGCTTTGTGGGAGCTCGACCCCGATGAGAAAAAAGGCGGGCAAGATTTGTTCCTCTTCTCCTTTGCGTGTGTCGAGCATGCTTCTGCCCAGAACCAGGCAGCATCCCTTTTCGCTCCATTCCTGCGAGGCTGTGCGTGCACGAGAGACGGAGGCATGGATCGCGATGCGCGGTAGTCGGTTGATCTACGACGGGCTGCGGCGCTGCCCGCGCCCGGCTTTGCGTGGGCGAGCTTTGCGGCGCGCCGTGAGCTCGGGGCCGTCGGTGGTGATGACGACTACGAGAGCGCCGGCACCACCAGATGCGGCTGTGGCTGCGCCGAGACTGCCGCAGAGGAGGAGGCATGGCACAAGTGCTGCGAGCGCTGCTGCGGGCCTGCAAACCCAGGAGGCGATGCGAGATGCACAAGAAGCTCGGCGGTCCGGGAACGAGGTTCCACGAGACGAACGCCTGCTGACGCCCTCACCACCAAGCGAGGAGACACTGCGGGCGGCGTCGGTGGAGGAGATCGTGGCGGCGCTTGTGACGGTCCGAGATGCTCGGGGATGGAGCTTCCACGGCCAGGAGATCGATCGTCACGAAAGAATCATACAGCTCGTTGGCCATCTCCTGTCGGCGCGGCACCAAGCACCGACCCCCTTTCTGTACGAGTGCCTCATGGACGCCATGGCCGATCCGCAAGGATCCGTCTGGGGGATCCGCAAGCTCCTCGACGACATGGCGTCGCACAACGTGAAGCCCACAGCGGCCGTCTGTCAAAGTGCGCTGGCCGCGCTCGCAAACCACCCGGACTACGCGCTGCGGCAGGAAACACTCGACACCATGCAGGAATTCTGGTTCCCAGTCGACACCTCGGCGAGACAGAGCGTTGCCCTGGGTCTCTTGCGCGACGAGCAGTACGAGTTGGCCTTTGCGCGGCTCACCGACATGATGGAACAAGGGGCACGCATTGACGTCTGGGTGTTGGATATTTTCGTCATGGTCTTTGGCAAGTTGGGCTTTTTGGACGAGATGATGTCCCTCCTGTACCGACGCAAGAAGATGCAGAGCGAGGACATGGCCATGGCAAGCATCCTCTACTACGCGCTGGACGTGTGCAGCTCGGCCTTTCACTACACCGGCACGCTCTTTGCCTGGAACGTCGTGGTCAGAGGCTCTCTCCTGCAGCCAGCGGACGGGATAGTGGAAAACGTCCTCGCAACGGCCGCACGGCACGGCGATGCCTCTCTGGCGACGGAGGCACTGGACACGATATCGCAGCGGACGAGGGTCCTCGCGCACCACTACGAGGCGGTAGCAGAGGCCTTCGCCGCATCCGGCGACGTGGCGGGCGCACTTCGAATCCTGTGCATCATGAAGAAGAACGGGATACGGATCGCTCGAGGCAACACGAGAGCGGTGTACGAGGCGCTCCGACGGCAACCCAAGCTCACCCGCGACGCCGAGACGGCCCTCCGCGCCATGGCACGCGATGAGCAGCTCCCCGTCGCGGTCGTCGGAGTCGTGGTCGAAGCCGTCGCCGACGCGCAGGGCTCCGAGGCGGCCATGGACCTCTACCGCCACGTGCCTGCGCTCTGTGGTGAAGCGGCCAACGCGGCCATGATGCAAACCCTCATCATCAACAGCCCCGACGAGGAAACCACTCGCTCCCTTGCCAGGGACTATACTGCCCACGTCGCGGAGGACGATGACCCCGCTCGAGACGCCCACGTGTACGGAGCCCTCGTGGCAAAGGTCGCGGAAGCGGGGGAGCTGGGATTGGCATTCCGCTTCGCTGACAAGGCCCTGGCGGGCATCGGCGGCTTGGAGACGAGGCAGCTGGCGTGGGTCAAGGTGCTGTTGACAAAGGCGGCCGAGGTGGAGGACGGAAGAATATGGGGCGTCGTGGATGCGTTGAAGAAGGATGAGCACACGGCGGCTCTGGTGGAGAGACTGCTGAGACGGATGAGAATCACGAAGAGGGCTGCTGGTCTGAAGACGTGATGCGAGATGGAGACTAGAGAAGGCCCGTCTTCATACCCACCCACGCATATGAGAATGTCCACGGTGTCCCATGTCGGAAGACTGTCCGTGAGACTTGACGAGCCAAAGAGCCGGGGCAACAACAGTCCGTGCGTACAGCGCAACATGTATGCTGTGGGCGGCGAGACGACTCACGCCGGTAACCTGTCAATCAATCGGCAACGTCTCGGTCCCGGAGACAAAGTGGGGCCGTCATCTCCCCCCGTGGGGCCCGGCGCTGCTCGGCGCGCTCATCCCTTCAGCGACCGTGCGGGCTCCCCTTGTGCACATGTGCACGGCCATCACCGTCCAGGCGTGCTCAAAGTCGGCATTCCTTGGCTGTTGAAAATCTCCTCGTCGGATCAAGAATTATTTACATGAAAAGGGCACTGAAAGCGCCGCGTCTCCCCAAGTCTCGGTCAAGGGTAGATAGCGGAGCCACGCTCACCGGGTGATCATGTCGTGTATGAGCTAGAGTACATTCGGTACATTCGAAACTCCATTCCATTGGGTATATGGAAGCCCTCGCCGGCCTCGCCGTTCATTCGTCGTCCTTCATCAATCCGTGACCGGCCTAATACGATACCTAGTGCCCTTGGTTCCATCCTTCCCCCATCCCCCAGCTATACCCGTGCCCCTGACTCTGTCCATATCCATTCCCCTGGTTCCCATACTGCCAATTCTGTGACTGTTGGCCGTGTTGGCTGTGCTGATGGTTTTGCTGACGGTTCTGCTGGTGGTTTTGCTGATGGTTCTGCTGGTGGTTTTGCTGGTGGTTTTGCTGCTGATGGTTTTGCTGATGACTTCGATGGTTCTGCCGGTGGTTCTGCCTATCGCCCAGAGTCCCCTGTTCAGGCCGCAGCCCGGCATATGCAGCCAGCGACCCGTGTATTCCCGAAGACGTCATTGTCGGATTATACGACAGCGTCGGGTAACCGTGGTTGCTTGAGCCTGCGCCCGAAGAGCTCTTCTGATACGAGTAAGGCTTGTAGCCAATCTTGCTGGAAGAGTCAGCCACGTCACTGCTCTCATATCGCGCTGTTGCCAGGCCGCCCAGTGAAGACCGTGTCTGCATATTGTTATATCGGATATTCAAATGTGTGTCTGGTACTGGCGGTGCCGATGGTGCTGGCGGTGCTGAGGGTGCTGGCGGTGCTTGGAATGCACTCGTCCTGGGCTGCGGTGTCATGCTAGACGGTTGATGGCTTTGCTGCGACGTGGAGCGCGAGTTGTACGCAGGTTGAAACGGAGACTTCTGCTGTGGCGGCGTCGGTCGGTGTATCTTGATGCTGGAATTGGGTGCGTATGACTGATTATGAGAAGCAGCATGGGTCAAGAGCGCGGCGTCTTCCATGTTGACCTGGGGAGCCGCTGGCGCGAGGTCGGGGCTCTGAGAAACTGCATGGCCGTGTTGCAGCAGGGGTGATACTTGACGGCCTGCAGTTCTTAGCAAATCATTATTGTGCTGAGTCCAACTTGATGTCGGGGCATTGGTGCTTGTCGGGGTATTATTTGAAGCTTGTCTTCTGTGATTCGAGGTGCTCATATTTGCTTCAGCGGGCCGCCGCTCTTCAGGCTCGTGGTGTGATTCTGTTGCAGGAGCAGGTTCTGGCGGCGGATATGCCGAGTAATATACGCTGCCTCCCGACAAGCTCATTCCATTATTTAGCTGAGCCCTCGGCGGGTCATCCAAAGGATCCGGTTGTGGAAGTGCCAGTCCCAATGCGGACTGGAAGTAAGGAAGTTGTGTCGGCTGTTGATGGAGGCCATGGACAGGATCGTGGACAGAATCCCGGACCGGGTCCGGCGCGGGGATTTGAGGATACGAGTAAGGCGCACCATGATCGGAGCTAAAGTCATTGTCGTCCTGGGGCGCTTCTTGTTGTTCCGTATTTGTAGTTTCATCTCTTCCAAGAGTAATATCCGCGTTTGCTTCGTGCATTACCGTCTCATCGCATTCTTTCTCAGTATCGTCACCTTCAGCATCAGCATCAACGTCGGCCTCGGCATCATCGCCCGCTTGAGCATCAGGCTTCGTCTTTCGCCTTCTTGGTCGCTGAGGCGGGTACTCGCATTGAAGCTGGCCGTTTTGGCACTCTGTGCAAGTCGGTCTCTCCTTTGGACACTACATCACTTTGGTGTTAGCACCCTACGTCATACAAACCGTCAACGAGAACGGGAAGAAGGTAAGAAAACAAACCTTGACCCTGCGGCTCTTGCATTGAAAGCAAGCAAGGCGCGACTTCCCAAGTGGTCTTGAGCTTCTCTTCCCCATGCCCTTTGGGGTTGATTCTTCCAGTACAAGTTCTCTCGTTGTCGTTCTTGCACCAGAGTCTTCCCCCTCGCCTGACGCGGAAGCACTGGAGGGTGGCACTGGAGCGGAGCTTTCCTTATTGCTGGGATGGATAATCTGCAGTCGTTCCGCTCCATACGTGACCAACATGTTGAGCGATTCCTTCTGAAGGTCTGGTGCCTGATTTGCAAAGATGTTGAACTGGTCGCTGGAGAGCGAGTCAGGACTGACTCCCGCCTCATTCAACAGCTTGGTCGCGACGTCTTTTCGTCGCGCTGCCTCCTCCGGAGTAAGATTGAGAGCCAACGGCTTGGAAGCAGAATGCGCTTGCTCGTGTGCGGAACCACGCCCTGCGGCAGAACCATGTTCATTCGCATCAATGTCCATGGCGGCATTAGCTTCACTAAGCTGAGACATGCCGGCATGGTCCAAGGCCTGAGTAGCTTGATGCATCAACGACAAATGTTCTTGCTGCGTCTGTTCGGCTCCTTTTTTCTTCCTCTTCCTTTTCTGCCCATTAGGCTCGCCGTTTTGCGCCCGTTGTAGCTCTCTGTTCTTCTTTCTTCTGACCTTGGCGGCTTCTTCCTGCGCCAATTTGGCAGCCTTTGCTAGCTTTTTTCTATCTGGCTTCTGAGGCCCAATCATAGGCGGAGGTTTCAGCAGTTCCGTGAGTTCAGCGACGGTTTTGTGCATGACTGTTTGGTTGTACTTGACGGATATTGCACGGGCTTTCCTTGGAAAGGTGATGAGCAGCCGTCCTCTGCAGTCAAACGCGGGTCGACCTGGTAGATCAAGTTAGAAATAAACCCTCCTTGGCACAAACGAGAAGCGCAATGACATACTCATCAAGACCGGATCAGGTTCCTTTTTGCTATACTCGCCTACAATGGACCGGGTCTTGCCCTCGTTGTGCGCTTTCCAGTGCTCAACCGACTGTTCACATATAAAGGTGAAATCCCACCCATGGGCGGCAAATTCGGAGTTTTGCAGCGCCCAAACACTCTTGTCCTCGACACTAGCTGCCATGGCAATCTGTTCGGCCACAGCCTTCTGAACCAGAGGGGCTTGGTTGGGCTGGTCTCTCAGCACATCCATGGCTGTGTACACGCGCGCCTGGCCCTCACTCCTCGTATTGCCATCCACTCCATCCTCCGCAAGCAATGGGTCAACGTTGTTCGTGTCATCCTTGTCCCCCTGAGTCAGATTCACCATGAACTCTGCGGCACCGGCAACATCCAGCGTCGCGTTAACATGTTCGGCTCGGGTGTCTGTCGTCTTGGAGTCGATGAGCGCGCGGAGCCGACCCCGGAGGTCGTCAAGCGATGAGCACGCGCCGTTGTTTGGCGCAACGTCGTCGTCGGTTCCAAAGTTGAAACTGCCAAGAAAATCTGCCATGGTGTGGTTGGCTCGACGGCAACACATTGCGCGATGATCTAGACGGCCATAGCCTCGCGACGATGCCCCGACAGCGGTAGCTACTTGAGCGTCGGACGAGGCTTGTCTCTCCCTACTGGAGATGGGATGTGTTGATGTGCTTTCCTGCTGCTGGCTGCTGGCTGCTGGCTGCTGGCTGCTGGCTGCTGACTGCTGGCGATGGCGATGGCGATGGCGATGGCGATGGCAAGAGTCAAGACCAACCACCGCTACTCCGTACTTGGAAAGAGGATAAAGGGCAACTGAGAACTTGGGCGTCTGGTGGGGCGCGCCCTGCTGAATGTGCGAAGGAGTGGTTGTGGCGGCTCCCTTTTTCTGGGATACCCAGTGGGTACCTTTCTGGCTTCGTGTAGCGACAATGACTGCGGTGTAGTTCTTTGTGACTTGAGACATTGACTGTTTTTTGGCTGTCGCACCTTCCAGACGTCACCTTGAATGAAATTATCATCCTCTTTCCCACCTACTTACTTACTAGTACTTCATTCATCTTCAAGGCTCGGCATGGCAAACACATGCAACCCTCGTCACAAAACTATTTGTCACTTTTGTAGTCAGATACTACTTACATTTCCGAGTCCCCAAGGGGGAAAGAGAAAAGAATTTCAAAAGTCCGCCCAATATGTTAGTCAGTACACGTGCATACCAATGCACTGTTCCCGGCTCAGCTCTACACATGATCGTCGACCCATTGCTCGATTCTCTCCACAATTTCTGCCTTCTTTCCTGCCGTGCTGAGTCCCTTCGAGCCGGCTACATCCCTCAACTGAGCGACCGTCATCTTCATGATTTCTCCGCTTGTGTGATGGCAGCTTTGAGCTCCGTCATCGACATGGAAGACGGGTTGAGCTGTCCTGACGGGCCGCGCCTTTGCTTCACTGGACGATCAGATGCTTCATCATCAGCTTCCCGTTTCAACGACTTGGCTGTTTTGGCCGTCCCCGCATCTTCTTCGAGTTTGCCCGACCACTCTTCCAAATAACCACCAGCTCTCTTGCTAATGGCCTTGTACTTCGGCTTGGTAGCGTCCTCAGCCGTCTCCGGCACTTCCTCTTCCAGCGCGAGAGCCTTGAGAATCTTGTAGTGCCACTGCAGCGCAGGATTGGGGTACTTTGTCGGATTGTACATTGCCCTGGGCAGCTGCAGTTGCTGCACAATGGTCCTCATGTGCGTCTTCAGCTCGTCAGAGCTTTGCGTCACTTTGTCTGGTGGCTTAATCTCTCTCAAGTCATCCGCAAAAGGCAGTGGATATATCCAGAGTCCAGCTGGCAAGTACGGCGTTCCACATTCTTCGTCAGACCGTTCCCGGGACGGGACGATGGCAGCTAGAATTGGCTGAGCATTGCTCCGAACCACACACCAGGCGATGCCGACTTTGTTGTCCCTGATCAACTTTTGCCACAGCGCAGAAAATACACGAGTAGAGCCAACATAATCCTCTTCGCTGGGGAAGATGAATGTCGACTTTTTGACACTGGCCCATGTTGTTAACAACTCGCGGGGTTTGAAGCCAATAATCCGAATAACAGGCGACCCAAAGTCCTTCAGGGACTTGTGCTCATCAGGCGTGAAATAGACGTATTCCCCACCACCAAACTTGTACGCCTTCTTCATCTCCCCTTTTTCAACCGTTCTGGTGCTATCCTCAGCCAGTCTTGTGGTTTCGCCAGTGGCAATCTGAGGTTTTTCTCCGTCCAACCAGATGTAGCATGTCCTGGCCGGCGTTTGCCGTTGAAGAATATTGTATCCTTTTACTGAGATTCGCAAACCAGGCGCTATCTCAAGCGGCAAGTTTGAAAACAATGCGCGTTTGGGTGTCTGCCTGGAGTTGATGTTCGAAGTCAGAGAGCTTAGCAGGGATAGCCCGTCGCCCGACTTGGAAATGGCCACTGCAGTGCTGTTGGCTTCCGCAATGGGATCGCGGTATACAATGTCCTGTCTACGTTAGTCGCAAGCACCGGAGCAGAGCAGCAAAGAGAGCTGGATAACATACATCGTAGAATTTCGACAAGTCAAACTTGACATCACCTCTAGCGATTGGAAACAGATCAATTGTGATACCCAGATCATAGAGATCTTTAGCTCGAACCGCAGCTGCCGACATGGCCGCCTTGTCGGAAGGATGGGGGTTGTCATTGTCAGTGATGATGAATAGGCGACGGCTTCCAAAATTTGCAGCCTTTGTCGTAAAGATTTGATTGGCGCAGAAGAGCACATTCGACATGATTGCACGGTCACTCGATGGCGTCAACACTTCATCGGCGTCTTCACCGTCCTCGACGAGACTCTTAAGCACCTTGACATCCTCGGCGGCGGGTACGTCAAGGTCCGTAAATAGATAGCAATTAGGATACCCCAAGCCATTGCGGCCATCTTCCTCGTTACGAAGTTTGGTTTTTTTGGTTCCGAAGAGCAGAATGCCCATCATGTCTTTGGGGTTCGAGATGATGCGTTGTTCCATCAAGTGGTAGGCGCATTTCAGGGCTGCCTCGAGAGCACTATCCTGATCCGCCTTCTTTGTGTCAGACGGCGGTGGCGGCTTCAACATAGATTCGCTAACTTCAATGGCCATTATGATCGCATCTTTCTGTGCCTTGTTAGTCTGGGGGGTTGTCAGCAATATGCCGTGAACAACTGAGGCGATGAATATTGTATGGACGCATTACCGTCTCATCCATCTCTTGATCCTCATCATCCTCCTGCTCCCGCTTCCAATCTTGATTACTGTCCGCCATTTCTCAATCGATTGTGTCTGACCCGAGTGCAAAGGACTGAGAAACTACATGCGGAACAGTCTGAAAGTCGTTAATGATCATCCGCCAATTTCAGAGCTTCAGGCCAGTACGCGCGCGCTGCTGATTTGTCGCATCGCGCCACAGGGGCTAGTCGTCGCGCTATCACGTGATCCATTACCACGAATTGCCTTTGATGCCATTGGTCCGATTTGACAGTTGTTAAGAGAAACTTACTCCCAGGTGATTTTGGTCCACAAAAACCATGTACCTCCGTAACGGGTCCCAGCCTGCGTCGGCGCCAGGATTAGTTGCGTCATGATATTGTCCGTTCCCGATCCCGAGCGCAGAGCTACACTCGGGACATCGGTTTTTCTGCAACTGCGCCAGACGTCCTCCTTACAACGGCCGGTTGCCCCTTTGTTTTCGGCCTTTGGAGTTCAAGTCCATCGATCATGTCATCGCGGCTCTGCACAAAACAGCTTTTAAGGGGCCTGTCAAGGAATCCATCTTCCCGGCTTGTCCTGTCCCAAGTCGCGACACAGACTAGGCATTTTGCAACACCGGTGCCGCCCGTCACCCAGGATGCAGCAGGCTCCAAAGGCCCAACCGCAATTGTGTTCCTCAACATGGGAGGACCGTCAAAGACCGATGAAGTTGGCAATTTTTTAAGTCGCTTGTTTGTACGTACACCACCGCGCACCGTCCAAGGTATTCTATGGTCATACTGACATATTGCGACTCTCAGTCCGATGGCGATTTGATCCCTCTGGGTCGACTCCAAGGTTACTTGGGCCCCCTCCTCTCGAAGCGACGAACACCCATGATCCAAAAGCAGTATGCTGCCATTGGTGGCGGCTCCCCGATCCGAAAGTGGTCAGAGTTCCAGAGCGCCGAGATGTGCAAGATCTTGGACAAGATATCCCCAGAAACTGCACCCCACAAGCCCTACGTGGCTTTCCGATATGCTGATCCTCTTACTGAGGATATGTATCAACAACTCTTCTCGGATGGGTTCGGTAACGGCAAGGGGGGCCGAGCTGTTGCTTTTACTCAATACCCCCAATACTCGTGCTCCACCACCGGTTCCAGCCTGAACGAGCTGTGGAAGTGGAGGCAACGACTTGAAGGAAAGAGGGTGGATGAAGCCGGAGAGGGTACCATTACTTGGAGCGTAATCGACAGATGGCCCGCTCACGCCGGACTTGTTGAGGCTTTTGCGCAGAACATCGAAGCAAAGTTGGCAGAGTATCCTGCGAGCCGCCGAAGGGACGTGGTCCTCTTGTTTTCTGCACACAGCCTCCCCATGTCTGTCGTCAACAGAGGCGACCCGTATCCCGCCGAGGTTGCCGCCACTGTTTACGCTGTCATGCAACGACTTAAATTCTCCAATCCCTACCGACTATGCTGGCAATCTCAGGTTGGTCCGTCTGCATGGCTCGGCCCTCAGACCGCCACCACGGTGGAGCAATATGTTGCCAAGGGTCAAAAGGACTTGGTCCTGATACCCATCGCTTTCACGTCCGACCATATTGAGACGTTGTACGAGCTGGACCACGAAGTCATTGGCGAGAGTGGCCACACGGAGACGATTAAGCGAGCAGACAGTCTCAATGGTAGCCCGGTGTTTATCGAGGCTCTTGCAGACATTGCCAAGGCGCATCTGGGGAGTCGTGAGGCTTGTTCGAGGCAAATGACCCTTCGGTGCCCCAGTTGCAAGAGCGAGCGGTGCACAGAAACAAAAAAATTCTTTGCAGGGCAACAGGCGAATTTGTAGGCGACATGGTTGAGCAAGAGGGCCTTGAGGATATGTACAATTAGAACATGGTGTATACATGCATTGGGGCGCCACTGAACGGAACAGATACTGTTGATGCCGCTCTCGTCGACACATTCATAGACGTGATTCTCGGTCGCACGATTGCCGTGTGTTGCGTGCGTGCCTGGGTAATTTTGGGTAATTTCTCCGAACATTATCGTACATTGTTCACCTACCCTGTAGGCTGTGTCTGAGTGAATGCTCCGCAGAAACCAGTCGAGCCTACTAGTGTGCTTAAAAAAGGAAAACCCAAAAATTTCCTGTCCCGTATGTTTTGTCTCCATTCATATCGATGTAAGTCTCCTGAATTGTCAAGTCACGTATCCCGAAACCCTTTTAGCTATGCCAGAATTGGCCGTCGCATGTTTCCTCCCACCATTTGTAGGCCACGACCCACCCGACACATTCTGGAGCCCGAAGCCCGAAGGCGATACGAGCACTTTGCATCAAGATGCGGAGCTGGGTGCGACAGCAAACATCCAACACGTCCAACACGTCTGGCGCAGATGGCTGCCGACACGAACAGGAGCTCACTCGAAGCCGACATTGGCACACACACACGACTCAGAGGGTCTGCCCTGATTCTTCATCTCGTCCGGAATATTTTGAACCTGGCCACCTCCCAAACAGACAGTAATAGGGAGTCGGGACCCCTTCAGCCACGCCACAGACTGACTCCGGACTCCGTGCTCCCCTCGCGGAGAACGCCAGACAGGTGTCACGTCAAGCCTGTTTCGGACATCGCGCCGGGGTGCTCGTACGTCAGTCAGTCAGAGCGAGGCTAAATCACATCACGGTGGGAACCGGAAAGCAGCTGGGGCATTGGGCCGCAATACGCAGCAGAACGACGACGGCTCGGCCGGCCTGATTGCTTTTTCTTTAATTTTCACATTCCACTACATGCGTACATGCGCATATGGAGTCATGAGACTGGGGGGTAAAGGGCAGCACAAGCACCGATTCTATGTACTATCTGCAACGGGTTGAAATCACGGTCGCCTCGAGTGTCTCGGAGAGTGTCATGTACGCACGTACCCAGGCAGGTAATCCAACACAACCGCGACGCGTAAACTGAGATCTGTGGAGGGATGGACTGAATACTGAAAAAAAGAAGTCAAATCTCGGCCGACCAGACTTCGAACACATTCCAATCGCGCAAATGTATGTCAGCTTGACGAGCACTTCAGCAGCGAAATGGAAATCCAGGCCAAGGAGGGAGACATGTGGGGTTGGACGGGTCTCCAGGATACGTACTACGTACTACTAGTAGTATTGAATGAAACCTTTGTTCTTCCCAGTTGGGTTCGACAGATCGCGTCAATTGGAGAAGTCCCCCCTTCTTGGCCTCTCAAGTCTCATCAACATCGAGGCCTCGCAAGCACGCTGAACTGTCGCTGTGATTTGCAGTTTGCAGGCGGCCTCGAGGCTTCCACTGCTGCAGCCTGCCCCGTAAGCCCTGTAGGCGCCCCCCCCACCCCTGGGCCAAGGCTCCTCATGTCGCACGGCACGGCATGCCCAACGCGCCCTAGCATACCCACCTAGGGCTAATGGACACGCACGCGCACGGGATAAAGTTAATGCGCACCTAAAGCGTGGAGCCAAGCGCACCTATTTAAAGGGCGCACACAATTCTCTCTTTTGTAGATTAATTCAAGGCTTTTAACCATCATCTGAGTGATATCTAGCTTGGTGCCACTGCTATCGTGTGACAGTTATGAGCCCGGGGTAAAGCGAGTAGAGTCGTAAGATGCCTAGCAGATAGAGCCAGCAGATAGATCCAGCAGAAAGTGGCAGCAGATAGTGGCAGCACATAGTGGCAGCACATCGTGGCAGCAGTATGCCTTGCCCAGGATCTATGCTCTAGAAATAGCTCTAGCATTTAGGTCAGCTAGAGCTAGGGGGTGTGTCGCATAGCATATAAGGTGGTCTACTACACACAAAAGTGTGGCGTGGGCCACGCCCAACTTTTGGTGTGACACCTCATCTCCCGCCTCAAGGTACCCACCTGCGGGCCCGTCCATCAAGGCCTCGGATTGGCTGGCTGAGAGACCTTGCAGCCAACCAGCACCTCCATGCAGCTCTTTGCCGTCGAGTTTCCCAGGCATCATTGAGTCCCCGGCCCAATCTAGGCCCAACTGGGCATAGTTGAGCACATACTCCGTACCCCTTCAAGAGGTCCCAGCACCTGCACCTCGCCAGCCCGCCGAATTGTTGAGATCCATCCATGTCTGCCGTCTGGTGCTGCACTTACACCGTAGCTAATCTGTCTGCTTATGTAAGGACTGGTAAGAGTGTTGCAGAGAGTTGATGGGAGCCAGGTGCTGGCACTCAGTGCTGGGTGCCGGCTTCGCGTGCTGTGGCGCTGGCTGCGGCTGCCTTTCAGGGTCTAGTACGTACAACTTTGCACCGCGAATACAGTGGGCAGCAGCAGGAACCAGCCATGTACCGAGAGCTGGTCGCGCTTGCCTTTGGGGGCTTGCGGCTGCGCACCAGAATTTCCTCATGTCACCCAGGGTCCCTCGCGCCCTCACCGCACCACCCTCGCACGCCCCCCAATTTCCCCTTTGACATTCATCATCTCCATTTTGTCCTTTCCAATCCGACTTCACTTCTGCCATTCTCTCTACCATCATTGCTACTTCCTCTACGTCGACGTCTCGTGCGCCGCCCCGGGCCTCTCTGTCCACAGCTTTGTGGCCGACTTCTCCTTGATTATATATTTCTTTTCGAACCCCGTCTTTGACGCGCGTGCTCCTGCTCGCTGGGTTCTCCTGTCTTAATCTCTCTCCCTTGGTAGGCTCTTCCCGCATTGCTGTCCCCTTGCGCAGAATCTCGCCTTACACTTGACTCGCCACTGCACGCATCGCAGGAACTCTTGAAGTCGGCATCCACGCCGAGTCAAGCGCCTGCCTCGTCGTGTTCGATGCAAGAATTTCCAGACTGTTCTCTCCCCAAGTGCAGTCGGCCGCCCCCTCTCCCCTGAACCCCCTTCCAAAAGCGCCTCCCTGACGTAGCTGACCTTTTTCCATCACTTCGCAGAATCTACCTTCTCCATTCTTCTTGAGATTGAGCGACCGCTCTTTATATATCGATATGGGTGAGATGGCACTTTCTTTCTCAAATGATTCAACATGCGCAACGAGCACCTCTCTGTCCGTCGGAGAGGCAGGAGAGGCAGGAGAGGGAAGCAGATCTTCCTACGAGCTTATACAACCCACCTCTCCCTCCCACCGAGGCTGCTCCTACAAATATTCCCCCCGAAACCTGTTGATGAATTCCCCCATGTCTTTCATTCCGTTAGCTTCCCAACGCAACCACTCCCTGCACATTCGTTCAACGGCATTTACACTTTCTTGGATTTCATTGTTGGGACCCTACGGCCCCCCTTTTTTGGACTTGACAGCATTTCCTGTGCACCACTAGTTCTGTTTCTTAATTTGATTGAAGACGACGAGTCTCATAATCAACAATGGCGACGGAGTTGGCAAAACAGAGCAAACCGCGCAGCACCCGGAACTCTTCACCAGAAGCTGTACATGACCACGGTGACGCTTCAGCAGAGCCAACTATTGCTTCTAAACGGACAAGCAGCATCATGGCCACACAGGATATGACTCCTGTGCCTTCAACGACTTCAGCAGCTCCGTCAGTCACGGACACCATTCGACATTATCGAAGCATGCTTGATGTCGAAGACCCCCCGAAGTTGAATCCTCTGAATCCCATGTCCTTTGATGAGATGTACACTACGCCCAGTCAACACCCGCCCAGGCCTGCGCCGGAGGAGCCGCTTTCCGAATCGACGACGGATAGTACTCCCAGGACTTCGGAGAATAGCACTGACAACCAGGTCAAAGATCTGAGTTGTTAGCCTCTGCCTCATTTCCCTGCGCTTGCCTCTGCTCTACCAATACCCTCCATTCGTTCGCGTCTTTACATCGCCAGTATGCTAATCAGGTTACCGTACAGCTTCCAACAGCTCCGATTCACCCACGGGTTCTCCAGCCCCCCCCGGTCCCATTGGTAAGCCTGATCCCGCGCCCTACCCTTTAGAAAGCCATGAACCTGACACCGTTTCTGCAGTTCCTTCTCAGCCTGCTGCTTCCTCTATCCAGGACGTCCGAAACATTGTTCGAAGAAAGCTCACCGGCTATGTTGGCTTTGCCAACCTGCCAAACCAGTGGCACCGCAAGAGTGTTCGCAAGGGTTTCAACTTTAATGTAATGGTTGTTGGTATGTGTTTACCTTCTGCAGGCTGGCGGCTAGGTACTAACAGCATATATCTCAGGCGAATCTGGTCTTGGCAAGTCTACTCTCGTCAATACTCTTTTCAACACCTCTCTGTATCCTCCAAGAGAGCGCAAAGGCCCTAGTCTGGACATCATCCCCAAGACTGTCCAGATTCAGGCTATCAGTGCCGACATCGAGGAGGCTGGCGTCCGTCTTCGCTTGACTGTTGTCGACACCCCTGGATTCGGTGACTTTGTCAACAATGACGAGTCGTGGCGCCCTATTGTTGACGATATCGAGCGTCGGTATGATGCTTACCTTGATGCCGAGAACAAGGTCAACCGCATGAACATTGTTGACAACCGTATCCATGCTTGTGTTTTCTTCATCCAGCCCACCGGCCACTCTTTGAAGCCTCTGGACATTGAAGTTATGAGACGTCTTCATACCAAGGTTAATTTGATCCCCGTCATCGCGAAGTCAGATACTCTTACCGATGAGGAGATTGTAAGCTTCAAGGCTCGAGTAAGTAACTTTACACAAGAAACTGGCATGCGTAGAAGTTGAGCTATCGTGCTTATTATTGCATAGATTTTGTCCGATATCAAGCACCATGGCATTCAGATCTTCGAGGGTCCCCGGTATGAGCTGGACGATGAGGAGACGATTGCTGAGAACAACGAGATCATGTCCAAGGTCCCCTTTGCTGTTGTCGGTGCCACCAACGAGATCAAGACAACTGATGGTCGGGCCGTTCGTGGACGCCAATATCCATGGGGTACCATTGAAGTTGACAATGAGGAACATTGTGACTTCGTCAAGCTCCGCCAGATGCTAATCCGAACTCACATGGAGGAACTCAAAGAAAACACCAACAACACACTGTACGAGAACTACCGTACCGACAAGCTCATTGCCATGGGTGTGTCGCAAGACCCCAGTGTGTTCAAGGAAGTGAACCCTGCCGTCAAGCAGGAAGAGGAGCGTGCTTTGCATGAGCAGAAGCTTGCCAAGATGGAGGCTGAGATGAAGATGGTCTTTCAACAAAAGGTAGCCGAAAAGGAGAGCAAGCTCAAGCAGTCCGAGGAGGAGCTCTACGCCCGTCACAGAGAGATGAAGGAGCAGCTTGAACGCCAACGAGCTGAGCTTGAAGACAAGAAGCAACGCATTGAAAGTGGACGACCGTTGGAGAAGGAGGGCAAGCGAAAGGGTTTCTCATTGCGTTAAAATTGATGAGAGATGTCCATTTCGAGCCTTGGGCGACGCACAATCTGCCATCTCTACGATCAACGTCGGAGCACTCATGACACGCCTAACACCAGCCGGTAGACGTCTTTCCCTAGCCTTTCGATTCTAGTTTTCCTGGCCTGGCCATATTTTTTTTGTTATTCATCAGAGCCTTTCTCCTAATCACCCTGAACAAAAAAGTTTGTCTCAACCAGGCAAACATTCTTCCATGGAACCATGGTCTGGTAGCGGTTAGGGGGCTGCGGACTATGGCTACATTTCACAGTGCGAAAGAAAAATAAAGAGTAGTTTCGGTGAGCGTGCGGTGATGGCACCTCACGAGGTGGTGCATAGAACTATCCTTGCTGCGAAGCTTGGGGACAGCTCAAGCATAGCTTTGAGGGGTTTTCTCATGCTTGTGTTTGCCAGGAGGGATTGCGAGGGTTCGTTCTCTGAGAACGCAAGTGCGCAATTTTTTTGGCGGTTCTTCTATTCGCTGTGGGAGAAGGCCTCTTTTTTTAATGTGCGGGAAGGAATCTTCTGTCTTTCGGCACTGACGTGTAGTGCACACTTATGGTTTCCTTTAATCTATATGTCCAGCAAGATTGGTCGACAGCACCTGTATCTTTGTCTTGTCGTCCTGACTGCCCCCGGATACCCTTTGTCGCATCTGTATGGAGCACTGGTTGCGGATTTGACTTGGACAGGAACAGATGAATGATTTGGCCGTCGAGGGCCGAACAGCAACTGTTGTATTTTAGTGGTGTGATTGGGACAGGTTGTTTTCATTTGACGTCTTGACACACGGAATTGCCGTCCAGGCTCGCCTGTCTTTGTTAGCTAATTTGATTTTATCGCCTTTTCTACGTTCGCGTCATATTACGCATCTTGCGGCAGTGATTGATTTGGAGCGGCGGGTCCATCGGACTACATCTTTGATAGGAGATGTTTATTTGTCGACGGCAATTTTGGGGGTTTGGCACAGACTGCAAATGATCCAGAACGGCCCAGCCTGTTGGACTGAGAGATTATGCGACACCCTAGTGCTAGAATTGACATCATTATATGTATGCTTCATGAAAGTAGGCTTCCCTTGCTTATACAAATACAACGTCTGCAAAGAGGCAATCGTTCCCGCCTCGGGGGTCTCTCTGGGACGTGATTCGGTGCTCTGTCTGAGCTTTGGCGTAGCTGTATTCCTTCCTGCAAGACTTTGGTTTCGGCGACCCTTTGGACGTGTATTTCTCCGAGGACGTTTCTACCTTTTCCTAGCATTCTTGAGCAGGAATGCGCCCACGACACCGGCGGCAATACTGACGCCGCTCAGGATAGCGACGCCCATGAGCCCCTCCTTGGCGACCTTGTTGTCAATGAGTTGGCGCAGATCCGAGGCCTGGAGGTTCGCTGGCTCCTTGTCGAGCAGGAGGTCGTTGTAGCGGCGGGCCTCGCCGTAGTTGCCGAGCTTGTAGTTTCCGAGGGCGAGGTAGTACAGGCATTCGCGGCGGCGTTCGGGAGAGAGTCGGAATATGTCGCTGAGGAGGCGGACGCCGAGTTGTTGGTCGTTGCGGCTGTTTGACTTGACGAGTCCCTGCGGGTGCGTGTGAATAGAAGCCTGGCGGGAGGGGCAGGGGTTGGACGGATACAAGAGACGAGGTGTCGCGAGACGGACGGACGGACGGACGGACGGACGGACGTACCCATGCGTAGTTGAATTTTGTCTGGACGCCCACCATGTCGCCTTCCTTTTCGTACTGGGCTCGCAGGACGTGTAGCTCCGAGGGGGTCAGCGGCCTGTGCGGGCTAACGGTTAGATCTGGGCTGCTGGCGTGGAGGTGCGGTGGCATACGTCTCTGCGTCGAGAGCATCTGCGGGCGAGCGAAGATGGACCGTGGTTAGCGTCTGCCTCGGCGAGATGGTTGGTTCAACCGGTGGGAGACGGGTGGTGGTGATGGCTCACAGGGGAGTTGGGTGACCATTTTGTTTCGCGCTGCACCGGCGGGCTGAATGGACGAGATGGCTCGTGAGATGTGTGTACGGAGGATGCGTGGTGGTTGACAAGGCGAGGATGGATGGAGAGGGGTGGCTGGACTCGGGCGTGGGTGTGGCGACGATGACGCTCCGGCTTTAGGCTCAGGATGGCGTGTGATAAGATAGTTGCCCCTGACGACGCATGGGCATGCGCCGTGGCGGAAAAGGTGGGGCGCTCGTCTGACACCTGACATGCAACAAGCAAGTCACAACACGGCCGGACAAGGACAACCAACACGCGACGGTGTCACGTATATTGCTGCACGGCCGACGCGGAAATCGCCAAAGCCAAAGAACTGGCATCGACCGCTGCGTTGGGCAGGACACGGCGCAAAATGCTGCTCTCGGAGGATCCCGCAACGGTAGGTCTGGCGTCGGCGATTTCCACCGTCAGAGACGATGCTAAACGAGGCCTCGACAGCTCATCAGCCACACGATAAACAACTTCAACATCAACCCGGACAAGCTCGCCGTCTCGCGCATCGGCGAATCTCTCTCGACGCTCCAACAGGCCCGCGAGCTGCGCATGCGCGAAGCCGAGTCGGCCCTCAAAAAGCTCTCGCGGCAACTGAACACGGTCTCCTCGCAGCACGCCGAGCTGACGTGCTCTCGCTCGGCCACGGACCACGCGTCCAAAATCGCCACGCTGGACACGCGCAAGTTCCGCACCGCAAAGGCAGCCAGCGATGCGGAGATGGAGGCGGAGCGGCTGGCGCAGCAGGCGGCGGACCTGAGTGCGCGGCTGCAAGAGCTCGACCTGCAAGGGGTCGGGGGCGACGAGAACGCGCGAAGGAGGGACGCGGTCGACGACGAGGTGCTGCTGCGGTTAAAGGTGTACAGGAGTCTGGGGATCGATATCGAGCGGGATGAAAAGGACGGCGAGTGGACTCGGGCCGTGGTGAGGAGTGACGGCAGGGGGGATGTGCACGTTGTCAACATGGACAAGAAGTTCTCGAGATACTTTTACGCCAATTACTTCTGGCAGACTCTGTAGGAGAGGCTGGAAGTCGGTGAGAATGGAGGTGGGCAAAGCGCATGGCCATACCCGGGGCGGTTGTTTTTTTCCCTCGTGGATGTAGCGATGACAACGTTTCGAACGAGACGCACACGTAGACGGCGAGCAAGCCTCGAGGGAACCTTGCCGGCCTGTTCGTCAGCACTGGCTTCTCTGGTGATGTCAAAATCGACTTCGCTCACAGACACTGAATATATCGCCGGAGCCACGACGCGTGACCCTTACGACCAGCGGCCGAGAGTTCCCTCCCTGACACGTCGCCTTCCCGCTCCAGACTGCCCGAGAAAGGGACTGCTACCAAATATGAGGGACCGCTGGGCGCGAAGCTCGGGAGTTTGACCGGCCTGTGCAAAGATGCACGCGTCTCAGCAGCACGCCAAGTCATGGTGTACTGGTTTATGCGGACTGACTTGGGGCTCATTGACAGCACCGAGAGCGAGCGTGATCGACAGCGGTGCGAGCGGTTTTGTTTTAAAAAAGGGGCAAAGGGGCTCTCCTGTACTTATCACGGCGTCCGCAACGACGACGACGACGACGACGACGACGACGACGACGTCATCGTCTTGGCGGCTCAGCACGGGTGCGTGTTGGAAGCGAGAGCATATTGACGGCCAGTTCCTGACAATGTTCCCTTAGCCTCGGAGTCTCCCACGGAAACAGCCCTTGCCGGACCCGGACCAGTGGCGGAGAACAAGGCATGGATTGCGGGTGCAGTCATCGGACCGGTGGTTCTGGCCTTGGCCTTGGCCCTGGTCCTTGGCTGCGTCTTCTACTTTCGCCCATGGGCCAAGAAGATGAAGAAGGCGAGGGAGGGTGCTGCAAATACGGATACACCACCGCCTGAGGCATGGGGGTTCTCTGTTCCGGGAGAGCATGCCGCACACGAATATCACGGCCCCGTGCCGTCTTCCGGGTTCCAGATAGCGCCGGGATACGCGGGGGCTGAGCTGGCGTGACGGTGGTCGCATGTGCAGGACCGGAGATCGAGACTCACGCTCCATGCTGCACATTTTACGAATACGAGATGAAGACCGCTGCAGCTCACTGCCGCTCCGAGACCAGGTTTGAGTTTCTGATGACGGCCGAGGCGTTGTGAAATGCTGTGCCTAGTACGTGGCAGTCCTTGGTAGGGACATTTCAGAGAAACCAACGGATTCCCCCTTTGCGAATCGTGCCGAGGAAACTCGCGGTAGACCCTCCGCCACGCTCAGGTTCAAAACTTCAAACCATGACGGCGGAGTCGACCAGGAATCTTCGGTAGCCACCCGGCCGCACCCAGAGACGTTCCTTTTCAAACCATGCCAGCACGTCTGGACATTGCGCGATGATAGTTGGGGAGCGGCACCTCCCACGTTCACAGGCAAATCACCAACACGACGCCGAGGCGACACGGGGTCGCACGTGAAACCGTCTTGTCGCCATCCGGCCGAGTCTCATTGCGCCAGGCGGCTCGAACCGGTCCCGTTGGTCGTGTCCCGGTGCATCTCAAGAGCGAGCCAAGGACGTGGCGGTCAGCTCTGAGCTTCCCACGGCCGAGCTCGCAGCATCTCCCCAGGATATTGCCGCCCCATCACCCGCGGTCTCTCCTATCGAACCCCACGACGCGACGCCATCTGCATCTGATATATTGGACACTAGAAACTTGACCCCAATGCCGTATGAGGAAGGCCTTGCGGCGGCCAGCATCAGACGGCTCCATGCTCGGCCCGGGGCTCTTTTGGATGGGCACGAGACGAAGCCGTGGCCCGCCATGTCGAGGAGGCCGTCGTGACATTCCCCGGGCGCACGTCTCCGGAGGATTCGGTCTCTCCCGGATTGGGCCGGCTGCTGTTCTGCGCGAGTTGGAGCCAGTGGAGAAGATGTACTTGGCTGTGGAGTGGATCGTGAATATTCTCCCTTGCGCCTCAGCAGACTTTTGGTAACTAGACGGTGTAAGTTCCCGGGCTGGACCAATGCGTGCCTTCTCTCCTGTTCATTTTTTCTTGCATCTCGAATGTGGCACACAGACACGATCCGTGTGTATATAAGACGCTGGTCCATCTCCATCTCCCTTTGCCTCGCTCGTGATGGAAAGTCCTCACCTGAATCGCAGTTCAAGATGCTATGCCTCATCCCGCGATACTTGCCCACTCTCCTCCTCGGGGCAGCACGCCTCGCCCACGCCCTCACCATCCCCTCCGCCGCCTCCTCCTCCGCCTCCTCTGGCGACGCCTCCTCGTCTCGCAACGACACAGCAGGCGGCATCTTCAAGCGCTCCGCCTCCTACAACTGGTGTGGCCCCGTCAACTTTGGCTCCGGCATCACCTCCGTCGAAGCAACCTGGGCCGTGCCGAAAGTGTCCCTCCCCAGAGGCGGCTGGCCCAGTCACGACTACCATTTCTACCAGTGGGTTGGCCTGGACGGGACAAAGGGCTGCGGCGCTCTGCTGCAAGGAGGAACAGGACAGACCGTAATCAAGGCCGCACTCCGTTCCGGCGTCGAGGGGCTCCAAGGCCAAACTGACCGGCTCTGCCTAGATTGAGAATGGCCACGTCTCGTACTATACGTGGTTTGAATTCTGGCCCTCGCCTCCCGTGTACGGCCATGTGGAAAGTACCGCTCGCCGCCTTCTCCGCCTGAGCCCGCCTTGGCCCCCCCCCGGGGCTCATGAAAGGAGTGAGAAGAGAGGCGGAAAAGGGGCCCGAGTAAGGACTAACGGTTGCAGTTTCCCCCGGGGACACCGTCCACGTTCGCGTAAACGCAACGTCCGCCGAGAGCGGGAGAATGTAAGTCGAGGCGCTCGCTGCGACCGTGCCGTCAGAGGTCCGAACCAACAGCCACCCACGCAGATATTTTGAGAACAAGTCCACCCGCGAGAGGTACACCGAAGTGGTCAAGTCGTCCGGGGCGTCGCTGTGCTTTGCGACGGCCGAATGGATCGGCGAGAACCCGAGCATCCCGCCGGGGCAGTTCCCGGCCTTTTCCCAGTACGACTTCACCGGCTGCCGGGCGCAGACGTCTTCCGGCGCTGTTCTTGGTCTCCCTGGGGCGGACGACTGGATCATGTTCAGGGGAGAGGAAAGGCTCTGCCATCCCGAGCGAAGGGGGGATTTGACCACGAGCATCATCTATGGGTAGCATCCCTTGCCGAGGAGCACGGCAAAGCTGAGACGAGGAATCACCCTTGCCGAACTCTATGCATCAACACCCGAGACTTGGCACGTCTTGTTTCTTCACCACCTGGCTTTGTCCAGTTTCGAATGCGCGTAAGCTACATGGCCCCAGGCTCTACATGTACATGTAACTACTTGGTTACTCTGTCCGGTTTTGCCAATCTAGGTGAGACACTGACCCGTGATTGGCCCATTGAGCTTTTCTTCCGACGACACGGGTGGTGAAACCAGACGCTGGCATATCATGTGCTGAAATAGCCTTCGCGATGCCGTCGCGTGCTTGAGTTGTTTTGCCCCTGCTTCATTCCAGCCTACCAGACCCCTTTGCATCGCACATGTCTTCAGCAGGTAGGAGGGTTTACAAAGCAGGCCAGCCACGTCCCGTGTCCCATCTATCCAGCCTTTAAAAAACCCGGCTGCCGCCCGACACCTCCATTCATACGTCATCATCGCCTCTGTGCCACACCCAGAACCAAGCTCAATGCTCCTCGGACGAGCGACAAAGCCGTTTGAGACTTCTTACAATTGCATTTTCCTGGAGGCTTTTGGTGACATGATGAACGGAAAGTAACTGTCCGAGTTGCCGCTGCCAAGAGTTGTCATGCTTTGCATCCGTGAAGCCGAAGGAGTCCTGGCTCTCGAACTGTTTGGCGACGAGGCTGGTCGCACACCGGCTTTTGACTCTGAACTCCTTCGTCTCGTCTTCATCATCAATACTCCGCCGTCACCTGGTGTTGTGGCTCCACCACCCGACGGAGACCGGTAGTGATGTCGCGGGAATTGCCGATCTGGCAATTCCATTCGAGAGTTTATTGCCGTCCAAACCTCATCGTCATCGCCGGACCGCCAGCCACCAACGCCCTCAAAGTCTCGATCTGGCCCCACGCTGGGCATCAACCCTATACCAAACTCACCGACAGGCGTTGTAGAACCACCCGTGGACAGAATGCTGAGGCTGCTGCTGGGTCGGTGACGTCTTCGGAGATGTGATATTGGCGGCTGCTGGGTAGGTGATGCCGCTGAGCTATCTCCATTGCTACTCCCGTACCCATTTCTGAAAGCCGGCGGCATGCGTGCTTCGCGGGTAATATACCGTTGACGAAGCTTGATATTCGCCAGAGATTGCGGTACGAGGGAGAGCGCGACATCCAGATAGACTATGACAACGCGGAGGATGAGAACGTCGAAAGCAAGCGTCGTAGTGATGCCTGCGAGGATGGCTAGAGGAACCGTGACGACAAACAGGAATGGAACGACGAGTGCGTAGACCGGATTCAATAGCGCCATGGTTCTGTGGCTCGACATGACGGAGGGCTGAGGGCTCGATGTTCCGCGGCTTCACATTTACTCACCATGGCATGGCCAGGATAGGGATATGTAGGGAGAAGGAAGCCGTGATTTGAGGCAGAGCACGCGATACGTACAGCCAGCAAAGTCGACGGCAGCGATAGAATGCGGGTGCGTCGATGAGGAAGGAGCGATCTCGAAGCGGGTGCCAAGACGGTCACCGGTAGACAAAACAAAAAGGAAAGAGCGGTGGGCTGCTTTAAATTCCAGCAACAGCGCGCACAACCATCTTCAATTTCAAACCCGCCCAGGTCAGCATGCAATCATTGAAATGATGCAGTCCAGCAAGAGACCAGCAAATGAGATCAAGTACAGATAAAGAAAAGGAGGAGCATGGGTCGATCGATTGAAGCAGGTCTGGAGTCTAATGGGCCGTGCGAGCCGTGCAATGGTGAGACTGAGGGGCCGAATCACATGTCGTTGGTGAGTTGGTGGCACAACCATCCAACGTCCATGGACCGCAACAGCACCGTCGACGACAGAGCTAACAAGAGGAGCCAGCGCAGGTCCGACTTCAAACCAAATTCCAACATGGAAAGCAACAGCTGAAAACCGACCCCAAGGCAAGCCTCGGCCAGTTCCGTCACTCTGACAAGCAAAGGGCCCCCGAAAGTCTCCGCATTTTGCTGTTTTCAACCATCTGAGATTCAAGTTGAATTTTTATTCCAGCAAGGCGCATTGTATCCACATACGCTCTCTGGTCTCTTTGTTCCATGGAGAGATGAATGTAACTCTAACGATTGGCATCAAGTCATCCTCAGCTAAAGGAGACAGCGGCCCTTCCTGCAACGCCACGGCCCTCCTCCAATGCAGGGGCCCGGTAGAAGGTTTAATCGGTTGAGATTGTAAGTAGCGAGACCCGCCCCTCGTCTAAAAGTAGACTAGCGTAAAACCTCCAACGGCGTTGAAGAAGAAATCTCTCCAGAGCAACACACAAGTACCGACATCGACACAACACGTTTCGTCATAGGCTAAAGAATACTTTCCCTCGGCGTCATCGCTTGGCAACAAGAATCGAGACGCCAAGCCTGCCAGCTCCAGCAGACCCCCGCACCCGAAACCCCAGGCAGGTGTGCCGCCCCCAGTTTGCAGGGATACGAAAATCGTCGTTTGGCAAGAAGTAGTCGGAGGTACTCCGTACGTACGTCCAAGTGGGATTCAACGCTAATCCACTTTCAGACTGGCAGGTGCGTGACGCGATTCGTCTCATGTACCGAAACCGCGGACCACTTATTGATTCACTTTCAAGCCTTCTTCTTCTACTATATGCCGCGCCCTGATACCGCAGGAAGCATGTCAACTTGCACCTTTTTGCAATAATGTGTCGACGTGACCAAGTTGACGACAACTCATCACACAGCGAAGCACAGTGTCCTCCATCCGCAAATAATGGGACCTTTCCGTGGCACTTGTCCGTGTTCGATGCCCATTGTCATCCTACGGACACAATGCGCTCGATAACCAACCTCGAAACCATGCGTGCGTCTGCCCTTGTTATCATGGCAACTCGTTCCCAGGATCAGGACTTGGTTGCCAGCGTGGCGTCGACGCATGGCGTCCAAGGCCGGGCAAGCCTGCGGGGTCGTCGAGCCGGATGCCAAAATGATGGCCACGGCGACACAGAAGCGGCGGCGGCAGCAGTATCATCGATACCAGCAGTACAAGAACAAAGGCCTGCAGGGCAAAATAGCAGCTGCCAGGTCGTCCCCTCGTTTGGATGGCATCCATGGTTTTCTCATCAACTGTACGATGACGTTGCCGCTGAGCCCACGTATAAACCACCACGACAAACACCGACACGAGATGAGACGGATGAAGCGGCACTATTGGCCGCCAAGAAGGTGCATTATCAGGCCGTTCTCACACCACCGCCCCAAGATGATGGCTTTGTTGCGTCCTTGCCTACACCGATGCCACTTTCGTCATTCATCAGTTCAACCCGTGTCCGACTGCAATCTTTCCCTCTGGCCCTCGTCGGCGAGATTGGCCTCGACAAGGCGTTCCGCTTGCCGCAGAAATGGGACCCTGCGTCTTTCGAATCCAGAGATGGTACCTTGACACCCGGCGGCCGGGAAGGCAGGCTGTTAAGCCGTCACCGAGTGCGCAAGCCGCACCAGGAAGCCATTTTACTTTCCCAACTACGTCTTGCAGGCGAAGCCGGCAGACCCGTCAGCATACACGGCCTCCAAGCTCACGGCATTCTGTATGATGTGGTATCCCGCTGCTGGAAAGGACACGAGAAGCATATTGCGTCGCGACGTGAGAAACGCATGATGGCTCCAGGTGAACAGGACGACTCAGACAAGGAGGATGCCAACGCCGTTGCTGGAAAACCGTACCCGCCCCGGATCTGCCTCCATTCATACAGCGGCTCTGTAGAAGGTTTAAGACAGTGGTTCAATCCTACGGTCCCAGCAACGGTATACGTATCCCTCTCCATGGCTGTCAATTTTGGCACGGCATCAAGCCGCGAAAAATTCCCCGAAATAGTTGGTGCCGTGCCTGATGACAGGATTCTAGTGGAAAGCGATTTGGATTCTGCGGGGGAGAAGATGGATGCTTCATTAGAGGACATGTATCGGCGCGTGTGTGAGGTCAAGGGGTGGTCACTGGAGGCTGGTATATTGAGGGTTGCCAAGAATCTGGAAGAGTTCGTCCTTGGTCACGAGTCATGACGTATGGGACTATGAAGCAATGCGGCGCGGATACCACTGCATTTGTAGCGAATGCTGAAGACTAGATTTTAGAGCCAGCACAACTAGCGTATATAAACAAAAGCTCGCGGTGCGACATGACTAGAATGATGCACCCTGCAGCAACAGCTGTCCGCGGTTGTATTTGTTACTGTGGGCATGTCTTTGGCAGCATCTTGACCCTCTCTCCTCTCTCCCTCTCTCTCCAGACGACATCCCTCGCCGTCCCCGTAGACCCCTCCGCGACTGGGCCCGCCCGTATGCGTATTGAACGGGTGAGAAATCGTGATGAGAGATGGTCCGTTCTCAACATAGTCCTCTATCATTTGTCAGTTTTGTTCGCAGGTTGATACACCGAAACATGGCGTACACAGCACAAACATCGAGTCGACATGGACCAAGTATTGTGTCATGCACTATGTCGTTCTTCTCGAATCATATGACATATCTCAGGGTCCCTCGGAGGCATTTGCCCGCAAGGCCGAATAGTTCTCGACTTCAAACCAGCGGCATTTGCTCTCTGGACTGCCCGCGTCGTGAAACCCCTTGCAACAAAAGCCTGTCACAAAACACGACATGACGCTTGTTTCTGGATTCGGGGCCTCCACCACCGCTCGAATGTAGAATAATGCATGCCGGCCTACAAGTAATATGATATCCTAAAAATAGGTCCGCATCCATGAGGGTCTTTTCCCGTCACTCGTTATAAAACCATCGCTGCTGAACCCAACAATACCTCTTTTGGGTTTTGCCAGGTTCACAGCATATTTATATATATATATATATATGTGTGTGTGTGTGTGTGTGTGTGTGCGGCAAGTAGACCAAATCAGCCACATGTCAATGCATGGCGCACCACGTCCACGAAACTTAAGCCGTGTCAGTGTCCTCCAAAAACTCACTCAATATATGCACACGGGTTCGCGCAACATCGTTATTCGAGCCAATGAGCTCCATGATCTGAATCATTCGTGCTGCAGCGCCCTGTTAGTCACCTCTGGCAGTATCTCGAGCGGCGTACCTTTGCGGTTTCTTTTTGCACTCACTGATGTCGCTTCTGGCTCTCACAAATAGGGGGTCCCTGGCTAGTATGTCCTTGCCCGCTGCTTCCTTTGCTGTTTCTCGCAAAACATTGGCGATGCAAAGTGCTTCCAAGAATGCTCGATGATTCAAGACCCACCATACTCGGGCTTCTGACTCCAGTAGACTAAACATCAGGAAGAAGGCACTAATGGCGTCGTGTGCTGCTTCCAAAGTCCCTCGCACGTTGACTGGGACGTCGGGACTTTCTGACGCATGCACCAGCATCAGGTTATGAAAGTAGTTGCTGGTCAAGAATAGAGTTTGTCGCACAATGCGCTTGTTGGTGCTCGCCACCGCCGTCAGACTATCTGTATCCCACGATCGGAAAACGTCGGGAAATGACCGATACACAGCCCGAAAGTCCGCTACTAGTTTGGACTTGTGCCGTACGGTTGTACAAATAGGGACGTCTAATGAACGGGGCGAACAAATAGTCTCCTGAACCAGGTTGGCCAGCATCCACGATCCTCTGATGTAGGCCGTGTCTGTCGGGTCGCTGCTCGCAATAGACGAACTGTCGTCCAGCAAGTCCTCGACAGAAACATCAGTGTGGGTGGCGGAAGGCGGCAGGGATAAGAGGACGGTCAAGAACGTGTCCTGTAAAAGAACGGCCTGCCAAACCTTTCGGCGCTGCTGTTTTTCGAAGGGGTTGGCATTGGGGGTTACTGTTCAGAGAATATCCCGCGTTAACTCCAGGTTTGGGTGACGACCGAGCGGAGGGAGGAATGGGTCAGCCGGAACCCAACGGGTCAGCTTACCGATATTTGGGTCGCGGTGCAGCCCCATGGCGTAGGCTTGTCTAATTAATATACCAGCAAAAGCCCAGCCGTCAGACGCGTGGTTATCGTTGATGAGAAAGTAGGTAATGAGCACCATGGCCTGGATAGACCGTATTGATGCGGAACTAAGGTATGAGAACATGCGGAGAGCTTGATTCGAGGCGGAAGCGTAGAACTCGGCAGTCTGCTTACGCTCTTTTGGTGTCGTGGACGTGACAAATTGCGTGCCGAGGGCGAGAATAACAAAGATCAAGGCGATAAAAGACGGATCCATTTGATTTCGCTCTTCGGTTTTCATGCTCCAGAAGTGTTCGTAGTCGGCGTAAAAGGTTTGACGGTGAATCATGGGGTAGACGGGATCCACGCACTCAAAATACCGAGCAACAAGACTATCTGCGTGAATCTTGTCCGGTAGCACAGAGATCACTTCAGGCAGTCCTCCTTCGCACGTCCAATAGTTGGCAAATGGATACTCGGACCCGATGCCAAAGACGTTGCTGGCCTTGGTAACAGAATAAGGAACATGGGATAGCAAGCCTATGGAGAGTGCGGCCGCGCCACGTGAGGAGCCTTCTTGGTCGTTGATCGCGCCTCTGTCGGCAATGTTAGGAATTATGGCAGGACCGTCGGCATTGCTCCTTTTCTTGGGAGGCCTCGTCATGCGGCGTCCATTGGCAGCCGATCTCGAGGTTTCCCTGCAGGAGATTAGTTTTCCTTGTGTCAGAAAGGGGTAGGCGTCCATGCTCACTCCAATAGGTTTGCTACATGTGCATATCGACATTCTGTCTGTCTTTTTATGCCTTGCGTCTTCATTAGGCACGGTCTACAAAACGTGGGTGATTCTTGGTTCCGATTCTCCAGACTTACAAGCGAGACAATGAGGTCGTCCGCGGTCACACTGTTGTGAAGAATAAATCAGCTGCCTTGCACCAAGAGATGTGCCGAATTAGTGCAATCATGTGCTAAAGGAAGGGAGGTCGAAGCCTCACGCCGTATCCATCGGAAGATATTGCTTGTTATTAACGCAAGCTCACCCCGAACCGATTCGATGGCGCGGCACAAGGGAATCGGCGATGTTGAGGTCATGTTTGGCAATTGAAGAGTCTTGCATAGCTAGCGCACAAGATAACGTAGAGCACGAAACAGAAACATGAGAACTCTGGGGCAGATTCCGATTGACGAATACGACAATCGTACTTGAGTTTCGGGACCGAAAAGCTGTCTCATCCCATCGAAGCCTTTGGGGGAAAACTGCACGAACCTTGGTCTTCCGCTCCACACACTCATGGCATGACAAGGTCGGTTTGTTGCGCTTCTGCTTCTTCTTGGGAGGTTCTTCGCCGTTGATGGGAGATTTCTCGTCGCTCAGCTCGCGGTAGTCGATGCTCTCGTCATGACCATGGCTGTTGCTATGGCTATGTGTAGGGCTCTGGCCATGGGCGTGAACATGGGGGTGAGGGCGAGGCTGCGGGTGAGCATTTGCGTTTGCGTTTGCTTGATTGTGAGCATGAACAGGGCCGTGACCGTGACCGTGACCGTGACCGTGGCTGTGGCTGTGGCCATGGCCATGAAGAGCAGGATGGCGAAGATAGGTGAGCGCTGGGCCGTGACCTGGCGAATTCGATGAGAGAGCGCCGCTGATGGGAGAGTCGAGATGCGGTTTGACGGCCAAGGACGACGCTGCACCGACGTCCCTTCCATGAACAATGGGAGGGCGGTGCAACGAGTGTTGCAGGCGCGAAATATCCATCTGTCGAGTTACCGACTTATAGCACCAGCTCCCGATGATGTTGAACAAGGCCCAGGCGAGCTGCTGCTATGCGGTGCGCGCTGAGACTCGAGAACTCTGCTCGGGGTGCGATGCAGTAAGGCCACGGTCACGGAGCCGGGAATAATGGCTCGTGAGCCTGGGTCGCAGGGAATAAGAGGATGATGGAATGACGGGGGGGCGGCAGCTTGGGAATGAAAAGGGAATTGCTGCGTAGCGAGTGGAAGCACCCTCTCGACATGGACCGGTTGACCTTGACCTTCCAGAGTGCTCCGAGGGAGGGGGCAGAATAGTTGAATCTAGATGATGGGAATAAGACACTCTGAGGCTCGAGCTGTCGTCGGCATGGCCAGAGTTTGGCAACGAGCCGATGCGGATGCGGATGCGCCTGCGCCATCCACGAAGACAAGTCTCAAGCAAGCAAGACTTTGAGAACTCAGGGTGGACCGATGGATCACTTGAGCAATTGACCAGTCGAGCATTTGAGCAGCATTGAATTGGCGGATTCGACGGTATGGCTTGGCATGGAGCATGGAGCATGGAGCATCATTGATGGGGCACGGAGCTCGGAGCACGGAGTACTGGCTGGGATGCTGGGAGCATGTACGTAACTACGTACTTACGTAGCTGGGTGCTTTAGCGCCAATGAGTCGGGACACTTCAATGCAGAACCACTTTTTGCTTTGGCGACAGGCAGACCTGAGTGAGTAAGTACCTGGGTACCTACTTGACTTGGAGAGGTAGCACCGCTCCCAGTATCAAGGACGAGTACCAAGGACAACCGAGATTGAACTAATGGGGGCCTGGCGGTGGAGTTGGAGGGGACGGCCCTCTGGATTGCTCCTTCTGTGTCTTCAATCCTGGGCAAAATTGTGGAAGGTGTCAAACAGGGCCCAGCCCACCACCACCCCTCCCCCCCGCACCTGCCACTGGATGGGCCTGGAACGTCGGCAGAGCTGCAGAGCAGAGACAAGTCCTGGACTTCCTGGCTTGACCCAACCCAAATCCCAAACGCCCGCATTCCAAACACCACACCCGAGCTGACCATGGTCAGTGGAATCGCTGCCGAGAACAGCCTCCGTCATCCAAACCTCGCCGTCTCCCACGCGCTCAATGAGACACCGCTAATCGCCCCTGCTGGCTGGCTGCTCGTGCTCTAGACTCGGCTCAGATTGCGTATAGTACTACTACGTGTACTCCGTACTTCGTACGCACTCTCTACATTCTTGCCTATACGAGCTCTTCAAGACCAACTAATTAATAGCTACCATAAATGCCGGAGATTTCCGCTGGCACTATTACTCTAGCCGCACCCCGGCTTCAGCTACGTGCTCGTAATGGCGAGGAGTCCAGCTCAGTCAACCAAACTATTAACTGGTGAGGGCTATATCAGCACGCTTCCCTCCCATTTGATAGTCCAATGCGAGGCCTGTTACGGCGCAGATCACCCTACCATTGTCTCTTGTTTTTCAACACGCGATGGCCATCAAGACCCCGGTTAAAGGTCTATCATCAGCCGTGGGACGTGGTTACCTTACTCGACCGAAAGGAGCAAAATTAGTCCACCACCAACGGGACGTCTGGGCTTGCTATTTGCAGAGATAGCATCACGTCCCCGCTGGCCAAGGTGGCGCGCATCTGAACAGGGCGCAGGGCACGTTTTTGTCGCACCCACAGGGCTATACCGGGAAATTTATGTCGATGGCTTGTCCTCCCTCCCTCCCCCTGGCATTTGGCATGCATGTTGGCAGCGGTCTGTCGCACACCTATACTACAGGGTATGATGACTCCTTCAAGCTCTTGTCTTTGCATTATTACCGTCAGCCGCAGCTGACTGGCAACAGTACGGCGTAGAAGCGGTCGAGCTTGAAAAATAAATAAAAAGGAGGCGAAACTAGTACGTCCCACCTGGCTCTGCCCGCGAAACCACGCCAAACCCTTGTCCACTGGCCACTTACTAGTGCCGGATCTTGAGTCGCCGCTCGCAGGAAGATGCAAAGATGGACAGGTTGGTCTTCCTGGCTAACGACCAATCTCATTTCGATACGGCCGTGGAATCCCCAGTCCGCCGCTTCGGTGAAACACACCAAGAGCTATACGTACTACAATACTAGTACGTATGTCCACTTCTCGTGCCGGGGATCTACATCCATTGTAGTAGCGATAGCCGGTGAAACCCTAGGAAGCCAAAGATATCCTAGCACAGACGTTGGCGCAGCTCGTGACGCCGCGTTATTACCACATGGTGGTTTTACTTCGAGCCGCCTGGCAATCGAGCAAGTGCCGGCACTGACCTCAATGTGGGCTCCAGCCCTTTCATCTGACTCGGACAAACCCGTGTAGTGCTAAAGATACAACTAAACTGATGGGCCTCCTGGGACCCGCTGTTCGGCTCGTTTAATCCTCCGTTTCATTTCCAAATTGAGACAGGAGCACGTTTGGAATCACTGTCAATGGACCATTTGTTGTCTTGGCAATGTCGGCGGCCTCAGACTGCGGGGCGAACGGCAGTCGCTGTTTCGGAAAATCGGACGATTTTATGCTTAATTGCCGTCACCATATATATCATGATTAGTGAGTCAGTCTGCTAGCTACGCATTGAATTGCCCTGCAGCTGCCTTGCAGATTCACAGAGTAGGGTAGCCCGGAACTAGCCCGTCCTTTGCTGCCACAGAGGCGGCCCCGATGTCTGCGGCGAGGCGAATCTGGCGGTAATAAGACGAATTCGCAGCCATCTGTGGCAATGGACGACACGACCGAAACTCCCTCGTGGCACTCCCGTGAGCGTACTGCTACCAATGCTTGCGATGCCGTTGGCGCCTACAGATTGGGATAATGAATCATCAACCCACACTGGCGGGGTAACTTTGCCCAGGATTCGCCCGCCGCGACCGCTACCGTCAACATCAGAATAGAGTCGCCAAGGTTCGACAACTTGAAAGCACAGCCTCAACCTGAACACTCATCCATGAGGCCAGCATCAGCAAGATTACAGCACCCACTTCAACAACTGCAGCATAAAATGACTGGCGGCAAAACAGTACCAGCCGCTCCCTGGCGAGATGCCTTCCTGTCCCACGTCAAACAGTTAAAGCAGCCAACCTTTACGCTGGGCTCTCTCCACCGAGCATCGCCGCCATCACAGTCTTCGGCACCCGAGTTTGTGCCCAGAGCACGCACAGTCATATACAGAGGCGTGTGGGCCTCGCTGAATCCAAATTCCAAGAACCCAGCACAACTCAACCGCGCCTCGTACGAGACTGATCTCCCAACCACGACCACAGATGCTCGCATGGAAAAGGTCTCTGAAATGTTCCCAACGTCCAAAGGCACCACATCTGGCATAGGCGGAGCCGTTGAGGCCGTATTCTGGACACCGGATTCCATGACTCAATGGCGTCTCAGAGGCCACATTTGCATGATTGGCCCTGATATTGACTCATTCGAAGCGTCGACCACGAGGGAATTTCTTGCACCGTATATGCGGCAAGTTGGACATGCCGATACCGAGTGGAGCTGGAGCCGTGAACTGACGGCGCAGTTTGGGAACTTGAGTCCCTCCATGAGAGGCTCGTTTCGAAATCCACCGCCCGGCACTCCTATTACGCAGAAGCCTGCAGAGGGGCTCGGCTTGGGACAGAGCGTTGAGGATTTGGAGGATGAAGTTGCAAGGAAGAACTTTAGAGTCTTGGTGATTGTTCCGGAAGAGGTGGATAGGGTTGATCTGTCGAATCCTGAGAGGGGCCAGCGATGGAATTACAGATTGGAACGTGCTGGGGAGGATGGAGCGGAATGGAAAGAAACGGAGCTTTGGCCGTAATGTCCGTCGCTTCCGGATGACTCCTTGGTGAAATGCTACCAAGTGTGGAATTTATTTTGTTTTTGATTTTCTGATGAGAAGTGTGAAATACAGCGAGGTGATGGCGGAAGCGGCTCGACTGCACCTGGGATAAGAACTGTTTCCTTGGTCATTTCCAGACTCGAAATATCAGGTTGGGTAGTAGAGACTTCTACGGTACTGGTTCTTGATTCAATAGATGGTCTGACAACAAATGTATGGAAAAATAAGTAAGTTACTAAATAACCAACTAGCACATGCACACGAGTAATCTGACAGCCCAAAATGAAGCAATATCATCGTCAACCCAACCCTTGCATGCCGAATCCCACTCGCCTGTCAATTATGCATTTACATTAGTAGGTAATACCGGCAAAGCTAAAACTTTTTTGCATGGTAACCCCGTCCAAAAAAAAAAAAAAAAAAAAAAAAACGGGAGCCCATGTCGGTCAAGGATCACAATCCACTTTCCACCACCCACTGCCCAGCCGTATGAATCGATATGATACATCACATCGCGGCGAAGTCCGTGCTTTCGACCCCACAGATGAACCGCAATCTACAAAAGCCTGATACTACTCCGTACCACGGTTAGGAAGGCACGTCATGAAGCTGGCAAATTACCCAGAAACGGTGGCAAAGGAGCCGAAAAAAGGACCGGCCGTGATTGTCAGATCACTCGCGTGGGTCTCGCCTGTCCCCTTACACATGTGGTGACTCGGTGAGACTGACGCAAGATTAGATTTGCATCCTTCGTGCCAATATATATCGCCAAGACTTTCCTTTGGTAGCATTGGATGTGAAGAACTCGTTGGCAAGAGACGTATGCAGTAGTTGCATGCAACGCTGCTAGTTCGGTAGCATCGGCGATCCATGAGGTCATCTGGCCGGTGGTTGAGAGAGTAATCGAAGAAATGATGCAGAGGAGGGGGATGTATAGTATTACGCCGCGGTGGATGCCACGATGAGGATTGACGCGTTCCTGTTAGAATGATGAGGCTTGGCTGTCTTGACTCTTCCCGGCCAGTCAACACTGGTTCTCAGCGGGATTGCCAAATCCCGACCCCTTGTCAACATGCCGATGATCGTACAGGCATTTATAATTAGCGTCTTTCAGGTGCGGACAGAATTGTTCCAGAACGTTGAACATCGGGACGTGAATTTGACAGCAAGCGGGCTTTGGCAGCTTCTCTGGCTCAGGTGAATCCGTGATGGTGCATTACATAGTTGTATGATGGGCGAATGCAGTTGAACAGGCAAAACAGGCTGTTTCATTAGCCACGCCGCCGGCAGTCACAGTATCGAGGAGCCCCTTTGACACGACTCAGACTGGTGCTTGACGGATGGATGCCTTTGGAAAGTGTGGGAAGCGACCAATTGGAACCAAGGGGCCATTTCCGCCGGGCGGGCAAGCGCCGGGTTTATGAGAATCCAAGAAGATGGTGGCCGAAAATGTCATGTCTGACACGCCGGTCGCGGGTGACACAGCCTGACGGGCAAGGTGAGGAGACATTCAGCAGTTGAGCTTTTACCATATGCCATATGATCTATCACATGGCGCCGGTCAAGAACCGCGCCTCTCAGCTTCTTCGGTTGAAAGAATGGCCTTTCTGACCGCGACGCCGAGTAAATAATGTCTTGCCCTGCAGGGTGGTACTAGGCATTCTTCCGCTCCAGGTGAGATTGGTCTACTGGGCTTCTGGTCGACCAGCACCGAGAGTCGTAAATGCTGGTCAAGGCGTGGCTGAAATACACCGAAGGGAAGTTTGACGCATAGGGGCCCAAGGCTACTCCGTACACTGACAGTAATTCCGTTGAAACTGTACTTACTTCTTGGTACGCTTTCCGATGCGTCCGCAAGATTGACGGCACGACTGCTCCCTACTACGAATTGAGCTGCATTCCCAGGCCGTAGCGCCGGCCACATGTTTCTGAACCATATCGGGTGGAAACCAGAGAACCTTGATCCGGTTATTGCTGTCTGAGGGTTTGCCACATTCCACCAAGCAGCCGTTGGAAAGGTGAGACCAGGCAACTTCCACGAGCCGTCTCGTTACTTTGGCGTCCGATATAAGCAAGAAGTTTTGCCACATGCACATACTCCAAGATCTTGGTCTTTGAAGCTCCCCGGCTATAAAACGGGAGGTCCTGAGCATGAACCGGAGAGGGCTGTGGCTTAAAATGAGGCTTACTTTTGGGTCGGTTTTGCCAATTGTGTGTGAAGATAATTCGTTGAATGCTATTGGCTTGGCGCTGTCAGATTTGTGTCACTGCCATCCCTGATATACCAACCATGTGGCAATGATGAGGTCTCAACGTCTGAAAACCTCGACTGGTTCACGCGCCCTCGAGCCGCGTCAGAACTTGAGAAACTGGTGCATGCAGGAAACGTGGTGGACATGTAACTACCAAACGAGTCCCCAATGCGTGCACGAGCCCAGGCACTGGTTGGTGTTGCCTTTATGAGTGGCAGTTTCTATCAAAGACGGTGAACAGTCGACAAGGTTTCAGAGTTTCCCCCATATGCTCGGCTGAGATTGTTGGCGAGATGTACGGAGTATAGGGTGCGGTAGCTAGTGTCTGAAGTTAGCGTCTGATCAAAACCTTCCGTGGCAAGCGACGAACCAGCGACTTATGACAGCGGATAAAAGATCTTGGTGCTCCATACCGCAGTGTCGTTGGGCTTGTGTCAGCAAATTCAAGGACTGAAGCCATAGCAGGTTGAGAAATAGACACTCCACTGAGGTCAATCCTCAGCTAAGGAGCTCCGGCGAACCAAGACTACCAATATCTCTGTATGCGGAATATGACCCAGGTTTCAACGGCCGATACATTGGCTTGTTGATGCGGGAGATTGCAAGACTGATCGTGGTTGGGAGTGATTCTGCCTTATTTCGCCGCCGTCGGGCTTGCGTTTTGGTATCCGACCAGCAGACTTGTTTCGAAAGAGGACAGCTCCGTTTGCGAGAGTATGAAAACGCGAGATGGACTGAGAACGACACCTTGTTGAACAAGGCCATGGTCATGGATACATGGTGTAGATCGGCCTTGAAACACAGGAGCAGCGAGATGGCCTTGTGTTTCATGCCATAAGAGTTGATGCTGTACGGCCACGTGTTGGAACAGAAAGGGAAGGAAGGACTCCTTCTCCATGGATATTCCAGAAGAGAAGGAAGGAGCTGGTCAACACCAAGCACCCCGACCCTAGGGTTCTCAGACTTTTTTTGCAGACTTTGCCAAACAAACACTGCTTTTCATTCCGCATGGACAAGCGCCCGTTCTGCACCTGCACATTCCCGGCCGCATCCCGCGTCTTGCTGTTGATGGAAGAATTCGGCCGAGGCCCGTAATCCCGCCCTTGAGGATCCTAGCGAGTTTGGCTGTTTGATATCACTTTCAACAATGATACCGGGGCTGACTTGAGATGCAAATTGCTTCGAAAAATCATGGCACGCCTCAGTGTTATTTTACCCAGCTCCGAGTCCCCTTTCTCGGAATAGACGGGGAACTGCACAGTAGATTCTGGCCGAGAACTGTGAGCCACAAGCCCACAACCCCAACGATGCCACCAGCACGAGCTTTTGGCTTGACCACCTTGGGCGCTCTGTGGCGGCAAACAGGGCGTCCAAACGGCCAACCACCAAGGGCCGATGAGTCTGGGAGAGACTAGCATGGAGCCACCAAGCTTGGCGTACCGCGGCCTAGAATTCCCTTCCGGCCTGTTCCACCTGGCACCACATCAGATCAACGGCTTGATTGCCAGGCAAAACCCGACAGCCGATCAGTTTGTTTGTCCACCCTCCACGCCTGCTTCCCAACATTGCTCTGTACATTACTTCGAATCAACTTGCCTTTGGCCCAGATGACCACGCTTCAGCAAAAGCTGCGACTCAGTCGATCGAAATTTTGACTTTTACACGGGACGTCAATACACCCACCATTGCTGGCAACACGACCATCTTTTTGGCGCGGCCCAGCCAAACATCTGGCTCCGTGACGCCCAGGTTGGACGCTTCACTGTACATCAATTTCGTCTGCAGCGTGCCGCTAAACAACCAGACTGGTGGCATTGGGGACCGCATGCCCAAAGTTTTTTTTCGCTTTTCAACTACTCCGTCACCTGATTTTCTCGACCTTCACATAGGCGAGTTGGGCCCTTGACGCCTAACGCGGTCCCGAAACGATTTCTCCAACAACGTTCCCCTCTGGGGAAACAGACGCCCGAAAAATGGCCATGGACGCTCTCAGAAATTTGGCCAGCAATATCCCGGATTGGCAAAGACGACTTGACGACTTGAATGGCCAGATCGAACGTCGCCAGGCGGAGCTCGCCGCTATTGCTGGGACAAATCCTTCTCCTACCGTTTCACCCCGTTCTCTCCGTAATAAGGGCTCTTCAGAATCGCTAAAGCCGAAAGATGATGGCCCAATGCATCCTGATCTCGACTTGGCAGCGGCGCCTCGCCAAAATCATGCGAAACGAGACGCTCTTCGAACACCATCAACACCATTTGGAGAGGCCAAAGCTATGCCAGCCTCGCCGCCAAGCCCTGACAGCGAGAGCCGTGCGGCATTGCATAGACAGGCCTGTGAAGCAGTCAACGCCCATGCCCGAGCATGTGCACAAACCAAAAAGAAGCAAAGGTCGTCGTTGGCCCCATTTGCAGAAGGGGTTCCACCTACATATCGAACTCGCAGTATGATTATAGTATATTATGATAGCTATGTCCAAGGATTTTTTGACGAGCTGGTGAGATTCATTTCCTCAAGCCGGAACTTGATGCGCAAGGCAAAGATGGCAGCCAAGGTGGCGCAAATCAAGCGCATGGCTGAGTTGGAAATCGCAAACGACGCACAGCGTACCAGCGACGAAAGGTTTGCTGTTGATGCAATCCCGTCATTGAGGTACATGAACACTCGAAGAGTTGGCACTACGTCACAAGAACTCACTCCTGGAGAGGCTAGCCGTTCGGTTGGCCCTGGACAACCTGCCGACGTGTATGACTCTCTGGACAAAAGCCTAGAGTTCGTGCAGAGCACGTGTGAACATGGAGCTCACCAGTTCCTGAGGGATGCCGACTGCTATGACGAGATTGAGAAGATCCTAACGTGCCTAGCAGAGGTTTTGAAGGCGGCAAACCAGGAGATTGACCGTGTGCAACGAGAGGACCCCGAGCTTGCCAAGGAAACGGGCGAAATGGGCAAGGTACGCATGCACCGGCCGATTAGCGTGAGACGCGATATGGCGGCGGAACGCAAGGATGAGATTCTCGAAGATGAATGTTTAATATGGGAGATACCCACAATGCAAGATGCCACGGCACCAGCAGAAATGACGCTCGAGGTGGACACTAATCTAGAAGAGGAGGATACGGACAATCTCCCCGTACTGCAGTATCGATCGACCAGATTTATGCGAAGCCATGCCGTGTGAGTGGAAATACCAAGATGGGAATGGCCGGAAGGGTAAATAGTCTATAGCTTCCTGATGACTTGGAATCCTGATGGGGGACAGCTGGGCGTCGCTGTGGTCGAGTTGGTCCTGGTTGTCGACCGACGCACGTTAATTTAACAAGATGACAATGAGAATGGACGACTATGATGACCCTTGGCATGTTTGGAGTAGCATGCTTGGTTCTGGCACAAGTCTTACACTGTACGGATGGGAAGAACTTGCATATTCGAAATGGCGAGAGTTTGTTGTTGTTGTTTTGGGGGGGGGGACGGTGATTTGGTATTGCGTGTGTAGTGGATACCCAACCCAAGGAGACAGCAGCTTACGAGGTTGCAAAACTTGACGCTTTAAAGAAATGGACTCAGCCCGGCACGCCAATCAACTACTAGGCACCGACTTAAGTAGGTAGTCAACACGAGGGTTGACTTAAGTCAGAGAGAGGGCTTGAATTTAGGATTGCTGGGAGAGAGCATCAGTCGGCCCCACGTGCACATGATGGGCGACGTGCGTGGGCGCTTGTCACTCAAGTTTAACCTCCTTGGAAGTGCTCGGACACGCTGAGAACTCTGGCTTCTCACCACTCGCCGCCTTCCAACGCCGATTCATCAATTTTCAGTTTGTCCAATGATATGCCCACACCGGCTTGTACAACCGTCTACATACCCAGGTCCTGCTAGCTTTCTGCCCAGCAGGCTGTGCACGCTCGGCGATCCCAAGTGTGCGCTGCGCTCGTCGTGCAAGATGACGACAGGTCCTCCAGCGTTGTGACGACAGCTCAATCCACACGACTGAGTCAAGGGCACGGCAACAACAGCGACGGGACAGGCAGCCAGGATGGGCCAAGGATTCTCGCTGGCGACGCCGTCGGCCGGCTCTGCTGGTATAGATATTGCGCAGTTGCAAGATGTGCAATACGAGCGCAGCATCGGCAACGCAAGGTTTATGAAGAGCACCCGCGGACGGCACGAACATGGTGTTGTCTTGGTCAAGGTCCTGGTAAAACCGTATGCCGGAGTCAGTCTCGACCAGTACAAGCAAAAGATAATCAGTGAGTTTGGCCCCCTTGCGTGACATAGCAGCGTTGACTGACGGCGACAGAGGAGCGCAAGGCTTTGGCTCAAGTACCCAACGCCCTGGGGTTCCAGCGCATCATCGAAACCGACACGAACGGGTATCTGGTGCGACAGTTTCAATATAGCTCCCTCTATGATCGGTTGAGCACACGTCCATTCCTCGAAGACATTGAAAAGAAGTGGCTGGCGTTCCAGCTGCTCTGCGCCCTGCGAGACTGCCATGCTCAGGACATTTACCACGGCGACATCAAGGCACAGAATGTACTGGTGACGTCTTGGAACTGGCTTTACCTGACGGACTTTTCGTCCGCGTACAAACCTGTACTTTTACCCGACGACAATCCGGGCGACTTTTCCTACTTCTTCGACACCTCTGGCCGGCGAACGTGTTATATTGCTCCCGAACGATTCTTCGCTACTGGCGACAGCCCTCCGCCCAAGGCTGAGATGACGTGGGCCATGGATATTTTCAGTGCTGGCTGCGTGATTGCCCAAATGTTCCTCGAGTCGGAAATATTCAGTCTTGCCCAGTTGTACAAGTATCGGCGCGGCGAGTATGATCCCGTCATCACTCACTTGAGCGTCGTTTCGGACAAGGATGTGCGGGATATGATTGCGCACATGATTCAGATCGATCCAGAGAAGCGATACTCTGCAGAGCAGTACCTCGAATTCTGGAAGGGAAAGGTATTTCCCAGCTACTTTTACAGCTTTTTGCACCAGTACATGGAGCTCATTACCGACCCGTCATCTGGCAACAATCCCATGTCTGGCAGCCAGAGAAACATGGGCGAGTCCGACGACAGGATCGATCGCGTCTTTTATGATTTTGACAAGATTTCTTACTTTTTGGGTTATCAACTGGAGAAGAGCGCGCCCAAGGCCTCTCCGGACCGGTCTCGATTGGGCCTGCGCCATTTTCCAGTTCGATTAAGCATCCCGAATCACGAGCATCCAGTGTCAGCCGACCTGGAGCCACCGGAAGATGACGGGACGTTGATATTCCTGACACTCATTGTATCTTCCATGAGAACCACGGCGCGAGCATCTTCCCGAGTCCGAGCTTGTGACGTTCTTTTGGCTTTCTCTGAGCGGCTGACTGACGAGGCAAAACTGGACAGGGTTTTGCCCTATCTCATGACACTGCTCAAGAAGGAGGAAACTGATTCCGTCATTGTGGCGGCTATTCGAACAATCACGCAGCTTCTCCAACTTGTGCGTATGCCAACGCCCATCAATTCCCACATACTGGTGGAGTATGTGCTCCCCCGTCTGGAAATTGCACTGGGATTACGATCGCGTGTCGCTAGCTCCCTGGTAAGAGCTACTTATGCGTCCTGCATCGGAAGTCTCGCCTCTACAGCCCAGCGTTTTCTCGAAATCGCATCCAGCTTACGGACAGACGGGTCCATTCCCATAACTGACCCCGAAGTTGAGCCAGGCGCAGAGGCAGATGCTAATTTCGAAAGCGTGTTTGATAACGCTGGACGAGAGCTTTTCGAGATCTTGGAGAGCCATACTAAGCAGCTAGTAGAAGACCCTGACGTCCATGTTCGACGGGCGTTTCTGGCATCCGTGCCCGAGCTGTGCATGTTCTTCCAAGAACACTCCAACGATATATTACTTAGCCATCTCAACACTTATCTCAACGACCGTGACTGGACGCTCAAGTGCGCATTTTTCGACACCGTGGTCGGCATTGCCGCTTTTGTTGGTAGCACAAGCCTGGAAGAATTCATGTTGCCCCTGATGGTGCAGGCCCTGGCTGACACCGAAGAGTATGTCGTTCAGGCGTCCCTACATGCACTTGCTCAGCTTGCTGGCCTTGGTCTTCTGTCAAGGCCAAAAATTTGGGAACTTGCAGACCTTGTTGGGAGGTTTACCATGCATCCCAACATTTGGATTCGAGAGGCCGGGGCCGAATTTTTATCACAGTCGGCCAAGTTTCTCAACGTGGCTGACGTGCGATGCATGTTGATGCCACTTGTCATGCCATACATGAAGACCGATTCAATGGTTGACCTCGACGAGTTGAGCATATTGGATGCGCTCAAGAAGCCTCTGACAAGAGCCGTTTTTGACCAAGCAATGACTTGGGCGATGCAGTCTGAACGGGGCGTGTTCTGGAAACCGCCGCAAAAGACGCAGTCGCTGGCGTTTGGGTCATCAAGTACGAAGTCTTCCAGGGACCTGAGCGCGAGTTCCATGACCAAGATTGTGGGTAACGACGAAGACGAGCTGTGGCTGTCCAGGTTGAGAAATTTGGGTCTCAAGCCAGATGATGAAATGAAATTACTGGCACTACGAGAATTCATCTGGCGATTGAGCAGAACCAAATTACGCGATTCGATGGGAGAACCGAGCCCTCGCACCGGACTTGTATCCCTTAAAGAGTTGGGCATTACTCCGCAAACCGTCTTTTTCAACGACGCACCGCTTCGTGATTCGACCATCACCCCCGACCTTGACACACCAGCCGGGCCATATACTATCGCCGACGCACTGTTGGACGCATCCATGACGATTGATGATACCCTGAGCAAGAGGAGAAAGGCTGCGTCACATTCTCATGCGAACCGTGTGCAGAGCGCGGGCCCTCGTTCGTCGCCGACGAGCCGGTTCTTGTCGCCAGAGGGAAGCGCTCGAGCTAGTTCACGACACTCTCGTCGAGGGTCGTCAGACAGCAGAGCCGGCCGTGCTGGGGATGACGACGTCTTCCTCAGAGATGGGCCGTACTCATCAAGACGGGCCATGCACCAACAGTCTAGTGCGTTGAGTCTCTTGGATAGAAAGGACGGGAACAAGTCTGCCGCAGAAACCAGCACAAGCGACGCCAACGCCTTTGGTGAGGTAAGGGGACCCTTTGCTCAAGGTGGTGCATCAACCCCCCCTGCACCAACTCGACAGCACGAAGGTGGCAGACCTGTTTCAAGACAAGCCAGACATACCTACGAAGGAACAGACCCCAGCATCCAACGAATGCTGGATCAAATGTACATTGACAACTTTCCCCGGGATGTCTTGGAGTTTGGGCCTATGGTCCAGCCGATTTCTAGAACCAAGGCAAGGGCTGTCAGCGTGCAGCCCGGAGACAACCACTGGAAACCAGAGGGTCACCTAGTTGCCACCTTTGGCGAGCACCAAGGTCCAATCAATAGAATTGTTGCATCTCCCGATCACCTCTTCTTCATTACCGCAGGCAGTGACGGCTGTGTTCGAGTGTGGGATGCAGCAAGGTTGGAGAGGAACATTACGCACCGATCTAGACAAACACATAGACATGCCGATGGCGCTCATGTGCTGGCGCTGTGTTTTGTAGAAAACTCACATTGCTTCGTTAGCTGCGCCAGTGACGGGAGCGTGCACATCGTCAAGGTTGACACGGTATCGGCAAGCGGCGTTGTTAGATATGGCAAGCTGCGGGTCGTGCGAGAATACCAACTACCCGAGGGAGAGTTTGCCGTCTGGTGTGAACACTTCAGGCAGGAATCGAATTCTGTCTTGGTTCTCGCGACGAACCAGTCTAGAATTCTCGGAATCGACTTGCGGACCATGTCGATCTTGTATGTTCTGGAGAATTCAGTCCACCACGGGACACCTACCTGCTTCTGCGTGGACCGAAAGCGCAACTGGCTCTGCTTGGGTACGTCACATGGTGTGGTCGACCTCTGGGACCTGCGCTTCAAGATGAGGCTCCGCGGCTGGGGCGTCCCGGGCAAGGGCTCGATATATCGAGTTTGTATCCATCCAACCAAGGGCCGTGGGAAATGGGTATGCATCTCTGGAGGCACATCGCAAGGGGAGATGACTGTATGGGATTTAGAAAAGACGGTATGCAGAGAGATATATCGGACGAGCGCAAGCAAGGATGGCCCCAAGGGATACAGCTCTTGGGACGTCGACGAAGACAAACCGGAAGGAATGCTGGATCGATTTGCAACGGACCTCGAGAACAGCGAGGCAGCGAGTGCCGATCGGGGCGTACGCGCCATGATAGCCGCCACAGGAGCCGCTGAGGACTCCCGGGATGTCCGCCATGCATTCATTCTCACAGGTGGCTCGGACAAGAAGCTTCGGTTCTGGGACGTCTCTCGCATAGAAAATTCGTGCGTCTACAGCGGCCTAGCATCCGACGAGCAACAACCTACGTTTATTGCAGCGCACCCAACCACCACGCTAACGTTGAATACAGAAAGAGCCCACAGACGTGGTGGCTCGTCGGAAAATACGACCTCTGCAGGGGATAGTTCAAGGGGTAAGAGCTCGAGCAGACGACCAGCGAGGTCGACGGTGATATCGATGCAGCAGCAGCAGCTTTTGCAGTCTCATCTGGACGCCATCTTGGATGTGGTGCTGTTAGAACATCCATACACGATGAGCGTGAGCGTGGACCGGTCGGGGGTGGTGTTTGTATTTCAATAGAGGCACATGAGATCGATAGTAAAAAAACACCATGGTCGTTGACAAACCAAGCTCACAACCCCATGCACAATCTGAAGATGGGACAGTCGTGCAAGAAACACGTCGAGTTGTGTCGTCCATGGCAGAAACATTCTCATCCGGCGAGCCCAAAACGGCAAGACTCAAAACCATGTGGGGCATCGGCGCATCCGCCCCGGCGCCAGAAGACGAAGCCAAAATTTCGACTCCGCCTTGGCCCAATCTTCATCAGCCTTGTCAGTCTTGGACCAAAAACCCCCTCCAATCCCTCAATAGCGCGTCACAAATCGTCCTCCTCGACGCGAGCCCAGGTCGTCTTTTCCAGCGACAGCTCTCACTCATTTGAGCAGTCCACAAGTTACGCAGGCGCCCACGAGGTAGAAGCAGTTCTCGCGATGCGGCTCACCAGCGAGCTCATCCACGATTCCCTATCCTACCTGAACCCGCTCAAGGAGCGCGAATTAGATCTCCGAGGTGCGTTTACGAAAAGAGCAGATGCTACATTCTTTTCTACTTGATACGAAAGACAGCAAATCCTTGATCATGAAGAGCTAGTTGATGCGAATGTTGGATTGGTCTACAGGACACAGGATCCCTGCGATTGAGAATCTTGGTGTGGCGGGTGTAAGTATTCCTCGTCTGATGGGGGGTTTTTTTTCCCTTCCCTTCCGCGTCGCGCACCGGTCGAGGCCGCCAGTCTCTCTCTGCGAGGGATTCTCTAACAGGAGCGACAGCCGCACGACTCCATCGACTTGACAGACAATGATATACAAGTCCTAGGCAACTTTCCGCTCTCGCCGCGCCTCACGACGCTTCTCTTGGCGAGGAATCGAATTGCGAGCATCCAGGCTAGTCTGCCGAGTGCTGTGCCGAACCTGACGAATCTTGTGCTGGCATCGAACAATTTTGCGGAACTGGCCGACTTGGACACGCTCAAGGGGTTTGAGAGGTTGACGCATTTGGTATTGGCGGACAGTCCGGTGACCAAGAAGGAGGTATGTTCAGAAGCTGGCTTCTCGTCGAGGGCAGGGCCCCCGGGGGGCCACCGCGTGGGAGATGGGGGGGGCTGTGCTGACCCGGCTCGCGCTCAGCACTACCGCTACTGGATCCTTTGGAGATGTCCTACCGTCCGTTTCTTGGACTACGCCAAAGTAAAGGAAGCCGAGAGGGCGCGAGGGCGGGAGTTGTTTGGATCGGCAGAAGAGCCCACGGCTTTGGCGTTGGAGGTGAGAGTCTGGAGTCCTTCTTTCCACGCTTGCTGACCCGGCTGACCTGATTCCGTGTAGATTCTGGGCAAGAAGTCCAAGACGTTTGACGTGTCGGCCAATGGCGCCGCACAGACGTCCAAACTGTCGAGGATAAAACTTACAGACGACGAGAAGAAGAGGCTGCAGGACAAGATTAAAAAGGCTACTAGTTTGCAGGAGATCATTGCCTTGGAAAAGGAGTTGAACGAGGGGCGGTTACCGGCTGGCATTCACGCCGACGCCATGGAGGAATAGGCGTTTTTTCAGGTATATTCACAACATGGTTCCCCAGAGGAGCGCAATATCCAAGTGCCGCACGGAGAAGAATCCCGTACGACTAGTTTGAAATGGAACAAGAGTTTTCTCATCTGGCGCTGCCACTCACTCAGAGCAGCGCAACCCGGCCCGAACACTGTACAATTAGTAGCGGGATTCCACGGACCGCGTCTTGCACGGCACGGTGGCACAGAAATCTATAATCTCACAACACCCGGAGCACTAGCCCGTCATGCGTACATCCCCATCTCTCCCTGTGACCTGTCTCATTTCCATCTCCAGCTGCTTGTTCGGATCGTCACCACTCTGTCTGTCGTCGTGTCTCAAAGGCACCGAGAAGGCACTGCCAGACAGGCCACCACCGTTAACGATTAGACTCGCTGCGCCGTTGGTTGTGGTGGGGGTTTGACGGGACGGCTCTGGTCGATCTTGGGGTATTTTGAGGTCCCCCCTGAGACGGGCATGCGTCTTCAACGCGGTAGCTTTGGCCTTTCTGTAGGGGACCGTCTTGGGGACCACGTCTTCCAGGAATTCGAGGTGGTCGTGGGTCGACACGGCGTTGGCTGCGTGGTGTCAGGTCCGACGGCGTACTCGGGCGAAGGAGGGAAACCTACCGACGTCCTTGTACTGAATGTTGCGGCGGGGCTTGCGGTCTAGTTTTGCCTGCGTGTTTGCCTCCTCCGCGAGGTGTTGGATGAACATCTCCTGAGGTGACGCGTCAGTCGAGCCAGGGGCGGGCTGGGGCTTGGAGGGCACGAGCGAGGTACCGCTGCGAGGGTGATGACAAAGGCGGCGTTGTTAGAGCACATGGCTATGTCTGAGTCTTGGTTGATTATTTTCTTGACGCGAGATACTAGGCAGGAAGACATGTGAGCTGGGCGCCTGGGACCGAGGGCGGGGACTTCTGGCGACGCACATGGGAGTTGGGTTTGCCCCGTGGGCGCCTTGCGCGGAGGGATCGCGCTCGTGTTGTACGGCATTGCGAGTAATGGTTCGCTACGGATGGATTAGTACTTGTGCCGGTTGTGCCGGGCGGAATGAGCGGCAGTATGGTGGGCGATGAGATGGGCAGACTCCAGGCATACTGTGTGAGCGAGTTCGTGTAGGAGAAAGATTCAAAGATGGTTGATTTGCCTGCTTGAGCGATGTTAGCTGGGAGTTGAGTGAATGTGGGATGCTGGAGGGCAGTTGTACGGACCAACCTCGAAGGGGTACCAGGATGTGTCGAGTATGAATGCGGTATGGTGAGGATGAGCTGTATGTAGTTTGTGCTTTGCGTGGAGTTGTAAGCACGCGACGAGGCGTGGAGCTCATAAATCATGAAATTGTGTACGTTGCGCCGTGCTTGGTTCCGTCACCAGTGCATGGCCTTGGCACGGGGCCTGGCAGGGATAGTGGAGCACACGCGCGCGCCACACTTGGTGACGTGCCGGCGGCTACTTGGCCAATGTCCATTGCGCCTTAACTTTAGCCTGACGGTGCTGGGCGGTTGCAGGCGCGACATGCGCACCGGGGCAGTGCTCTGAAGACCGACACTCTGGACATTCACATTCATCACCTCGGACAACGTTGAATTCTTTCCCCCTCGTCGACGACAACGCCCCATCCCATAGATGGCCGCCATGGTTTACGCCCCAAAGTCATGAGCGCGCAATCTCCATCCTACAGCCGAAACCCTGGCCTCGTGCGACGCTCCTCCATCGGCTCCCGTCTTTCCTTTGCCGTGTCGACGGCTGAACAAGGCGCTGCTGCTATTCCGCCGCCAGGAGAGGCGCAGATTGAGGAGGAAATTGTAGAAATCAAGAGATATGAGGTATGAGATGCCACTGTGGCCGGCCAAGTGGACTCTTTTTTTTTTCTTTTTTTTTTTTTTGCTGACCCGTGCTCAACAGGACTTTACAACCATAGGTACGATGTTGTCTTGTGCTCGACACAATCCGGCCAACCTCTCTCCCTGTGGCTGCAACGCGCGCCGGAGCTGACTCTAGTTTTTGCGTAGACTGGGTTCAAGATGCCTCTCGCGAACAGGCGCGACGAAAAACAAGGCAGAAACGAGCGGCGAGCTTATACGACCGCGGACAGCAGAGCTGGCGGTATCGACTCTGGGCCTCGTATGACGCTGCGCAGGGCTGGATCGTCGTCACCATCATTGGCGCAGCGATTGGGTTGAACGCAGCATTTTTGAATATCGCCACCGAGTGGCTGTCTGATGTCAAGTTGGGTCACTGCACAACGGCCTTTTATCTGAATGAGAAGTTTTGCTGCTGGGGAGAAGACAATGGTAAGCACCAAGTGTGTGGGAGTATGTGATGCAGACCTTGTTTTGCTGACCGGGCGGCAGGGTGCCCTAATTGGCATCGGTGGACGGGTTTTGGGCCGTTCAACTACTTTATATATTTCATGTTCGGGGTATGTCTTGACTAACCCTCCATACTTGACGAATGTTTGCTGACACTCTGGTAGACTTGCTTTGCATTTGCAGCTGCTATCCTTGTCAAGTTCTTCGCACCGTACGCCGCCGGGTCTGGCATTTCCGAAATCAAATGCATCATTGCAGGCTTTGTGATGAAGGGGTTTCTCGGCTTCTGGACTCTGGTCATCAAGTCCATAGCGCTTCCGCTGACCATAGCATCTGGTCTGTCTGTCGGCAAAGAAGGCCCCAGCGTTCACTACGCCGTCTGCACCGGCAACGTCATTTCACGACTATTCACCAAGTATCGGCGCAATGCGTCCAAGACACGAGAGATCCTGAGCGCCTGTGCTGCGGCTGGTGTCGCAGTCGCCTTTGGCAGCCCCATCGGAGGCGTACTCTTCTCCCTGGAAGAAATGTCGAACCACTTCCCGCTCAAGACCATGTGGCGAAGCTATTTCTGTGCATTGGTGGCCACGGCTGTTCTCTCGGCCATGAATCCCTTCCGCACAGGACAGCTCGTCATGTTCCAGGTCAAGTATGATCGGGACTGGCACTTTTTCGAAATTGTCTTCTACATCATCATAGGCATCTTTGGCGGCCTTTACGGCGCCTTTGTCATCAAATGGAACCTGCGAGCACAGGCGTTCCGCAAGAAGTACCTCGCCAAGTATGCGGTCCTTGAAGCCACCCTGTTGGCTGCTGCAACAGCCGTCATTTGCTATCCCAATGCCTTTCTGCAAATCGACATGACGGAGAGCATGGAGATCCTGTTCCTGGAGTGTGAAGGCGCGGAGGATTACCACGGACTTTGCGAGCCAGACAAGAGGTTCTGGAACATTGCGTCCTTGATCCTTGCCACCGTTTTGCGCATACTCCTTGTTATCGTCTCGTATGGCTGTAAAGTTCCTGCGGGTATTTTCGTGCCCTCAATGGCCATCGGAGCGTCGTTTGGGCGCACCGTCGGCATCGTCGTCCAGGCCATCCACGAAGCGAACCCCAAGAGCATATTCTTCGCAGCCTGCAAGCCGGACGAGCCCTGCATCACACCCGGAACGTATGCGTTTCTCGGAGCCGGTGCCGCGCTCAGTGGCATCATGCACATCACGATTTCCGTCGTCGTCATCATGTTTGAGCTGACGGGGGCGCTGACGTATATCCTACCCACCATGATTGTGGTCGGCGTCACCAAGGCCGTCAGCGACATGTTTGGCAGGGGCGGCATCGCCGACCGGATGATATGGTTCAACGGGTTCCCGTACCTGGACAACAAGGTAGAACACAACTTTGGCGTCCCCGTGTCGCAGGTCATGAGGACATCGGTCGTGTCCGTGCCGGTCAGTGGGATGACGCTCGCCGACCTGGAAGCCCTACTCTCAGAGGACGAATATCAAGGCTTCCCCGTTGTGGAGGACAGGTCGTCCAAGATTCTAGTAGGGTACATCGGACGACCTGAGCTCCGCTACGCAGTCGACCGCGTCCGCCGCGAAAGACCAGTCGGTCCCAACGCGAGATGCACGTTCGCACCACCACCCGCCGTCGCCTCGAACGGCGCCACGCCGGTCACGCCCAGCACCACGACAGGCACAGACTCCACGTCCTCCACATGCCTCGACTTCAGTCGCTACATGGACGCCACACCTGTCACGGCTCACCCCAGACTGCCCCTCGAGACTGTCATGGAGCTCTTCCGCAAGATTGGCCCGCGCGTCATCCTCATCGAGTACCACGGCAAACTGACGGGCCTGGTGACGGTGAAGGACTGTCTCAAGTATCAGTTCAAAGTGGAGGCAGCTGAGAATCCCAAAGACGACCACCGCATCAACCAAGGCCAGGAGCAGCTCTGGGCAGCGTTCCGCAAAGCGGGCCACTGGGTAGCGGGCCATGTATCGACCATGTCGAGGGGCAGGATACGCCTAAGTGGCGATGAGGACCTGATGCGAGCCCGCGGTGCCATCCTCGACGGGGACGAGGACGCGGCCGACGAAGGGGTAGAGCTAGAAAGTCGAAGATGAGAAGGAAGGCGAAGAGAACGCTGAAAGTCGGGCGCCCCTCTTCCGCTTTCCTGCTCAAGATGTGCCGTGATATATCGTATACATTGTATATTCGTCCATTGGCCCATCTACAAAGTAACCATTGTCCACGTGCATCTGAAACCTCGGCATCCCCGTACACGCCCCGTCGCTATCTGGACAAGTCTCCCAGATCAGCGACATCGACATCGACATCCACATGCTCATCCTCATCGTCGTCCTCGTTGGCGCCCTCGGCCTTGATCAACGGAGTCGTCTCCGTCTGCCTGTTCGGCTCCCGACTCGCAGCCTCGGCCGGCGTCTCGTCCCGGCCCTGGCCCTCGTCCTCGCGGCCGACAATGACATTCCCAGCCACCAGCAGCGACGCGCCCGCCCACCACAGCGGGGGGAGGGCCTCTGCGAAAATAAACAGCCCCAGCAGGGCCGTCAGCATGAAGTTGGTGGACGTGTTGACGATGCTGACTTGGGTGGTGGAAGTGCCCCTCGCCAGGGCCTTGGTGAAGAGCGTCCACATCTTTTCATGTTCGTCATCATCATCATCATCATCATCATCATCATCATCATCATCGCGCTGTCTGGCGGTGGGGAAGGGGGGAGGGTCGGGGCTTACGACGCCGTTAAAGGTGAGGTTTAGGCCGAAGAAGATCTGGTATCGTTAGTTTTTCCGGCCCAGATGGACTCGCGGGGGTGGGGGGCCGCGTACGGCGCGGACGGCAACCTCCACGACGTTGTCGTGCGACGAGAGGGACAGGATGGCGGCCATCTTGTGGGCCAGGGTGGATGTGAGCTCCGTGGTTGTTCTGTCCGGTCAGCACGGTCTTTGGCGTGGACAGACGTCAGCCGGGGAGGGGAGGGTGGTCTGGGCGTACAGCTTTGCAAAGACGCCGTTGAAGGCTGCGCAGGCGCCGCTCGCGACGGCGTACATGATCCATTGGGTGCGGGAGGACGCGGGAGTTGGGGGCCCGGAGACCATGGCGGCGGGCGTGGCTTGGGCTGCGGTGCTGGATTGCTCGCGGCGGCGCTGGCGGACCATGCTCTTGGAGCGTCGGCGCGGGTAGTTGGATCGGCGACTGCTGGTGTGGCCTGGACTGGGGGGGGGGGGAGATGCGGGACGCGGATGGCTGCTGCGTGCGTCGTGTGTGGTGTGGAGAAGAAATCCGCGGTCCGTGGGGTCCGTGGAATCGCGATTGGAAGACGGGAGCTCCGAGACGGAGCACGGAGAGAATCATGGGTAAAGATGAACTACGCAGACCTTCTTCTACCGTGACAAGAGAAGACGGAAAACAAGAAGAGCAAAAACGCCAAACCCCCTCGTGTTCCTGTTCCTGTTCCTGAAACGCCGCCAAATGCATACCGCGAGGTCTGCCTCGAGTCGTCGTGCTCTGCCGTCATTCTGGTTGACAAACCCACCCGTGTATCGTGTATAATCAATCCGGCCCGTGGCTGTTCCCCCCCCCCCTCTGCGCGCCTCTACGCGCCCTCTCCAGGCTTCTTCGCATTGCAGCTGACAATCTTGACCTTGTCCGCCTGGACAGACTGGCTGCCATTATCCATCTTAAAGGTGACGTTTTTGATCAAGAAGGTCCACACCTCGTCGCAGAACCTGTAGGTATCGAGGCTCCCCTACCCGCCGTCCCCCGTGTCAGCATCATGTGCATCTCTCCGCGTCGAGTTCCGTCGCGCGCGCGCCCAGGATCCAGTTTGGCACCAACCTTGAACTGCAGCCTGCTCTTGACGTTCTTCTGCAGCGCCTCTGTGATGGCCTGGTCAAAGTTCCCGAGGATCTTCATCGCCAGCTGCGGGTTGATGCGCTCATCGCTGATCAAGTCGTCGAGGGTGTCTGTCAAGGCGAGCCCGATGCTGCCGCATGCCCAGGTGCCCAGGTCAACGTCGGCCCTTCATTTGCCCCCGTCGACACGGGACTTTTCCGGGGACATGCGATACGTACCTGCTCCGACGGTACAGCTCGTAGAAAGACTGCGCTCCCGACGCCATGGTTGCGCTGTCCTGGCCTTGTCGTCTTCTTTCCCTGTGTTGGATGTCTTTGGTTTGCGCCACCCAGCAAAGAGCCTTTGTTTTGTAATGTCTAAAAGGTCGGCCTTGAGGCCGTCGCCGCACCGAGGGGGTGTGTCTTGCCCCGTCTGACTAAGCCGCCGCCGCCTTGGCAGATGGATCACGTGACGTCGCCGGCTGGGTGCACCTGCCTTGCTCGAGCTCTAGGAGACAGACGGCTTTGGCTTCGCTCAACGCTCGAGTGCTTGGCCGCGAGGGGAAACGACAAAACCCGCCGAAGCAAGCTCATCGTTTTCTTCGTCGTTGCCATTTTCGACGGCGTAGCCTTGTTCCTTTTCCGTGGTCGATATTGCCACGAGTCTGCCGCTGCAATGAGTCTCACGTACGGCGTGGGCGGCGTTGCGTCCCTCCTAACCGTGGTGGGAGCTTGTATGTTGTGTCCTGGGACGGGGTCGCTGTGGCTTGATCATTCCGAGGCTTGCTGACGCTGTTCAAGATATGCTCTTTACCGGGAGCGGCGAAGCCTTCAATGTCGGGGCTTTCCTCGAATCCGTGTCTCCCTATGCGTGGGCCGACTTGGGTATCGCTCTGTGTATCGGACTGTCCGTCGTCGGCGCCGCATGGTAATCCTCCCGCCCCCCTGCCGCCGTCTGCTTTTTTTTTTTTTTTTTTTTTAAAAAAAATGCTAACGCGCCTCGCTCAGGGGCATCTTCATCACCGGGTCTTCAATTCTTGGCGCCGGCGTCAAGGCTCCCCGCATCCGAACCAAGAACCTCATCTCCATCATCTTTTGCGAAGTCGTCGCCATTTATGGCGTCATCATGGCCATCGTCTTCTCCTCAAAGGTGGACAAGACCGACGTCGTCGCCGCCGCCTCCGTCGAATCATACTACACTGGGTTTGCGCTATTCTGGTCCGGTCTGACGGTTGGGTTGTGCAATCTGGTCTGTGGAATTGCCGTGGGCATCAACGGGTCTGGCGCTGCTTTGGCTGATGCTGCTGACCCGTCATTGTGCGTCTTTCCTCTCTGTGTATGTTGGCTGTCGGGGAATGCCATGCTGACTCTGCCGCCACAGGTTCGTCAAGATTCTCGTCATTGAGATTTTCAGCTCCGTCCTCGGCCTGTTCGGCCTGATTATTGGCCTCTTGGTCTCCGGAAAGGCACCCAATTTTGGCGCAACCAGCTAGACGGGCATTTGAGCAGGAGGTGACGACGGAAAGCTCCCCGGGGACGGGGACATGTTGTCTCTGTAATTTGACGCGGTGGGAAGACCGCTTGGACGGTCATGGTCCTGCATGCATTGTGCCAAGTGCAACATCTTTGGCAACGGCGTTTGGAAGCTGAGTAGAGGGGATACCATGTTTTTCGCAGCTGTACCATTACCCCCGAGATTTGGAACTGTACACCAGGCACTGACTGGCAGATGAGGTCCGTAGATCTGCTTCGAATGGGAACTTGTCGCCGGGTTTGTTTTGTGAATGCAGACTAGATCTCACGCAGCCTTCCAAACTGACAAGCGGTGTCTGGTGTGACATGCACTCGTTGATGAGCTACTTAGCTACGGTTGAACATGAGTGGAGAATTCCTCGCCAAGATTTGGAGCTCAGCCTCAATCGCATTGTGTTTCAACAGTGTCATCCTGCTTGCGGCGTCGATAAATGTGCCCGCCTACGACGTCCGATCAATCACTAAGCAGCCATTGAATTTCAGCCTGTCGTAAATTACTGTTTTCTCAGATGCTTACGTCGCCCGCACGGCACTCATCAACAAGGCTTTCGCTCTGGAGCCCTTTTCCAACTTCCCCGTGCCAGAAGGCATGCAGACCAAGGCATTTGCCGACCTCAAGCTGCTCACCTTGGAGCTCCGCTGGCCACCCGTACTGCTCGCCGTCAACACGCCGTCCTGGCCCACCGTCACCACAGCACGGTGATACTCTGGCCTGGGATCCATGGGGAAGTCGTGGCCGAGTACCACGGGCACTGTTGGCAATCCCGCCGGCGACACACCGGCTTGTTTACGCAGCGACGGCAAGACAAACAGGTGAAACGTCACCAGGGCAGACGCAGGATTACCAGGCAGCGAGAAGATGAGCTTTGACACGCGCCGGCCGCTGTCATCCTTGACGGGGACGGTAGCAAAGGTCGTAGGCTTGCCGGGCTTCATGGCCACTCGTCCAAAGTGAATCGTCCCCCCGAGAGACCGCTCGATAGTGGGCTTCAACAGATCCAGCTCGCCCATGGACACGCCGCCGGTGGTGATAAGCACGTTTGCTTGCCGGAGGCCGCCCCGTAGTGTCTCCTCCAACAAGCCGGGCTTGTCCTTTGAGATTCCCAGATCAACGACTTCGAATCCCCATTCTTTGGCGGCGGAAATGAGCGTGATTCTGTTCGTGTCCCGGACTTCGCCGAGACGAAGCGGTCCGGCCCGGTCGTGTTCAATGATTTCGTCACCAGTGGACAGGATGCCGATGACGGGCTTTTTGTAAACTTTGACGCTGGCGACTCCCACCGACGCCAGAAGGCCGATCTCGCCTCCAACTCCCGAGATTTGCTCGCCCTTGTTGAGGATCACGGTGCCCTGGGAGACGTCGCTTCCTACCTCGCGGATGTTTTCGCCCTCTTCGACGCCCTCGGCTTGGATCTCCACTTCCCTTTCCTCCTTGCCGTCTTCTGTCATGGCCTTCAAGACCGTGTCCTCGACCATAATGACGGATGTAGCGCCCGGTGGTAGGGGAGCTCCGGTGGTTATTCGCGCGATTTCCCCCTCTGTGAGTGTCTTGGTTTCCCCGGGCGCAGCATGCGACACAGCTGTTACGGGGAACCGGCCCTTCATAATCCCGTCTTTGGGCGCCACGACGGCGTATCCATCCACGATGCTCGCGCGGAAGGCTGGTACATTTTCACGAGCGGTCACGTCCTCTGCTAACACGGCGCCAATGACCTTGTCATTTACGGGACACTCGTGAATTCCTGGATCAGGAGTGTGCTCGGAGATTAGTGCGAGGGCGTCTTCCACCGAGATCATGGGGTAAGGTGATTCACGGTGCCGATGGGTCGGGCCAAGAGCTGGATCGTTTGACAAGGCTGTCGTTTCCAGCTTGGTATGCCTGACAAGATTGCCGTGGCCATGTCCGTGGTGATGATGGACGTGGATACGGCCTTGTGGGCTTCTTGAGCTGCCAATGCCTACCTCCGCCTCGAGTTTCTCGATCCCTCCGGCATGGAGGGCCCGCGAATTGGCACCTGCTGCTTGTAGGCAGGCGTGGGGGAGCGTTTTGACGACGGCCTGGAGATTCTCCTTGGCGCCTTTCGGAGAGCCAGGGAGAGTGACTATGACTGACTTGTTTCTTACCCCAGCTGCTGGTCTGGACATCATGGCGACTACACGTGTTAGCTAGGAAGAGTACTATTTAGAATTAGGGGGGCCACTTACAAGGTGTGACGGTCAGGGAGGCAGACAGCATGGCGTGTACCAGCCCTGGGGCTTGTTTATGGAGCAGCGGGGCGATGGCCTTGAAGACTGTTAAAACGTGGTCTTCAGACTGGCTGACCAAAAGAATCTCACCTCCGGCGTCCCGTCCGACACGGCGAACCCTGTCCCGCCCGTCGTGATAATCAGGTGCGGCGCATCCGCCCCATCAGCCCACTGCATAATCTGTCGTTGGATAGCAAGCACATCATCGGATACTATGCTCTCCGCCGTCACCAGCCATCGGCCGCCTCCATCCTCTGCCAGCACGTTCCGCAGAACAGGAGCGGATGCATCCGTGGAAGGGTCTCGAGCAGCTGTCGTGGACACTGTGAGGATAGCTGCCGTGAGGCTGTCCATTCTGAAATCCGCCGTGTTCAGCAGATAAAAGCGGAAAAAGCATGGGCGGTATTCTTGGAAAGTATAGCTGATACCATATCCCACTTGGCAATCCTGGGTTGCTCGGGTATTGTTGAAGTCCAAGTTCCAAGTTGTTGAAGCTGCATTCTTGGGAGGAGCTGCCAGGTGCGGGTCCTGTGCCGGCCCCACTTTGACGGCTTTGACGGCGGCAGCGTTCTTTGCCCATTTTCACCTTGTGCACAAACCAAACATCTTTCATCTGTCTCACGGAGCCATCGCGACCCGTCACGAGAGCCGGCGTGGAGAAAAGATGGTTCGAATAAAGGAGCGATATCTGCTCGCCAACATCATTTACCCGCCCGACGCCAGGCAACCCACGGGTGCCAAGGTCCCCGATGTCGTGCTCCGGCATCAACCTACCGTAGAGAGGGTGACGCCGCAAACCTTGCTGAGGGCGATAAGAGATGAGGTTGGGCTTCTCTTTGGCGATTTAGGACGGGGTGCGCTGGAAGGAACCCTATCGGGTAAGATGGCTGCAAAGCCTCGCAGTGGGCGTAGTGCCGTATGATAGCTGCTGATGGACTTGATAGTGAAATATTTGTCCCTGGCCACGTCCACGTTTATTTTGCGTTGCCGCAGAGCTCACTACCAGATGGTCTGGTCGGCTTTGACGTGTATGGACCGTGTTCCCGCCAATGGTGGACGGCCGTGTATTTTCCGCGTCGTGCGAGTGAGCGGGACTATTCGCAAAGCGGAGGAAGAGGCGATCCGCCAGGCACGACAACTTATTCTCGCCGCCAAGGACCAAGCATCTTTTGGGTCGCAAATTTCCCAGTCTCTGCGGCTGCAGCAGGATGAGTCTATGCTGGAGGTTGTGGACCGTGACTCAGACTTTGACAACGCCGTGAATGAGCATGAAGGATGAACTTGCAACGGGGTATCATTTTTTTCTAACCACTTTGATCCCACTATCTGACGGCACCGACATATCCCCAAAGTCAGGATCCGTCTGCGTCGGCGGGCTTGCGGCGGCTAGAGTTGGCGGCGGCGCTGCATTATCCAACTCCATGGCCTGCTCCCCTGCAAGCTGTTCTTGTTCTTCCTGCGCCTCCCGTTCCATCTTCTCATACTCCTCTTTCTGGTCGATCCAGCGTTCTTGTATATTCTGAACGTCCAGCATGGAGGACTCGCTCCGCATGGTTACGGCCCAGATGGTGTCATTCGCACCCTCCGCGCCGCCAAAGACATACCCCCCTGCTCTGTCAATAATACGAAGCAGATGCATCATGCTTTTCTTATTCTCAACAGCAAGTACCTCATACCGCACGAGCCCATAGCTCTCTATCATATTGGCAATGGCTTCGTTTAGTCCAGCAAACTTTTCACTGCGCAGGGCCGGAGACTCGGATTCAAGATATGGCGTGAGATAGTTTAGGTCGTCGACATCAGTATAAAATTCAAGATTGAACGGCAACTCGTCGTATTCCGACACCTTGTCGATCTTGGACAGAACATTGACATGCGGCATGTCCATCTGGATCATGGCCCGAAGGGACAGGAGCACGTTGGAGACGTATAAAGACGGTTGCGTTACGCAGATGGAGTCGGACAAATGTACGCAGACGAGCTGTAGTGGGTTAGTTGCGGCGGGCACATACTCGTAGGCTAGTCGTATGACGCACCCTATACTTGGACTTCTGAAGCTTGTAAAAAATGTTTCGCAGAGAAGTGTGGTGCGTGTAGAGCTCGACTTGGCCAGGGCAATCAAACAAGATATAGTCGTCGCCGAGCTCTTTCAAGCCTTCTTCTAACCACTCAAAGTTGTGCTCCAACTCCTCAAGAGCATATAATATGCCGCCGTTTGGACCTAGTCGGTCTTCTTTCATGACATCTTCCAGCTTTATCAGACTTCGAATGTCGAGTGCACATGGGTAGTTGGTGTGGTTGTTGGCAGGGTCGAGATTCACTACAGAGCATGCCCGGCCGATGGCGCCCATGAACTGGTGCACTAGAAGAAGATTTTAGCATAGTTTCCATTTTGGCTGCGACACGTCGAGCCAAAGAGACGCACTGCCATCGCAATAAGTGCTCTTGCCAGAGCCGGGGCTACCGAGAACAAGCTGCGCAAAGGGCATCGCGGGACGAATGTACGTCGAAGTGTTCAGTAGCTCATGGTGGTTTCCGCTGCGAAGCTGACGTGGATCCTCTTGGAGCTCCCCGATCCTAGTCAGGAGCACTTTTTGTCCTGACGGTGTCGTGACGGCGTCAATTGCTGGCAGCTAGTTGGCGGTAGCAGCTTGTGATTCTTTCTCATGCACATTCTGCCCCTCCATCAGAATCGAACCTGACAGAACCTCCATGACGCTGGCAGGAGCGGTTGGACAGTGACTCCTACTCTTGCCCTGGCGCTAGGGTCACTGTGGCCAATGACCGCCCGGCCAAATGTCGGACAAAGTGGAGCCAATCGAAGCTCCGGTGCACAGAAGAGGGCCAGGCCCAACTGACCACCGGCGGCCCCCATGAAACTGGGTCCGTATTTATTTCGCCTTTTTTTCTGGCCTTGTTCGAGTTCATCACCTCCAATACAAAATTGCTTCGTCTTCTGGTTGCATCCTTCTGGCACTGCCCCTGGGCTCCCGCTGTGCCACCCTCATATAATGCTGGGCCATGACTTGCTACAGCACTCGCAGCCATGGCATCTGACTTGTCGAATGCCCCGGAAGTGGCCAGCAGCGTCACCTCGTCGCTCGCCGCGGCCTGGGATCCGTCCGCAGCGCAGCCGCTTGCCGACGCCCTGAATAACGCATCGACAGATGTAGCTACTGCCCAGGAGTCTACCGGTTGGCTTGGCTTCCTGGGGTGGCTGCTGTATGTCGTCTTCAATCTTGTCTCTACCGTGCTATACTGGGCTGCCCGTTTAGCCACTATCTCTATCCCAAGGCTGCTTTATGCCTTGTTTTCCACGAGCTGGACGGTGACTATGAACGCCACCACACTGTATGTTTGCCCTGCTCTTTTAGAGCGAAGAGCTCCTCGGCTGACGCGCCCATTAGCATGTTCATTCTGGTCGCCGTCGTTTCTGCTGCCAGTTGGGTTGTGAGATATCGCATCCTGAACATGTACTCTAGGCTACCGCCAGAGCCTCAGCGGAAAGAACCTGACATAGATCTTTTCCCAGATAGTCATGAAGAGGGCAACAAAGGAGGGCTAGTCAGCTACCTCGATGAGTTCCTGAGCGCTATCAAGATTTTCGGCTACCTTGAGCGTCCTGTCTTTCACGAATTGACGCGCAGCATGCAAACCAGGAAACTGATTGCTGGTGAGACGATCAATTTGGAAGAGGAAAAAGGATTTTGTATTGTCGTTGATGGTTTGGTTGAAATTTTTGTCAAATCCGGTAGACAAAAGACCACCCGTGAATCCTTGGCTGCCCACGATCTGGACTCGTCCACAGACGAAGAAGTGGCTCCGGACCAACAGAGATACCAGCTCCTGACAGAAGTGCGTAATGGAGCGCCTATGTCGTCGCTCTTTTCAATTATGTCACTCTTCACTGAAGACGTCCGGCTTCGACTAAACGAAGACTCTCCATTGCGGCCAAATGGGGCAAATGACTACCGCAGACATCGCTCAGTGGGCGAACCAGAAACACAAAGTTGTACGCCTGCTCCATCTTCTATGCCTAACACGCCTCACCTGGACGGGAAGGGGGCGCGGACCGACAAAAAGGATGTTGCAGCGCAAAGTGAAAACCAGTCGCTCCATGTAGGTGACCTTCACGAGTCTGGCTCCAATATCCCTCCTATTTCTTTGGACCCTTCGTCTCCAACTCAGCCGCGAAGACCCAGCCTGCCGGGAAGAATGGCATCTCAATCGGCACATCCTGACATTATTGCTCGGGCCACTGTGGATACAACAATTGCCATCATTCCGGCGAGTGCGTTCCGTCGTCTAATCAGCATCTACCCGAAAGCTACCTCGCACATTGTGCATGTCATTTTATCCCGTTTTCAACGCGTTACTTTGGCTCATGCCTTCGATTACCTCGGATTAACCGGCGAGGTGTTGCAAACGGAGAAGAGCATGACCAAATACACCGTGTATCAACTTCCCAACGTCTTGAGAGGCGATGCGTTGTCCAGGTTAAAGGAAAAGTTCAAACACGAACGAGCTCGCATTGCCGGTGAAGATGAGAGAAACGGAATTGCCTTGCATAATGCAGCAGCTACCAGACGCCGCCGCTCTAGCAGCACCACGTTGCGCAGAGAAGCAATGCTGTCCTCAATGACCAAGCATCGACGGCCATCATCAATCTTGGGATCCAATTCGTCTGTGGAGGAAGCACCTCAACCTCAACAGCATACTTCGAACCACCCTGGTGATTTGGCGAATATTCACGCCAGCCGGCATGCTGGCCGTTCTCCCATGACACCAGGACCCAGTGTGACAGACGTGACTAGTCCGCTTGCCCACAGGTCGTTCAATCCATTCGACTCTCAACGGCATGCAAGGATTTCTATGGACCCGAGAGAGTCCCTTGATGAAGATAATTTGTTCCGATCATCTATTCTCGAATGCATGTTCAAATGTCTCGGCCTGGATGGAAGTGCGTCATCATCATCACGCGAACCGACATCAGTCGATGGCTCCCCAAGGCTGCTGTCCGCAGACCACAAACGTAGGACCTTTGGTACAAACAATGCCTTTGGATTCATGGGGCCCTTCGAGACATCTGGAGACGGCGAAACTGAGTCAATCACATCGAGCGGCTTAACAGTTCACACGCCACCAAGTGCGCACATCTTGTCTCACGAGATGAAGGACGAGGTGGAGATTGTCTTCTTCCCTAAGGGCTCAGTACTGGTTGAACAAGGCGAACGAAATCCCGGCCTGTACTATGTCGTCGACGGATTTCTCGATATTGGCACTTACACCACGGAACAAGGCGCACAAAGCATTCTGCAGACATCTGGTACTGCATCATTTAACATTGACACAAAGAATAATGCTACTCGTCGGCCTGATTCCAACAAGAACAATGGGCGTACCCGTCGCAGCGTGTCACTAGTCAAACCTGGCGGCTTAGCAGGCTACATTGGCAGCGTGTCGTCGTATCGGTCCTTTATTGACGTCATTGCCAAGACGGACGTTTACGTTGGTTTCCTCCCTCGAGCGGCGCTGGAAAGAATCGTGGATAAATACCCTATTGTGCTTCTCACCATGGCCAAGAGATTGACTCACGTGTTACCGCGCCTCATCCTTCACCTTGATTTTGCTCTTGAATGGGTGCAGGTCAATGCTGGGCAAGTGATTTTCCACAGAGGTGATGAATCAGAGGCCATTTACATTGTCCTCAATGGCCGACTTCGTTTGGTAGAAGACAGAAAGGACGGCGGCATGTCCGCACTTGCCGAGTTTGGTCAAGGCGAGAGCGTGGGCGAACTGGAGGTTCTCACTGAGACAGTCCGGCCTGGCACACTACATGCTATTCGCGACACTGAGCTGGTCAAATTTCCTCGGACTCTATTCAACAGTTTGGCGCAAGAGCATCCCAACATTACAATCAAGATATCCAAGATCATTGCCTCTCGCATGAGAGCTGCAGTAGGGGACCCTCCCAAGAATATTGCCAAGGAGTCCGGATCTGGGGCCATCAATAACCAGAGGAAATCTACGATGAATCTTCGAACGGTTGCCATTCTCCCAGTAACAGTAGGTGTTCCAGTGGTTGACTTCGGTAATCGCCTCATGAATGCTCTGGCGCAAGTTGGACCGCCCAATGGCGCCACTTCTCTTAACCAATCTGCCATCTTGAACCACCTTGGCAAGCATGCCTTCAATAAGATGGGTAAACTGCGTCTCACTCAATATCTTGCTGACCTCGAGGAGAAATATGGTCTCGTGGTATACGTTGCGGGTAAGGCAAAACAACCTTCCTCCTTTCCACTCGTCTCGTAACGTTTCATGATGAAAATTTATAACCCAAAGGCAATGCCGCTGATGGTATTCTTAACTCTAATTTTTTCCTGAATTCATCACTTTGGATATCTTCGCTCTTGCATCAAGATCTTCGCCCAAGTTACTAACGGAGATCCTGACAGACACCAGTGTAAACTCACCGTGGACGCAGACTTGTATCACGCAAGCTGACAGCATTCTGCTCGTCGGTCTTGCTGATGGCTCTCCAACCACGGGTGAGTATGAACGATTCATGCTTGGGATGAAGTCGACAGCTAGGAAAATGCTCGTACTCGTGCACAACGAGCGCTTCTCGCGGCCCGGCTTGACTCGATCCTGGCTGCGTAACCGAGTGTGGATCAACGGTGGTCATTATCATATTCAAATGCCATATAGCGCAAACGCCATACCCGTTCACCTTCCCCCGTCTAAGAGACTGGGACAAGCTCTCAAGGAGCGAGTACAGGTGCTTCAAGCGGAGATTCAAAAATACACGTCCAGAAAAGTCCACCACACGCCGTACTACTCTCCTGACGCCCCATACAAGAGCGACTTCCATCGCCTTGCGCGCCGCCTCTGTGGCAAGTCTATTGGATTGGTGCTCGGCGGCGGCGGAGCTCGAGGCATGAGTCAAATTGGTGTGATTAGGGCCATGGAAGAAGCTGGCATCCCTATTGACGTGATTGGTGGCACTTCTATTGGCGCCTTTGTTGGAGCGCTATATGCTCGACATGCAGACATTGTCCCCATGTTTGGATTCGCAAAGAAATTCTTCGGCCGCATGGCAAGTTTATGGCGATTCGCCCTCGACTTGACGTATCCATCAGCATCGTACACAACTGGTCATGAGTTCAATCGAGGCATCTTTAAGACATTTGGCAATACGCAGATTGAAGATTTCTGGCTTGAGTACTACTGCAACACGACCAACATTAGTAAAAGCAGAGTGGAATTCCATACGAGTGGATATGCCTGGAGGTATATCCGAGCGTCCATGTCGCTTGCTGGCTTGCTACCACCGCTTTGCGACGAAGGCAGCATGCTATTGGACGGCGGCTACGTGGACAATTTGACAGTTTCCCACATGAAGGCGCTGGGTGTTGATACCATCTTTGCTGTTGATGTTGGAGCTCTTGATGATGACACGCCACAAACGTATGGTGACTCATTGTCGGGTATGTGGGCTTTCTTCAACAGATGGAACCCATTGTCGGCACATCCCAACCCGCCAACACTGGCCGAGATCCAGGGTCGTTTAGCCTACGTGTCGAGTGTAGATGCTTTGGAGCGAGCAAAGACTATGCCAGGGTGCATTTACATGCGTCCGCCTGTGGATGCTTATGGCACCTTGGACTTTATCAAATTTGATGAAGTGTACCAGATGGGATATAAATTTGGCAAAGAATTTCTACAACGTCTGAAAGAGGAGGGAGCGTTTCCGTGGATGGAAGAGGCGGAAGCTAAAGAAGCAATGCGACGAACGAAGGCGCCTCGTCGAGCGAGCATTTAGATTATGAGAGACGGCCTATGACGCTATTCCCAAGTCATTTCATACGCAGAAAAGTCTGAACACGCTGTCTTGGTACGTCGTGTCGCTCCCTGTCATGTGTGTTTTGATAGCAGGCACAATGGAATGCGGTCTATTCAACAGAGGCTCAAGCAGGCACAACGCATCCCCAGGCACCACGAGTACTCATATCCGTCGCCTTGCTTCTAGTTGGCTGTAGCTCTTTTACTTGAAGTGCAAAGCGCGCTAGAAGGAATCACGTAGCGTTTATGGCCAACCGGTCTAGCGCTTTTACGATTGAGCATAAGAACACGGGTAGGAATCGACCGGTAGAGGCTGCGTGTCTGCGGTCTACGGCCAAGCTCCTGCTGGTCACTCGGATAGGTTATTTTGTCGCATGTCGTACTAATCTAGTGAGGGTGAGACAAACCGCGGTTCCCGGGTCCGACCTGCAGCGGGGTAACGAGTCTCACGTCCACGGTACCTGCATTGAAAGCGGCGAGCCAAACAAGGGTTTGACACAGGGATTTTGGGCCTTTGACTACCCAGGTAGTATTGTCCCTTCATAATAGTCGGTACAGAGTATACAGAGTACACCAGTTAGAGACACAGCCATCGGAACATGCCGCCCTCTGGCGAACCGTGAGCAATGAAAATTGTGTAGCAGAGCCCAAATGACTGCAACTACACGACGTTTTCGATCAGGATGACTAGAGAGCATTTACAGTTTGTCTTCTTGAGGCTGCGGGCCCAATCCACTGTGCTGAAAATAGAAATATGAGCTGTCACAGATGACCTACATGACAGTATGCTGTACTGCATGCTTTGAGGCTTGGTACGAAGTAATATTGGTGGCATCTCCATCAATGACTGGAGGAGCCATTGGGTGTGCTGGCAAGCCGCAACATGGCATGACAAACGCCTCTCCGCCATGGCGGCGCCTCGCATAACGTACATATTTGTTTCCACATGCCAAGCAAGAGTCCTAGTGGACCGAAGGCCAGGGGCCCAGTCAAAGTTCTTGCCCTCTTATCTGCAACAGAAAGTAGATGTGAGGCGGGCGTCACCAAGGTTGATGCAATCCTGGTGGCAGCCAAACTTGGATAAGAAAACAAAGACAGGTGCCCTGGTCCCGAGACCCGTCCGCGGACTCCATTGAATGACACAGCCCCAAGGGGGGCACGTGGGTAACTGCATTGAGAGTGCATGGTTGTCGGACTCGTCTACGGAGCAGTCGTGCTTGAGCAGCTGATGCACGTACTCTGTGCTGTTGGCATGCAGCATGTGTAACTATGTTGATGCCCAGGGCTATTATGCCAATCCAATGGCATGTGCAGCCAACAGAGCGCATCTTGGGCAGGGTCCAGCGCCATGCACAACACTCTCAACTACATGCAAGGTGCAATGCTATTGGAGGACTTTGTACGAAGCAATGCCCTGCCTGGTATTCTGTGATTCGTCGTCTCCAGGCAGATAATGACTGGGAGACGTGGTTGGTGTCGTCTTCGGAGTGTGCCCCGTGCCCTGTTCCATCTATTGATGGACACGGCATGGTAACTAGCATGGTGTGAGACGAAGCCCCAGAACGTCAAGGATCAAGCCGTAATCCTACTCGGTTTATTAGGGTGGATTGATACCTACCATGACCGGTTAGCATAGTTATAGTTGAACGAGGCTGCGGGACGGGGCCTTTGCGACGAGCGAGTGCAATGCAGCGCCTCATGGTGAATAGGCGGACGAGTACTCCGTAGCTCAACACCCTGACGGTGACCAAGGGAACGCTGAACAACAGGCAAGCGTGGTAGTGAACGGGATAGTCAGGGCTCAGACATCGATGCTAATCCTGAGGGGAGCCCTACAAGAGCAATCTTGTAACGGCCAACGCCCCCTCCAGGACACCTGCGGTATGTCCTAACAGCGTCTTCAACCCGGGTCGGCCCGCGAAGGACCTGAGTAAGTATGCACCGACCACCACTGGTACGTGGCATCACTCTCTCGAAGTGGCGCGTCGTGGCCCGTACCTTAAGCCGCGCTGAGCCAGGCTCCTGATTTCGCGCAACCCACACCTAAACTTCCAGGGCAGCCAACTCAGCTGCGGATCGTCTCCATCGCCTGAATTTTTACCATGCCCGTCGTCCCTCGGAACCGTCAGGGCGTTATACTGCCGGGTCCCAGCGGCAAATCCCGTGGCGAGCCTCCCTACGGGGGCCGTCGTGACGCGCGGTTCAAGGACCTCAACGGACTGCAACCCCAATCATGTCGTGCCATCGAGCAGGCATTCTCAGATGCGGTGGAGCAGCATTTGGTGGTCGCCAAAGTGGAGTTTCTTTTCTCTGTTCCTCGCCCCGGTTCGGATTTGCCCCGCTTCAGATGTTTTGTGACGGCAAGCCGGTAGGGGCCACGCCGGCCGGACTGGTTGACTGGGCTGTTCAAGGAATAGAATGGCCATGACTTGGTGCTTGGTCGACTGCCAGGGCGGAGAGGTATGAAGCTTTGAGTCGAAGAAGCGAGTCGAGGTCTGGTGACGACGCGGGAGGCGGCTGACCATCAACTACATACTACAGAGCACGTACTGCCAGTACTCGGTACGGAGAAAGTCAGGAAGGTTGCCGCTTAAGGGTGGTGCATCCTGCCTGGGGACGGAAGGTGCAGCCAGGGTCCAACAAGTACTTGGAGCAATACCGAAGCTGTGAGCAACAGGAGATTCACCCATGACCAGGACTGACAATACTCCGAGCCGCTCCACACAGAAGTACCACTACTGATGCGTTCAGTATTGGTACAGCAATCTCGTTATTCCTCTTACTCCGTACGGAGTATTGCATGGCCAATTCCCAAGACACTGTACGGAGCACACTCACTGCTACCGAGTACTGGCCCTCGTCTCGAGTCCGACGCCGTGGCTCCTTCCTCCTTCTGATCCTGCAGCTCCGTGCTCCTGCTCTATGCTCTGTGCTTCTGCACTGCCGAGTCCGCCGTCTGTTGTCTGTTATGATGGAGCCCGTGAGCCTCGCCGTCGTCCCGTCCCCGTTCCATCCAGCCGTGTCTCTTGCACGCCACTGACCTTTGTAGCCTCTCTCTCCTCTCAGTCCAACTCGGCTCAGCTCAGCTCCAAATACTTGCTCTAATAGTTTGCGTACTCCGTCCATGCATACCATACCTGGGTAGATATCTCTTGGTACATCCTGATAACACCCACGCCGCCCTCCCCCCTTTTTCGCAACGTCTCTCGTGGATCGATATCTCTTCCGCGTCAGCTAGGCTTGTCATTTTGTACCGCCGGGCCAAACCAAACGGCCCAGTACCTACTGTACCTGTACGGGACAACAACAGCTCTCACGAAATTGGCAAGGACTAGAGACTCTGTCGCATTACGGCAAACTTGGTGCTATTGGGCCTTGTCCAGCTTCGCGTTTGCCCCAGTTCACCCTCGCGCTCCCTCGATGGTTTGCTGCAACACCACAAACGTCCGCATCCATTGCTCGCCGTAGATTCCCTCCCGCTGGAGAACTGGGGTGGTTGACTACTCCCTCTCAAACGCTCCGGCTTTGGTGGACTTGTTGACTGTCCAAATCCCCTTGTACGGAGGAGGTCTATACATACTCGATGGTCTTGGCTTCGTCAGGCTCTATCCGTGCTATCAAGTCTGGTAAAAACTCCTTGCCCCGGCTCCCTGTATTTTCCTTGTGGTTAATCTTCCGTTGCACAGCGCGGTGCCTTACCCTAGCATAGTTGTCTCATTCACTACATTATACGCCAATGTGATGTGGCTCATGGTATATTTCGAGCTTCAAAAGGTCGCGACGGTCACACGACCCTTGGACGCCCGTGTCATCATCGATCCCACAAAACCTCTCTAGCTGCCGACGGCCGACCGATATTCGCGGTGTGAAGCATCCAGAATATCTGCACACACAATGCTTCACAGTCAGCAGCGTAGCCATGATTCCTCGGACCAGTCTGCCGTATTGTGCTGCGTACGGCACTGTTTACGAGGAGTCGCTGCTCGGCTAACAAGCCGTCGAGTTGCCGTTGCCATTGCCTCTCGGTTTATCAATAGACGATTTGCCTTTACACTAGCTGTTGTGTCGGTGCTGGGAGCCAAGGCCGTGCACATTCACACCCACATCACGGCATTGTCGAGGGTGCATCTGTTGCGTTGGGGCTATTCATTCTTTGCCCAGGACTTGGCACTTCTCCTGATAATACGACTGTTGCTGGACAATTGGGTCTTTTCAGTGGCGCCGTGGTTACGGGTAGCAGCCACTTTTGCCGCCAGCGTCTTGCTATCGTTCGTCATCTCATTAGGTGTCATCAATGTCTCCTTTTTCGTCGTCTCTGGTTCGGAAATTCACTGGCGCAATGTTGCACTGGCCGGCGACTCTTCCTCCTGGTCAATGTTTCTCTCCGGGTTGCTTTCTCTCGTGCTGGTCGGGTGCCTTGCCTTGGTAGCCGGCTGGGTGTTGCAGGATGCTTTTTTTGACCTATTTGGCGTTGGCTCCGATTTGGTCAAGTGGCCTGCAGCCGCCATCCTACCGAGAATTCCTGGTATGAATCGCCTCTCGACGCAGGCCAGCAACTACGACATGGTCCCCCAGCAAGACATTGAATATGGCGAAGAAATTGACGACTTGGACAGCGACGGAGAAGCAATGCTTCGCATATCCTCAGCAAAAGCAGAATTCAAGGCCCCCAATTGGCGCCGGTGGATCAAGCCACTACTGTACTTGTTTATATTTGTGGCCTTGACGGCCCAGGTTATTCTGTTCTTCATTCGACCCCATGAAAGCTCCCTTATTTTCATGTCCTGGACGTCTGTCTTGCTACCATTCGTTGACTTTTCCAATTCCTCCCCAAACCTGGACAACCTGCAGCCTATTTACGGCTCCGGCATCGGTCGCTCCTGGGATAATCTCACAGCTGTCCACAACGTATCATCTCCGGCCGGAATGCCGCTCTCATTGGCCCGAACGTTGAGCTTCTGGCAACGATACGTTCCCGAAAGGCGCTACAGCGCTGCCAACGACCCGCTGAAAATATCAAACCTCGAGGACAATGTTCTGGCCGACCTCCGAGACAAGCTGTCAGAGGTGCCTATCCGCCATGTTGTACTTGTATTTCTCGAGAGTACACGAAAGGATGTGTTTCCCGTGAAGAAGGATGGCCTTGTATGGAGAAGACTGGCGCAGACATTCGAGAATGGCACCCTGCCCGAGGACGCGCAGAAGAAGCTGGCCTCCCTAACGCCAAACGCCAACTTCATTACCGGAGACTATGATGACGGATTTCCGCACTCCAAGGACGGCGCCAGACGACGTGGCGGGATCAATTTCAACAATGCGTTTACACCGGCTACTTACACTTTAAAGAGTCTCGTCGGAACCCTCTGCGGCACATCACCGCTCGTCGCAGATTTCAATCTTGAGGTCGTTCACACACATCCGGCGCCTTGCATACCACATGTTCTTGATGCGCTAAATCATATCCAAGGCGCAAACGGCGAGCGCGACGAGAAAGCCGGCAGAGCATTCCTTTCGGACAAATGGACCTCCGCATTCATGCAATCCGTCACGATGGATTTTGACAGCGAAAAGGGATTGCTAGAATACATGGGATATCCACGGGAGAATCTCATATCCAAGGAGTATTTGAAGGGAGAAAAGGGCAACTTACCCAAATTTGGGATTTCTCCTTTGCCCGACGTCAATTATTTTGGTATGCCCGAGAGTCCACTAGAGGATTATATCCGAGATGCCTTTGTTACAGCCAAGGAGAAGAAGGAGCGACTATTTCTCTCACACCTGACGAGCACGAGTCACCATCCCTTTGGACTCCCTGAGAATGAGACGTATGTGCCTGTGGCCCATGGTATGGAGGACTTTTCAAGGTACATCAACAGCATCGGGTACGATGACAAGTGGCTGGGCAGGATACTGGGTGTACTGGAGGAGCAAGACGTTGCAGATGAGACTCTTGTCGTCATGGTTGGTGATCATGGGCTATCCATGCCTGAGAATGGGCTGGTTTCAGCATATTATAACCCCAATGTCGGCAACCTGCATGTGCCCTTGGTCATATCACACCCGAAGCTGCCCGTAATAGACATTGACGATGCTGTCACCTCGTTACAGATTCTTCCCACCATTATGGACCTGCTTGTTGAGACAGGCTCACTTGGGCCGGAGCACAGCCGGGTTGTGAAGAGCCTGACAGCCGGTAGTTACGAAGGACAGACGATGATTCGCAGAGTACGGAAGTCGTCAGAAACCGGCCAAGGAGACTGGCAGTTTACCGTGATTAATCCCGGGCGAGCCATGGTGAGCGTCCGCGACGCTCGCCAGCCACACCTGCGACTGGTGGTCCCTGTCATCGACAATGTCGAATGGCGATTTACGAACCTCGGAGCCGACCCAACAGAGGAAGTGCCTGTGCAAGGGTTTGAGTTTGTTTCGTTTTTGCATAGCGTCGAGCAGATGCACGGGATGGGTATCGCCAGATGGGTAGAAGAAGCCGCTTTCATCTCCAGGTGGTGGATTGAAGACAATAGCAGGCGATGGCGTTATGGGCCTTACAGAGATTGACTGCGGCTGTATTGAACTGAAACAGAATAAATGTCCCACGTTTTTCTGGTGAGTTGATCCGAGAAACTGGGGGCTTGCCGGGGGTGTTGGCCGCAAGGAACAAAGGGCGGGTCAGCCTGTGTGACGCCGAAGGCACGGACAAGTTGACGATTTGATATCCGAGTCCAACCGTCTTGCCATGGCCCATGAACCCCCACCCTTGTCGTCGCTGCCCCGCCTCCCCCGCCTATCTGCCTGCACGTACAGAGCCAAGGTTGTCACTTGATGTGTGGATGAACTTTACTTGATGCATGTAGGTACCTACCCAGTCAGCTAGGTATTCGGCAGGAAAAAAGTACCTGCGTGGTAGATGGTACACGGCAAGCCCGCTATGCCTTTTACAGGCATCTACGCGGCCCCCAGCTGGGCGTTTGCAGCACGTGGAGACGTCATGCAAGCCGCCCACCCGGAATGGGAAGGCGCGGAGTTGCGCGAATTGGGAGCGCTTTCCTTTCCGCGAGCTCACAGTCAGCAGCGGATGCAGCCAACCCTTGGCCTCTGTGCACATTACATTATCCAATTTCGACATGATGATTGGTTCATCGCTGTAGCTGACAAGAAGAAGAGAAGAGAAGAAGAAGAAGAAGAAAACAAAAAAAAAATAGCAAAGAAAAGGAGAGGCCATGGTCCCAGACATTCTCTTCTCCTCACCCACCGTCATCAGCGGCGAAGAGTCGGCGACGCCGTTTGTCGCCGACGTGCTCGTCTCGAATGGCCTCATCGCGCAGGTCGGCGAGCCGGGAGGCATAGACGCACCCTCGGCGAGGGTCATTGATGCCGAGGGGTTTGTTCTCTCGCCCGGGTTTATCGACATGCATGCTCATTCAGACTTGTACCTGCTTACGAACCCGGAGCACGAGGCCAAGATCTCGCAGGGGTGCACTGTAGGCTTGTCCTCCTCCTCCCTCTCCTTGTTCTTCTTGGACGTCAAACGACGACACGAGAGTCGGCTGCTGACGGCAGCAGACAGAGGTGCTGGGCCAGGACGGCATATCCTACGCGCCCGTCCGCACCTCGAGCCAGCTCCAGGCCATCCGCGAGCAAATCGCCGGCTGGAACGGCAACCCGAGTGACGACGAGTGCGCCGCGCTGCACCGCGGAGTGGGCATGTTCGAGTGGCGCACCGTGGGCGAGTACCTCGGGTGCCTGGAGAGGAACAAGACGGCGACCAACGTGGCCGTGCTGGTGCCGCAGGGCAACTTGCGGCTGCTGGCGTGCGGCCCCGACGACGGCGCGGCCACGCCCGACGACGGCGCGGCCACGCCCGACGAGATCCGGGACCAGGTCCAGCTGCTGAGGGACGCCATGGACCAGGGAGCCGTCGGCATGTCGAGGTATGTCGCCGCTCCTGCCCCTTGTCCCGGTGGATGGAATGCCGTCTGATGGCCAGCTCGGCAGCGGCCTGACCTACACGCCCGGCATGTATGCGTCCAACTCGGAGCTGGCCGTGCTTTGCAAGGCCCTGGCAGACGAGTACCCGGGCGCCTTCTACGCGCCCCATCACAGGAGCTATGGTCGAGGGGCCATGGACAGCTACGCGGAAATGCTGGACCTCGGGAGCGAGACTGGCTGCCCTGTTCGTGCGTATGACGGCCGCATCTTTTCCACGTCGCTGTTGGGCGACCTGATTTTTGGGAGGACCGTGGCTAATGCGGGAGGGAGAGGCTAGACTTGACCCACGCAACGCTCAATTTCTCGGAGAACGAGGGCAGGGCGCCGCGTCTCCTGGCCATGATCGACGAGAAGCTCTCGCAGGGCGTCGACGTCACTCTCGACACGTACCCCTATCTCGCTGGGTGCACGACGCTCGCGGCGCTGATTCCCAGCTGGGCCTCGTCCGGGGGCCCGGCGGCGACGTTGAGGCGCTTGGAGGATCCCGACGTGAGGGAGAGGATTCGGGTCGCGGTCGAGGACACGGGGTGTGATGGGGGACACGGGATTCCCACCAGCTGGGAAGAGATCCAGGTCTGTCATTTCCTCGTACTCCTCTTAACGGGCCTCGCTTCGCTGTTTCGTCGTCCATTCAAAAGTCCCCCGTAGAATGAGAAGTCCCCCGTCTCATTCTATGGGCCCCCCGATCAAGCTGGGTCTGACAAAAACTTGTAAGCAAAGTTGGGAACGACAAACCACCCCTCGATAGCAAGCTACTCGGGCCGCCGCGTATCCGAGATAGCCAGAAGCCTCGGGACGCAGCCGCACGAGATATTCTTCGAGGTCCTGGCCAAGGACCGCCTGGCGACGTCGTGCCTGATGCACGTCGGCAACGAGCCCAACGTCCGCGCCATGATGCAGCACCGCGTGCACATGGCGGGCAGCGATGCCATCCTGCACGGCAAAACGACGCACCCGCGTGCGTACGGCACCTTCACGCGCTACCTGGGCCACTACGTGCGCGAGCTGGGGCTGCTCTCGCTTCCGGACATGGTGGCCCATCTGACGAGCCGGCCAGCCAAGAGGTTGGGCGTCTATCCGGCCAGGGGCGTCGTGAGGGTCGGCTCGGCGGCCGATCTGGTCCTGTTTGACGCCGCCCGCGTCAGGGACAGGGCCACCTTCGACGAGCCCAAGTTGACGAGTGAGGGCGTGAGATACGTGCTCGTGAATGGGGTGGTCGTGCTGGACGAGGGCGAGATGCGCGGCTTGAGAGCGGGCAAGACGCTGAGGAGACGCAGAGACGGGAGTGTGTCGTAGGCATGTTTTCTCTTTCGGCTCTTCTTTTTTTGTTTCCGCACACCGATTCTGTTCAAGGGCCAGCCAGCATCACCACGTATTCAACGCACGGTGTCGTGTATCTGTATGCCGTAATGTACATGCTCCGTCTATGGATTTTTCGCACCAAGGCAACAAGGGAACCGCCGTCGAGCCCATCTGCAGCTCGTCAGGAGAGAGCTCACGACGGCCAGATGGGGAGGACGACTTCACAGACCAGGCCGTCTAGTTCGGCAAATGACCGCAAACCCTCTCGGCCTGGGTGACCAGGGCCTCAAACACACCCTGCACATGCTCCTCCCGGACGCTCGGCACCCCCAAGCACACCCGGATGGCAAACTTGCCGCCGACGACGGTGCTCGTCAGGTAGAACTTGCCGGCGGCGTTGACGGCCTCGTAGACGGTCTCGGTGCGCGCGTTCACCTCGTCCTCGTCCCTGCCGGCGACGCGCAGCGAGAGCAGGCCGAACCTGGCGCGCGTGAAGAGGACAAACAAGTCCTTCCTGCTGGCCAGCCTCCCCTCCAGCTTCTCGCCCATGGCCACGCCGTTGCGGATGTGCGCCTGCAGGCCCCTGATGCCGTAGCTCCGCAGGACGAACCACAGCTTGAGGGAGCGGAAGCGGCGGCCCAGCGGGATCTGCCAGTCCCTGTAGTCGGTGACGAGCGCGCTGTCCGAGAACTGGTTGCGCAGGTAGGGCGGGTTGATGCTCAGCGCGGCGACGAGGTCGGCGCGGGAGCGCACAAAGGTCGCGCTGCAGTCGAACGTGGTGAGCATCCACTTGTGCGGGTTGAAGTTGAAGGAGTGGAAGCGCGACCAGGCGGCGGCCATGTGCTGGTTCTCGGGGAGCAGGAGGGCCGACCCGGCGTACGCGGCGTCGACGTGGACGAAGAGCTCGGCGCTGCCGGCCGCGGCTCGGGCCCCGAGGACGTCGGCTATGCCGGGGAAGTCGTCGACGGCGCAGACGTCGGTGGTGCCCATGGTGGTGGTGAGGTAGAAGGGCTCGAGGCCCCTGGCGGCGAGCTCGTCGAGCGTCCTGGCCAGGGCGTCGCCCGTCATGGCCAGCCCGTCCTCCTCGCGGATGGGGACGGTGGCGAAGCGCACGCCGAGCACCTGGGCGGCCTTCTTGGTGCTCGAGTGCGCGCCCGCGCTGCCGACGGCCACGAGCTTGCTCCGCAGGCGCCACGTCTCCTCTTCCCTTTCCTCCCCGTCGCCGAGGTGCGCCGTCCGGGCGGCAATGTACTTGTCCCGCGCGGCGACCATGACGGTGAGGATGGCCTCGCTCGCGGAGCCGTGCAGGACGCCGCCGCCGCGCGTGCTCCCGGCGGATGTGAAGCACTCGGGGAGACCGAGGGCCTGGGCGAGCCAGTCGAGCACAATGGTCTCGAGCTCCGTCACGGCAGGGCTGCAGATCCAGTTGAAGTGAGCGCCGCTAAAGGCGTTGGAGTACATCTCGGCAATGGCCGCGGGGTAGCTGCTCGACGCGGGGAAGAAGGCCATGAAGCCGGGGCTGGACCAGTGCGTGATGCCGGGCATGATCTTGTCCTGGATGTCGGCGCGGATGGCCTCGAATGGCTCGGGGTCTAGGGGTGCCGACGGAGGCAGCAGGGGGCGCAGATAGCCGGGCTGGACGTCGGAGACGACGCGTCTGGACGAGACCTTGTCGTGGTAGTCGGCGACTGTGGTTGCCGAGGTGTTGTCAGTTGGGCCACGTCAACAACATGTGCGGGCAGCGAGCGGGTTGAAGAAGGGGGCCGAGGAGGCGTGGCGGCAACGTCGTCGACGTGGTCGACATCAACATCAACAACCACAGCAGCTCGGCCCAACAGAAACAGACGCAAGAAACAGACATACTCTCGTCGATGGCCGCCTTGGCCGCCGTTCTGAATTCCGTGGTGTCCATGATGCTCGCCTGTGGTGAGACGCCCGTGCAGCAAATCTCACTGCAGCACCGTTGGTAAATTGACCTGTTTGAAGTTTCTCTCGGAAGCAAGTTGTGTCGGCGGTGGCGTCGGAGCCCATTTATCCATCCCACTAGTCCCGACTTTGCGCCTTCCCCGACTGCCGACTTGCCCACCCCTGATTCAAGCAGCAAGCAGCCGCGGTGGTCTCCGGCGGCGACGGCGAGCGGTGAGCGGTGAGCGGTGACACAGGGAAGCCTCCCGCCTCCCTCCATCTCGGCCTTCCTTAGTCGTCCGCATCATAGCAACTCGGAACGCGGAACGCGGCAAGTGTTTCCGCGGCGCCGCGCTCGCATGTCAAACTCGTCGCGCGCGCCCTTTCAAGACATGCCATGACGACCTGTTTGTTGCATTTCTTGTCAGCCAGCTTCATTTCCACCGCCCCAGTATCGGATAGACCCCCATCACATGAGCACTGGTCAAGGCGACCCAAAAAGATATCTCGTAATATATTACTGCCCTGGTCCCACGTCACCCGTCAACTCCTTCGCAGCCCGTCGACTTGCCTGTTTCACCCATTCGAGTAAATACGCTGCCTCTCGTCCCAGCCCTCCCCCCCAAAATGCGCTTCTAGAGGAAGTCAATGTGCAGCTATAAAGTCAGTCTTGAATCCCATACATGTATGCTAAGCCCAGACGCCTGATCGGGGCTGTTCATGCGCGCCTCGACCTTTGAGTAAGCCCTTCAAGAAAAATCAACACCGCCGACAATTCACTGTAAAAGAGCCGTTCAAAATGCACAAACAAGTAAATCAGCCGCAAATTAAACCCCATCTTGTCCAGAACTTTCACATCCCTAATCGACTTTGATAGCACTAGACAAAGGCGTCAGTCAGCATCTGGCCATGCCGGCCATCATTCCATACTCAACATACCCGTATATTCTTCGAACGAACGCATAGGCGCTCAGAAATCCGATCGTTCCCGTCAGAAGCCCATACACACAGCAAGCCATGAAGCTGTAGCTGAAGAAGAGCATGCTGCTTACAAATCCCGTAATGTGCAGCTTGAACAAGTAATACCAAATGCTGTAGCCAAACACCCACAACGCGCTGCCGCCGCCCACAAAGAATGACTGCCACCACCAGTGGTAGTTTTCGGAGCATAGCTGAATGTAAATGGTGACAACGGTGACCTCGGCAATCGTCACCACCAGGATCACTGACACAACCGCCAGGAATCCGAATACATAGTAGTACCCGCTCTTGTCTTGCCACAAGGACTGGAAAACAAACAGAAGCTCGATGAAGATGACGGCAAACGGAATAAGCCCGGCCAACAGGATTGACTGCAGTGACCTGATGTACCAAGCTTGCTGCGGCACCTGGCGAGGAATCGCGGCCGTTCTGGTAGGATGCACCCATGCGCCTGCCCGGAGATAACCGTAGTAGGACCCTGACAACACCAGAGGCACCTGGACGCACAACCACAACAACACGACGGCAATCAGGGTTCCAAAGGGGATCGCGGTGCTGGATGCCTGCGCCCACACAAAAAGGTTCAGAATGAAGACAAGTCCAAACGCAAGGCCGGGGAACAGCGAAGCCGTGACCAATGCGTTTGCTCTGTAATCCCGACCGTCAAAGCTCTTGAACACACGAGCAGAAAAGTAGCCGGAAAAAAGGCCGGCGAAGATGAAAAGGCCGACACCCACACTGACGAAGCCGCCACGGAAACTGGGGTTCAGAACACCGAGTGCGCTCAGCAGGACCAAACCCACGGCCATGAACATGAGTTGCATGCCAGAGCCCACAAGCGGTGCCAAAACATTTCCGAACCGTGGAGTTCGAAACACATCAGCATGCAGGAGCTTCCATCCGGTCACGTCCTCAAAAGCCTCATCGTCGGACGAGATGTCGGCATCATTTTCCGCATCGTCGCCCTGGTCGAGCAGACCAGGCTTCTCCCTGGGCGTTCGGTTGCCGGATCGACTCTTGCGCTTTGATCGGAGTTTTCCATCCTCGGCCTTGGCGTCCTTGCATCCTCGAATATCGGTGCGGATCGTCTTGGCAAGAATAATCATGACAATACCGGTCAGCAAGCCACAAATAATGAGCGAGTTGACAATGGCAAGCCAGTGAATACGCGAGCCCTCTTCCTGGTTTACAAAATACAGATCCCAGCGGTGAGACCATTCAATGGTATCATCTTCTCGGAAGTAGACGGAGTAGGTGTAGGGAATGCTGATTGTACCCCCCGCGTGGTCATCGTCAACTTCTGTAACAGCAGGCTGGTAGGATGAGTCGGCATAGTTGGGTGTAGCCGCATCGAGAGTTTTGTTGGGGGTCATGTGGAGCTCAAAAGGCTGGTTGACGTTTTGCAGATCAACGGGGCATCCCCTGGTGTCTCGCCTGTTTCCATTGCCAATACTCTTGGGGTAGACCTCGAATCCGACAATGATCTTTTCGCCCCGGGCACCAGCTCGTCCAGCGGCTGACCGATAGCGAATGACGATGGTGTGATGGTTATGCAGATAGTAGCGCGCCCTGCCAGTGCTTGGGGAGAAATCAGTATATCCAAGTTTGAAACCGGCGGCGTAGTACTTTTTGGTCTTGTCCACGGTAACAAAGCTCGTAGCACCAGGCAAGTTATCAACAATCCATTCAGTGACGTAACCATCGCGAACCAATTCTTTGGCGCGTCTGAGACCACTGTGTGATATTTCCTTGGTGCAGAGGACGCTGCACGACGTGTCTTTGTTCATGGCAAGCTCAATGTCGGAGGCCATGATGCGGTCTCCACGAAGGATCTCGCCCAGATTGAGTGGGATACTTTGTCCGCTGAGAAGCCCAGCAGCAGATCTGTGCTGCCCGGTTGGCGGACAGACAAAAGGTAGGTCGTAATAGGCATACTGGAGTTGGGTATTATCGGAGTAGACCTTGTTGACCATGAGCGGGATCTGCTGCTCTTCCTTGTAGCTCTTGACTGACCATCCTGTTTCCATCAATTAGCGACCGAGTGGACAAGCGACCACAAACACAGAAGCGCACCGGGAATATAAAAGGCGTCTACCGAGCAGAGCAATGCCAAGTTAAGCAAGGTGCCGAATCCGCCATTTCTTGCTACCCAGAACATTGTGGATTTGTGTGCCTTGTACCCAATACAGATTGACCGTGGGTTCCGCTTGGCCTACAGATAATGGAGGCTCCGGATTCTGTGAGATTATGACCTTCGTGTGACTCGGCAGCGGCGCGACCGAATCGAGTGATGGGCAACTCGAAATCAAGTGTCAATGCCACAATGGAGGATCGTGTACTGAGTACGGTCTGTTGTGAAGCCGACGAGGGTGCAAGCGAGCTTCCCGCACTCGCTCGACGCGACAGCGAACGGGTGTAGAAGAACGGGAGAAAACGAGTGCAATCGGCACTGAGTGCCGTAAGTGTTGGCTCAGTCGCTATGGATCTGTGGGCGATGCGGGAAACGCGGGCTGGGATAGACAAGTCGAGGCCGAATGCCAGGCGATGGGAATGGATTCAACGTCGGCCTCGCTGCGAAAGCCGTTGCAAAATGGCACGGTAAACCAGTAGCGGCTGGGTTTTGGGTGAGGAGGTCGGGACCTGACTATGGCCGTTGTAGCAGTCGATATGGGGGTTGTGCGATACGACTGCTAGCTCGTGGGTGCCCAACACTTATTTCGATTGATGAAGGAGTGAGGCCAGATGTCCAATGTCACCACAGACAAGCATTTGAGCATCTGGCGGAGCAGCGGGAAACCTTGTGCCTGCAAGCCGGAAGCGAAGCCGGGTTGTGGAACCACGCCAAGGAGAGCAGTTACATAAGTACGCGGGCGGCGCGCGCACACATAGGTACCTACCTAACCTACCTAGGTACTAAGTAACGTTAGCTAAGTACACAAAGAGACAGGGAGAGAGAGAGGGGGGGAGTAACTTACTAAGTACTGAATTAATACAAAACTGTCCAGACAAGCACACTACCTGCAACAAAATCAAGCGAGACAGCGGGGCTTTGTGTGCGGCACAACGCACTGCTCCTTCCTTCAACGTTCTGCGTCCTAGCACCTGCCGCTCTTGCCGTCGTCGGCTGCCATATGCAACTCAACTACTCCGTACGGAGTACTTACTCCGTATCCGCACGCCCAAGTCGAAAACAGCCATCTGTCAAATAAACAGAACAAACAAGTGGGGAGGCTCCCCGCGCGCCCCCAGTTCCAACACGGCCGCCAATCAGATTCACTTGATCCCCCAGTCCGTGGTAAAACAACAAGGGCAAGATTTATTTTCATCACTTTTCCTATTCATTATTCCAGACTACGTGATACTGCTACTATCACCAATGCTACGCACTCTGTAAATTGGCCTTGGAGCTGCGGTAGCTCTACTTACTCCGCAGGTTAAATACAAATGTCGGGTCGTTCGTTATCCAGATATACCGAGTAAATTGCCAACTCCGCCGTCTGGTCTCTCGCCTGGTGCGTCCATGGTGGCCTTGATGTCCAAAGCACAGTCATTTATCTGACATGTTGTATTACAACACCCAAATTACTATGCTCGCAGCTGCTATATAATACCAGACTACTCTTGCGTCACATTTTGGGCATGCCACCGGTCGACGTGGCCTTGAGCAAACGCCACGCTCTCGTTGTTCCACGTTTCTGTACATGTAAGTGAGTAGTAGACTATCAGGGTCCATTGCTTGGGCGCGCCTTCGCACTTTTACTATTACTATATGGGTTTATTCGGAAAATCGGGCTTGGCTGGATCCGGGCGAGGCAAAGCCATGGATTTTCAAGTCATTATATTAATTACTTCCGTCGTTTGCGGGTATTTTGCTGTCGTCGTAGAAGATCTCGTGTTGTCATTCATCATCATGTCCCAAGACCGCAAAACGGACCCATGCATTCCATGTCACGGTTGCTCACCACGACGTCAAAAGTTACCTAATGCGATAATTCCCAAACTCATGATGAATCAACGCGGTGTTTTTCCCAATTTCTAGTCCGAATGCTAACTCCACAATGAAACAGACTCATAATACTTTTCTTCTTCCAGAGAATTCTAAGAAAAAACGCTTCAAGGACCATTCGAAGACGCGAGCAAACACGCTAACTAAACAAGAGACGACGGAGGAAACCCGTGTTAGCAGGTGTGAACAAAGACGAGGGTGAAAGGCTAGCTGCAGAATTCAATATTTTTCCAACTCGACCCCTAAAAAAGAAGTAAGAAACGGAGAAAAAAATAAATTATGATGAGCAGAAGATGTATTAATGTAGCAAGTTCAAGGTCGATGGGTTCGGTTGTCACGCAACCCGCACTGCTCGTCGGCCAATTTCGTCGTACCCTGGAAGCATGCTGTCTGTGTGCTCCATCAATTCGGGGAATTGCGTAATGCGGCCATCGAGTTGACCGCCGACGACGGCCCCTTCGTCTGCGGTCATGACGCTCTCGAAACTTGGCAGGCCGCCGTACTGGGGCTCATAAATGGTCTCAACGCCAATCTGCAGCGGGATCGCCAGCGACATGGTCGTATTGGCGACACCAACAGACATGCTAAGGTGCAGGGTATAAGTGCGAGAAATCAGGCAAGAGTGGAATGTGGGCAAGAAAATCTTCTTGGTAATGGGGATGCTGAATGGCACGTCCATGACGGCGCTGTGTCGAATGGGGCATCTCTTGCCCTTTTTCAAGGCATCATCAGAGCATTCCGTCTCTGACTGTTCCTCATCAGCGTTGCCGAAACTGGAGTATCCAGAGTCCCGGCGTCTAGATACGTTGTGCACCCGCCAGACTAGCTTCTCCACAGACTTGTTGTTGAAGATGTTGTTCGACACGGTGTAGCTGAGGGACGGGTTGGCAGTGTAGGTAGCTCGACTTCCCAAGTTGGGGAGAAGGCCAGAGGGGGCTGCGCCGAAAAATGTCGACGACACAAGCTTGCCAGAAACCGAGTTAATTTTGGGAGGGAAAAAATCGGTCGAGGTAGGCGCAAACTCCAGGTTCATCCGAACAACAGAGTCCGACGCATGATGTCCGTCTGCGGATAGCATGACGGCACTGGGCTGAGCGGCAGTGACGGTAAGTTTTCCGGCCTTGACTGAGAAGAGCTTTTTACGAATAGTCTTGGTTCTGGACAGGTTGTATCGCTCGTCTCTGAAGGTCACGTCCAAAGGCGCATCTTCGGGACAGGCTGGAAGTACCTTGAGGATGTGATACCCCTCCATAATCTTCTGGGGGGTTCCTCCTGCTTCAGAAGCTGCGCGATAAGCTCTGGCCTTGACCGAGTATTCAATCAGGACCATGTCTGGGGCTTGATCAGCACGTTCCCAGAAACCAACGGTAGGTGGCAAACGCAAATGCTGCTCTTGCACGGCCGGAGAAGAGCAATAGTGGTTGCAAGCCCCGATGGTGAGATGGTGAGGAACAACGAAGTTGAAAGGGATCGTGTACGTCTTGCCAGCTTCGAAAACGCAGTTGTCCGGCAGCGCAGACCTTTCGATGGGCATCCGCAGCTTCATGAAAGGCCGGAACGAGTGCGAAGGGTACTGCTGGACAAAGTCCAGACGTGTAGCAGCGATACCGGAGAAAATGATGTCAAAGTCATCGAATCGAGTGTCCTTCTGAGTTTTGACAACCGCTTGGCCAGAAATGGTGGACCCTGACGTGTAAATCTTGGAATTAAAGTGTCTCTCAATCTTGATTTGGATATCGAGCCTCTGACTGACAATGTGCTTGGTCGCGCGAGCTCCGACGAGGGCTGCAGCCCCAGTTCCCGCAGCCATTGTGTGGCAGATGCTTATGTTGACTTTGTTGATGAAGGAATCTCTTGTGGCTTGTTTTGGTTTGTTGCAACACTCGACTTCTGGGTGCAAAAGGAAACAAAAAAGATCTAATCAAGTCTTTGACGTCTTTTAAACACGGCTGACATGGGACGACCCTGAAATGTTGCAGGATGCGGAATCTCGACCGAAGCCTTCGACTGAGCGTGTATATAGCCGTGAGAAGCTTGTAGACAGTCGTATTTTTGGTGTTTTGCTGATTGGAATCCTACAAGACGGTGCCCACTCAGGACGGGGCGGCCGTGTGGTGGTTTCCGAGGATAATGCAGCAGGGCAAATGGAGTTTGCGAATTGGGAATTAGGTATTGGTTGGGGGTTGGGAATTAAGAACAATGCATGTGCATGTGTGTGTGTGTGTGTGTGTAATGTATGTGTGCGTAGCAGCAAATTAAGTGGTCTTGATTAAGGTTGAGCGCGGGTGGTACAAGTCATGACACGATGCAGAAACTAGCCGACGCGAAAAGGAGAAGAAACAGAACGTTGAGGTGAACAGGCAAACAGACGGAAGCAAAGCAGACGAACAGCACAAGGCGCCCTGTGTTCGCCACAAGCAAGGACTGAGGAGAAAGTGATGGGAATCTTCACGACACAAACGGCCAAGGATGCGGGATGGGAATCTTTTTTTATCTCTTGTCACTTGGGACACGCCGTGGTCTATGGAGATACGTACATGGACGAGTTCGGAGCGAGATGCAAGCGCAGAGTCGAGTCGACCATTCTAGAGCGTGACCTGGCTCCAGCACAGATCCAAACGTCCCCCTTTGCGGCAGTGGAGGAAGGAGCGAGCGGCCAGCCATGACCTGGGAGTGGGAGGTCCAGGTTGGTACTCCGTATTCCGTCCACATACAGCGCTACGGAGTACACAGTCCCGGTACCTTGAAGGTTGCAAGCGCACGCCACTTTGGCCCCGTCCGGCTCCATGGGCTCCTCCCACCATCTTTGATGCGATGCATGGCATGGAAGGAGCAACAACACGCAACAACAGGCAGGCGTTGCACCTTTGGCCGCATCATGGCATCTCACCATGCCCGCGGGACATGCCACCTGTATACCACATCATGGCTCCGTCTGCGGAGACACGCAAAGTGTGCTCGAAAAGGTCTCTTGAAATTGCATTGCTGCAATTGATGGTTGGCCGGCCGTTCCGTAGATGAACCTAGGCACCAGGCCCAGGACACTGTGTCCGTCGCTCTTGCCTTGCGCCCTCCGTCTGTCTAGTGGAAGTTATTGTGGTTTGTACAACAAGTCATATTTCGACCACAGCTACTCCGTATACGCAGGTGCCTCAGGTACCGAGTGTGGAACAGCCAGGTCGAGGTAAATTCCATCCCAAGCTTGAGCGTGGATGTTTGCTCATCAAGCTGCAGGTCCCTTGCGCCGGCGCGTCCTATTTTGCCTGCAAATGCCTCCTGTTCCGGTCCCGTCATCCGCAACGCCGGAGCTTCTGAGCCGCAGTCCGTCGTTGCCGAGCACCAAGGCACGCCAAGGCAAGCAACGCAGTCGTGATCTCAGCGTCTCGCCCGGCAGTCCTGTTCGACTTTGCTACACTCAACAAGATCCCTGGCATAATAAAGTGCTAGCTATCCAAACCAATTACAATCACATTCCATGTGGTCCTCAACACTTCATCACTCTGCCAATTTCTTTGACCTCGTCCACGGTCCCGTCTCCATTTCTCCTGGTGGAACTCCCAGTGCAGTTCGCACTATTGTGCTGCATCCATACGTGCGGCCATATAATATAGTATACAGTACGTCCACACGGCCAGCCCCAGCTGACTAGGTTTGCAGCAGTATATCAGCAGCATCACACGGAGCAGGCGCCGCAAAATAAGCATCCAGAACGGCCTTGGTTCGCTGTTACAGCTACCCGCCCATTAGCCTCAACCCCACGTCGTCCACTTGACGATTCGTACCAAGTTACGATCTGGTCGGGTCTAAGATCCATGAATGATAATATGATGATTCCGGTCGGCCTCGCATGTGGTAAACGCCCACGTGTCGTGTCCCAACTTGAGTCTCGTGCAGCATCCGGTCCATCAAGGAGCAAGCGCGAGAAAAGTTGAAGGGAAAAAAAGGGGAAAAAAAAAAAAAAAAGAGGGACAAGTGTCCACGGGAACACTTGGAATCTTTCGAAGCCCGTCGTGGACTCGGGTCTGGACCTTATATGGGTGGGCTTGCAAGCCTCACCAAGTGGGCGCATTCGGCGAATGAATCGGAAAGAAGCCAGTATCGCACACCCCTCCGCATAGGGTAATTAATAAGTTAACTAGTTACCACACTCACACTGCCAGGGCATCATCGTCTGGGGCCAAAGTTAAGGTTGACCAGTCAGGGTGCAGCCAGAGTTGCGGCGAATGGCACAGGCAGAGTGCCGCCAGCAAACCAAACACCCGCGTGGAGATGCCAGCTGCCGTGGTCAAACATGCAAACATGGTGCAGAGACAAAGAATCTGGGCTGGGGATCTGTACGGAGCACTTCCACCACGTTCACCGGCGACTTGTGAGTTTGTTTTCCAGAACCCGGGGATAGGCTCTTTGGCCAGAAGCAGAACTTGTCAACGCCTGATGGCCGTCAGAGAGGGAGGGCGTCGACATTCTAATCGAGCCATCTTCCTACATGAAACATCACACATCACTGCACGCTGTCTCCCGTGAGCTTCCATCCATGACCTTGTCTGCATGCAAGCCCATCGTCGACGGCGACGGGAGAAATTGGTCATTTGGGCCTGGAGAGTGTGCGTCTTGTTTTGCAGTCGCGCAATACTTTGAAACATGTGGTCATGCGGCGGATTGGTGCTGGCCACGTTCCGACATCGCTCTTTGCGCCGTCAACGTGCCATGTCGGCAAAACCTTTGCCTCGACCCCGGCACCCGCAGCCACCATGGTGACCACGATATCCAGAGAAAAGGCATCCACCATCCCCATCCAGGCCGCTCCTCCCATCATCAGGAAGCCAATGCTGCTTCTTCTGTGCCCACGTCGTGGTCATGGAAAAGCACGTTGATGTCGGTCCTGCCGTGTCGGACAAACTCGTCCCTGGGAGGGAAATGCAAAATGAAGGTGAGACTACAGAGACGGGAACCGAGCGGTCTCGCCATGTTTGCCAATGCCAGCAACCTGCCCATGTGCAGTGTCAAAAGAGGTCAAGTCCCGACGATGGAGTTCTTCCAATCAAGCCCTTGCTGAGCCGTCGCCATCATCATCTCAATCTCAATGCGCCACATGCCCGCGCAGCACCGTCTCAGGACTAGCGCATTCCCGCTGTCGGGTCCTTGACTCAAGCTTGTTCCCGTGGATCGCGGCCAATGTCTCTGGCGTGCTTGCGTGAAGGGCATCGCCGCGGCCTCCCACGCCAAGCACACGTGTTATGAGAAACCTCGACCGCTTCAACAATAAATACATGGCTGGGAGCCAGCAGTCGCCAGGTATCATCCAAAAGGGTGTGACGCGTGACGCGTACAGGAAAGACGTGCTGCGACCTGGTTGACATGAATGACTATGACCGGCTCTAGGACAGGCCAACGACAAGCTCGCTTGCCGTGCGTGTGTAGGCGGTTCATTCCCAAGAGCCTTGGATTGTAACCAAGGCGGGGATTGCCGTGTAATAAATCAATTCACGCGTCTATCAATCATGGGCAGGCACTGAAAAGGTTGTTTGTCGACTGGCTTGTGTGGGAACGCCGTGGCGAAATGTCACGCAGCCAACCATGGGGCTTGAAGCTCATTGATCTCTCTCTATGCATCGGGATTGTACGCAGGCACGTCCTGTGCAAGGCTCCGTCAAGGCGCCCACAGCACCGAGACGTCCATCGCGGCCTCATTTCGTTTCCGACCATGAAATCTTACAAAGCCGTCGGACCGGCCTGCTGCCCGCCCGCCCAACCGGTCCTGTTGACGCACCGCCATCGCCAACCCGACGATGCGGGAGTGTGTTTTCCGGCGCACGGAAAAACAGGGCCATGCACACTCTTGAACTGAGAGAGAGGAAAGGAAACAGCTACACAAACGCCAACATAAAACATCAACCATGCCACGAGATGTACAGCATGATGCCCGCGCCGGCAGCGACAGCCACGAACTGCGCCAGCGTCTTGCGAAGCTCCCGCGCCGTGTTGGGCCCCGTCTCCAGCAGCTCCGGGATGGCGGCCACGGTGCCGACGTACAGAAACGTGCCGGCCGTAAAGGGCAGCAGCATGTCGCCCCAGGCCTAGTTTGCCCCAAGGGTCAGCAGTCAGCGGCGCGTGGTAGCCCTAGCCCGGCAGGCCGGGCCAGCGAGGGGGGAGGTGGAAAGGACGGGGAAGCAGGCAGACATACCAGGCTTGTGCCCCAGAGCCCTGCATCGCGCGGCATCCCGGGCTCGCCGTCGCGGGTGCTTGCGCCGCCGAACTCCTGAATGGCGATGCCGACGAGGGTGCCTATGAGCGCGCCGACGGCCGTGACAAACTGCGACGCCATGGCCGCCCGCTTCGAGAAGCCCGACTGCACGAGGAGCGCAAAGTCGCCCACCTCGTGGGGGATTTCGTGGAAGAAGACGGCCACGGTGGTGGTGGCGCCGATGGTGGGCGACGCGTAGAAGCTGGCCGACACGGCGAGGCCGTCGGTGATGTTGTGCGTGAAGTCGGCGCTGCACAGAGTTAGCGTGACTGTTGTCCGTCGGGCCTGCAGGTCATGCCACGACTGACATGAGGTTGAGGTACCCCCCGAGCTTGACGCTGGGGTTCGCCTCTTTGCGCTGGTGCTGGTGCTGGGGCTCGGTGGGCTGGGCCTGCCTGTCCCTGTTCTTCTTCTTCTTCTTCTTCTTGTCGTTCCTCGACTTGACGGTGCCGTCGACGGCGTCGACGCCGCTCGCAGCGATCAACGGCGGGGAGGAGTCGGAGTCGGAGTCGGCGTCGGCGTCGGCGTCGGCGTCGTGCGAGTGCTGGTGCGCGTGCCCGTGGCCCGACGAGCCTCCGGTCGCGATGCGCAGCCCCTTGTCCATGGCGACAAACGTCATGAGCCCGACGAGGATGGCCAGCCCCAGGACCAGGTTCCTGTTGGGCTCGACGAGCACGAACCTGGCCCTGTCGGGCTCGTCCTCGCCCACGAAGATCTCGGGCAGCAGGTGGAACAGGGTGTCGCCCAGCAGCCCGCCCACGGCAAAGGCGACCATGACGCCGAGCGACGACGGGTCAATGTCGGTCGGGCACAGCGCCAGCAGGAAGTTGGGCGGGCCCGAGATGTACAGCGTCGCGAGGAGGGCGTTCACGGCCGGAGACCCGGGGAAGAGCACCGCGAAGAGGCGCGTCGTGAGGGACGACGGGGCCGCGGCAGCGCGGGCGTGCTTGGCGGCCGACAGCTCCCGGACGATCGGGCACGCCTGTTGCGGCCTCGTCAGCGCCCGCCGCGCGACGGGTGCCCCGGGACGGGGGCGGGCATCCACGTACCTGCAGCTGATGGTCGAGGTCGTCGAGGCTCAGGCTCTCGAGGGCATGGCCGCCCGTCATGTTCTGCGGCGCCGCGAGCGCGCACGCCGTCAGGGCGAGGGAAAACAGCAGAGCGGCTGCTAGGCGTGCCATGGCGTGGCGTGGCGTGGCGTGGCGTGGCGTGGGGGTCGTGTGGGAGGCGAGTCGACGACGAGGCCGTCACGGCTCACGAGGGAAAAGCTGGTGTTGAAAGCTGGCAACTTCACATGCACTCACCGCCTGCGGCTCGTGGGCTGAGAAGTGGCCAATCAGAGGGGTCGCGGCACGGAGCTCCGGTAGCTCCGGACGCTACGTTGCACCCTGGGCGCAAGCTCAAGGGTGCGATCCCGCCAACTCAACTGACACCAGCAACGCAGGGGTGGTGCGATGCCACTTTGGACGCGATTGATCAGGACGACAGACGACCGAGTGAGCTGTTACCGTCATATGATGTATCATACATGCATGTACCACGTAGAGTGAGCGAGGCCTGTCGGCCGATGACAAAACAAGACAACCACGTCACCGATGCACCATGACCATCTGGACCTGGCTGAGTAGAGTGTAGAGTCGGAAGTCGAATTGATGATGTGTATAGTATATTAGCAATTTGCAATTTTATTATCCGTTTCTACAAACAATGTCAAACCGCGCACGATACCGACCGACCTGGGGCGGGATGACCCGTGTTTTATACAGAAAAGTCCGCGGATCTTGTCTATCCACTAAAAACGCCGTATTTGCATTCTCACAGAATCGTTTACAGCGCGGCCGCGGCCATGACAGCACCAACGGCAACACCCACAAAGGCGTTCAACTTGCTGCCGGAGTTGGGAGGAACGGTGACACTGGGAAGGCCGCTGGCGCCGATGGCGGTGCCCTGACCAGGAGCAACGTACGTGGTGCTGCCGTTGACGGCGTCCTCTCCCATGCGGCCGCCGGCGCCGGTGCCGCTGCCGCTGCCCGTGTCGCCGTTGAGAGTGGTCCGGTTGCTTGCAGGGGGAGCAACCGTGGCGTTGGACTGGTCGCCCTGCTGAGAGCCATCGCCGGCCGGGGCGGTCATACTTTGCGCAGAGCCTCCCTGGACCGACGTTCCGGCAGGTCCGGAGGCCTTTGGCACTTGGTCCTGGGCAGCAGACGAAGCAGAGCCCTGGGTAGCAGACGAAGCAGAGCCCTGTGTAGCAGACGAAGCAGAGCCCTGGGACTTGCCCGCAGGCTTGGAGCTCTGGGCGTCCTTGCCGCTAGCGGTGTTGCTCTCGTCGCAAGACAGGTCGTAGAGGGGCTTGGTGGTGAGCGTGGAGCCGACGACACCAAACGAGGGGCTGGGGGTGACGGGAGCGCTGTCTTGCAGAGCGTACCACCACACGTTGACCTTGCCGAACCGGGGACAGCCGACCGCACGCCAGAATGTCTGGGCGTCGTCCAGACCGGTGACCGCAGAGCCTTCCTGGGGACCGCTGACGGGCCAGCCACTCTCGGTGATCCAGATGGGCTTGCCGCCCGAGACCCTCGCCGTCTCGTCCAAGGCGGCCTGGAACAGCTTGGCCGCCTCGCCGATGCCGTTGGGCTTGGTGCTCTCAAAGTACGGGTAGGCGTCCATGCCGATGAAATCACTGGCGTCAATGACGGGCTTGCTTCCCGGGTCGACATAGGCGGTCCAGGTATCGACGTGGCCGACGGGGACGTCTCTCAGCAATGTTCCCTCGATGACCTCGCGGACTTTCTTGATGTACCCTGCCAGCGTGCCGGCCGTGGCGCCGGGATCAGGAGAGGCAGCCTGGCCAACGGGTGAAGCGCGGTACAAATCCTCGGAGCCCACAGAGATGCCAACAACAGCATCTTTCATTTCGGAGCCGTACCGCTCAATGGCCGTCTTCAAAGCTTGCAACTCGTTGTTGAAGGCGTCCTCGCCGGCCGAGGCCCAGAGACCAAGAAGCAGGCTCGTCTTGGTACTGATTGCGGCGGCGATGGCAGAGATGGGGTCGTTTTTAGTTCCGGCCTGGACCGTGGTGAACAGACGGGCAGAGGTGAAGGCGCCGTTGGTGCCCTCCAGATTGGCGGCAGTCCTGAACTCATTCTCAAAGTCAACCTGTGTCTTGGGTCTGTTGTCGGAGAAGGTAGATCCGTAGTTGAAGCCCTGGATGGCCGTGGCAGCGGCGGCGCCAGAGATGGCGGTAGCCAGCGTGAGGAGACGAGGAAGCATGGTGAGCGAATGTTGACAGTATCAGTTCTGTACGTCGACGCAAGTGATGCTCCTGATACTCGGTGGTGTGGGAAAACGAGAGACCAAGCTCATGGACTGGTTGCAAACGTTCAAACGAGGGACGGCTCGGGACGAGTATGAGAAGGGAAACACGTCGAGACCGAGTGTGGAGAGAAGAGACTGAAGATAAACAATCCGACGTCCCTCCCAGTGGGATTGCTATAGACGGACGTGGACGTGTTGGGAGCCCATGGATCAGCGGCCCCAAGCGCCGCGCGCCTGGCATGTTTACTCTTGGCCACCAACAACGGGACAAACCACAACAATTGGCACAAGCGCCGGGGGGCCTGATGGCCTTGGCGGGCCGTTTGATGTGCCGTTAGGGGCTGAAGCGCACGACGGAGGGGAGGTTGAGTGGACCGTTGCATATTTTGGAAGTTGGCTTGGCTGGATGAAGTTGTGGACGGTTTTGTCGTGAGCGCCGTGTGGATGGCGCGGCACTGGTGGGACATGCAATTGCATAGTGCAGCGCCGCACGTGCGGAGTATCTACAAGTACCCAAGTACTGCGTACAAGTAGGTACCTAGATACCTACTCAAGTACGGAGTAGCTCGGGTGGGAGTCAGGTCGTGGCGAAGAAAAGAAAAGCGGGACCACGAGCCTACTTAAGCCAGGCCAAGGGGGGCAAGGCACGAAGCAAAAACATGGATTGAGATCCAAGAGGGCAGAGTCAGTGACTCGGAGTCATGACACTGCGCAGGGGGCGGAGCAGGTTATTTGAACGATTCGACGACCAAGCTGCAGAGGACTTTGGTACCCGACGACATTCATTTAATTTGTTTATTCCTAGTAACTTACGTACCGTCGTTTCTTACTCTTGGCCCCGCGACCGCAGACATGGACATGGACGTGACAATACGGTCTAGTTACTCCGTACTTGGGCAGTTTTTCCAGTTTTTCCAGTTTTCCACATGCTTCCTCAGACCAACCGCAAGCCCGGCCGCGCACCACGAGGCGTCAGCATTCGGGAACAGCCCAAGCCCCGTCCGCGTGGCGTCAAGCCTCGAGGAAAGACGAGAAAACTTGCAACCCACCCTGTCAGGCACGCCTAATGGCTTGGCAGAAGACCCTCTTGGATTCTGTTTTTCTTCTCCCCAGTAATCGTGCCCGCCCACTTTATGTGGTTCGGCTAGCAAAAGCCCTCACCACCAAAGGTGGTGCTCGACAGCAAGGCGGGCCGGACACCAAGGCGGGCCAATTTTCAACCTAGACGCGTTGAACCGCGAAAATGGCTGCAACTAGCGTCCAAACGGCAAAAAGCGATGTCGAATTACGTGTCAACGAGGCTCTTGAGTATATTGAGGAAAATCCAGGTGCAAAAATTCGCTCTGTGGCGAAGAAATTCAACGTGCCTCGTAGCCGGCTTCAACGACGTGCTAACGGCGTTCCTGCTAGGAAAGGCCATCCAGCAAGAAATACAATGCTTTCACGAGAAGAGGAAGTTGCTTTATGTAACTATATCGATCGCCTTGATAAGGCCAACTTCGCTGTACGACCTGAATTCATTACAGATGCTGCAAATTACATCCTAAAAGAGAGGGCATCGTCAACTGCCCCGCCTAGGCAAGTTGGAACGCGATGGACTACACGCTTTATCCAGCGGCATCACTATCATAAAGGTCTTCAAAAAAAGATTGATTCAAGTCGAAAAGCTTCAGAAGATGTGACAAGAGCTCTTTCTTATTACAACAAGCTTAAAGAGGCTATTCAGCAGTACGGAGTCCCTCCTGAAGATATCTGGAATATGGATGAGACTGGCTTTCGTATTGGAATGGGAAAGGACCATTTAGTTGTTACAAAGCGAAGAAGAGCGCATCTATTTTCAATGCCAGAAAACAGGGAGACTGCAACAGCAATAGAATGCATTTCTGCTGGCGGCAAAGTTATTCCTGCCTTTCTTATCCTTACAGGGCAAAAACACATGGAGTCCTGGTATCGGATAAAGGAGCTTGAAGCTAATACCAAAATAACAGTCTCACCAACCGGCTTTACGAATGACGAAATTGCAGTTGCTTGGATACAGCATTTTCAGGAATTTGCAACGCCAATAGGCAGATATCGCCTTTTAATCCTAGATGGCCACGGATCACACCATACAATTGAATTCGTTGAATACTGCGAACAGCACGATATAATTCCCTTTGCGTTGCCCTCGCACCTTACACACATCCTTCAACCTCTTGATGTTGTGATATTTCAGCCACTAAAGCATTATCATGCAAAGGCGTTGGATATCATTGTTCGAGACGGCGTGTTGAATATTACAAAGATTGAATTCCTTGCTTGCATTCAAGCTGTACGAAAACAAGCTTTCAAGACTACTACTATTCTCACAGCCTTTCGAAAAACTGGAATTTCACCCTACAATCCACAGCCTGTAATTGAGGCCCTTGAACAACGAGCTGCAATTTACACATCAACACCATCGCCGCCGCCGTTATATCACAACAACTCTTCCGACTTTGAGACGCCCACAACACTCAGGCAGATAAATAAGGTTGCCAACAAGCTAGGGGAGGTATTAGAAGACGATACATCCCTTGAGCCTGAGTTTGCACGCAATATCAGTCGTTTTATCCGCGGCTCTCTTATTGCAGCTACTGAGCTTATACAGACGAAGAGAGACCTTGGGCGTACAAAAGCAGCTCAATTACACGGAGTACTTGAGAGTGGGAATCAAATGCTTTTCTGGCGTCGCAGAGGAATCGAAATTTGACCGACCATGGCTACAGTCACCCATTGGAGATTGTCCCGCTGTCCAGACCGGCCAATCCGATCTGGCTCGACGCCATCGATTCAGAGAGCGAGAGTTGGCACAGCAAGTGCACATGTCGGGTGCTCCAAGTTCCAGTGATCCAAAACACAACCCGCGAAAGCATAGCCATCCCCTGTTTCCCACATCGGCCGACTTCGTTGCCACCGGCTCATCGCAGAAGAGGCCCGCAAAAAAACCTCTCGACCTCCTCCTCTCCTACACCCAGTCCAAGGCCAACCGCCACTGAACGTCCCCCCAAGTCCGGTGCCAAAAGAACACCGCAACCGTAGAAAAGAGACCCAGGCAGACCACGGCCAGCGCCAGCCTGACAATCACCCGCACAACAACCTGCCTCAACAGCCCATCCAATACCTCAAGTATCTCGGCCCTCTCATTCACCCTCGGAAACGGCTCATCGGGCGCAGCAACACCCAGAAACTCGCACAGCGGAGCCCATCCGTCCCCGTGCTGAAACTCGAGCACCTGCTCCCGCGGAACCTCCCGCCTCACCATGGCGTAGTACTCTGCGTGGACGACCTCCATCCTCGCCCACGTCTCGGTCCTCGTCTCCGTGCCCAACCAGCCCAGGATGATGTCCCGCACAATGTAAAGCGCCGGGAAACCCGCCAATGGGCCCAGCGTGCCCAAAACAAATCCCCGGACGCCGCAACACAGCCTGTCCACAACCACCTCCCCGAAACTCGCTCTCCATCCATCGACGGGCCGCTCCACCAAAATGACCTTTGCCTCGGGATATGCCTGTATCAGCTGTTTTGTGTAGAAGCTCGCAACGTCAGTGACGACGCGGTACCCGCCAATCAGCCTATCCCAGTCACCTCGCGTCCATGGGAGCAGGGCGTCGGCGGGATTGATGTAGAACGGCAGCCTCCTGGCCGGATCCAGCCCCGCCGCCCGGAAGTACGGCATGCTGCACCACGCCGCCTGGCCCCAGGCATAGTACTCCCGGGTGTTCGTGACGTTGAGCCCGTGGTGCACGGGTCCGAGGCCAAGCGTCGTCAGGGCCGCCGCGAGGGATGCCGTGCCGGACCGGGGCAGCGCCGCGCATATGATGCCGTGCCCCGTCGCCAAGCACCGTTGCTCTTCTTTACCCATGTTTTTCGAGAGCCCTTTCGATGGTCCGGGTGTGTCTTGCCAGGCACGGAGGCAAGGATGAGAGGTGGCCCGTGTTGTCCCATATGTAGGCCCTGCTGAGTGTCCACCTCGAAGTTTGCCGGCTCCGGAGTCGGGACCCTCGGGTGGCAGTGCGTGAAGTACAGAGGACAATGAGCCATGTGTCTGTCTGAATGGGTGGCAGAAGGTCTCATGGCCTGTGGTGCGACCTATACTTCCTCACACGAGTAGTAGCTAGATCCAACAACCTGCAGCATGCTAGGCCGGGGAAATAGGGACGGGAATGAGCCCACGTATTTTTCAACATGACCCTCGTTTGCTATTGGAGCCCGCATTACGTGTATGCGGCCGGACACGGGCTGGACGACGCACGACGCATATGTACATCATCAGAGGCCAATCCTGTTCAGCGATGCGTCACAGTTCAACCGCGTATGTTTTCAACCTGTAACCTGTCACGTTACCAGGTGCTGCAGCCACGGAAATGGACGCAGAAGAAAAGACATGCCATTGCCGTGATCCGTACGGAATCGCGTGTCATTTGATACTGCTTGCGTGCCCTTTGTCGCACGCTTGCTCTGCGCTAGAATTGAGCTGCAACACGGCCAGCGGTTGCGTTTCTTCATGAGACATGTCATACAAATCCTCTGATGCCTCTCAAGCCAGAAGACTTCTTTTCCTTTTTTGGCTTCCCCGAGCCGCTGCTGCCATCGTCCTTGCTTTTGTCTCTCGAGTCCCGACGAAGCCGACTCTGTAAGCCACCTAAATATCATTGGTCAAAGCTATTCTCCCGTGCCCTGTGTCGGGGACTTACCAAAACTTCGTTGGTCAGGCGAAATGGGCGTTGCCGACTCTTCGGGCTGAGAGCCACTGCCTGCTTTTGCAGGCGTGGCACCACTCGTCGTCCCGCCGGGTTGTAACCCCTCTGACGATCTCATGTTGTGACCTGTTGCTTCTGCGTTGGACAATGATCGCTGTGGTCGAGCCTTGACAACGACAGGACTGGTAGACAATGACACGTAGTCTGCGTCTGTTGGTTGGTGCTTTAACGCCGTCGGCCGTGGTTGCTCTGGTGGTTGCTCCGCCTGCATATCCAGCAATGATGACTGCAGTGCTGTATACTTGCGCATAAGCAGAGAATGCTGCTTCTGCAGTTCTGCTTGCTTGGCCCGACTGGCCGCAAGAGCACTCTCTACAGCGATATTCGAGTTTGACCCAGGTCGTTCGCGCTCCTCCCGCGCCTCGGAAAGTTGTGATTGCAGGGCCGCAACCTGCGTTTGGAACAATTTCTTCACGCGCTGTACCTCGTATTCCTGCGCTTCCAGCCTCATCCTCAGAGCCTCAGCCCGGCTTTCCGACTTTGTGGCAGAGTTTATCATCTGTTGCCGTTCCAACTCCCTGGCTTGATGGTCTCTCTCGGACCTTGTCAGCCGCTCCACTTCCGCCTTGAGGCGGTCGATCTCGGCGCCATGTAACTCGATAGACTGCACATTTTGTTTCCAATTTAGTTCCTTCACTTCTGCGGCGCATAGCAACTTTTGAAGTTTGTCGGCTTCTTGTTTGGACTCCTCTAATTCCCGCTGTAGTGCTTCCATTTCAGCCTGTTTCTTGTTGGACTTGTGTCGTGAGTCTTTTAATCTGTTGGCCAGGTCGGCCTCCCATTTCTTCGCCATCGCCCGACTCTTCTCCGACTCCTTCTTGACCTGCATCTCAGATTTTTTAGCTTCCTCGAAGCGGCTCTTCAGATTTCGGTTCATCAGGATCAGATTTTGCGTCTCGGCTTCGGTTGCCGCTTCAGCCATTTGCTTGCGACGAAGGTCACCAATGTGTGCCATATGCTGTTGCTTCAAGTACCGTTCGAAACTCAAGTCATTCTGCAGAAGTAGAATTTGCTTTTGGAGGTGTGTAACCTGAGTAGACATTTCCGAAGCTGAAAAGGGTGAATGCGATGTAGGCGGAAGCGGCGCTGCTGGTGCTGAAGCACCTGGAGCAGCTTTTTCTGCTACCGAGTCTTGATGGCTTAGAGCAAGTGACGCGACGCTGTCGTTGGCCAAGGACTGGTGCAATCCTGACTTGATTGCCTTGTTGGACTGAATTAGGTCTTGCAACTGAGGGTGGGATGGAGATAGTGTCAAAGTCGGGCTGTCTGTACCACAGGTTCTAGATCGGCTGTCGCCGGTAGAATCACGATGTGATGGCATGCTTGATTGTGAGCTACGGCGCATAGCAGTTATTGGTGTCTGGTTGCTTGAGAGGGAGTCTGATGTCGTCAGACGTGAGTTGCGCCAGCTGTCACGCTTCCCACCCGGGCCGCTCAACAAGGCGGCATCGGCCTTGGATTTTTCCAACACGGCATTATCAAGAGCGTTGGCACCTGCGGGGCCAGAGCTAGGCATGTCCGCAGAGCTCACATCGGCAAAGCTGTACAAGTCCGTCTCTAGACACAGGCCCATACACTCAGCGACGACCTCGGCAGCCTCACTCTTTATCCAGCGGCCAAAGTCGGCCTTTTCAGAGTCAATTGTGAGGGAATAAAAATTGGGATGCAATAGATGGTTTCGTCGGAAGGTTTCGGACCGATGGCGCATCTCAGTTGGCTGGACCTCCACTTCATCTGCATTGGCGGCATTTGCATGGCGCATATATCTCTGCGGTTTGCGAATATAGTCCATAAAGTTGATGGGATAAAGGCCGTACAAGATAGTATAGTAATTGGGAAGGTGAGCGATGGATGCGTCGTCGACATCGGTGTCAAAGGCAGCCACCTCCCATCCAAGGGACGGTTCAGGGCTGGTGCCGTCACTGTCGGGCCATTCAGCCGTCCTCGAGTGTTCTCTGTCCCAGAAAAGAAGACGGCCATAAATATTGAACAGCGCAGGCAAATGCGGTACCAAAGAGCTCGGCATATGTGGCAGAAGCATGATGAGAGTCGTCAACGCAGCGGAAACAATGGTTGTTGATTTGTCATGCTGTAGGCAAGTCATGAGATTGCCAAACAGAGACGTATGCAGAACCTGGTGTAGATGTGGTGGTTGAATTTGGATGAAGTCGCAAAGGAGCCTCAGTGCCGCCTTGCGGTGCTTGCTCTGGACGAAATACCCATCCATGGCAGTGAAGAATTCCTTGGGGCGCTTCTTCCCGAAATTACACAAGGCGTGGCGGATCAGCCTCTCATTATACTCGGACGAGGTGTCGCCCTCGAGAAGAGCTGGGTAGAAGCGACGCATCCATACTTGAAACAGGCGGTCTATGATGCGACTGGCAGCCGAGTTGGCTGCGAATGAGACTTGAAACTCGTCGATGACAGTTATCAGATCCATGAAAGATGCGACAGTCTCGTCGACAACACACTTGTCGAGATCAGACCTGTCCAAGATGCCCCTGCATGCATCAAACCACGGCAGTATTCTTTCCGGAGTCTGCAGGACAGGCAGCAATTGTCGAAGAATGGCGATCCATGGTCCTACGGCCCTGGCATTGCCTTTGACCCGCTTATCAAACGTGGACAGCAGGCTATCTTGGAGTTGGTCGGCTGCAGAATCGTCATATTTCTCTTGCTGCTGGGTGAAGGAGGTGAGGATGCCGACGAGGGTCTCCGGAAGAGGGACAGTTGGGTCCGCGAGGAAGGCATTGATGGCCTTGATGAGCTCCTTCAGCGACCTGCAGTTGAGTTAGTACTTGATTTAGTCAGACAAGGCGTGCACGCAGGGGCCACGGTGTCTCAGAGGGGACAGCAATGACATACGTCGTCGAAACCATCGTAGGGGGCTCCCGCTCAGCCGGCATGAGGCGCAGACGGTGGGAATGCCTGCCGGCTTGTTGTGACTATGTGTATATCTGAAGAGGACTCAAGTCGGCAGAAGACAGAATTCGCATTGCTTGCAGCCGGACCCGGAGCTGCAGATGGTGTCGGATCTCAATCAGATGGATACCGGGTGACAGAGGAGGCTATTGATTGATGGATGGGTCCGAGCGGATCAGATGGTGCCGTCGTGGCCGACTTGCCTGGAGGTGCCAGGCGCAAATGCACATGTGGGGCATGTTTTCATCGATCAGACAGCTGTCTGGTCAACCTGCAGCAAGCACATAGAGCCTCAGTTGTCAGGCACCTGTTCAGGCCGACAAGACATCCAATGATGGGTCGGCCCAGGAGTTACAACGGGCATGGAGTACACGGGAGCGTCATATTTCTTTTTACTCGGGCAGATAGACCAAGTGCATTGCCACGATACTACAGCCGTCCAAGACGAACAAAAGAAGACTTGCTCGTCTCCCTCATCACGGCATCTGCACGGACAAGCTCTAGACCCCGCACATGGAAGATGGAAGACGCTTGATCGCATGACCGTGGGCCGTGGCCCGACCCCACGACCGCGCCAACGCCCCCGAACGGGTAATAAGCTGGGCTGCATGGGTCTATACAGTAATAAGTGACGGGGATGAAGCATGCAAGGTCGGATGATGGAAGTGGTTGGACGGCTGATGCCGGTTTGGACGGGCATCCGAGACGGCATCCGAGCGGCCTTGGTTGGCAACAGTGTGCACCTCCCTTGATGAACCAAAGGCCTGTCTGGCACGATTCGATGGAATGGATTCCGGGACGGGTGCGTCCCATCCCACACGACGTCAGAGGCAATGCTTGCCGCATCGAGCCATGCTGCACGTCCCTCTCGCATGTACTCGCCCACCCATCGCGTGAGCGCTGGCCTCTTTCCGTCTAGTCGCCCGCTCCATTGGCTTAGTTGCACTCAAATGTTGACAGCTTGCAAGAAGCTCGAGCTCGAGCTCCACGTCCGGCACGGAAGTGTTGGACCCCTCTTTGCTCTCTGGGCTTCCCCGCGTTTTGTCTGGATTTAGTTACGTACCTAAGTATAAGCTAAGTACGTGCTGGTATATGTGTGCCCACCAAAGTCGGTTCCGAGTACGTTTTCCGTGCCTACCTGAGGTACCTACTTAAGGTGCTTACTTAACTTAAGTACGTACCTTAAGTAAGTACCTAGGTACCTAGGTAGGTAGGTACTTAGGTAGGTACTTCAGTAGGTACCTAGTGCGGTTTCTCTTCAATCTATCCCACCTCGCACATATACTTTCACATCCTCCTCACCTCGTTCTCGTCCCCCTCTTTTCCCTCCTTCTCTACCAACTCAGCGAATTACCAACGTGCCGTCTCCTACCATCCATTGATCTTCGTCAGCCTCACCAAGGACCGTGACTCGACCAATTCTATTTAGTGTTCGCTCTGCACACTTGTTCATCGCTTCAATTCACGCCACCACTGCGCCAGCGTCACCCTTTACCCCCGTTACTCGGTGACACAAGCAACCTTGCCATCCCTCAATTTCAACGTCTTCACCACAATACCGGCAAGATGGCTGCACACAAGACGTCCGCAGTGGCGGACGAACCCATTGAAGTCCTCGTTGCCCTGCACAACAAGTTTGATATCCTCGACTTTGCTGGGCCAATGGAGGTTTTCACTACTGCCCAACACGACCCCAAAGACGAGAGTAAGTCGGCCATTCCCCGTTGACTATTTCTTTCCTCCCCTTTCCTTTCTTTCTCCTCGCATCATCTCAAAGATGTCATAGCTAACTCGCAATAGCTTCCAAGGCGTTCGAAGTGACCCTTGCGGGTGCTGAGCCCAAGGTCCTCTCCGAGCAGGGGGCTATTGTTGGCTCCCAAATCTCTTTCAAGGAAGCTCACGAACGTCTGGAGGACTTTGATATCCTCGTCATCCTCGGTGGGAATACTGATGAGATCCTCAAGGCAGACGCCGAGCCGCTTGGACTCATTAACAACTTTGCTGAACTCCAGAAGAAGGACCCTGCTCGTGAACGCACCGTCCTCTCCGTGTGCACCGGATCTCTTTTCCTCGCCAGAGAGAACATTCTCTCCGGCCTCTCTGCCACCACTCACCCCGACTACTTGACCAAGTTCGAAAATGTCTGTAGCGACGCTGCTACTCGTAACATGACTGAGCGTACCGATGTAGTTGAGGATGCCCGTTACGTGGTCAACAACCTCCGTTTCGATCTCGGAGATGAGGATGAGAACCCATATATTCGTCGCAAGTCTGACGCTGGGCGTCGGCCCTCGAATGCTCGGTAAGTTTTACCTTATGTGTATGAGAAGTTGCTAATGGACACGCAGAAAGGGCAGCATGTCATTCAAAGGCTCCAACTCCCGCCGAGAGTCTATTGCGCGCCGTGCTGCGATGCGCCTCGGTGGTCTTCGTGTAATCACGGCTGGAGGAGTCAGCGCTGGCGTTGATGCGGCTTTGTATCTTGTCAGCGCGTTGGTTGATGAAGAATGTGCGGTGGAGGTGGCCAGGTTGATCCAGTGGACCTGGAACAAGGGCATAGTCGTTGATGGTCTCGACGTCTAATAATGCTCACGCTGACAGAGAGTGTCGGCAATTGAGTCGTGGTCTGCACGTGCATCTTGTCGCAAGGCAGGGGCTGGTGATGGGCTACGACGGTGTAGGAAAACCGCAATATCCCGTGTGACTCTAGTATAACATGTACCGTACTCCCATCAATTGGAACGAATCTATGACTGAAGACATGTCACCCCTTGCTGCATGAATGGTGTTATGCAGTGCTTGTTGCCCAACTATTGAAGTATCCGTAGCAACGCCTTGAAGCTCAAAATGCGCAAGTGCAGCACCAGCAATCGTCCTAGACATGGCCTGCCTGGCTTCAACAAAACGGCATATGACTCGGCCGTCGCTGCCTGCCCTTCTCCAGCAGCGGATACGCCAAGTCGACAAACTCACACACTGTCGAACAAGGCCTCGAGGGCGGCCGAAGTTTGTAAATTGTTGTCAACTGTTCGAAAAGTGCACGTAAATAGGACGATAGGCAGGGCACAAGTGCCTAAATGCTAGCAGTTGTGTTGATGGAGCGTATAACCTGTTTGTACGGCGAACTGCACGGGCATCAACTTTTCTCCAGAATCGTTGAATGATGCCTCGTTGGTGACAGCCGACACGGCAGTGACCGCCATCCACAAGCATGGACGCAGCGAGTCTCTCGCTGAATCACTGCTCCTTATTATACTCAGCTTGGCGCGTCGAGGCTGAATCCTCAAATGAAAGACCAGATCCAGATTCAAGCTCTTCACCGTCCCCGTTGACACGCCGTGCAGGGCATGGGCTCCAACTGAGCTTAGTGCGTTCCATTTTGGTTCCATGTCCGGCAATCATGGGCATCATGCATTTGTTGTCACTCTGCCCAAGATCTCCTCGGACTTGTATCCCCATTCTGTCTCCAAATCTCGCAATCGCCACAACGCTCCCCACCCTGTAGTCCGATGGATAATCTGCAATAGCCTGGCGACCTGAAACTGTTGGCTCGAATGAGTGAGCAGCCGCCCTGCCAAGTAGAGCGGCTGGATGGCATTGACGAGGCTCGCCTTGTGCGGGTTCGTCCACGATATTCCGCAGACTCTTCCTGCATGCCAAATGGGCGAGCTCTGTGGAGACGGTACTTGTGCTTCTGGCGGCCGCGTTTCCAGCATGATGATACATGCCGTGTGGTACAACTGGTTAGATGAGATGGCGGGATAATCCGAGAATAGTATTACGGGAAATACGTGTTCCTGGAACGGCTCAGGCGGCGGCGATGTAGCAGTCGGAAGCATTGACCACGGCCTTGAGTCCAGCCAGAATTGCAAATCGCCCCATAGTCTTGTCCATTGTTCGACGAATGGCCTGGTATCCGACTCATCTGGCTCTTGAAGCTCAAGCACCCTCGTCCGCCGGTACGCCAGGTCGCATGCCTTTGCACACAAATACACGGACCAATTGGCGTGCATACCCGTATTATCCCGCCCACTCTGATAGAAGGCTGTTCGTGCATGTTGGTCAATTTCATCGTTGGTTGAGACGCCTGCTGGCAATGGAGGGATCCATTTATTCAGCGGGAGGACTGTAGTCTCTGCGCCGCCGGATATGATAGCTCCACAAAGTTCCATGCGTGCATAGCACCAGAAGACTGCTTGCAGCAGGCCACCGGAGAAACCGTCAACCTCGAAGGACTCAAACAGGGCCGCACAGCCTTCGATGTGCTGGCGCCAGTTGCGAGGGCTGCCGGACATGAGCCCCGAGAGGGCGAGTATGCAGGCCGTCACCAGTATGTTGGAGTCTTTGACTTGCAGACTAGGCGCAAGGAGGCTGATGGATTCCTGGTACAGCTCTAGGATGTCGTCACTATTTTCTTCCAGGAGTGCTTTCCGCTCCATCTGACGAGCGGAAAAGGCTAAGACGGCGTAGAATAATGGCGGCGACTGCCGTGCCAGGACAGGCACATGGATGCCAAAGTGTCTCTCACGGTCAAAGTTGTCGAGATACGGTGCGCACTCAGTGATCCAGTTCTTGAGATGGCCGATAAGTTTGATCTTGGGAATCCCAGGGACCCTGGAGAAGTCAAACTCGGACGGCGGGACGGATACTTGATCGGGCGGTGGCTGTTCGTCTGTACTAGTAGGCTCGGGAGTGGTGGCATTGCCGGGATCATGGGAGCTTACGCCTGCAAGGAGGACGCACCGAAGCTCTTCTTGGAGTTGAATGAAATGAGGGTTGGCCGAGTATTCGTCGGCAGCGGACGAGGGTCCCGGCGACGGGAATTGCGGCACATGTTGGTCGGCCATGGCGCATTGGGGGTGTCATTGGACACCGGCCGGTTCGAAATCACGGCACAGCCATGATGAAAAGGCCTCTCTGGGTGAGCATTTTGATGAAACAGAAGGAAACTGGAACCGCAGTTGAAATGGGTTCCGGTTCGAGGTGGAGCCGATGACAACGGTCTTCGAAGCGACAACGCCCCGCCCTGCACCCGCAAACTTCGTCGACGTCAACCAGGTCGAAACAAGGATTCGCCTTGTCCACGCTCGGATAGTAAACTCCAACACTGTTGACAGAACAGCGTTCTCCAGCAATGCATTTCAACTTGGACGCAGGTGCAAAGACGTCTGCTGTCGCCCCAGAACTTCTTGGTTCAACTCTCCTCACGAGCGTGTGCCCCGAAATGGCTACTCCGCCGGCCCCTTTCTCGTATCCGCGGAGCCATCGCCGCCGTCATCGATAACCGGTTCCTTTTCATGTCGTTGCCGAAATCGGGCTTCCAGATTCCCATCACACCTCGTCTGGAACTCATGCGTCCTTCCGTGTTGGCCATGGCAGCAACTCTATCGGAAGCATTGGCGATTCCTAGTCTAATGATTTATCTGGCGTGGGGACTACCCTCAATTATCCAAGGTATCCATCCCTGCTGTGGCTCTGGTAGTCTGCATCTGATTCATGCCTTTCTGCCTTGAGGGGGACCTCAAGATGAGCCGTGACGAAAAAACCAATTTCACACTGCCATGGCTGCGAAACCTCCCTGCTGGCCACGATCTTGTTCGCGTGAAATTTCCGGAAATCAGTGACGAGTTTGTGTTCGGAGAGAAGTCCTTGCCACAGACTTCCCTCGCTCGGCGGAAGAGGGTAGCAAGCGGGCTTTCCGCAAGCAAATAGTTGCCTATATCAACTGCTTTCGAAACGAGGATAATACTCAAGAAGTACTACGGTTCGGCTTCCCGGAAACCAGGAATGCAAGTATTGAACAGACGGACCGCGCGTTTTGCAGCCATACGAGTGAGAGGGACCCAGAGTTGTGCGAGACGTAGAGAGAGGTTCGACTCGCCGTGCTGTTTGACGGCCGCGCTGACGTGACTGGGCTGGTGTTGAGAAGCGTTTTGACGAGTTGCGACACATTCACTAGCAGAATGCGCCGTTTGCATAGTGTCTGTTCGGAAATGTGCAAAAGTCAGTCGCTTTAAACAGATTCGCAGCTTCATATACCGAGGCAGAACCAAACACCAGCAGACGACCAGCTCCTTGGGTGCCGCCGCCACCCGATGGCGTCGCCAATAATTATCCCGGCTTGTCATGGCCATGGATGAAAATCCAAACGCACCATCATCGATGGCTACCCCAGTTGGTTTCCACCGGTTCAGGGGCCTCACGCCAATGACCGCTGCCACCAGACCCTCATCGTGATCCTTCCATCCCGTCTGTCCCTCATCCCACGCCTCATCCTCCAGAGAAAAAGAACAAAACGACAACCAACAACCAACCGCTCTTCAACCCGGAAAGACTAGGCATTCCTTGCCCTCTTCTTCCTGTTGAAGGCCTCCAGTCCTCTTGGTCAATCAAACTATGACCGGCGACTTCGCAAACGGTTCCATATGCCCGTGATACGTCACGTCCCCGAAAACAAGCGCCGCGTCCGTACCGGATGTCTCTCATGTCGAAAGAGACGGAGAAAATGTAACCATCCTCTGTCCGGCTTTGCGCCAGGGATTGTATTAGGGTCTCATATTGCGCAAATGGCGACGAAGTTGACGCATTTTAGGCGATGAGCGGAAACCAAGTTGTACGAGCTGTGCCAGCAGGGGAGTCGCCTGCGCATATCCGGATTTGCAATTTATTCCAAAGTCGAGTGCTGGGACCGTGGAGTCTGGCAAGAAGACAAACAAGACAAACGGTTCATATACTCGAATAGAGGTATAGCTGCCACCTTGACGTGTCTCGTCACTCGTCGCCGTACCCTCGAATACCCCAGGCCAAGAGGGTATTGTCTAACTTGTTCAGTTTGTAAAAGAACCCCTGTCACCTGTATCAAGGCCATTGGATACGAACAGCAACAGCAATGGCATTGGAAATACCCGCAGGCACTCGGATCATCAACAGCCAGACGTTCGCAAAGCCTGCTCGAGCAGCCTCACAGTCACCACCCCTTTAATCAACGGTCGTAAACAAAAGCGCCCCCTCGTCGATTGGGATGGGAACTTCGACACAGACAATGCACCAGCGGGCTTCAAGCACTGTGCCCTGCTACGTCATTTCCGGTACGTGATGGCTCTGTGGATGGAGGCCGGGGATTTCACATCGCGATTTGGCGTCGATGTCATGTGTTTCGCGCAGGAATACCCGCCCATTCAGAGGGTGATTATAGAATTAGCCGCTTTCCAGGTGGATTTGATACATGGAAAAGACGACGCGGCCGGCAGATCGAAGGAGAAGACCCGGATGCACGCTCTAGAGGGACCCGTGAAGCGGATAGCGGATTTGCTTTCTGGTATCACGGCATATCTGCGTTCGAGGCCTTCACGATGGAGGCACCATGCGGCTCGTGAAATGGGAATGCTACGTCCGGAATCGACGACACTCTCGATGGACGAGCCATTGCGGTCTCTATGCAATCTCCACTCACGTTTCGGTATGTGTCTCCCCAAACCCGTCATGCACCGATGATTAATATTTTGTGTAAAAAAAGACCTGGCATCGTCCATCATTCTGCGCCAACCGCCTCTTACACCTCCGTCCCTCTACTCCGCTCCGGACTTTCCGCCGACATGGGAACCGGAATGTCCAAGAGGCGCATACATCTCATCTCTGCACCACCTCACGATCACCCTCCACTTCCTCCACGATCCAACACACCGGCTCACACAACCCCTCCTCGTCCGAGACTCACCTCACAAAAAACTGCCATCCTTTCCAGCACATCAAAACGGTCTGAAAAGGTGGCTCGACATGTGGAAAGGCTGTCAAGAATGGCGAGACAGGCGTCCGTTGACCATGCGCCCCATCGTGGAAGTAGGCAACATTGAAGCCGGCCAGATTGATCAGGAAGCGGCTGCCTCGTTCCCCATCCAACTTTATACAAACGCACTCGCGGTCCAAGGCAATGTAAATTACCACCTGTGCTCGCTCTTGCTGCTGAAAAACAAGCCGCGGCGGTTGAGCTTATCCGGGTACCAGCTTTCGGCGACCTCGCGGAGCTGCCATGCCCAGATCATAGCTGGCATTGCTTGTACAAACGACTTCGCGGAGCAATGGGATCCGATTCTCATTGCGGCGTTGCTGCTCACTGCAAGGGAAATGACGCACCCGGCACAGCAGGATGCGATGAGGGACTGCTTTCTCAAGATTAGGGCCGCGACGGGCATCGGGCTTGATCAGGAGTTGGTGGAGCTTGAATCACTGTGGACCGCTGGGCGATTCGGATGATTGTCTCTTTCTTGGAATGATAATGCACCCAAACTGGAGACTTTGTGGCTTAACAGGGACCTCGGAAGAAAAAGCTTCATCCTGGATGTCCTTTCATTTTCAGACAGCCTAGACTGGCGGACAACGTGTTTGGGTTGCGGTGAGAGTCGGCAAGTTGTTGGACTAGGCACCACGCGCAGGTACTGGGGCGTCAAGGTAGTTGGTACATTGTAGAATACGCATTGCAGTATCAGGAATGGCTTTTTGCGAGCGTCAGATCCATGGCCAACAAGCTGTATCAACCAGTTGCGACTATCCAATGGCGAAGTTGGCGATCCCACAGTACAGTGTGGCATTGTGGCCTTTGTCGCACTGTGCCACACACGCCCTCCGAGTCCCATCCACCCACCCTCCTCAACCCCAAACTTTCAACAACGCCCGCTGGCACATGCCAATCTGTCGTTCTTCAGGCTCCAATGTGAACTGCGGCCGATTACTCGGAGATTTTGCGCCGTGTAGAGGTCGCGTGGTCCGGGTAATACGCTCCGTGTCTACTCCCGACGCGCCCTGGGCCGATGTATCTACTGACAGAAATCTTCGGTGCGACCTTTGCAAAGAAGAAAGCGTACGATGCAGGTGCACAGGTATAATGTTATTCGGCTCCCGGCATCCCGAGTATCTCATCTTTCAGGACCAAACGGCCTCTTTATCAGCCAGAACCCGCACCCAGCTACTTCCTGGCCGCTGCCCAGAAAGCGTCGAGTTGCAGAGGGACACTGGCAGGCCTCTGCGCAGAGGTGATGCGGCCGTCTGGTATAAGCTGGGACTTTGCGGGCGTCAGGGTGCCCGGGAGTCGGGTGCGCTCGAGGAGAAGCTCGACGCGGTCGGTCCATGACCAGGACGGCGACCCGAAACGGGCTGGTGGCGACGCCCAATGCCCAAGCCATGGACCTTGTCGCCGGCATCGAGGAAGGAAAGGCATGCGCAGGCGGGCATGTTGTCGCCGAGGTTGAGCGTTTGCACGGGCAGCTTCGCTGCGTCCAGGAGCTTCTGCCCGCTTTCCGGCAACCAAGGCGTGTTCACCTCGTGAGGATGCATCTACACCTCTCGATCAAGCGATAGGACGGCGCGACCGCATTCGCCGAATATGGTGTTGATGACATTTGCGCTAGTGCAACTCAGGCGCGGACAAGACGATCCCATTCTCCCTGCTCGCGCCGCCATACCTAGCCAGCAGGATCAGGGTCTCTGGCAACCCATCCACGCGAAACCGGGCGTTGAAATACATGAGCACAGCACAGCACAGCACAGCAGGTAGGCTTGAAGTGGCCCACCAGACGGCAGCAAAAGCTGGAGACTGCCATTCCACCAACACACGGGACACGTACGCCATGCTGGGCAGCCATGCGTTCGCCGCAGACATCTCACAGCTCACAGCTAACTCTGCCCCTTCCACTCATCGAGCAGCTCGGCCACTCTGGTCCGTGGGCTCCTCCCATCGACGTAGCCTATCAAAGGCATGCCGACCTTGTACCCCATCATGCCGACGAGGCGCGGGGGGATGTCGTCCAGCTTGTCCCAGTCGACGGCCGGCTGCTGATTCTCCAGCTGTGTCATCCACGGCTGGCAATACTGCGCCGTCGGAGCCAGCCTCTCCGCACCCGAGGCGTTCCGGCCTCCGCCATGCCCAAGCGTCCCGACAAAGTACATCATGCTCCCGGCGGGCATGGCCACGGAGACGGCCTCGGCCCGCTCAGGCATCCCGTCGCCGCCCGAGTATGCGATCCGGGCACGATGACGGTGCCCCCATTCGCCTCCGTGTACGCATCCAGAGCCACCATGATGGCCTGCACGTGTCAGCAGAAGACGCGGCCGTCAGCGCGGGAGTGGAACACACATACCGCCCCAAACGGACGGTGTGGCCTCGGCACCGTCACGTATTGGTCGTCGTGACGCAGCCTCTGCGCCGCCTGCCCCGGGGGAATGTTGATGCTGTGAAACGCGCTCGACAGGTACCCGTTGTCGAGGAGATGGTCGTTGAGGGCGAGAACCGTGGGGTGCATCGCAAACTGGTCAAAGCAGCGGGACTTGTTGGCAGCGCGTAGATGCGCTGCGTCCGCAGGCCCTCGAATGCGTTGCGCCCTGCCGCCCCCGCTGGGCCTGCTTCCCGAGTCGTAGATATTCGCGCCAGCTCCGTCTTTGCTTGCCAGATTTGGGATTCGGAGAAGGCGCTGGGGATGACGACGTAGCCGTGCTGGTGGACGTGGTCAACTGGGCTTTGGGTGTCACGGGCCGTTGAGTGTCTGTGCCATTTTCCACACCACCTTGTCCGCTTGGAGTATTCACGCTGAGAAACTTGCCGGGCGTGGACGCGATTACAACCATGTACTCATATGTTGAGTGCGAATAGCGACAGTTGCGGGGTTGAGCCGAGGCACGTCTCCACGCGTGCCCGGCCAACTGGATGGATACGAGCCAAATCTCGAAACCGGGAAAAAGGGCTTGAGGAGTCTGTACTCTGGACCCTGAAGCACATGTCTGATTCAAGGTTGAGCCAGTACATACTGTGGCTGCTGCCACTGCGAATAGGCATCATCACAACCAAGGCACGGAGAAACTACCGCGTTGCGAACCGAGTCATTGCGGCAACTCCTCGTCTGGCCTGCTTCGTTTATTCGTGTCTACATCTATGATCTGACCCTTCATCTCCACTGATCATTTAGTGTCTTGGTGCTATTGCATCCGGTAGACGATGCCGCACTGCGATTGGGGTCGCTCTCCCACACAACCCTCCCGTCATTCGTCTTCTTGATATACTTGTACTCAAAGTTGGTGGCAGCAGGAATCGTCACCTTGGCGCTCCAAAGAGGGTTGCTGGGAGTGTATTGCGAAGCATCCAAGGGAATCGCATCGGCAGGTGACCAGTTTCCCACCTCTGCAAGGGAACCAACAACAAGTATGCTTTCTCCGGGGACTGTGGTAACCTTGACGTTGAAGATGGTGCTGGAATCACAGCGAGGAGAAGCCTCGCAAACTCTGGGGACAGTATTGGAATTGGGCTCGCCCCATGAGGGCGGGACAACGCCCGACCTGCGCTCGGCAGCTCCTACAAATGATGCGTAGGACCAGGTCAGGTGAGCAGCAGACTTGGGGGTTCCTGTTTCTCGGTCATACTGCTCAGCCAGGGAGCCATCCGTGGGGGTGTATTGCTTCACAACGTCAACAAAGTCGTCTCCATAGGCGGTCACTGCCCGAATGATGGAAGTGAAGGTGTCGGTGTCCTTGGCATACGTCCCTGCAGAAACATCTGCCACGAGATCCCTGAAGAAGGGGAGTGATGTAGTATCCACGGTGATGTAACCATTTTTCTTCCACTGATAGGCGGCAGCGTACATCTGCTCGGCCGCTGCCATTGTAGCCAAGTACCAAGGGTTGCCGTTGTAGTATACGTCTTCCGAGTAGCGGCCGACGGCGGCGGCCCTGCCAGCTGTCCTGCCCTGGTTGACGGTATAAATGGTACGGAAGGAATCGACAACGGCCTTGTGATTTGCCAATGCTCTAGGTGAACATGGCTGAAACGTGGAATCTGTGCAGGCGGCGGCAGGATCGAAAGTGTGAATGGATGAGAGGATGGAGTTGACGTCCTTGCCGGTGCGACCATCGTTTACGTTGATGTTGGAGTCGATGTAGCCATTGGCCCAGAAGCTTTGCAGAAAGCAGAGTATTCTGGGGGCGCTGGCTTCGCAATCTGGGCACCGCTTGCCGAGTGCCTTGGCGAGAGCGGCGCCTTCGACCAGGGCACGGTGCGAGGCAGAAAGAGTGAAGAAGGACGACCCGTTGACTTCCTCCCACAAGTCAAAGCCGGTCCGGTTCCAATATTGGACGGTATATGACAGGTCTTTGACAATGACGGGCCAAACAGTGTTTGCCGCCTCAGATTCGCCGCCGTTGGACAAAAGCCAGTTAGCATAAAGGATGGAGGTAGTTGCTCGCAAGGGAGGACCATCCCGCTGCGGCCTACCCCAGGCGCCCGTGAAGGCTGTGAGATTAACATGGAACTTGGGCTCTCCCAAGCCGCCCGTGTCTGGTCCACCAGAGGGATTCGTCAAGCCCTGTAATTGAGCCTGAGCGGTGATGTATTCCTCAATTTTGGGCTGTAACGACTTGTTTCCGGCGATGAAGAGCTCGACGAGAACCTTGAAAGTCAGAGCAGAGTCGCGGCTCCACGTGTACCAGTCTTTTTGAATATTCAGAACATGTTAGCATTGGAGCCGTCTTGATCAGGTTCGAGGAAGGTCGCCACGCCATACAGTCTGGATCCGACTTGCTCGGACTGGCCACGACGGCACCAGCAGCGGCGGCGTGGGCGTTTGATCCACCAGGGCCAATGTTGGCCAGAACTCCCTGGAGAGAAATATCGTTCTGTTTGGCGATGAAGGCATCCAGGTCGAGTCTGCCGGAAAGACGGCGGCGGGCTGCGGCTCCAGCCAGCCAAAGGCCGGTCAGAGCCAGGATGCGAGTGAGGTTGGTGTACATGATGCTTGGGGTTGGCGTCGGAGCTGAACGATGGTGTTGCTCGAGTCTGACGTGCGGCTTTTGCCTAGCTGTACGACATGGACAGTTCGGGAGCCCCAAAGACCTTAAATACTTGTATGCCTAGGCATTCCAAGTCGGACTTGGCCATGCTCTCCCATCTAACCTGCGGTTTTGCGAGTCTGGCGATCATGTGCCTCGATGATGCCTGTCGCCCCGCTTCTGCGGCTCGGTTGTACTTGTACGTACGTACATGGAGTCTGGTCGTACCGGGGAGATCGGTCCTTTTCCCCAGAGTGCGCTGGGGACATCTGGGGACGTCGGAGCCAGGGCCGGACCAACGGCCAAGGGGCTTTCAGGGTCGCTGGTAGGTTGTCCCGAGATTATCGGGCCTTTAGAGGCTCAGAGCCCACCGCTGACGCGTGGGCGTGGGCGTGGACGCATGGAAGACGGGCATGTGCCGATGCGACGCGGCGATGTTGCGGTTGTGAGCGTGAGCCTCATGAGTTACTACTACTAATTACGGAGTAACTACGTACGTACCTAGGTACCTACCTAGGTTGCAGGTGCGTACGCATTGTGGGCAGTCGCACTTGCCCCACCGTTCACGAAGCGCCTGCGCCGCTGCATGGCCAATCAGCAGGCCGGACCGACAGACAGTTCCATCAGCCTCAGTCGACGACTACGACTGCGTCGAGCCGAGCAAGCTGAAGTGAGAATATAACTTGGCGCGAGGCCACAGTTCTTCTCCCTGTCGGTTTTCGCGGCGCGGCGTGACTCCATGACTTGGACGCTGCAGTTTCCTTTGCCGGCTCCGAGCAGGCAACAGTCTACTTGGTTCTTTTACGCGCGCTTCGGCTTGGCTCGGACCATCAAGACTTTTCGACCTTGGCTGCCGGCTTCTGCCAACGAGGTGTAATACGCAGAAAGAAGCCGAGGCAACTGCAGATGTAGATGCAGATGTGGGCAGACGCTCCTTCAAGAGAGCGGCAGAGAGCAACTGGAGCCTCGACGGGCCAAGGAGGAGACGTCAAATCGATGAGTCAATTTTTCGGACCAAAGTGGAAGCTTCAAGGGGGGCACCATGCACCCTGGACGGCTGAAAGATGGAAAGAAATGCCCCAATGTGACGCTCCGACGAACAAGAAACAAGATGAATGAATGCATTTCCATGGGGTTTCTGTACGCCTGCAAACAACTGCTGGTCAGTCAACTGCAGCCCCATGCTCATCGATGCATTCTAATTCAACCCACAGCCTACTTGTGTAGCGGCAGCCAGGCAAAAGCCGACCCGGCCGCATTTCCGCCTTGATCCCTGGAGAAAGATGAGCCGGTGCGAGGCAGACTTTTGCAGTCAACAGCGAGGCGGTGTACTCGTACTCGTGCCATCAGCCAGGGTCAACATATTGGCTTTGTGCGGCGCCGCCCCATGTCGCTCTTGTCCTGCTCGTGGCGTACATCTACGGTTTACAGACACGACGACGGTACGACTACGGCGCTGCTGCTTCAAAAGTAAACAGTTGGCCGCCAGGGTGGACGTGCGTCTCCGGCCATGGATCGAGTCGAAGCTCAAGACAGCCGAGACGGTTCGCGAAAGCAGAACGAAACCGTCGCGACAGTTTCCAACAGCACTGCTCATCAAGTTACCAAGTATACCCAAGCATCAAGGCACCTACCTTTTGAAACAGAGTACTATGTCGATTTGCCGTGAATAGAAGAGCAAAACGTTCAAGAGTCTGCAGTCTCGCTTCCATTTCCTTTTGTAAAACACTGTCAAATACTACGCCCTCTTATCAACGCTGAATCAGGCTCGCAAGAAAAAGGGAGCAAATCGGTCAACTCACTTGAACTTTTACGAGTTCTAAGCTCCTCCGTCGCTTGTCCCTCCCGCTATGGTCTAGGTCATCTGGGACGACTGGTGACAAAGACACGCACGTTCCAGCTTGCGAATCGCTGTCGTCTTGTCCAACAGGCCGGGTCCCCTACCCTTCGGCCTGGACGGAATCAACTGGTGGTCTTCTGGTGGGGAGGTCTTCAGTCAATTCAGGTGGTTGTGTCGAACGCAGTGTCGAATTCCTCATATTCTTGAATGTCAACAAACACCGACTGGAGATGGTCGGCCGGCGTCGAAACTGCAGCCTTGTGCAAACCTCTCTTTGTTAAGCGCTACCTGGCCATTTTTTCTTGGGCTCTGTGCGGCAGCCATTGCTCCGATGCGGTGTCATCGCCGCCACAACACGTTGGGCTCGAGAACTGGTCCGTGAGATGTTCAAGCCCCGGGTACGGGGCGGCCCGATGGCAACATGACGGTTCAAAGATCAGCTTCCCTTTTTTTTGTTTTGTTTTTAATCAACCTGGTCATGAGAATACCGAAGTGCCATTGGAGCATCACCATGGGCTCTTACGTGATGCGACGAGTGCAAGGTTCGGCAAGAGAGCAAAGCCATTCCATAGCACGTGTAGAAGATCAACCCCCCCTTTGCGCCTGTGGTATGATTTACTTGACATTGCGAATTCACAGCCAGCTTGAAGCACGAGGCTGGTAAGCACTTGCCCTTGGTTCCAAGGCGTGCGAGAAAAACGAAAACGGAGCGCTGACGGCGGGTAATAATTAGATGGGACCTACAACTTGAGCTACGTTAACGGCCATGTTTCCGGGTACGCCGTCGGCAACGACCAGCTCCAGCCCCCTCAGATCAGCGGCGTCGCCGACACTGGCACGACTCTGCTCCTCATCGACGACGACATCGCAAAAGAGCACTGCTCCCAAGTGCCGGAGGCCCAGCAGGACCTGCAGCAGGGCGGGTACGCTTGCGACTGTAGCTCTGGGCTCAGCTTGGGCGTCGGCCAGGGCCAGGCAAGGGTTCATCATTCCCGGCAGCATCATCAACTATGCGCCTACCCAGAAAGGCAGCTGAGCTCTGCCTGCTGGGAATGGGAAGAGTGTGTACGGAGTACACTGTCCAACAAACGCCGACGTCTGCCTTGTATTCCCACGTGTCGCGCGTCCTTGGCAGCTGGGCCGGTGGCAGTGCCGCCGTCAAGGTCCCGGGGGGGTGGGTGCCTATCCCTCATTCTTGTCCCAGCAGCACCTTCTCCGAGAGCAGGGTGTCGAAGTAACTTCGAATCTCGACAATCTTGCCCTCGTCGTTCCATCGCATCAGCCACGCGTACTCATTGTTGTAGGGCTCGCCAGTGGTCCTGGTAGCCTCGCCCTTGGTCTCGACCGAGCACCACCAGCCGTCGGGCTCGCGTTCGGCGTCGACAATGACCCTTGTTGCCGTGAATTTGATGGGCCCCTCGAGCTTCCTCCCCAGCCGCTTGAAGGTTGCGTCGTCGTGGTCCTTGACGCTGTGCCGCGTCCCCGCCAGCGAGTGGGCGCTGCCGGTGCAGGTCCACGTGACGTCGGGAACTACGTACTCTGTGAGGAACTTTGCGCGGTGTTTGAGGTTTTTGGTTTCTCCCAGGTGGGAGAATGCCTTGCGGACGTGGTCTTTGGTGAGGACGAAGAGGGGCATTGTCGAGGCAGCCAGGGACCGAGTCTGGAGTCGGAAGGGTCGGCGCAGTTGGCATGCAATCTGACAGTTTGTTGGCACACAGGAGTTTCCGCAAACAATGGCCCGACTTTTCATGCTCTGTCGGGAACGCTGGTGGTTGGCCTCTGTCTCAGTCGCCTTGCGGCATTTCCTGTGGCAAGTCTGCCGCGGGGGTTGCGGCGATGAGACGATGACTTTTGAGACGCCACGTGGCTCGTGACTCCTTGTGGCGGTGCTTGGAGGAAATGGTATCCCGAGAAGTTTACGTACGGAGCACTCGGAACCTGTGTTGGGTTTGCTGGGGCGCAGGTTGTTAGTCGTGGCTCTGGCCACGTCATCGGCGTGTGTACATGTTCATCAGAGCCAAAGCAGATTGGCCTCCGGGCACGAGTTTCTGCAATTTGAAAACGAGCACGTACAATCAGCGACACGGGTCTGATGGTGACGTTCTCCCCCACGGCAAGTAAAACAATATAAGTGTCATTTAGGTATCTACTACACGTGCCATGACGGTTGCCGATCTGCTCGTGGCTCGAACAGGCGACCGCTGTCACGCCCTCTAGTTGGAAATCTTGGGATTGACCTTGGTACTGTAGGGGGGCGTGTCAATACCCTTCGGCTCGAGCGCCATTGCAGACGAGGTCAGGTCACTTACCCGGTTGCCTTCTCGTAGGCGGATCGACCGGCATCGGTGATCTTCTCCTGGGTGTTGGGGTCAATGTTGTGGCCGCTCTTGCTGGCCGCCATGCCGAAGGCTACGCACGAGGCAGTCAGCATCCCAGGAGTCAAGTGAAGAGGAGAGAGGCAGTTGGCTTGATGATGGCTGAAATACCCTTGTCGACGTAGTCCTTCTGCTCGCCACCCTGGCCCTGGCCCTGGCCCTCCGCGGGCTGGCCTTTGTTCTCGCCGGCGTTGCCCTTGACGCCTTCGGCAGCCTTCTTGACGAAATCCATGGCGTGTGTGTAATGTGCTTGTAAGTAACGTGACGGGTCGAGTTGCAAAGTTGTCTAGTTCAAGATCGCAGCACAGCGACACGGCTGCCACCCGGGAACTCGATGCATCTTATACTCGCGACCTCTGTCCTCTAAACCAATGACGTCTTCCCTCGTCCTGGACGCCAGGCTAGATTCGAACACTCAGTACTCCGTAACCAGTGACCATGACGGATCCCAGCGACCTGGTGCCTGCAAACTCAAATCAAGTCGACAAGCTCCGCCGCAGTCTTGGAGCCCGCGAATCAACCCCCCGGGAGCGGTTGAAAGGCAATCAGGTCCAGTCCAATCGACGACGACGTCATGTCCCGCATTCCAGCTCACGTCTCCGCCACGGGCCAAGTTCATTGGAGCGTCGCCCCTAGCATGAAGCCACTAAGAACAATTATGTGGTCCCGATCATCGGCCGCCCGCTCTTGGACAAATGTAACCAAGCACGTTGGCTTATCGAGATCTGTGATGTAATGACGCTGACGCGATGAGCAAGGTGAGCCCCGGGCCCAGCAAAACCCCCACGTGTAAGTAGATGAAGCTTGCTCGAGACCGCAGGGCATATGGACTGGACAACTGGCCAGTTCAGCCGCTTCCCAGCACCCGGCCACAAGCTTCCCGAGATACTAGTATCCTGAGAAGGGCTCCCTCCAGGGTTCAAGTGGTGCAGCTTCAAGTCATGACACCGACATAATACCAGCCAAGCTTGCGGCCATGGGGATACCTTTGACCTGGACATGTAAAAGGCCAAAGGGGCACACTGATGTGTTTGAAATGCAGGATATTGACCCAGAGTCGCGCTCTTGACAACCGCTCGGCTCGTGGCGGTACATGTTGTCGCCACGACACGAGATTAGGGCTTGCCTGCCTGTGAATCAGCTGCCCACAAGACGATGGTCTCGGACATGTCCAGCTTGGACTGGTTCGACTCCAAGCCATCACACCCCAAGCAGGTTCAACGACTCGGTCTTTGCCTCGTGACTTTCCCAACCTGGCACAGACGTTTGTCAATGCCGTTGCAGGCGCCGGGGATGGTCGAAACGAGGGACGGCTCCCGTGTGAGTTGATGAGTTTGGCAGGGGCACTCGGTGGTGTAGACTCCCCCCCGTACATACCCGGGACGGTATTATTCTGAAACGCATCTACCCAGGGTTCGACAGATACAGCGTCTTGTAATGAATGACTCAAGGCCACTCGACAGCTACGCTCGCCTCACACCCATCGAGCCATTCTTGGGTGCGCTGACTTGTCATGGGCGGATTTCCCGTCTGCTTTGCACATTCTGATCTTCTGCATCCTGAAGAATCCTCTCAATGTAGGGTCCTGCTGCTGAGAGATGAAAAATACGGGCGATGGCTCGATGGATCGCAAGGAGGCGTGGAGATGGAGGATCGATTGCGCGCTGCTCAGTGACTGAGAGTGTGCGTGTTCGGGGCAGCAAACTCGGCATATCTTGTAATGGTTGGACAAGAATATCTCAAAGCCGCCGGAAAAAATAAAGAAAGACGAGCTGTGAGTCTGTGACCGTAAGCGCATTGCGTGGTCGGTCCATGTCCGGGCCTTGGACCGGATGGGCCGCGTCGTTATCGAACATGCAACATGGGTTTCCCCTGTACGAGTTGACAGAATCAATCTGGGCATGTAGGTAGGGAACCACGTAACTTCCGGTTGTGCATTGCGTCAAAGCATGCGGCAAAATATGAGCGACTTGAAAAGTGTCTCCTAAGAGCAGGCTGCCGTCGTTTTGCGCATGCGGAATCGCCATCGCCTGGCTCAGATCACGTGCTATCGAGTGGTGATTCTGGAAGACAAATCTTGAACTGCCGCCAAAGCCGGAACAGACCACATCATTCCGGTCAATCGATGGAATCGTGGAATCTCAGTCCAACCACTGCATCCTTTTCGGGCTTGAATGAGTGTCACTGCATGGGTTCATCAATGGACTTTGCAGTTTCCACGAGCTGCCTTTCGCTTCTCGCTCGTACGCCAGATTTTGCCACGTGTTTGATCCATGTCCTGGCTCTTTCAGACAATGCCGTGAATTCTGTCGGCAATGCTGCGAGCGGCGTCACAATGAGCGAATATGCTCCGCAGACTCTTGTCGTGAACACAGCGTCAGGGGTCGATTTCTCTTTCTGCCTCGTGATGGCAGCCTTTCGGCAATGTCATCGGCATACGTCTCCATCTGAAGAGGCGATCCAAGTCACGTCCCCTTTGGAAAGCTTCCCACGGCTTTCCATTCTGCAGGAAACACGATGCTGTCAAACGAGTAGATATCAGGCCTTTGCTGGGCTGTTTCCGGCGACCACCTGTTTGGGTCCATTTCTGCGCCCCATCCATGGTCTTCGGTTCTCGACTTTGATGTTTGGTCCGTCAAAAGCCGGACCAGGGGCGTCGTCAAGGTCCAGCAGAGGGATGGATGTCGGGATGTCGGGATGTCGGGATGTAACGGCACTGGAACCGATGAGGATGGCAATGCCAACGCGCCCACCGCCACATGTCGCCCACGAGACGGCCTAGTCGTAGGCCGTGATCGAGAAGCAATAACAATGGGCTCAATACCATCCCACGAGCGAGTCCACCCACTCGGCAGCGCCGGGGAGCTCCCTGGTTTCGCACCGTGACGTGCCTTGACCATGGTCCATGGTCCATGCCAGCGCCTTCTATTCTGGTTTCCCATCGAGTTTAATGACTCGCTCGTCACCCGTTGAGGACGGCCATGGCTGACCTTTTCTTGATGATGGATCCTGTCCCTTGGCTCACACGATGGGGTTGGGGTCAACGCTGTGCGCTCAAGGACGGGACGACGCAACTGTTGTGACGGACGGCCATTCTCGTTGAGAACAACACATGTTGGATCAAGATGCTGCAGTCGGGACAAGACTTGGTAGCCGTCAGGTCCAAGCCAGGGGTAGACTATCCGGCAGTGACACCCTGTTGCTTGTCAAACAGGGGCTTGATGTGGACACTCCCGATTCATCTTGAGGATGAGCTTCACTGTATCAGGTATCGCTTTACTCATGAGCCTGGCTACGGCAGGGCCTCGGCCTTGTGGCTCTGCCTGACGAGAGCATCAAGATGTCGTCGTGTGTTGCCGTAAAGACCTTGGTCGCGCTGCCGAAGGAAGGAGAATGCCGCAGGCTACTACGAGCCTTGGGAACCAAATATAAGGACCTTTGAAGCTGATGGTATTGCTAGTGTCTCCCGGAGAACGTCCTGCCCGCAAAATCCCCAACAGAACGCATCTTTGCATGGTCTATCCCGTGCCCGAGCCGGTAGCACACTACGCCGCTCGTCTTTTTCTTTTCCAGCCTCGTGTCTTTGAAAATGAACAAGGCAGCGGTAAAAGATCCAACATACTGTACTCCCCATGAAGACAAAACTTCACTTGTCAGGAAATGAAATAGCGCCACGAATACCACCAGTCCAAAGTGCACATGCTGGCTTCTCGCGTCCACGGCCCCGCGGATCAAGTCAAAATTTATGATGCCCCGTGACGCTTCAACGCGGCTTCACAGCATCCATCACCCGTGCTTCTGTGTATTGCCGCCGCCACTCTTCCCACCTTTGCTGACCTCTCTGCCTGCGCCCGCGACACGTCTAGATTTCTCATCCCCCTGCGGCTTGCTCAGGTCTTGATTGGCACCGCTGGCTTCCAGCGGATCGCCGCCCTCTTCCTTCCCGGCCATGGCGCGCTGTCCCTCGGGCGAAGTCACGCCTCGGCCAAACGCGGCTTTTGGCGCACCGGCAACATCGTCGTCCCTGCCAGACTTGGTGTTCTCTGCCGGTCGCGGTCGCAGCGACTCTCTGTCCTGCGAGTCCTTGTACGGAGAACAGGAGACGGGGCTTGTGTGGTGTGCTTTGGCAACGAGGAGTCGCGGCAAGCGGGTGAGCCGTGCTGGTCGTAGGCCCATGGCGAGATTGCGGTCGAGGTCTATTGTTGTCGAGAGGAATCTTATTCAGACTATTGTAACGGAGCGTTTGCCATGTCGCGGCGAGTTTCCTGGGGCCGCATTTGCGGTCCGATCATGACGTCGACAAGTTCTGGGGGCGACGCGGGCCTGACGTCACTCATGACTCGCACAGGAAGGGCGACGACAAATCCGCCACAACTGCCACAACTGTACTGTGTTTGCTGCAGCCCGCGCCGGACGTGTCCATCTCCATCTCCATCTCCATCTCCATGCGGGATCCGAGGCTTGCAGCGGCATCCAATGGCGCGCCGGGACGGAGCACCGCGGACGAAGATACTCCCACTGGGTGGCCGAGGGTTACGCTGTTTCTTGCACCCTCTACAGCCGCAGGTCTCCCCGCAGAATTGGCATCCGATACAACAGCATCTCACACCTTGGTATTTACCGCACAGTGGCATATGCCACCTTTGATTCATCTGCAAGGCGGGGGATTGCCTCGACCGACACGTGGCTTCGGTTCCCAGCCCGAGTCCGAACGAGTGGACCGAGCTTTCTTGAACCGGGCGCCCGGGGCCCGTACAGGTTCTGGCACGGCATCAGATTCTGGAACTGGGGACCGGTTGATCACGGGCTGGGACCAACGTCTGGTGTCGGATTTTTCAGACCCAGACACCAGTTTCCCGGGTCCGAAGCTAACCAATATAGCATGACTTGCATACAGGATCTCAACAATGGCGCGGCTAGCGTCACAGAATGAGACGGATCGCACTGCGTTGCATTTTGGCTCTCTGGACAAACCCGTCGAGACTCCAGAGTCATTTTCCACAACGGCGCCCGTCCACGTGTGCAGACCCCGCGGCCCTGGACGTCGCCAGCCTAGGTACGAAATTTCCGTGACGCATTTTCCTTTCCGTCCAAAAGGGAACAAGGGCCAGCGGTCCGATCAAGCCAGCCCCAAATGTCCAGAAGCTCTCCTGTTCGGTTCAAGCAAGTGCCGCAAACAAGGGGGTCGCCACGCGAGAAGCTTGCACGAATCAAGGGATAAATTTAGCCTCACCCTCGGCGACTCAGCGCCGCAAACCCCTCTCACTCACCAGCTTCTGCCTTTCGCATCGCACGTCGGGTGCCGTGCAGCGGCCTTGGCACGTCTAGTCGAGTCAGCCCGCCCGGCCTTGGAGGCGGCGCAGGGACACCTCCGGTATTCGAGCGCGGCCCCACCTTCCCGATTTGGTAGTGAATACAAGTTTGAATAAACTCCAGGCACAAACACGACCGCAAGTCAACCGGCCTCAATAGCACGCCATTCGGGAAGGCTTGCCGCAGGACCATGCCCCCGAGAGTCTGTGCCCGTGGAAACAGCTGCCTCCGTCGCACAGCTCTTGCGGCTTCTCTTCAGACCTCAACGAGGGCAATCTCGCTCCCCAACGGACGGCACGACACGCCCCCGAGGCCATCGAGGCTGGCAGACCGTCTCCGATCAAGCAAGTAGTCGCATCTCGCCTCCACACGTTGCCCCTCGGGTGGGAGATGCACAATAGCTGGGAGACGCGACAAGCCATTGCCATGGCTTTATTCTGTCGGCGGCTGGTTCCACCGGCCGCATCCATTTTCGACGCCGGCCGGGGTATTCACTACTTGTCCGTCGACGCGTGGGCTTCTGCGCCTCTGCCACGAGCGGGAGACATTGCCGCCTCGTGGGATGTCGTTTCTCCAGAAAAGAACCTAGGGGCCTCTAGTCGACTCGTTAGCTCTAGAGGCGTTGATTGACGCTGCTCGCGGCCGAGGGCACGGTGGAGCGCCAAGTCCTCATGCCAAATCTATTGAGTCGTTTCAATAGTTGATTGCATTCACTGAGGGCTCACATGGCGACAATGTGACCAAAGCTCTCGTTTCCAACTCTACGTGCGGCTGTTTTGTTCCGTTTCGTTCATTGCCCTGCCCAAATGGGATAAAATCATCGTCATTGCCGTCGTCGTGGACGGCCTTTTTTCTTTGTCGATCTTGTCCAAGACGATTATCCACCCCAGGCGTAAACTTCTGTATCGCATCAGTTAGCTTGAGACTTGTTCGCAACGACTTTTGAGTCTCAACGTCTTCGCTCCCTCCCCTTGCGCAGTGCAGACAGACGCCATGCGCATTACCTCGGCCGTGCTCGCCCTGGCTGCCGCGGGAGCTCACGCCGCTCCTGCTCCTGCTCCCGCTCCTGCAGCAGAGGCTGTCCCCTGGTGCTGGCGGCCCGGAGAGCCCTGCTGGAAGGTCAAGAGAGTTGCCGAAGCCTTCTCCGAGTCCCTCAAGTCCTCGGGTGCCCTGAAGGAGCGCGCCCCGGAGGCCGAGTACAGCAACTCCCCCGGCGGGGCCGCTTACACGGCCAAGAGGTCGCTCAACGAGCTTGCCCACGTGGCTGCGTTGACTGCTCGCGAGCCTGCCGAGTTCTACCGTGACTTGGAGCTCGAGGCCCGGTTCGGAGCCGACGAGGGGCTCGACAAGAGAGAGGCAACCCCGGACCCCTGGTGCTGGCGGCCGGGCATGCCTTGCTGGAAGAGAGACAGCAGCAACGAGCCGGTCCCCATGAAAGACAAGCGTTGGTGCAACCGGCCCGGAGAGCCCTGCTGGAAAGCCAAGAGAGCCGCAGAGGCCGTCATGAGCGAGATCGGGCAAGTTTCCAAGAGGGACGACGGCGGCGACGGCAACGGCGGCGACCACCCGGATCACGGCGGACACTTCCCCGGCTACTGCAACGGTCCAAACGTCTTGTGCTGGAAGAAACGCGAGGCGAGCCCCGATCCCGACGCCGAAGCCGAGCCTCAATGGTGCTGGCGGCCAGGCGAGCCATGCTGGAAGGCCAAGCGTGATCTTCACGCTCTGCAACTCGCCGCCCGCAACGTTGTCGAGGCTCTTGAATGAGGAGGAGTCGAGGCACGCGCAGCAACAGGGTGCTCCTTGGGACGAAAACTTCTATCGCTGTATCAAATATTTATTCATTTCACGCGGACCTGGGTGGATGAGCCGTCGAATCTGTCTGTACAACTACTGTCAATGCCGCGGCCGGAGTCGCCAATTTGACCTCCTTTTTCTTTTCCCCGTGTATTTTTGGATAAGGCGAATGATGGAACATGGAACAGGAAACATGCTGGGCATGAGAAACGCCTGGATAAGGATATCCAAACGAGGCGAGGTTGAGGTCCTTTATTTTACAAGAAAAAAAAAAGAAAACCCCGGTTTTCCCCGCCGCGCTGAAGAGGACCGTTCAAGCGCGAGCGTTCTTTTTAATGCCGACGAAAACGCAGGATAGAAAGCCTGTCGTTTGATGGTCGTTGAGACACACGTGCCAGAAGCCTACGGCAGCTTCGATAGCAGAAACTCTGATGACTGCGCTCATTTCTGAGCCCAGGCATAACTATTCGATACCCAAGGAATGAAAAGATTGGGACAAATTTGGAGAGTGCATTTCGTACGCGCATCCGTCAAGTCCGTGCAGCCTTTTTGTTGCTTTGCAGTGATGACTCGTTGGTGACATGTTCTGGGCGAAGCGGAATTACTAAAGAGTCTGTGCCAGTTCTGTTACAAATGAGAGAGTGTCTAGTCGCAAGGAAATTCTCAGCCCACCGGGAATCACGAAGCGCAATGACACGTAGTCTTGATTGCCACACTCGGCAGCCATGGGCATCAATGGCCAACCGGCCATTCTGCTCTGCGTGGGCAGGAATAACTGTTCACTCACGTATCCCTCTGTTCCCGGATCTATAGGCATCGAGGCACGTCTTGGTCGCGGCAATTGGCGAGGCATGTTTGAATCATCGTATCGAAATCGACATGTACGTTCAATCATTGCGATCCTCCCCATTTGGCTATTGCCAGGAAAGCAACGCACCCAAGATTGTTCGATTTGATCTTCGTTTCTGTTCCTCAGTCACCAGTAGTCCTGGGCGCAGGCTGTAAAGCGCACCTCGGACCGGCATATTCGAGAGACTTGAACGTGATTTTTGCGTTGTTCTTTAAGTTGAGAAGGAAAAGAAATCTCGAATGAGGCTGACATTTTCTGGTCTTTTTAGTAGGCGGGCCAGGGTGGGGCTTGGTGTTCATGCCCGACCAGTGACAATGCGTTGCTGGTCTTTGCTTTAGCGCCTGATTCTTCAGGCATGATTTAGGCGGCGTCGCCGTAGCCGCAGCCTCGGGCTTCGCTTCTCCAAGATCCACCACCATCTGCTTCACCGTGCCAGGGTTGCATTTAAAAAAGCTCGTTACAACTGGTTTCATCTGGGCGAGGGTGCCCATGGCGGCATTGGAATGTGGCAATGCCGTCATGACCCCACCGCATGCCACGTAAACAGGACTCGTCGATTGACAACTCGAGCAACCAAGTAGGTTGTGACAACGTCTGACAACAATTGACTTGCCCATTTGCCTTGGCAACACAGGGATCAAGAAACCAGCTGGCAGAGGAACAAAGTCTTAAGTCCGCAGACTTCAACTCTTACGAATCGCCACCACCACCATGGCAGACCATCAAATCTCGTCCAAATTTTCCAAGCTCAATCCCTTCAACTCCGACGACGACGACAAAGGAGGGGCCATTTCCGTCAACTCGGTGGGCGGCGGCGGTCGCAGCACCCGCAAGGCTCAACACGAAAAGCAACAGCTCAACGTCAGCGACGCCCTCCGCAAATACCTCGTCGAGCACAACGTCATTGCAGAGCACGATGCCGGCGTCGGCTCCAGCGAGACCACCCCGGCCCTGCGCAGCTTGCTGGGCAAATCTCACTTCAACGTGCCCGAGTCGCTGCTGGACAGGTCCCGCCCGTTGCCGGAATACTTCATCAGCTCCAGCCACAACACATATCTCATGGCGCACCAGCTGTACGGGTCGTCGTCGGCGTCGGCATACGAGACTGCCCTGAAGACGGGGTCGCGGTGTGTCGAGATTGATGCCTGGGACAACAGCGCCAACCCGGAGGAACCCAAAGTCACGCATGGCTTCACGCTCGTGTCACACGTCTTGTTCAGGGACGTGTGCGAGACCATTCGGGACGTCTTTGACGAGGAGAAAAGCATCGCCCACAAGGACCCCGGGTGTCGTCTCGCGCCGATACTACTGTCGCTCGAGAACCATTGTGGTGAGCAGGGACAGAAGCGACTGGTGGACATCATGAAGGAGGTTCTCGGGGACCGGCTCCTCGCCCAGCCAGTTATACAAAAGGGTCATCGAGAACAGAGCGGTGCGGACGAACACGTGTGTCTGGCTGATTTGGGGGCCTGTATCGCCGTTATCGTCGAGTACGATCTGAAGGGAGTCGACGGCGCCGCTGCTCAAGAATCCGACAGCGAGTCGTCGTCAGCCAATGAGCAGGAAGGGGAGGAGGCCGAGGCTGCTCGAAAGGCATACAAGCAGAAGATGAAAGAAGCCCCTCCCGCCGGCATCATCCCAGAACTAGCAGACCTGGGCGTGTATGCCCAGTCTGTGAAACCAGTCGACAACTCGTGGTTCAACCCGGGTACTCTTGTAAACGGGCCACACCACCACCTCATCAACCTCTCCGAGTCGGGCCTGTCATCGCACCTCCCCGGCGAGTCCATTGCTATCGCTGCCCACAATTCTCAACACCTCATGCGCGTCTATCCCAAAGGCACGCGAATCTCCTCGTCGAACCTGAAGCCCCTCCAGTTCTGGGCCATCGGCGCCCAAATCTGCGCGCTCAATTGGCAAACGTTCGGCACGAGCAATCAGCTCAATGACGCGCTGTTCAGCGGTTCAGAGGGCTACATCCTCAAGCCAGCAGCCCTTCGAAGCGGTGGCGACGGAAAGATTCTCACTGGCAGGAGGAAGAGACTCCGCTTGCATGTCGCTGGAGCAACAGATATCCCCGTCCACGATGACCGAGAGCCGGATTCTCTCAAGCCCTACCTAACATGCAACTTGTACAGTCCAGGTGACGTCGAAGGCGAAACGCATAAGCGCAAGACGGCGCCGTATAAGCATCACAAGTTAGGCATGCTACGTCGAGGCGATGATTCTGCAGTTACAGATCCAATTTGGGATGAGACGCTGGAATGGGTGTACGAAGATAATGAGCTGGTCTTTCTGCGGATGCTCATCAAGAGTGATGATGCGTGGGCTAGAAACCCCATGATTGCCGTCGCCGCCATCCGGCTACTGTATGCTGTGCCCGGATGGACTTTCATTCGCATGATGGATATGAAGGGCGGGGAGACAAAGTGTACAATCCTGATGAAGATGGAGATGGACAACGTTTAGGCATCGCAACGAGGAGCAAAGAGGGTATCGAACCTACGTTTTAGATCCGATATAAGAATTCTGGCCCTGGCCTCCCGTTCTCCTCCACTTCCAAGTATCATCAACTGCCACGGTCTCTCCCAATACCTTCCGCCAAAACGGCATCTCCATGAGCCTCGCCTTGTAATTCTCCTCGACGCCACCCTCCTCCCAGACCCTACACTCCTCGTCAACCTCAGCCTTGCCACTCAGCAAGTCCGCCGCCCCTGGTCCGACAATGCTGGTGCCCCTCAGAACCTTGCGCCCAAAGTATAGCACGGCAGTGTAAAAAATGCAAGAATACCCCGTGATGAAGCCCCTGGCCTTGAAAGGCGCAAACGGATCGAAGCCAATAAAGACAAGCGCGGCCACACCGACAACGAGGGCGGAGAACGCCCAGTACGGCTGGAAAGGCGCCACGTACGGCAAGGCAGAGCTTTGAAGGTTTTGGCGTGAGCGCTCGCGATACCAAAAGACGAAGACGACGAGCATGGAAGTGTATGTAGCAATGAGCCCGGTCGTGGTGAGATCGGCGGACCAGTTGAATACCTCGACGGCCGAGTTGGCAGTCACCAGCAAGGTGATGCAGGTGACGAGGCTGACGAGGGCCACGCAATAGATTGGGACGCCGGCCTTTGTGCATCTGACGAGGAATTTCGGAGCTTGGTTGGCTGGACCAGCGTCAGCCTGTCCTTGCCCAGGTGTCGAGTGAGATTTGGGAACAGGAAAGGCAAGACGACGCACCTCTTGCCAGGCCATAAAGCGTCCTGGACGAGGAGTAAAGATAGGCCTTCCCGCAAGACATGCCCGACAGGAGAATCACGGCATTAATCAAGTCGGGCAGACCGGTGATGCCCAAGTTCTGGATCCCAATCACCCACGAGCTGGCAGCTGAACCAGCGACGTGATCCTCAATGGCCCCCATGAGTCTCTCATCCCTCGAGCTGCAAAGAATGCCGACTGCCAAAGCGCCAGTGACATAGAGCCCGACCACTCTGTAAAAGACCAGTTTGGCGACGCGGGGGATCGTCCTTCTTGGGTTCTGAATCTCCCCCATGCCGAGGGCAATCAAGTCCGGGCCGGAGATGGTGAACCCGGCATACAGGATGGCCTTCCACCAGCCCAGAAAGAGACCTGCCGCGCCCTCGGCGTAGTAAGAGTGCATCGCGTTGCCGTCCTTCCAGTGTCGGAACCTGTAGGCATCGTGGCGGGTTGCCTCCACACATGAGGACGAGCCCAACGAGCAGGAGGATCTTGGTGGACCCCACGATGAATTCTGCCCCTCCGTAGTATCTACTCAACAGCTCAGCCTCTGCCCAAGCGCTGAGAAGGGGGGGGGGGTTCGGGTTTTCAAGGAAGACGTACTTGACAGGCATGACGTTGAGAAAGATGCAAATAGCCATTGCCATTGCGATCCACACAGCCGGATCGATACTCTGGTTCCAGTACTGCATCACCGTCGCCACGGCACTGTACTCGACACACACGAGCATGATGCCCGCGTACAAGTACGTCCAGCCCATGGCGAAGCCCAGCGCCGGGTCGACAAAGCGTCTGGCGAGTTGAAAGATGGACCCTCGGATCGGGAGGTAGGCGCACATCTCGGCCACGCAGAGGTTACACGGTCAGATGAAAAGCGTCCCCCACAGAGTGAAGGCCAGAAGGAGGGAGAGTGGGCCGGACTGAGATAGTCTGCCGCCGATTCCGACGAAGAGGGCTGTTCCAATGGATCCCGTGATGGCCATGAGCTGGACGTGGCCGGGGGGGAGGCCGCGTCTTGTCTCGCCGTATCTGATGCGGATTGAAACGCCGGTCTCGATGGACCGAGCTGCTCCGTCGGGCGGCGCGTCTGGTGGGTGAGATTTAGATTCAATGTCGGCCATGGCGACTGTCGGCCTGGTGACCGAATTTTCTGCGAACGGGTTGGCCTCTCCTGGCCCTCCTGCCCGGCAACATGATACGTTTACCGAATCAGACAGAGTTGTTTCCAAAAAGACGACTTCGGCGCCGCAAGAAGTCACGGGACATCACGCATATCAACATCCGCTGACCACCATTCCCGCCGGTGAGCGGTAACACGGGTCTACCTGGCTTCGTGTCATGCTTTGCATCCACCAAGCCATCTCGGGTCTTGCACGTCCTGGCCAAATAGATGCAGGCAGGCAAGGCAGGCAGGCGAGATGCGGTGAAGAAGTGTCAATATTTGGCGACCGAGACACGAACAGAACAGTCATCACATGTAGTTGTCTAGCGTCTGCCATGTGCGAGCAACTACTAGTTCTTCTTCGTTACGGCATGCTGCATGTATTCCGTGCCTGGGATTAACCAGATAAAGCGGGGAGGGAAGATGCCGAATCTAACATGGCTGAGTTTGTGTAAAGCAAATTTCAAATCATCAGTATGCATGCATGGTCCGCAGCGACAGACGTGACGAGCAACTTACAACTCAGCAACACGCCGACTCGGCCATTCTCAGGCAGAGCGGCGCGACTCTCTGCCGCGCACATACTGTCCCATCGTCGACGCCCGACGCCTCTCAACCGGTACGACACCGATACGCGCCGCCGCCGCCGACTCGAGCCGCCGTTGAAGGCGTCACGGCGGAGGAGCGGAGCGAGCGACGCGGCGCATCTGACTGGTCGACACCGCTGCCGTGTAACTTCCCGTCGTGATGCTCCAGTGTCTGTCTGTCCTTGACGAGTCGACATGGCAGCCGTGGCTCCATAAGCGTCCATCTATCTATCAAGTCGGCGACTTGCGTTCGAGGCAGCAGTGAGCAGCAACACGTCTCCGGAGTCGACAGTCACAGACTGTAATCTGCCCCACCAATGAAGCTGCCGTTGCCAAGCCGAATAGGAAATTAGCTTGCAAAGTTTATTTCTCTCAGGTGCCGCAACTTGGCATACTTGACGGATGTGACGGCTACCAACTGTCAAGACCGCGCCATCGGTTCAGTTTGATCCGAAGTGTGATTCAATCGAGCACTTCCCCTGTTCCGAGAAGCCCGTATTGTCTGCGCCGGAGAGCAACGAGCCAACAGCGATGGAGGCCCTCGCCAAGGTGGAAACGCGAGGTTACACGTGTGAAGCCGCATGTCCATCGTCACGCGAAGCAACTCACTGTCGACCGAAGAGCCCATCAATCTTGGCCAAGGAGTCTTGGGGCAATTGTTGCCCCAGGGTCTGCTGGTCCAGGACCAGATGAGGATCACTTCTGCCAAACTGACTGTATTGCTTGCGATGGTCTAGGGTTGAGCAACCTGATGAAGTCGTCACCCCAAGTAAAGCCGCATCACTCTGAGAGACGTTTGGAGATTGGCACCTGCAGCCGGATTAATCTTTGGGGCAGAGGAAGACTTGGACTTGCACGTAGTTCTAGCTAACGGATTATTCGGCGTTTTTTCGTCGACCTCAGAAACATAGACCAAAACAAGCAGACCAAGCAAGACAGGATGCGTCACCGTGTTTGTTGAGGTGTGAATATCAAAAGCGATCTAGTATGGGACGTCACGCTTGCTAGGTGGACGGTGCGAGGTTCTCGTGAGCCTCGCCAAAGATTCACAAAAAAAAGAAAGAAAAAAAACACTGGCTGTTGACGCTATCAGGCCCGACACATTGTATCTGTACGCAAGTTGCCGCATTCGTCGTTTTCATCAAACAGCTAGTTATAAGCAACAGAGTGCGCTCTCACCGCCAGGAATATGCGCCCGAGTCAAGGTCTTGGGATCAACCCTCCTTAGCGAGTATGGCTCAGTGCACATTGCGATTCTGGCTGTTTCTTCAATGCACCCCTGTGACATGGGTCGCAGGAATGGGCATGCCCATAACGTTTGCCAAGTTGTACCTTGTGCAACAGCTGTACAGACCTCCGAGGCTGAAACTATTTGCCTGATTCTTGTCATGATGATGGGAGTGTTTCTGGCGCCCAAGGTTTTTCGGGACTGGATGAGCTAGAGTCGGCAGCAGCCGCCGGTTGTCCCCAGAATGGATCACAAATATCCCGACACAAATGACGCCACGGCTGTCAAAACATGTCTTGGAGACGTCAGGAGTCCGAGGTTGGTCAGCGAGTGTTGCGCCGTTGTGCAGCGACGCACGGTTTCCGACTTACCGGCGCAATGCCGATCCATGACATCAAATAAGGGAGCCGCCAGGGGTGGCCGGAAGAGGTGGGGGAGAATCACTATACCAGTCCCGTCCATGTCCATGCTCTTAAACGAGGAGAAGTTGGATTTCTCGTGTCTCTCGTGTTTCTGACTGGCTGGGGCGGCCAGCCGGATTTTCTCTGCTCTGGAGGCAAATTGCATCGCTTCGCGCTGGATATGAAGGTGGCATATTACTCCGCAGCACGGGTAGAAGTGTCTGCAGCATCTAGAAGATTGCTGCATCAAGTTGCAGATGCCATTGACGATGCCCTTTTCGAAATCATTCCGGTACTGGGTGCTGAACCGCGAAAGTTTGCCTTGCACACAAGTGACAGCAGCGCAGGGACAAAGAAAGGGCCGTGACTCGTGACAAACAGGGTGTCGAGATTGACCGAACACTACTGTCGGAGAACGAGCATGAAATAGCAAAGAGCGGCATCGCAGGGTGGCCAAGAAACCCGAGATCGGTAATTTTGGCCGTAAACGGTCTCGGAGGAAAAAAAAACACGCTCGATGATGATAAGGAAGTGATTCCCCTAGCTCACGTGGGCCACTGACAGCGCCAGCGACGATCCCGGAAAATTTGAGGATAAAAACAGTAGTCTCGATCAAAGGTCATGTGTGCGATATTATTTCTGAGAAGACGAGGTCGAGGCGCCGCCTGAGTGAGGCACTTGACCCTCCCCGGGTGGCGAGAAGGCGCGATTTTTGTCCATAGAGTTGTTGTCTCATTCAGTCGTACTTTCCCTCGCGAGCTGGCCAGTGGCAATATTGACCAGGTACGGAGTACTCAAGTACGTTGCGGATTCTATCCAAGTCCCCAATCGCCGTACGGAGCAGTCTCCCCTTGGCGTCCCGTCGTCGGTGGCCTGGCCTTGACCGCCCGTTGCCAGCGCCCGTTGCCCAACGTACTTCCGCGGAGTTAGTGCAAGTACAAACTGCACCAGGCCCGGCACGGGAGCCTCGTGGCAAGAGCGACACGAGGCATTCTGAAGCTACTCCGTACGTGGTCATGGTATCTGAGCCTCTCCTCGCTCGCTTGCCCCCTCTCACACCGTCCCTATTTCCCTGTCACTGCCGCCATGCCGTCTCTTTCTCCCCTTTCCACGACTAGTACTACGTACTTGGCACTAGGTTCTCTCGTGCGCCACAGGCCTCGTGCGCTGCAAGCTGAAGGCTGGCCATGTTGCGGATGCACGCGCCGGCATCGTGGGGCATCCAGGACAGGGCCGTCGACTACGGAGTACAAGCATCAATTTCGAGCACCAGTGTGCCCCATTCGTTGCCCTAGTGCCTTGTCTACAGACAAGGACAGCCAATGGCGTCACGAACGCCGATCCTCTTGTTCGTCTGGTCATGGTCCGGATACCGATGCCCTTGCAGTCGTCTCTCGCCTGCACTGCCAGTCAGTGAGTTGTCTGACCTTGTGCTCGCTCCCCAGGCAGGCAGACAGACGCCGGCAACTTGCTCCATATGTGCTCTTGATCGACCAAGTCATGTCCCGGCTTGCCTTGTATCAGGATTCATTGGGTGTCACCCGCATCTTCGTCTTGGCTCCCCCCCGATTGACAAGGCACGGCGCGACCTCTGCCTATCATCACGCTACTACCAAGTTAACGGCTTCTAATCCGTACCAAGGCAAGGGATTTCATCTTCCTGGGCCTTGGCGGTGGGACTTGGAATGTCCAACTCCATACTCTCTCTCTCTCCCTGTCATGTCACCTGAGCTCGTTGATCCACGAGCGTCGCGACAACGTGCGAAACGTCGTCTTTCTCTTCAAGGAATAAAAGCAACAGTGCCAATATAAAACAATGTCATCTGCCATTCGCTCCTCTAAACGCCCCGCGAGAGCCCTGGTATCCTGAAGGAGCCTGTGGGGCTCAAGGCTCTGATGCTACATTCTCGTCTCACACTGGTGATGGAAAGGAAACGCAGAGAACCCTATCATCATCTACTGGGTCGGAGGTGCCTCGTCCTGAAACGCCCAGTCAGCCTACGAGGAGGGCAGACACGGACATTTTTCCCATGTGCTGGGTGAATCGACATCCATCCACCCTTGCACTTGGGACGACGGGTGTACCCCAGGGAGCAAGCGAGAAACTGACGTGCGCACGGCTGTACTAAGTGTTGGCCATGACGTTCGATGTTGGCATCCGTATTCTTCGAGGTTTGAGCAGTGACGCAAAACGCCGAGCGCCATCCGAGTCATTTGCGGCCTTCTCTGACGCCCTTCGCAGCATGGCAAAAAAATCGATGCCTCGAGAAGGAATCACGGGACTTTCCCATTCGCTTTGATTGTGGTCTGTTGTGGCGCCAATGAAGGGTCCCCTCCTGCCGTGGCGCCATTCCCCCCCCCCCTCTTGAGGATATGCTGCAGAGCGCCACTTCCCACCGCCAAGTCCGAATCTGGCCCCCTTTGATGTTGAGTGAGAACCTCACTCGCCCGAGAGGACGAGGATTTACTAGACGCCTGGTTCAACCACCTCCACTTCCCGCCTCATCGTCTCCTCATGCAATGGAGTGATTACCCACTCTGACTACGGTCAGGCTTCCATGCTCCAACAACAATAACTGTTGTTTTTTAAGCTGTAGGGGGGTCGGGGTGCTCGCACAAGGACAGACGGGCGTGTGAGATGGGCTGGCCAAATCGAAACCACCAGCTATATTTATTTCCCTTGGTGCTTCAGGCTATCCGACTCGCCAACTGTTGCTTTCACATCCGTCCCAAAAGCGGAAGGGAAAAAGGCATGACAAAAGGACAATGTCGTTGCCCGACGCCCAAAACAGCACGCGAACAGAGCGACACCAGGCAAATGATGGAATGTGCTTGTGCGGGCGTTGGCGCCCAGGCGAAAAGCCCAACCGCGCTCCGTGCTCTGGCGAGTTGGACATGGAAATAGTGTACTTGACGTAGTCCTGCCTGCCGAGGCCCGCCCGCCGGCGCCGACCGATAATTTGAATCGACCGAACCCGTGCTGGAGGCCCTGGAGGCCCTAGAGGCTCCGGTACGGCCATGACTCTTGCCTTCGTGACTTGGGCAGTGAATGAATCTTTGTCGTTCTTTTTCCGTTTCAACCTGTTGGCTGTCTGCTTAGACCACGTAAGGAGGACGGCGCAGTAGAAAGACGCAAAGAGTTGGCTGGGCCGACCGTGTCTAGCGTCTAGTGTAGTGTTGGGCCGTGGGCAGCTAGTCTTCGCCGGTGGTTGTTTGGTTTGGTTTGGTTTGGCATGCCAGGCGTGTATTTGCCATTTGCGGGCAAACAACAACAACAACATTGAAAGACGAGAGGAACGCGCGGCATTTGTGCCGTGTCCAACATGACCGTTGGATGGATTGCAAAATGCGACTTCGGCCACGGGTGAAGCGCTCTGATTGCCTGGCCTTGCCGTACGGAGAAGCAGTAGGTAGGTACTCCGTAGCACGAGGCGAGTTGACCAGCCGGCCGTTTTCGTAAAATTGGTGTTGGCTGTGCCTGGGATGGGATGGGATTGAGTGTGAATGTGCAAAGGTCAATTCTGGTTGACGTTTTTGCCCGTGGCCTCCACCCACACCTCCCTGCAGGAGGTCTGGTACGTGCTCCGTACGTCAACAAACGTACTTACACACGCACTCCGTACGGAGCACCTTCCCAGCTGTCTACTGGAGGCTGGAACACTGGAAACCGGTAACTGGTTGGTCCTGAACATGCATGCAAGGAGCTTGTTCTCAGTGCTGGCAAAACAGGCTCCGGCACGTGCGCACCGCTGGCACCCCCCAGTGTCAATCGTCAATCGTCGGTCCGGTCAGTGAGTGAGCGACTCGACTCCCACCCGGGGCCACACCGTACACGGGGAGCATGCATGCCTGGGGTCAAGTGTCTTTGCAGAGTCGGTTAGTTGACCACTTGCAGTTGACGTATTGCTTTCGCCTCCAGGATTGCCCCGTGGACCCCCCCTCCCCGCCCGTCTGCCCCCTGTTGACTTGGATCAGTGGTACTCCGTACGTGCTCGAGTCCGCTGTCCAAGTACTTCAGCAAGTACCTCCTAGTACTCCGCACCGTCCACTCACACTCACTGTACATGGAGTACTTGGTAAGTATGGAGCTGCTACGGCCCACGCGCAAGGCCCGCTGCGATGCTATTTCATGTCACGCTCAGGTGAACTGCTGGCTCTTACTGGTAGGGTGTGGTCTGTCTGGTATTAAGTGCATTGACGTTGATTGCCGTTTCTCGACCGGGTACGTAAATCAACTGCTGCCGGGCTGCACATCCTGGTCCGCTTCTGGCCAACCTGACGTTGGACCTGAGCCTCCATCGCTTTCTGCTGTTTGCCCATTTATCCCACCCTCCCTCCTCCCTTCCCTGCCCATGCGAGAGTCTGGTCTGGCCTTGCGACCCTTCTTTTTCTCACCACCACCACGACCCCTTTGCCGTTCTGCCGCCCTGCACCTCCCAATTCCAAGAGGCATTTTCACCGTGGCTGTTGTCAAACAGCACACGCCCTGGATGGTTGCAAGGGCCTTGTCAAGCTGTGATCCTTGCCATCTGCGACCTCGGTCTTTTCTCTTTTAGTTGTCTCTTTCTCTCTCTCCCTCTTTCTCTCCCTCTCCCCTCAATTTTCTCGGTGCCAGTACTTTCAGTTCTCTAAAAGTCCTCCCCGGTTTGACGTCACCTACGGTTGTTTCTTGACATCAACTCAAGTTCAGGTTGCGCGAGGCACGTGCCAGTCCCCAAAACATCGCACACGAGATTACTCCCGTCCCCCCCCCCCCCCCCCCTCGCCTCCTCCTCGGTCACGAACTTGCTGCGCAGCGGCCACAATCGGTCCGATGGCCATGTCAGCCCATCACGAGTCGGAGTCCAATGGCTACGACAGTCACATACACCCCATCGAGCGATCCGACTCTTCAGTGTCAACAGCCACATCTGAGAACAATGAGCCCGACACCAGTCAACCTGTGATCCACCAGCCTGTGCCCACGCGCCCGCCAATGCCAAACCGAAAAAGCAGCGGTCCTCTGGTCGTCCCTCGCGACAGTTCCGAGGTTGGCCCTGTCGAGCCTCACTTTGGTCCTGATGATGTCAGAGCCATGAGTCCTCGAAGAACCAGCGAAGACATTGACAGACTGGGCAAGGAAGCCAGAGAGGAAATGAGAAGGTGAGACGCTGCATGTGCGAATATAGTTTACAGTCCATCTACCCTGGCCATTCGCCTGGACATCATGTCTTCCATTCAATGCGAGAACTCGGCGGGCGACTAACTCGAACATCAGACACGCCAAAGCCTTGCAAGATTCGCTCATCACCATATTCAATCGTATCGAGGCGGTACGTGAAGAGCACGACAAATTGGATAACAACAACAAGTTCCTCCAAAAGTACATCGGCGACCTCATGAGTACGACTAAGATTACCTCATCCGGAAGCCGGGGAAAGAAGTGAGCATCAGTGTGCTCAAGAGGGTGTCCAGCGGACGAAGGCCTCGAGAACAGTGATGTCGGCTTTGAAAAGAGGATGCAAGGTCAGCAGCACGTCACATCAGATTCCAAGTCGATCACGATGACGCCCTTTTTCTAAACGTCCGCGCATGAAATTTTATTGTGCCTGACGGTCTTAATTTGGTTCCTAGGCGTTGAACAGGCGCCGTTATTTTCCCCCAAACGCCCTCACGAATAACGAAACCACTGAGCGATCGGTGTTATTATTTCTAGCACGAATGGCTTCAAGATCGACCCAGCTATGGGCATGACAACGAGGTCCACGGGCAAACTTGCTTGAATGTCGTGCAGGGGACCCTAAGTGCGCTGTTTCAACATGAGGGGGAGCTCCCTCGCAAGACGAAATTTAATACCAATCACCCTTTTCATTGTACACCAACTACGGCATGGCGGAGCACAGCACCATGAAAACCACGACGGCATTCATCGCCGTATAAGAGCCCCGTGTATGGCGGATGCAGGGCTCTGCGGATAGGCCAGTAGAAGGGGTCACTACTGCGTGGATTGCTGTCAGTGTTTACAGATACCATTTAAAACGGCGAATCATTCGCCTTCTTTTTTTTTTTTTATTACTTTTGAGCAGCACTTTTGCACTTTTGTCATTATGTATGTTACTCCCCTTCTCCAACTTGAGCAGCCAGCAAGTTATGCATTGGCAGGACACACTCGGCAGAGGAGAGTCGTCGTTGGGTAAAGCATATCGTTAGGGGTTTATGGCAGGCAAATCATGGGACGCTTCGGGCCACTTTTTGATTTATGCATCAGCAAGCAACGTTGGATTGCAGGCGGCATGGGCGGGTTCATGAAGAGCGGCGTCACCAAAGTATGCCAGGAGAGAAAAATCAGCCGGAGCACCCTTTTTTGTTTTCTTTTCTCTTCTTTTTTTCCGTTTCATTTTTTTTGTTCTAGCCGGATGGAGACGATGAACAGCAGCGGTGGGTTTGTCCGACCGCGAACACGGAAGGCGCGAGTGTGCGATATCCTACTTGGGACAGGAAAGCAATGCAATCAATACCACGGTGATTTGACACGGCCTATCGTGAATGACGTGACGTCTGTGGAGCCATGCGTGGCGTGAGCTGACATGATGAAGACGGGACGAGGCAAATGATAATAACGGACGGGAAGGTAGCCGAACAGGGTTGGGACTTGTGCTCAAAACGGCGTCACTGTTTGACTTTTTTTCTGGCGGGGGGGGGGGCTGCATCTTATCTTTGCGGGGCTGCTGCATTCAGCGGCCGGCAGGGGTGCTGCATTCAGCGGCCGGCAGGCGTAGTCGGCAACAATGCGCAGGCCAAGGGGTTCTATCTAGGTCCAATACGTCCTGACGAATGGGCCCCCCTCCCCTTCTCTTCCTTGGGGCTCTCGTGCATGTTTGTTGTGCTTGCCGACCGTCTGGGGCCCAGGCATGGGGAAAAGTCGAGATGGCGGGAGGGGAATCAAGAGCTTCTCGACGTTTCGTCACTCGTCGGCGGCAAGGCAATTGCCAATTGCAAATTGGAGGCAGGCAGCGGCTCCGCTCCTGCCGCAGTGAGCACCGAGATGACGCACGCGGGTGACGACTGACGGCTGGCCGGCGCGGTTTGCAGTGCAGGGACCCCGATGGCGAGGGCAAAGATGGGATTCTTGGTATCGGAAAGGAAGGGGATGGACGTGGAAGTGGAGGATGGATATGGACCGGACCCCTTTGCTTTGCTTTTGCCTTTGCACTGCTTTTGCCTTTGCACTGCTTTTGCCTTTGCACTGCTCTGCATCTGCATCTGCATCTGTGTGATCCCTCGGATTCCTTGCGTCTGGACCTGGACCCTTTTGGTTGTCTTGCTCCGGATCCCTGGGTGGCCCTCCCCTCCCGCCTCCCGGGTCGCTGGTTGGAACCTGTTGCTCTTGGTGTTTTGCCGGCTGGCTCTGTAGACTTTCCGGTCGGACGTCAGTCGTGTCCCGGCGAAAAAAGCTGGGTGCTGGCTGCTGAATGCTGGGTGCTGAATGCTGAGTCGGGTGCTGAATCGGATGCGGTACACCGTCAACTTACTTGGACGTCCTTGAGTACTTGTATCTATCGTCAAGTTCTCCCGGATCCGAGTACCCGGCATTTCAGCCCAACATCGTACTTGAGTACCAGGTACCTACTCAAGTGCCTAGCTAGGTAAAGCACGCAGACAGAACCGAGAAGTGGAATGGATCCAGGTAAAGTAGGCGGTGGCCATCGCCGCTCAGTGTCATGGCGTACGTGAGATGAATGAATCAAACCACGGCACTGAGATAAGTCGCTTGGAACAAGGCACAGCCATGGCCATGTGCACGCCGCGAGACGTCTGCAGGGCCACGTACCTGAACTAGGTACTTGGTAGGTGCCTTGGTACGGAGTACCGAGAACGTACCCTGTCAGCAGGACGTGGCTACCAAGTACCTAGGTACTTGCGTGCCAAGCGAGTCCGGCCGGATCCTGTGGTGGCGCTCTGCAGGGTCCTCGGTCCATTGACAAGCCGTCTGGGGCCTGGGGCCCTGCGGGGAGGGGGCGCGGCTTTCGTCTTCGTCCTTAGGGTCGTGCCGACGAGTTGACGCCTGGTCGAATGCGGAGCACGTCATGTGGCGCGGGCCGGTGCAGACCGATGGGGAAGGGGGGGACGTCAGCTCCCTCCGAGACCAGACCAGACCAGACCAGACCAGACCCGTCGAGTACGGAATAACTACACGCCTTGGCTTTGGTGCAATGTGCAGGATGCAATGTCGGTCGACGGGGGACGCTGTGCAGGCGGGCAGGCGCGGCGCTTTCATCGAGCTTTCTTTGTTGCCTCCGCGGCGGCGTCGTTTGTCTGCCATCTCTCCCGATGGACTGAGGATGCGTTTGAAAGAAGTCGACTAAGAAAGAAGGAAAGAAACAAAAGAGACACAGTCGTGAGACGTTAAGCGCTGGGGACGCCGGCATCATCGCGTCACGTCACGTCACGCATTTGCGCCGCGTCCGCGGAACAAACCAATTCAACCGCGGACAGAGCATGCAGACAAGACGCCACCAGTACGCAGAACCGACACACCCGCTTGTCTAATACTAATAATACACCAGTTATCTATGCCACTATTCTGCCCTCCTGCCTGTTCACGCCTTCGCTTTCACATACCAGCGGCCCTCCCCCCGGCCCGCTGGCATCCAGGCTCACGGTCACGCTGCGCCTCTCGTTCACCACCCTCACCGTCTCGCCCAGGTTCCTCCAGTCGACCTCGCACGGCGGCGCGGCTGTGCTCGCCGCCCCTCCAAGTCCCGCCGTCGGCGGCACGCTCTTGATGTCCACCGTTGGATACGGCAGATACCCCTCCCTCTGCGGTATCAACACCAGCGGGATCTCGGCTTCCGTCTCTGCCGTCGATGACATGGCACTGGGCCTTTTGCCGCCGGGGATGACAAAGTGCCCGCTTCGACGGCCGCCAATGAGCCACGCGTCGCTGGGGGCCGCAACCTCGTAGCTAAACTCCTCGTCGTCTCGACCCAGCGCCTCCGTGTCCCAAATGCGTGTCCATTTCAGGTGGAGCGTTGCCCGAAGCACCTGGTTCACCGAGGCCGCTGGAGCACCCGCCGAGCGCCCCTCGAGGCGGTCCACGAGACATTGGCTGATGCGAATGTCCGCCGTGTGGACGACGGGCAGAGATGGGACCTCGACCGGTATCACAATGGACCACGGGTCGTCTGGTGTGCAGGTCGGCATGGTCATGCGGGGGTGCCTCCTCTGCCAATCGTGAAGAAACTCGGCCAATTTCGTCGCCGCATCCTCACTCGTGCCAGGCACACATCCCAGGCCGCGCAGGTCATGTCCCCACTGGACCTTTTCGAGATACGATGTCGTGACTTCGCCCACCAGCGCCGCCCGTTCTAGATCATGAGCCTGTAGCCCGTTTCTCGTTGCCTCCAACACGCGCGCCGCCGTCACCCTAGAATACAGCTCCAGCGGCGTGTCCCTGAGGCCTTCCAGAATCGACTCTTGTATGCGCGCCTCTATCTCCGTCTGCAGCACGCTGTAGTATAGCTTGAGGTGCATGATCCTGTCACTTCGTGCCGCCACCGCTACCCCCTCCTTCCTCCTCACTCTGTAGAGCAATGTAGCGTGCTGTTTCGGGAAAATCATGACTGGACTGGCCGGCGGGATGCCGAACGAGGGCTCAAACAGCTCCGACCCCAAAAGTTCGCTCTTGAACAGTCTCAGAGGGCTGGATGATGCAGTATCCACGTTGAACCGCGAGAACAACGCATTGTGCTTGAACACGTCTTGGACGTTCACTCCAAGTGCCAGTGACACGGGAATCATGATGGACTTTGCGAGTTGGAATGATTCGCCATCTTCTGTTACGTAGGTAACGTCTGCCTTGACTGAAACGTCGCCCAGATCCTGCTCAATGGAGTAGGGGAAGCGCACCGTGATGGATGTCTCCTCTTCAATCGGACCGAAGAAAAGCACTCCAGATTCGGGCGGTCTCGCAAACTTGATGATTTCGTCGACGAATCTTGCTTCTGTAGTCAACAAACGGAGACCACCCGTTGTTGGTCGGATTTTAACATCACAGCTCTGCAACATGTTCCACCCAGAACAGATGGTGAGATCGAGTGCGTTGTTTTTGCCAAGACTTATGTGTTTGCTCGCCGTCAACTGCACGTCGAGGGCGTTGGTGCGCTGGAACAGGGTGACATCAGGGTCCCGGAAGATGTTGCTCGTCCGGGGAGGCAAGGAGTTGACGTCTTGTTCATGGTAGAGAAACAGGTTGCTGGCTGTCAAAGCTAATCGGCTTACACGATAGCTTCCGGGAATGACGGACTGCACAGTAGTTAGTAACAGTATCGTGCCAAAGGATCGAAAGCTTCGACATACATTGCACGCTACGGAAAAGGAACTTTTGCCTGGGGCAAGAACAATATCCCCCCCAACTTCAAAGTTGATGTCTTTCCGCGGTCCGCCATCCGTACACGTTATTCTCAGCTTCGCGGATTCCATCGTCAGCTTTTCTGGCAGCAGACTCCTGAGTTGGATTTTCAATGAACACCCATCCTTGCGGTCATGATATAGAGGTGTTCCTTCCAATTCAACATCCATGAAAAAGTTTGATAGTGGCACCTTGACTTCTGTAGAGAGATTTGAGGTCAGCGCAAATAGTTTGGCTGCGACTTGCTTGATAGGCGAGTTCTCAAGAATAGAGGTTTTCGGCGGCGCTGCTACGCCAGACTTTTGCTCTCGTCTTTCTCTTTCGGCGGCACAAGACTTGATGAGAAGTGTCATTGCAACATTGACGTAGTGATCGTTTGATCCGAGCTCGCTTAGACACTGGCAATACATGACTAGCAGGGAGAGTTCCAAAAGCGACCAGCCCTTCTCTGCAAAAAACGGGGTGGTCTGTTCAAAGTACGACGTGGCAGCCTTGTACTCTTTCAGGTGAACTTTGAGCATGGCGAGGTCAGCCGTACAAGCCTTGACGGCATGAACATGATTTGCAACGGCAAAGTGGTGATTAGCTTTATCAGTGAGAATTTCGTATAGGTGATAGAAGTCGACTGTGTTATCATTGGCCGTTCGCAGGATTTGACTCTCTATGCCGGCAACTGAACGTGCAGTAGATTGTGTGCTAGGCTTGGGTCCAATATTCAAACCACCATCGCCAGCGTCATCGTCGAGGCTGACCTCTTCCAAGCCGCCAGCCCCAGGCTCACCAACCAATGGTGCTTCATCCCAGCCGTTGGACCAACCGCGCTTTTTGCCCAAGCCTTCTAGTATGCCCCTAGATAGCATGTATAACTCTGCACGACGAGCTGCTAGTTCTTCAAGTCCAACTTTGAGAAAAGACGACGCGTGTGACTCGGGCTCTGCAAGACTCACTTGCCTACCAGGACCAGGAAAGCTGGGGCTAGGCGGCGGCCGAGGTGATGGCTGTGTATGCAAGGAGGAGGATCTTGCTGGATGCAGCATAGTCTTCGGTTCCGGAATTGATGCCTTTGGCTCGGCGCCGTCCCCCTTGGCCAGGGTTGGCGGAGGGATGGGCAGTGATTTGGTCGACGTCTGAGCGAGAACCTGCTGGGCAATTGTAAACGAAAACGATGCAGCCATATTGTCCATGACTTCTAGGAGCAACGGATCCAAGGTCGTCACCGGTGCCTTATCTGGCATGTTCGAGTTGGAGGCATCCAACAGGGACGCAGTGATATCTTCGCGCATAACTTGGGATATCACTGGAATAAATTTCAACGTCCGTCGGCATACCTCGGACAGCATGCCCAAATTTTCGAGTCCATCGTCATTATTCATGGGCGGCATGGGCGGCGCAACGCCGTGGAGAATCGAATCGCGCTGATCCATCAACTTGGCTAGCAGCTCTTCTCTCGTTGCTGATGCATTGCCTAAGCGCAAGAGTAGTGATATTTGTCGGGAGAAAATGTAGCATCTGAAGTCAAATACGGACACTTTGTTGGCAAGAATCATGTCGCGATAGGCCTTTTTCGATGAACTGATAGGAATCTCGTCCGCGTCGTTTGAGGCTGCTTCCTGCTTTTGCAGGTCCACGGCTTCCTCGTCGCCAGCGTCGCCGGATAGCTCCGTCCAGGCTCGCCTGGCCGCCCTTTTCACCTCTTCCGTGTATGATAACATGGCACCGCCATGCTGCTCCGGTGCGCCGCTCTCAGCTTGTTCTTTAATGACCGCGTCAAGTCCAACGCCCAGCTCGTCATATCCGACAAGGGCATCCTCAACAAGGCCGACGTTTTCGAACCCCCGTGCCAAACCCTCCTTCAAAATAAAGAAGGTACAAAAATTCCATCCTGGTAGACTTCTTTGACCGTCCTTTTCTTTGATATCCTCCTCGTACTGTGTTACACGCATGTCGAAAGAGCTCAGAATTAAGCGCTTAAATTTGCTCATCAAGTCGTTCCAAGCATTTTCAGCGTCTTGTTCCGTCTCTGAGTATCCAGATGGCACAGCGGGGACAACCCTTGGCAGCGAGTCGTACGGCACATCATTGATGCCAATGCGAATCTGGGCCACACGATCTGGCGCGCCTTTACTCGAGGAATTGAAATCAGATCGAAGTTTCTCCATCAATGGCGTCGACCCCGACCGCCACAGCGAGGTAGTTGATGATTTCTCTGATGAACCGCCTTCACCCTTGCTTCCAGTATTCCGAGGTTGAGTAGCAGCTGTGGTATTGGGAAGGACGACATGCAATATCAGCCACTCAAAGGCGTCGTGCTTCTCCTGCTTGCTGGCCTTTTTGGACGAGCTCGACGGTGGCGTGTGCACCTTGATCCATTCACGAATTTCTGTTCTCACCGCGGCCTTGTAGGAATCGTTGTCGTCACACCGTACCAGCAGCACTTTGAGATAGGGGGTGCTGCGCAGGCCAGGAATCTGATGGCGTCGCTGGCCCGATGAGGAGCTCTTGGTCGACGCAGGCTGCTTGTCAACCGTTTCTGTCGAGCCGGTCTGACCGCCCACTTGTTGTGTCTGGAAGCCATCATCGTGCGAAGCATTCGTAGACCGCCTCGACTTGGCCGGCCCGGATTCGGCGGATTCTGAGGCATCACCTGGAACCAAGTCTACGTGCAGGGTATCGATGGACCGGAGAGGTCCAGCGTGCGACTGCCAATGGAGGTTGTGCAATGGCAATCGAGGGGCCAGACCGGGGGCAAGGAGTTTGTAGACATGATGAGGATCGAAAAACTCGACTGCAAAGGTCAGCACTCAAATGGCGGACGGGATGCAGGTAGCGAGGAGCGAGCTTGCCTGTCACTTTTGACGTCGATGACTGCTGTTCCATGACCAACACCTCGATCCTGCCGTTGGCATCGTATCATGTGAGGGCGGTGTCCAAGGACGAGTGCGGCATGTTCCGGTGGACGAGCGTCGACATTCACAATACATGAGACAATCTGGCGTAACGTTTGGCTCCAGCCGTTCCCGAGTCCAGCACGCCAGGGCCGGGCGGTGAGAGCTGACGGCGCCACAAAGCAGCACGACGCTTCACTGACGGCCGCCACAACACGCTGACGCCATGGCGGGGTGGCGGCAGAATGTTCACGGTTAACCAGTTTCGATGCCTCCGAGTTCCAACGATGTAGAAATTTGGAGGGGCAAAAAACGTCGGCGAGCCGCTTGAGTGTCTGCATTTACCCCTTCTTTACGATTTCGTCATACCAAGTAGCTCAAAGTCTTTGTCTTCCCTCGTTGCCATGTCCAGCCTCCAAGCTGTCCGCTACTCTCGCGGCAGGCTCGAGGTCCTTGACCAACTTCGCCTACCTCACGAGTTCCACTATGACCAAGTCTCAACCCGCCAGGAAGCCTTCGACAGCATCGCCTCCATGAGAACCCGTGGTGCTCCGGCCATCGCCATCGTCGCCAGTCTGGGGCTTGCAGTCGAACTTTTCAACGGTCCCGTAGCCGCTGAAACGCCTCAACAAGTCATCGCCTACATCGACGGAGCCCTCGACTTCTTGAAGCAGAGTCGTCCCACCGCCGTCGATCTGACCAATGCCATTAACCAGCTCAAGGCGCGCATACGAACGTCTGGCGAAGACAAGGCGTCTATTATCCAAGCATTCATTGAAGAAGCTGAAAAAATCTTCCAAAAAGACCTCGAAACGAACCTTGCCATTGGAGACTACGGCGCCGAATGGCTCAGGGTGCATGTTGGCGCCACGTCGGATAACACTGTTTCCGTCCTCACGCACTGCAACACCGGCTCTTTGGCTACATCCGGCCATGGCACAGCGCTGGGCATAATTCGAACCCTGCGGGCCAATGGCCAACTTGGACATGCGTTTTGCACCGAGACCAGGCCATACAACCAGGGCAGTCGCCTCACTGCCTTTGAGCTGGTCTACGAAGGCATCCCTAGCACCCTCATAGCTGATTCCATGGCCGCATCGCTATTTCGCACCAAAAAGGCTGAAAAGAACATTGTGGCTGTCATTGTCGGCGCCGACAGAGTTGTTCGCAACGGCGACACTGCCAACAAGATTGGCACATACCAACTGGCAGTGCTCGCGAAGCACCACGGCATCAAGTTTTTGGTCGCGGCGCCGACTACCAGCATCGATCTGGAGACGGAGACTGGCAATGGCATCAAGATCGAGGAGCGCAAGCGGGAGGAGTTGACGCAGGTGACTGGTGCTGTTATCAAGTCGGATGGAAGTGTGGACGAGAGCACAAAGGTCAGGGTCGCCACTGCTGATCAGAGAATTGAAGTGTGGAATCCTGCGTTTGATGTTACGCCGGCCGAGTTTATCGATGCCGTGGTGACTGAAAAGGGAGCCGTTGAAAAGGGAGCCGATGGGAAGTTTGACTTTAGCGAGATAATGCCAGAACGGTGGGCAAAGGCCGTTGGGCCGTGAAAAGCGAAGGGGTACAGTAAATGGGAATTTGTGTGTGAACTGGATATCAAAGAGTGTGCCTGGAAAATTAGATGTGATGTGGCGCGTCACTGTATTAGATTATGAGCGTATATACCATTGAGCTCGTCTTTCACAACAGCTTGTTGTTACGCTATTGCGTCAGTGCATGGACAATGAGTTTCTGATAACCCTCAACAGCTTCTTCCAAATCTGCAACGGTCAAGTTCTCTCTGGCGCCGTGAGCCACGAGAATGTTGCCAGGACCGTACAAGTACCTCGTGTGATTACCAGCCAGGTTGGGAATATCCGTGCCGTAATTGACCGTAATCTTTTCGAATCCTGCACAAGCACCGTGAGGTTAGTGAATGCCGTCTGTCATGGACAGATGGAATTCGAAAAACGCACCGTCAACCTCACAATTGCACTTGACCGAGCCATAGCCGTGCGTGCAGTCCATCTCAAAAGCCTCGTCATCAACCTGATGAAGTATCCTCTGAATTCTCTCGGCCACAACCTCGTGCCCCTTGTCCTCGGGCCCAGTGGCCACCCTCGCCGCAAACTGGACCACCGCCTTCTCGGGAATGACATTGGCGGCGACGCCGCCATCGAAGCGGCCAGCATTAAAGGTTGTGTTTCCAAAAAGCTCCGAGCTGCCAAGGTTGGCGTCCAGAATCTTGGCCAAAGCACGAACCATCAAGTCATTCGCCGACTTGCCCAGCCACGGATACCCACTGTGTCCGGGAACACCACGGGCAGTGATGCTGCAGAACAGACCGCCCTTGTGGCCGCAGGCAAGCCTGTTCTCGGTGGGCTCGCCAAAGATGACGGCGTCGAATTTTGGCGGCTTCTTCATCTTGGACAGTGAGTGGCTAAAGGTGGCCATTCCGTCGCCAGCAACTTCCTCGCCCACCACAAATAGGAGCATCACGTCGTCCTGTGTGGCGATTGCGTTTGAAGCGTGCAGCTGTTCCAGCGCGACAATCATGGCCGCCACGCTGCCTTTGGCGTCGACGGAACCCCGGCCCTTGATCATGGTTTCGGACGTGACTTCCCCGGGCGAGATGGAGTATGGAATGTGCGGAGGGACGACGTCGATGTGTGACGATACGACTATCCTGGCCGAGGGGGCTCGTTCCCCCTTCCACGCGAGGACGTTGAAGCGTTGTTTGCTGGTGGGCGTGCCTTGTCTAGCGGCGACAGGTTGGAGTTCGGCATGGTATCCGCGGGCGGTGAGGTAGTCGACGAGGAAGTTTCCGACGGCATTCTCGTCTCCTGAGATGGAGGGGATGGAAACGAGTTGTTTGTGTAGGCTGAGCAATTGGTCGCGATAGGAAGAGGATTCAAGGGTCGGGGTGGCGCGATGCTTGGCGTCGTTCAATGGCTGTTGGGTGCATGCTGCCCACGGCACCAGCGCCAGACACGCAATGAGCGACGAGCGCATCTTGAGCCCGTGTAGGGATTTACTGGCTTGGCTGAGAAAGCGATGCAGGCGATGAAAATGAATGTCGTTGCGATGGATATATATACTTCAAACGAACGACGGGATCAGCATCATGGGACCGTCAACTGCGCAGCAGCTGTCGTCCCGCTTCCAGTCCCCACACCGGCCCGTCAACAAGTGACACCAGCACTCCACGTGATGGCAACGCGCCCTCGCAGCAACCTTGAGACGACAAATCTTGAAGAAACGGAATTGATGAATTGAGCCATGGAAGTCCTTGCCTGATGCAAATTGATATGCGTATCATCCGGCCTCTCTCGCTCTGCGCGCTGGACTCTATTTTGCGTGGTCAAGGTAGGTGGGCCCACCTCCCAGGGGCACCCATGGGCAGATATATTTCTCTGCCAAAAAGTATTTCAACATGTAGTATCATGATTTTCTCCTGTATTTGGGAGAGTTTGCTAGTACTACTGTTGTTATTTTGTGTCAGTCTATATAAACATCGCTGCTAGATGGAACCGCCCTCATCGTTGCCGCCGTGAAATGTCGATGGACCATCACGAGGGCTCATCTCGGCCGCCACGCAGAGACCACCCAGACTTGGCGTGAGACACTTTTTTCGGCAAGTGATAGAAGCAGTGCAGTCCTGCTGATGAGTTGTACACAACATTCCCATGACTACGAGTTATTGCTCGTGACATCGCTGAGCCTCAAAATGGCCTTTGGCTGTTTCAACTAGCCACATCAGCTTATAATAAGACGGAAGAGCACACCTCCCTCAACTTACTCAACTTTGGACTATCTGACTGTCACCAATAAGCCTTCGTGTAGCGGGGAAGTTGCGGCCGGGAAAGTCGGATTCCTCCAACCCATTTCTGCAATGTAACAATGTGTGACAAGGGCTCACGTAGAGGGCTAGGAGCAATAACTCGGTTCAACCACAATAACAATCTTTTGTATTAAAGATGCTTGGTTCCCGCCTCTGAGGGTCTCGATGACTAAACATCCCTCACTATTCAAAGTTGCATTGTGCCCTAGGTCTCGTGGTCTAGGCTCATAACATAACCCTGATGTAGCCATGTGATGACGCACCGTTTCAAGCGGGAAACTCTCCCCAACTTGTCATAACTCATAGTCATGTCGCGAATCATTGATAACTTTCCCCAACCCAAGACCAAGGCTCAGGTCAAGGTCATTGTGGCAACGGCCAGCAGGTACCTCTTTTTTCTGTTTAGTCTTGTCCAATAGCAACGGCTGACGGCGTCCGAACAGAACAGGAACTCTGAGCGTATATGAAGCCATGAATATTTTGGGCTACAAGACATACCACATGAGGGAGTGTCTTCGTAAAGGCGGCTTGCCGCACATGGAGATTCTCATGGAGGCTGTCGAGGCACAACATCATCATGGCTCGTCGGGAATCAAGCGGTACAGCCGGCAAGACTTTGACAAGTGGCTGGCCGAGTACGATGTATGAAGTTGTGTGTCCTTTCTTATTCTTCCGCCTCTTTTTTTTTTCACCCGGTTGTTTGGATGCGTCATATGCCTGAACTTTTGATAGTGCCTCGTAGAAATTCCCTTCTTCATCGGTTCTGGGCTACTCGAGGCCTACGCCGACGACCCAAACATCAAGTTCATATTGACCGACCGCGATCCTGACAAGTGGGTGACGTCTATTAACAAGACGACTGGCGAGATTGTCATCAACGAAGCCCGTTTTCCGCTCAATGTGTTGAAGTACTTCAACAGAGAGTTGCACGGATTTCTTGCGTTGAACAAGGCTCTTTATGGAAAATTTGCTCAAGACACCCTGCCAGGGGATAGAGACAACAGGGCGGCCGTGCGAAAGAATTACGTGTCGTAGTGAGTCTCTCCACCACAGCCTTCTTTTCTTCTCCAGTCACCATATTCATCTCCCATGAGCGCGCAGCATTGAAATGGCCAAGCGTGTTCTTCCTGCAGACCGGCTCCTGTACTTTCATCTTGAAGATGGTCTCGGCTGGGAGCAAATCTGCCCGTTCCTGGGTCTGCCTATTCCTGACCAGCCGTTCCCCGTTCCTCATTCCCAGGAAAACTTCAAAAGGGGGATCGATGGCTGGATGAAGCCTCGGATTCAGAGTGCCATGATGAAGCTGGCTGCCGTGGTCGTTCCAGTGGCGGGGAGTCTGGCATATTTTGGAATCAAGTATGGACCTTGGTTCGCCTTTAGGCTGGGCCTGTCAGGATGTATCATGAATGTTGGCGGTGAGGCAGCATATACGGCTGCCGAGGATGAAATGTAGCGTCTTGTAGGTAATCGCCGGACATCACAGCCCTGCACATGGCCGTCGACCTTTTGATACACAAGTGGCAATTCACAGCCACACTTGACAACCACATCAACATCGTGGTTTGGTCGTTACTGCTCATCGTTCAAACGTTTGTTCACTGTTTGCTTCTGCCGAGATTTCGTTCATACAAAGAACGTCAAACACAAGGCGGTATGATTTTGATTCCGCCACGCCCAAATATTCCTCCAGACACTGTGGCGCCGAGAATATCTCCCCCCGGGCGTCTTGAATCGATGGACCAGGTAAACCAGGCATCACAGAAGCATCATTCTCTCTGCCAAAGGTTTTTAAAGTCGTCATGCCCGCACTTGTTGCGAGTGCTCGAGGTTCTACCGAGGATTGTCGAGGGTTAAACCGTTGGAACAAGCGAGTAATTACGAGTGGATAACATTGTGGAGAACTATACGAGGGCTGAAAACGTATTTATACTGAGGATGTCCCCTCTTATGCTTAGGAATTAACAACTGTTGAAACTATACCTTTTGCCATTTTAGCATAAACTGCCTAGTACTTCGCGGGCTGTTTGGAGGGCGAATTCCGCCTGCCAGCCACCATCATAGTAGAAGGCCTGTTGATAATGTCTGAAATCAGCTATTTCTTTCTATCCAGTCAATTTTCAGCGGTTTTATCACACGACGACTGTGACGAGCAAGGGCTGCGGTAACAGGGCTTAGAGCAATAACTCAATTCACCTGCAATAACACACTTTGGTATTGGAGATCCTTAGTTTTCCGCAAGACCCTTCATCCCACAGACTTCTGTTGACGAGCACCCTTCTGCCCTAAGTCGCGTGACCATAGCCCTAGTGTAACCCAACTACCCGTTTGACACCAGCGAGCCTCGAGCAAGAAATTCACGCACATACACGCACAGCCCGCGTATTCTCCCAAGATTTAAATAGGCCTACCTTGCGTTTGAAAACACGTAAATGTAACGGGACACCGCAAGGAATACGGTTGGAAATAGAAAACCGTGTCCATGTTTCATGTTGCCAGCTAGCCTCGTGGCCTCTTCTCAAGCTAATCAGGTTAATTAATAAAGTTGACTAAGGGCTTTTTGACAGCTCTTGGGATTGTATAGTGGCACGAAGAAGATGCGCTTGCGGGAATCTGCTTTATTTGCATGGATCAAGTCCTTCTTCGGGCCAGTCCGTGCAAGCCCCTAGAACTATGCGTTCTGATCAACGTGGGATGCCAAAGGATGCCATTGGTATGTCAATAGTCTGATTCTTTGCAGGTTGGCAAGCATATAAATACTAGTCTCTATAGCCATGTCCCACCAGATGCAAACTATCAGATGCCTCAAAGCTACGCCCGGCACATGTCACCACCTGTACATCAACGACAAGGTCAAAAAGGCCCGTCTCTCTTCTGCAACCTTGGACTGTTTTCAGAGACGGTACGGCTGACGAGTCCCTCGCAAATGCGCCTCCATGCCCTAGTGCTCTTCCTCGGTGCGCTTGCCGGCGGCAATCTCAAATTGCCATATCCAACGGCGTCGCCCAGGGAAGTCGCCCAACTGCCCATGGCAGATAAAAGCCCAAGCGGGTTTCTCTTCCGTGGCGATTCGCGACCTCCTCGGGTCATATTCGAGGAAGGCTTTCATCCCTTTCGCTGCCACTACCTTCTCGATACGTCAAAGGCAAGATTTGTCTCACTCACACGGCGAGCCACGTCGGCCATCTTTTACGCCAACGGCCGTCATGCAGGTAACAAGGTGCTGACAACGCAAGGCTACGTGTACGTGCTTTCACCCGAAGGCATGCGCGATCGCACTGCATACTGGCTTCCCGACATAGACAAGGCGAATGGTTGGAAGTTCGAATTAGCCGTGGATGGGAGCATTCAGCCAGGAGCAATCGTCGGTGCGTACCGCTTCGACAATTTAGGAACCGGGAAGCCTACGGTAGAGGAATGGATCGCCAATCCAGATTATCAGTATCCAAAGGAGAGCCCATTCACTCCAAAAGGCCGGGGGTGCTGGGCCAGGTCCTGCGCAGGCGTAAAACACCTCGCTTCTGTGACATGTCGTGGCATCTCCTGTTTCCGTCTGAAGAAAGCGAGGCCAACGGCCGGAGCGTCCCCAGGCCAGGGAGACGGCAAGACAAATCCCGGAGAGAGTCCTGAGACGAAAGCCGCGCTTTGCAAACGCGGGCTCGCTGACTGCGACGAGCCGGACTCCAAGGTCGCAGGCAACAACCGCGCAATCGACGAGGGTCGCAAGGCGTCCAAGAAGACAAAGGGAAAAACGGCAAAAGGCGGCGAACTAATGGTCACGGCAAGGCGGATGTCTCGAGAGAGCTTCAACCGTCTCCTGAAACAGTTCGATTACGGCAGCATGGAAAAGCAGCAATACTTGTACAGGGAGCTACGTGCACGACTTCCACGGCTGAAAGGCCTATCGCGACCGCAGAGAATTGCTAGACTGACTACCAAGGTCGGGGGAAGGGCCATGGCCGTTGCCGGACTTGGATTCTACACCCAAGCCGTGATGGACGTATTCTCAAGCGACACTGCGAGCTTCTTAGAAAAGGCGGCCGTGGTAACATCCATCTTGCCCGTCATCGGCTGCGTTGTACAGCTTGCAGATGATATGGAACAGGGACGCGTTGACCAAGTCCAAACTGTTTCGTGCCTTGCTCAAGATATTCTACTATTTCCCGTTGCCCTGGCAATGCAAGTAGTAGGGGGGGTCGGCGCTTGGCTAGAAGCCGAGAAAAAGCGATACAACTTATGGGATACAGGCCACATGAGGATGAGGTGTGTAAGCAGATGGATGGAAAGCATACACAGAGTGATCAACTACCTGAAATCAGATGAGTCTGTTGCTAATATCACGGCTCACTTCACGGCATATCACATCGCTATTTTGTACCAGGCCTCGCAGCTAATGGGCGATCTCCATGCTGCGCAAAAGGGTCTCTCGAGAGACGCTGCCACGGCTCCGAGCCCTGATGCGCCCCTTGATATTAGCGCTCAGGTACGACCCGAGCTTACACGCCAAATATGTGCGGAAATAGCAGAGAGCAAACATCACCTGCGGGCGATGCTTCAGTCTAGGGCTCTCAACTACGCGGCTGAGTTCCGACATCAATGGATAAATCACTTCTTGGATGAGTGGTTCAAAGCAGCCACCAGGCCCTCTAGATTTCTTTTCTGGACTCTTAACCTCGACTCACCCGCCAAAAAAACTTTTTTGAAAAATGAAATTGACAAGGCCAGAAACCTGAAACTGCCTCTACATGAACAACAAATCAAGGATGCCATCAGTGAGGCAGTTGAGCGGGTTGAAACACCTGCTCCTTGCAAATGTATTCACGACAGTGAGGGAAGCAAGTGTGAATTTGGGAACTGTCAAGTCCTACAACCTCGAGGAAACACCAGGGATGCAGGAGGAAGAGTATTCACCGCCATGGTGCGGTCTATTGAGAAAGATGACGGATTGCATCTATCACACGCTTGCCAGGCCCTCTTCAAGCCATGCCAGGGTCCCGGTTCGACAGGCCAGACCGGCAGGCCCTTGTGGTGCAAGCCGGCACACCGTTAAAACGTACTTGGCCGATGGTGATACAACATGACGCCACGGAATTTCTTGGTGTTGAGGACCGGCGAGCGAGCCAGTGTACAAGAAAGAAAGAAAGAAAGAAAGACAAGCCCCGACCTGTCCAATTGCAAGAGGCAATTTGCCTAGCAGTAGTAGAATCTTTGATACTAGCTCTTCCGTGGAGCGCACCAGCTCTGGACTGTTTCCAAGACTTGGGAGTGAACAGTCCAGGTTGCCCTGGCGGAAACCTGCATTACTTGACAGTAAAGCTTTGCCTTGGACTGGGCACGTTTCTTGGGCTTCGATAAAGGCCTAGATTGCCAGTAAAGCTCCAAGACATGTGTACATCTTGCTGCTCAGCCTCGGGTTCGCCTTGGAGATGCAGTTCTAGCAACGTCTTGATCACTCGAGCTCAAAATAGGAAAGCAGGGAAAAGAAGACGGGGAAGGAAGTCTCTTTTCTAGCTCTTTATTATATTTAGGTGCTTAGGTTGGCGAAGCTTTTTCAACTCTTTTCCCACAACGTTGTCAAAATCCAGTCGTGTGACGACGATTGTGAATAAACTCAAGCGCTGCTTAGACCTTTTGTTCGCTGCGATTCCTATCGGCTGCTGATGGCTGCTTGCTTTTCCCAATCGAATATTACATTTGGGGCTTTCTAAAAAATTAATTCCTCAGTCAGAGGAAAAATTGGGCCAAAAGCGTTGGAAGCACTGTAGTAAAAAAAGTAATGCCAACAGCCTGACTCGAACAAGCGACCTTTGCATATCGTCAAGATACAAGTGCAACGCTCTACCACTAAGCTATGCCGGCTTCGGTGGCCGTGGAGTCGTCATGTTGCCTTATATATCCTAAGCAGCCGTGCACCACTTGCATCGATTGACAGGTCCAATTCAAGCATGGCGACGCGGTAGCTCTCTTTTTTCATCTCCGCTGACAAAATTTCCTGCGGGTCCCGTATTTCTCTGCAGAACATTTGAGATGGCCATATTTCGTGGGGTGTAAATGCTCGCGGCTCATCGTGATTCATGACTAGTAACGTAAAGGGAGTGAAATTAATGGGGTAAAAGAATATGCAGCGAGTCATTTTTCGATATCAGAGAAAGTGTTGCTTGTGTGGTAGATTAGATCGGACATTACTACCACGGCGATGATCCAACAGGCAGCCAGTTTGTCACCATTTGTCAACTGCATCCCATTACACATGGTACTCTGGTGAACTTCTAATCCTAAGCCTCACGAACCTATATTGTGCTCGCCCGGATCCCCCAAAACTCCCGTCTATACGTCTTGTCTCCTTCGTCTTCTTAACCATTTACGTCGACCTCGGTGAGGTCATATCAAGACCTTCCACTGCCACCCGGTTATAGATATTCGCGATGCCGCAAGAGTCAACGCGGCGGCCAACATGACTGATCCGCCCCAAATCTGAGCCAGGGCATAGCTGCCCGTCCGGTCAATGATTGCTCCGGCGGTAGGAGGCCCGGCAAGCGTGGAAAAGGCGCACAGCGTCTCGACCATGCCGAACCGGATGCCCATCTTTTGCGGATCCTGCGTCAGGCTCGCCAGGGACGGAACATAGGTGCTCTGGTTGGCACTCACAGCCAGGCCGTAAAAGACGCTGAACACGTACATGCTCGTCCGTGTGGTGATGGTCGTCCAGACAAAGAGCATGGTCCCTACAGACGCGGTGGCCATCATGAAGACATTGATGGGTCCGAGGTATCTGTTGGCCACGTACCCTACCACCGGGCGGACCGGGAGACCGATGCAATTCGTAATCAGCAGCAAGCTTACCGACTCGACCGACGAAAACCCAATGACGTTGCGCGCAAAGCTGTTGATCTGGTTTGCTCCGAGTTAGTCCACGCCCCCTTCCCCGCGGGCCCGCAAGAGTATGCAGAGGATCGGTTGTGCTCACGTAAAAAAGGCCAAAGTACATGCCGTAAAAGTTGAGAAACGAGGCGACGGCAAACAAGGCGTAGGGGACCTCCTTGAACGCCGCCCACTCGACCCAGGGGCCCGTCTTCCGCCCCGGGATGTACGGCTTCAGGAGCACGCAGGCGCCTATGCAGAGTACCAGCGCGACGAGAGCTCCGACTCGGGTGGCCCAGCCAAAGCCTATCTGCGGAATCAGGTACTGCACTATGGCCGGGAAGATGACGCCGCCGGCCGAGGTTCCCATGGCGGACATGGACAGAGCTAGTGACCTGTGTGTGCTGAAGTACGAGCTGGTTATGGCAACAGCGGGAGTAGAGATGACACCGAGCCCAATGCCCGTGCAGATTCCTTGGGCGAGCATAATTTGCCAGTATTCATAACAGAAGCTAGTCATATAAGAGCCTAGTACAACAAAGAAACAGCCCACGATGATGATCTCGTGGGCGTGGCCTGCGTCGGCAATGCGGCCGGATGGGCCGCAGACAATAAATGCAAGAAAGACTTGAACAGACCCAATCCAAGATGCTTTTGACGACTCCAAGCCCAGCGTGTCAACGTAGTAAAGCTGGTATACCCCGAATGTGGCAGCGTAGCCCCAGGATACCGCGTTGGCGAGGTTGGCGGCAAGCACCTGGGACCACGCTCGCCATCCGCCGTCAGGAGGGTCAAAGTCGAAATTCAGGGCCGTTGTCGGGTTCTGTTGCTCGCTGCCGCCATGGCCGCTGCGAGCATCGCGCGCGGTGCCGGATGACACGCGTGACGAGTATGAAGATAGGGACGATCTACTGTTACCCGTGACGGACTTGGTGCGAGTAACGTAGAGCTGCTTTTCGTCGTCCATGACCTTGGGGTGGTCCATCTTGTCGTGGCAACTTCATGGACACAGGGCCTCTCGGGACGAGAGCAGTGGCACCGCGAGGGAAATGGGATGTATTGGGGTTTTTCAGCAGCAGCCCGAGAGCACCCGTCTCTTATCATCCTGTGATTCATCATTCCGCAGGTCTTACGTGACTTTTCTGCGGGCTCGTCAGGAGGTTCGACGATAAGAAGCTGATACGTAGCTTCCTGTCTCGTCTGCTCAGAGGGGGTTTCGGATCGCCAAACTTGCGAGGCAGGTCGTTATCACTGACTGAGACACGGTAAAGAGAGGAATTTCCACCTTGGACGGCGCTTGCCACTGCAACAGGCTGCGTCGCTGGAGGCTAGGGCTCCCAGCCATCCAAGCTGCATTCCGGAGACTGTCCGCATTCCCGGTAGCTCTCCAGGTGTTTGAGGTGAGATTGGGGCGCGGCACGAGAACAAATCAAAGTCATGCTTGTGTAGTGATTTGATTTGCCATGGCGCTAGACATCGTGTGTGAGTATGCATCCTGAAACTCCGCGTCTCCTGTTCCCGCGGCCAGAACGTCACCGCGCGGTGCCCGAGATGGCCGACAGCATATGGCGCAAAAGTATTCAAAATTGCTGTCCCCGTCCTAATTTGCCATACGTCATGCCTGCCCGTGTTGAGGAACTTTTGGAAATGCCTACTTGCCGTGAATGTCCGCCTTGGACCGGTCTAGAGAATGCAGCTACAAGCCGAAACGTCGACTTGATCTTCTCCTTGTTCCCCTCGAGATTCAGGGCTCAACAAGTATTGAACTTGAGCAGACCGCTCGATTCTGGGACGGCGCGTTGGGAGAATCGACGAGCGGAAACAACGTAAACAGTGCTGCGTGTGCTGTTGAGCTTCTAGTCGGCGTCTCGAGCTTGGTATGGACGTCCAATCTCAATGACGGGGCCAAAGGGGTAGACTCGAGCACTTTAGCTGGAATTTAATCCGTGGGACTCTGCACCTCGCTCCAAATGTGACGAGCCCGAATAGTAAGAACCGTCTCTCGCTTTTTCTGAAGAAAAAGGGGCAACGGCCTGGAACCATGGCAGATGTATGGACAACATCTTGCACGTCCTCGCCTCTTCTGCAACCCAACCCCATTCTTGCCTTTGGTTCAATGTCGTCGAACAGAAAAGCCATCCGGTTTCATGTCCTACACCAGGCAACGTGCCACCAAATGCCCCAACTGCCCACGCTGCAGGACCCCAGCGCGCTGCTATGGTCGCCTGTTTATGGACTGTATGTACACTTGACCTGTCACAGGGTCAGCGCGCGTGAGGTAGCGGCGGCTGGTCGGTCGAGGGGGCATGAGGAGAGGCATCATGCTCTGCTGCAGCCATAGAAGAATGAGAGGGTAGGCAGTAAATTGACCGCGCCGGGTATCGGGGCATACAGCCAAGGGCCGCTGTTGCCAGATCTTTTTACTTGGTCGTTTGGGTTGTCTCGCGGTGGCCATTGATCGAAACGTTCCAAATTAGGGCTCTCCTTGCCAGGACATCTTGATGTCGAGGAATCATCATCGTCCGTTAGCACAAGTTCTCTTTGCACGTCATCGCCATTCGTCGGCGTCTACACGGGGCAAGGAGAGTCTTGCAGATCTGTCCTCACTCATGGTCAGGCTCAATAGGCCTGACTGCCCGCCAATAAGCCCGGGTATAAACATGACTGGGGCTTTTGAGCCTAAGAAGCCAAAGCAAGCGCCCAATCTTAGCCTAAGCTCGCGTCTGCTTCGCTTGCTGGAACCCCTTTTATTAAGCGTCGTCCATGGGCCTCGGCTGATCTCAAAATGCTTCTGCTTGGGCAATAACTCTCGCAGCATGGGTGCCGTGGCTAGTCTCACCCTCAAGGTCCTCTTCTCCTTTGGGCGTCTTCAAGGCAGCCTATTTTCCGTGGGGCCCCCGACTTCGACATGTAGTGGCCCTTGAGGCTCGAATCCGTCATATACGCATGTCCGACTTTCGTATCACTTCAAGAATGTTACTATCCAGGGCTTCGAGGCGGAGGAAATAATAGAAGCTTGGGAGGGTTTCGACTACCGATGGCTACCATTTTCCAAGGGCGCCCTAGTTGAGGAAGCCGGGTCGCAGGCATTGATGGCGCCAAAAAGACAGCCAAGGCTGTTGAAAAAGTTCATCTGAGATATATGGGTTCGTAGAAATAAAAACTAATCGCAGCTGGGCAGCACTTTGCTTGTGCCGGCGTCTTATCGCTAGTTTACGGTCTCCGTGATATCAGTTGGATGTCGATATGAAGCAGCTAGACATGCCATGATACTGCACCCGGACTCGCGGCAGCACTTTCCGTCACAATATCTGTCGCCTTTTATAAGGAGCATTCAATCTTGGATAAGGTACTTTCATTGCTTTTGCTGGTTGAAGGGAATCTTGTCCGTTATGATTATGCTATGCCACCTTGTCAACCAGTGAGCCACAGAAAAGCACAAGCGTCAAGGAGGTTTGTGAGAGTAAGGGCGAAGTCGATATTGAATGCTCAGAGGTCCGGAAAATAGCGGCTTCCAATACATGTATGCATACAAAAGATGTAGGTGGAAAACCACTGAGGATCGTCGGGTCGAAGCTGCCCTGGACAGCACCTCCCGGACTCCGGCTTTGCATTTCTCTCGTCTCGAATGGCACTTGGACACGGTACGGTTCTGGCGCAACTATTCACCGCGGCCGGCCTCATTCACTTGAACAGCGGCTTTGTCTTCCAAGAACATGTATGCCAGGAGGGACATGACGACACAAATACAAGCTGCGAGTCTGTCAGAACATGGGCCGACTCCGCACGGGAGGTGAATACTTGCCCAAAAGTACGTTCATCAGGTAATAACCTACAGAGTCGGCTAGTGCACCCGACAAGAGAGGTCCAAGTAGCAGACCTGCTGCAAAGGCGAAGTTGGCAAGTGAGTAGCATCTCGAGTAGCCTCCTCCAGGTCCGAATATGCCCGGCTGTTTGGACTCAAAGTCGTCCACGACGCCTACATGTTGTCAGTTGAGTCGCGTCAGCAATGATATCCCACGGGCTCAGAAGCCGGCACGTCACGGACTGTTGCTCACAGGTTATTTCAAAGGCACTGACGGTACTGGTGAGATTCGTCACAAGTCCTATGGCAACGATCGCGGCTACGTATGTGGCCTTGGCAGATTCTTCCGAGGCAGCCCACGGGAATTGTCTCTGATTCGCGGCGCCGAGGAGCCACAGAATAGGAGCCAGCGAGGCAAATCCGAAAGCTGTCGGCTTTCTCGTGCCAATATTGTCCCTTAGCCAGCCGTAGAGAGGGCTGGCAAGCGTGACGGGAACTTGCAGGAGCGCAAACAGCAGACCGGTTGGCAGGCTATCCCATCCAAAGGCAAACTTGACATGAGTCGGTATGGTGGTGCCGTAGCTAGCGAGCATCACAGAGTGAACAATGGAACATAGAATCGAAATGATGACCCTCCTCTGCACAAGGACGACCCTGTAGAATGCAGTTGCCGACGTGGCCATCGGTCCTTGGACAGGCGCCTCTCCAGACGGCCTTTGTTCTGGCTGGTTCGCATCGGGTATCAGAGGCGATCTTTCGCTCGGTCTTGGAGACGCATCGCCGGATGGGACGGTCCTCTTGGAGCCCTCGACCATGACCAGCCTCATTGCGATGTTCAGTGTCATGACGACAAATACGCTGCCCCAGGCCATCCAGTAGCCGGCCAGTGTCAGTAGCACCCCTGATATCGCGGGCCCCAAGAGCTCCCCGGTGCTTATGCAGCTATACAACAGTCCGAATGCCTTGCCCATGTGCTCGGCGTCTACCGAGTCTCGAAGCGTGGCCACGCCAACGATCCACGCAGCGGTCGCGCCTATAGATTGGAGCACTCGGCCAATATAAATGACTGACACTAATCAAAAGGCCATGCATCAGAAGACTATAGGAGCCTCAGGAGAAGAGAGTGGCACGTCATATACAATCTGTAGCCGCAGCAACGGCCAGGGTTCCCGCAATGGCAACAAGTAATGCCACTACCAGAGGCATCTTGCGCGTCGTGGCCAAGTCCGCCAGCTGCCCGATGAAGACAGAGGAAGCGAGCGAAACAAGGCCGTAGAGGGTCAAGATCTGATACGTAAGCCGTTGGATATCCGAGGGGTCTACGTGGTTTCGCTCCTGCAGGATATAGGGCAGGATGGGGATGATGAAGCTGTAAAGAAAGCTTTCTAGGAGCCAACGAGACCAGCCCGAACAGGTTAGTTTGCCGAGTTGCCATGAGCAAGTAGAATACAAAAGCGGCTCATTTTCAGACGTACCTGCGAATAGGGCGATGGAGATGCACACAATGCCGAACGTTGTAGACGACCGCCAACGCTGGCCCCAGACTCTTTTGCCCTGGTCAGAGGCTGCCGACTTCATTTTTCGATAGTCGACTCTTGCGATGATGTTCCTTTCTGATACTCTTGAAGGCTGGAATGCCAGACCAGCCGACCGCAAGAGTTGGCGAACAGGCCAAGTACTAATATCCGTCTGCCACATGTCCCAGAAGAGCTGAAAAGGTCTTCCGCCAATGAGGTGAGCAGCGTCTTGTCTGCCTTTGCCGAGTGTGAGAGACATTCATGCAGCAAGCGGGATGAGATGAGACACGTCGAAATGGTGGGAGACTGAGACAAACCCTACGCGTTCATTGTTGCTGGGAGGAAACGGCTTATAAATGAAGGCAAGCCGTTTACTCCTTGTCTTTTTCTTTGCCCTGCCCTGCGTCTTCTATCATCATCTTCTTTCATTACGCCAAAGGACTCCCCGGCGCTTGTGTGGTGCTACTTACTACACGGCGCTTGCACTCGCGACTTGTAAGCCACACATTTACTCGATCAAGTGGTGTCACGATGCAGTGAATAAGAATAATAGCCGGCAAAGAGCGCTGGCCCAATAGGTGAATTGAAAAAGTCCAATTGATGCAACGTCTTGTGCGCCTCTTGCTTACCCCTCCTGTGTGAAGCGCAGTGAGCGAGCGCCGGTGTAACTGCGCGTTCGGGTTGGTTGGGACGAGAGGCAAGTCGTGGATGAGTCTTTGCCGGCTCGAAGTACATGAATCAATCGATGCCTGGTGCGACTGATGGAGCCGGCGATGAAGCTGTCGAGTTTCGCCGACTCCCTGAGCAGTGAAGAGGCCATCGAATCGACACGTCACGGAGCATCTCCAAGGAGACGCACTACCCGAGAGCCGGGAAAGCTTTCTCTGGATTCTCGCGAACCAAGTACGGAGCAACTAGTCCGTCAACACAGCAGAGACACTGCCGTGACTCGTATACCTCGGAGCAGTCCCGGCGATGACTTGTTAGTTTGGTGGCGGCATATGCAGGCGACTACGGTTTAGGTTCCTCGGGGAATCAAGTCACAACGGTACCTTATTTTACGTCTCAACAGGACAGAGACGTTGGCTGCAGAAAGCGGCCGTCATCGGCCAAGGGACAAATGGAGGTGAAATCGCGGCCTTTGAGACACGGGGTGGCAAGCCCGCAGGAGCGCCGTCAGAAATGATGCAACGCTTTTCGGTTCATTGGCAGTCGTCAACACCAAGGTCAAGCGGCTGAGGGTAAACCATTTCCACGTGCATGAGTATGGTTGGCCTGCAATGTGATTGGTGTCTGAACCGGTGAACTGGCGTTGTGCTGGGTGACGTATGGCACCGGCACTGACTGCAGCGTATTCACGGAGCGAGAAGGGCCTCTTTTTGAATCATGGGATTGAACATGTATTCAGGGTCTACCAATGTCCGCGGGCGTGCTTGGTGTGCGACGCGAGGCACGGTTGGCCCCAAGAACGTGCGGATCGTGAGTCAACTCTTGGTAGGCGCGGATGATGTCAAATGATCAGGTCACATAGAAGAGCATGATGATGCAAAAAGGATTCCGAAAATATGAACTGCTACAATGGGAGGGTGCGTATGACGAGAACCATTTGCAATTCCTTCATCACCCCTGATGTCAGCAGCTTCTTCAACTTTGCAACCATCTTCTGTCCATCTGCCCACGGCATCAGTATATAAGCCGGCTCGCATAGCAGTTGGAAGGACCACGAAGGTATAAATCCAAGCTCAAAGCCTTGACGGGCTAGACGGTCGTTACAAGGTGTCAGTCGGATGCCACCATCTCCGATACGACTGCATCTAACCCTTCCAGCACGCCAAATTCCATATTCTCCAGTACGTTACGAGCTTTTTTCCAAGGCAGAGTTCAGTTTACTAACTCCGTCGAAGCTTCAAGATTCACTGGTTCAAACTCGACTGCCCCAGATGGGACATTACTCTCTGTGCCTCACCGGTGCCACATGATCCTCCATCGCCTCCTCGAACTCCGCCTCCATTTTTGTCGCGACGTGGGCGACGCCACGAGAGTGAACAAGATCAACCTTGTGCGTGGGACATGATAAGTGACGAAGATAACGTGAGAGAAATTGAATGGGAGAGCCTGTGAGCGATGCTTCTAGAGCCCGTGCTGAAGCAGCAAGCCATCTGCGATTCTTGTGAGTCCGTGATGTGCTTGGTCTGTGTACAGACTTGGCTTGCGAAGTCGAAGTCATTTTCAATGTAAAATTTCCACAACAATCTTGGAAACTCTCCACAATGGTGTTTTATGTCCTGTTTTGAAACATGCGCCAGCCTACGAGAATGTGCTCCTCCATGGCAAGGTACAAATCGTCGATTCCGGATGTTGATACTTCATACCCAAGCTAAGAACTCACTTGGGACACAGTGGGCATAAAACACGGCTTCAGTCGAGTCAGACGTGGCTGTCAGCAGGATGATACTACGCACTACACATATTTCCGAATCACATGATGGTGGCAGCACACATGTAACAGTCAATCGCATATTTGACGCATAAAGAACGGTCATATAACCAGCAGAGAAAAGATGAGGGAATATTGCACACCATGGATTCTATTTTTGGGGTCCTCGCATTGAATACAGCGCTCTCTTCGTGCTTGCTCACTCTAGAGAGAATTCAATGCAGCCCGCCATCGCGTCAAGCATCCACTCCAGTCTTCACCGCTGGCCAGATGGCGTTACAAGACAATCATCAAGCGTTGGCAGTGCCGTTGATTTTGTGGAACTACAAGTCTCATCCATGGCCTTCTCGAGCAACAATACGGCGTATGTCGACGATCTTAGACCTGTCGCTGAACGACACAGATGACAGCGGTAGGAAGCAGACTCGGGACCTCGGCGCAAAAGGTCTCTGTACTTGGTCAGCCAGGCGTTTCTTACTCGTGATGAAGAGTATAGCAAAGAACTGACCACCATTAAGCAATGTTGGAGGGCCCGGCCACGCATAGGATGAGTTTGCGCAAGGTGATGTACCAACGACGCAACTGGTAGCATGGATAAATGAGGACATGAAAATGGCATACATGCAGCTCTTGTAGTCTTGACGAAATGCGTCGGTGTGTTGACGCCTGACGTGGTGTCGTACTTGATGAATTAGCATTCAAAAAGGCTGGCAGTAGGCGTAACTTGATATTACGGACGTTCGCGACAAAGTTGAGACAGCGTACTCGTTCCACTCATATGTTTTGGCAGACTAATTCAGACGGTAAAAGATGCAAAACGTACTGGGAGCACACGAGCACACATCTCCAATAGGTAAAGGTTGAAGGTCCAGACGTCACTTGATTTTTACGGCACCAAATCCAACTGCCAGGCTTTCAAACTGACGGTGAGTATATCTTATGATTCTATTCTAGACGTGACTTGAGCTATTGTCCAGCGGCTCGGTCGAGTTGCGCGGAGCTCATTACGGTCCCTGGGAGCAGGGCGAAACTGGCCTGCGATGCGACAGACTTATTGTCACGGTCAATGATGATTTATCAGCACGGGCTATTCACGATCTGAGAGGACTTCAATTATACTTTTCTTCTGTTCTTTCAATCCAAACACAGACTACGGAATTCATGGGAAGTAGAATGCCAGCAGAGAAGCGTCTACGGGCTCAGATTGCCGTCTGCTGTTGCACATGCCAGGTTGCCGAGTAATTGTCTCGACAGAGCTGGCTGTGATGAGCAGACAAAAGAACCACGCCCTTGATCGGGCTCGAGTTATCCGACATCGGTTCGCCCGCCGCCAAGTCCCGCGGGCCGCGCCAAACTTGACCCTTCGCAACGTCACTCCGCACCCCGTCATTCTTTGCTCTCGTCACAACCAACTCTCCAAGTCCACGCCCTTCTCGCCCGTCATTGAAAGAGCCAAAGCAATGAAGAAGCTCATCAGCCGTCTGATCGCAGCCACGACCATCGGTCTCTTGGCCAGGGAGCCAAGCAGGGCCTGCTTTGCCAACGGCGCCGACGCCCCAGACATTCCTCCCGAAACGCGAAGTTACTGGATGAGAAGAGCAACGGCAACTCTCTTCGAGGTCACGGGGAGCCCGTGTCCCATGCAGGCCTTTGGAACTGTCGTCGTCAACCATACTGCGGGCGGGCTGGGCGAGCTCGTCTGCGTAGGCGCCAACGACGTTCAGTCTGGCAACCCAACTCTTCATGGTAACATGACCCTCTCCCGGTGGAGAAGCGTCCCGAGAAGCTCACAGATGAGACACAGGAGAAATGGCCGCAATCGGCAACTGCAGCGCCATCCTCACGGATCCAAATGGCCGATACAAGCTGTCCGGCCGCGAGGCCCTGAAGGCGTGGGCCGAACTCACATTGTACACAAACGCGGAGCCGTGCCCCATGTGCGCGTCCGCAATTCGTTGGGCCGGATTCAGGGAAGTCGTCTTCGGCTCGAGCATCGAGTCGCTCAGGGCCCGTCACTGGAGAATAATGACTTTGCCCGCCGAAGAATTGTTCAAGTACACCACAGACTTGCCGGCCGGAAGGACAGCCATAGTCGGAGGCGTCTTGGCCAACGAGACGGATCCGTATTTCAGCTGGCAATACACGAGAGGCGCCAGTTGCCCTCGTGGGTGCCAGATGGAGGGCTCGAAATGTTCGCCGGCGACTGGCGGCAGCGCAAACTCCGAACACCGAGACGCCCTCGGACATGATTGGGGATGGCTGAAACGGAGCGTATAGGACATGGACGGCGAGGGGATGGAGAATGGCATTGTTCTGATGGTCCGAGACATCGGGTGAGGAAGCTGGTCCTGGACGGACTCCTGGGACGTGGCGTGACAGCCTCGCATGACGCGGGACGCGAAGCAACCTGCCTACACATTGTCCGTACGTGTACTAGATGGGAAGTTGTATGTGACGTCGGCGATATTGCTACCCTTTCGGGCCCTCGGACCGTCTCACCATGTAAGTTACACGGCACATGCAACGATAACCGCCAGTAGCATCTGGCCGTTGATCCGCCGCGCAGTCGGGCTGTATATCGTGGTATGCAGCAACAGGTCAAAGCATGTCTCACGCTTGTCGGCGGGTGACTGACAAGACGGGGAGCCGTGATACGGAGGACAGAGGCAAAATGCCCGACTTTTTTACCTACCGTCACGGTGCGTCCTGCGCGTGCTGTGTAACGTGGGCTTGTGAGGGACTAACTGGGCTTGCGAGGGAATGCCGCATCCCTGAAGAGTCAAGACGCACATCTTTGCAGCTCTTGGTTACACCGCAACGGGGATCGTCCCGCCGCGGCTGCACCATTGGCCCATGTCTCTGTCCAAATATGGACTCCTGTGGTCAAGTCAGGTCTGGTTTGCACCGCAGCCGAGTGAGGCTCGCTCCTCTTCTCGATACGGCTTCTCCCTGTGTCCCAGTATAAGGCGAGAGAGGGGACATCCTACGAGTCGGTCACGCTACACGACGACGATACGCATCTCTGCTGTAGAGACAGGGCCCCGTCCTCCGCAACTATACTCTTTTGGTGCATAATTCCAAAACAGGCGTGGCACATGTGTACACATGACTAGCCCAATTTTCTTCGTGAAGCAGAGTGACTCCAGTGGCGTTGACAATAGTCAGGATTCAGGACATGTCGATGTGAATCACGCAAAGACGCAGGACTCCAACTGACTGATTGTCTCCCATGCCAGAACAGTCATGTATAACGCTGTGAAGGACTCGAGAACAAATCACGGAAAGGAAGACGCACGTCTCGTTTATTCTCGCTCGTAACGGTCCTTCGTCATCCCGTGACATGTCCAACTTTGCTCGAGCTGAACCGGTGGACCACGAGCTTTCCGAGGTTTTCCTGTCTCAAGATTCGCCTGGGGTCGGAGTCTTCCACGCAGCGTTGAAGCCGGGCGAGGACCACCTGAGGAACAGCAGTCTTTAGAATGAATCTAATGAATGGCAAAATGCGCGTCAGGGGGCGCGCATTCAGCACCTTTGCCTTGTTTGGCGCCCGTCGAAACAGACTGCAGTGTTGCTGAAACCCCGTGAGGCAGTTCCCAAGCCGTTTTCACGTGAGATGGTTGCACCGGCGGACCGCTCGCCCGGTATACGATTCTCGCTCCATGAAGAAGTGCTACATTGCACACTGCATCAAGGCATATATGGTCAAGGTCATTAGTTTATTCAACACCCCTTTTAGATCTCCATCACTAGAAGTACTGCTATTTCGAATCCAGGTCATGTTAAGAAAGTGATTGAGCAGTCGACACAATCAGGCGTGAGTGATATTCGAAAGCTTTCACCAGCAGTACCGGGCTTACATGTTGAACCAGCCCGTGGAGCCACAAAAGCCAGCCGTGACGATGTAAGACGAATGTCAAGAGTATCCGAATTCGTTGATGGGCAAAAGCAACGTCTGTTACTAAGCATACGTCAAGTTCCAAGACAAGCAAACGAGCCGCCAACCTAATCATCTATTGATTGAGCACACCGAGCCACCCGTTCCGGACACAAGCGCATTCCTTATTATCAACTACGGCTCATCTACAGATGGTACAGAGTACTCAATTGTTTGCTGCGCCAATACGGAGTATTTACGCCTTATATTGCACCCCAGACCAAAGCCCGGATCGAAACCAGGCAAGGGGCTCATGGCCGTGAGGAGAAAGCCACCATCACAACTCAAAACACGTCCTTGTCCGAACAGTATGATCCCAGCTGTACCGCCCGACCTGGCCCATGACTACTCGGCAATGGCAACGCCAAATGACACTCACACAGGTGCGAGATGCGCGGAAGCCGCCCGCCGTTCAGGGACAAGCAAGGGTCCTCGGCCTCTGACCTCCCGCGGTGAGACAGGGACACAGTTCTGGCAATGCACGCCGCCCAAAGGAGATTCGTAGCCAGCCACGTCGACATGGGGATGGCGGTGACGACAGCCGCAGTGTAACCTCATCTTTAGCTTCAAATGCGACGAGGCCTTGCCGACGGTCCGGAGGATATGAAACCCCAACTCATGTTTCGTATGGCCCGATGACCCTGCGAAACAGGTTATTCAGCTCCGTGTACGGCACGGTACGGAGTCCGGACATGTCAGCATCTTGACCGAAGCCAATTGGACGCAATGGCAATACTGGCAGCCAGCCTTGAAATCCAGACTCTGCACGACATGATCAGTGCTTCCCAAAGCTGTGCGAAGTGACATGAGGAATCAGAAAGGACGGCGCAGGAGCAGGAGCACCACGCTCTCGTGCTAGCCTATGGGTAGCCATCGTGGCTTCGAGACACCACGTCGGCTGGACTGTTATGCCTGATGACGCAGGCCATGTCGTCTCGCATGTTGCACTCGAGGTTCGTCCTGGATCGCGGCTGCGGACTGACTCGGGGACACGATACGGACGGCGAGCTGAAATGGCGAGCCCGCGCAGCCTTTGAGGTAATAATACGACGTGGACGGAGCGGAGACTGGTGTGAGGGCTACGAGTCTACGACGACGGAAGGACTCTTTTGGGTACAAAAGAGAGGCCGGGGCCCGTTGAAATCCCTCGCACATGAGGAAATAGGTCCTTGTGGATAGTCATCGAGTCTACTTATCGAATCGCACTTGTGACTTTTTCCCACCACTCTGCCAGGATGAAGAATATCCAGCTCAGCCTCCTTGCCATCCTCCTCCAGGTCTCTCTCTTCGAGGCCAAGGGGTACAAAAAGAACATTCCGACTTATGAGGTCGGGCCTGATGCCAAGATTGACGGCAGGAGCATCACCTACAGAGACCCTGACTGCGAGGAGGGTCTTGACTGCACAGTCACAAGGACCTGCAGCTCTGCCGGGACGTCTCCCGTCCTCAGCGCGGACAAGAAGTACTTTGCCTGCTGCCTCGCGGGGACTCGTCTTCTGGGAAGTCCGCAGACAGCATTTGACTGCTGCGCCGATGGCCACGACCTGGTAGGGAGCGCTGCGGTCGGCTACCACTGCTGCCCTACCGGGTACGAGTTCGACGGGCACATGTGCAACGAAGTCTGCAAGAACGGCAAGGTGCTCGTCGGCGGCAAGTGTGTCTGCCCCGAGGGCACGTCCGAGGGTCCCGACGGAACCTGCAAGGAGAAGGCCAAGTGCACGTCTGGCCTGGAGACGGGTATGTTCTCGCCAAAAAACACCGCGGCCGCTGCGCCGTGAGGCTGCTGTCTTCTGTCTCTCCTGTTAGCAACGTCGACTGACCGTCTCTTTGTCCAGGCAAGTGCTACATATTCACTGCGGAGAACGGCAACAGACTTGGCCTCCGCAACGACAACGTCTACTACGCCGCCCCGGACAGCATGATCCAGCGGTACGGCAAGTTCCAGCTCTGCGGCGACGAGAAGTGCACCGCCGGCCAGGCCATCAACCCATCAAACGAGATCTACATCCGTGATACGTACGGCGACTTGGCCACGGGTGCGCACAACGGCCAATGGCTCAACAACGCCGCCAACGGCAACCACATTGGCCGCACGCCGGCCTTTGCCAACGCCGGCCACTTCTCCATCAGCAAGTGGCCCTGCGGCAAGTACTGCCTTGGTGGCTTCACCCAGGGCATTGGCCCTGCTTGTCCTGCCGAGATTCCCGCCATGACGTTTTATTCGCAGGATCCGCAGATGTGCGTTGCCTTCCAGTTTACCGAGGTGCCTTGCAACATCAAGGCGGACGAGAACAACTGCATCTGGAAGAACGGAGACCAGTGCTGCAACAGGGTTGACTGCGGCAAGAAAGGTGAATAAAGTCTCTGGATTTTCATCCATCCTTGGCACGGCCGACGGCGGCCAGGGGGGGGGGCCGGGAGTATGCGCAGCCGGCGGGCAGCAGGGCATGGTGCGACGGGGTCTTGATTCATAGAATGTATCCTTTCCCGTTCTTTCGTCCTGACACTTGGTTGATGCTGCTTTTTTTGTTTGTGTGTGTTTCTGTGTCCATCGCTCGAGAGTCGCCAGCTAATTTGTACTACCTTTTTTGCCGCTTCGCCAGACCATGGAACAATCCTTAAAAAAAGCCGTGCAAAACGGCTTCTGCTTGTAGGCGCCAACTTGGTCGTGGTCGGCTTTCTTGGTAAATTGATTCAAGACAATGTTTCTCGAGTGCTACCCAAAGATGACGACGTGAGTGGAATCAACAAGAAATCGAGTTCCTACGTGTTTTGGGACGCCATGTTTCCTCACACGACACGGCCCCTTTCCCAGCGGCGCCGCGACTAGAAACGACTGTCGTATTGGCAGCGAGTAGCTAGCGCCCTGTCATGGCGTGGCTGTGAGGTATCGTGGCAGAGCAAGAAGAACAATACAGCAGCTGAAGACACACGAACTTAATGGCAGAGCAACTGATCAATTGAGCCAGACGAGAATGGTGTGCATGAGGTTATTTTCTACTCCAAGTTCTAACACACTGAACCTGCGGGGTAATCTCTTCAAGGGGGCTGCACGTGATGTGGCCCCCACAGTGACCGTTCCTTTCACATCTGCTGTCCGCCACTTCGCGGTCGATGTTCCTGGGTCCTTTCCGGTAGTCTTGATATACGACCGAGTGGCCTCATGTGCCGTTTGACGACGTGGAAACGTACTAACAAGGTTCGTCATGGACAATTTCGTCATGGAGGGCTTCGCATGGGGAATATCGCCCGCGGCGTTGCCACACACAGTACTGTCCAAGCCGACTACCTACACGACAACTTGATGGACTTGTCCCCATGCATGGCCTGAATGCTGCTCGTGTCAATACAGCAGCAAATCTCTCGACTTTTACCCCAGCATTTCGACAGCCAGTGGCTTATATACCGTCGTCGGCCGCCAAGTTCTCAACGACGGTGCGTCTGTAGTCCGACCGCCTTCCCAGGCCGCCTCATGTCGCCGGCTTACCCAGCACGCGGCGGCGGTCACCCATCAATCAACTGGGGTAGAAATTCCCCGGCGTCTCGTCCTTGACAGTGTTCGGATCGAGAAACGCCTGCGGGAAGACGCCCCATTCGCCTCTTCTCGTCGTGCCGCACCAGTACCAGTCATCGGGATGTTCCCCTATTCCCCGGGTTAGCCCCCGCGTCGACTCGACGTGGCGCCGCGCGCCGAGAACAAACTCACAGTTTATGTTGGCGATGGTGTCGCCCCTGTCAAACCTGAGCCACCCAGCCTTGCCGTGCTTCGGAGAAAACTTCCACTTGGCCTTGGCGCTGACTGCCGTCCTCGCCGTCCCGTTGAGGCTGCTCGAGGGCGCAACCAGCATGACCACGTCGGACGGCAGCGAGGCAAAGGCGCCGTCGTGCCACGCAAATACCCTCCGGCCCTTGTACTGCGTCGGCCACCTGATGCCGCTGAGCCTGGCTCCGGACGCGACCTGCAGCTCCTGGGGGCGGTCGCGGTCCACGACGCTCCGTCGAGCCGCGCCCCTCCGGACCTCCTTCATCGCCACGCCCCTTGGGCGGCCGTCGACCTCTGCGAGGCCTCTGCCCGGCGGGCCCCGACTCGCCGGGACCTTGAACTGCAGGTCGTAGTTGTTGAGCTGGTGCGACGGCACGTGCGTCCCGTAGACGACCACGACGCCGGGGATCACGGGCAGCGGCCGCGGATGCCGCGAGACGTGGGCGAGCAGGTCGTCGACGGAGAAAAAGACGGTGGCGTCGCTTTCGTCGAGGGTGTGCCCGTTGTGGGCGCAGAAAATGCACCCGTACAGCCTGTCGTCGGCCCGCTTGACGGCGACGTGGCTCTTTTGCAGGAACCGCAGCCGAAAGTGCACGTCGCGCCTGGACATGGTGCCGATCTCTGCGAGGCCCGTTAGCAAAGCGTCCGTCTGGCGGCGCTGGGGCCACGGATCGCAGTCTGTTGCTTGCCTCTGTTGGCCTGGTCGTTCTCGATGTGCTCCGAGTCCAGCTCCCAGGAGCAGCCTGTGCAGCGCGCCACTATTCGCGACAAGGTCCGGTGTACGGGCTTGTGTCTGTGTCTCACGCCGCTGTTGCCCCCGAGCACTTCTTTTGCGCCGGAGCAAAAGCCCCTGTACAGACGCAGCGAGCTGGACTCGTCAATGACGCAGCTGCGCGGCGGCGGTTGAGCGGCCGGCGTCGGCGGGACGGCTGTGGATGGAGGCTGGCGCTTCTCCAGAGCACCCATCCATGACCACGGCGCATCGTGGAACGACGTGGTTTCGGGGCTGGCGGTCAAGCCGGACGAGACATAGGCTTCGTGCAGTTCGCGAGACGCAAGGCGCCTGGGCAGTGGCCAGGGCTGCCGCAGATGCAAACCCGCCTGCCGCGCCTCTCTGATGGGCAGGTCTGGGCGCCTCCCGGGACTCGGCCGGACCTCAAACAGCCCCGAGGAGTGGCTGCTGCCAGACCGACGTCCCGGAGTGCTGACCGTGTAATCGGGGCCGGGGGCCAAGCCGCGGTGCGCCGTCGCCGTCGTGTTGGCAAGCGCCTGGCATCCGGCGTGCAGATGGTTGGCCGACGTGTCGCTCCACGATGCGCTCCCGGCCAGCGATGGCTCCGTGTTGGTGTTGGTATCGCTTCTCCCATCCAGCTGCCAGGTATAGGAGGACTGCGACACGGCGCACAGGGGCGACGTGGGCGGCGACTCAGGGACGCTGTGTAGTGTCGAGGCCGACGCCGACTCCGACGCTGACACGTTTGCCGCGAGGTCAATATTCTCCAGCACGAGCACGTTGTAGATCTTGGGTGCAACCCGGCGACACAGCGCCTGAACCTCGGCGTACTTTTCTTGGTCAAACGTCTCTACCGTGTCATAGTCGTCGAAGCCCCAGAGAAGACCCGTCAGACCCAGGTGGTGGCTGCTAATGTCGTCTAGAGTTATGCCCGGGTCAGTCTGCCGTCGCAATCATCACAGAGGTCCAGCTTTACCGTTTGTCCTCACGACCGCCGCCATGGCAGCCCCGTGCTGGCTGGACATTTTCTTGCACAGCGGCTCAAGGCGGTTCAGCGCGCGCTGTCCCTCCTTAGATAGAGCCTCGGCCGCTTTGCGCATCGAGGGCGCCTCGTCGCCGGCGTTGGCGGCTGCCTTCTTGGCCTTGGTGACCATGTCACTGAACGGCGCGAGGAGGAACTCGACCACGTCGTCGGCGTCGTGTTGGAGCGCCATTCTAACGTGGTGGCCGGCGCGCGGTCAGTACACGGGTTGCGCCTGGGTCTAGACGGACTGGCTTTGGCACCTCGGTGCTCGGGAAAGAAGCCGAAAAAAAAAAAAAGAAAAAAAAGAAAAAGAAAGGGGGCCCTCTAGCTCAATATCACGGCAATGGAGTTTGACAAACTGTGGCGGAGAGCAGCGTCGAATCCCAACCGACGCTCAGAGGACGCTAACGGCAGTGAGAATTTGCCAAAGCAATCATGCAATCACCAAGAAGAAAGGATTTTCATCGTCTCAACCGTAAACTCAAGGTACCTCCTCGGCCATCGGCGGCTCCGTGTTGGTATCATCTCCCGGCCCTTTGGCGGACGAACCCTGCCAGACTAACGGGTCGGAATCGGCTGAAAAAGTCTTTGATACGTGCATTTACTATGTATTGTGCCGCATCTTGAACAGCAAGCTCTAACTCGTGCATGCTGCGGCTAGACACGATGTGGAACGACGGGACGCCGTACTATACCAGTGCTCGGTACCAGTGTGGCGGATGATAAAGAAACCAAGACTACGCTGGCCTCTTATGTCTTCCGACTGGGCAATCATCAATCATGAATTGATGCGATTCAATTTGTCACGCTCAACAACGAGGATGAGCCAATCAAGACACAAGACCGGGTTTTCGTCAGATTGCAACTACGCCACCGCGCCGACGGGCCGGGGATTCGAGGCAACCATTGAACAAGGCGCACAGGGGAGCATCTTTTCTTTCGGCAGCAGTACAGAAGAGGTGCTCTACAGTGAAGCCCGCCGACGGATGCCCATCGTTGCTTCTGCTGCGACTGTCATGGGCAGGCGAGTATGGCTGTGTTCTTGTAAGCCCATGAGGATGATGCCTTGAGGAATTGCCGGTCCGTTCTTGGTTCGACAGAATCTTGTCGTACCTATCCGCCAAAGCAGGCTACGACACGTACGACCTTTTCGTGAAAAACACGTGCCTCGTGCATCTCGGCCTAGGCCGGTACCTGACAAAGTCGTGTGCCTCGGTGTCGAACCTACGCGCTCCCATGGGAAAGCAGCCCGCAGATTCCAAAACGGCCTGGAAGAACAAAACGACGAGGATTTGCTCCGACTGGTGGGTCGAGTCGCCCGCCTGCCTTCCGACGCGATGCAAATCAGCGCCCGATTCAATTTAGTCTCGCCAACGCGGCAGGGCAGGCCGGGGAGAGAGGCATTTTCGGGGGAGGGGCGGCGATTGTGGCATTGGAACCCTTGTCGACGGCAATCTCCATCTGAGCTCGCGTGCTGGGTGACGGTCGGGCCGTATTTCCGCCAAGGCTTCGCTTCTACTTGGCCGGGTTCAACATCGTACGAGTTGCCGCCAAATGTACCTGGGCAAGGGGCATTCACTTACGTACTATGTACCAAGACTTGGATACTTACGTATTTCATCTACGGAGTACTCGTGCATGCTGTGACAGGGGCTCACATCGCAGCAATGCGGGAGCACTCGATTCGCATATAATTGTCGAGTCTCCAAGATCCTCGGCTCCTGTCTGAGAGACCTTACAGGGAAAAGCCCTGCCAAGTTGGCAAAGTTATTTACTGAAGTAGGTAGCCGGCTAGTTGCCCAGCGAGAGCCTCTGAGGGCATCGCGATAGCTGCGACCTTTTCCTTTTGTGCGTCACAGCCAGCCGTGTGGTTGAGGTGTTGTTGTGCTCGACGGCAAGTTCCGTGCAGCACACAAGGAATGTTTGGCCAGGCGTGACATGACCCGGGGCATCCAGAGCCGATGTATTATAGTTGGGAGGGGGAGAGAGAGAGCATGTACGGCCGGAGGACGACTTGGCATTCTAGCGGTAAATACCGTCAACAGTGTCTCAAGGAAACGAAGAGACATGGATCTCTTGTTAGCAGAGACAATCCTGCCTGTAACCCCCGCAGTCTTCCTTGTTTGGTCCCCCGTGAGGGCTGCCCTGGGAATACTGAGGATCTGGTCCGGTGAGGAATAAGCCGCAGGCAGAGAGTTCAGCACCAGGCTCAAGTGCCGCTACAACCGACAACCCGAGGGCTGCGTGAATGGGGTAATGGAGGGGGGAAAACCACGTTGTCACGACGGTAAACTCAAAACTTCAGTCCAGCTCTGAGAGCAGAATGAAGCAGCCGACATGGGGGCACGTTTGATCGTGCCCAAGCAAGATCAAACAGACTCAGCATGTAAGTTGTAATGTGCATGTGTATATATATACATGTATGCAGCCTGGAATCATGGCACCTAAAGTTTCCTCCATCCTTCCGCAGCCATCGATCCGTCTCGCATTGACACTGGGCACTCTGTCTGTCTGTTCAACTTCCTACTGTCGTGTCGAATTGCAAAGATGAAGACGACTGTTGCTGGCCTTGTCACCTCTTTGCTTGCACTAGCCACGGCTAGCCCAGCAGCAGGCCCGGAGAAAGTCAAACGCGGCTCTCTTGACAAATATGATAAGCATCCCGAACTCCGGCTAGACCTTGTATACTGTCTCGAGGAAAAGGTAGGTTGTCCCTTGCGCGTGCCAACGTACTGCTAGATAATGAGCTCTGACAGGCCTCACAACTGGACCTAGCCCTGGAGTGATAGACATCCACGCCATTCGAATTGGGCGATTTCCATTGCCAACAGGTATACGGTGAGCAGGCCGTTGCCGCAATTCACATGCTTGGACGTGTGCTGATACAACATGCAGAGTAGAGCGCAACTTGAAAGGGCACTTTGGGAATGCAAATGGGGGCAAGACGGCTCGGAGTCTTTCTGGAAAACTTTCTGGGCTGTCAACGACGAGACATACATCAGGTGCGAAGCTGAACTGCCCGGCGACAAGTGTGTTAGAGAACTGTTCTATCTGCACGGATCTTTCGGCCACCTCCGTGCAAGTTGCGAAATTGGTGCTCTGAGTAGCGGTGGAACACAATACCTGCCTGTCACGAAGAAGCTGTACCCAAGTGATGCCTTTCCCCAAGGGCCACGGTGCGGAACTGTCTTCGGCAAGGGGGTTGTAATCAGCAGGGAGCATTTTGCACCAGTGTGCAAATGCGTCACGGCCCCGGCGGCATAAGGCATCAAGCCCTCGGTGCCTCGGTCTTCCCACACAAGCATCTCGTATATATAACTCTTAGTTAGGTCCTGTAGACCAGGGAGCTGGGCGCCGTTAAGACTATACCATACGATATGATAGTCCAAGTCCAAGCCCCAATCATGGTGACCAGCCCTTGTTGCAGTCACCGTCAGGCTCGGCGTCAAGTGGCGAAAAGCGCAGCGCGCAGCAAACCAACGGGGCCTGCATCTCCAGCCCTGCAACCTTGTGTGCTCCATGGATGCCGCTGCTTGGACTTGATGCACAGCCGGCTCTGCGTGTGCGAGGAAAACGGCTCTGCTCGAAGACCAGACAGCACTCGATCTGGCGGTCGTTGCGGTCATCACGTTATCCGTGCGAGATGATGATACAGCCGGCTTGGCGGGGGGCCCATGACGTCGCGTCGCCGGGTAATCCCGATTCCTGGTGCCGGAGAGTCAGAGAACCCCTGAGCGGCTCCTCTCGTGCATCCAGTGTGGAAAGGGGCGTTGAAATAGGCTATTACGGCCTGTGACGATCATCACGCATCGTCTCGGCGGTGCGCCGTCGCCCCGGCCGGCAGCGGGCACTGTGCTGTGCATGTGCCAAATTTCGACGCGGCGTCGACCGGACCCGTCTCAGACGACTTGCTGAAACTGCTCGCAACGGAGCCTGGTGCAGTGGGATCGCGAGAAGCGTCTGGACTCTGGAGTGCCGCCGGCATCAGACGTCGGCCGGTGCCGGTGCCGGTGCCACGGCCGTACAGTAACGCTCGGCCGACACCGTCATGACACCGTGTCAACATGGCAGCGGGCACCGTGCCGTCCCCCTTTTATGCCCGTCGAGCCGCCAACTATGCACGTGACGGCCAACACCAACAAACCAGTTCGGCGTCGACCTGACGGGTATCGCGTGCACGACGCAGCCTTCTTCGGAGCCAAGAATCGCCAATCACCAGCCGGCTGCGAGTCCCCGTCCGGTCACGGGTGTCTCAAGAATAGTTCAGGGGCCAGCCGGCTTGTACGTTGAACCGCACAGCAGCGCTTGGCGGGCGAAAACACGAAAATGGCCAAATTGGAAACGGGCGTCGCTACCGCCGCCAGTGTTGCCCAGCAGATGCGTCCAGAGGTGACCTCACCTCGGAGCGCATCCTCAACACAATACAGAGGCCTCTTGGGCCCTTGGGACGTCTACATAATGCATCGCCTCCCTCGGACTTGAGTGCCTCCCCCTCCCTTTCCTTGGCAGGTACCCTCAAGTTCAACGTCCGCGCATCAGACTCCCACCGCAAACATGAAGCCCGCGTTCGCTGCTCTCCTCGCCACTCAGGCGATCCTCGCTGCGGCAAGTCCTACCCCAGACACGGTAAGTCGCCCACCACGCCGCAGGAGCACCAGAAGTGCTGACAGCAGAAGGATGCGACTCGAGCGCCAGAAGCAAGAGTGAGTGTGGGCCGCGTCCCCCCGTGCCGCGAGAGAACCCGGTGCTGAGCAAGCTGCGTCGGCGTACGAAAAGATGCCCCAAGACACACGAGATCTAGGGAGGCGCGAATGCTCATATGGAACCTGTGACGGGTGCCTGGGCGGGTACGGCTTCTGTATCTCCTGCAATAATGTGAGCGGCGGTGCTTCCGCGTGCGCAAACTGGTAGGTTCCCGTTGCTGCCGCGCATCGCGTCGGATGCGTCCGCGTCTCTTCTTTGGCTGACGACTTGGTGTAGCTGGATCTTTTGCGCTGCCTACTGCGGCTGCTAGGCGCGGAAACATGTTGCGTTTGTCCCGTCTTGGAACTCGGTCGTCTTTGGCGCGTCGTGCCGTGTCGTTTTCTCTTCTTTCCTTTCCTTTCCGCCTGCGGTCGTTCTGCCGGTCAGTGACTCAGTGGTCAAGAGTGCGGACGGAGTGCGTCGACGACGGGCCGGGTTTACAACTTTTCAATGAGCTGCCAGGCTAGCGAATATGACAACTTTGCTTCTTAGGTCACTTCTGCTTGTGGCGTAGGTGCCGGCCGCGTCTGTCGTGCACTGTCAGCGTTCGCGGGCGGGCGGGTGTGAAACCGATCGATGCGTGTGTCGTGGGATGAATATCGAGGCTGGGCCAGTCGAGAGAACCTCGGAACCGAACCGTCTTTTCTCTTTGCAGGGAACAAACCTCGGCTTTCTCTGCCCCTGACACAGCCGACATGTTGGCCAGGTTGTTGAGCTTTCCGTCGTCGTGGAGGGGTCGGTTGGGCTCGTTTGACCCCGACCACGGACTATATTGGCAATGTTGATTGGGAAAAGGGCCGTGTGGTGTGGGCAGCACGGCGAATTGTGCCTCGGGCAGCAAACGACGCCACGAGTGCGGCATCTCATACAATCCGCCCAGGCCGGCTACAGACTCGTAACCTCGATGATTATCCCCCCTCATCGAGGACGGGCAGGTAGGTTACAAGCCGACGAGGGCTCGGAGCCGCAACTCCGTTTCACAACGACACTCGATTTGCATTCAAGGCCATCGGGGCTCTCTGTGCTGCAAGACGTCTATTTACAAAAAAGCTACACCATGTCATCCATCCTGCAGCCGAGTGACAATCGCACAGCTCAGTCACGTCGTAGCGTAGTCTCGGCCGTCTCTCCGCCCAAGCTGCCGCATTGCCCAATTTCAGAGAGGCGTCAGCCGCACAAATGCCTGCTTTGGAGTGTGCAGGGCCTTGGTCCTCGCCTGGTATCCGTTCAAAGCGTCTGGAATAGTTTCAAACCTGAAGCTCAACACCAAGATGGCAATCATGACCCTAAGCTCTTGCATGGCCAGTTTCTTGCCTGTTTCGTCGACCATTAGTCTGGTGCTGTGCGTAAAGAACGGGCAGCCTGGACGTCTGTCTCACCGAAACATGCTCTGGGGCCCGTGCTAAAGGCCAGTCGTCTAAAGGCCTTGGGGTTGAAATGACCAGCCTCGTCCAACCACCTCTCTGGGCAAAACTGCGCCATGCTGGGCTCCCAGTCGTGGTCGACGTTGCCCCTGGACGCCTGGCACTTTTCGCTTCGCAGCGACTCTGGAACGTCGAACGGGGCCTCGCCGACGTACGGGCTGCACATGATCTGAGTCCCCTTGGGGATGTGGTATCCCAGGACTTGGGTGTCGACGGTGGCAACGCGTACCAGACGAGGCGTGATGTTTGCCAGCCTGATGCACTCTTCCAGCGTGGCGTCCAGGAGGGGAATGCTTGCGGACATGACTTGCTCCGCACTCGGCGGACTCGCGGGGGACGCGTCGGGAAATGCTCGTTGGAGTGCGGCCCGGAGATGATGCTGCGCTTGGGGGTTGTTGGTGAGGAACTTGGCGGACCAGGTCAATGTCGTCGCGGTCGTCTCGTGGCCCTGGCTCCGCGGTCAGTTTCTGGCGACGGCATCGATTCCGGAACACACGAGTCACGTTACCGCAATGAGGAGCATGAACAGCTCGTCGTGGATCTCTGCCGTTGTCGGGCGAGCAAACGCGCCCGATGTGGCCGACTTTTGCATGGCCAGCGACTCGCGACGGAGGACCAGGTCCATTGCGCATGTGTCGTCGTCGCCCGGAAGCTGCCCCTCCGCGAAATGCGCGAACCGGTGTCGTGCGTCCTTGATCAGGTCGTTGACAATCTTCTCCTTGGCCGCCCAGTGTCTCTTGTACTCGGGCGACTGGCGCCAGATCCAGTGACGAAGCGTCGGCAAGGGCGACGTGAGAGACTGTTCCATGGTCATGTTGAAGAACTCGGCCGCAAGAAACATGCTGCCGCGTGGCACGCGCGGCATGACGGCGGGAGAATCCTTGGACGCGGGCTGCTCAACGTGTTGGAGGCCGTTTCTGATGCCCGTGTGCTCGTTCAAAACCCCATCCAGGTTCGAGCCCAGCACAGACGCCCAGATAATGTCAAACGTGGCAAGATCAAAGTCCTGCTCTACGGAAAACGGGCGGCCGTCGGCAATGGCAGTCCTTGTCCGGAGCAGCTCAGCCAGCTCCAGCGCATACTTGTGCATCTTTGGGGCCGCCACCCGCCGAAGAAAGTCGGCACTCATGGTATCTGCCCATAGCCGTCGCTGTGCCCTCCAGGCGGATGTTGTTTGTTTCAGGATGCTCGAGTGCCGAAAGAATGGCCTGAAGGCGCCCACCGTGGAAGGCGCTCGATCGAACTCCTTGGTCCGCGTGGCCAGGATATCCTCGACCTCCCGATCGTCATCCAAGAAGACGAAGGGTCGAGAGAATGGCCGCAGGAAAAGCTGGATAATGGGCGAATGCAGCTTGCGGCATTGCGTGATGCCAAAGTTTGCCGCATCCTGGCCCGAGTCGATGAAGTCGACGATGTCGGGGACGTCTCCTAGGAGACGCCTTGCCGCATGCTTGTTGAAGGGGATCCCGGCGTATGGTCGCGGGTAGGCGAGATGAAGGATCCAGCAAAGCAAAATCAAGAGAGCGCAACCGGGCAGGTACACGGAATACATTTTGCGATGAGTTGAGGCAAGTTCCCGAGCACACGAGGTGGCGAGACCCGTGAGATTCAAGTATAGCTCGAATACCGGCCGAGGAGAGAGGCAAGCTGTGACATGCCGGACGCCGCGTAAATGCCATGGTGGCTTTGGAGGCTGCCAATACGAGGGAAGCCATCGTGACGTGGCGGCACACTAGGGTGCCTGTGGTTTTTCTTTCAATGCAAAACGCATCATCTCAAGTGCTTCAGAAGACACCTGTGGAAGAGCCACCAGAGTGGAAAATACATTTCCGATGCTTGATGGGCTGTTTCCAACTATTGAGACGGCGAAACGAGGGGCGGCCGGTGCGAAAAGCGGACGAGTCCCAGATCCAGAGGTGTAGAGTCGCCAGAGGAGACTATCTCTGCTTTATGTATGCTGAATGACAGAGGACGATACCAAACAGACGCATTCCGGGCACGCGAGTGCGAGTCTTGGACCGCGGCCTGCGTATTTATGCTTGCGCAGCGGGCAGACGCGGACGCAGGCAGACAAAGGCGCACATCGTGGGCACCAAGCGCCCTGTTCTTGGGACGCACAGGAGCAGACCCGCTGCGACGAAACCTCTGCCGAAGACGGAGGTCTCTGTTCTCTGTCGGCTTCAAGTGGCGCCGTGAAGACTTTTGTGAGACGCATGAATGGGAGGGTATCCCATTGTCATGGAACCGGTGGAGACGACAAGTTGTGGAAGCAGCGAGCAGCAAGCCAATAGGCAATGAATGTCGCGCGTCGAGCTAGCTCGGGATTGTCTTACCTGGGGCTCTCGACGTGATGGGCTGAAAGCCACGACGCAAATCATGTTTGGACCGAGACACGGGATGACTCCTGGCTTGAGCTCAGCAACTGGACGACAACTAGGCGACCCTTTTTTCAATCAAGCTCTCGCCATGATGTGTACCCTCGTCGCGGAGAAACATCAGACCATGAGCCGAGTCGGGGGTTCTTCAGAGATGGCTCCGCCGAGGTCAGGAGCTCGAGTCCATCGTCAGGTTGATGGAGCTCCACACAACTTGGCCGCCGCCAGGGCCATGGCATGGACTACGTGCGCGCGCAAGCAGGGCATCGGACAAGAATGCTGCCTCGTGGTCCAAGCCGCTCCACCGCAACGACGGCTCCTCCCTCTCACCACAGACCCGGGAGATGCCGGCCGGTGTTATTCCAGGTTCGGGCACCGGCACAATTTGATAATTTGCCAGGTGGGGGTCTTTTGATTCCTCGCATGCGCCACGTTTGTAAAACAATCGCTTGGTGTTGAGATCGATACGATTCTGGTCGATGACAAGTGGCGTCATTCCTGGCCCCTTCCTTGGACAGTTTAAACTGTGGCCGGTTCGGAGTGCGATATTGAGCCTTCTAAACGCACATCAATCGAGGCTTTGGCAGGGCTAGTTGCAGGCCAGTTTCTTTTGATTCGTCCCTGCGGTAAATGGTTCAAAAATGCATGTCCTGCTATCTTGCTTTCTTGCTTTGCGCCACGCAGCGACCACCCACTCGAGGTGCCGAATTGAAATTTGCTGAAAACGGCACGGACGGCAGGCAGCCCGCAGGTCCCAGTCCAAGGTACGGAGTACTCGGAGCCATCTGCCGTGCTGGCCCCGTTGTTGGCGAGGCGGAATTGCTCATCATCTCCGCCCGGAGGAAGCGGAGCAAGCAAGAGCGGGTCCGTGGCCGATCCGATCCGGCCGACACCTTCCGCGACCCGACACGACAAGACGAAGCAGAGGCCGGCTGAGGCTGTCCTCGACAAGACGTCTGGTCCATCGTCGCTGATGATGGAAATAGAGCCTCTCTGGATCGGGGGTTGCCGCGGGGCCAGAGAGAGCCAGAGAGTCAGAGCAGGACGCCTACGTGCGGCTGGCCGTGCATGCGACAGTGACACCGGAGCTCATTTCCAGCCCGTGATTGTAAATTATGCATGTGTATATTGAGCCCAAGTTCCATCCAGTATTGTCAACGAGACTTCCCGCGGCCACTGACGCGCCCACGGCACATCATCCGTACTTTTTTTTAAAAAAAAAGGCAAGCAAATCAGACCGTGCTTCCAGCCACCACCCCCGCCTTCGTCTCAGACCTTCAAGACGTCCAACGGCGCCCTCATGTGCTCGGCATCAAACGGCTCCTCGACGGTCAAAGAGCACGTCGAGTTGGCCGTCGCCCGTTCCGCGGAAAACAGGCCGTCTATCCAGTCCATCCAGCGCAGCATGGAGGCCTCGACAACGGCGCCGTGTCCCATGCCCGGAAAGTACGACAGGTGAACCTCGTTGCCGCTCGCGCAGGACCTCGCCCAGGCCTCTCTGACCGTCTGCTGGGGCACCACGCGGTCGGCCTGGCCGTGGATGACGAGCACGGGCGACGAGGACGGGGCCCCGAGCGCGGGGGCCTGGCTGCGCTGCCAGTTCTCGAAGACGGGCATGTCGCGCTCGAGCGCGGCGTGGTCGACGACTTGGTCGCGGCTCAGGTCCTCGGCGAGGCCGATCTGGCTGGCGAAGCAGACCTGGGCGTTGCGCGCGAGGTCGACTCTGCCCTGCGCCCGCGGGGTGAGGAAGGTGCGGTCGTACGAGGGGACGGCGCGGCCGACGACCTCGGGCACGACGGTGACGAAGCTCGGGATGGGATAGTCGGTCAAGTTCTTGAGGAGCATGTCGACGACGTGGGTGGCCGGGGAGATGGCCACGGTGCCCAGGTATCCGGCGGCGCGGGGCTGGACGTCGGGACGCTCGGAGAGCCTCCAGACGGCGCCGCCGCCCTGGGAGTGGCCGACGCCGACCCAGTCGCGGGAGAGGAGGTGGCCAAAGGCCTTCTTGGCGGCGACGACGGAGTAGTAGACGTCGGCGGCCTGGGCGGAGAAGCTGAGATACTTGTGGCCGGTGAAGTTGTTGCCGATGCCGGCGTAGTCGGTCGCCACGACGGCGTATCCCTGGTTGACCAGGGCCTGCCAGGGCCCGTGGTAGAGCGTCGGCCCGTTGGACGGAGCGCACCCGGCGTAGATGCCGGTCGTGCCGTGTGCCCAGGCGGCGAGACGGAAGACGTCCGGGCCGCGGGACGCGCCACCGCGGCGCCACCGCTTGGCGGTGTACGGGAAGGCGATGAAGCCCGTGACGGGGACGGGCGAGCCGTCGAGGTCCTCGGACGTGTACTGCATTCGGTAGGCCGTCGTCCCGGGCGAGACGGCCAAGGTGGACGGGTCCAGGGCCTGCATCTTCAACACGTCCCCCGGCCTGGAGCCCGACAAGTTGGCCGCCGTCTCGTAGAAGTCGAAGTCGAAGTCGACGCCGAACACCTGTTGCTCCAGTCGCCGCGTCTCATGGTAGACTCGGAGGCACGTCTCGCTGCAGCCGTACTTGCGAGCCTCGTCTGGGCTTATGTCCAAGTCGGCGGCTCGACGGGCAGCCGCGAAGCCGGCAAGGGACACGAGAAGCGCGCATGGAATATGCATCTTGGAGGGCGACGGCGATGACGACGACGACGACGACGACGACGACGAGGCAGACTGTACCTGGCATCGGGAATAGACTTTACGAGCGCTGCCTGAGCAGCTGACGGCCGGCCTATTATTCCCCGGCGGGAGCGTCTCTGCGCCGTCTCGGCCGGTTGCAGTTGAGTTGGCAATCTTGCCGGAACCTAGTCGAGAACTAACTAGTATAACGGCTTCGTCACGCGGCTCTGCCATGGATAAGTGCGTCTCCACATGTTCACTCGGAATTGTCTGAATTCGCCTGCCTGTCCCAATTGCACGTGCGATTCCAGTCCGACGCTCACCGCTGACCAGATGCGACAACCTGACCGCGAGGCATGTTCCCAGCCACGGCCTCGCGCAGCACAGGTCCAAGGCCGACGAGAGGGACGGAATGGGATAGTGCCAAAAGGCCAAAAGACACAAGATCACGTGTAGCCTCCGCGAATGCGCGGCGCAGCCTCGAGGTGGAATGGCGCACAAGCGTGGAGACATCATGTGGACATTGGGGACGCAAAGTGGCATTTGGCATCTGGCATCTGGCATCGCATCGCATCGCATCGCATCGCATCGCGGCCATCTAGCCCGTCCCCCTTCTCTTCTTCACCCGCAGCAGACGCTGGGCTCCTCGATGCCGCCGCGAACCCGGCCAGGCTGCTTTCCGCCTTCACCGTCACCGCCGTCCCTGTCCATCCTGACCTCCAGCCAGTCGCAGACAAACTTGCCCAGCCCGGCGCCGACAAAGATGCACATGATGACGTAGCCGTTGAAGTACATGGCGAGCAACATGACAACGTAGGCGCTCCCAAACGTCAGCGCGTGCAGGACGGCCCTCGTGAGCTGCTGGAGGAGCGTGGCGCGAAGCACGACGACGCGGGCGGCCGCACTGCTCCCGCCGACGTATCGGCCGGCCAACTCGCGCCGGAACTGGCGGAGGAGAAAGGCGTCGTATTCCCTGCCGAGGCGGCGGAAAAACTCGACGAGCATGACGAGGAGGATGACGCCGATGCACGTGGCCGCGAACATGCCCCGGGTCGTGACGCGCCAGTTTGGCGAGAGGAAGCAGGCGTCTATCGTGTACCAGTTCCAGAGCATCTGATGTAGGCGGTTAGACTTGACGAGACCCGAGACGAAGCGAGACGGGAGAGACCAGACGACGTGCGGGGGGAGAGAGAGGGAGAGAGACGTGTCCGTACAGATATTTTGCACGACGAGTCGTCGCCGCCGTGCATGCTCTGCATGATGACGACGATGGCGGTCGATGATGAAGGGAGCACCAGGTCGATGATTGGAAACCAGGCTCGTCCGACGGAGCGAGCGGTGCGCAAAGCTGAACCTAAAGAGCCGGCGTCGTCGACGGTGCCAGGATAGGATCTGCTGCGCCGGCATGTCAACGATAATTAAGGCCCTGGTAAAACCAAAACCAAAACCAAAACCAAAAACACTCACCCACTGCGCCCGCGAGCTGAGCGGCAGCTGCCTGGGCTGAGCCTTGAAGCCGTCGCGAGTCGCGATGACTGGTGCTGAGGCGCTCCGCAAAATTTGCTCATTCCTGCTCAGACGTACTTCCACGCATTCTGCATGCGCCTTGCAACCAAGCCGACGGCTCGGGGCCAGAAAATCTGCAACGTGCTCCTGGGCTGCGGTGACAGTCGATGAGCGAGTTTGGGGCGGCGTTTGAGCAGAGGCTGCGAGAGGGGAAAAGAGCCAAACCAATGTCGGGCAACATCCCTTGTCGACGACGGCACAGGATGCGCTCGATTCGGGAGAGAGTCTGGCATGGCCATCAACTTATAGCAACGCAGACCGCTTCCCTCCCCAGGCTCCTCGCGCTTCTCGGCATCTTCATCTCCTCTCCCTCTCCGCTCGTCGACCGACGGCAACAACGTTCGCTTGCGCGGCAGTCACTCACTCACTCTCTCCACCCCCCTCTCCCTCCCTCCCTCTCTCCGGGTCATCCTGCGCCATGCTGCTGGAGCCGCGACATGTCCAAAACCACTCCGAGGCCAGCGACACGCAGGCGCATTGGGGGTATCCCGATCGCGTGGTCCCCTGCAAGAACGACGCCGGGTCGTGCGCCTACCTCGACGTCGTCTACCGCGCCCACGACCTGGGCATGCTGTACATGGGCATTCTGTGGGCGACCATCTTCGGCGTCGTCTTCGTCTGGGCGCTGCTTCGGAGGGCCGGCGCTCCCCGTCGCGGCGCCCTCGGCAGGATGACGACGACCGTGTCTGCTGCCTCCCGGCGCCTCCTCCTGCGCGAGGCAAGCCGTCGCCTGTTCGGCCGCACCACGCGCCTCCAGGTGGTCGTGCTGGCGCTTCTCTCGGGATACCTCGCGGTATGGAGCTTCCTGGGCATCTCGTATCGCACATGGGTCACGCCGGTCAAGAACATGCCGGGCGTGTACAACACGCGGACGGGCCTCGGGCCTTGGTCGGATCGCGTCGGCGTCGTCGCCTACGCCCTCACGCCGCTGTCCGTGCTGCTCAGCAGCAGGGAGTCCCTGCTCTCCGTCCTGACCGGCGTGCCGTACCAGAGCTTCAACTTCCTGCACCGGTGGCTGGGCTACATCATCCTCCTCCAGTCCCTCCTCCACACCGTCGGCTGGCTCGTCATCCAGCTGAAGCTGTACCAGCCCCAGCCCAGCGTCAGCCTCGCCTGGATCGTGGAGCCGTACATCATCTGGGGCCTCGCGGCCATGATCCTCCTCCTCATCATGTCCGTCCTGTGCACGCCGTGGGCGATCCGGACGACGGGCTACGAATTCTTCCGCAAGACGCACTACGTCCTGGCCATGGTGTACGTTGGCGCCTGCTGGGCACACTGGAGCCGGCTCGAGTGCTTCCTCGTCCCGGCCCTCGTCCTCTGGGGCGTCGACCGAGGCGCGAGGTTCGTGAGGACCGGGCTGCTGCACCACCGCCCCCGTTCTCCGTCGGCGTTGGCGGGCTTCAAGCCCGCCCAGGCCACCATCACGCGGTTCCCCGACGCGGAGCACGGCGACGTCCTCAGGCTGGACCTGGAAAACGCCCAGGACCCGTGGAGCATCGGCCAGCACTACTTCCTGTGCTTCGTCGAGTCGAGCATCTGGCAGTCTCACCCGTTCACGCCGCTCAACGCGCCCGTCGTCCAGGAAGACGGCCTCGTCAAGCACTCGTACGTCCTGAGGGCAAAGTCGGGCGAGACCAGGAAACTAGCCGAGCTGGCGGCCAGCAAGTCTGCCGCCGCCCCAACCGACGCCGTCGTCACCACGCCCGTCCTCCTCACCGGCGGCTACGGGCAGGACCTCGTCGGCAAGGTCGACCGCAACACAAACGTCGTCTGCGTCGCGGGCGGCACGGGCATCGTCTACGTCCTCTCCACCCTCCTGCATCTGGCGCGGCACAGACGGCCGTCGGATCGCAAAATCGAGCTCATCTGGGCCATGCGACACGCCCGCGACGCGGATTGGGTCAGGGACGAATTGGCCGTCCTGCGCGACGCACAAAAGGACTTGAACCTGACAATCTCGCTCTTCGCCACACGGGACGCTGCTGGCAGCGTAGACGCCGACGTGGCCTCGTCCTCGTCAGAAGAGACGTGCCCGCGTGGTGAAAAGACGGTTTGCGCCCCGGGCGTATCCGGCGACGGTTCCGACGATCAAAGTCGACGACGTCCGGATCTGGGCACGCTGCTTGGTGCGTTTGTGGAGGGGACCATCGCGGGCAGGACGGTCGTGTTTGCGAGCGGGCCGGGAGGCATCATCACCGACTTGAGAAGCATAGTTGCCGGCTTGAATGTCCCCGGCAGAGTATGGAGGAGGCAAGACAAGTTTGACGTCGAGCTGGTCTGCGACGACAGACTAGAGTGGTAGCTTGTACATCATCCTGCTTGTGCCTGTGCTCACGATTCACGAATAGAGAGGAGAAGCTGCAAACACGCAGCCACTTGCCAAAGACAATCTGCGAGGGGAGATGCCAGAAGGAGATCCGAGGTACTCATGGCCACCACTGATCTGGTCCCGCATCTGGATCTCGCTCACCGATGTCTATGCCGCTTTTGACAAGCCCTGGTTTGAAGGCGCTAGGAGAGCTTGCTCGGCCAGCGCGCGCTCTTCCGTCCCGCCCGATGAGCCCTTTATTTGTCAAACGAACGAGGGCCCAAGGATGTCCTTACCAAAAAGCGCCCCCCCTAACCATCAGCAAGGTCGGCCGGAGCAAGACATCAAAACACGACCTGTTTAGTACTGGTAAAACGCCTCAACTGGAAAGCAGGTAGCATCCGTCACGACGAACGAGCGAAAACTCGGCGCATCGGACCAATACGAATCCAACGCCTCGCCCTGGGCCGGCCCGGGGCAACTCTATTCTTCCCGTGCCTAGCTTACACGGCGAACTGGATGACGCGACGAACTTCAGTTCCTGTTCTAGCGGCCAGCACGTTCCATCGAACAAGCGTACACGAAACCTACCTGGGGACAGTTAAATGCCTCACCAGTCAAGCACATAAAGGAACCCCGACCCGGTCGTCAGGTAAGCCCTGACATCCCGCAAACGAAGCAGGATCACGTTGCCGAACCGTTCGACAGACCAGACTCAGCAACATCTTCCGCCGCCCAAGCACACAGCCTTTGAGCTCGCCACCATGAAGGTCTGCGCTGTTCTCGCCGCCGTTGCCGTTGGCGCCACTTCCGCCGCCGGCCTCGAGGGCTGGTCGTACACCGGCCTGACGGAGCTCCAGTCCAAGTACGCACGACGCATCACGGCCCAGGCCAGGAAGGAGGAGCTCGGAGCGCAGGGATGCCAGGCGGCCATCGCCACGGCCCTCATGGAGGTAGGGCCGTCCTTGCCACCCCTCGAACCGGGCCGCTTGCCAGGCAGGCAGGCAGACTGACAGACAGACTGACGTGTTCACGCGACATCGGTAGTCTACACTCATAATGCATGCCAACAGCGCGGTGCCCGGCTCCCTGGCCTTCCACCATGACCGTCTCGGCTACGACGGAGACTCGGTCGGCCTGTTCCAGCAGCGGGCCTCCATCTACACCGACCTCGGGTGTAGCATGAACGCGGCCTGCTCTGCGCACCAGTTCTTCGTCGAGATGAGGGACGTTCCGGACTGGGAGAGCATGGATGTCGGCACTCTTTGCCAGGCCGTGCAGCGCTCGCAGAACCCCGAGCGCTACTACGAATTTATTGATCTGGCTGCTAGCGTTTGCGCGGAAGCCGGTTTGTAAATAGAATCTTGGTGTGAGCGTGTCCCGTGTCCGTGAGAGGACTTGAGCCATGCCGCATCGTGGGACTGGGGAGTTTGGACGCTGCGGCATCCTCGTTTTCTTTTCTTGGTTGCGCCTTGGCCGGGGGGAGGGGCGGCTGCGACTTGACTGTTGGAAAAAGCAGACACGAGACATGTGTTCATGGCGATGAGGGCATTCAAGTGCGAAAACGTCCGGTCATTACAGGTACTATAAAAGTTATTGTGTTTTCTTCTTGACTGTTCAACGTGTTGTTCGGGGAAGCCCCTCTGCCCGCTGAGGTTGTGAGCGCAATCCCCTCGTCACAACATGGTGTCATGTTGCTGCACAAGTCGGAAACATTGGACCACGCCGTGTCATGGAGTCGGCCCTTGGACAGTGCCCCGGCTCACGGATGGTTCTTTGACGTGCTCAAATGTGTTCCAACACGCCGTCATTCTAGCCGTGTCACGGTATCCGGGAGACGAATCTGACCGTCTGACCAGCGACATCAGGCTCAGCAATCACTCCCCGGAACGAGCCGTGCTTTCCCAGTACCGGAACTAGGATTGGCCACCAAAAATGCCACTGACGGAACCATGTGGCGCCTGTATGTGCCGTTTACTCCCTCAGTTGCTCTCCCCGGCTCGCTTCGGCGGTGCTTGCCCTTCAGATCCCATTACGTATACCTTGATATGGTGAGTGAGTAGCTGGCTTCATGTGAAGTTGGCTCGACCGATTGCTCTTACATGTGCGCAGGATGCTGCCCTCTTGATGAGCCGTTCCTGAACTCGAGTCTCGTCCCTGTCAGCGGCATGCCGAACTCCCGATTCTGGCTGAGACATGGTGACGGGTGTGGCCATCAGGGTTGGGACTGGGATTGGGAGGGGGCGGACCGGACTGCAGCAGACTTGCGAGCATCTTCTTATCTGCCGCTTGGGTTAAGCTTTCGGGTTTCGATTTAACTTTGCATGTCCCGATGCCAGGGTGTGGAATAGAGTTTCGTCGCAAGCCGCTAAACCTGCGCAATCCCGCAGCATCTTGAGGCCCCTCTCCAACAGGCTGTATGCAGTCATGACAAGTCGACGCCCCGTTGAGATGACGCAGCTTTTCGAGCCTCACGGGCCTTGGGGGTGAATGTCCCCTGCCTGTGCCGGTGCTTGTATCTCACGTCGAAACGATTCCGGGTAATGCCCATGAAGCCTTTCCACAGTCCGCCAGCCACAATCGAAGAGAGATCCCATGGGCTGGTCGACGAAGCCAGCATAACTGAACAACATTGCAGCCTTATGCACCACTCGAACCCGACGGCGGCGGTTTTGTCGTGTGCGTTTCATTCAATGTTCCACGCTCAACGTGATTCCCCTTGAATAGGGTATGTTTCCAGTTGAAGATTTCGATTCCCCCCCTCTTGGTCCTTGGAACATCTTGATGCCTCTCCCAATGTTGTTTTCATAGTCCTTGCTGCCACGTGGACTTTCCCAGCACCCGTCGCCAATGTACTTTGCCGTGTGGCTCTCCGGTGCTCGCCTCGGTTCCTCGGATTGTCTCCGGAATTGATCGTGCACGGCCCGGGAATTATTGATGTCCATTTGTCAGAGCTATTCCCAGTAAGATTGCTTCATTAGTAACGGTCACGGTCACGGTCAATGTTGCGGGCATGAACCGATCGCGCAATGGAGCGCGTATGCCATTTCAGTTGGCGCCTCGCGAGGAACCATTGGCGTGTCGCTGCTCGGGCTCATTTCGATGGCGTTTATGTTCAATGGTGGCTTCGCATCCCCATTGCATGGGGAGCTGGCCCGACAGAAGCGTGAATTATGGTCTGACACCATATTCCGCGACGCATTTCGGTTTCAAATGGGCCGAGGCCACGGCATCGGCATCTTCCATCGCGGCGTGGCCAATGGGATATGACATCCTCACCGCAATGCTGCTAGTGACCAAAAGGCGTGTCGGTGATTTCTGCTCTCGAAAGCACACTGGCTTCATCGTCGGTGTGACGAGGGCTCGCCTTGCAACAGTGCAAGAAGAGGGCTTGGAGTCTCAGCCTTCTGCCCTAGGTCTCGTGACCACAGCCCTTGTGTTGCCAACATCCGGGTGACAGTCTGCGCATGCATCCGCGAGCCACGTTTCTGTAGTTTGTCAACGACGCCTGGCAAACAACCCTTGAGCAGGGCCTCGCTTCTTTCCACCCGTTCGAGAAGAAGGTGTTTCATCGCGCGATTTTCCCGACACGTGCGGCGGATTTCTGCCCAGGCAAAGCATCAGCCAGGCGAATGCATTTGCTCGACAAACTCAGACGCACCTTGACGCAATTTTGAGTTTGAACGAGGGCTACAACTTGGACCCATCGCTTTTCACCTTGCGCTTTTGACACTGGACGCAAGACAGCATCCGGGGCCGTCTCAAAACCTGCTTCAAGTTGGTACGGAATCTGCACTGTAGTCCCAACAAACGCGGCAAACGGTTGCACAATGGTCACATTTTGTCTCGGAGGCTTATCGTGTGACAAAAAAGCCGATTTTCTAGAGGAAATTGCAGTCTCCTACTCCCTCTAGATCGTCTTTTTCCGCGACCCGTGTCCCGACTCCTGAAGGCTTCTAGAAAAACCAACACGCGAACCATTCCGCGCCCTTGTTTAGATGTCGACTTCATCCACATCGTAAAGATACTGTCTCTCCATACCAGCCAAAGAATTGTACCCGACCAAACTGGATACCCGGAAATATGCCCAAATGACGGTCTCTTTCCACCACAGCCCCCACTCACCAGACCTCTTTCGCACCTCTGAATTTTTCGCCGCCTGCGCCGTGATTTCGTTGACCCTAGGGCGACGAACGGCGTCGAATTTTTCGAATACATCCTCAAGGGGTCTCGTGTGGTCCTCTAGTAACCTCGCCATCATGAATACATCTTCTATGGCCATGGAGACGCCTTGACCAGCATGTGGAGACATGGCATGAGCAGCGTCTCCCAAGAGAAGACATCGGCCTTTGTACCACTCCCCTCCTGAGGCCAGCTTGAATATTGGGTAAAACCTCACGACTGAGGTCTGCTCTATCATGGCTCTCATGGCGTGGCCCCATTCTCCTTTGGCATTTCTAAGCAGATCCAACAGGTCATTCTTGAAACCGGCAACTTCTTCTTTGCGCTTGACTTCCCACCCGTCTCTTGTGTCTCCCGTGTTAGGTAGAGAAACCTGAGTGGAGAACGCCCAGAACACCTCGTCGTCTTTTGCAGAGCAAGACATGGTGAGAAAGACGCCTTGCGTCGTAAGCGTAGCGACGATGCCTTTGAGATCGTCCACAGAGCCCTCCGGCAGTGCAGATTTTGGAAGTATAGCAGCCAAGGTGGAAAATCCAGTGTACTCTAATGCGTGCTCCGGGTCGACGTATAATTTTCGAACGGCAGAATGAATTCCATCGCATCCGATCAAGAGGTCGCCAGTGTCCGTGGTCCCATCCGAGAACGTGACCTTGACCTCGGTCTCGCTCTCTTCGATTCGAATCATCTTTTTCCCGTAATGAAGCGGGATCTAGGCCTTTTGCGAGGCCCGGAGCAGGACGTCAAGAAGATCAGTGCGCTTGATACGGAGGTAGCCGACCCCGCCATTCTGTTCACGAACCCTACCGACAAGGTCTTGTGTCGTGACGATGCCGCCATTGAGAGATCGTAGAGTGAACACTGAATGACCACTTCCGCGGGATACAAGGTCGCTATACACACCAAGTCTGCGGAACAAGCGGAGGCCGTTGGGCAACAGTCCGACGGCTCCCCCAAGAGTGGTGGGCTCTGGACGTAATTCGTAGACAGTCGCGGCGACATTTGCAATCTGTTGCAGCCGTAAAGCGGCCGACAGACCGGCCGGTCCGCCTCCGATAATAATCGCCTACATATGCAGGTCTTGTCAGTGCCCGTTTCTAGCACGCATGTGGAGCGAACACACCTACTTTTCTCATTTTGCCGTGGCTGGAACTATTTGCTGTTCTGCGTTACAAGCAGTCGTTTGGGTAATGGTGAGCTTGATGGGGGACGCATTGTCTTTAAATAAATTCTCTCGCCGTGGTCGCCTGCCACGGTCAGCCACGGTCCTATTTCACAAATAACGTTATCAACTTACCGCGGCCGGACAAAGCTCTCCGCGGCAGGTATTTCCTAATTTGGTCAGCAGTCCGCGGCAACGTTGCCGAAGCCAGACAGCCGCCGCGGCATCCCTCCGCGGCGTCCTTCCGCGGCTTCACTTCGACTGCCGGCCTGCTTTTCCAAAAGGCAACATGATGCATCGTTGGGGGCGGTTGCCTCTTTCTTGCCAGCCTTGTCGCGCTAAGAAGCGCCGTTGCGACAGGCAGCGACCATGCTCCAACTGTACGTTGCGAAATATCGATTGTCAGTATTCCCACGACGACGATCAACCTCGTGCGGTATTAGGACGGCGGCCACGAGGGGCACACTCGCACATCGTGGACTCATACCCTGCAGCGACATCTACGGGCGCAAGGTGCGGGAATCTCTTACCACCATTCAAAGCTTTCAAGATTGATCCATCTGCTGACTTGGTTAGACACTCTGACGATGTTCTACGGCGCCTGAAGAGGCTAGAGGAGGCAGTTTTCAATGAGCCGAGTCGATCCGCGGTGCCACCACCAGTGTCAGCAAATGAATCGACTCTACAATATCCGTCAGAAGGTGAGACGATGGTCCGGTCGTTCTGTCAACGGTTCGCAGTTCACACCTTTGCATATCCTCTGCTATGGCCGGATACCCCAGTATGGCTCAAGTTTGCAACTACGGCCTAGGATAGAGGGGCGGAGTTTCGAAATATGTGGTGATTCCGGGAGATGGTAGATGGTCCAGTTTGATACCCGTGGACGCATTCCTCGGGCTGAAGAACAACTCTAATTACTTACTCCAGGATTCACCGCTTTCGGACTCCATCTGGTGACCAAAAAGCCAGACCAGGCCGCGGAGCAAAGGGTGTACATGACAAGTTTGATCAACAAGTTGCCTCCACCGGCTCAAGCGAGAGTCTTGCTCGATCACTTTGCAAAAACGTCCCATCCCAACACTTGTATTCAACACATCCCATCATGCAGATACTGGCTACAACGAACATATGATACTGTAATTGCGGGAGGGATGCCTCCAATGGAGGGTCTGTTGCTCTTGTTCAGCATTTTTGCGGCAGCGGCGTTTCTCTGGTCCTCGGAATTTCTTCAAGCATTCCACGCGACCCGTGCAGAGGCCAAGGCTGCCTTTGTTGAATACTTCCAAGCAGGCATGTCTATTATTGACAACGCGGCGCACCCAATCATGCCGTCAACCACTGCTCTGGCAGCCATGTGCAACTTGCACTACGTGACTACGCATGCTCGTGGGCTCTCAGACAGCGACATGGCTTTACGCATAAAGTGCTACGGGATGGCTCGCAGCTTGCAGATCGACCGCCTTGACACTGCAAAGAGTCAACAAGAGCGCAGGCAAGGAGGATGCAACATGATTGAAGTAGAAACCCAGAGAAAGATTTGGTGGAGCTTGGTGTGCACCGATTGGTACGTCAATTTGAAGCCTTTTGTGAAGAAGGAAACCAATCTTGTTCAGGCTGAACGCGTTTTCCGGCGGCCCAAACGACGGCGCATACTTTCATCAACCGAAACACATGAACGTCCGCCTCCCGGCAAACATTGATGATAAAGATCTCACAGCGGACATGACGGAGGAGGATATTCCACTCACTCAGCCTTCAGACATGAGTGGGTTCATCTGCCGTGTCAAACTATCTCAACTGTGCCGAGAAGTTGTTGACGCTCTGCCGTCCCGGTTTCTCGATGTGAACCGAACAAACTACGAGACTGTTCTACAAATGGACCGTGAATTCCGTACGTTCCTAGATGGGCTTCCAGTCTACTTTCGGCTGGACCCAGAGAGTATGGAGCGGTCCAAGGCCATTTGTAGAGAGCGTCCCATCATTGCACTGCATCGAGTTGGCATCAACTTCAGCATACAAGTGCGATTATGCCGTCTCCACAGACCGTATCATCTAGAGGGTCAGACGAACCCGACGTACCAGTACTCCCAAGGAGCTTGCATCCGGGCGGCGCAGATCGTGCTTGATCTGCGTCGGGTCCGGGATGAGTGTGGTTGGCCGCTAGGCATGAATCCGTCTCGCTCGTGGATTGTCGTGCAGCACGTTTCCATTGCGGCACTTATCCTCGCAACGGATGTGTCTTTCAACCCCAAGGCACGGGGCTCAGAAAACTTAAAGACCAAAGTCCTTGCTACTTGCGAGCTTCTGGAAAAGTCCATGGAAGATTTCGAGTCCTTCGTGGAGGGTTTCCAGCGCAATGTCCAAGTCCTCCGGTCGACGCTGCGGCAACAGCCATCACGGGCAAGTTCTGCAGGGGCCGCAGACATGAGTGTTGGGTTCCCGAATGAAGCGAGTGAAGATCAGACGGATTGGATGAGCTCTGGAAGGACTTCATCGCAATGGCACCGCAACTGAACATGGCGGACTGGGATCTTTTGCTTGAGAATGTGCGGCCAGCATATTAAGGGTGTGCCAAAATAGGGGTACGATAAGGGAAAGCAGCATGGCAAATGCTCTCATCAGGGCTGACTCGTAGGCTTCTACTCCTTTACTGTCTATTAATCCGTGTATGATTTGAAGATTGGGACTTGCGCAGTACCCACGAAACGGACTGTATTGAAGCGCATTCGAAAGCTCCATGGCGAACTGTGGTGCACGGGCAATTTGCTTGCTCAGCTCTATCAGAATCCTTGTTGCGGCGGCCCGACGATGGTTCCACTACTTTGTCTCTGATTGTCAAGATGAAAAAGTCGCCGAGTTCAGAACATTTCATCACGCGCATGGCAGAGCGTAACTTATTTAAGATAAATCCAAGGTTGCGGGTTAGGGTTGCGGGCTGCGGGTCGCGAGTCGCGAGTCGCGGAGGCGGCGACGCTGGGATCCACACCTGCAGTTCGAACCGCTTCATCGTCGCCCATCGCAGAGCTCCCTGCTTCATCCTCTGCAGCTCGCCGTCTCATGTTCGCTTTGAGGCTCGCATTCGTCCTGGGTGTTCTGCTTCTAACGCTTGAATATTTCGTGCCGCTGCTGCTCGACCGCTCACCCTCGGCCCGTGTCGAGTCTGCGCCAAACGTCGCTCGGCCTACGCCAAAGGACGCGAAGCCTCTCTCCTCCATCTCATCAGACATTGCGTCGGACACCGTCCCAATGAGTGCCGCGTCATCGGCTTCTTCTATCCGCAGGATGGCTCCGCTGGTCATGCCCGCCGTAGGCCGCCATACTGCCACCGTCATCTTCGTCCATGGCCTGGGCGACACGGGGCACGGCTGGGTCGAGCCCGTCAACTTCTGGAGGACACGTCAGTCGATGAATGAGATCAAGTTCATTCTGCCGCATGCGCCCCATATTCCCATCACCATGGTTAGCCATGTCCTGCCTGAAACCACTGACCGACGAGCCTCCGGGAAGCCTCTGGGAGCCCCTGGGCGGCGGCCGGGAGCAGGAATGCTTACTGACACACGCGCTCTCATGTAGAATGGCGGCATGCCGATGCCAGGATGGTTTGACATTGTAAGTCGCCAAGACGCAAACGCATGAACCGCCGCATCCGCACGCGAGAACAGTCTTGTAACCGCACAACACGGTAGAAAACTCTGACCAAGGGTGCGGACGAGGATGGCCCCGGCGTTCTCCAATCTCGCGAGTACCTGCATGGCCTCATCCAGCAGGAGATCAGGGACGGCATTCCCGCCGACCGCATCGTCCTCGGTGGCTTCTCCCAGGGCGGCGCCATGAGCATCTTTTCCGGCCTCACGGCCCCAGTCAAGATTGGCGGCATCGTCGGCCTCTCGTCGTGGCTTCTGCTCAGCCAGAAATTCAAGGACCACGTCCCCAGCGGCAATGTCAACGGGGACACCCCTATTTTCATGGGCCACGGCGACCGTGATCCCCTTGTCCTTTACGATCTTGCCAAGGAAAGCGAAAAGGCCTTGACCGCCATGGGCTACAGCGTCACTTTCAAGACATACAGGTATGCCTGCCTCCTCCGGCCGGGGCCACACGGACCTGCAGCCACGGAAGTGCCTGCGACTGACGAATCGTGTAGGGGGATGCTCCATCAGGCCTGGCCGGAGGAGCTCAACGACGTCGAGGCGTTCCTCGGCAGCAGACTTCCCCCGAAAGGACAGTGATCGCAGTCCGTGGTGCGTGTAGAGACGTGCTGAGATTCACTAGACGGAGCTACTAGCATTGCAGTTTTAATCTAGAATTCCGAAATACAATTAAGCCGTTTTCCAATGCGCAGGTGTCGTTGCGCCATGGTAGAGATACGGCAAGAACTTTGCCGGCATCTCGCTTGATACGTAGGCCTCTGGTGAGCGACTCGAGCCGCGGCGCGCAATTCGATTCCTGGCGGCGATCAGGGAAGCCACGTCAGGCAATGCATGGTGCGGGCTCGACCTTGGCGACGCGGCACTCTACACGGGTGTACTGGCCATCATTCGCACCTTTGTCCCCCACAAAATTGGTCAATTACTTTCGCTTGCCGAGATGTCCAAGTCCCTGGACTGGAGGTGGTGGCCCTCGGCGCCGAGCCCGTCTACATTGAGGTGGCTGTTCTTTGAACGGATTCCGTCTACAGCTGCAGAATCGCGAGATGACGAGCGTTCCGGTGCTCCACGCCGAATACGTAGTATGAGTTGGTTGCTGGCTGGCTGACTGGCGTGGGGGATTCAACTCGACTTACGGCAGCGACGGCATGGAATGGCGTGCTTGCGGTCCCCTCCCTCCTTTCACGGGTTTCCCTCCTACGAGATTACGATTCGGGTGTTCGCGAGGCAAATCTCCTCGACGACGCGGACTAGCTGATCAGGAGTAGGAGTGCCTTGACTCTTGACGGTGCACACGTGGCACCACACCGAGAGCCGGGTGCAAGTTCGGCCAACAGATGGAAAGTAAAACCCATTGACAAATTGCTGCCAGGGGAATGTACTTGGAAGCTTTGGTCTTCATACACGTGTGCCGTTGTTCACCATTTGGTATGCACGTGGTGCCATGTTCAAAGAGGCCCACGTCGGGAGCATGTATAGCGAGCAGGGCACAGAGAGTCCTTCGGTCCAAGTACTCGCACCCTCTTCGCGGGCGTGATGTATGTAATCTGCGCAGAAACATGTCTCGTTATTGCTCGCCGCATCTCTGTCACCCTGGTGGACGTCATGTGTGGCTGGGACTCATTGAAATAAACAGACAGCCAAACGCTGCATCATGACAAGAGTACACGGTTCGAGGCAAAGAAATTCAATTCATAGTGCCGGTGCTCTATCATGGCCGGCTCTTTTTTCTTGGTACACTCTACAGTAGCACTGTTACTACCCAGGATTTCCAAAACGCAAACAGTGCAAGGGTCGGTAGATTCGGGTTGTTGATGATGGTTGGCGAATGAACAGACATACAAATCTTGTTCAGGCCATCTAATGATGCAGTGTCGAGGTCGTAGGTATCTAAAATGTATAATTGTTGTGACACGGATCCCAAGGCTCGAGCAAGACTATTTACAGCTTCTCAATGATGGCAGCGGCATATTCGTGAGTCTTGGCCTTGCCGCCCAGGTCACCAGTCAGCGTCTTGCCCTCGGCGAGGGTATCGAAAATGGCCTTCTCGATGCGAGCAGCGTGCTCGGTGAGACCCATGTGTCGCAGCATCATGATGGAGCTCAGCAACAGAGCGGTAGGGTTAGCCAGAGCCTTGCCGGCAATGTCGGGCGCGGAACCGTGGACGGCTTCGAAGATGGAGCACTCATCGCCAATGTTTCCGGAGGGAGTGAGACCCAGACCGCCAATCAGACCGGCGCACATGTCGGACAAAATGTCGCCGTACAGGTTGGGCATGACGAGGACCTTGTCGTTGTAAGGGAGCGGGTCGGTGACCATCTTGAGGCAGGTGTTGTCGAGAAGCTCGGCGTCAAACTCGATACCGGGGAAGTCTTTGGCAACCTCCCTGCCGACATTGAGGAAGAGACCGTCTGACATCTTCATAATGGTTGCCTTGTGGACGACGCGGACCTTGGTGCGGCCAATGGACTGGGCGTGCTGGAAAGCGAACCGGAGGACACGCTCAGAAGCCTCACGGGTGATGAGCTTTATGCTTTGAACAACTCCATCGACAACAACGTGCTCAATGCCCGAGTATTCACCCTCAGTGTTCTCTCGGATCAAGACGGTGTCGACGTTATCGTAGGGTGTCTTGAAGCCGGCGACAGAGCGGCAGGGTCGCAAGTTGGCAAAGAGGTTGAAAGTTCGGCGAAGAGTGAGATTTAAAGATACGTGGCCCTTGCCAACGGGTGTCTACGGCCAATGATCAGTCTTGGTTTACGCTCAGTTTGCGATCAATCGGTTGCAGGGAGAAAATAGGCGCTGGCTTACAGCAAGAGGGCCCTTGAGAGCAATCTTGTTTTTTTTAATGTTGTCAATGGCAGCGTCAGGGATAGCGGTCTTGCCATTCTTCAAGATGGGTGTGACGTCGCAAGATTCCCACGCAATGGGGGTCTTAAAAAATGCCTCGGTATCAGCGACGAGCAACCATGTCACTTCTTTACACACAAGACATCTGGCTGTGACGAACCTTGGCGGCGGCGAAGATGTCCTTCACGGACACGGCAATCTCGGGGCCGATGCCGTCACCCTCAATCAAGCTGACTAGGTAGTTTCCCTTCAAAATCGGTATTAGCATGGGGGCTCTTTTTGTTTCAAGTGAATTTGCCGGTATGAATGACCGGCGCCCAGAGGGATGAAAGTATCGCGAGACGGCTCAGGCACGACATCACAATTGGCCAACAGAGCGACATGTCACAACGACGCACATACCTGAGCGTCTTTTGTTCCCTCATACTTGGCGACGCGGTCGCCCGCGGTCGAGTAGCAACGCTGCGCAGTCCATCGTCAGTAAGAAAAGTGCCAGGTAGCGAAATTCGCCATGTACGTACAGCAACTGCCCAGGAAGCGCGGGGAGCAGCGCGCAGGCATTGCCGGGAAACGGCAGGGCGAGAAATAGCTCGGATGGCCAGCATCTTTATGCGATACGATGTGAGCGAATAGGTCCCAGGAGACAACGCGAGCAGCAAAGCGACGCTGGTTCAAGAACGATATGGAGGGGATAAAAGCAAGATCGAAAGTTTTGGAAGTGGACAAATGGGGAAGCCGTCAATGAGGAGCGGATCGAAGTGTGGCTTGCGCGTGGTTTCTTGGGCGCGGCTAACTCTACCAGCAACGCAGGAATACCGAAATGCATGAACAACTATCTACTTGAGTAGGTAGATGCTAGTTGACCAGAAAACTACTGAGTACTTGAGTATGGATCAATGTAACATGCCTCGCTCTGCGTTCCTGGCGTCCAGGTGTTTGAGGACCCGACAAATCGTAAGCTCGGTTGCTTCAACTTGAGGTTCCAACAATGCAGATACTAGGCGCATTACTCCGTGCAGCCTGGAGAAGGAACCTATGGCGCTGGTTGATTATTTTCGCTTTTTTTATTTTATTCTATTTTCTTCGCTACCACAAGCTTTGGTCGGTCTCGTGGCTCGGAGCCCGTCGGAAATGCGTGAGAGCACACCGAGCCAGGTGAACTTGGCCGAGGCCACCGTTGCCTGCTGATAAAGTGTGGCGCAGCTACTTCAAGCCAGCCTTCCGTGGCTGAAGGTTTCAGCCCCTGCTGGGCTCAAGGGAGACTCAGGACCAGCATCCATGGGCCATGGGCCAAGGGCATGACCACGGCTACGACGAAATACGTCAGGCCTCGTCGCCGACTGCTTATCAAGGAATTGCTGTCCCTACCAACAAAACACCATCCGTGTCCCGCTGCACAGCTCAGACGCTCGCAGCTTGCAGGTGACTTGGACTCTCTGCGACATCGAGCCGAGTGCGTGATATCCAGTCTTGCCCCTGCCGCCTTTACGCCGCATCGCCTATCCATCGGTAGCATGCAGCCTGACGAACAGCAACTCAGCCGCCCAAACGCCCATCATGGCCGATTATGAACGGAAAATACTCGAATTCTACCAGCTCCCCACGCCGTTCCCTTCGGAATGGCCCGCAGAAAAGGCCATTGGGGAAGAAGATGACCAAGGCGCCAAGGAGGGTCGACGAAAGTCGCGTTACGGAGCCCTTGAATCCGCCTTTGGAGCTCGAAGGAGCTTCATCGGCGAAAATGGGCAAGGTGGCGTTGGCAATCTCGTACAAAAAGACGAAGCAGACCCCTTGGGAACCTCGGACAGCGTTGTGAGATCATTGAGGCAGCTTGGCTTGCCGGTACAAGACGATGTCCGGCTGAGTGCGTTCTCGTGACTCCCAGCCTACCCATAAGATATGTCCTTGTGCTAACAAACTACCAGGAAACCGATTCATGCTTTCCTCGACCACCTTCTCGCCTGCATTGTTTCTTTCTCAAATGCACTCGACTGCCGACACCAATACATTGTTGCAAGGACTCGACGTACTGTCGAAATCGATTGATAAGAAGTCAGCGTCACTGAAAGTTCTCGTCGAAAGCAATTTCGAGCGATTCGTCAAAGCCAAGGCTACCATTGACAATGTCTACAAGGAAATGAAATATCGCGGCGTCGACCCGGCTCAGCAACGGCAATCTGGCCGTCATTCACGCCATCCTAGCCGTACGAGCTTTGGACGCAGTAGCGCTAGCGGTGCAGGCATGGGCCTTAATAATCCTCTTACCCTGCCCATGTCTGACAGCCGGAAAAGGAATGCCCTGGTCAAGGAAAGCGAATATGGTGTCATGGGGATCAAGGCGCCACTTCTAGATGTATCTGCCAAGGCAGAGGATGTTTGGGGTCCCGCGCTCGGAGGCCGCGAAAAAGAGAAGCACCTACGCAATGTCTCGACCTACTTGGATGAGTTTAGGGATTTTGTCGAATTGAGTGCCGTTGTGGCAGACAGTATCAAGCGCAAAGACTATGAAACCCTGGTGGACAGTTATAACCGAGCGAGAGGTTTCGCCGATGAAGCAAAACAAGTACCCCACGAGCTCAACGGGCAGGCGCTAAGTGACAAACAGTTGTACAAATTAGTCCTTGCAGGACGCATGTGGCACGATGTCGATCAGCAGGTACAAGCTTTCAAAAAGGATATATGGAAGAAGCTGGTGTCGCTACACTCCTCAAGGTCAGAAAGCATTGGGGGCAGGCAGCAGGATCAACACATGGAGTTTATCGGACTGTTGTTTGAGCTGGGCGTCGAAGAAAACCCCATCTGGGTGTGGCTTCTGAGCAAACATGATCACTTAAAAAGCAAGATACAAGGCTCAGCGGATCGGTCCAAAGTCGAAATTGAGGTCCTTAGACGCAGGCTCGCTAACATCGAGAAGCCGGCGCCTCAAGCCTTGGCCTCATACTTGCGAACGCCAGGTCGTCAATCCATTGAAGGGAAATTTTCAACGTCAGATTCCACTGACGTTATTGAACTTTGGGACAAGATGCTTGCTTTCTTGACCGGTCTTGTCTCATCTCAGGGTATTTTGGGAGACTTGCTAGAGTTTTGGCAGACCGCTCAAGGATTTATCAATGGAAAAACACAGCAGTCTCTCCCTGTGGGATACAACGGGGAGTCTCGAAGTCACCATCAGCTTTCGTCACAGTTTGTGAGTGACTTGGAGACGCAACTGGTTGAACTGGTTAACATTTTGCGAGAGCACGTTCACGCCTTCTTCGTCGAGATGCCGCCTGAGGATATTTCGCTACTGTTCTCACCTCCACTTCTGTCTCCAATGTCCCCTGCTCCCATGGGTGGCACCGGCAAGTCACTGTCGCCGACTTCGGTAGGCGACCCCAGATTCAATTTTGACTCTAGCAATCCGCCGCCCCCATCGCCTAAAAGGGGAGAGTCATGGGAGAAGCTGGCGTTTTGGCCGCCGTGGTCGAATTCTCTCAGTGGCGTAGAGTATCTCTCCAAGATGCTGTATCTTGTTGGATCTGCTGCTGCTGAAATGGCCAGCCTCGGTCCCGTCTCGTCAGGTGATGGCCGCGCTGTTGAGCAACTCAAGTCTCTTGTCAGTGCATCCAGAGAACGCTGTGTCACTGCCCTTTGTGCCGCTTGGAATCGTGATGCCGAAACTATGAAGTATGTCGAGAACTGGCAGCGTCCCGCCGAATCTGGCGATGTCACACGCATGCCCGCCATCTTCGCGGCCTTCGAGGGGGCGGTACTGTCGGGCATGCAGAAGATTCTCTATATCCCTGAAGCGATGGAGAAGCCTGGCGCCGGAAACATTGTGCTACCACCGCCTACAAAGCTATTGCAAATGGTTCGCAGTCAATACGTCACCACTCTGTATAAGGCGCTGAGTGGGATGGTTGAGAATGCGGAAAGATCACTACGGAAGAACGACGACGAATGGGCGGTTTCGCAGGATGCCTCGCAACCACACGTGCCCAATTCTATACCCAGCAAGAGCATCTTGGACGCTGGTGATCGGGTAAGTCGCGAACCGCACAACACCCGCTGTCGTGGCTTGTTGTTGACAACAGACAACAGAACATTCGCATGCTCCTGACTCTCAGCAATCTCCAAGCCCTCCGCTCCCAAGTCGTGCCCAGCCTCAACTCGCAGTTCGAAAACGCCTTCTCCGTCAAACTCACCGACGAATCCAAAACCATCCGCGATGTCCTCGGCCAGATCGACGCCCGGCTCTTCCAATCGTACACGAAACAATCCATCGAGACCCTCAATGCCATCGTGTCTGCGGGCCTCTCCCTCGCCGACTGGGAGCCGCCGGCAAACACTCGCCCGTCCACCGCAAAGCCCTACATCTACGAGGCTCTTCTAGCCCTCGTCCTTGTGCACTCCCAGGTGTCTACCACGGCGCCCTCGCTCACCTCCCAAGTCTTGTCGTTCCTGCTCGAACAAATGTCCCTCCAACTGCTGGATGCGTTCCGCAAGCGTCCCCGCTATTCACTCGAGGCCCTCATGCAGGCCACCGTCGACGTAGAGTTTGTTGCCCAGACGCTAAGCCAGTACACGACTGACAAGGCCTCGGAACTGCAGAGCCAGATTTATCAAGAGTTGGACGGGCGTACGGATAATGATGCTCGTGCTAGGTTGCAGAGCGAATTACCAGAAATGAGGAGCATTCTGAAGAAGTTAAGGGAGGCCAGTAAGAATGAATTTGCGTGCTTCAAGAAGCAAAAGCGGCCCGGGCCAAAGACTGATTCCGCAGCCGTGTCTACCGGCTAATACTGGGCCTGAGTGTCCGGCTGTATGTACAATCTGCACGTAGGGCTTGTAAGTTGAAACAAGTCAGCCGACGCGTCAAAATCACCGTCAGGCCGTTTCCTTGACAGTCACAAGCATGTTATTGCCAGGTCTCGTGTACGTTGAGAGTGTCTGGTAAAGCAGCTACCCCGGTCGGTTATCATGAATATAGCTCGATGCCACGAAAGAGAAAAAAAAAGGGGCGAAAGTTCCAGTAAACAAAGCTCGCGCATGAGTCTTTTTTTTTTTTTTTTTTTTTTTTTCTACCCTATCCGAGATGCCACCCCAACGCCGAACAAGGTATCGCTATATTGTCATCCATTCAGTCATTATACATTACGCGTAAGATGCCCCGAGATGTACGGACGTCCAGATCAAGCCGGGGCATTGGGGAGCAGCAGGTGCGAGCAGAACATAAGCTCGAGGGAGCGCGAGTCTGCAGGGGAGAACTGCGAGCCGCGCTGACGCGCTTCGATTGTATCATCTGCCAAGGAAATAGGTTAGCTGAGCAGAACGGACGGCCTTTTGAGCGGGCTTGGGAAAGACGCACACTCCATGTCCAGGTCGTGGAAGTACTTGACGACGACGGCGTCCTGGTCCAGCGTGGCCAGCTTGCCATCGGCGCCGCGACACGTCTGCGGCAGCGCCTTGCGTATCCCCAGGAGCATCTTTATCAGGCCGGCCAGGTTGCCGCCCTGCTGGGTGAAGACGCCTGGGTCCCGCTCGAGCGGCCAGCCGGGACGCAGGTGGTCTTGCTCCCAGGCCTTGAACGCCCACGTCGACTTCTCGACGCAGTTGAGAAATATCAGGGCCGTCAGGAAGATGCTGAAGCCGACCTTGGTTTTGCTGTCTGCCAGCTGGCGGTCCATGAGGTTCAGCAGGGCCTTGGAGGTGCTGTTCGCCTTGCGCTCCGCGGCGGCGTTGAGCTGCATGCACATCATGGTGTAGATGTCTGCGTCGTTTTCGTTCTCCGCCTCCTTGATGGGCCGCCCGTGGTCCGAGTGTGCGCTGGGCTTTTCGACGATGCTCCACTGCCGCTCGCGGTCGATGCTTTCCACGAGCCCCCATAGCTCGAGAGCCTTTTTCAGCGGCTCGTCCGCCTTGTCAGCGAGCTGTGACTTGGCCGTTTCGAGGGTGACGCGCATGAACTTGGACGGCTCGCGCTCGATGAAGAGGTCCAGCACGTCACGCATGTAGCTTTCCACTTTTCCGGGCATGTCGTCCTTGTCTTGGTCAATCATGATGACTTGGTGGAGGGGCCCTTGGGTCTCGGGCGTGACGCCTTCTTGCTGTATCGGCTCTAATATAGCAGCAGCCGCGGCTAGAATGATTGTCTTGTTGGTTTCTGCAAAGTGGGACACTTCGACTACGGCGCCATTGTTTACCAGCTTCAGTTGCTCCTTGAGCATGTTGATGCGATTTTGGGATAACACGACCTGGACTCCGGCGGAGTATAGGTCTAGTTGCTCGTGTAGGCGCGAGCGAACGCAGCCCGTCATCCAGACACGGGGAGAAAGAACCTTGCGGCACGTGTCGCATGGTGTGCCTTTGCTGCAGATCTTACGGAGGATACGGCAGCGAATACAAGCTCCCAACTTGCGAACTTCTTTGACTTCTTGACGCCTGGCAGGAGTAAACTTGGATCTGAAGTGACGGGATCGCCCGTTGAGTACTCCTGCACTCGTGTCCATGCGAACGCCACCGCGGCTAACAGGGAAAGGCGCCACCGGGGGATTGTCGGCAAGAAGGCGAGCTGAAGATGCAGCTGTCAAGTAGGTCATTTCTCCCCAGGGTTGAACAGCGACAGCATCGACGGCCGTGGTAGGGGTGCCTTCGGCCGCAGCGGCTGCGGAGCTATCCGCCGCAGATGGAGATGTAGGGGACGCATCGCCATTGACGAGTTGAGGGTCGAGAAAGGACGGGTTGAGTCGAGCAGCAGCGGCCACGGCGACGGAGAGATTAGCAGCGTCGGGAGAGCATTCGCTCGCTGGCAGAAGGGCCTGAAGTCTTTCTTCCGGAGATAGTTCTGTGGCGGTCGGGGGGGGTGTTTGGAAGACAGTTGTGCCTGTTACGCATTAGCATTGCCTGCGGCGGGTTTTCCAGGGATTTGCCAGTTTAAAATTACCCTTCTTGCCGTTGGCCTGCGCCCGGGTCGTTTCGTAGCTAGTAGGCGGATTGTCTAGAGTATACTGCTCCTGCAGTTCGAATCGGTCCCCGTTCTGGACGCCGTTTGCTTGTGGTTCCGCCGCCGGGGGCTTACTCCCACGATTGTTCTCATTCAGGTCTACCTGGCGCGAGGCCTCTGCCAGAGTCTCAAGCGCACTCCATCCCTGCGGAAGTGCACTTGGAGATACCTGCTGGCCATCTACATGGGCCGCCGCCTGGGCCGCCTGCACTTGTTGATGTCGCTCGGCAGCCGTTCTAGCTTGTGTGATGCCATGAAGTTCAAGACAGGCTCGCATGCGTTCCGAGTCGGATATGGCAGGACATCGCTTGGTGATGTGGGTTGTCAAACTATCAATACGACCTTTGGGAAAGTTCTCTCCGCATTGCCTGCACGTATGAGGGTATCGATTGCTGTTGTCGTTCAACTTGGGTCCGCGCTCGAAGTACTCGAGGATCAGGGGATTCGGTCTGCGTCCCATTGCCGGCGTTTCGGTGCGTTTCCCGCCGTCGCACTATGCTGAGAGGCAAGTCGTACGGCGGAAGCGCCTTTCGCAGTATGCGACAGTCGTTGTATCCGGAAAATGCCTCTGGGACAAGTCGATTGCTAGCTGCTTGAACACGTTCTATTGTCGGATAATGGTGATAGATGGTAGATGAACAGATTCTGCCTTGGTTGACCGACAAAATTTCTCACACCGCCTGGGTTTTGTCAGGCCCACGTTTTGGGGGAGAGAAGTTTGGCGTTAACCTACTTTGGAAGACGCCTCCAAGCCTCCAAGTGTAATAGTGTATAGTGCACACTGTGTAACGGGTGTTCAAGTGGCTGGGCCCTTGCATGACATGTGACATGTCTGTTTAGGTTGACATCTGTCGCAGTGCAACACATAACGTCCCGCCCCACAAGATCGCCAGCCCCCCACTTTCGACAGAGTTTTACACTACAAATACTACTTTTTTAAAAATTAATAATAAAAGAAAATAAATACTAAAAAATATTATAAAATAAAAAATAATATTAAAATTACTTATATTTATATATTTTAAATAAAACTTATAATATACTAGCTTTATAAAATTACTAGCTTTTTATTTTTATTAAAGCTTTATATTATAAATACTACTTTTTTAAAAATTAGTAATAAAAGGAAATAAATACGTCTATTACAATATTTAAAATATAAGTTTTTTTTTATTAGTAAATTTTAATTATAAAATTTTTTAATTTAAAGCTTTTTAATAATATAATTAACTTTATATATATTAATTATTTAAAATAGCTATAAAGCTATATAATTAGTATATTTACTTTTTATATTAAACTTAAAAAACTTTTTAATTAATAAAAAAACTTTATTTACTATTATTTTTACTTTATAAGCTAGCTTTAGCTTTATATTAACTAAAGTAAGCTTTATATAAATATATTAAGTTATTTAAATATAAATATATAAAAAGAATATTTTTAGAAATTAGTTAAGGGGTCCGGCAAACTACTGGGATGACTGCGGCTGGCACCCGCTATTGCCCATAGAGCTAGTCTATTACAAGCAGCTTAGTAATATTTTTCTTTAATAAAATATAATATATATAAGGGAGACTATATTGCTTAGTAAAATAGCTTATATAATATTATAGATTTTATATTTCTACTTTATAAGCTTAAATAAGCTTATATTGCTTAATTATGTAATAGACTCGAGCTGTAGGCTTAAGTGGGTATAAGGCACTGTGTTAGTGCCTTGTTAGATACGCTTTAGATGCATATTAAACTTATATATATATAATAAGCAGAAAAGAGGGGATAGAGAGCTTCTTCTTTCTCTCTTTTCTCTCCTTAAGTTTATAGTTAATACTAGTAATACTTATATGTAGTAGACTATAAGGCTAGTCCTTAACAAAACTATATTATTAATATAGATAAATATAGTTATTTTGTTATTAGTAAAAATATAAAGTTCTTTTATTAGTTATAGAAGCTCTATAGATATAAGGGTTTTTAAAAGGTCTTTTTGCTATAATAAAAGCAACCTTCTTAAGCTATATAAAGCTCTTTTTAGCTTTAATACTTAATTAGGCTTTTTAAAGCCTCTAGAGTATTTTATATAGACTATGCGATCTTGTGGGGCGGGTCGTTATATAAAATAGCCTGGCTACGCCATTTTTGTGTGGCACTGTCATCCACCAATGAAGTTTTACCAAACTGTCCTGTAACGAGAGCACTTCTAATTAAGTTTACTATTATCAACAAGGTATGCGGTATTGTACCCCCCTTTTATGCCCTTTGGCATGAACCAGTCTCGCGTTGTTTGTGAGCTCTTCCAAACTACTCAAGTACAAAGTATAGTTTGACGGCGCGTGTTGCGCCATGGAACCGGATCGCCAGCTGTCAGTATCCCTATTCGAGGCGCCACGGCCCATAGGGAAAAGGCAGCCATCGGCCCATCGCGGTGTCTTCATTTTTGGTGGCAGAGGATAGCAGGCCATGTCCAAATACACCACTTGATGGAAATTGAAACCAAGGATTATAAAAATTCAACAAAACTCCGCGCTATGCAGAAGCATCTTATTTATTATACGCCCCGAGCATGTACATGAGGCTAGATGCCATCCAAATTACTTATTCCCACACGTTACGGAACTCGTCGCTACCATCTATGTGGTATCTATGCGTTTGCGACTCCTCGTCTGTAGCTGAATCTCCCCTTCGTCTAGCTTCTTCCGGTTCAGGTCTCTGCCCACTTGCACTGGCTTCAGCTGCAGTCGTGGGAGCAGAAGCGAGAGCAGCAGCAGCAGGAGCAGCCGGGGGACCCTTCCCCAGACCCAGGCCTGCTGGATCTGGTTCTGGATGCTTCACCACTTTCTTCGCCTTCTTCTTCTTTTTCACTACAACAACAGGCTGCGGTTCCTCTGTCTGTCCGGGTGATGGGTGTCGAGATGAGTTTGGCTTTGAACTCGTTGCTTGCGGTGGTCGTGGTCGTGTTGATTCGGTTGAGCAGGATGCTGATCTACTGTTCAAACTGCTCATCGACAGTCTGTATCGTTCAGCCAGTGGTTCGCTGGCTGTGATGACGGGGTACTAAAGCTTGTTAGCCTGCTATACGGATGCGAGAAAGAGACATTTTACGCACATTCCAATCGCCGTACTGCAACTGTCTGGCAGAGTTGTACAAGCGTTCTTCATCCTCATCCAATTGGGGCTCATCAAAAGTCCCATGCTGCTGTTCAAATAATGTGTCGCCAGTTCTACTTGAGCTAGGCCCCCCCAGAAGTGGCGAGGTGGCGCTAACTTCCCCTGGTTTTGGGAGCCAGTATTTCGCTTTCCCTCCACGCTCATATCTCATGCCCGCGTCTAACCTCGCAAGGCGCGATTTGGAGTCTTCATGGGCCATGACCTTGTCTCCAGAGTCAAACGCCCGGTAGCCATAGTTATTGCCCCGGAATGTCTCTTTGGAGTCCTCTATGAGATCCTTGATGCCAAACGAGTCCTTGAGTGCGTGGTGCAAGGGCATGCGGGCGGATAGGATACTGTCATCGGCGAAATCATGCCATGAGAAGGCGTACCAGTGGGCAACTGCAAATGCCGGCATCTCGATGCAAATCAGTGCGTCCTGGATGGCAGCGGCAAGATTATCCCTCGTGTAACCCTGGACGTTGTCTGGAATAGCGCCGAGCCACACAAGGATAGACAGGAAGAAGCCTTGCCAGTACGACGCAAAAATAATGAGTTTGATGCAGAGGAACTTGGGAACAGGGCGGAAAGGCGTCAAATCCCGGTGCATGCATACCCAGAACAAACCAAGAGAATACAAGCTCACAGTAACGCTGATATTGTAGATGATGCCGCTCCAAAAGTAGCCAGACTTGGCGCCAATGTATCCCTCCTGGTACGTACCCGTCGCTTTCATGACGATGGCTGCAACTGCAAGAATGGGCTTGAGCCACGCATATTGCAAAATTCCCCGCTTAATGGATAGAAATGTGTAAGGATCCGATATATCAACTTTGCGTAGAATGTGGTTCATCGGCCACAGGTGCTGGACTGGGGCACGGCCATGCGTCATGATGATCAAAGCTCTTTCTCCCCCCAGATAGTTGATTAGGAGCTGGAAAAACGTGTAAATGGTAAAGGCTTCGTATATGTCTCGGATAGGGTCAATAAATGCAGCAGCGGTCAGTGACACCATGCTCGTGAAGGACGCGATGGAGTAGATGGGAACCATGAGCAGTATTCGGACAACGTAGCGCTGAAGCAGAGGCTTTCGATAGTTTTTCGTCTGAAGCCATATCGAACTAAGTGCCTGGATTGTCAGCTGGGCATAACGTACTTGCCTTGTTGGATCCGGGGAGAAAACATACACAACGGAGAGCAATGTCGCTGCAAACGAGGCCACACCAGCAACCACTGTCGTAGCGTAGGTAAATTTGGCCCCTGTGCCTCCATCAGAGGCGATGCTAGCCGCAGTAGCAGACATGGCGGCAAGGAAAACAACGGCCGACAGAGATTGCGAGGTCGCCGGAAGCTAGGTCATGACTGAGCAAAGAAGGCGGATCCGGAGGTTTGCGCTGAACAGCAGGCACCGTGAGTCTGTGACCACGTAGGGCTGGTGGTGTGGGGAAAGAGTCCCAGATCAAGGAACCGGCACTAGTCGACTGATGCGATGAAGATGGTAACGTTATATGGTATCGGGCACGGATGGCGATTACAGCGAGGCGGTACGAAGGAGAGGATGAAGCTGTAAAGGCGCGTGTATGACGCTGTAGACTTGCATCAGATGTTGGGATGAAGTCTGGTACTACGAGTGACCGTAGGACTGCCCCGAACACCAATAGCTTTGATAAGTACCTTAAGTACCTACCAAGTAAGCTAGGTACTTAAGTACCTTCTAAAAGTAGGTAGGTACTTAGGTACTTGCTGGCCATGTCCATCAGAGCCAGAGCGTCGATACGTGCGTCCGCTGGTTCTAGCCATTGATGGAATAGATAGATCTTCAACCGAGAAATGACCAATACAAGGCACTAATGTCCAACTCCAATTGCCGCAGCGCCGACATTCCGTCGTAGATCGAGGTGCTGGACGCTGGGCCGTTATCCAGCGCGAGGCGGGGCTGCTGTAACTGGTGCTTGGACGAGCGGCCGAACATTTTTAGCAAGAACTAAGTACTGAAAAGTACCTAAGTACTTAAGTAAGTACTTAAGTACTTAAGTACTTAGAGGTGTTGATGTCTGGTGAGACTGTATTAGGACGCCAGTGTCTTTTTAAGTAGGTACCGAGTACCTGCACGCGACCGAGCGCAGCCCGACTGACGTGTTGTGCCAAGGGCCAAGCCTGATTGATGACCGCCCGTGAAACAGGCATTTGTTATCCTTTGTTGCACCACGCCCCAGCATTCAACATTCGGCATTGCGTCCACCATGAAGCAATAGGTCCCAAATTCCTGTCGTCATAGGTCCTCTCGACCGTCTCTTTCGACCGACCGCCCGCAAGTGCTCATGCGATGCGCGTCACCGCTCCCGTCGTCATCTCTGGACATGTTTGTTGAGTACGGTCCTGTCAGAGGAGCTGTTGAAGCGACCTCAAATTCGGGACTATGACGATTGCCGACGTTGTTTTAGACGCACGAGATCCTCATCTGGACTTCAATTTGTACGCTGACCTACTGCGTTTGTAGAACCTCCTGACTGCTGTTTAACTGACTACTTTCCAGCCAGTTCCTCATCTTCTTCATCATCTGCGGTCTGCTAGCCATCTTCTTCCTGCTGTACTTGAACCGACTCTTTGCTTCCGTTGTGTCGTATGCCCTTCGCGCATATACATGGCACGCCTACAGAGTCTACATAGACGTGAAAGCAATTCAAATATCTCTTCTTGGAGGCCGCATATTCTTCACCGGCTTACGCTACCACGGATCCAACGAAACCTTTCTCGTCCAACACGGAGACATCGCCTGGCGATATTGGCTACGCCGAGTACGAGACACCGACATAAACGTATCGGATCCCTTCCATGCTTCTTCTGCAGCGGACAGCCAAAAGAATTCCAGTTTGCCATGTCGCATTCACGCCAAGCTAGTCGGCGTAGAGTGGTTTGTGTATAACAGGAGCCCGGCATACAATGACCTTCTCAGTGGTTTACTCAATGGTGGCCCCTCCGCCTCGAAATCCAGCGGCATTGCCAACGAAACGGTAGAAGCCGCGCTTACATCTCGAAAGGGTTACCAAAATGGCTCCGCGGAAAAGAATGAGCTCCCAGTCGATGCAACGGCCAAAGCACAACTTGCAGAGAAACCCAGCCTACCCCCTCAGTCCTCGCCGCCGGACCGCCCATCTACTGCCTCACAGAGCCTCAACGAGACCGCAGATGGTATTGAAGAAACCAACAGCTCTCTGCCGGCTATGCTTCAGTTGCTCCCGATTCACGTGGAATTTCAGAAACCCGCTCTAGTCGTTGGCAATGACAACACCAAGGCAGTTCTCATTGTCAAGGCCAACTCCGCTTCTACAGTTGTAGACGCAGGTCACACGAACACAGTCGATCCGTACCGCCAACTATTCAAAATAGAATTCGATCACCCCGTTATCGAAATGCGCGAGAACGATGAATTCAAGCAGGACCAGGAGTCGCGAGCGACCAGACGCCAGGAAGACGCCTCGAGCTTGGAAATGCTCGTACAGCGATCATTCTTCCAACGTCGTCGGCGGAAAGTCTTCAACTCTCTTCGAAATATGATGCCATATTTCCGTCGCTCCGTGGAATCCTTTTCTGCCGACTCGAGAGTACCAATGAGCTCAGGCGTGTCTCGAAAGATACCTGGCTCAAGTCACTGGCAAGGCTTGTCAAGATATCTGGACGACAGGTATCAAGATGACAAGACTAGGTGGTCTTCTGTCGAATATGCTGCTGTCAATACCATTCTTGACTCCCCTTCAGCTGCACTTACGATTTACTGGGATGTTGTATCCAGGATCACTGCCAACTGTGGCAAAAATAGCAGCTCGAGTTTCCACACGAGCGTCAATGGAACTGAGCCTCCAGCGTGGGGGATGTCGTTGTCAGTCAAAGGGGGGACTGTCAACTATGGCCCTTGGGCTGATCGACAAAGAGCAGACTTGCAGCGAGTCTTCTACCCAACACTGTGCAAGAATAGCACGGCTGCTATGCCATTGGCTCCTGGGTCGTGGAGAGTCGCAACGCAGTTCAATCTTTACGTTGAATTAGAAGATGCCATCACTCTAAGAATTCCCATCAGAGAAGAGTCCAAGAACTGGCGTTGGCGTGGCAAAGAACCTCCAATAGGACGACAGGGCGTCACTGGCAAGAAGAGACGCAATCGGAACAAAAAGAGCAGCAAGGGACATGCTCAACCGGCGCGACCAGCAGGCTGGCTAGAGATCAAAGTTCCGTCCAATTCCACAATGTCCTATTCAATGGATATGCTAGGTCGACCAACGGGCTACCAGAATCGCTTGGACATTGACCTGCCAAGCACCGAGCTTAGGAGCAGTGTCAACCATGACTTGATGTGGACATCGGGGCCACAACGCATTTCTTGTGACTTGTCTAACCCTCTGTCATGGAATACCCTGCGCAACTGGTCCTTCAATTTAACCTGCGACGACATGAAGCTTTATCTCCTACGAGATCACATTTTCCTTTTGATCGACTTGGTCGACGACTGGGCCACCGGCCCGCCATCCGAATATCTCATATTTACGCCGTACATATACCACTTGAAATTCAGCCTCAACAACTTACAGTTATATCTTAATGTTAATGACGAAAACATCATCGATAAAGCCACCGCCCTTGACGACAACACATACTTGATTTTATCTAGCCCACTCTTAAAAGCGGAAACATCAATACCATTAGACAAGTTCAGACCGAGCAGGAACTCTATTCCATTTGACGTTCGAACCGACAGCTTTGACTTGACGCTGCACGCGCCACAGTCTAACACTCAAGCTGCCTTTTTGAGCTCCAAGGAGCTTGGCCATGGGGAGAGTCTAGCTGTAACTGGTAGCTACGAATATAACGCCACTACGTCTGTTGCAAACACAGATACTCTGATATTGAACGTATACGGACAGTCGCCATACGCATACCTCTACGGATTCATTATAAGATACGTAATATTACTGAAGGATAACTATTTCGGGGATTTTGTCCACTTTCGGACGCTTGACGAATATCAAGAACAACTGCAAATAAATGCTCAAAGTTCCAACGCCGATGCTGTACACAGACCTCCGAGCAACAAGTCAAACGATCTCGATGTCATCTTGTCTGTCAGAGTCGATGACCCACGCATTTTGCTACCCGTCAATCTGTATTCTGCCAACAGATATGTGCAATGTGAGCTGGCTAACTTATCCGTTGATCTTCGATTCACAAACTACTATATGGACTTGGAGCTCTTGCTGAGTCCACTAAGCCTGTCGCTGGGCCGTCCAGCGCTCTCAACTGAGAGCCCAAACTCTGCCTACTCCAACACTCAGCTGTTCGTTGACGGAGTTCGTGTTTTTGGGCACCGTACATTCGGTCTACCTCCTTCTGAACCCACATATCTTTGCAATTGGGACGTTTCAGTCGGAATACTAGATGGCGAATGCACTGCCGAGTTTCTGAGCTCATTGGGCAATGGCGGTGCGGCTTTCGGATTCATGTTTGACGATGTTGAGAATGCGCTCGTGCCTTATTCGTCTCTTGTTTTCCATGACATTACTTTTGTGCGCGCAGAAGTTGCTTCGGTTCGCTTGTGGTTGCATGTGGACGAAGCAGCCTTTCTCGTGTCCACGGGATCTATTCAAGTAAGAAGCAATGACTGGGGTGGCGCTCACTATTCAAAGCGTGCGAACATCAGCATACCCAACATCGAAATCTCTTGTGTAAATGCAGAGTCTGCGGCAAGGCATACATCTCGACGCCACCACCCAGTAGACACTGCGGCCTACTTGAAGACAGACGTTCAACTAGCATCCATTGGGCGCAAGTTTCACTTCCATGAAGAGCTCAAGATCCAGCAAGACTTGATACGGCGGGAGGATCAACGCACAAGAAGAACACCTTTTCTTCTCCGACGCCCTGTCGACCCAGACTTTGTGCCAGAGCCGTTTGATCCCCCAGCACAATGTGTCCCGGCACCAGCTTTCCCGCTCACGGAAGTGAACCAGATTGACGACGACGCATCCTACCAAAGTGTCAGGAAGTCTCGCTATTTCGATCGTTTGCGACGGCAAAGCTCCTTCATTTCCTCCAGCTCAAGTGATATCAATATTCGTGGTACAAGTCAACCGCGTAGTCGTGCCAGATCAAGACAGGCCGCGCTGCCTACTCAGCCAAGCGGAACTGAAAAGGTGCAGCGCATGGCAGGAAAGAGAGGAAGTATTTATTCCCAAGACCTGCTGATTACCAACACTCAACAGCCAAGTCAAGACCGGCAGCAAAAGGAGCATATTGAGCATTCATCCATTGCATTTTCCAGCCAATATTTCCCTCCACACTTTCCGCTAGAAAGTGTCTGTCCAGATGGACGTGAGGCAACCTTTGAGGAGGTCGAAGAGGAGCCAGACGATGACTTCTTTGAAATGCGTGCTTCTCTCGACGATTTGAACCCTAGCAGCCTCAGCGAGGACCACGCACAAGCAAGCACTATGATCGAGTTTACCACTGGCATTACCGCTTTTCTCAATCCAGAAGCTGTGCGCTACGTCAATTCTCTCTTGTCAGCCTTGCAACCAAGTGAGCCGGATGACATTCTGGATTCACTTCAAACCAGCGTCATTGGGGACATTTTTTCTGAGAAGAAGCAGAGCCATGTCACAGGTTCCATGCAGGAAATCTTGGTCAAGTTGCCTAAGGCAAACATTCGATTTCTGAACCCATCTACTCTGGACTCACTGGATGCCTCCCAAGAAGAGAAAGACCAGTATGACATTCGGATTTTCAAAGCTACGCTTATTACTCGCATTGTTAAGGATCGTACGGGAGATACTTTGACCTCCCGAACCTCACTCTATTTTCGTCTAAAATCTGCGGAGATGTCGGCGTCCGAACGGGTGTCTTCTGTTGGAACACCCCAAGCGGCGGTCATGGTCAATATTGATAATGTCAATGTGTCACTAGGTGCAAAGGACATCACATATTTTGATGCCGACGTTGGTTCTATTGTAGGCAGCACAGCGTCTGGCAAGATTGAGTACTTGGCGTCATTGATTCACCGTACAGGCAGTATCGCCTCGGAGTTGGGCAATCTCTTATCCCAAACCACCACTCGCAACGACAACCGAATCAAGTACTTGGTATCCCGGCTGCTAAAGGACGGTTATGCTACGAATGATCCGCCGTTCCTCATTCGGCCCTCAGCTGTGCTTCGATCCACTCATGAGCACATGAGGACAGCTGATTCATGGAAACTCATGATGCGACTGCGACAAATATGGGCAACCCTGAATCAAGGCCGGAGGATGGCGCTGATCGACCAGTGCAGAGACAACCCTCCGGAGGCACATCCAGATGTTGTCAACCAAGTTCTTTCTGCATTTCAGAAATGGCGAAGCTGGGATTTGGATGACCCCAGGAACTCCATCCTGATGAAAAAAATATTCGGGAAAGCGATTGATGGTCAAGTAGAGTCACCACAAGAGTACCCCCTTCTTGGCGCCTGTCAATTGGGTGAGCTGCAGTTTGTGTTGGACCCTGGCCCTAAGCAGAACAAAATAGGATTTCTCGAAATTGCCTTCAGAGTAGATAAACGACCGCCGGGACAATCGAATGTTCTTCCCGAAATGAAAGATTTTCAGGGCTCGTTAACGATTATGAACCTTTGTTGCGCAGAAGCCGCAATTCATTTGAACTGGGAGCTCTGCGAATTCGCCGAGGATGTTTTGCGTCTTTACAACAAGGCTCAGCCACGACCATCAGAGACGACCACGTCGAACGAGCAACCAAGAAGAGAACCCCTCAAGTCATCTGCGGCATATCATGTAGTGTTTGAAGTTGTGAAGGGGTCCATCGAGGCAGAAGCAATCAACCTAACGGCTAAATCCATCAGTGACGGGCTTAAGACGTCAATTCTACTCTGCCACGCGGGTGAGGAGCTCAGTATTGCAAATGCTATGTTTAATTCCAATGCGGTTACGTCAAAGCTGCAAAGCCATGGACAATTTCTCAGCGTTTTGCAGATTCAACAGCCAAGCATATTCATTGCTTATGAAATCGAGAAAACAACAGATGTTGACGCCCACGTTGTCAAAGTCTCGGCAAGTTCTCCAAATATGACCTTGCGTGTCAAGGACGACCCCATTGGCCTTCTAGAAGTTCTGGACTTGCTTATCAGGGATGAAGCGGCTCAGACTCACAGACTTAAAGATCTCATTCCATCGTCCCCAGAAGGCCGAAAGCAGCGCATCAAGTTGCAACAGCGCATTTCCACAATTGTAGTCAAGGCTGTCATGTTCCTGGATGAATACACCCTCAGCATTCCGCTTTTACAGTCCTTGACGTATAAAATCACTGGATCCGTGTCGAGAGCGTCATGCGCGGCCCACTTCGGAAAGGGACTTGTTTTCGATTTTGACATCAAGGAGAACTCTCATGAGATGCAAATTAATGTCAAGGACGAGCCCCAGAGTATTTCCTTGCTAGAGATCCCGCCGGCAAACGGACGTATCACGAGCAATACGCAATCAAGTGAAAATGTTGTAAGCATTTTAGCATCTATGGAGGCCATACGGCTGGACGCATCGGCAATATACAGCTTACTGGCAGCCCTGAATCGGCCTCAGATATCTGGAGCTATAGAGGAAGCACAGCAACAAGTCAAGATAATCCAGGGCCATATAAATGAGACGTTTGGCGCGCCAAGAGAGGTAGAGACCGAAAGCTCTACGTTCTCCAGATCGACTCCCAACTTGGTCTATGATATTCACTTAGCATTGGCTGGACTGCGGATTCTGGCCAAAACGCCTCTCAAGACCGTGGCGGAACCCACGGCCCAGATCTTGTTTGCGTTGGACAAAGTCACTTTGCAGGCCTCGAATCAACAAGGCCCAAATGCCTCACCTCTCAACTATCCTGATTTACATGTTAACTTGCGCCGAATCAGTCTTGATATCAGTCGTGGAAGAGAGAATGCACTACGATCCTGCGGAAATCTGACGACTGAAATCAATGTCTCTGCAAGCTCTCAAAGCAGTGATGATGGAAAGGAAGACTGGTCTTTGCACTTCCAAAACGATGACTTATGTCTGAGCCTTTCTCCAGAAACCGTTTCGACCATTGTTGATGTTGTTGGCTATATGGGATCCAAGATTAGAGATCTGGACACGTCTCGTGAACTGGAATACCTTCGAAAATTAAGACAAACCAGACCAAAGATTAGGATCAACGATGATGATCGAAATTTGGGAGAAGAAACAGATATTTTCGAGTCTGTTCTGTCATCCATTACCTACCGCTTTGAGCTGAGAAATATTCGATTCTGCTGGGACGTGGCAGATGAAACTACTGATCTGGATGCCACCAAGGAAGATCTAGTCTTGTCAATCAAATTGATCGAGTTTGGTACCCGTACGCGGAAGTCTGCAAGACTGACGATTGAGAATTTCCTTCTGCAGACTGTACCCCCCGGTCAGGATAAGACCATCAGATCTTTACATTCTGCTCTTTTGCCGGAAGTCATGTTCAACGTGGCATATATATCGACTGCGGATGCCCGCCGAATGGCGTTTCAGGCCGTGGGTGACTCGCTTGATCTTCGTTTGACGTCGGGGTTCATTGTTCCTGCAGCAAACCTCGTGCACTCCATTTCATTGTCCATGAAAAACGCACAAACGGCGTCCTCGCAGTGGACAACCGAAGGCTTAATGGCTGCCGAACCCCTAGCGTCCAAAAAGACGGAAGATGTAACACTCCCACGACAACGCCGCATGTTCGGAAACAAACGCATGGAAAACCTGCTTGTGGACGCCGACTTTGCAGGTGCTGTTGTCTATGTATCAACCAAAAGGAATGTTTCCACCACTGTGCCAGAATCAAAGTACAGCCAGCCATCCTTGGCAGGGAAATACGGCCAATTCAGTGCAGATGATTCGGGCTCAGGGGCTGTATTGCGTAGTCCTGGCCTGGCATGGAAGGCAGAGTATCGTGACAACGGCAAAGAGCACCCATCTCTTTACGGAGAGATCAAAATTAACGCGTCAAGCAATATTCTGTACCCTTCGGTAGTTCCATTGGTTCTCGATATATTGTCGTCGGTGAAGGAAGTTGTCAGCGACAAAGATGATGCTAACAATGCTGATACTGAACAGAAACCAGAACAGTTCGTTCAGCCGAAGCTGAAGCAGACTAAATCCGGCGATGAGGATAACTTCCTTACCGCTGACCCAAGCACTGTACTTGGCCGCTTGAGGCTAAATCTTGGCCTTCGAATATGCCGACAAGAGTTCTCACTAAGCTGCCAGCCCATAGCAAGAGTGTCTGCTACAACCTGCTTTGACAGTATATACTTTACACTCAATACCGTTACTTCACAGGAACAAGGCAACTTCTTTGCAATATCTGGTGTGGTTGCCAAGCCCCAGGCATCGGTGCAACATGTTTATTCTCGAGATTCCACAGCTAGCTTCGAGCTCGATTCGGTCGCCATATCTTTCATGAATAGCAAGCATTTCAGCGGCACAAGCGGTGTATCGGCTATTCTAAACGTCAGCCCAATGAAAGTGTCGGTCAATGCGAAGCAGGTGCAAGACTTTCTACTGTTCCGGGAAATCTGGTATCCAGAGGAACTGCGACAGAAACCTGTGGTGCAGGTTCCCGAGATGCCGACGGAAACCTCCCAAGCCCACCTCGTGCAACGGTATCAAGAGGTTGCCGCAACAGCCGCATTCCCGTGGACAGCGACGATATCCATCGCAGCACTTGACGTCAGCGTAGACCTGGGGCAGTCGATTGGAAAGTCAGTGTTTCATATCAAAGAATTCTGGGTGTCGTCCAAGAAAACGTCAGACTGGGACCAGAACCTTTGCCTAGGCTTCAAAAAGATTGGTGTTGATTGTACTGGCCGTCTGAGCGGCTTCGTGGCTCTGCAAGACTTCAGGATTCGTTCATCAATCCAGTGGCCGCATCGTGAGGAGGCGCTCAACGAGACACCAGTAGTGCAGGCATCTCTGGCGTTGAATGCATTGCGCGTCAAGGCAGCATTTGACTACCAAGCATTTTTGGTAGCCGACATTACCTCTCTGGAATTTCTCATGTACAATGTTCGAGCCGGCCGCGATGGAAAGTTGGATCGACTAGTTGCCATCTTCGACGGCGAAGCAGTGAGGGTGTTTGGGACTACAACATCAGTAGCGCAGGCCGTAGCGCTCTATCAGGCGTTACAGAAACTCATTGAAGAGAGGCGAGAGAATTTCAAGTCATCACTGCGAGAGATTGAAAAGTTTATGAAGCGCAAATCTATCAGCTCACGGACGGCATTGCAAATGTCTCCTGCAATGCCAAAGCTTCCGATAGATGACACTCTGTCCAAATCACCCATCTCTCTCGACACGGATGTGGTCGTGACTCTGAAGTCGTTGAACCTGGGCGTTTTCCCAAGCACTTTTTCCGATCATCAAGTATTCAAAATGGAGGCTCTCAACGCGTACGCCCGGTTTGCAGCCAGCATCGAACAGCGCAAAATCCACAGCATTCTGCGAATGACTCTCGGTCAACTACGAATTGGCTTGGCTGGGGTTCGCGACGCCGAAGCGCCCAGGATGCTGAGTGAGACGACGGTCGAGGATGTCGTCCAACGCGCCACGGGGTCACGCGGTGGCACAATTCTCAAAGTCCCACGCGTCGAAGCGGCCATGGAGACGTGGCAGAAACCAAGCAGCAACCACATCGACTACATATTCAAGAGCGCCTTTGAAGGCAAAGTAGAAGTGGGTTGGAATTATTCGCGCATCAGTTACATCCGAGGGATGTGGGCCAACCACTCCAAATCGCTTGAGCAAACATGGGGTCGACAGCTACCGATGACGGCAGTCAAAATCACTGGCGTGCCCGAAGCTGAGGGTGAACAGCAAAAGATCACAGCCGAAGTCAACGTCCCGCAGTCCAAGTACGACTACCTGGCGCTCGAACCACCAGTGATTGAGACGCCGCAATTGCGCGATATGGGCGAGGCAACGCCACCGCTGGAATGGATCGGGTTACATCGCGACAGGCTTCCCAACTTGACTCATCAGATTGTCATTGTGTCGCTGTTGGAATTGGCGGGCGAAGTCGAAGATGCGTATTCAAGGATTCTAGGATCGACCTAGGTGTCGTCGGCGTGAGTCACGACTGCGGGTGTAGCTTGGTTTTTGAGGCTGTCGCAATCGGCTTTATAATACGTGGCTGATACGTGACTAAGTCTTGTGTGACAGTTAGAGCCTAGCGACGCAGATATAGCTACTTGACGAAGGGTTCACCAAAGGCTTTTGCTGGCCTGGCGCCTTGAAAAAAAAAAAGTCGAATATTCTCACATGGATGCAAACCACTGGATACTTGAGTAGCTATAGGTTAGCTCATAAGACGGAGCAGCAATGGGGCATTGATGTACGGAGTACGGAGTAGACAGCAAGCTCTGCACCTACGCCACCCCAGCCACGCACTTGATGATGCACGAGTGGGGCCCGGCTCACTAGTGCCCTTTTTTTTTTTTTATGGCGAGAGGTTATCCGGACCGAGGTAGGTAAGTAGTTACTTGTTAGCTGGTGAATAACGAGACGAAGAGTCCAGCGGAGGCTGCTATGGGAAAACAGTCTACAGCCGGCATCAAACAGTCCACGAAGTGCTGGATCAACGTGATGACACGGCTCCGGTGGTGCGTCGTGACCAAAGTGGTGCGTGGAAGGGCTGTTGCCCTCAGCCTCTAAAAAATCCTTGCAGGAGCAGGTGGCGCACGTCACTGTAGCAAAGACGGCAAGAGCATCCAGCATGGCGGGGTTGTGTTGCCCCACCTGCCCGCTTCCAATTTTTGCCTGCATGCCCAGGTCCCAAGCGCTCACTGGCCGGCAGGTGCAGTGAGTGACCTGGCGGTCAGGGCCACGAGACGAGAAGTATGAGATTGAAAGCAGCTTGCAATTGGAGATGCCAATTAGTTAGTAGCCTGCAGCTCAAAAAGACTGGCAGGCGCCCATACTGGGCTGAGCAGAAAACATGACATGACTGACGCTGGCCCCTCATTGACGGTGATGACTGCGGCCCACCCGCAATTTTTTTGCGCACCACATTTTCTCGTCCTGCGCTCCCTTAACTCCCTTTCCTTTCCGCCCTCCACATAGTACCACCCGAGGGACGAGTTTTGAAAAGGATTGACAGTACGCCTGTCTCTCTTTTGCCGCTTCGTCGCTTCGATACCCTTTTGGTTGCGTGGTTGAGTCATCTTTTCGGCGGCCAACTCGGTTTTGCTTCCTAAGCAAACCAAAGGCGAGAGAAGACAAGCATAAAACCAAATACCAAATACAGCCTGAGCGCGGGGTGAAAATCTTCAACCCCGCTTTGCTCAGCAACGAATTTTCTCCTCCCACAAACCACCCACCACAGAGCGAGGTCGCCCTCAACAACACCGCCAAAATGGTCAAGTAAGTACATTTTGCGTCAGGATTCTTTCCCGGGCGGATACTGGAGGACTTCTTTTCGGACGCGCCGCCTCGGAGGCGGTATTTGTACCATGAACGGCGGAATGGCTGCAAGTCTTTTTTCTTTTGCCCTCTTGGTGGGCTGTTGCTCTGTGTGCTTCGGTCGTTGACCCCGCCCGGAGTTAAGCTTCTGAGCAGTCTTTGGGAGACAACCACACCAGGAGAATACTCCCTGATGGGGGAAGGCCGAAAAGCTCCCAATGACAAGACACCGGTAATATGCGACAGGGTTCACGGCTAACATTCTTCATCGCAATGTAGCTTCACCATCGACGAGATTCGGGCCCTTATGGACAAGCCTAGCAATGTCCGCAACATGTCCGTCATTGCCCACGTCGATCACGGCAAGTCTACCCTGACCGACTCTCTCCTTGCAAAGGCTGGTATCATTTCTACCGCAAAGGCCGGCGATGCGCGAGCAACGGACACTCGTCAGGACGAGCAGGAGCGTGGCATCACCATCAAGTCGACGGCCATCTCTCTGTATGGCCATCTTGACGACCCCGAGGATATCAAAGACATTGTTGGCCAAAAGACCGATGGCCAGGACTTCTTGATCAACTTGATTGACTCGCCCGGCCACGTTGATTTCTCGTCTGAAGTTACTGCTGCCCTCCGTGTCACCGACGGTGCCCTCGTTGTCGTCGATACCGTTGAAGGCGTGTGCGTCCAGACCGAGACCGTGCTTCGTCAGGCTCTCGGTGAGCGTATCAAGCCTGTTGTCATCATCAACAAGGTTGATCGTGCTCTTCTCGAGCTTCAGGTCTCCAAGGAGGATCTGTACCAGTCCTTCTCCCGAACCATCGAGTCCGTAAACGTCATCATTTCCACCTATCTCGACAAGACCCTCGGTGACGTCCAGGTCTATCCTGACAAGGGTACCATTGCTTTCGGTTCTGGCCTGCATGGCTGGGCCTTCACTGTCCGTCAGTTCGCTATCAGGTATGCCAAGAAGTTTGGTGTCGACAAGAACAAGATGATGGAGCGTCTCTGGGTAAGTAAGCAAAAATGCACAGCATTTGCAGTCAGGCCCTCTTTCTCAGCCCGTCTTTCTCCAATCATATTTCAAACCGACGTCCACTTACACAATCACAAACTCGCAGGGCGACAACTACTTCAACCCTCACACCAAAAAGTGGACCAAGAACGGTACCTACGAAGGCAAGCAGCTTGAGCGTGCTTTCAACCAGTTCATCCTGGACCCCATCTTCAAAATCTTCAATGCCGTCATGAACTTCAAGACCGATGAGATCAACACTCTCCTTGAGAAGCTCAACCTCAAGCTGGACGCCGACGACCGACAGAAGGAGGGCAAGCAGCTGCTCAAGGTCGTCATGCGAACTTTCCTGCCCGCTGCCGACTCTCTGCTGGAAATGATGATTCTCCACCTTCCTTCTCCCGTCACTGCCCAGAAGTACCGTGCCGAGACGCTGTACGAAGGTCCCCTGGACGATGATGCCGCCATTGGTATCCGTGACTGCGACCCCAAAGGTCCTCTCATGTTGTACGTCTCCAAGATGGTTCCCACCTCCGACAAGGGTCGATTCTACGCCTTTGGTCGTGTCTTTTCCGGTACCGTCCGTTCTGGTCTCAAGGTCCGCATTCAGGGCCCCAACTACGTTCCCGGCAAGAAGGAGGATCTGTTCATCAAGGCTATTCAGCGTACCGTCCTCATGATGGGAGGCAGGGTCGAGGCCATTGACGACATGCCTGCCGGTAACATTGTTGGTCTCGTTGGTATCGATCAGTTCTTGCTCAAGTCCGGCACTCTTACCACCTCCGACACTGCCCACAACCTCAAGGTCATGAAGTTCTCCGTCTCCCCCGTCGTTCAGCGTTCCGTTCAAGTCAAGAACGCCCAGGATCTCCCCAAGTTGGTTGAAGGCCTTAAGCGACTTTCCAAGTCTGACCCCTGCGTCCTGACCATGACGTCTGAGTCTGGTGAGCACATCGTTGCTGGTGCCGGTGAGCTACATCTTGAGATCTGCTTGAAGGATCTCGAGGAGGACCACGCCGGTGTTCCTCTCAACATATCTGACCCCGTCGTCCAGTACAGAGAGACTGTTCAGGGCAAATCCAGCATGACGGCTCTGTCCAAGTCCCCCAACAAGCACAACCGTCTGTACATGGTTGCCGAGCCCATTGATGAGGAGCTATCTTTGGCCATTGAGAACGGCAAGGTCTCTGCCCGTGACGATTTCAAGGCCCGTGCACGTATCCTGGCCGACGACTTCGGTTGGGACGTCACTGATGGCCGTAAGATCTGGGCTTTTGGTCCTGATGGCACCGGTGCCAACTTGCTGGTTGACCAGACCAAGGCGGTTCAGTATCTCAACGAAATCAAGGACTCCTGCGTGTCCGGTTTCCAGTGGGCCAGTCGTGAGGGTCCTGTTGCCGAGGAGCCCATGCGCTCGATTCGCTTCAACATTCTAGACGTCACCCTGCACGCTGATGCCATTCATCGTGGCGGTGGTCAAATCATTCCCACTACTCGCCGTGTCCTGTACGCCTCTGCCCTGCTGGCCGAGCCCGCCCTGCTCGAGCCCGTCTACCTGGTCGAAATTCAGGTTCCAGAGCAGGCCATGGGTGGTGTCTACGGCGTCCTTACCCGCCGTCGTGGTCACGTCTTCAACGAAGAGCAACGCCCTGGTACCCCCCTCTTCAACATCAAGGCCTACCTGCCCGTCTTGGAGTCTTTTGGCTTTAATGGCGACCTGCGTGCCGCCACCTCTGGCCAGGCCTTCCCTCAGTCCGTCTTTGATCACTGGCAGGTCCTGCCCGGTGGCTCTCCTCTCGATTCCACCTCCAAGGTGGGCCAGATTGTCACTGAAATGCGTAAGCGTAAGGGTATCAAGGTTGAGGTTCCCGGGGTTGAAAACGTAAGTTTATTGTATAACCCGCGGCAGTTGACTAAAGACGTGTATGCTAACATGACATGTTCACTTCTAGTACTACGACAAGCTGTAAATGGCTTCCTCATGTGCCGATAGAATCAAGTGTCGTGCCTACATTGGCACATCTCGTCAACCAGCTGCTCGTCGCGATATGGGGTGCTCTCCTCGCGGGACCTAAGTCGCGGCAGTTAAGAAAGGCATTAAACGGCGGTTGGTCAGTACGCCGACGGGGACGTCGGCCAAGAAAGAAAGAGAAAAAAACCGAATTCCAGGTTGAGTCAATAATCAAGGGAAGCGGAATCGGGCTTTTCATACATGTAGTCATGTCGTCTCGGATCAATTCAATGTTCAGAATGTATTACGTGTATGCTGCGTGATGAAGTCGCTCCGGGAAGCAGTTGTGGACGCGTGGCATGGGCGCCTTCTCCGCAGTAAGATCATCTTGCTTTGAACGTGACAATTAAGCATGTCCAAGTAGTTGGAGGCATTAAAAATGCAACTTTGTTGCTGCGAGGCTCTCTGCACCTTGGTCGCCCGTCTTGGGCCCATTGGGTATGGAGTACTCCGTTTTATGACGTCCAGCCAATGAGGATCCACATTGACGCAAGCTTCCCGGACCAGGTCATTCTCCATCGAAACTTTCCATCGTGACCCAGCCAATCTTTCTCACCTGGCATTTCTTAACCCCCTAGATGAATCAGTTTTACCGCCAGAGCGAGCTCACTACGAGCCCATTGTGACTCACATTTGGTCGACCATGTTATTCCCCGAGGCGGATGCGCCGCTGCTCAAGGCGTGGATTGTGAAGCGCATCGAAAACACGTGCGTCATTTCTGTCGATGCTCTGCGAAGAGCGTGACCAAGGATGGGGACCGAGAAGAAACTGCTGACACCCAATAGATCGGATGCCGACTCGGATGTGCTTGCAGAGTACGTGATTGCGCTGCTGAAGCACGACGGGGACAAGGAGAGCGTGAGGAAGCTGTGCGAGCAGGAGATTCCAGACTTTCTGACAGAAGGTGAGTCTTTGTCTGCCATGTCGTGGAATGCCATTGCACGGTGTCTAGTAGCATGGCGCTTGGCTGACGGCTTACAACGCGCAGAACCTCAGGCTTTCCTGGACGATGTCTTCCAAGCAATCGCCTACAAGTCTTATCTCCCGGGCGCACAACCCGCTCCGAAACTTGCCGAGCTTCATGCCTCGTCACAGAAGAAAAGCCCTGAATCGTCGCGTAAACGACGGTTCGACGAGTCTGGCCCCTCGGACGATCGTGAACGGAACAGGTCTCCGGGTGGACGCGCATTCAAACAGCTTCGAAAGGGGCGACGCGGCCGAGAGGATAGAGCTGACAGAAACGCAAACGCATATGGCATGATGATGATTCCGCCATTCAATCCCAACAATCCCATGGAGGCTATGATGCAGATGCAAGCTATGGGGTTACCATGGCCAGGGATGCCGGGACAGCAAGGCTGGGGGGTTGGCGGCGGTGCTGTCGGGAGAGGCGCGCAGAGGAGGAAGGGGAGAGGGAGGTGTAGGGATTTCGACACCAAGGGGTTTTGCGCGAGGGGGAATACGTGTGTTTTTGATCACGGTGACGGTCATGACGAAGAGGATGAAGGTAAGTTGTCTTGTCACGATTCCGTGATGGCTAGTTTGGTCTGTTTGTATTATTGCTGTGATTGTGGTTGCTCTGCTCGCTTCGTGGGCACGGCCTGACTGCTCGCCATGTGGCGACCGGACATAATCATGCAGAGATGGGACATTCACGATATTGATAGCGCGACTGGCGTCTTGAGTTGGATGAGATGCTGACAATCGAGCAGAGTATGACCCCGTCAACGTCGTCATCCAGCCTCTGAACTTGGAGGCGCCCTCGCGCGGCCGCAAAACGAAGCGAGGAGGACGAAAGGGCGGTTCGCGGGCACCATTCTCCGCCGAGGGGGCTGTAAACGATCGCTCAAAGAGTACCATCGTGATCGAGAACATCCCGGAGGAACACTTTAGCGAGGACAAGGTCAGGGAGTTCTTCTCTCAGTTTGGAAACATTGTTGAAGTATCAATGCAACCGTACAAACATCTAGCGATTGTGAAGTACCACAAGTGGGCCGCAGCAAACGACGCATACCGCTCGCCAAAAGTAATTTTCGACAACCGATTCGTCAAGGTCTTCTGGTACAAGGATGAAGGGGACAAGCTGCCGGCTTCGGTTCCAAATGGCTCCAGCCTCGCGCCCGGCTCAGGACCAGACGAAATGGATGCCGAGCCAGAACTTGACATGGAAGAGTTCCAACGGAAACAAGAGGAAGCACAAAAGCAGCATCGGGAACGGGAGGACAAGCGCAGCGAACTGGAAAAGAAACGGTTAGATCTGGAAAAGCAGCAGCAAGAACTACTAGCAAAGCACCAGGCCGAGTCGGAACGGTTACGGGCCAAGTTGGCGGAGAAGAACAGCGGCCCCGACACACCTGGTGCCTCGGGGGCTGACATGCTCAGGGCCAAGCTTGCCGCGCTGGAACAAGAAGCCAAGATGCTCGGCATCGATCCCAACGCCGAAGCAGAGTCGAGCGAATACCCGCCCCGAGGCGGACACGGGGGCCGCGGCTATCGTGTGAGAGGATTCGCACCGAGGGGCAGAGGCGCGATGAGAGGAACAGCAGGGAGGCATGCCGCTTATGCCCAGTTTTCCATCGACAACCGTCCCAAGAAGCTGGCCATAACGGGTGTCGACTTCACACCGTCAGACAAGGACGAGCAACTCCGCCACTTCTTACTGGTACGAGCTTTCCCGATTCGTGGACAGGACCTGTCATTTTGAAAATCTAACGCGAACTTGTAGAACATGGGTGAGTTCGAATCTGTCGACACAAGCCCCTCGGTCACACACGTATCCTTCCGAGACCGCAAAACCGCCGAGAAGCTGTACCATTTGCTCCACGGGAACGAACTGCCCGGCGTGCAAGGCAAGCTTGAACTGACGTGGGTGAACTCGCCGCTGCCGCCTGTCGCCCCGAAAAAGTCGGCGCACGAGGACAGCGGCATCGTGACCCCGGGGGATGCAATGGCTGGTATGGACGATGCCAGGGAGGAGGGGAAGCCGCGCGACAAGGAGAGGGATGCCGACGCCGCCGCGCCCGTGAATATGGACTACGAGGTGGGCGATTACGGATGGGAGTAGGCGCCTATACGTGCGTTTTTCCGGGAGACGCTTGCGCAGCACGCACGCACACGGGTGGCCGGCACCAGGATCGAAACGGGGTGGATATCACGTGCTAGGAGTCAAGGTGTTTTTTTCCTCCTTCGCCGTGTCTGGATGAGGGCCGGCCTGAACGCTGCGTGCGCCGTGTGGCTTTGTTCGTGGTACACTGCAGCGTCCCTCGGAAACCGGCCGTCGAGGATGTGCCCGAATCTGAGCAGGTCGCGGCCGTTGACCTTGGAACCAGACGTCACCCGCGTCTGAGATGCCCGAAACATGGTCCTAGCTGTAGACGAATCAGGGGCCGCAATATCAAGGCATATACTATCATCTTGGTCAAAGTCAACTTGGCACACCGTCACCGGGACTAGACTCTCGAGGCTAGAGCAAATAGTAGCGGCCGTGACTTGCCCAAAAGGCTTCATTTTATCTTATCGCTGCTGTTTATGACACCATTCTTTCCCCCTGTTTTCTTTTCTTTTCTTTTTTCTTCTTCTCATCATTCCGGCATCTCGTATACTCCCTCGTCTTCCACTTGCTCCTGCACCTTCGCTGCCGCTGTCTTCGCTGTGTCTAAATATATCTGGTTGTGCACAGGCGGGGTATCGTTGAGATATTATATGCATGTTGCTGCAAGAAATTCAAAATCAGAGGGGCGAGGAGCCAAAACCGCGCTTGCATCTCAAGCCCCCTTGCTGGACGATCGTGGCGCGTATACTCTTGGGTCATTATACATTCGTCACTCCTTTCTCTCTCAGAATCTCACCATTCAGCCAAGTCGTTGTTCATTTGCGTCTGTGTAGCTTTTTGTTGAAAAAGTCACACCTTGCCCCCCGCCTGTTTGCCGTCTTTTGGGCTTAAACGCCGTCACTCATGCTTGCGCTCCCTAGACAAAAGACAAAACAATGGAGAGAATAGATAGGAAAGAGATGCGTCAAAACCAAATGTCAAAGAAAAGATCAGGGACTTGAGCTAATGCTTGTCCCATATTGACTCCCGTCGCTGTCAATGCAAAAGCCGTCTGGTGGAGCAGATCGGCTAAACAAGAGGTAGAGGGGGGCCGTGTAAGAGTTCATGTCGATCGCCTCATCCAGTCGCAGGAGTGTCAAGTCCCCTGACTTCAAGGCCGTCAAAGAGATCGAAGATGGTTTGGTTCTCGTGGAAGTCGTTATTAACTGTCAAGCGGTTAGTCAGTTGCTTGATGACACGAAAAACACAGCTCCATCCAAACTTACCAACATTGATCAAATACCACTCGTTCATGATCTGATCAAGGAGAAGTCGACTGGGCGTCTCGGACTCGAAGCAATGGGCCCAATCGGTACCCAATCTAAACGCCTCGTCTCTCCACGCGAGAAAGCTGATGCTCTCCACAATGGTGGGCTGAACAATCTCCTTGCCGGGGAAGACACCCCAAGTCACAGCGTTGGGGCCATCAGAGGGAGCGTTGGTCCTAAGCTCACCATCCTTTGTCACGGCGTAGTAGGTCAAGGTCGGCTTATTCTCGATACGCTTGACCATCTCAGTGAAGATGGAGGCAGGAACGAGCAGCTCGAGGTACGCCTTTTGGTAAACGTATCCATTAGAAGGGCCCCAACCGTGAATGGGGTGCGACGACTTGACGCCATCAACCGCAGGCTGAGAGTTGATGGTTAGGAGGCCACGCTTGTTGAGTTGGATGAGATTATCCTTGATAGCATCGGCTTCGCCGGTAAGCGGCGCCTCACTCCAGGGTAGTGACTCAATTTCTTGATTAAGATATTTCACGAAAATATTAGCAATGTCTTGGACGGTGGTCGGCTCTCCCCATTTCTTGCGGTTGGCCTCGTTGGTGCCGGTCAGGCCGATACCATAGGCATCCAGCTCCCCAAACGCAGGAGATCGGGAATCACCCCATCGACCGTTGGGGAATTCGTCCCAGTCCTGCGTGCGGAGAACATATGACTTGTTGCGATTGCGCCAGAAGATGGGTCGCACGTCTTCGTCTCGCCGTCCCAGAGCTTTAGACTGCTTCCAGGGAAGGGCATGTTGGAGTGGCCGCTCGGCACATGGAGCCCAGGTCAATTCCTCGAGAACCATGCGCGTAGCTTGGGCCAAGTTCATGGTGTAGAAGTGCAGGTGATAAATGCCATTGGCCAGCAATTTGCGGCACATTTCAGCAACCAGGGTCTTGCCAATCTCACGAACAGCAACGTCGTCATTCTTTACGGGCTCCAGAGCGGTCATCCAGTGGTCAGGAACCTTGCACTGCATGTGCTTGGCCCTCCGCAGAAAGCTGGCATAGGTAGCAATAGGCATGATGCCAGGAAGAATGGGGATGTTGATTCCACGCTCGCGAACCTTGCCGACCCAACGAACAAAATTATCGGCATCGTAGAACATCTGGGTTACGATGAAAGATGCTCCCATGTCCACTTTCTCTTTCAGATGGTCAAGCAGTTGTTCTTCGTCCTTGTTGTCATCGCAGCCTTCAGGGTAGCCAGCGACGCCAATGTCGAAATGGTCGCCATAGGTAGCTCGAACGTGCTTGACAAGATCACGAGCATAATGGAAGCCGCCCTCGGCGGCAGTCCATTTCTCTTGGGCTCGCGGGGGGTCGCCGCGGAGGGCAAGGATATTGGTGCAGCCAGCCTTGTAGGCCTTTTGGAGAGCACCATTGACCTTGTCTAGTCCCATGTCGGTGCAAGTCAAGTGCATGCAAGTTTCGAGGCCGTAGACAGATTGTGCTTGGAGAACCATCTCGCAGGTAAGCTCGGCAATTCGGCCTCCGGCCCCCCAAGTGATATCAATGAACTTGGGGCCAAAATTGTACATGCGGTCGATTCGGTCGTAGAGATTCTGGACACCTTGAGAAGTTTTTGGGGGGAAATACTCGAAGGAAAAGGACGGCTGGCCGCCCTTCTCTGCTTCGACTAGCATGTCCTTGATATGCATGTTGGCGACGGTGGTTGACGGCGGTGGTGATGGTGGCTGGGAGAAGATTTGAGCTGTTGAAAAACAAAAAACAAACAGGAGAGAAATGACCCAGAAGCCAAGCACCTAGCTGGTGACTTTGATAATCTCCCCCGCAGCGCCTGGACGAGATCGGTGAGACGTAGTCTGTCCCAAGTAAGCAGGACAACTTGAGGTGATTCACAGTCTGGAACTAGCCGGAAGTTGGAGAGTCGCAGACGTTTTCAACTTGTTCAATCAGCGTACCGCAGCGGCCCCGAAGGTGCAAATCAGTACAGTTGTCCTTCCAGGGGCCGTACGTCTGAAATTGCCCTCACAGACAACTCGGAGGCAGGAAATGTAGAGCCCGTGATGATGAAATAAGTCTGGGAAGATTTGTCGAGGACAAATGCCTCCGAAAGTCGAGCGAGAACGGGGAGTTGAATATCCAAGGTGGGGGTAGCCGTAGCTCTGGCAAAACTACCAAGGTACCCAGGTACCTACTCAAGCACCCAGGCTGCTTGAGTCAACTTCACGTAATCTCCAGCAACAGCGCTGATTGGGTCAACAGGTCCGCTGGCTGACGGCAGCATGGGCATGGGTTAGCTGGCATGTGAGTACGGAGTACTGCAAGAGCGGTTTTTTTTTTTTTTTTTTTTTTTTTTTTTTTTTTTCGCATGGGGGGAAAGAGCGACTTACCATGTCCAACACATATTACATATTCCCGCTCCCCCATCTCCAGACGTCTTGCCGTGATTTCCTTGGTTTGGAGCACGGAGTCCAGGTGCCGTCGGTTGTAGTGCATGCCTGCTAGAGTTCAAGTTCCCAGGTACAATGAGTGCCCCTCCTTTGAAAAAGTACCTCCTACTTTTATCTACTTACGGAGTACTCCGTACTTGGAGATACTTTTTACTTGAGTTCTGTGTCCTCCAAGACCCATTTACCCTCTCAAGAAGTATCCAGGTTTTCTCCCGTTAGTGACCCTAGGTTCTCCGTACCTTGGTAGAAAGGTGGTGCAGTGGTACGGAGTACTTTACTTGGGCTCCTCCGAGTTTAAACGAAAACGTGACGCCACCGGTGTATTATACCACAAGAACATGGTTGCACCTGCACTTTTCGTTGGGCGCCGGCGACTTGGTGTTCCCACGTTGGCTGTCAAGCCACAGACTCAGTCCATTTTGCTGGTCGTATTCGGGTTTTTTCCCCATTGACGCTTCATCAGCCTTTAAGATTCAAGACGCCATTCAAGACCCGGCACGGCCCATTTGTGCGCCGTGGTCTGCATCTGACCTCTGAGTCCGCTGTTTTCAGGCATAGCAACTTATGCAGCCGGCCGGCGGTGATCCCTCGAGAAGCCATCTGCCGGCCGATCACACCGTCGATGGGTGGACGACACAGATGGACCTAGGTGGTAACTGAAAAATTCGCTCATGATCGTGTCGAGCATTATATTCGATTAGGAGATTCGCGTGGTATTCGACACTAGCCGGCTCGAAGCTCTCTATTCATGATGGACGAAATGGCTATGGAAATCAGTGCATGGAGTCAGGTATGTTGGAGTCGAGTCATTCCTGATGGCTGCAAGATTCGAGCTACACACACCGTTCAACAAACAAGCATCAAATTGTTCTAGGCCCCAAACTATGCTGGCGGAGCAATTGTACCTATCGAGAAGTCTCTATCTGCGTCGTCTGATGACTCGGGTCATGTTGCTATTCCCGTCTCGGCGACAGACGCTCCGGAAAGATTGCATCGACGTCGTCGCCGCGGGTACGCACAAGGCATAAGCTGCTGCGCTGGAGCCGCTCAGCAATTCCTTCGCCGTCGAATCTTGCCAGAGCCAAATCAACCAGAATCTAACTACTAGAAATTCAATAATAATGGGGGCGGCAGATGCTCAGTCCCAGCTTACGATTGGTTCACCCCAGGGACCAGGCGCTTATAAGCTCCCCGCGTCTTCCAGATATCGATTAGTCACAACAGAAGTTTGAGCGCATCGAAGATGCCGGACTCATTTCAGTTTTCGACCCACGATTAACAAGGTAATGTGCTGGAAGGCTCGGGATATATACAATCAAAAGGCTATACAAAAAAATCAAAAATGCCCGCTGGCCAACTCCGGGATATCTCCTTCTCTGTGACCTTCTCACGACACAATGAGGCGGCGACCATTCTTTTCTCCTCTCTCCACCCTCTTCAGTCTCTTACGCACACCCTCTCTCAGCCCTTCGCCTAAAAGCACACTCACATTAAAAGTCTACCCCAGGAGCCGTCAAAGCCAGTGGGGGCGCTCCTCGCAACCTCCTCCACCGATTACTGTCGTCAACAATGTCCCGGTCGAACAGAAACCACCAGTGCTGAAACAGGACCTGGCTGGCCTCCCAGCAGCCGGAGTCGTAAGGGTCGGAACCGTAGATACGCACACCCTCGGAGTTGTCCTCAAAGTCGTAGGCGAAGTCGACGAGCGCAAGCGGACCAGAAGCCGCGGGCGGGCGGACGTCGTCGGGGAGCGGGAAAATGCCGATCATCCTATCCCGACACAGGGCCAAGGGAAGGAAGTCGAGGAGCCGGTGACGCAGGATTAGAACCTGTGAGGCAGTTGGACGCCATGGCAAGGGAAGTTGATCTGGCGGTTTCGCGATTCCCTGATCAAAGGGCGACAGAGCATCCAGGTTCCAAATTGAGCCCTTGCATCCAAGGCCATCCGCTATACGCAGCATCGCACGCAAAAGAGTCAGCTCACGGCAGGGCAAAAGGCAGCTGTCGGGGAAACTGACATCGGACGATGAGTTTGGTGAGCTATGCAAGGACGGCGGTGAGCCAAACATTCCATTGGACATGGTGATGGACGAGGGCACTGAGCTGGACGGGAAGGCTGCGGTGGGAATGCCATCGCTGCGCCCAACAGGTTTTAACCCATCATCAACAGCCATGGCCGCGGCCGTGAGGAAGTCGGCATACGCGCCAGTCACATCAGGCATCGTTGACGGGAGGATCGGGTCGACCATCATGTCCCAGTTGGTGAAGCACATGTCGGCGCCGAAGATAGAGCCGGAACTATGAGCAACGCCCCCGTCGGCGGGCACTTCTTCGACCAACTGGGAGTAATCATCTTCGGGTTCTTGCGATGTGCTTTTTGAGCCGTTGCTGTTGCCCCTCATACGCTTCTGTCTCTTCTTTTCTCCTATATGAAACGGGGAAAAACACCAAGAAGTGAATATGCCTCCTTGAATAAACACAAGGGGTGGTCTCAACACGTACGGTATCTCCGCTGCGCCAGCACATTTAGTATCCGTTTTCTCTCCGCCGCGTCGTCTTCAATATCCGGCACCTCCAACGGCGGCGGAGGCTTGTATACTCTCTGTCTTGTGCGTGGTCTCGAGCCAACGCCGGAGCTATTCAACCGGTCGCCCATCTTCACGTAAACACCACTCACTCAACAGTTTTAACAAAACAAAAGATAGAAGGCAACCCTTTCGAGATATTTGTCCCCTCCCAAACTGTACACGTGTGTCAGTTCCAAAGTCACCGCAGGGTGTCTTTTATACCATTGCAAAATTGCAAAAATGGAACAAGTTTCCCGGAAGGGTAAGGGACAACCGAGCAGTCCTATAAGTGCCCGTTGAGAATGAGAAAATACACACATCCCTCCACCAATGCCAGCCAGCGAGAGCCGAAAGCGGAATACACCCTTGGCTATCTTCAGCTGCCAAACAAGATCCCGTTCTCCGTGCTTTCCCCCTCGTGCCTAGTGCCCACTGGTTCCAGCAACCATAACGCTCCAAGTGGGGATGACGATCAATACAACTCGGCCAAGCCTTACGGATAACTCGGTACCTTGCCCAGCAGCTGAATTCCCTCAACGGACCTAGGTACTTGCTATCAGGTTTGGGCCCGGCAACCCCCTGCGTGATGTATCGGGTAATCAGTGCGATTTGCGGGCAGCGGCTGAAGAATGAGGGGAGGGACAGGACGGTCCCTGGTCCCTGGCCCCTGGCTGCGATGGCTGCGCCCTACGAGGGCCAAGCATAAATCTTGGAAGTTCTGGATTAGTTGGACTCCGTTCTCCGTATATAATGCCACAAACCTGGTGCGAGTGGCTGTGAGGTCCAGGTTACGTGTCGAGGGAGGGCGATTTGGCCCTCGACCGGGGACGGCCTTGGCAACGACTTTCGGCGCCTTGCGTCAGACGGGCTTGGTCATAATTGAACTTTCAGCGTGTAAGTGGCCTTTGTGGGAGTCCTGTCAGTCTGCAAGCGAACCAAAATACTTCCAAGTTTCTTGTCTCGCTGATTTTGTGCCTCCAGGCCGCGGTGGAGGGGCTCTCAAGTGCTTGGTGCGGTTTGTGAACAAGACGGTTCGACGGATGGGCCATCGATAATATTGTAATATCGTAATATGCTCCAACCACGATCAAGACGCTGTCAACATGACGGCTACTGAAGAACACATACTGTGAGCCACGGCGTCCTTTCCTCATGATTTGGCAACGATCACGTGCCCGGCGTCAACGCTGGGGGTTCTCCTAGTGTCGTATAGCATGGCCCTTTGTCGACGACCACCATGGACGTCGGAGTCTATAAAGTGGTCCTCGTTTCGGCAGCAGAATATGCAGGAGCCCTCGGGAACGCTACCCGTCCCTTCTCATATTGCACTCTCGTGCACGCATTTTTACGGGCGCCATTTCTCGAGTTCCACCGAGCCGTCAGCCCTATACTCATCAATTAGCACTAACTTGCTAAAGGGTATCCAGTGCGGACGGTGCATATTTCGCCGATGTTGTGGCCGAAGTACTCCGTACTCACTTTCATTATCTGTAACTGGTGGCTCCGTAACCGTCCCTGTCAACGGCCCTGCATGCTCTACCCCTGTATTCGACCTAATTGACCCAGTTGACGAAAGCAATCTCGCGATATGGCGATAACGGAGATCACAGCGGTGTCTTGGATCCCATGTGCAAACTGCATTTGTCAATTGTGTTCGGTCGTTCCGTCGGCCCAGAAATATCTGATGGATCCCTCGGGCTTCGGTTCTGTCTTGCGACACTGTGTAATCCACGGGCGAATGCTAGTCGAGATGCTGGTGGTTGTAAAAACAGTCGAGAATGTAGAGCAGCCAGCCCTACGAACAGGGCTTCGGGTCGGTTGATACGAGACCACCGAGTCTGTGAAGAGTGAGCTCCGTGACATCTAAAGACTAAAATGAGAGCACACAGCCGTCAAAGGGGTGTTTTGGAGGTTGACAGAGGCGAGTGGGTCAACGTGAAGGAAGAAGGAAGGAGCCAAACATGGAAACGGCAGGCACGCGTGTCAAGTCAACGTCTTCCTACCAGCCTTGGACTGCACTCATCACAACTTCGTTGCTGCAACCGACGTTGGACCAATATCAACAGCCATCATGGCGCACACAGCGCACACGCATACTCTTCCCTCTCGACATGATACTGCAGTATTATTGCAAGACATTCAGAGTAATTCTTCCAGACACCAAACGCTTCATCACCTGGACAAACGCCATGGGTTTCATCGTCACACCATTTTGCCAGACGCCAACCTTTCTGACGACAAGGAGAATCTCACAGCTCAACTCGAGTCTCGGTCGACCGCTCACCTTGAGGCTGGGCACGAAAATCCGTGGCCGGCATAGGATCCCGCCAGCTCCAAGACTTGGGGCCCCAAACCATCAGCACCGCACCCATTGCCTCCCGTGTCACCGCTGATCCGTCGTCAAGAACCAGACGCCGAGATACCAGACATTAGCCATGTTTTTCGACCTCCTTCAGTCCCGTCGCCATGCCATTTAGCTGCAGATTCGGATGAGTTCCTCGACATGATGGATCGTGGGCTGTGTATTAGCCGCAATGATATTCCCTCGCCTCTTGTGCGCAAGCCATCTCATGTGCGGAGTGCCTCGTCCGAATATCCCTCACCAGGGCACAATACTCCGCGGGTTCAGTCTCCAGTCTCGGAGTACTGCCGTAGCAATCGACTCAGCCTCTCTGGTCTTTCACGATTTGGTCGGACAAATGATTGCTTGTCAAATCTCCGGTCAAGTTCCCCTTCGTCTGACCAGCAAGAGATGGGCGACACCAGCAATCACGAACTCATGGCAGACACAGCCGCGGCGATCACGGAATGGCAGGGTATATCTCGACCCATAAAGTCGGCCACGTACAACAACTATTCTCTTACAAATAGCTCTGACCTGTTCCCGTCCGATTCTCTGTCCCAGAGGGAGGTGGTATCTCTAGCTCCGTCGAGCCCCCTGTCGGAGCCATCCGCCCGGGAATCGACCCAAAATCCCCAGCACGTCAAGCCTCTGAACGCTCAGTATGATGGCACTGTCGACCCAGGTCGCAATACAAGCCCAGAGCCAAACAATGGCCTTGCTCCCGCTCTGGACGCCGCCCAGACCTTCCACCAGTCCAAGCGAAAGGCGTCGCAGTTTTCTCTCCGAAGCCTGACCAGATCTTTGTCGAAACGCCCTCGTCTTGTCGCTCTCCGACAATGGGCGGCCAATGTATACCATGGCAGCAGTCGCCGTCTCAGCAAAGCATATCACCGTCTCAAGCACCAGCGAAGAACGCATTTTGGTGAGTTTGGGGCATGGAGAGGAATCGGGCAGCGACGCCAACAAGCAGCTGATGATGCCAAGGGCAGTCCAGACCAACCATACGGAGTATTTGAGTATGACAATGGTCCTCGGGTGAATCAAGAGTGGTGGAAAGATGGGGTGACGAGATACCGAGCACCATCGTGGATGTTTCGCGGTAAATGATTCGCGGTGGGAACAGTAGAAGCATGATTCAAGAAGGGGCTTTGATATGCTACAAGAACAAAAAACACTTGAGGAGAAAAGGAAGGGGAAATGTAAAAAAAATTAGGTGCTTCTTGTCCGGGCCTATGAGATGCTATGCGCTCGTGTATATGCTCTACGCTTGCGAAGAATACTCATACGAGAAAAAAGACTTTAACAAAAAATCAGTCATACACATCACACCAATACAATCTTTTGCTTTCACTGTGTGTATATTTCACAACATGTACCTGAAGAAGTAGGCCGGGTCTGTTTCCCGCCTCTCCGAGGCAACGAGCGCTTCCTCCTCGACGGTAGAGTCGTCGAGCCCGCGGTCCGCGTCTTTCCGGTCCAAGGTGCTGTTCCGATGCTGCAGATGGCACCTCAGGAAAAGGGCCAAGACGGCAACGGCCAGCATGGACAGGGCACAGGCGCCCATGCCGGCCGTGTAGTATGGCGCATCGCTGTCGGGATACAGCCTGGTGCCGACGAGCGGGCCGCACTGGCCCACGAGCTGCAGGATGGCGAAGCCGCCGCCCTGCCTCGTCTGGCTGGCCTGGTTGTTGATGCTCCAGGCGATGATGAGCGTGACGACGTTGAAGAAGCCCACCGCGGCGGGGTACACGGCCAAGTACCTCAGGAAGGGGGGCAGACGGAGCGGCCCGGCCAGGGCCAGGGCGGCGTAGCCTGCGGCCGAGGCCGAGGCGTGGAGGACGATGGGAATCGTGCGCGCCCGCAGGCGATCGGACATGTGGGCGGTGATGAGGACGGCGGCAAAGGCGACGAGGTAGGGCGGCGCGCAGAGCGCCTGCGAGGTGAGCGCGTCGTGGCCCATTTCCGTCATGATCTTGGGCAGGAAGACGGGCAGCGAGGAGTAGGCCATGTTTGCGAGGAAGAACATGGCCGACGTCAGCCAGGCGACGGGGTCTGCGAGGACGAGCAGCAGGTCGCGGGGCTTGAGGCCCGAGGCCGGCGTGTGTCGAGACCGCCGCGAGGGCGGACGGTGGCCGGCCCGGGGACGGGGGCGCAGGCGCAGGCGGGCGACTTTCTTCTCGCGATCCGTGAGGTACGGCGCCGACGAGGGCGAGTCGGGGATCGTGGTGAACGCGGCGACGGCGGCGAGAACAGACGGCAGGCCCTCGAGGAGGAAGAGGAGGCGCCAGGGGGCGATGGGCGATCGAGACGCGAACTTGACGATGATGTAGGCCAGTGTCGAGGCGAAGCTTGTCGCGAGGGGAGCGGCTGTTTTGTTTTGGGGGGGTTTTTTTTGGCCATTAGCTGCCGTGGTGTTGGGAGAGCAAGGTCTGGTCAGCGTACCGGATATGAACATGGCGGTTCGAAAGGCCAGTTCCTCTCTTTTGAAGAAGAAGCTCAGGTAGAAGGGGATGCCTGTGAATCCTGCTTCCCCTATGCCGAGGAGCACCCTCAGCGCAATCAGCACCGGATACGAAGGCGCAACTGCTTGCAGCGATGCCGTGAGGCCCCATGTCAAGACGGTCATGGACACGACGATGTGGGCGGGCACGAGCTTGAACAGCAACGACATCCACTCGAAGGCAACGTAGGACATGTAAAAGGCCGACAGGGCCCATTCGTACCAGTCGTCGCGGGGCGGCGTCGTCTGCAGGTCCTCGTCCATGCCGGCTATTCTTGCGCTGCCGATATCTGGCGGGCGTCAGCTCCGGTGCGAGGAGAATGGGCTGGGCAGCGTACTCGACCGGTCCAGAAAGCTCAGCATGAAGAGAAAGGCAACAAAGAGCACCAGCTTCCTGTCAAACTTCCTCCGCACCGCCAGCTCCTCGTCGGGCGTGTACGGCTGGAAGCTGGCGAGTGTGCTCGCGCTCGTGCGTCTGTGTCGTCGCTCGTGCCCGCCGTGCGGCTCGACCATCTCGTAGGCGTCGGCGACGGCGTCGTCATCGCTGCCGTCGAGGGTGAATCCGGCACCGGTCTGTGCAAAGGACGGGGACGCCTCGCCCGGGTTGAAGGGGCTGCGGCGGCCGGCGTGGGCCATGGGAGGTCTGCTCGCTCGTCTATGTTTTTTTTTTTTGTGTTTCGACAATCTCGGGGCGCACCGAGGCCCCGTGTGACAGCTAGATGGAGCCGGCCAGGCCCGCCGCCATGCGCACCGTTGCAATTGCAATCGTGCGCTGATGCGAGGAGTAGGGTGAGGGCGGTGCGGATGGCGATGACCGTGTCGGGGCAGAGTTGCGAAGACGACTTGTGGTCGAGGTTCGGGCGAGAGCTGCATCACGGATGCCGGCTGGGCGCTCCACACCTGAGATGGACGGCGCTCGGCCGAACAGGCAATGAATGCCGGGGTCCAGCATGGCCAACAGAATCTTAATCTTCACTTCCACGCTTCCAGCCAAGGGTCATCGGACCATCGCCAATGCGTTCGTATTTCAATGGGTATTCTGCGCGCAGCGAGCAGGCGAGACAAGCCGCGTTTGTCGAGGCGGCACGTCTCTGGCACCATGATGATTGATCCGTGTGCATCAACGACCCTACCCGGCGGCCTTTCGGAAAATAAAAATGGCTTGGTTCTAAGGTACACGTGGTCACAATATTCCGCCAACGCCTCAGGTACAGCACCTTTCACAGCGCATCACGCCCCTTTGCCTGGCAAAAGTTGATGTCCCAACGCCGTCTAATTTCATCTCGACGCCTCGCTGCCACAGAGTTCGTTGCCCGTCCTAGTCATAGTCTTCGTCAGTAGTAGTAAACATGTAACCACGTCCGTCTACGCGTCCTTCTTGGAGAATAATCGTCGTATGGATAGCTTCTTCTTCAAGCGCGGGGTTGCCGGCAGCTCTTTCCTGAAAGGATCCTGGTCAAGAAAGGTGGGCTGTGTAGGTGCGTCTGGTCTGCTCCCTGATGAGCCTCTCCATGCATAGCCCAAGTCCATCTGATCGCTTGCCAGGGTCGCTGAAGCCATCCTTGACATCACACCCGGTTGTGCCCGCACTTGAGATGGAGGCAGTCGAGCCGCCGCAGCCACCTCGGACGGGACTTCATCTCCTTCGTCACAGTTCTCGGGTGCCTGCCGATCGGTATCGTCACACACAACCACGTACCACCGCGATTGCTCTTCCGCCTGGACTTGGTCACGTAGCTTCTCAAACCACGACGACCGGGTGTCCTTGACGGCGTTCTCGTACGCCGCTATTTCTGCCGCAATGTCTACGCCGAGATCCACACGGACGACATGATCGGCCACATAGGCGTACGGCCGAGCAGCATGTTCAACTTCGTTCATGTCGTATTCCTCCAAGAGTTTTACTGGGGACCACTCATGGACAAGTATATTGTCCTCGCAGCCAGGCACCTTGGAGGTGGGCATGGCCAATTCATCATCGTAACACTGTGGCCGTGGCCGCTTTTCCCCCGGGGGCGTCGTCTGGCTGGACTCTGGTCGTGCGACGGTGCCGTCCTCATTCTCTAGCCTTGGTACGAAGTCAAATGACTCGGCGAATTGGCTGAGAATTACGGCAGCAGTGTCTCGTCCGATGATCCAATCTGGCGTGCAATCTTCGAGGTCGTTCAGAATGACAAAGACACGAATGCTGCGGCGGTACCACCTGAATCCATGGCACAAGTATGTCGGCATGGTCCCCGGCAAGCCAGGCAGTGAGGCCTTTTGGTCAAACGTACGCAGGCGGAAGGGCCGGGTAAAATCTCCGTGTACCCGGGTTCGTGGCGATGTCAGGATTCAGGAGTCGGGACCTCCGGACTCTGGACTCGGAATCCGGTACTCGATACTCGAGATGCTCAGGGGCCTGAGGAAAGATTCGGAGAGGTGCTACTGACTTGTAGCCTCATGCATGGAGAAGTGCCTGTTGGAAAGGCTGTCGAGGGGCATTGGCATGATTGAAGCCGGAACACGGTACGGCGGACGGAGTGAAGGTTGACCAGACATTTCGGAGTCCCCTGTGTCTGTGCTGTGCTGTGACTTGCTGTCAAGGCTGACACTGATGAGAGCACCGAGCGCTGGTTGGCATGTCTCAGTCCGTACTCCGTAGCCTTCCAAGTTCCCGCCATTCCCGCCTACCACCCGAAGCTGGGTCTGGGGCAAGAGCTAACTTACCGTTGATCCAGTCCCCACCTGCCGCTGCCCAGGTACCGGCACTGCTGGGTGGCTGCGAACCGGTTTTGAGCATCGTTACGAAAACGCCGCGACCAACGACCAGCTCCTTCCCCGTCGATTGCCCAACTGTGGGCGTGGCCCTAGGGTTCACTATTTGGACGCCTCCACATCGACCACAGTCTTGCCGGACTACCGCCTCGTGCCTCGTGCTGGTCATCATGAGCTCCGGCTTGGCAACAAGTATGGTATAGTTACATTCATACATACATACATACATACATACATACATGTGCCGAGCATCCCAACTCCGCGTTGATCCGGCGGCTCGGCACGCAACCCCCCCTCCCCAAGCCACAAGCCACAAGCCATCTCCGTACCCGCAAGTTGTAACCCCTGAAGCCCGACCATCCCAGCGCCTGTCATGTCAACTGGTGTCAATGTCATGTCAATGCATCCATCAACTCATCCCATGCAAGTTCCATTCGCCAATGACCAGTGACAAGGACTAGGGGCAGGGACCGATACTACCGATGCCGCCATGGTACGGACTTCCTAGGTAGGAATTCATCCGTCGCTCAGGCGTGCGCCACCAAGTCGCAAACAATAATAAGTTACATTACCACTTGAACCTTGAACCTTGAACGTGGCAGCAGCGTGGCCTCCGCCTTTCCGTGAGTTTCATGTCAGCGTGAGTGGGTTGACTAGAACAGCGGGTGAAATCGGAATGACGGCTTTCCGCCCAACACGTGTGGCGGCACATTATCTCGTACTCCGTACCGAGTACCCAATGCCAATATCAACCACTTTTTAATTAAAAAGGAAACACACGACATTGGTGTGAGCAGGGCAAATACAAAACGCCATCATGTACACGACCAGACCGTCCCATCCACCCGTGCCGAGTCATTGCGCCCTTGAGTGCACACACGCCCTGACTCCTTTTGCAAGTTGAGTACGGAGCAAGCATGGACCACTTATTCATAGACAGATGGTGCTTGCAAGACGCTCACCCCTCCCGACTCTGTGTCTTGTTCTTTCAGAGCCGCCTCCAGTGTACCGACATCAAAATCAAAGTCCATAACGTTTAGTATCTCGCCTAGCTCTGCATCAGGAATATGCAGATCCATATTTGCTGGCAGCAAGGATGGCTGCTGGCCCGCCACGTCCACGTCATCGTCGGCAGGCAGAGCATCTGGCAGCTGACTCTTCACCCAAGCTTTGAACTTCTCAAGCAGGACAGGGTCATCGGCCGCTGTTTCTGTTGAGTTGACAATGTCCCTTGCGCGGGTCTGCATGGCTACATCTGTGGGCAGGCGCCCAGTATCGGTGACGCGCTGCTTTACAAACTGCACCAGGCCAGCTTCCAGCTCGCGGGAACAAAAAACATTTGCCGGGCGGCTGCTGTCTGATCGCAACGTCTCTAAAAAATGGTTTGCAGCGTCATGTCCAGCCTTGAACGGCTTGGCGCCATCACGCATGTTGACTTGGACGTCCTCGAGGAACGGTTCAAGGCTGCCCTTGGGATAAGCATATGGCGGCGCAAACCCCGATCCGCCTTGGGATAGTGACCACGAGTAGCCTTTGGGTAGGCCTGGGCCCGGGTCCTTGGCAATGCCAACATCACGTTTGAATCGCTGAAGCCATTCAGCATTGTCGGCGGCTGTTTGGTTCCAAGGATCGTCGCTACTATAGGTTAGTCTCGCTGGAGAGCATGAGACGCGTGCCCGTGTAGACTTACTCATCGTATAGAATCCATCGTGCTTGATATTGCAACTCGTCATCGGTCGGGGTATGCCGATTCGGATTGTTGGCAGACATGGTCGATTTGACCCAACGCCTCAACTCCTTGGCTAGACGCCGGTAGCAATTGGCATCGTTCAAGAACAGGAGAGTTGACCTAGAGTGACCATCAATCGAAAGCAGCTGTTGAAAGTCATTGTGTACCGAGTTATTTCGGGGCGCCTCAACGGATTCGGGTGATTTGTGACACGACGCAGGTCCGTCACTAGCGGTGGCAGTTCTGGCAGGGGCAGAGTCCATCGTCATGGTAGGCGCATGCTCGGGCGAGCCCCCTTCAGGGTGTCGATCTCTGAACGATTCCAACCACTGAATGTTGTCGGCGGCAGTTTGATTCCATCCGTCGTCGAACTCGTAAATAATGACACGAGCCTGTCGTTGCAGGTCCTCGTCCGTTGGCTCATGCCTAATGGACCGTTGCTGCTTGAGGTAGTCTGCCAACTCACGTTCCAAGCGGGAGTAGCTGTGAATCGTCGAGTCGATAGAGGTTGGGTCTTTGGACCGGACCGTCGCGTGCTGGACGTCTTCGCTTCGCGGCAAGTTGGCCCGACGCCTAAAGGGTTCCAGCCATTCGGTAGACGAAGTAATCAAGCGTAGGAGCCAGTTGGCAATCGTCTCAGACGGGTGGGTGGACACTTCTTCCACTCTACCAACAATCTTACATGCTTCTTCCTGAAGCTCGTTGTCCATAGCTGTTAGCCCCAACAGCCGCTTCGCAGTCACGAAGGAATGCAGCTGTCTTTCCATGGGGCATTCTTCGAATAAATTGTCCTTGCCATTAATTTTCAACGAAGCAAGCCTGCTTTCGGCGGCACCACGTAAAGGACCAAACCTTGCCTTCTGAGAGATGTTCTCGTTGGACATGATGAGATCGCGAAGCCACGAGCTCTGTGTCGCAATACCTTGCAGGGACAACAATTCCGACGCGAAAATGATACGACATCCTTCCAGCCGCATGTAATCGTCGGTCGGTGCGCCGTGATGATGCTCCCAGTGATTGGCGCCAAAGTAGGCCAGTTCCAGTTTGATCAGCTCGTAGGCGTTGCGCGGCGATTCTGGCGGAGAGCTAGAAGCTACGTATGGCAGGGGAGATACGCGCTCATAATGAATCAGATCTATTTCTCAAAGGTTAGACGCAGGTAATTGATCTACAGGATACTGCAAAGGCCTCATACACGGGGGAATAGAGTTCTCAACCATGTCGAGAACAGGCACGTCGAAGCCCCAGTCACCCTTCCAGTCGGCCATGGAGTAGCCAGTTTTGAAGTGTTCTGCCAAGTGGTCAACTCGGATGGTCCATGTATCCATCACGATGCCGCAGAAACCGCACCGAGACCGAATCTCGGGCGTTGCCACCTTCCACTGCTTCATTATCCAGTCCATAAACTTGACGTTGTGTACCAACCGCAAATGTTGGTTCAGATGATCTTTGCGATAAAACGTTCGTTCCTCAAGCGTTCTTTCTTGGCATGCTGTGTGATTGTGAGCTTCGATATGGGCATCATCTGGATTCCCAAGCCCACAAAAGACGCAGGAAAGGACGCCAGATTCCGGGTTGACTACACGAGGGCCATCCGGGGCGCACACCCAGCGCTCCAAAGACAAGTGCAGGGACTTCTCATGCCTTTGCCAGTCATGCTTTGTTCTGAATGTTTCAGTACAGAAAGTGCATTGGAAAGTCCTGAGTGGAACTGCCAAACTATTTGCACCGTCATTGGTTGTCTTGGGGGTTGCACGTCTGCGTCGTCTCCAGCGTCCACGGGCACTGAATGGGGCAGAACCAAAGGATCCCCAAGAGTTGCGTGACCCATGAGAATATGCAGAGCCTCTAGATCCATTGCTGGAATGCGATGTGCCCAAGCTGCTGGTCGATGACTGGTTGCAAAGTGACCGGCTGGAGCCGTCATCGGTGAAATTGAAACTATACGGGCTGTTGAGACCGGACGACAAGGCAGATGACGAGGAGGCCGTGACAGCCCTTGCAATGGCGGTGACGGACGCCGGTTCGTGTTCAGGGGGTGAATGCTCCCAACGTTGTAAAGGATTCATAGCTTCCAGTGCCGGCGTCCCACGTCTTTGAGGGATTTCAATAGATGCCGCCCAGTTTCCAACACGCGGTGAGGTTGAACGAGGCGGCTGCACTTTGCCTCGTCGCCGGGCATTGGCCAGCCAGTTAGTTATCTGAGTCTTATTCAAACCCGTCTGACGTTGCAGCGCTTCCTTCTCCTCGTCGCTTGGGTATGGGTGTCGGTGGTGAGTCGACAGCCAATTTTTTAGGATTCTCACAGATTCCCTGGAAAACCGAGCACCAATCTTAGGGGGTGGTCCAGGTCGGGAAGCGCCAGGATTACCGCTCTCAGCAGCTGGGGTAGCCGACCTGTTGTTGAAGAAGTCCAACATTGATGAGGGAAGTGAGCCAGGCTGGGCCACATCGGGGAATGGTTCTTGATTCGTGATGGTATTGGGGTGATTGCCCGCGATGGGCCATGGGTCAGCCGGGAAAACGCTGGCAGGAGGGTCGATGTCAACGGAATCACACATTGCTCCTCCAAAGCTGCACTCAACCCGAAGAGCAACACAGCTTGTACAGTAGCCCTTGTAACAACCCTCCTGGATCTTTTTGCAGGCAAAGCCTCCCGAGGCACAGTGCGCACAAGGATTTGTAACGTGCTCAGCAAAGTCTAGAGCAGCGGTGCCGTCCATGGGCAGGTCAGCAAGACCGGCAGTGTCTTCCAGAGGATTGGGACTTTGTGAAAAATGCTGTAAGGCATGGAAGCTGAAGTCATGCTCATTCACATTAGCCCAGACGAGGCCAATGTTGTCTGCATCCAGGTTGTTGTCCATGCCAGTAAGGGATTTAGAGATTCCTTCTGTGTCCACACAAGCACCGGCCTTATCCCAATCGACGAACTCGTCCATGTCATCAACAAAAGACATGATGTGCCAGCAAAATGTCAATAAAGAATGGGTCTCAAAGCAGTAGACACAAAAGGGCACGAAGTACCCCGTGCCCCGCGCGGAAGGCCTCAAGGAACCGTGAATGTCTCATTCGTCAAGGAAACGAGTGCCTGGGTGAAGGGGCGAGGGCGCAGGAACTGGTAAATGGCTGAGAGAGGATACCGGCTGGCTTTTGAAGGCGGCTTGACGATGCGAAGAATCAGTATATGACGGCAATTGCTCTAGGCGGTTGAAAGACTGGAGAATGCTCAAGCAGCGGCTGCTAGTGAAGATGCCAGGCAACAAGCTGTCGTTTCAAATCTAGAGTAACAAAGAGACCATACCCGTTCCAACGAGCGATCAATTGATGGTTATTATAAGATGCAGCAAGAAGGATGGAATGGTAAAGTGGATGGGGCCTGCCTCGGTTTTGTTCAACAGGCGGGCCGGATAAATTGGGAAGGATGGACCAACAAGATGTTCTGTCGAGGCCGGCAGGCGCAACTGCGTCCCATCGGCTGGGGAAGGCGCCGAAAAGCGGCGGCAACGGAAACGCTTTGAACCTTTCAACTCCCGGATCGACAGATCGCTGACGGCTAGACGCTTAGCACGTTGCGAAGCGAAGAAAGGAGAGAAGAGTCATAAGATGCTGCCGCAGATCGGTCGACACGCCCGGAATGAGACCGCCCGGCCTTGAGCCGCCGCTCCGGCCATCGCTCGTGGGGCCAAGGCGCTCGTCTTCGAAACGGGCGCAGGCGGCTATCGCAGGGATGCGAGTTCACGGAATCGCTTGGATTGGCCAACCATGGTCACAAATGTCAATGTGCGCCCTTCGATTGACAGCTACTAAGTGTTACCGTCGTATTTCCCCACACGCGTCCTCGTGGCCTTCCGCTTTTTTGCCTCACTCCTTCTCACACCAACAGCGAGGTCCACCAAGTTGCGCGCCATGGGCATCTCCATCTCGGATATGACTAGGGAATCAAGGAGCAGACTCCACGCGGAGTTAAAGGCTTGCCAGTCGATGCTTCACCCCCCTTGGTGCGGCATGCCGCCATGGCTTCAAGCTGGCAGGGGCCCACTGGCTCAGCCTTCTCACCGTAAGATTGCATGCAGCCTGATATGTTACTGCTACCCAGTATGAGGCCGGTTATAATCGTTTCTCCTTGCTCCTTACAAGAAGAACGTTCAAGTAATCCTCAACGCCAAAGGTGATGTTCGTCATTGTCGTTCTTAGCCGTCACGGCGCATTTGCGCACTGAAACCGGCCCGTCAAGACACCCATGAACTGCAGTCTACAGGCTTCTTCGGTGTTCAGTTCTCGGGGCCGGAGTCGCAACTCTAACCTCAATGCATATTGAGTATGCTTTAGGACAGTGTGTTGCAGTGTGTTGCTGCTTGTGGCTGCCCACGGCTCCCGCCGGTGAGTTCGACTCGGGCCCGCAGGGGATACAGACCAAATGAGAAGACGCCTAGAATCATAATACGCGTCAGGTTGTAGTTATGATGCGGCCTTTTCCCGGTCACTCTTCTTCGCACATTTAGCCATCCACACTCAACGGTGGGCGTACCAGCTAACAAAGTTTCTCCGACGCCTCTGGAAGGTTCCAGAAGTTAGCGTAGCGTGTTGAGTTGTAAGACTTTTGGAGCTACTGATTCTTATCACTTGCCGAAAGCACCCATTCACCACGAACTCCGACACCGGCTTGGGCTGCGAGTTACCATCACCGGAACAGAACCGCGGTCTCGCTCGTAGAGCTTCTCCCTTAATGGTGTATTCGCCGAGGTAGGTGAGATCTGCCGAGTATTGGACTCTGCGGTTTCCTAGTCCACGTGTCCAGCAGAATGAAGATGATTACTGGATGGAACTCGTATTGCCCTCGTCACTGATGCAACTCCGGTCGTAGCGTCGATAACGCGGGACAAGTCCCTCAAGGTCCTGTAAGCCTGGAAAATGTTCAATTTAACAGTCAAAGTGACCAAAGGATATCGTCATTGACGCTTTGTCAGCACGTCCCGAGCTTTAACCCGCCTTATAACTCTCACTCTTCACAAAACCCCCCTTCTCATGCAACATGTCCAAGGCATTAGGCATTAGTTGTTTCACAATTCCATCAGTTCCCGCTCTTTGGCGGCGAGCATTTTTCTCATCTGATCTGCTTCTCTCTGAAGAGCTAATCGTCGCTCTGCCTTGGAGCGTCCGTTCTCGATTTTGTCCACATAGCCCTGTCCATCGTTTCGTACCCCTGCACCAGGGGACACGTCCTTGATATGTGGGCTCAGCAGTCCTCCGGTAGATCGGAGTGGCGGAAGGGTGTAATCGTCCATATCAGCGCTGCCGGACCGATTCATCGCCCCACTGACTGTCGGGTTCAGGATAGATTTGATGGAAGAGATTCGTTTGACACTGTCTGGAGCAGGATCCGCGTTATTGCCCGCCTCGGTATCCGTTGTCGAAAACGAACGCTTTCTCCGCGGAGAGAGGAAAGCGGCCGGAGACATGGATGACTGGCGCTCAGAAACGGCAGTCATGGATGACATAGGCGGCAGGCGATTATCTTCATTGGCATGGCTGGATGCGCTTTGTGGATATCCGCTCCCTTGGCGATATGCAGAGAGATCCGATGTTGACGGCAATGGAGAAGCCTGACCGCTAGATCTCATTACGGCTGGCTGGGGTTCAATAGTCAAAGGATATTCTGGGCGACGTCGGCTTCCAAGATTTATTGACCCATCTTCGTTTTCAGTTCCTCGCTCTGGAGTAACTTCCGTCTTATGTGCCTCAGGTGACTCGGCCGCATCCTCCATATCTCCATCCTGCGTTGCAGGTATCACTCGTTTTCGTCGTTTAATTGTGGCTTTCTTCATTGTTACTGGCCGATGTACGCCATGGAGCTTATAGTATAGGCCTGTACTTCACATCAGCATCCAACCATTGTAGGGCCTCATACCAAACGCTACAGAGAGGATGAATTCAAAAGTCTAGTGGCACCTACCACAAGCATTGCAAATAGTATGCCCGCTTTCATCTCTTCTCCATAAAGGTGTAATAGTAGTCCCGCAATTTTGACAGGCAATAACCATGGATGCGTCTTGACTTTGTGTTTGTATGGCGTTTACGTCGATAGGAACAGGCTCTGAATTGGACGAGTCGGCTCTGCTTGCGCAGCCTCCTTTGGATCTTTGCATCATGTTGAGCTGGGCCGTTTTTGACACCCGGTTGTTGAAGGCTGGGCATCCGTTACAACCCTCAGCACCTCCGGTTCCATTGCATCGTCCACCACCGGGACAAGTGCCGGTAGGCATTTGTTCTGCAGATAGATAATTTCCAGAATTCAAACTCGAGTCTGGCTTGTACCCGGAAGATGTCGGCTTCGGAGGCGTAGAGCGAGAAGATCCAGAGGAAACAACATTCGGTGGTTTCTTGAGGCTTGTCGGCCTAGCTGTATTCCTTGCTTTTTGATAGAGGCCACATGCATTGCATATCGTAGCTCCCTGAGGGGATCTCCTCCACAGCGGTGTTCGGGTTGTTCCACAGTTGCTACACCAGTCAGTCGCATACCTCATAGTTATTTCCTCACAAAAACGGCAATACGAACCTGCAAACTTGTCCACCGTGACCAGGAAGATTTCCGCCAAATGATTTGACCTTTGTATTTGGTTCTCCGGCGGTTTGGACGGGGCTGGGTCCTCGCGACGACTTCCCGCCATCGTCGGATGGGCTGGTCCTCACACCAGGGGAGGCACTGCCATCATGTCGCTGCCGCACACGACTATCCTGGCCAGCCGACTGACGTTGCGAGGGCGAGTCGCGATGCTTGGAGGACATGGGCCTCGAAGGCAGCGCTGTCCTCATGGAGGCTGTTTCGCGGTGGTGGCGCGAAGGTGGCACCGTTTGTAGCTCACTCATCAGCATTCAGATGCAGTAGCAGCAAGAAGCCAGGCTCGAGCGGCGTGTGATGCTGTCTCCGTGCGGTGTCGGGGTTTAAGAGGGCGGCAGCGCAGTTGCGATTAGATAAGATGTAAGCGTCGGCGCCTCGGGATGTGACAGTTGGCAATCGACGAGAATCTCTCCGGTTTCAAAAGGGCTGGTGGACAATTGCCAGGTCAGTCGTGTGCAAGACGTTCGGTTCTCAAATGACACAAACGTAATGGAAATAACGCGAAGGGAAGGCAGGAAATGAGAGCCAGACGTCGACCTGGCCCGGGCAGGGTACTTCGAGAAAACGAGGCCATGAAAGTGTGCCTGTCGTCCGGGGGCGAATCGGGTGTGCCGAGTGCCGGCCGCGCCAAACGTGGTTGGCTGACGCAACAGGTGAGACGACAGGAGCAGGTGACTTGTGGCAAGGCGAGAACAAGTCCAGACGTCGTCAGATTCCTGCCTGACTGTCGGCGACTCCAGGGGCAACCGCGGAGGAAATATAACAAGGAAGGCGGCAAACGGAAGCTTCAGACATGCACCTGCCGCCGGCCCTAGCCCAGCATTGGTGACGCCGCAAGGAAGGGAAGGAGGGGCCAGCGCATGTTGTGAGTTTGGCAAGTGCAGGGGCCGGACGGGCAAATATAGCACATGGCATGGCAGATGAGGGAGACGGGCAAATCAGTGAATGGCAAAATACCAAACGACGACAGAAAGGCAACGACAGGGTCCCAACGGCACGGAAGTGAGGTGGCAGAAACTCGTCCAATGGGACGGGAGAGCACTAACTAACCTACCTGGAGTGCCTGCGCAGGGCGAGGCGACGACGGCGACTGAACAGACGGACGGATGGATGAGTAAACGAATGCATGCGAGATAGGGGATATGGAGGCGACGCGGATGGCCTGACTGCCCTCGGAGCGGTCTGCAAAATAACCGATACGGAAACCGGAGTACGGGGTACCCGGGTCTTGACTCTTGAGAGGCATGCAACCCCAGGGGCCCTGTTTGCATAAGGGGCTTGTCGGAGAAACGCAGAGGCGTGTGTGTGGGACGATATGGTGACAGAGCAAAACCAGATCCACGCCGTCAGCACTCGAGATATTTCTTGTCCTACCAGACCTACCAGACCTACCAGACCTGCAGGAGTTTTGGACGCAGCTGGGACGCCCAGGCGCAGCGTCACTCCAAGCCTCCTCCGTCTGACAAGTTCTTTGCGGGGGACTCTGGATTACATTGTCCGCTGTCCCATTGGCCAGAACCCTGTGCCCCATTGGGAAGGCTAAGCCAGCCTTGAGCTGGGCCCAAGTGGAAGCCCTGCCATTGGCCAGCTACTGGGCTCCGTCCCAGGCCAAGTCTTGGCTCTTGGCCAAGTTCCTCCGCAGATAAACAGACACCGTCGGAGGACCATCCTGTTATCTTATCGTCCCTATCAATCTCATCTCCCGGCAGCCGACCCTAGACAACTTGTGCGGCCAGCGGCAAACCATCTCCGAGGTACGTAGTACCACTACTGGCAAGCCGTCGTCACACGCGCCCGCAACGCACAAACGCACATCTCGCCCAGCGCGTTTCGTGGAACAGTCCGGTGGCACTGCAGTGCTGAGACCGCTGATAAGATTTGGATCCGTCCCTGCCCAAACCGCCATCTCGGTCGAAGCGCATCTCACTGGCCTAGTTCTTCACGATCCGCTGCATTGGGCCGACTCAGCACTTGATCGCTCATGGCTGCTGAAACCGGAGCCTCCACGGGCGCTGAGAGCCCCAAACGAGAGCCAACTTCTCCGACGTCCCTCGGCTCAATCCCTCAGAAACGCCTCTTTGAGGATGATCACAGCCCCGCCGTTCCCTCACCTCTCAACCCAGACGCCAGCGTCTCCGAGCTGCCTCTCCATGACGACGCGTCACAGTCCAAGAGCTCCAAACCTGCGAGAGCGAAGAAGGATAGCTTAAAGAAGCGAGAGACCAAAGGAGGCGGCCGTGACAGCTCTCCCGCGACGCCAGACCACAGATCTGTCAAGGAGCAGAATAATGTCGACTCTCCCCTACGCTACAAGCTGGCTCCACCAAAGCCGTCCGACTTTGAGCCTCCCCGCGGCCCCGTCATGACACCGCACCACGAGATAGATGGCGTGGGAGGACGGGTAGAATTCTTCGAAACCTCTGACCAGTAAGACTCGATCCGCCCAACACCACCGTCGACCCCGATAACGACGTAGGTCATGCTCACCGGTGCTACCAGTGTCTTCAACAAGAAGAACTTCCGCTACACCCATTGCATCGCCGACCCCCTCTTCCCTTCCACCCTGTACTACCGACAGACCGAAGCCGAGCCGTTCGGACCGCGCATGAGCTACGAAGATGCCGCCACGAGTGTGTTTTTCGACAAGTCAGGACGAGGCGTCACGACCGACAAGGGGTTTCGGATGGCTCGCGCCAACGTCGCCGTCAGAGAAGGGCGATGGTACTGGGAATGCAAAGTCACCCAGGGGGTACGAGAGGCCGCGGAGCCCGGCGAGAAACCCGAGGGCGGGAAACACGTCCGCATGGGCTGGGCCAGACGCGAGGCGTCACTCGACGCGCCAGTCGGATTCGACGCATACAGCTACGGCATCCGCGACGTCGCAGGGGAAAAGGTCTTCATGTCGCGGCCAAAGCCCTTCTTCCCCGCCGGCGACGGCATCCGCGAGGGCGACGTCATCGGCCTCGAGATCCAGCTACCATCGGAGAACATGCAGCGAAAGATCATGTCCAGCACGTACAACCCGGCCATCGATGTCGCCGACGACGAGCGCCCTCCCGGCGCAGAGGCGCCCAACATCGTCCGAGACAGGGTGCCCATCCGCTTCAAGGCCCACACGTACTTTGAAAAGATCGAGTACCACACGACTAAAGAATTGGAAGATTTGATGAACCCGTCGTCAATCGGGTCCAGCTCGTCGTCGGGAACCCCCCATCCCCTGCACCCGACCCCGGCGCTCCGAAGCCTCCCCAACTCATGCATCAAAATATACAAGAACGGCCAGCTCGTCGGCACCGCGTTCGAAAACCTCCTCGGCTTCCTGCCCCCGGCGTCGAAACCCCAACCGCAGGTCGGTGCCCGAGAGGGCCTCGACGACGGCATGCTGGGCTACTACCCGGCAGTGAGCGTCTTTCGCGGCGGCGCAGCACAAGTCAACTTTGGCCCCGACTTTTGGTACCCTCCTCCAGGCTTTGAGGCTGCTCCGTCCGGCGGGGAGGACACGCCACAATCGAGATGCAGGAGGCTCCGTGCCGTCAGCGAGCGATACAGGGAGCAGATTGCAGAGGATATAGTGTACGACATCATCGACGAGGTGGACTTTTGGATGCAAGATGGCGGCGGGGCGACAGACACGACGGGGGTCCAGGACAAGAGCGAGGCCGTGGCCGCTGCGCCTGGGACCGAAGAGATTAAGGAGCTGGTGCAGGACGATTGATGATGATTACTTGCGTACACGTTGGGTTCTTTGAAAATCCGTACAGTGAAGCGAAAAATATGACAAGATACCCATTCTATTCAAACTTGCTGACTGCTTTCCGTGCCGGTGTAAGAAGCGTTCGTAAACAAATAGCAAAAAGAGCAAAACACCGTCGCCATCCGATCCTCTTTTCTCCCCTCTTCCATCAAGCGTTTCCTCATCCTGCGTCAATCTAGTACATATCTCTCCCTACGCAATTGGTCCGTCATGGAATGGTTTCCCCTCCACGAGCGTCAACCACGTCGTGTCCATCTCGGGGCGTAGACCCCGGCCCCGGCGCCTCGGGAGCCGGCAGCGCAGGATCATCAGCCAACTCTTCTATGCGGGCGCTCCCGTCGGCGACGCGCTCACCTTCCAGGCGGACCTCGCGGCCGCGCTTGTGGCAGTACCAGAGCACAAAGAGGAGAACTACACGTCGTCAGCTTAGCACTTCGAAGGATGGGGCAAAGGACGAGTTTTATTTTCTAGGGGCCGCCAAATTACAAAGCAAAAAGGTGTCGAGCAGAAGGTTCAGGGGATTTCCGACTCACGGGATAACGCAACCCCCCACATGACGTTCATGCCGATAAAGGCGGGCCACCTCGTCCTGAGGACGCTGACAATGGCCCTCAGCATGCCGACGACAGCGCCGGGCTTGGTGACGAGCTGCGACAGGTTAGCGGGCACAAACATGCTCTTGGCGGCGCCCTTGAGTCCAGCGCTGCCGTCGGCCTTGATGCCCTGGCTCGCGGCGGCGGCGGCCAGCAGCTCCGGCCCCAGCGAGGAGGTGATCTTGTCCGGGAGCTGGGTGACGAGCTTTTTGAACGAGTTGGGGAGCTTGTCGAAGCCCTTTGCTAGCGAGCCGTCCTTGTCCTCGACAATCTTCATCAGGTCGTCGTAGGCGGTGGGCACGCCATTGACGAGGTCTTTGAAGACGTTGGTGAAGGACTGTAGAGCGGCCGAGGAGTCGGTCGACACGATTTTGTTATTCTTGACCGAGAGGTTGAGTCGGTCGAGGACCTTGGAGAGGTCCGTCTTCTCTTTTTCTTGCTCGGCGGCCGAGGTGATGGGCAGGGGCTCGAGGGCGTCTCCTTTGGGCTTGGAGCGCGTGAAGAGCGCTGAGATGCGATCCGGCTTCCAGCGCTTCTTGCTCTTGTCATGGAGCTCGTCACTGTCGGCCGGCTTGTCGGACGGCGGTGCTTGTTGGCTTGCGGACGGCGTGGCATCGTCCGAGTCGGAGGGCCAGTCTAGGTCTCGCGAGTATAGGCGCGGCGGCAGGGGCGGCGCGGGGATGTCATCGTTGGCGAGCAGCTCCTCGAGAAAGCTCTCGTCGTCGGGTCGAATGACTGTCTCTTGGGCGTCGTGGTCATGGCCATGTGCGCGAGTCTTGTTGTGGCCGCTCTTGAGGGCGCTGGCGTCTGTTCGTCTGCCATCTTCCGCCTCCCGTCTGGCTTCGTCTTTGGCAGCCTGCTCGGCTCTATGCTTCTTGACCTTTTTGTAGGTGAAGTATTCCAGCATTGTGACTGGTCAGAAGGTGTTGGTTGACCTTGGTTCCCGGGGGTGTGGTGGTGCCTGTTGGATGCAGAACGTCCGTTGGCCGTGGCTCTGCCGTGTCGGTGGCTGTTGAATAAATAACTTACTTAGGTCCCCCCGACGGCCATGGCTGCCGGCATGTCAATAGAGTTTGAAACCCTTGTCCTTGTGCTTTCGCTTTACATGTGGAAACTGGACACTTGGAAGCGTCCTGACTCCTCGAGCGTTGGCTGGGCGGGTGGGCGGGCGGCCGCTTTTGCACCGCCACATCACACTTGATGATGTCATGAGCCGCCACCATCCGAAGGCTCAGCCGCCCAGATGTCACATAAAGATGATCTGGAAATACGCCGTGATGAGTGCCCAAGTCTCGAAAAGGCATCTTTTCGCCAACTTTATTAATATCACACGTTGCCGCGTCGATAAGAGCCCGTGGTACCCTGTATCCATACAAATGACTGCCTCGCCTCCCTAGCTCCAACACGTCACGTCTCATCGACCTCATCTTGCTCGTTCTCGTCCTCCACATCATCCTCCATGCCCTCTTGTTGGATAACATCGTCGGCCAACGTGCTTCTCCTCCCGGCACTCCTTCTCCTGCCCCTCTGGTACGCCTCCGTCATGGTCACCGCCCTTTCACCAGTATACCGATCCCCCGTCCACTCCTTGTGACACTTGGGACAATCCTGGGATCGCTGAGCCCGCCACAACGCATCTTGGCACGCATCGTGCAGTCTTAAGGTGCAGTCGGGCGCGGCACACCGCAGCCCTATGGTGACGATATCCTTGCACGCCTCGCAAAACTTGATGCGCTGCCACTCATCTGCCTCGGCATCGGCATCGTTATACGTCTCTACCAGCCACGGACGCAGCTCCAGCAGAGTTCGTGGACTTACTGCGTAGAATCCCTCCTGGCTCTTCTCAAACCACCCTCCCTCAACGAGGCTCCTCATGACCGCTTCCACTTCACTGTGTTTGAGGCCCTTGTCTGCCGTAGGTGGTTGCGTCTCCGTCGAGTCCTCCGGACTCATGTGGCTTTGCCGCCGGCGGGGTGGTCTGGCGAATTTGATGGCCTGCATTTCCGTCACAGCCAACACCTCCATCCGCGGCGTGTTGTACTTGTCAAACATGCCGTCGAGAACACGTTTGATGAAGGCTAACTCTTCGGGGCTGTAGGTGGTGGCCAGTTGTGTCTGGGGGTCGGACTGAGTGTTGACGAGTGCGTAGACCCGTTGCTTGGTGACTTGGTGAATGATGCTGCGCACTTGATAGTCAAAGAGGGAGGCGGCGTCAGATGCTACATCAATGTATCTCTTGAATTCATCTTGGGTGATTTGCTCTGGCCTGGTGACTGATTCATGGATGCCGTCGGCGTTGAATATGGCCGCCAGGATCGGCTGTGCTTGTTCGAACGTGAGGGTGCTGTGAGTAAGCAGAGCTTGGAGGAATGCTCGGTGGCTGTCGTCGTAGTCTGAGCCCAGGATCGACTCCATGGCGAGTCGACGTCTCGTGCGGGAGCGCTGGTCACTCAACAGCCGCCGTCATTTCATCGAACGCGTATTAGATGTGTGATTGATGAGCGCTCCGCGTAACGCGTCTGATGGAGCTGCAGTGGAACATTGAGCGCGACGAGGCGTTGAATTTAATTTGATGTGGCCGTGCGGGCCTCTGCAGGCCGAGGACTGCGTATTCTGAGGTACCGAGTACATGCCTGTCCTCGAATTGCCTCCCGACTGCACACGTCTCAGCAACTCGTTCATTCGTTGGCCCAGGCCAAAGGCTTTGCATGCACAGAAGGAGAAGCAGTGCCCCAGCTTCAACATGTCGTACCTCCACTACAACGAAATACAGAGACGTGAGATACAGACACCAACTTGGGACGAATAACTAGTTACATGTGTATCTATGCAGAGCCAGAAAACAAAAGTGAATAATCAAAAATCACTGAAACGGCTGGAACAGACAGGGCTACATCCACGTGCTGGATCCGCTCTAGGGTAGCCAAATGCTTGCTGACTCATCACGGCCGACAACATTGAACAAGCCACCACACACCGACGGCGGCGTGTGCACTATTGATTGATATCTCATGCCATCATAGTATTGTCCCAGCGACATTGAATGCCTGCAATTTCGTTTCTGTCCTCGAAACAGACGGAACTTACATCCAATTGATTCATCCCACTGCCCCAACTCGACCTTTAGCACTGTCGAGGATAGCCCATCTTCCTCCTCCCTTCGAACCTCACCTCGCTCCCACCCTCGCGAGTTGATGCATCGAAGCAGTCGCCACTCCTTTGGAGGCGGGCCGAGGGTGTCGCCACAATAAACGGGGCTCAAGTAAAGACTTTGGGGTCTCCAAGGGTCGGGGGCACATTTCGACGATAGAGATACCAAGGATATCCCCCCCGTCCACAAACTTGCGGCCATGGCAGCAGACACAAAAGAATTTGATGTCATCCGCATCGCTCGCAGCGACGGAGCTGACACAGGCCCGGGCTACTGGCCCTCTACGAACACAGCTCCTAAAAAGACGGGCAAGGATGCAGTGGTGACGGCAGCTGAAAAGACGCCCCGTGTGAAACCACAGATGACACGGCTGGCAGATGATGATCCGCGGTTCATCGAATGGCGGATCAAGCTGGGAATCCTACTCAAGCAAGAACTCTCGCCAAATCCTGACGGTGCGCAATACCTGCCCTTCACTTCAGCCTCGGACGAGGAAAGCTAACCAGCGCCGTAGAGGGAAACCCGTGGTACGTGCAATTTCCCCGGGGATACTGGCTGTATGAAAAGTCCAAACATCTCTGGGTGTCCGGATATCCCTTCAAATCCAAGCTCTACAAGAGTCCGCAGGAATTCGGTGTCCACCTTATCTGGCTACTCTCTGCGTCCAAGGACTACAATGACTGCTGCTGCATACACTGCAATCTCCCCAACCCTGCGAAGCTCGCGGCCTCGGTGGAGGAAACGCTCATCATCACCCCCGGCGAGACGCCCGTCCCAGTGGCAGCAGCTCCCGTGTCTGGCACTGGCCCCAAGTCCTCTTCCCATACAACGATGACGGTTTCTTCTTCAGCTGCCGCACAGAGAGTTACGCCTGTTCCGTTGCCTTCCATTCCTGGACAACCAAAGCAGACTTCTCCCACGACGTCTGCAGCCCCGGCCACCAAAACACCAACACCAAAATCCAATACAACCTCCAAGCTCACGAATCATGCCGCTGTACCTACACATTCTCTCTCAAACTCCAACACGTCACAGCCAACTCCGCAGCAGCAGCAGCAGCAACAACCTTTATCGAAACCACTGCCGCCAGCACCACCAGCACAGCAACAGCAGCAACAGCAGCAACAGCAGCAACAGCAGCAACAGCAGCAACAGCAGCAACAGCAGCAACAGCAGCAACAGCAGCAACAGCAGCAACAGCAGCAACAGCAGCAACAGCAGCAACAGCAGCAACAGCAGCAACAGCAGCAACAGCAGCAACAGCAGCAACAGCAGCAACAGCAGCAACAGCAGCAACAGCAGCAACAGCAGCAACAGCAGCAACAGCAGCAACAGCAGCAACAGCAGCAACAGCAGCAACAGCAGCAGCAGCATCTGCCTCAACCCCCGCAACCTGTTCGCTGGTCTCTGCAGGGCTCGCTCCTCTTCCGCGCTGGCGAAATGACATGGTACCAAAACGGCAACACCTGGCGTCTTGGCATCATCGCCGCGCCCAGTCCCAACCCATCCTCCCCGACATATACCATGCTGCCCCTCGGCCACGCCCTCGTCCCCCAACAACTCGTCACAAAATCGCAGTCGGACCTCCGCCCCTTCTACGCCTTCTCCGTCCCGCCTGTTGCTGTGAAGGAACTCAAAGACAAGGCATTCGACCAGATTCCCTGGGATGCCCTCTTCCACCCCTCGGCCTGCGAACCCCAAAGACGAGAGCTCCTCGCCCTCGACGCCTCCAAGTTAGCCGCCTCTCGCATCGACGCCTCCTACTCCCTCTGGTGCCCCCTCTCCGAAGACCCCAACGCAGACACCCTCCCCTATTACGGCTGCTTCTTCGGCGCCGAGCGGATCGAAATAGGCGACTGCCTGCGCATCAAACCCGTCCCCTCGGAGCCTGCCGTGGGCGAAGCATCCATAATGGGCCTCCGGTACATATTCACCAAGAAGGGGTACCCGGGCGCCGTGTTCTTCCGCGGAAACGTGTACGAACTGGCCAAATCTAGCTCCTCTCCGGCAAACATCGTGTCTGGGGACCAGCTCCCCATCGCCCTGCGGGACGAGACCTCCTGGCGCAATCAGCTCAACCCCGCCAACCTGCGCCGCTGGGTGCTCGTAAAGGAGAGCCTCACGCTAAACGAGCAATTCATCAACGGCCGCTTTTACCCTGCCCATCGACTGAGGCCTATTTTGGATCTGGCAGGCTTCAATGCGGCTCTTGAGCAGAGACGAGTGGATGAACGGGTGCCCAACTTGAATAATCGCACGGACGGAGGCGTCGGTGGTTACATAGGCCGAAAGATGAACAGGATAGACAGTCTGGGTACCTCGGTGCCTCAAGGATCCGTCATATCACTGGAGCCTCTCATCAAGGAGGAGGGGCTACAAGTCCAGGGGTAGAATCCAAAGCGTGTGTCTGCGGATTGGGTTAATCTGATCATTTGTATTGATATATATACAGAGAGTACGCCAATAAAAGGTAAATCACTCCTTGCTTATGCCTTTTATGTACCCAGATCCTACCCCTATTTTCACACCGAGACTTGATGTGTAGAGAGGGGCCAAAAAAAAAAGGCCTGCTGCGTACCCGTTTACCGCGTCTAAACATTCGTCGCCATTTCCATGACATGCTGCGCATAGACTAGTGGAAATACAGTATGAATAAAAACGAGGGACCCATGGCTGCCGGAACAAGGGTTTTGCCCAGGCCATCCAGCCAGTGCGGTTCAGCCGTGTCAAAGGCACGTAACAAGCCCGGTATTAGAATAAGTTGAACAAAGATAAGCCAATGTCGTCATCAAGGTCGTTGCTGTTGTATCAAGCGTGATTATAGATGGAGACTTTTCGCCAGACGATGCGCCCGATTTGACGTCAACATCCTGCATAGTGCTACAGCCTGGATCGTAGCGAAAATGCCATGTCAGGTTGAGTCTTTTGCTCCCAACACAGCCAATTTAGCCTGTAGTCTGCTGAGAACTTCCAGATCCGGAGCAGGCTGCACTTTTCGCGGCAAAGCGCGAGGCGATTCGGCAGACTTTACCAATCCGCACATCGTGCAAGGAGTGCCGTCCTCAGCGCCAACAGGGTATAGCACCTCGCAAGCATTACACTCGAATCGTGCATCAGAAGCTGATCCAAACGCATCGCCGGGATAGCCGAATGGGTACTTGTCCTTCTTGGGCCTTTTGCAAGAATGTCAGCATCCATACATATTTCAAAGGTAACCAAATGAGGCCATAGGGCTTACGGATCCCGTGGGCAATCAGTGCAGCGAATGTGATTGCAGTTCTCGCACTTTCTACTACCAGTAGCGAATAACGTCTGGCATTCATGACACGTCCTCCTCACACGCTGTCGAGGCTTTCTGTGAACCAAATCCTGGCCTCCAGTTTTGCTTGGCCGTTTCAATTCTATTCGCTCGTCGCCCCAGAAATAGTCTGGCACAATTGGGGCGTTTTCCTTGTTGGCATTCGCTTCCGCCTCCAAGTGCTCAAGATCGGCCAACAATTCAGCTTGGGCTTCCTTGGGCGGGTGGCGGGGACATCTCTCGCATCGAACGTGCTGACACATCCTGCATTCATTCCCAGTTGTGAAGGCCGTGTTGCACCGGTGGCAGGTGCGCCGCACGCGCATTCGGATAGGTTTGTCTACCCGTAGAACCGTTTCGTCCGGATACGGGATTGATAAGTCGGATGATTCAATCACCAGACCGAACTTTTCGCCCAGCTTCCTCGCACGCTCCTCCAAAATTTTGAGTTTGAGTACCGCGGAGACAGGCGCTGATTCTTGCTTTGTGTCTGACCGGCTGTCTGCCCGTGGAGAAGATGGCCTTTGTGTGTCCGATGCGGCAGCTTCCCGTTTATCCGACTTGAGTGCGTTCTTAATCTTGGACACAACTCTCCCAACTCCCTTGCCATCCCCATCCTGCCCCGACATTGGAGCCATCTCCGTGCCGGATTCACTCATTGCGGAACGGGAGCCGGCAGTGGAAATGTTGTCATCAGTCAGAAGACTTGCGTTGCTCTGTTCCTAGCTTGACTCATGCAACGAGCTGAAGAGAATGGAACGGTAAAATTTGGCAACGAAGGCAAAGAAACGGTTTGCGCTTATGAGCCTGCCACTTTTTGGGTCCCGGATGTCGGATTTTGGCACATATGAACCAAGCGAAACCGTCGGGCCTGGTATACCTAGGTAGGTACTTAGGTAGTTGTGAAATGCTAAAGGGTCAAGACACAGCGACGCTGAGATTTGTGCCTCTCTTTCCCTCTTTACAGGCGAAAGAGACGCACGGTAGTAAATGACAACAGAAAAAAGTGCCTGGGAAGGGGCCCAGGGGATTAAAGCAGGATTGCGAGAAGGGGACCAAGACGCACGAGGAGGCCGGCGTGTGGAGTGACGATGATTTCCCTGGGAAAGAAAATCCCACCATGGCGGAACGGACGAGGCAGCCAGTTAGCGTACCCCAGTCAATAAACCGGACGTGTGGTCCTGGGAAACAAACGCAACCACGCAGGCTACGGAGTAGAGAACTCTGCATCTGTCTGCAGGAGCTGCATCGATTGCGCCGGTACTATGCATAAAGCGGCAATAGGTGCTGCGGTTGTGGTCCGTGGGGTGGAGTCGGAGCAGGACGACACTCCGTACCGATGAGCAGGTTCCAGTGCATGGGCGACCCAGCTTGCTGGCTGAGCTGACCGGTTGCGTGGCTTTCCCTTTGGACGTGTTGGTCGCTTGATGACGGGCGGCAGCACCACAGTGGCGGAATGGTGGTGGGGAGGAAGAGAGAAAGCGGAGACCAATCTGCTGGAGAGATGAATCTGGAGTCGCTCGACGGAAATCCCAAGCCAAGACGACGGAACCGTGGCGCGGGAGGCTTGCGCTTGCGCTCTTCCCGGGATAGAGACTCGGCAGCTCCTGACTGTCTGAAGGCGATGATGGCATAGGAACCAGCTAGGCGTCTTGTCCAGACGTCCTACGTACTCTGTAGTCTTCTTTGCATCGGACGAGTGCTCGGAACATTTACGCCATCAACGTCGTGCTTCATCTCGCTCTCATCGGCCGCCCTGGAAGAGCAGGGATGCATCCAACCAGAGCATCGGAGACGGACGGACGGTTGTGTGGGCCAGCCGTCTCCTCCGTACAATAGCCTGTCCTTGGGCCCGAGATTCTGGGATTCATCAATGTCTTGTGCCATTGGTACCGTTGGGACGGAGCTACTAATGCAGTGCTCTGCACGGGCAGGCAGACGAGCCTGCTTGTTGGCCTCTGTCAATCGCCCGAGAGAGATGTGCTGGCAACCCACCAGGATCCATCAGGCCACCTGCCCAATTATCCCATCTCACATTGCCCCCAACCTCCTTGGTGGGTGTGTGTGTGTGTGGTGGTGGTTTCTTCCTCCTGGCGAAGTGAAGAGGTGCAGCAACCGACAGGACGGTGCCAATAGCCTTTGCAGGCTCAGCCCGCAGCGGTGCATTGTCAGGATGCCGCAAATCCCCCGGTACACGGCCAACTGTTGTTGCTTCCCTGGACGGCCGAGACAACAAGAGGAGGTGAGGGACGGGCATCGATGCAGGGGGTTTGGTCATGAACGACGCATGGCCAAGCCAACAACAAATCGTGATTCGCGAAGCGATCCGTGAAGCTGCAGAGACACCTGCTGTACTGTGAGTCGCACAGTATGGGGGAGCGAGTCAAAGTACGTACCGTGTTTTGTGCATCATGGTCTTGTTTGCATCGTACAGAATGTACGGCGTACAGAGCAACTGCTCAAGTATGCATAGAATATGGGATGGGTGATTGGAATGCGTGAGAAATGTGCTCGCTGAGGTCTGCTCCGTGATGACAAGTCTCCGTAATAAGTGGCTGAGCTGGCGGCGTTGGCGGTTACTTGGGATGACGCCGCCAGAAGCCATCAGAAGGAAGGAGGGACCCGGCTCCCGGCTGCTTCGTGCGCACCTCCGCGCAGTACGCACCAGGTACGAAGAACTCTGCCGAGTCTGCTCCATTCGAGCGCCAAGTGTAGTATTCTGCTACAGATGCGGAAGGAGCCACCCATGTGGGAGTTCGCTGCCTGGTCCTTCGCATCATACGGAGTACCAACACCTCGAACTCCAAGTAAGTACGGAACTCGTTGAAAATACCATCACCTCGCGCATCGCTTGCTGTTGGCTGCACCCCAGCGAAGCTAACGCTGACTGTGACATCAGAGGGCTCGTATGCCCAGGCCGCCTTGTGATCGAGTGGTTGGCTTTTCAAACAAACCAGCCGCTGGCCTAGGTGCCGGAACGAAAGCCGCTAAATCGAGAACAATATGTAAGTAGATCAATAACGGAGTACAAAAATAGGTCCAAACCACCACGCGACGCTGATCGCCAAAATCTGATGTATCATTTCTCACCAACAGCGTCATACAGTCAGTACGTATATTGCACACTCCTCCTGCAATGTGGCCGCATTGCCTTGATTGCAGTGGCATGGTGTGACACGGTTGGCATTAATACGGCGAGACATTCACAGTTACTACGTAGCTTCAACAGGCCCCAACCGTCTGTCTGGACCTTGTCATGACGGAACGTATTGCGGGCGCGCCTCTCAAGATGGGCCAACTCGACGGCCGCTTAGGTGCCTTTGGTGCAGGTGTCAGGACTTGTCCGGCGATACGGAGTATGGACGGTATGCCTTTTCCAACGGCGGTTCCGCTCACGGAGGAGGGAAAATAAGTCGCGCCACAGTGCTTGGGGGCGGTTTCAACTACTAGTACCATTATTATGGAAGGGCTACCACGTCATGTCCCCAGCAGTAGCCCAAGACATTTGACTCGACGATTGTCTTGATGGTACGGAGTGGACGGGCCTCACTTGGAAAGAAATCGGGCCTCATTGCTGCGCAAGCAATGTACGCTTGGGCCATTTCCCTTAACGGCACGGTTGTTGATTTATTTAAACAAACATTTGGAGTATTCCGCGGTCCTCGCTGGCACATAATCACTGCAATGATTTGGGACGGACCAAAAACTTGCTGGCCCGTCCCATTTTGCCTCGAACCGTCGGGCTTGTTCGGACAGGCTCAAGATAATGCACGAAAACAGTTCCCAAACGAAAGAAAAAGCTGTCCTGCACCTGAAAATTCACGTCGGCAAAGGTCATAGAGCTTCCGCATCAAAAGCCCAAAGTGGCATACGAGGAGAGTGCCACAATCGACAAGTCGTCGCCAACGGACTAAGGCGTAGGCCTTGAAGCAGATGGCACACGCTTTGGCGTCCAAGGCATCCTCAACTGCCGGACTCTCGCAATTTTTCCCTCCTTCTGCCCGCAGCCCGTGTTGTCACAGTCACGTGGGCATCAGTTTTTCTTTTGTTGCTCTCGGCGTCGCATGTGTTATCCTCGTTTGCCAGCAACGCACAAGAAGCAAATGCAACCCAACGGCCCTGTGCTCACCAACAACCACATGCATGGTCCATCCAGCAAAAGGAACGGGAGAACCAGTTACCATCTCTGACCAGAAACCCGGAACATGGGTCCATTCCCTAAACGCGCCAGCCAGGTCCGGCGCAGAGTTTGCAGAGCAGAACAAGCCTACCTACCGGATTGCGGCGACTCCATCTCAAGGAATTCTTTATGACGACCCTTAAGGTATAAAGAACGAAGAAGGTCTTCTCCCCTCTGTCTTCTGAGATGAAGAAACAGTCATTTACAACCTCAACCTGCTCGCTGAAATGTAGCCGCCAACACGACATAGGCTTTTATTACTATAAGCCACTCATACATACATATGTTTGACAAAATGCCCGGTCGTCCCAAGTAGACGGTTCTTGTCCAGGGCACCAGGCACTGCTTAGGTCTGGAGCTACCACCGATTGGCGACATGACCTGCACTCACACCGCTCGAGGGCCCCCCTTGGGCCCCCAATGTCTTAGTCACTCGAGCGTCGGTGCTGAAGGCTTCACCGGTGTGGTCCGTTTCTGAGGGCCGTGTCGGCAAAAGGTGAGACAAGACAAGGGCTGAAGCTTGGCGAAGAGATGAAAGTACGTAGTAAATATCTTTGGTGGGCAAGTAACCTATCTCCGGAACGACGCCTTGTTGGCAATGGGAAGCTGGCTTTCTGGAAGGTCTGGCATTTCCGCCCTCAGCGCGAGGATGGTCCAATTGGGCTTTTGATAGTTGGTCGCTGACGAGGTAGGCAGGGAAGGAATAGACCAAGAACTAAGAGCCTTGAGCGGCTCAGCAGCACACACTGTTTCATTCGTTGTTGTCTCCCTCCCTGTCGCCGTGACACAATTTTTGCAAGCCATCATCAATCTGACAGCATCAAACGCGTGTTTGGTGCCATGACGAATGATACCGGGCTTCTGGCTACAGGTACAGGCTGCAGCTCAATGCCACATGGCAACAGTTCCTTTAATTGCAGGGGTGCAGGATGCAGGATCATGATACCCTGACCAACTTCGACAGCAGCGAAACACGTACAGAGGTCGAGATGTGCAGGGAGTACCGGCAGGTAAATATGTGAGTTCCGCACAGAGAGGCGGACACCAAGGGGCTGGCTACTCGTGGGGTGCCGGCCGGGGGTAAAATTTCGTTTCTTGTCCAAGTAACATTGCATGGTCCTGGACGGCAAAGCGCCGGGCGTGGGCTATCTGGGCATGGAGAATTGGCGCGGTTGTTGGTGTATTTGCCCCTTTTCGGTATTACGACGGGAAAATAGGCACTTCCAGATACATACAATCCCCAGCCACAGAAGAAGTACTGGTACTCTGCCGTCCATTATTGTGTCGGGGGCAGCCAAAATGGGAATGTTCAGAGTCATACTCCAACGTTCATCTTTTTTCCCACTCGACACAGTCCTCGCCTCTCCCGGCCCATCACATTTGATACCATCGCAATCGTGCCACTCAATTGGTCTTCGTCCGACGAAATTCTTGCAACACCTCAGCCGCTGTCCAATACTTTCGTCCCACGGACTGTGCAGAACATCGTGCACAGCCAAAACACGCGACGCACCTCTCCATCCACCGTTAGCTATATGCAACGAGAGCCATCCGAGTCTTCAGAACAGCTGCACCGGTCTAACAACATCCTGAATTCCTCCTCTTCATCTCAACATGGCTTTCCTCTCCAAGAGCCGGGCGACTTTGGTCAAGTCCGTTACACGGGTCCTAGCGGAGGCTCCCACGACGACTCGCCAAACTCCGCGTCGGGCCTTGGCCGTGAATCTCGCGATGCAGTCGATGCTGACAGGCTCGATGAGAGACTACGTGGATTGATCCTTTGCGGGAAACCTAGCACGACTCGACATCGCCCCATTACTGCTGGTCAGAGAGTTTCTGATCATGAAAATGCCTTCACGCCATCCACTCCGAGGCAAGCCCTAGGATTCAAGGTCATACGACGCTCCGACTCATCTGGTGGGCCTCAAATAACAGATTTTCCAAATGGTCAGTTGGTCTGCTTGAATTCTCGCTCTGGCCTTCCCCTTTCGATTGTGACAGCTATCAGGACAGTTGTCTGCCAGCGTGTTCTTGCGCTAATCTCAACCTGTTGCAGAGATCCTGACGCACATTTTGTCACATCTGCATCCCGATTCCCATGCCGCCGTGGCTTTAGTGTCGAAACGCTTCTATGCGCTGGTGACAACGCCACACGCATGGCGCATGGCCTTCATGCGATACTTTCCAGGGCATACTTGTTTGGATGCAACATTTGGGAGAACCATCGTCAATCCGAGGGATGGGCCGACCTCAGATGTCGTGCGGTCCGACATCCGCTACTTTGGCCGCCTAACCCCTCTTACTACTTGGCGAAGCGAGTATCTGTTCAGAACTCGACTAATGAGGAGCTTGGTACGAGGCAAGCCCGGGAATAGCGCTGGTGGTATTGGTGCTTCCGGGGGAGCAGGAAAATCTTCCAAGCGCAGGAGCGCCGTCCTGACATACAACTCGAAGCTGCCATGGCTGGTGACGAATATCCATGCTGTGTTTTCCAACGGCAAGAAGCCGCCGCGCGCTATCCAGGGAGCTGGCCATCTTGGCGTTGCTACCCTGAGCGATCCGACAAGTGGCAAGGTTGAGAAATGGGGCCTCGAGGATCCCTTCTCCGCTGCTCAGTGGGAAGAAGTCGCCCCAAACACCATTCCCTATGGTCTTGGAGACGGACCTGTCGCTGTCCACAACGTCATGGATGTCAGCCAACCGTATGGTGTCATTGCCGGCGAAGGCTTTCCCGGCGGTCGCGCTCACTTTCGAGGCGTCAATGAATCGTGTGGTCGTTATCTCGGCGGTGAGACTGGAGTTGTCGACGCGTACCCGGATGTACCCAAGATTCCGGAAATGTCGGATTCCATTTGCAGTCTGTGGATTGCAAAGTCGTCCGTCGTTCCAAATACCACGCAATCCATGTGCGGCATGCTCACGGGATCGGCCCTGGGCGTTGTCACTGCTTACTCACTTGGAGGCGACTCCAATGGTCCTAGATACTCCAATGGCGACATGACAGCTCGATGGGTTCTCAGCCCTGGCGTGCCAATCATTTCACTAAAGATTGATGACAATTACACTATGAAGCGGAAGCTGTCTTCCAGAGTCTGGGCCGCAGCCCTCAACGCTCTAGGCGAGGTCTACTATTTGACCCAGAGCCCCATGGCTACACTCGATCGCGGCAGTGGAGACGACGTCATCAGGCATGCATGGCTTGCTGGTAGGACAGCATATTGGCAGCTAATAGAGTCGACCAGGCGGACTGCCCGACCGGATGGGTTGGACAAGGATGCCGTGAGAGGAGCCCATACTCCACGTTCGCCGTCGAGTGACGTGATGCTCAGCAATGAGCAACTCGCGGCTGAGGCTCGCGAGGTTGAAAAATATCTTTGCTACAGTCCGTCTCGCTTTCGCAAGGTTTGCGAGGGTTGGGATATGCGACGCCGCCTTGAGGTTGACTTTGCCGCAGATGACGGCAAAGGGGCAGGAGAAGGTGTTTTTGTCATGGACTGTGGATTTGCTGAGCAAACACCTGCCCGAGTGCTGCGATATTCCCGGTCACTGGTTTCGCCCACAGTGCAGCATGAGCAGAACGGGCCAAGACGAAGCAGTTCTACAGCAAGCGCGCCGGCCAGACCGCGACCGTCACTCTTTGGACCAGCAGAGACAGTTGCGGAAATGCAATGCGCAACGCCAGAAGCTCAATCGCCGCAGCCCCCTCCCCCTCCCCCGACGCCCTTGCCGCCGCTGCGTCAGTCTACAGCCGACTGGAGTTGTACTGCTTTTGTGCTCCAAGGCAGCCAACAGGCAGCCAACATCACGGCCAGCAGTTTGGAGTGCTCAAGCCCCTCTCTGTTCACACTTGGCGAAGACCCTTTGCAGGCGGCAGGAGCGTCTAGCGGTGCACCTGGGATGGTTACTGCGATCACGACCACGACCACGACCACGATTTCGACCACGCCCGCTACCTCATCAGTGGACAAGGCTGAGCGGGTGGTCACAGAGGTTCCGGGGCGTCGGGCACGCTTCTTGGCCGTTGGCACCGACACTGGTGCCGTCACGGTATGGAATGCTCGTGATGAAGCCAGGCACCGAGCTGCACAGCCGCTGCGCGTTCTGCACACCGATTCGCCCGAGATTTCGTGTCTCGCAGTGTCAGCGTTGTACCTGGTCCACGGAGGAAGTGATGGTCTGGTGCAGGCCTGGGATCCCCTTGCATCGACATTGGAGCCCATCAGAACCCTCAACGCGCGATCCAATGGCCGTGTACCACGGCACATGACGACCATGAACCCGACGCTTCGGGAAGGCAGTTACTCGACAGTCGGTGCCATCTATCTAGACCCGGACCCGACGGCCCTGCGAGGCGTGCTGTCCTTTGGCGCCTTTCTTCGGTACTGGGCATACAGCTCAGCAAGCCACCAGACGGGCCCGAAGCGTCGCGTCAGACATTCCGATGTCCACGGACGCATTGCCAGCCGTAGACTCGGCGGCACAGTCTCGGGGTACATTGCGGCGGAAGAACGAGAGCTCCGTCGCGAAAACGAGGCCCGCGCCCGCGAGCAGGCGCACCTCCGCAAGCGCTTTGGCGTCGGCGCTCTAGGCGATCTCACGGAAGAGGAGGCCCTCCGATACGCGCAAGTGGTTTCCGAGGAGGCGTACCTCCAGGATGAACAGCGTCGAGCCAGCGACTCTGCCGCGGACGCGAGTCTAGATACGGCATCGTCTGTGAGCGAGACCACAGTCGACGTGACGCCGGAAGCCAGCGTCGCGGATGTGAGCCCCCCCATGGCCAGCGCGACGGATAACGATGAGAGCGAATTCGAGCAGCAAATGCAGCAGGCGATTCGGCTCTCGCTGTTGGAGGGCGTAAATGATGTCGGCCAGTCCCCGCGTGACAATTCCTCTGGCGATTTCGACTTTCCCATCCAAGTCAAGGTTCAGAACAAGAAGACCAGAGGGTCACGTTCGACGTCTACTTCGCCTGCGTCATCGAGCCACACGCCCATCCGGCAGGGTCCGTCCAAGCTGATTACCGAAGATGGAGGTCTCGCCTCGGTGGCGAGTCCAAGCCTGCAGGAGCACGAGGTGGCAGGGCCAGGTGTGCACAGGGAGTGCGATTTCCCACCTCTCAGCACGGAGGGGGAGGGGGAGAGTGTTGGGAAGGGCAGGGGCAGGGGCAGGGGCAGGGGCACCAGCAGGCGGTAGACGTGGTTTGGTTTGGTTCAGCGGCCTGTGCTTCAATTCAGCACGTAGCAGCCCTGTTTTGGTTTTTGCAGCTCGTCTTTTCCAGTTGTAATACTGACTCGATGCGCGTTTGCGCCGGCATTTCCTGTTGTATCGTATTGTGCCGCGAACTGCTACTGCCGTGGACGTCACCAACACAGGCTGGACGCACGGCGACGCGCCCTGGCCTCTACTTTACTTTTTGTCGTGAACGGGATACCGCCCTTCCAGGTAGCCCGTAGGTTCCTTGATTCAAGTCCGTCAGTCCGGCAACCGAGCGCCATTGTGCGGCGGCACGCCCGCAGTGGCAGTGGCAGCCGGGGACACCATGCCCCCGTCCACGACATGGTACGTACGTACGTGTGCTACGCGAGTCAACCAGTGTACGTCAGGGACGAGCTCCTGAGTCGTGCAATGCTCCTGGTTATTTACACACATTTGGCCCGGCGACCTAACCCCATGCCCGACTCCAACGATGGATGCCGAATTCGCGTCTTATTCATCGCCTTGCCGTCTAGATTGTGTCGACGCGCCCGACCAGTTCAAAAGGTCAAGGTTCTTCACAACACATTTGTACATACACATATATATATGGCAAAAATCATACCAAGTTCCATGGCCATACCAAAACGCCAATCGCTATGCAGAGTGCCACGCCCGCACAGGGCAGGCTCGGCCGTAGACAGGGTCCAATGTTGTCATCGTCGGCCCCGGGAGGAGAAGCCGTCTCCACGGGAAGCGTGTTGAGCCAGGTCCCCGTGGGCGTGATGGCCGCGACAACCGTCGCACCAAACGGGTGCGAGATGGTCATGGTGGACACGATGACGCCGATGGGGCCGAGCGTGAACGCCTGGCCGGCAATGACTGTAGTTGAAAGAGGTGAGCCCGGTCCGACGGTGAACGTCAGGCCGTTGATGATGGCGACAGACGGGGCAATCTTGGTAACCGTCGCTCCGCCAATGATCTCGTGTGTCGTGTATGCCTCCCTGGCTTGGGAGCCGCCGAGCGTCAGGCCATGCACGGTAACGCCCAAGGGACCAATTGTGACTGTGTCGCCGCCAACGACTTGTCGGGTGGTTGTCGAGTCGCGGCCGTACGTAATTGTTTTTGAGTGCACAACCACGACGCTTTTGCCCGCGACTGTAAGCATTTCGCCCCCCGCAACTACAACGTCAGATTCGGGCGCTGCTTGCCACGGCTCCAGCTCGAGCGAGCTTGTGCCGACAACGATTCGCTTCGCGTCGATTGTCACCCTTTGTCCCCGGATGGTTGTCGTCGTGCCATGGGGCGGCATGGTCATCGCCACCCCGGCAATGGCAACCCGTGAGCCTGACAAGGACACGTCCAGCCCGCCGACATGTCCCTCTGTCGGCGATGGGAAGCCAAATTTGGTCGGGAAAGGAGGCGGTTTCGCGACAGTGGCCCCTTCGCCGATGATGGCTGTGGGATATATTGTAAACTTTCCCCCGTCAACCCCCACCGTCGTGACCTGGTCCGGTTTCAGCGAAGCATATGTCTTGCTGTTTATGATGACCTCGTTCCCCTTTGCTGTCAGACTAAACGTTGGACGTGGTTGATTGCTTCCTTCGGATGTCCGCCCCTGGCCGCCTGAATCGCCCCGACTGCCCGAGTCGTCCTGGGGCGAGACGGACTTGTGCATTACGGGCTTTGGGTACGGGTCAGACCAGATTGCGTTGTAATTCGGCGGAGGGTCAGAAGGGAACACGACTGCGGGATTTTTGTCTGTTGTGATAAAGGTGACCTGTGGTCGCGCAAATGGCATCAAGGCCCTGAAGAAACCCGTCGTCGTTTTCTCCGGGCCTTGGACAAGGTGAGGCGAAAACCCGTCTGTAGTTGGAGACTCTTCTGAGGATTCCAAACAGTACACCGGAGTCTGGATGGTGGGATATGGTGGTGTATAGTCAGTCTTGTTGCCATAAAAAGTCACCGTCTTAGTGTGCACGACGGAGTAAATCGTCATTGGCTCCAGGTCGTCATGCAATGAGGTACAGGCCCTCGTGATTGTTGAAGTTGAGACAGATTCCCCCACCGACTCCGGTTCGGCAGCAAGCATATAGCAATCTTCGCCACCAATCGGACAATCCATCACTACTGTTGTCTGATCTTTAAGACGGTTGTCAGGCGTTGGACGAGGTGGAGTCCCAGTTCCAGTGTCGACGCTATGATTGTTTCCAGAGTGTATCACACGTGGCGTCGAGAATGGCCCATGATTTGCGGAAACCTTTGGTCCTGTGGCTGATGCGATTTGATCGCCCGGGTTTGATGGTAATGACAAGGCTGAGGAAGGATGGAATCCTTCAGAAAGGCTTCTTGATGTGGTTATCGGAGTATGTAGTCCCGATGGCCACGAATCGGTAGGGTTTGAGGAGGTATAGTTTTGCGAAGGCAGGTGCGATGATCGGAAGTCATTGGAGTTGCTTTGTGACGATGCAGCCGTTGTTGATAATGTTGAAGCTGTAGATGCTAGGTGGATTATTGATGATGATGATGATGATGATGATGGTGGTGGTGTTGTTGTGGCAGGATCTGATAAAGGCCGTGATAGACTTGACTCAGAAGTATCAGTCGTAGTGTTGAGCACTTCTCGCCGATATTGCGGGCGGTTTGAGAGGCCTGAAACATGCTCGTCGCGATTAGTCAAAATTCTTCTATACGGAATACTGGAGGGTGAGACGCTGGGTGAGAATTGAAAAGCACCAGCACCTGGTCCCGAAGGTACATACCCGCTCCAATTCCTGCATAGACCGAGGATATGAAAAAGAAAAAGGCCCTCAGCATCGCCTTTTCGTCGAGTTTCATCTTGGCCGAGCACTGAGCCAGCCGCATTGTCCTAATAAGACACCGCGTGCGCCACGATTTTCAGTTCCAATGGCAATAGCGACCAGTGAGACATCACCCTTAAAAGCGTCCCCGGTAGTATTCAGAAATGGTATCCTCGCATGGCTATCAACGACAAAACGAATGGTCTTGCTGTTGACCCCTAAAAAGAAACCAATCCAACCGTTCGGTGTGAATGGACGGCAGAGCGTCAATCATGGATGAACACAACGTTCCCCGATTTGATCGTAACCAGGCCCGACTTTGGCCGTTCAACAGTTGCGAAGGGGGAAAGGGAAAATTGCTTCAAAACCAAACGGACACGGAGAAAGCAGATGGAGGTCTCGGGAAGCGGAACTCGGTTGGTGTGCCTGGTGTGCCTTGGCCTGGGTGGCTCAAGAGTCAACGACAATGCAATGGGAATAACCCAACAGTGCCACCAACTCGTCAACCGTTCAATGATCCAACCATTGAACCGGGGGTCCCGGCTGATGCGCGGACACGTCAAGTCGAGTCAGCGCGGTCGGTAGGGCTCCTCTACCCAACCAAGTAAGTTAGCAGCCAGACGTGAAGAGGGCAACAATATAACTTACTACTAGTACTCCGTCCAGACAGTCTGTAAAGTACTTTGACTTGGATGGAGTTAGCGTCGTCTGACCACATGCAAGGTAACACACTCGGACAAGGGTTCCGTCCAACTGCCACAACGGCACAGGGGTGCTCACCCAAACGACGTTCACTTGACTGCAAGGTGGCGGCCATGGTCCGTCGTCGATGGCTGATGAAGGGTTGACTGAGCCCGCAAGAGTCTTCTTGGCTGCCGGGTCGAGTCGCCCGTTTTTGCCGTCTTGCCTCTCTCTCACTTGCGTGCTTTTCCATGGATACCGGGGCGGCATACTCCGTAGAGCGGATCAACACTCCGCGCCATGCAGTATATTTTCAGAAAAGCCCTGCGCAGAGCGCACAGAAACTGAGCACTACATCTGCTTGTGGTTGGTGAAAGCCCTGCCGTCAGCTACCCATGCGAACTTGAGGACCCACGCGCCTGAACCTAGATCCTGGGCTGGGGGGCAATCCAAGCAACTGTGCAGAGCAGTTCACGTGAAGCCAGGTTTTTGCTTGCTCGCTCGCGCGACTCCCAGGGTTTTGCCCACGGTCTTCAAGAGCTACTCGCCTTGGCTTCTGAAAGTTCCGGAATCAGTCCGGTCAAGGATATGCGAGAGGACATGGTCTTTCTCTTCGGTGACGGCTTGTTGCTTGACAAAATCCGATCCATGCATGGTATCAATCCATTGGGCCTGTACGGAGTCCGGAGTAGTACTAGTAGGTAGTACTTACTCGTCGATACGGAGTGAACCACTCTTCTAAACTGACTTGCGTTCTAGCAATTGACTGTCGAGTGACCCTGACGGATTTGGTGATTGACAACATTGAAGTAGTACGTATTTGACCCGTGATGTGCTGGAACAACTGGCGTTTGGCACCCGGCCCGACGCAACATCGGGAACCCAGATGGACGTTGAAGGAGGGGCCAAGATGAACTGAGGGGTTGCTCCACCATGCTAGCAGAAGTCAGGCTTGTTCCGTCTCTTGCTCGTGACAGCGCATAAAAGCTTCTAGAAGCCAACCAAGCCCAATGCTCATGCCGCTAGCAGGGAAGGCCGCCCGAAAGCCGACCAGTCAATGCCAAAGTCTTGGAGGTTTGTAGTCGAAACGCAACAAGTTGATCTTCCCGGCGCTGACGCCTGTAAATGCCAAAGACGAATGTTTAGCACCTCGAAAGCCGGCCTGTTTATGACTTGAGTACTCCGTACTAGTGCTCCGTATCCTGTATAAGTCTACCGTGTAAGCCTCGCTCTTTTTGTCGTTTGGCCGACGCTATCGCATGTATGCTGGTCTGTCGTCGTAGCGCGGTGGATATAAATCAAAGAGCACGGGCACTTGGTAAGGTCTGTACTCCGCATATGATAACCTTATTCCACGAAACCATACTTGCGGAACTGCAGATGTGGTGCAACACAACATGGATCAACGCTCTTGGCCGTGGAAAAAAGCAGCCGATTCCCCCCTTTGGATGCTGTCTCAAATGCGGGTGCCAGGCTGTGTCTTTCCTGTTTCCACACGATACTTCTGAATATTTTGACGTATGATGGCTCTTAGCCCACGCCATGGCCAGGCCGTCGTTCCAGGATAAGCTTGCTGATGGGCAACTTGCCATTGTATGTTAAAGAATTGGACTCCCAGCCAGCCGGTAGCGTGTCCCAGGCCCGCTGTCATTTGAATTCCGTGAAATGAGCTTCATCTACGGAGTACCATGGGTAGGCGAGAAAAATGAGTCGGGTCGGTATGTCGCCCATGTCGAACAACTGCATCAGTCTGGAATTTCGTGAGCCGCAGTCGATAGCGAGTGTTGGTTTTGCTCGGAAACCATCACTTGGCATCGTGTTCCGCAGCGCTTCGCACTCGCAGACGTGCCTTGCATGACTGAATTGATCACAGATGAAGTCGGTAGTTATCGACCTTCTCGATTCGGGTCTCCGTCGACGGAAGGGAAGGCGTGGCCATGAGTCCCATGACTCTGGTTGAATGGCACGGAGAAGAAGGCGGCGGCCATGTGGCTGCATAATGGGGGCGGGGCGGGGCATGCCAGTCGAGGTTACCTTGGCAAGGGAGGAGGATTCAATATCGCTGGACCAGTCGCACTGCTGCTCCTTAGACGGCCGCAGACGATTGCTGTCGTCAGGGTGGAGGACGGCAAAAAAACTAACTAGAACATTTGGAGAGATGGATCGTTTGAGTCAGCCGCTGGTCCAATTGCAATACGGCATAATTACGGAGCTGGGCAGTGGGCAGTGGATACTTGGGTATTTTGATCTTGGCAGGCAGCAGGTAGTTACCGCCCGCTCCTTCCTGCCGGTTATCTTCAATCTTCAACTAACTACATTGTCAACGCACCGAGTGCAGAGTACGCCGGCCATTGCTCCACGCACTTACGGCGATTTGCCCCTGTAGTTGCAGGCAATAGTGTCGTTATGCACAAGTCGCAAAGACGGACTGTTAGTGAAAGCGAGTGCGCAGTCATAGTACTCCGTATTAGCCCGGTACTCAGGAGGGCGGTTTCATCCTATGGGCACATGCACGTTGGGTACTGGCCCTTCTCCTTCTCTGAGAATGACATTTCATCAGGGGAAAGACAGAGCACCAATATTACTCCGTCTTAGACGCGCAATGTGTCCGTCAGTCCAAATTAGCCCAGTTGCTTTCAGCTCCCTTGACACTTGTTATTCTAAGACACTGCTGACAATACGGCATGTGGAGGATAATTGAGAACGACCAAGGCTATGGTTACAAGTCAGCATGCCTGCGTACAATGGTCGGCGTATTGCTTCCCAAGGAGGCTGACAGATAGTCAAAATGCCCGCGCTTCAATGTAGACCACAGCCTACAGGGCGGCAAGGGAACCGACGCATCGTGGACAGCGGTCCTGGTTGGACATTGAAAGATACTACGGCTACTCTGTAGGCGGCGCCGAAGCGACCTGCTACTAGTATGTAGTTAGTAGTGAATGGCGTCGGTTCTATCCGCTGACCGTTGCCCCAGGTACCTCCGTGTCGCGATGTGACGGTAATAGTGCCACTTGCATTCTTGGCACTTGCAATGGATGTCTGTCATCGACGCAAGACATCGGTGTGCAGTGTTGGAACAAGTCCGTTTCAAAATTGTTTGCGCAATGCCCTTTTCGTACGTCATCCGTTTAGATTCGGGATCTCTGCACGCAAGAATGAGCCGCTCACTGGTCGCCACACGACTGGTAGCGGCCGTGAGGGCGACTGGTTAGGGAATCGTGGTCGGGTTGAAGAACAAGAAGGGAAGCTCACATGTCCAAAGCCGAATCCGCCGTGAAATGGCGCAGCGATTCGCGGCCATTTTCATCGACCGCCATGCCCATTCGAGTCGCGTGCCCTTTACTCCGTATTGATGTCTCCAACGCCCAGTGCGAGCCCGTCTTGCCGTCATGGCACATTCGATAGGCCGGCTGAGAAATGACCGTCACTTTGTAAAGCCGTCCGTGGGTTGACACACGGTGGAAATTGGGACAGGGTCCCCTGTGCGTCCCTTTTTGATTCATTCGTATGGCTCTCGTGCCCTGCTGCATTCCTCCCCCCTGGCAACCTGCCCGGCTCCCCTGGAGGGAAATCCACCAGCGACGCCCGTGGCCCAAAGCCTGCCTGGCCTGCACGGAGTACCGCGCGTGTAGACAACTGGTCTCAGGTCATGGGCCAATCAAGCCGATCGAGCTGACCAAGCCACGGCCAGGTTTGGTTTGCACACAGCTGCCCTGGAAGAGCAAAGCTTGTTGTCAAGCTCCCGCCGACCCAGGTGCTGGGGTGGGGTGGAGTGCTGGGGTGGAGGGCTAGGTACCTAGGTAGTTTAGCGAGGGGCAGCGGCGAGGGCAGCGGCGAGGGCACCGTCTCGACAGCTGCGTGCAGATCGGCGACGGATGACGGAGTAAGCATGCACCGCACTCCGTACTCGGCAACCCGGTACGTGCTACAGTCTACTGCAGAGTCTTGGTCGTGGTCTGGTCCGGTCGGTCTGGTCTCTCCATGTCTCATGTCTCAGGCTCTCTATTATCTCGAGCAGCAGACTTTAGATTGCCACACCATCGCCCGACGCACAATGGTGAACGCGCAGACGGGCTGGCTTCTCACCAGAGCCAGAGTCACCGACTCACCACCGCCCTGAACCAGTTGACCCTGACCACTGCTCCTCCTTAAGTACGTACCTACCTAGGCACTTAGGTTAGGTACTTAAGTACTTGCCCAGTACTCCGTACCCACGCACCCTGCCGCCCTGGTTGCCTGCTGGCGGTGCACCAGCCCGGCCTGCATTCTCCAGGCTCTTTTCTCTCAAGGGCTTGTCTCTCGCCTCCAATCTTCCGCCCACCCCCCCGTCGCATCGAATGGTCCCGCGTCCCTCGACTGCACCAGTGATTGCCCTCCCCAGGTTCTTCCCCCTGTCCTTCTTGTCTCCGGTCCCAGTGACAGCTCTCTGAATGCTCTGCCGATGTTCTGGATAACGTTAGGTTCTCGCCTTTCACTCTCTGTTCCTTGCCCACTTATTTGCCGGTTCATGTTTTCATATTCGAAAACCTCAATCGACACTGTTCCTCGACCGAGCTGTCGGCGGTTTTTTTCATCTCTACCGCCCATTGAGCCGTCTGTCTGTTAACCCTCTACCGCGTCAATCACGCACAGGGCCATCGCCGGCAGTCTGGGCCCACGGCGGCTGGAGGACCACCCTTCCTGGATCGCCAATTGCCATCGAACTTGGCCAGACCTGGGAGGAAGACGCGAACCCTTCAATGCCTAAGCTTCGAATTAAAGATTAGAGCCTTTTCGTCTCAACTTCCTTCGATGAACCCCAGGACAACCTTGCCAACTTGACGGTGACCTGGGGTTTCTTCAATTTCACACAACGCAGCACCGGCCGGCTGTAGTATTCGACCCACGGTCATAGGAGGGATAGATTTTATACGATATGAAGGCACAAGCAGCTTTCACGGCAGTCGCTGTAGCCACGGCATCTGTCGCGCCCATCGTCAAGGCAACAGAGCCACAGCCTGTGGCGTTTTCACCTACCGAGTGGTCAGTCCCTGCTTTCAATATACTCTCACGACCGCTGGTCATTACGAGCGTGTAAAGAACCGTGTTTTTTATGTGAAGAAAAAAAAAAAAAAGAAAAGACAAGAACAGATGAGAAAAGGACATGGGAGAAAAATGGGAACTCGAAAGGGAATTCTAACCTTTGTGGTACAGGCTAGGAAACGACGGAAATTGGTCGACATTTGGGTTTCGGGTTGGCTCCAACAATAATGTTAATGTTCTTTTCAGTACGGCGCTATCGGAATTCTGGGCTGTGGGACCGGGAGGGTGTAACAAAAGTATGACATTGTCAATTTGGTCAATGATCTTGCGTCGTTTGCTGATATCTCTCGCTGCAGATGATCCTCATTGCAGCTCCAACAGAGGTGGTATTTATTATCCTTCCGACTCAAAGCATTGGTCTTTGCTGGGTACATGGCAACTAGGATTGCCGGATTTAGGGACAGGAGGCAATGGACAATATGGCTTTGACAGCATATCGGGCCTCAACCCCATGACCAATACTGGCTATCAAATGTCCAACGTTCTTGTGTCAGCCATCAACTCCACAGACTACTTTCTTGGATTCTTCGGTGTCGGCATGAGATCAGGCAACTTCGGTGATATCGTTGCCACACCGCCAATCAGACAAGCCGTGGCATCGTTTGGCTGGGTTTCCAGTTATAGCTACGGATATACTGCCGGAGCATCGTACCGTTCGTTCCTCACATATCCCCCCCCCAAAGGGGTGTAAGTTTTGACATGTACTGACTTGTCACTATAGGCAACTCTGTCGGATCAGCGACACTGGGTGGTTTCGATGCAGCTAGACTAGCCATGCACGACATCGTATTCACCTTGAATCAGACGGAAGGTGTTCCCAGGCCTCTCATTCGAGGCATTGAGGTATCGTCGTCCAACGGGAGTAGTTGGAAATCGGCTACCCGGATTCTGTTGAATTATAACAGCGCCTTTACGGCCGTGATAGACACGACGACGCCCTACCTCTGGCTCCCCCCGGCCCTGTGTGACAACTTTGCCAAGGCGCTCAACCTGACCTACAACGAAACTTTCCAGCTTTACACGTTAACAAACGAGCAGTACCGCCAGTATTCATCCAACAGCAACCTCGCTTTTGTCTTCAGTTTCTCGAGTATGGACAATCGTGACAACTTTGGCGATCCTCTCGATGTTACCGGCGTAGTTAACATCACAGTGCCAGTCACAGCCTTCGTGAGCTTATTGAGCTGCCCCTTTATGAGGGAAGCCGTTGGATACAACGACCCTGCCGTTCCGTATTTTACACTCAGGAAAGCCCCTACCAATAGCACCGCTATTATTGGAAACGCGTTCATGCAAGAGGCTTACGTCGTGACCAAATATGACTCGGGCGTCTTTTCTTTACACCAAGCGCGGTTTCCCAGCGATCCCATAGCAGATGCGAAGCTGACCAAGATCAACCGACCGAACAACAGCCCATACCCGCCGCCACCAGATCCCAATGGTGGAAATGGTCCTTCGATAGGAGAGAGGATCGGTATAGCTGTTGGCGCCGTGGCCTGCTTCAGCACGCTTGTGTTTGCCTTGCTCTGCTACAGGCGTCATAAGCGACAACGGCCTGGCGATGAGCTTGATGATGGCAAGGACTCCGCATCGACACTCACACCAGAGTCTCCCAGGAGCCCTGTATCTCGAATCTTCTCCAGAATACTTGGATGGAGACGCTCTCCAAGGACAGGGGCAACCATGATGGCTAGCAGAGACCCATCAGAAGCCCCGGATCACCAAATATACGAACTTCCGGCCCCTGTAGCTCTCGCTGAATTAGATGCCGGAGGCGGCGATGACAACTCCATGTTGGACGAAACGGACGTGGGCACCGACAGCACGCAACACCTCAGTGCTTACGAGATTGCAAAGAGAAAATTAGATCGACAGCTGCAAGGCCCTGTACCGGAATATACACCATACGCTAACGGAACAGTCGTGCTGCCGGAAAAGGTCTCTGTTGCGGAGCTGCGCTCAACTCTTCAAACTCACATGATGGACCAGCCATCACCCATTTCTCCGCCAAGATCTCGTGGCGGCGATTCGAGCTCGAATACCTTCCTCGCATCTGAGCCATCGCCCGTGTCACCCAGAGGAGATTGGAATTCAGTTGAACTGCCGTCACCCGTCACAGCATCTATACTACCACGATCAAATTCGTCAGGAACAAGGAGTGGAGGTCAATCTATTACAAGCCGATCTCTGTCGGTAAATTCCAACGCGCCAGCATCCCCGGTGAATGACTCGAGATTTCCTCTGCCCGCGGCATGTCAACGAACACCCATTGATCCCTCCAAGGTTGTGTGCCTAGGCACATTACCCGAGAGCATTCATTTACCAGGCCAGACCGCAGATTCAGGGTCACGCATCGTGGACTCTGGTGGGCGTAACGCATCTGCCGGCATGTTTATTAGTGGATCTCGCGCATCTGAAGCAAGCCTGGGAAGAAATTTCACTGAGAAGGACGGAATGGTGGAAGAAGCAACAAGAGGCGCTGGCCATTTGAATGTGAGGCCAAATTGCGGCCAGCAGGACACTTTGTCAAGTTGGTTGAACACGCATAAACAACCACTGTCTACTGAACCAGGAGAACGTGGAAGCGAAACTGGCCTTCCTAAACCATCGGACCCCCGAGACTCACCCGAAGCAGGCCGCATCGATGCTGGTCGCGATCTGATCCACGTCCCCCAAATGGCCGAGAAACGCTACAGCTGGGAAGATGTATCATGACACTACTTGAACCAATGTTTTTCGGCGTCCACGATCGTAACTCACCAACCTTTTTTTTCCCCTTTCATTGATGTCTTTACATCTACAGCGATCTCGACAACTTGTATTTCGTGAATTTCTTTTTTCGACAATAACAATAGCGAAGGAGTTTAGGTAATAGTCAAGGCTTCGCACACTTTCTTGGCCACCATAAGACACGGCCTCTTTTTTGCTCGTCATCTTTTTCCTCTGCACAGAGATTCCGCAACATCAGGAGGATACAATCTGGAACCGGAATTTTTTGTCTGTCCATTATTTTCATTGCAGTTGGGCCTGGATTCTTCTTCTTTGGCATGAACTTGAATACTCGAGGCACATGGAGCAAGGCTCGTTCGCTAGTTATATATATCCTTACGTGCTCATGAGATGCGATGGAATTGTTTCAAGAGGAGAGTTAGAGCGGAGGATGCGGCTGGTGCAGAAGGGGGTATTTGATGATTCGGGAAAGGGGCTATGCAGCCTGCTCAGTGACAGGAGAAAGGCGAGATAGATGTCGCCGAGTGTCCGGATACAAAACCTTCATGGAGCACATTTTGGCTGCAACATGCCTATAATTCGCACCTTGCCCTTCTGAAATCGCGTGGGGCCTTGAGAGACGCATGTTGTGTGTGCATTTCTTGGTCCATGATTTAGACGCACTTCGTTTGATTCTGGTGCAAGCCTACTTACAAAAGCGCGGTTGTCCGATTTTGAAGCCCATCACCAAATTTCCTGCCACCAAGTAATGCCGTCGTTCAAAATACGCCTCCTCTCCTTGTCATCGCCGCCCTCGACAAACGGGTCGAAAACAGCATGTTTACACGCATCCGCCATCTTGGTCGAGCCTCCGCAAACGACAAAGATGGCCCTCTGCAAAATCAACTTTTCCAACAATTTGGCTTCCTTGCGTACCAAATCCTGCACGTATACCTTTTCCCGCTGGTCTCTTGAAAACGCCGTGAACACGGTGAGTTTGTCTCGAGGGAGGGCGCTCCATTCGTCAGCAAAGAAGTAATCCGCATCTTTGTTACGGCTGCCGAAGAACAATATCGTCGAGGCGGAGGACTGGTGCGTTATTCGTTCGTGGATGAGTGAGCGGACGGGGGCGACGCCCGTGCCCGTTGCCATGGCAATGAGCGGCCGCTGGGCGTTGAGGGCGCCGTGGATGGGGGACAAGACGGGTTTGAGGGTGACGGTTAGGTGGGTGCTGAGCGGGACGTGGGTTATGTAGCGGGAGCAGAGGCCCTCTCGGGGCTTGCGCAGGATGGTGCGGTACTTGACGAGCGCGACGAGGAGCTCTATTCTCGTGACTGGAGAGGGGGATGCCGGGGTGAGATGCTTGCCGCCGTTGGCAATGCTAAAGTCGCGACCGCGGATGAGCGGGAACACGTCGAGGAGGTGCGACGCGGGAACGCGGACCGAGTAGAACTCTTCGAGAACTTCGATGATTGTCCTTCGGGGGCGGGTGGCGTAGTCAAAGTAATCGTCTAGAAATTCGGTCATTGTGAATTCGAGCAGACGCGCTCTGTGGTCCTCGTTGTCTGAGAAGTAGGACAGGTTTTTGAGGAACGAGCGCCTGGGCACAGCGTTGATGTCGATGTTGTGCAGGAGAATGTCGCGGAGGGTGCATGAAGACGGAGTGTATAATGTTGGTGGGAGAGTGCAGAGGGATAAATCGAGAGGCTCGTCGGCGATGGCGCCCCATTCCATCAAATTGATGACCTTTTGGACGTCTTTGGGGAAGTTCTTGGGGTAAATAGTCAGACAGTCGCCTGGGTTCACTTGCAGGGAGCTGGGCATGTCAAGGGATACGAGGCAGACATCTTGCCAGTGCGTGTCGGGCGTGAGCCGTTTTTTTTCGACAAGAGTGGCCTGTAGACCGTTGGGGAAAGGCAGTTGGTTTAGTGGCGGCGTCGAGGGCAGCTTCGTGGTGCCACCATTGATATGAGGCTTTCTGGTGACCCTGGCGTATTGGTTGATGGCGGGTGCCAATGACCACTTGGGAGGGAGCATCTCGTCCTCGGGCACGGCATCTCGTCCCTGTGGATCAGGATAGTGCTTTAATAGATGTTTCCAGAGGTCATCTGCCCAGCGCAGAAAGCTTCCGTCGATACTGGAACACGTCAGATGCCGACTTGGTACAATGGTGTGAAGGACATACCCTTCTGGAAACTGCTCATCGGCTTCGCACGGTTCAAAGAATGCAGATGCGCCTAGTTGATCTAGACGCCGGATGAGCTTCCTGGCTGCCCAGTTGAATCTATATGATAAGTTAGCCAAATGTTGCTGGTGTCCGACTGATGCAACTCACTTGAGATATGTGCTGTCGCCGAGACCGACGCATGAGTATTTCATTTGGCTCAAGCAGCCAGGCGGCAGTTTCTTACGGAGCAATTTCTTCCAGAAAAGGAGAGAGTTGTGCGGCATGTCCCCCTGTCCGGTTGTCGAGATAACGAACAAGACGAACTCCTGTTGGAGGAGTTCATTCTGTGTGAAAACAACGAGGTTAGCAGAAGCAGATGTGGGAATTCCGGTTGTTTTGCACAACCTACCAAGTTCACATTGTCCAGTTCCTCGACGCGGCTGGTAAAATGCAATCTCTGGCACAGCTTGTCGAGCTCTCCGGCCATATCCTGGGCATTACCAGTCTCGGAGCCGTACAGGACCAGGGCCGTCCTGCCTGGGCTGGTCATGTTCCCAGAGTTGGGTTGCTGGTCCTGTGAAGGCGTACAATGAGCAGAATGAGAAGAGCCAGCTAGGAGGCTGCTAGGGCGGCCGTGCCCTCACGAAAAAAGGACTGTTGAAGGGGTCCCGCAGAGGTGATATGACGGTTGATGACAAGGAACTGGTTCGTTGGAAGGTTGTGACGGATTAAAAGTCGGCGCTCCATGGGTCCGACGCTGGGCGGTGGCGTTGGCTGAGCCATTAAGATCTTATCAATCGAGCGGAGGTTGCATAGCAATCAATCTGTTTGACGGTGAAAATTGCCCCGGCCATTTATATGACATCACCAATGATCGTCGGAGAACGGCAACCTGGAATGGAATGTCTGATCGCTTTGGCGGCTTCAACTTCGACTGCGTAGGCGCAGCTTGACGGTCCTGCTCGTCTTTGTCTGGTGACATCAAGTTTTTTAAATGCTGCTTCAATGTCCGATGACCAAGGCGACTGGACACCAAGTTGTACGACCGAGTACCAAGCTCACGAGCGATGAGAGATGAGTGGTATCAAGACAGGGGTTCTGGTTCGTACATGCTGGCGGCAGAGGAAGCGAGACTCAAAGTCGGCCGTCAACTTGAAGTTCAAAGACGGAGCACATGGTGATCATATCAGGGGATTTGTGCGTCCAAAAGCCCCCAGTGCCTTCTGGGAACAGGCTAAGGGCAGGGCTTGGCCGCAGGCAAGAGCGACCAGCCGGCTGGACTTTTGGTTACCTTAAGTAACGTACCTAGGTGCCCCATTAGGTCCCTGAGTACTTAAGTACTTAGGTACCTTCGCGCGCTGCCCCTGTTGATGGTGACAGTTACTGTGACTGTGTTAATCCTTGAACATAGTTGCCAAGAGTGTGGAGTCTTGTGATAGCTGATTGGATGGAAAGTATGTTCGTTGGTGACTCTAGGGGTGATTTTAAGACTGCTGGGTGTATTAGGCTTGTCGCAGTAGCAATACTTGCAGGGGCGGCAGTCTTAGTGTTTGTTGCACTGTGATGGTGTTAGTTGCTGTGACGGTGTTAGTTAACTAATCCTAATTGCTTCCTGTCACAATATAGACAGGAGAAGGTGGCTAAATAATAATAACTATATATTGCAGCTATAATAGAGCGACTATTCTGTTGTAAATTAATTGTATTGTAGTAGTGCATAAGTCTGTTGCGTTTACTATGCTTTTTAAAATTTATAATTTAGGTAGTAATATAACTGCTCTAGACTACTGTAATAGTCCTGCGCTTGTTAGAGCTATATGCTTTATAGTAGCACTAGATATAGTAATAGTTATAAATATATATAAGTTTAATATAAAGAAATAAACTTTCTATTGTAAAATTTATTACTATAAATATATTCTTATTGCTTTCTAAACTCTTATGCTATTATAAGTCTTATCTGCTGTCTATAGAATAATATTGCTGCTATAATACTAATAATAGAAACATTTAAACTATTTACGCCTAGACTTAATTGTTAATAAATAATAATAATATACTATTGTAGCGTTCGCAAAATTAGTTAAAATAATTCTATAGCTAATTATACAATTGCATTAGCTAAGAGTTAGAGTTTTTAGTACTTTAAAGTACTTATATTAATGTAGATATAAAGCTTTATAATATAGTTTTTAGATAAAGTTTTAGTGTTAAAGAATAGTTAAGTTTAAAAGTAGGAAAATAATACTTATATTAGCACTAAATTACTTATTCTATCTTATAATTTCTAAAAGTCTAGTAAAAAATATACTAGATAGATAGCACATACTTAAAACTTACCTCTAGAGTTTTTAGTAAATAAAGCTACGTTTTATGTCTATAATATAAAATTATAGTGTTGCAAAAAAACTATAACGTTTAAACTACACTAAATTCTACTAAAACTAACATAAATAATTAGAAAAAACGCAAGAAATTTAATAATATATATTAAAAGAATGTACTAGTCTTTCTTTTAAGTTATATTTGCTCTTAAAATACTATATTGTTCTTCTGTTGTAATGTTATCTATATTGCATTTGCTATTATACGCACTATAAATACTTACTATTAATAGTATTTATCTTCTAAGCTAATTAAGTTGCTTTACAAAAGATGTCTAAAGCAGCCTAGTATATATACTAGTGCTATAGAAATGCATTACACTATAGTGTAATATTGCTAGATATTCTACTCTTCTATGCTAATAAGTATAGCAGAATTATATTAGTCTTGCTTTAACAAGCTCTAAGCTTCTCCTTACTTAATTATAGTATAGCAAACCTGTCTTTTGTGTACCTCTGTTTTCCCCCTAAAAGAATCTACACTAAGTGTAACACTTTAGTTGTTTATTAATAAGCTTTAATAATTTATATTTATAGCTGCAGTTGTAAACTAGACAAGCAAGCAGGAGAAATCTTTAAGGGATATAATAAAGTCTAGTTAGTTAGGATTAGTAGAGGTAAAGGCAATAAATATAGTAGAAAGCTAATACTTACTGTTCTGTCCCTTCTAGCTAGATTCTATATTAAAGATAGAGAGAATTAATATAGCTAGAATATAAAATAAATATTAAGTATTATATAGCCTTAGTACTTCTCTATAAACTTTATAGTCAGTAGATCTTATATATAGCATTATTCTATCTAAGTGTTCTTACCTAGTATAAGTTAATATAGACAGCCTCTTAACGCAAGACACTTGCTGTTCTTAAGTATAAGTTAAATTATATATACTAATAATAAATACAAAAAGAATAATAAAATAATGCTATATATAGAAAGAAGTTAAAGATATAGTATTAAGAGTAGTAGTAAAGATACTAAGTTAAGAATTACAAAATAGAAGAAGAAGAGGGGAGAAAATTCTATACTATAATTTTAATGTATTTAAAATAAAGATATACAACTCTTATATAGTAGGGGACTTATTAATTATTAGTTAGATATATAAATTTATTAGCTTAAGCCTAGACCTTACTAGCTAGTACAGCTGGCAAGTAGGCACAAGACCTAGGAAGAGCTCCTGCTATATCTACAACTTAATTAAACCTATAAAATCTATTAGAAGCTTAAGCTCTACTCTTTACCTTAGGCAAGTCTGCACTAGAATAGTATTATAGTTTTATAATATTCTATACTTATAGTATATAAGCTACTTATTACTATAGATTCTATAAAATAAATTATTTTCTTATAGAACTTAAGATTGTAAAGAATTAAGAGATTACTTGCTGTAATATAATTTCTTAGTTTAGTCTATATAAAGTATATATTAAAATCTATAAAAAAGAAACTACTATTATATCTTAGTACTATCTAGACCTTCTGCTCCCTAATATGCAATAAGCTTATTATAGTCTATATGCTAAATAGCTTATATACTAAACACTTAAGAATAAACTCTTTTATTTCTCTATCTAATTGTTATACTATAAAGTTAATAACAGCAAAAAGATTCTTTAATAGTACGCAAGTATATATAAATAAACTAAGGAGTTTAGCGTATTTTATAGTATTATCTGCCTACTGTATAGAGATAAAGTTCTCTATACTAAAATACAAGCGTTCTCTTATACTACTAGTAATTATTAGCTATAAGCACTATAGCTTCTAAGGTTGTTATCTAAGTCTATAATACCTAGTTATAAACGCTACTTTCTAGCACTATTAAATTAAACATTGTTCTAAATTATAAATTACAGGCACTTTACAATCTATATAGTATGCATTTCTAAGAGCAGCTAGAAACCTATAATCTTGTAGTAGTTGCTTTATTTTTATAATGCTAATAAACCTATCTTAATTCTATAGAGAGACACTATATAATGCTTGCGTTTTGTAATAGTCTAGATTATTACAGATTAGCAACTTAGAGCTAGTATAATTATCTAGCTCTATGCTCTCTCTAATTTTAGAATTAAGACTCTTAGTAAGGTTTAGACATTATACTTAAAGAGCAGAGAATATTACCTATATTTCTAGATAATAATATAAGAAGCATTTATCTAGAAGAAGCGCAATAGTAAGGCAATAGTTTTAGCAATATATTAATATTGTAGCAGCACTCTAGTAGTTTGTAGACTTAATATTGCGCTTAAACTCTCTGCAGGATTTATTAGCAGATAAGTTAAATTACTAGAACACTAGAATTATACTTATGCTTGTTCTTGCCCTAGAGAGTAAACACTATAGCACAGCTGCTATAATAATCTGCTACTTTAGTATAGTAAAGTTTAATATAAATATTAAGAAGCTTAGTCTTATTATTATACTATTAACTCTTTACAGAAGTATTAATAGAGATGTTTAATATATTTGCAACTAAGTATAGTAGAGAAATCGCAATTAAGTGCTAACTAAAGTTTGCTTTTAATATAGTAAGGTTCTAGGATAGAGAGAGTACTTATTTAGTACCTTAAGAAGAACAGCTAGTAATAACTATAAGAATTATTAGAACTAGACTTAAAATATTTATATAAGCGCTTTATAAACCTCTACTAAGTTGTACAGCCTAGCTATATAAAGTAAGAAGAAACTAAATTGCTTTTCTCCTAGTAATAACTTTATTATATATAATATATTTTTTATCTATAAAGTATAAACTACAAACAGTAAAAACTAAGTATATAAAAGTTTAATATATAGTAATAAGCTACTTTATAAATGTAAAATAAGTTGCATTATAAGTAAATCTACTATAGTCTATAAAATCCTTTATATAGCTCTTAAGTATAGTATATAAGTTTAGCTTAATGTATATTACTCTTAGAAAACACTGCAGAACAATAGAAAGAATAATATAGCTATAAGCAAGTTCTTATATTCTCTAAGAATTAAGATAATAATATAGAGATTAAAGTTATCTCTAAGTTAAAGAGAATAGAATTATATAAAACACTTTATTTGCTTATTCTATACTTTAAATAGTAAGAATGTCCTAGAAGACTAAAGAGATTAAAAGTTTTAAGAGTTCTTAGTACTTAGAATAAGCAGCATTAATAAGTTAGCT